AGCCTTACTAACTATATATTATATTACTTTGATAGCTAATATATAATATACTAGTCCTAGTATCTATCTATCTATAATAGTAGTAGTTAACTGTTCTCTGGACCCACTGCCTAGGTCTTAGCGCGAGTAAATTATTGAGCGGGCCACCTTGAATTGAGGATTGTTGTAAAATACATATTGTATGGTGTTACTGTACCTCTTCGATATTACCTGCTGCATACATGCCATGGAATCCCATAGAACCCCAATGTGGATCTCTCTACAAATCTAATAACGCGAGAGCCACTTAATGCCATATTTCTGAACGATCTGCCTGGTGGCATTAGCTCTCGTTATCCTATAGAATATAGTCATTCTCGAAATAGGGTTGACCAATAAACATCCCATCAGTCTTAGTATTTCCCATCTCGGACATGGGGACAAATCTTCTAGAATTTGCCGCAATAGAGTTAGCTTGTGAATATAACTGCTTGCGACTAGTGTAAGTGCCGCTAAATTTGGACTAAATATTTCTCCTTTGTTTCCGCCACCTAAGCATCCATGTCTTTCTCAGCCTTTGGCTCAGTCAAGAAAGAACTGGCTCCGTATAATCCTACGATGTCTATCTAGCTATGTAGGTAACTACGGTTCTTCCTTTGCACCATTCCATCCACAAGTCTCTATCTCTCAGTCATACTAATCTCTCAGCATTCCGATGGCTCTAAATATTATCCTATATTGCTCAGCTTTGCAATGTACAAGGGAAAAAAATGCAAAACGAACATACCTCTCTTCTACCTCGCCTTCAATATCCTTAGTGCGGCAGAGTAGGTGAATCTGTGTTATTGGTATTCCGGGGATGTAGCGAAGAAATCTCAATCATACGGAGACCACTTTGCTCTAAGGTCTCGTTAGTGGATGACTCTTTCCCAAGTGGCGGTAGTCTGGATGATATTTTCTTTTGTGCAGTAAGCGACCTAGCGAACATTCCTATGTCATTCTAGCTCAGCACTAGAAACCTGAATTTATCACTAATAACGAACTTGAGCAGATTCTTGACAAGGGTCTCCTTTCGCTCCCGATGATTCAGGCAAAGAATCTCATTGACAGTTTTCTGTGGGTTATATGGGTTGTTTGTAATAATCCCTCTCATGTGTGGTAACTCTCGCCGTACAATAGCCGATATTTTTATCACAGATTTTCCCCACGTGCTGCTTACTCTACATCAATCCGGCTGTAATTTATGTGGGTTTGTATACATTTTCAAAGCGAATCCTTCCGATGATGCCGGATTCTATGTCCCCGTTGAGCCTCGCAGGACTCGCTAGCCAGACTACGGTATACGTCATTCTGATTGTGTCATAGATTCTGATGGTCCGATCTTGGTTAAAGTCATTTGACTCTTTTGTGGCCTGCTTTGATTATGTCGTATAAATTCTCTTGGTGGCCTCTGGTGGACAATGCTATGTTTGCCGTAATACAGGGGGTTTGCTTTGGATTGCTTTGAGAGGAAGAAGGTCATCTCCAGTGAAGGTCAACATGGAGTTCAGGATGAAGATAAAGATGTGCTTTTACCAAGGACGGTATGGGATTTCTACCGCTCAATCGAGGACTCATGGATTGGCCCAGAGGGCATTTTATTGACGTAGCATAAAGTGCCTACGGTTTATTCTTTCATCAATAACACTACCCATATCATTCTGCTCATTCCCAATATACAGCAAGCTTAATTATCTGCACCCAAGCCAAAGTGTATTACGCTGTTGATCATGCAACTACAACAGTACTAGAGAGATGATACTCCCTTGTTCTATGCTCCGCTTGGTACTCTCGTCAGCAAGTACCGTTTGTATCTAGTAGGTGGATTGATTGAAATGAAGTTAATACTGCATACAAACTTGTAACACCGTCTATCAAAATCAATTTACTGTAATTAGGCTGTGTGCAATGGTCAACACAAGACTATAAGAACCCAAATTTGTCGATTTAGCTGTGAACGATCTTGATTGACGAGTTTCTATGTAGTTTCTATAAAGTCTTCGACGTCTAGCATAATAGATTCACCGGCACAAATAGAGACCGAGACAATTGACCTATTCAACTTGGCTATCATCGGTTGGCTACACCTAGCAAGGCTCTCATGTGAACCCCAAGACAGATTTGGAGCCCCGGTGTCGGAGGACATGTTTTCGGAGAGAGCGAATGTTTCACGGCAAGGGCAACATTTGGCCGCTCAAAAAACCTGGAAGTCATATCGAGCGTAATGGTCGGGTTGTTAGGGGAAACAGGGCAGGGCGAGCGAAAGCAGCGCGATTGGGCTCTTGAGCCTACTGTCCTTGCAGCACCGGCCACCTGGCTAGTCACCTAGGGGATAAGCACCTACTAGCGACCCTCATTCCGTATAATTTGCAGAAGTCCACTTCAGTTTTCCGTGGGATTCCACTGAATTCTCGCGAATCATTTTGTAATCTCACGTAGCATCATACGGTGCTATACAAGCTGCATCTTACAGTGTCCCTCATTCGATGCAGCCGGCTTAAGTTTTGATCCGCGCTAAGGCCTTGGCGGCGGGTCCAAACAATATGTAGTTAGACATTGAGACCATTTCGAGAATGACTGTAGACAAGATATACTCACCGCCAAGAAACTATTGCCTGCTTACTCTTGCACGTACCTTTCTCCAAATTGTAGATATCAAAGTGTTAGCGTTTCTAGGACTGCTCTTATAATATAGCACGAGTGACAGTCCAAAGCCTCCAAGCTGGCCAAATCCACAATTGCCAACCATAAGCTAGCTTGCGTCCCGACGGCGAGCGAGCGGGTGATAAAAGAGACAGAACGTGGCCAAGAACCTCGAATCCCCGAGCGGTATCTTGAGCATACTTCAATTACTGGGAGAAGGCGTGATACAACTACGTAGGTGTGAACACGCCATACGAAGCGCAGGTCGAAGCGTTGCAGACTGATCTGAATTTTTAGCTGTCCTGTCTAAACTGGTGACCTACTGGGACGACTGAAGCCCCGCGTGGCGTGATGCAAATCTGCCATACATGTCATGAACTTTTGTGTTTTCCTATGATCAGAAGACAATAATTGCCATGGTTGACCAGTATTTGACACCACTTCAAAATAAAAAACACTCTTTAAACAGTCTCGAGGACCTGCTCCTTGAACTCCCGCTCCACCTTCTGGCCCTTGTCATCAGTAGCCGACTCGCCGTGCAGAGCAAGCAGAGCACCCAGGTCGAACTTGGGGGACTTCAGCAGCTTGACCTTGCGGATGTGGACCTGTAAGATTTCATAATTAGCAACGAAAGAGAGACAGACACACATTTGCTGAGGAAAGCGACGTACATTCTGCAGGGGGTAGATGCCCTGGGTGGACTTCTCAATCTCACGGCCAATCACCTCGGGGATGAGCTTGTGGGTGAGCTGAGACAGAGTGCAGCTAGCGGCTTCACGCTGAATGATCTCAGTCATCTTCTTGCGAATGGCACGGATTTGAGACGAGCGGGCGTAAGTGGTCTTCTTGATCTGGTTGGGGCGTCTCTTGGTGAAGGCAATGGCGAACAGGCGGAGGAGATAGTCGTCAGTGGTCTTCACAGTGATGTTGGCCTCGATCAAGGACTGCCACTTGCGGACCAGGGAGCGCAGCTTGTCGGTGGTGAAATCCAGACCGTGGAAGTTGGTCAGGCAGTTCTTGCCCTGAATCTCATCCACACGGAGCTTGACCTTGCGGAAGGCGTGGTCCTCATCGTTCTGGAGGTCTGCGAGAGAGACCTCGAAGATACGGCCCTTCAGGGAGTCGTTGGCGTTCTTCAGACCGCTGGTGCGGTTGACGAGAGTCTTGCCGACGCTTCAAGGAAAGTTCCATTAGCACACCATGTCAATACTGGAGGGAGATCGACTCGGAAGGGGGTCAAAGCCTACTCGCGGGTCTGGAAGGTCGAGGGGGCCTTGAGAAGATGGTCAGCGGTGGTGCCAGGAAAGAAGTCTTCGAGGGACCAACCTTCACAGAGTACTCATCTTTCCGGGTGAAGGGATCGACGGTTCTCTTCTTGATACCCTTCTTGCCCTTCGACAGGCGCTTGTTCCTGAAAGACGAAAAGGTTAGCGAGGGAGTCGACGTAGATTTTCATGCTAGGGTTGAGCGAAGATAAGGCGAAATGCAAGAAGCAAGATGAAGATAATGATAGAACAAAGCAGAGTGCCGATGAACGGGGAAGCACATACTTTCCAACAGCCATGTTTGCGAGTCGGGTCTATCTGTGTGTTGTAAAAAGACAGACGAAGGGTATCGCACCACGACGCTCGGAGGGTTTCGATATTCAGCTGCACGGGTCGACGGGAGGGTTGAAAACCAAAACCCACAGAAAACTCGGCTAAGCGAGCCAGCGCGGGCCCTACTGCTGACATAACACTGTACCCGATAATCACGTGATACACACTTGTGCCGTGACTCAAAATTCAGCTGATTATATAATATAACATCATTCCCACCACATCGATCCGGCTGAGCCAATCACGTGGCCCAGTTCATACTGGATGTGTCAGGATACATGTAGTACTTCACCACTACCTACGAAGGACATACATAGGTGATTAAGAAGTTCTCAATGGATGAGTCTTGGCTCAATTTATATGGGACTATTTGATCATGGCTCCATGGTAAATCAGATGATGCCTCTGGCGTCCCGTGTCTCTAAAGTACCAGAGTACCATATCACCCATTAGCGCAAGAAAGCGAGCCGGCGACTCTCCAAGTAGGCACAGTACCGTACCGGATCCCATTTAGGAAACCATATCTTCATCGGTATCCTATACATGGGGGATCACGTACGGAGTACGGTATAAATAACTGTTGACACAGCCCTGGTTGGTTAGGTAGCTGAGCTGCGGAAGACCCGTTCTTCCGCCTCCCATTCTCCGCACGAGCCACCCCCTCACCACTCTCCTTCCGCGATTCTGAATCTTCGATCCCCGCTCTCTAGTCCACCGTCAACCTGCATCCGCGCCAGGATTATGGTACGTGTCGCCTAATGATCCGCTAACTCTCCCCCTCCCTTCCCTTCTGAAAGATTTCAGGAGCAGATGCCAATGACCAACTCTCCTCGCAGGGAAAGCGCAAGAAGTCAAGCAGAACACCGCAAGGGCCCCGAAAGGTGCGAGAGACCCGATCCTGCTCGTGTGACTTTGGGTGACTAACCCACCGATCGTAGCGGGAACCACTTGCGACTACCTTCGCCTGTCTCTTCTGTAACCATGAGAACTCGGTCGTGGTCAAGCTAGACAAGAAACTGGGCCTAGGTGACCTGTCCTGTAAGGTCTGCGGCCAGAAGTTCCAGACCGGCATCAATTGTGAGTCCGCTTTTTTCGTCGCATTTTCACCTGCCTCCCATCTGCTCACGACAATTTCTACCAGATCTGTCGGCCGCCGTGGATGTGTACTCTGACTGGGTTGATGCATGCGACGCTGTTGCGAAGGACACTGCCAACCAGTATGACGGGCCTGTGGGTTCGGTAGGCAACAGCAAATCGAATGCTTTGGCCGACGCTGGAGTTGGAGAAACCTACGAGGACGAAGACTATTGAACCGGTTACAGCGGAAAGGGAGAGAAAGGGGCGAACGGCGCAGGCATGGTACTTTTTCGACGAGCACTTTATTATACACCTACGGAGAATTTTTACAACAAACTTCGATCGGATTTGCTTCTATTGCGTGTGCTGCATTGTGCCACCCACGACATCTCGTGTCTTTGAACAGAGTCTGGGGTAGCTCTAGAAGAAAGCCTGTAGACGAGCTAGACTCAGTTCTGTCGAACCCGATAGGAACGGCATGAGGAACGGTCCCCATGCTTTCTCATCAATACGTTTCTAGCCCGGAAGGGCTGCCCAGACGGGGTGAAATCGGAAGAGATTGGAGTCTATGCTGCCGTTGTCCTTGCTAGGTATCAATTGGTAGAAGGCCTCACAGGGTGTAATATCGGTCGCCAAAGTCTCCCAGACCAGGGGTGATATACCTATTAGGCAGGTTAGTATCATCTAGGATGCCAAAAATCACAAAGGGACCGATACTTCTTATCATCCAAACCTTGGTCAATGAATGCGGTGACGACGCGGAGTTTAGGGAACCTCTCCGCAAACTCTGCGACGCCTGAAGGGCTTGCGATCAGGTTCAGGAACAAAATTCGGTGCTCCGGAACCCCCTTCTGCTTCAAGACCTCCACCGCCAAAGTCGCGGAGCCCCCTACAGACAAGTGTTAGTGGAATATGGAGGAGTACTCGGACGCTTGTACTCACCAGTTGCGAACATGGGATCCAAGAGGAGGACCCACCGATCAGCAATATCAGCAGGAAGCTTTTCGTAAAAGAGCTTGGGCATGCAAGTCTCCTCATCTCTCTGGATCAGGATTTTTCCGATGCGGACAGACCGGCAACAGTCCCTAAGTCCCTGCTCCATGGCTTCCCCAGCTCTCATGATGGAGACACCGCAGATCTTCCCCTCAAACTTGACGCCCAAATAAGCCCGACCAACCGGAGTGGTGACAGACTGCTCAACAACGGGGAGGTGATTTAGTCCTTCTTCCACCAACAGCCGGATAATCCGATTGGAATAGAAGATGAAATCTGCACGCGTCGTCCGCTTATCTCTGATCATCCTGTGCGTGCGTTAGACATTCAGCGGCCCCGTCACGCGACATGCTGGAGGATTCTCACGTCAAGAGAGCAATTAGTTGAGGCGTCTGAGAGAGCACATGAACGTTCTCGTAGGAGACCTCCTTGGAGACCGTTGCCGTTGGTTTCTCGCCATCAGGGCGGTAAATGGGACCGACTCCCTGAGCGGGAGACGGAACTGGGTCCTTGCTAGCCATGGAGGTGAGAGTGAGAGGAAAGATGACGTCCAGAGCCGGGATACAGGTAAAGCGAGGTAAAGAGGAATGGGGAATTGGTCAGAGGAAGAGTGTCGCCCGTGTGAGGAGTACACGGACAGACACACGGACAGTACTAAGGGGGGGAAGAGGAGGAGGAGAAGGACGAGGCGGAGGAAGCGGGGAGACATTTCCCTCTTATCTCGTATCGCCTGCATGCGGCCCTCCTCCACACTCGGGACCTTATCGCTGCAACACGCAACATCCAACTCTCCCCCATCTTCCCGGCTAATAAGCGCTACAACCTCAAACCTCTCCGTCCCGCCGGGGATTTTCAGACTTAGACCGTCCTCTTATCTCCCCAATCCACCGGGGATCAACCCCATTCCGCGACCCTAGAACTCCTATTTAGGGCCGTTCGCAGTTACTGGGCTGAATGGCGAAGTTCCGCCTCCTTCCTGTCTTCGCTTGAGACCACAGGGTGTTCCCGCATGTCTTTGTCATTGAACACCAATCTTGCCAATGCCATCCAGTTATCCGATTGATCCCCCGACCTGCCGCGCACGACTATCGCCCTCGCCATTTCCGCTACACGTCTATCCTCCTCCCTGCGTCGACTGAAATGCGAAGCATTCGCAGCCGCCTCTAGACCGCGAAAATGGTGCATTCAGGCTCGCGAAGTCGACGTCTTGTGACTTACGGCTCTTCCTCGAAAGCTCAGTCTCATTTTAACACTGTGTCTGCACGCGCCTCGACCGCTAAATCATCGAAAGACCTCCCTAGTACGCCTGGCTCGTCGCATCCATCTACAGGCGAGGTATCAGGAACCGAGCCTGGACATAAACAAGAAATATCTACAGAGACTGCTCAGGTACCAGAGCCCCGGGGAGCTTCGCGCCTGGTTACCGAGGCCAGCATTTACGATCTTCCGTCATCAGATGAGGGGGACCAGCACCTAATCGTGCAACGCAAGCGCCGGCGCTATGGCGCTAATGGAAATGCTGCCTTAACCCAACAATCCCCTGCTGTGCGACCCATGACTGGTTTTGGGATAGGGGTCGGACCTCAAGATCCTTCCACGAAGTTAGACTCAGCGAGCTCTCGAACTGAGACCTTTTCACCTCGCGAGATAAAAGACGCGTCAGGCCGTGGAAGGCCAGGGCCGCGAACAGGCGGCCGCAAATTAGATTCAGGTTCTCAAAAGACCAAAGAAAGCTTGCCAAAGAATGATTCTCAGGCTCGCCAAACAGCTCAACCCCTCTCTCTCGATACAAATGGACAACCAAGCCAGTCCAGACCCGAGCGAACGTCGTACACGAACATAATGTCTAGTCCAATGGAGCCTGGACCTACAAGTCCCCGAAAGCATACACGCACTCGTGGTGGAAACACGACGCCCACCCGAAGAAGACTGATTGATTCACTGGGTACAAAAGAACAGTCGGCTGATGCCTCATCGAATATTACTACCACCAGCCAGCCACCTTCTCCTTTCACACCTCACAGCCCCAACCGACTGAAAGAACCCCCGCCACCAAATATGTGCGCTCAAACTGAGCCCAAAGACCTGGGCCAGGATACAACTGTCGCGATTTCGCCTCATCTAACCGGCTCGAAAGTCACATATGCCCGCCAGCGTTCGTTCTTGGATGACCTTCCGATGGCAAGCGGGCTTCCTGAACAAAATCCCGTGGATAGTCTTGGGCGGGATAGCCAATTGATGTCGCAACCCCGAAGTTTTGATGATATCCCCCGCGCTCGCCTTTTTGATATCGAGGAGGTCAACAATGATGACGGATCCGTTCGGAGTATTCACGAGCTCCGCCAGGCTGGGGGAAATGCTCGTTACCGGGGTGCTGTCGAGTCTATCTTTGAAGACATTGAAGATCCCCATATGTCGACTTCGGGTCGATGCAATTCGTTCGTTCAACTTTGTGGCAAGTTGCTCGACTCGAAGCTATCACGCCAATTTGTCGAGTGCAGTTTTGATAGGAGGCTGGTTGATTGCCTATCTAGTGACCTAGATATGGTCTCTGCTACACTCGCTTTATGCGTGTTTGGTCTAAGCTCCTTGGGTCGATCTCTACCCTATGTTCTGGCCACCGCTGCATGGCCCAAATTGCTTGATCTGTCGCCCTCTCTCCTTGGGGCCCAGACTGATATCTCCGCCATAACACGCGCTCGAAACAATAACTTGTCTAAGGCAGCTCAGAGATCGGTGCAGAACATATCACCCCGAATCAACATAGCTCTGTTCCCTGATGCATCGGCACCAACGCTTTCGCCATGCCTCATAGCACTGCACTGCCTAAGAGTCACCAGCTCGGCATTCCAGGCAAAGAGCGAAATACCCGGTGGTCTGCCTGCCCCTATGCTGAATCAGCTTGTCAACATTCTGCTGTCTGAAAGCTCTCATATTAGAGGGAAAGTTACAGTCGCCCCAGAGAGATCTTATGTATTGATCACGGGGTTATCCATTCTCGAGATACATACCACTTCCGGGGATCCCGTTCAACGAGATCACCACGATGCTTTGAGTATTCTCGCTGGCATGCACAGCTTGCTTCAAATGGCCAACATGGCTAGCGAGGTGGATGCGGTTCGCCAGCAGCTCCAAATCCTTTATCTTCGAGTGATCTTGAATGTCACTAACAGCAACCCGATCTTGTGCGATAAATTTGCGACTCCAGCGATGGTTGAAGAGCTGGCTGCCATCACGATGGCCAGATTTGGCGATCTAACCGAGGATTCTCTTTCGCAGGAGAACAATTCTCTCGACACCGTGATTTTGGCATTGGGAGCTCTCATCAACCTGGTTGAGCAAAGTGAAGCATCGCGAACGATGTTTCTTAATCCCGCCTGTGTTGCACAATCCCTTCTCGACCAGCTTTTACGCCTCTTTTTAGCTCATGTTGATTCGACCTCCAAGGTACGGCTTCATTCCATCAGCTCAATCATGTCCTCTTTGCAAGATCACTGATCAAGTCTCCCCTCAGGCCCATTCGGTTCTGGAAGTGCACCACAATGTCGCAGTAGGGTATTTGGCTATTCTGCTCCTGGCCCTCTGTCTACATCCGGGAGCCCGTGTGCAAGTCAAAGAATCCCTTCACCCCAATGGACTCGCAGTCATCATGTCAACGGTGAATGAATTCTTACAATATCACCAGAAGATTGAACAAGAATCATATTCGGTCCAGGCAAACCGACGGGAGACAAGTGGGTTTTTGGTCCGGCTCCAGGACCTTATCAGTCAGATTCAACATATCGATGATCAGTGATGAGGACAAGGATGGGGATGCGTGAGGCGTACCATATTTGACAGGCTTTGTTGGGACTGATGTACATAGTAATCGTGCGATTTTTGGGGGATTTGGTTTGAAACGGGACCGCGGAGAATGGGCGGAAAACTTGTAATCGAGGACTGATGGCTGATATACCCTTTGTGACCGCCTATTTCTCATTTCTGCGTAGAAGCAATCCTGAACCTATACTATTCAAGCACCATAGATTCCTCCTGGTAGGCAGCTATGGCTTGAGGGAATCTCAGAATCGTACGGTCGGAATTACCAGGAGGGTCTGGGGGTTGCAGGGTATCTAATCAACTAAACCTAATCAGCTAATCAACCAATCAACTAACTGTTTGCAGCGTTTGCAGGGGCTGGAGCTCTGGGGTGCTTCATGGAACTTTGCCACCCGACCGTAAGGACCACGCTGGTTCCTCCTTTCTCACCCTCATTACAGACGCTCTTCAATTTTTTAGGCCCATTCCCATTGGTCCTTCTTGCTCTACTCATTCTCTGTCTTGGTGCAGCTGAACCCGCTTAAGCCGCTGCACTCCTCCCAAGATGCCTGCCGCACCTAAGCAGAGAAAGATCGCGATTGTCGGCAGTCGCTCTGTGGGTATGCAATCCCCCATCCCTTGTCTTTTGGAGAGGTCATATGGCATGATCATTGACTAACGTCGGTTGAATGCTAGGCAAGTCTTCTCTCACAGTCCGCTTTGTCGAACAACATTTCGTGGAAAGCTATTACCCCACAATCGAGAATACCTTCAGCCGGATTATCAAGCACAATGGGCAAGACTATGCAACCGAGATTGTGGATACTGCAGGACAGGTAGGCAAATTCTCTGGCACCCGGAGCATGTCAATTCGCTGATTGACTCCCTCATAATAGGACGAGTACAGCATCTTGAATTCGAAGCACTTCATTGGCATCCATGGCTATATCATCGTGTACTCCGTCACGTCGCGCCAGTCCTTTGAGATGGTGAGGGTCATTCGAGATAAGATCTTGAATCACCTGGTAATGCTTTCTTCACCCGCCTCCTGCCCTCCAGTCACGCCCAGGATATCTAACTCTTGTTTTTCCGTCAGGGTGCGGACCAAGTACCCTTGGTCGTGGTGGGCAACAAGAGCGATCTCAAGACAGATCAACGACAGGTGACTCTTGATGAGGGCCGACAACTAGCGGAAGAGTTTAGCTGTGGTTTCACCGAGGCCAGTGCCTTCCTCGACTTCAATGTCGCCAAGGCATTCGACCTTATAATTGGAGAGATCGAGAAGTCTCAAAACCCGTCTCAACCCACTGGGAACAATAAGTGCACGGTGATGTAATGCTGCCGTTCCAGGGCCGACCACCATGCCTCACTTCTCCTGTGGCAATGGAAAAGGATGCTTGGTACATATATGGGTTTCAGAATGACTGACATGACTCTGTCCCATGCTTGCTTGTCTCAACTCCACTGGCCCCGGGGCATAAGTCCCATGGGTCAGGTTTCCTGGGTTCTCATATCAGCAGTGGCATGCTGACCTTGGATGTTTTCTACTTCCCCTTCACTTACGCTTAGGCTCTCCCCGTGTGGAGTGGGAAACAACCTAAACGAACTTTTTGAACTGGTATATTCTTTTCGCCGCAATTGTCTATCCCAGGTTGCTCTCTCTGTCTCTTTCTGGATATGGTGGAATGTATGGGCTCGGTTGCATTATTCATGGTTTTTTTCCTCCTCCTCCTCCTCCTTCTTCTTCTTCTTCTTCGTTTCTTTGTTTGTTTACCGGATAGGGGATCGGGATTTGGGTACGCAGCGAGCATAGAATAATCAAATGGCCACGCAGGTCTTCCATGGAAATCTCGATGTCCTTGAACATGACAGAACCCCGGGCCTGGTATGCGGCCCCGAAATTCAAAAGCTATCCACGAGCACTGTCTTTTCAGAGAAGATGCCTTTCGGATGGTCCCTGGTAGAGAGCTGCTGGGCCAAATCCTTGGTGATTTAATCCCTGGTAATTCGTAGTCTCAATTTGTAGTCGAGGTTCCCCATGTGTTTAGTGAAACAGGCGCAAGTCGTGGATTAAGTAATGCCCCGCGGGCGCGCGCGCACTTTCGGAATTTACCCCTCCACAACTGACCGACCGGCCGTTGACTCACTTCCTCCAGCCCTCGATTTCCTCGTTCGCCAACCATGCTCGACCTCAATGACTTCATCGCCGAGCGCGGCGGTGACCCTAACAAGATCAAGGAGAGCCAGCGCAAGCGATTCGCTCCCGAGGAGGCGGTGGATGAAGTGATCGCGCTGTACGAGGAGGCCCGGAGAGGTAGGCATACCCCTTCCCAAAGAACTGTGGTGGATCTCTAAATTCGCTGTTTTTAGCTCGGTATGAGGTTACCCAGATTGGTTCGCTGCTGAATCCGCTTCTCAAGCAGATTGGAATGAAGAAGAAGGTATTATCTGCCCACCGGCTCTGTGAATGGTATCCCCCGCGGAGAAAGAGAAAACTTAGACAATTGCTCATATGTTTAACTTTGACAGAACAAGGAGGATGCAAGTGATTTGATGAGCCAGAAGGCAGACTTGGAGAAGCGCAAGAAGGACTCTGAGGATGCCGCTGCTCAGAAGGAAGCGGAGCGGGACCGCAAGATTCGTGCGATTGGAAACTACGTCCACGAATCGGTGCCTGTGAGCAACAACGAGGTAAGCACCCCTTGGGAAGACTCACAAAGTGGGAAGATTGTCAGACTGATCCGAGAGTTGTCCACAGGATGATAACACGATTCTCAAAACCTGGGCACCTGCGAATGCCGTTATGGAACGCCCCAACTGCCTCTCCCACCACGAGGTCTTGACCCGCATAGATGGTTATGATCCGGAGCGTGGTGTCAAGGTCGTTGGACATCGAGGATATTGCTTGACGGGATACGGCCTGTTCCTCAACCTGGCCCTCGTCAACTATGGTCTGGAGTTCCTCTTCAACAAGGGCTACACCCCCAACCAGCCCCCGCAGTTCATGCTCAAGGACCTCATGGCGAAAACGGCCCAGCTCGAGCAATTCGACGAGGAATTGTACAAAGTCACAGAAAGCGAGGATAAGTCCACGGACAAGTATCTCATTGCCACCTCGGAACAACCTTTGTCTGCACTGCACGACAGCGAATGGCTGCAGGAGAAGGACCTGCCCATCAAGTAAGAACCCACCCTGTATCTCCTCCATGTTGAATTTGGAACTGACCGGGAGGGATTCCCAGATACGCCGGGTATAGTACGTGCTACCGAAAAGAAGCCGGTTCTCACGGGAAGGATGCATGGGGTATCTTCCGTGTCCACCAATTTGAGAAGGTGAGCCCCGTCTTGTTGATATATTTTGTGCCTCAATGAACTCACATTTCGTCCAGATTGAGCAATTTGTCCTGACCAAGCCGGAGGATTCGTGGCAAGCCTTCGAGGATATGATGGCTACGTCCGAGGAGTTCTACCAGTCCCTGGAACTGCCGTACCACGTCGCGGCTATTGTCTCCGGTGCATTGAACAATGCCGCTGCCAAGAAGTACGATCTGGAGGCTTGGTTCCCGTTCCAGCAGGAATACAAGGAGCTCGTGTCGTGCTCCAACTGTCTTGACTACCAGTCCCGCGCGCTGGAGATTCGCTTTGGCGTCAAGAAGGCGACCGATTTGAAGAAGACCTATGTGCATGCCCTGAATGCGACCCTATGTGCTACCGAACGAACCCTTTGCTGCATTCTGGAGAACTATCAGAGAGAAGATGTAAGTTTTTTCTATGGCCCTATCGTGGCCGGTAGGGCGCAACTCGTGTATCATACACACTAACCCGTCATTGTAGGGCATTGAGGTCCCGAAGGTGCTGCGCAAGTACATTCCGGGTGCACCCGAGTTCCTTCCTTACACTAAGGAGCTTCCTAAGGATTCGACCTCGCAAAAGGCCAAGGGGAAGAAGGCGGACAAGCCGGCGGCGAGTGCTGCGGATGCCGCCCAGAAGATGCAGGACCTGAAGGTTTAGGCTTATAACGAACGGGCCGCCGACGAAGACGACGAAGAGATAGGCACCAAGAAGTTCCCCCAAGATTCACTGCTCAGGCGCTACCTGATATCATTGACCTCATCAATCGAGCTCATGGATCCCGTCCGTGGCTTGGTCGGTATGGAAGGACCGTGTCACCGACGACGGTCATGATGGACCTGTCACACTTATGGGTCAACCTATATACTGCTGGTTGATCACATCTGATGGCCACCTACATCTAAGTAGAGAAGAGTAACTTGATTCAATCTATCTGCAATCTAATCCTCTCTGCTCGTACCGAATAATCGGAGAAACAACATCCAAAACACTGATCGTCAAATTCGCCCCACCATGTTGGGCCGGGGCGTTGCCGTTGATTGGCCCAGGTTTATTATATTTTCGTGCGCTGCACGGTGGGCGTTTCTGACTATACAAGTGTACTAAAGTTTTCCGTAGTGACTACGAGTAGTTACGCGTAGTTAATTATCAATCATCCAAGTCGGAGTAGTTCATTCACGCTAGGCCCGCCCTGCGCGGGCGGCAAAACGCAAAAAAAAAAGTTCTCCGCCCCGCAATTGCCCTGCCCCTCCATCACGGCATTTCGCTTCTCGTGAGTCACAACGAATGAGGACCCGTGGAAGGAAAAAAACGGTAAGATAAAATACATAGTGACTCAATGAAACCGCATTTCGAAAAGTGAACCCAATCAACCTTGACGCTGACGCATAGCCATTGGCCTGTGCCTGCGAAGTCTGCTTCCATGACGGTCCGATTCCGGAGACTCGCGGTGAAGCTTATATAATGTGGGCTGGACGACCCGGTGATTCACACCGTCCATACCTTTCATATCTTCATATCTTCATATCTTGAGACCTCGCTTTCACACTCTTTTCTCTTTCCTCCACTCAATTACTTCCTCCACCTCCACCTCCCCAAAACAGCCGTCATGACAACTGCGAAAGATATTCGTCCTCGCACGGACGACCTGGCTGCGCAGGCCCAGTACCTCTCGACCTCGCCCTCCGCCTCCTTCCACTCCCCCTCCAGCCACGGCTCCGCGCTGACGCGGACGATTCCTCTGATCAATGCGAAGCATCTGAAGCCTTTCGCCACCGAGGATATCAAGGTTCTGCTGCTGGAGAATGTGAACCAAGCAGGCCGTGACATTCTGACGCGGCAGGGCTACCAAGTGGAATTCCTCAAGTCGTCCCTCCCGGAAGATCAGCTGATTGAGAAGATTCGGTAGGTTTCCTCTGGGGCTGGGGAGGATCCAATTTGAAGATACACGTTCGCTGATGCTACCATCCAGCGATGTCCATGTCATTGGTATCCGCTCCAAGACCAAGCTTTCCGCGCGGGTTCTCAAGGAGGCCAAGAATCTGATCGTGATCGGATGCTTCTGCATTGGAACCAACCAGGTGGACCTTCAATATGCGGCCGATCACGGTATCGCTGTCTTCAACTCACCGTTCAGCAATTCCCGCAGTGTCGCCGAGCTCGTCATTGGCGAGATCATTTGCCTCGCTCGCCAGCTGGGCGACCGCTCCAACGAAATGCACAATGGTACCTGGAACAAGGTGAGCAACAAGTGCTGGGAGATTCGTGGAAAGACATTGGGTAGGTAGATCTTAGTTGGTTGCTCCTTTGTGTGGTTCTTTCGAACCCCCCGATTTGGTTCATCTCGATACCTGATACTGACGGCTCCCTCCCATAGGTATTATTGGATATGGTCATATTGGCGCGCAGCTATCGGTATTGGCAGAGTCCATGGGCATGTCCGTCATTTTCTATGACGTTCTCAATCTGATGGCTCTGGGTACCGCCCGCCAGGTCAACACTTTGGACGACCTCCTGGCGGAGGCTGATTTCATCACCTGCCATGTGCCCGAGCTTGCCGAGACCAAGGGCATGATTGGCCAGAAGCAGTTCGAGCAGATGAAGACCGGCAGCTACTTGATCAATGCCAGCCGTGGTACCGTAGTGGATATTCCGGCGCTCATCTTGGCTATGCGCAGCGGCAAAGTTGCCGGTGCCGCTCTCGATGTGTACCCCAATGAACCTGCCGGGAACGGCGACTACTTCAACAATGATCTGAACACCTGGGGTGCTGATCTGCGTGCGCTCAAGAACCTGATCCTGACTCCTCACATCGGAGGAAGCACCGAGGAGGCCCAGAGTGCCATTGGTGTTGAGGTTGCGACGGCTCTGACCCGATATGTCAACGAGGGTACCACACTGGGTGCCGTCAACCTGCCCGAAGTAGCCCTCCGTTCCTTGACCATGGATGAACCGAACCACGCCCGGGTGAGTTTCCTATTCTCTGCAATCCTGCAATCAGGCCTCTGCTGCTGGAGTAACTCTAGAGAACGAGACTAAACGGCTGTTTGATAGGTGGTGTATATTCACCAGAACATTCCCGGTGTGCTGCGCAAGGGTACGACCTATTCTCATCCTGCTTGAATGCAGGCAAGCAAACCAGAAAGAAAGAGACTGACATGATTGTGCAGTTAACGAAATCATTGGTGACCACAACGTGGACAAGCAGATGACCGATAGCAGAGGCGACGTGAGTATCCACACTCGGGCAAAGAAGGTAGCAGCATGAACTAACTCCTAATTCACCATGACCAGGTTGCCTATCTGATGGCCGATATCAGTGATGTCAACTCTACGCAAATCAAAGATCTGTATGAGAGATTCGAGAGCCTTTCTTGTAAGATCCACCGTCCCTTTTGCTCTGCCCCTCCACAACGTTACAAGCTCCCATACTAACCAGTCCCGCAGCCCGAATCATGACTCGTATTCTGTACTAGAAGGCGTACTTCCAGACGCGTCATTGTAATCAACTTGACATGTTTGAATGAAATCTCCTGGGCCATTCACACTTGACAAACTCAGGGGAGGGGCCCTTTCAACGAGGTCCCTCTAGGATTGTACTTTGCAAATACCTTTTTTATTACCCCGGCGACGGGGATGCTGTGCTTCATGCGACCAAATTTTACGTGAGATATATAGTTTTGTGCTCGACAATACTTGGTTACCGGAGGCTAGATAAAAGTCATGACATGAAACGGTTTTCATTTTAATGATTTGAGGATACAAGGGCTGTATAGTTGGATGTAGGCCATTCATGTAGAATACATCATCACGGGGGCATTGGGAACCTGATATGAACTCGTCCAGCAACTCCAAACTGGACAAACTCATTTCAATTACTCGCTGGCCTTCGGGAACGCATCTCCCATCCCGTGTATCGAGAATCACCATGGTAGACGGACTCTCTAGCGGATTTTGAAGAGGACGAGGGGAAGAGGAGAACATGAGGAGAGGAGGGGAGGGAGAGGAGGAGGAGAGAAAGCAGCGACAAAGATCCGCTGGGCCCGAAGCTTCACTCTTTGCCCGCATCTCTAAAGCCAGGGCTCCGGCTCCTTCTCCGGGGAGGGTCGCGGCGAAAGTCACGCCGGTTTGCCCCACGCCAATCCTGATTGGATTGAGAGTTGTTGTAGTCACCGGCTTCTCGACCACGATCGTGAGAATTGCCCCCATAGCTCGGAACATACGAGTCAACATTGCTGCCTTGGGGAAATCTTCCACTGGGCCGACCTTGGTTGAACCGGTCTCGCCGCTGGTCATCTCGTCCGTCGGTCCTGTCGGTCCTGCCGGCCTGCGACCCCTCCCACTGCTGATGGGCCGCAGACGGCGGCCGCGGAGGAAGCCCGCTCTCTCGCTGTTGGGGCGCAAAGGGACCCCGTCGGTTGGCGCCCCCTGGGCCGTTTGGTCGGCCGCCGCGGGCGGCCCCCGGGATCCGACTGTGATGGCTGTTTCGGGAGTCTGGCCTCGAGCCGGGCCCGGCCCATCCTCCGGTGGAGGGAGCATCGGAGGAGCCCATTGCCGGCGCCGGAGGCATAGGAGCTCGCTGGTCGCGGAATTTCTTTCGATCCAGTTCGTGGGAATCTTGGAAACGGGGGATCTCTCCGGGTTTCGCGGGAAGGGGAGGTGTGGTAAAGTAGGGATGTTTCAGAGCATCAATTGCATTGATGCGTTTGCGCCAGTCAAGCTTGAGAAGCTCCGTCAGGAGTGAAACGGCCACGGGGCTTTGCCTAATGGTCGGTCAGTCTAGTCTCTTTCACGAGCAGCGCTCACGCTCATGGGAACGTTGGAGATTACACACTCTTTAAATACTTCGGCAAGGTTTCCTCGTTTGTACCCAAAGTTCTTCACTCCATCGCATCCTGGAAGCGAACTCCACCCGGGCATGTTCTCTTCCGTAGGAGTTCCCACCAACGAGAAGATGAGTTGAGTTTGATTCAGATCACTGCTGCCGGAAAGGATCGGTTTTCCCTTGAACATCTCACCAAACACACACCTGAAACCATCAGAAACTGTAGGAAGACGCAGAAAGGTGAAGCAAAGAAGCCAAAAAAAAATTCGTACCCGACTCCCCACATGTCAATGGCGGACGTATACCGCCGGAGTTGCAGTAGCAACTCTGGTGGACGGTACCATCTCGTAACAACCAGCGCGGTATATTCTCTTTTAGCCTCTCCGCCGCCTTTTCCGGGTTGTGGGGCAGGCTCATCAAAGGGTCGTGCAAGACCGAAGTCGGCGATCTGGAGGATGCCCCCATTGCTGATCAAGAGATTGGCAGCTAAACCCAATACCATATTAGCCGAGGTCCAAGATGTAATGACTTCTGTTATCACACACCTTTCATGTCTCGGTGCAGGATGTGGTTCTGCGATAGCCATCAGGTCAATGTTCTCTTGGCTTAAACATAGAAGAGATGCATACCGCATGCAAGTACCGCAAGCCCTCCAGCAGCTGATACAAATAGCACTTGATTTGTGGCTCCGTGAACTGAACAGCAGGGTTTTCTAAAAGTCCTGCTAGGTCATGTTCCATGTAAGGGGTGACCATGTACATGCTGGGCTTTTTGCGTCCTTCGCCTAAGGTCATCATCAGAAATATGCCCGAGAGGTAGGATATATGGCATGCTCTGACCCTTGCTCCGCTCAATCGACATCTCCTTGAGTTGCAATATATTGACGTGAGAGAGCGCTTTCAAGAGTTTGATTTCACGAATCGCCGTAATGGGAAACTATCATCCAGGATGTGAGTGACTGCGGTGAAGGTAATGCAAGCAATGCACTTACCCCTTCCTTCTCATGGTGCATGAGGATCTTCTTCAAGGCCACAATCGAGTTGTCCTTCTTGGATCTCGCTTTGTAGACCTCCCTGCGCACCAGTCAATAAACCCATTGGTAGGAACACTCGACAAAAACATACCCGAAAGTCCCCTCGCCAAGTTTGCCGATGAATTCAAAGTCGCGAATGTTGGAACAGCCGGGAAACCGAAGCTGGCCCTCGCTATCCTTCTCGAGTGAAAGTATAGCCATATTGTCCCTAACGTCTGCCCTAACGGGCAAGGGAATGCGCGGAACGAATTGCCTCGCAGGCTGTGATATGTGTTGGGTTCGATGATTGCTATAAGGGGGAGAGGAGCGTTTTCCGAGAAAGTCAATCGTGCTTCATGAAGTTGGCTAGCGCAGGATGCTGGTGGGTGGTGCTAGTTGGAGTAATGAAGGAGTTCCCGGGGGAGGGTAAGGAGTCTAGAGATAGATCACGAGCCTAAGATCATAGCATGAGATAAGATGAAGACCGGAGGAAGAGACGTAGGCAACCAGCAGGGCTTCAAGTCGCCGGAGATGTTATGCGGTGTCGTCCAGGCCTGGCCATTCAGAGGCCGCGGTAAAAGGGCCGGAGCTGGAATAGGAACAGGAGGCGCGGGGGTGCCTGGGGACCTTGCGCCGGAGGAGGCCAAGAGTATTGTCTGTAGCGTCCAAAGCGCCCCAGACCCAAGTGGCTAAAACTGTTAGACTGTTCGAGGCAATGCGCTGCTGCAAAGTGCAACTCGCCGTGAATGGAAAACGGCGCGTGCCGTCACTGGTCACGTGATGGATATTCGACCTCGCCCGCCAGCCGCTTCTCCTCCAGCAATCTGCCCGTTCGTGAAGCAAACCACTTGCACCACACAAACGCAGTGAGTGGCCCCGATCCCGTCAGGCTGACAATATCTCAGACTGATCCAATTCGTCTAGTCATGGCAGGCAACGCCCACCACCCTATCCATGTCCACCCGGTGCGACCGCTCTACCGCTTCACTGCCACGGCCCTAGGCGCCAGCATGTGGTTCTTCGTATGACTCCCCGCTCCGCCCAATTCTTGGATATGTGGAATACTGACCCTTGAACCCTGCATTTAGCTCATGTACCGAGCCAAGAAGGATGGTGCCGCCCTGCTGGGCTGGAAGCACCCATGGGACCACTGAACGACGGAGTCTGTGTGCCTCGAAACCTATGCGTCTCGCTATAAACCCATGCGCAATTTTGATTGAATCGGAATCAATCAATCATGACGCTTCATCGTGCTTTTTTCTTTGTTTAGAGAGTCCTTGTCCCCGACGGGGTTCGAGTTTGGACAGTTGAAATGTATTATACCATTTCCGTTAGGAGACAATGCGACAGTGAAAAAGACTGCAAAAGAGACCACACTTTCTCTACACTTCTATTTATAAATACAGCGCCAATCCTATCCGAGAAACATGGATCACAGGCGCATTTGCTCGAGAAGAACCTTGTACTGGCGGCGTTTCTTGCGGAAGTTGGGCTGCAGGCGAGCGCGGATATGGCCAATGATGCGTGCCAAGCGAGGGAAGGCAACCGCCTCAGCTATCCAGGTAAGTACGAAAGCCCCGAATGCCAGCGCCATAATCCAGCTGCGGAAGCCATCTGACATGAAAGTCAGCTGCATCACGCTCGCAACCCATTCGGAGGGGCGGAAGAGCATGTAACCCGCGATTGCAAGGTCAATGACGATAGTGCACAAATAAGGAGCTGTCGCCGAGGTAGCTGTCAGTGTTGGATCTCGATGAGAAGCGCACGGTCTGTACTCACCGTTTTGCGTCATTGGCTGCCGGAACGGCGGCCCATCGCTAAGGACAATGCTGGTGAGAATATATTGGAAGCAGGAGAATAGGAAAAGGGCGGTATTCTCCGAATTCACAATATTGCTCTTCTCCAGATCAAGCTGTGGAGGCATAAACCTGGATGGCAGAAATGATCAATAACCACACCATGTCGCCACAATTCCAGAGACGTCCACTTACCAGGGTTGCAACTGGACAGTCTTGAAAATGGCAAGCTGACCCAGGACTACCAGCGTAATATGACCCAACAGAGGGGTCAGAACCTTGCGTGACACGAGATCCGCAGTGGGCCTTTTTCGAGAAAGAGTGGGATAAGGACCAGTCCAGCCCACTACATGATTGTAAGCTTGCATGCAAATGACGCCAAAAAAAAATGGGTGGGTAACTCACTGAAGATGGCAATGGGCATGATGAGAGCTAGGTCGATGAATAGGAACTATAAACCCGAGTCAGCTACCTTCTTGAAGATGCTCATGTATCCATGGATATTGTGAACTTGTTTGCACTTGCCTGGAAATCACCAAGGTTCGACCCTGACGTATAGAGGAAGCTGACCGAGGAGAATTGGATGGCAGAATAGAGACTCATGAACTTGAAGCAGCAGAAGCTTGTCACTAAAGCGGCTCGACCCTCACTGTACGATTGGTTAGCTCCTTGTCTTTGTACATATGATACTGAAAACCTACCGAATCAATTTTGGCACACAGGATATGTCGAATTGCCGGCTCGTGAAGGGGGCAGCCACGGAGGCTTCGGCATCTGACAAGGAGATGCCAACGTCTGCTGCCTTTAAAGCACCACAATCGTTTGCACCGTCTCCACAGAAACCACAGCAGTAATCGATGGACTGAAGCTTTTCAACGAGTTCATGCTTTTCATCTGGCGACATCCGGGCAAATACTTTGCCAATGACGAGGATCTGAGCAGAAAACGAAGTTATTAAGAAGCTTCTAGAATGGAGCCTGGATTGCTGCACCAACTTACCCTGTTGAGCACATCCTCATTGCCATAGTCGATCATCCACCTGAACACGTCGCCCGTAACAGCCACACAGTAATTACGCTCGTGCAAGGCATTTCCAGGGATAGATAGATCGGTTTCTGCCGTAGTCTCCATGGGCTAAGAAGGAATTAGCTGCGATGAATGACATTAGGGGTGGCTTTTTAGTACCAGAAGCGTCCGCGGATCCAGTCGGAGGTCTGGATTGTCCACACTTTCCCAGATAAGGGAAGATTTGGTGACGAGGCCCGGATCTTTGATATTTAGTCAGCTCAAGGGGCACAAATGATGGAATCCTATAAGTGACTTACCTTCGACAAGATGTGGGATGAAGCACTGCTCATTGGGACCGATCATCTGGCACTCGCGAGCAACACTGACCGCAGTCAAGATGTTGTCACCTGTGCACATGACGTTACGGATCCCAGCTTGATTCAGCTCAGATATCACCTGGGATGTAGTGGGCTTCAACTTGTTCTCAAAGATGATAAAGCCTACAAATTCCAGATTTCTTTCAGCTTCGGCGCGTGTTAGCTTTTGGACTTTCATCCAGCTTAGTTTGCGTTCATATCTGGTGGCACAAGCGATGACGCGGTATCCCTTGTGTGTATAGTGGTTCAACAACTCATCATAATCGGAAGGCACTGCAATACTAAATGAGCGGCTGCAGTCTGAGACAATGGCAAGAGAGGTGACACTTACGGGATTCGGGAATACAGATATCCTTGATGCTCTCGGGTGCGCCTTTGACAAAAAAGCTTACACCATTGTCACCGAACTGCCTAACGACCACACTAGCTCGGCGGAGTTCCGAAACAAATTCGAAATTCCGCAGGACACCAAGTTCGACAGGAATCTAGAGCAAATTCAGGTGTGAGCAGCATATCCAGGTCAATGTCTCATGGAGAAGAACTTACATTTGGCCCATTCAGTTGGCTATCGCCAGCGTGAGTCATCGGTGGCTTTGCGACAGATGGGATAATTGTGTCAAACTTGGGACTTGTCTGCTCAGAAGGATGGCTGCCGCCCTCCTCGTATGACCAGCCTGTAAATTGGAACATTTTCACATCAAGAGGGTCTCCAAGGAGTTCACCATCCACAAGTCGGAGGGAGTGGCATGTCGCCATAGTGTAGACAATTTTCCGCTGCTTCTCAAGATCGCAGGGAGAACTTGCCGCCGGTGGAGAAAGCAGAATACCAGAAGATGTTTCAGACAACAGTTCCGAGAATCTGCAATAGTTTAGAGCTGATTGGGGGCTTATCGAAACAGAAAGACTGACCTGTGGTTATTGCCAACCGTCCGCGTGCCAAGGACGTCCAGACCGTCTTCCGTGAGAGTGCCGGTTTTATCAAAACATACAATGTCCAGTTTCCCACCAACATTGACCCTGGAAAGAAGATATGTAAGTAAAATTAGAAGAGATGTAATATCCTGAGGATATCACTCACTTCTGAGGGCTGATGCAGAAGATCGATTGCTTCTTCAGACGTGAAAGAGCAAAGTTGGTGCCAATGGTAAGGGTCGCAGGCAGAGCCGGTGGCACCACGATTGTGATCAAATCAAGGGCTCGAACAATGATAAGATGCCAGGCGAGCTGCTGTGTATCAGTGATTGCGGGATGCATACGAATGGTAGATAATCAACTTACACCCAGGCGGACGAAATTGACAAAGGACGCGATAAAGCCGAGTAGGGCGACCACACCCATCACCGCGATATAACGAAATGAATCTCGGTAGAATTTGAAGCCAGAAGGTTTCGGGAAGAGCATTGAGCGGACCAACGCACCCTTAGTGGTCAAGAATCCTGTTCTAACCACTATCGCCAACGCAACAGCTTCATCATCATCAACGTTATGAGGTCGCCGGGCCCGAATAATTTTGGTCCCGCTGAAAAGAAAGTGTTTGGCTACATTAGGATGAATCGAAGGGGCACTGAGATCGAGGTACTTCAAAGCCTCGTCAGTGAACGGTATTTTAGACACAGGGACAGATTCGCCTGTTTGCACGTTAGAACTTCCACCATGGAATGCAGTCAACAATAGAAAACAAACCAGTAAGCATGCTCTCATTCACGATACAGTCACCAGATAACAAGATACAGTCACATGGAACCTGGTCTAAGGATGGGTCAGAGAACTCAAAGACATCGCCAGGGACCAGATCCTGGGAAGAGACCGATCTCCCTATAGTTCGAAACATCCATTAGAGCCCATACTTTGGATCACCAGAATTCAAGGGTTAACTCACAGAAACCATTTCTGAGGACACGTAAGTCGCAGTCGAAGAGAGATATTTCTCTCAAACGACGCATCGTCTGAGAAAAGATCAGTCATCAAGCCTCAGGTAGGTGCTAATGAGGTGTCCAACATACCGATCTCGTCTCCAACACGGTTGTCCCAATGCTGAAAACAGAGATGAGAAAAATGCACACAGCGTAGTAATAATATTCATCAATGGACCAAAGTAGAAGGCTTGCCACTTGGAACATATAGAATGGATGAAAAGCCTATTTTGGGGTTAGAAAAAGGTCTCCGTCTCCACTGATCATATGAAGATTGCATACCTCGTCAACCAAAAGCTGAGGGATGGTTTTCTGCTGAATATCAATGACGTTCTGCCCAAAGATCTGTTCCCTGCTATCACGCTCATCGGCATCGAGGCCCTCTCGCATAACCTTGACATTTGTCCATGAAGGGTCTTTCCAGCCGCTAATCAAGGCAAACTTATCCTCGAGTGGATGGTAGCAGAAGCGCATATGCCTATAATCAAGGAAGCGTAGAGATACCATTGTTGGATCAGTGTCTTCATCGTAGACGTGCCCCGGTGGGTCCACGAAAACAGTTGACAGTGGACGTCCATAGGACTGAGTGTCGACATCATGAATCGTGAACTGATTCCACTGATCCTGCTCGGGTGTCAACAGACATGGCCTTGAGATAGTTGAAGAAGGGATCAAGCTTTCTCACCTCGATTGCGATCCACTTGCATTTCCCCAACGGCGTCGCCTTTCCGATCAGTCTCACCCACCACCGGGGCAACCAGCGAAACAGCAGGTAGGCGAGTCCACCGGTCAGAACGCACAGGGCCAGATAAACCGCATATCCACTCAAGCTGGTGGAAAACCCGGCAAACACGGCCGTCAAATCCTCAGACGCAATGTACACTTTTTGGTTAAGCCTACTCCCTGCTCTTCTGTCTCGGCCATATGAGCTCGCCGACATATATCGAGAGAGGAGAGGGTGCTCGACAGAGTCCCGAGATAATCTCTTGGAGACGAAGGAGCCCCGATGGGACTCGAGATCTGCCTCACCCAGTCCATCAGCCGATGATTCTTCGATATCGCTGCCCATATCCACCGCATCTTCGTTGGACCATTCTGCAAAGTCTTCTTCGTCCTGAAAATACGTAAAACTAACGGTGGAGCCGGCTCGGCTCCGTCGATGCAAAAACGAGACAACACTCGACGGGATACTCTCGGAAATCGGGCCATCGAAGACCTACAACAATTGTTGTCAATGGGTGTTACTACTTGCTCGGGTGTATGGATTTTGGCATACCTCATTCCGTGCCATCTCCACATCGGATACGGCGCTCACACTAGAGGGGAAATCAGCAATCGCGTTTGCATCGCACTAGTGGAAGGGTGCCGAACCTGCTCCTCAAGGAATCCCGCCGGAGGCTCGGTCGAGGCATTGAGAGATCCATGGGACCCGTCCCCGGCGGGGATTGTGGCCGACTGCTCATGGTGTTGGAACGCTCAGTTTTGCGCTCGTTGATCGCGTTTGCTCGGGCCGAGAAAATGGAGGTCCCTCGGGGGAGGGACACCTGTCAAGAGGTAGGGGAGATTATGAGGTGTCCGTCAAGGGACACATCACCCACAAACGAGCTAGAATCAAAATGCGACAGGGACGATGACCGCGGGGAAGCTCATCCCAGCGAAGGGGGGGGGATTCCCCGAACTCAACGACACCCGTTATCGCCATGTGACTGATAACTGAGACGTCGAATGGCCTCAGGCGTGAACATAAGGAGGCAATCCTCGGGACAAGTAGTTACTGCAACTCACTAACAGTGCCGCAGTCTGCGAAGACCGGGAATTGATGATAGGAAACCCACTGCCAGAAGTCAATTGGAAGGAATGTCCAAATACTAACCCGTCAATTCTACAGTACATTCCGTCCCTTCCTGGATCATCTAAACGACTACTGTACCTTAGCTTACCTTGAGTACACCGTACATTGTCATGACTTACTGTAGGTACTGAGAGGGTTGGCAACGCATTTTAATGACAGTCGATATCTTTCTTGGCCATATTTCCGGTCTACCATTGGGTATATAGTAGATATATATATATATTTCACAGGAGATGCTTGCATACTATGTTTCCACTGCATTGCTTGACGCGCGCCGAACCACGTTTCTAAAATTAACTTTTTCTTTTTCTCTTGGATAGTTGACGGGTCGAGAAGTACAGCGTGCGGTGGCTCAGAGAAGGGAATGGTTCAGGCTCCGGTCGGGGCCACCACGAACTGAGTATTGGCTCCACATCATGATCATCAAAGGAGGCAAAAAATAGAAAGGGGGGGTGGGGGTTTTCATTGCCCTTTTGGTTTCTCTGGTCGAGCTATTTATCTGGTGGAAGGCGCCACTGGGAGGGGCTTGTAGACCGTAACATGCGCGGCCACCCTTGATAGCTAGTAAATCATGGACGGCGTGATCGGATCATAAGAATATCAACTGAATAAAAATATGAATAAAGGTTATTTCTTCACTAGCGAGAACAGAAAGACGTTCCAGAACTTGTTGGGAGCGGCGCGGGTTTGGCCTCAACCAAGAAGCGCGTCCCGCCAAGGCCCTCCGGCCACCGGCGCTAACAATCCCACCTAATCCCACCATCTTCCAGACTCGTCCCCCCAAAACGCCCGTATCAAATTCTTCCCCTCCCTTCCTTCTCCAACCTCCCCCCTCCCTCTCTCTTTCCACCTCCCCCTCTTTTCTCTCACCACCCGTCACCATGTCTGAGCCCATCAGGAATAAGAAGTCCGATTTTCCGGTCGCTCCGTAAGGATTTTCTCTCCTTCGTTGCCCGCTTATCGCCGAAGAAAAAAACCACTGACCCAGCCCCGAAAAATAGGACCCCGCAGAACACACCGGCCAACAATGCTCCCATCTCATCTCACGCTCAGCAGCCTGGCGTGTCCAGCATCAAGGAAGGTAGGTGCCTGTCCTGATCTATGATCCCCTCTTCGTGCGGTCGAGCGCGTTCCTGACCGCTGTTTCGAACAGAAACCCTGGACAACGCGGCTGCCGCCTCCCTGTTCGCCCGTAATCCGGCTCTGGTCTCCATGATCCAGGGTAAGCTGGGCCAGCTCGTCGGCCGCTCGTCGGGCTACATCGAGTCCCTTCCCCCCGTGGTTCGCCGCCGTGTGGCCGGTCTGAAGGGCCTCCAGAAGGAGCATGCCAAGCTGGAGGCCCAGTTCCAGGAGGAGGTCCTGGAGCTCGAGAAGAAGTACTTCGGCAAATTCACCCCGCTGTACCAGCGCCGTGCAACCATCGTAAACGGTGGCGTCGAGCCGACCGAGGGCGAGGTTGAGGCCGGAAAGGAGGATGAAGAGGAGGAGGAGGAGGAGGAGGAGGAGGCCAAGGAGGCCGAGGAGAAGAAGGAGGAGGAGGGTGAGCCCATGACCGGCATTCCTGAGTTCTGGCTCTCCGCCATGAAGAACCAGATCTCGCTTGCCGAGATGATCACCGACCGCGACGAGGAGGCCCTCAAGCAGCTCACCGACATTCGCATGGAGTACCTCGACCGGCCTGGCTTCCGCCTGATCTTTGAGTTTGCCGAGAACGAGTTCTTCACCAACAAGACCATCTCCAAGACCTACTACTACAAGGATGAGAACGGCTACGGCGGCGATTTCATCTACGACCACGCCGAGGGCTCGAAGATTGACTGGAAGGATGAGAAGGACCTGACTCTGCGTCTGGAGAGCAAGAAGCAGCGCAACAAGAGTAAGTTTTCCGCCCCTGGTTGCTGTGCCCTTCCCCACATGTTTCAACATCCTGAGACTGACCGCTTCCCCGCCCCCACAGACACCAAACAGACCCGCGTTGTCAAGATCAGCGTGCCCACCGAGTCCTTCTTCAACTTCTTCTCCCCCCCTCAACCACCCGCGGACGATGACGAGTCCGTCGCCAGCGACATCGAGGAGCGTCTGGAGCTCGACTACCAGCTGGGCGAGGATATTAAGGAGAAGCTGATCCCCCGTGCGATCGACTGGTTCACCGGCGAGGCTCTGCAATTCGAGGAACTGGGCGAGGATATTGACCCCGATGAGTTCGAGGATGAGGATGACGAGGACGAGGACGAGGACGAGGATGAGGATGACGACGAGCGCGGATCGGACCGGGACGTGGATGATGACTCGGATGAAGAGGTAAGAAGAAAAGCACCTCCCCATTTTACCCCATTATCCATCTAGGCCACCCCGCTGACTTGTACTTTCTTTTTTCTAGGATGGTACCTCTAAGCCTAAGAAGGAGGCCGCCGAGTGCAAGCAAAACTAGAATCTCCCAAAAGTGGCTCGCCATCGAGCGGAGCAGCTCACTGACATGCTTCATGGAATTCTTCGCGGTTGACGTTCTTGCTATGTTTCCATTTTCTCTCTCTTCTCTCTCTCTCTCTCTCTCTCTGTCCTCACTGATGACTTTGTCCCCTTGCACTGCGTGAACTTGACCTGTCTACCTAATATTTCTCCAATCAATTGACATAAAATCAGTGTGTAATATTCGCCTCCGGCAACACTTAGGGAGGTTCTGATCTTTTCCCATGGGCGTTGGCGATAGACACTGCCTCAATAGCTGATCAAAATTCTGTTTTCTGGTGGATATTTGTTTGGGAATGAGGATTCGTCCATCTTATGGTATCGTGTGTTATAGGGTAGAATACTGTACATACAGTAGGATCGTGTTGTATCCTCCAGAGTGTATTCGGAGTACGTACCGGAGTCCATAGATCGTCCTGCTGTCTTAGCCTCCCGTCTTGGGGCCGACTCAGCTGGCTACGCTATAATACAAATCGTCCATACGATAGTCACGTCGATTGCAAAGCCATCTCAGCCAGGCAGTCAAAGTCAGTACACAAGAATCGTGCAGGGACCCGACGCGCAGAACGGATGGCGGTGACAGACGCTGTGGGGGTGTGGCGCGGCACCCCCAGTTAGTCCAGTTGGTCCCGAAAGCTCCCTTCAGGGGCTCTCGCTAAATGGCCAGTTGTTAGTTACCACCGCGCTCTTCTTTCTCACTCCCTCAACTCAACCTCCGCTCGAAGAGTCTCTTTCTTTCGCTTCTTTCTTTCAGATCATGAGCCGATGAGGGGCCACCGTGAGACTCCTTGTCTTTGGACCGCTCATTCGTGATTGATCTGCCCTTTTGACTCTCCCCTTTTGGATGCCCGCTTCCCCGACCACGCAACCCTTCCGGAAATCTTTACGCCGCCACATCGCCCCTTTCCCTGCTCTGATTGCATCCAACCCGCCGATCTGATCAGACGCTCGCCATGGCGCACATCTATGAGGTCGGGACAAGGGCCTGGCAGCCTGACCCGACGGAGGGATGGGTCGCATCGGAGGTCAAGGAGAAGCTGGTGGACGGAGAAAAGGTTCAGCTGATATTCGAGTTGGAGAATGGCGAGGTGAGTGTGGCCAGACAGCAGCCGGAGAACTGGGAGGGTTCTCTTGACCGTCAGAGGGAATGGAACAGCTGACCAGGCGAGGGAAAAACAGACCAAGACCGTCGCGACCACGCAGGCAGAGCTTCAGGTGGACAACAACTCGAATCTGCCGCCATTAATGAACCCGGCCATGTTGGAAGCGAGCGAGGACCTGACGAATCTGTCCCATCTGAATGAGCCCGCTGGTTTGTTCCGCTAAGAAACCTGTGTGCTCCCATTGCATCGACTGACAGCATTTTGCAGTCCTGCAGGCTATAAAACTCCGTTATGCCCAGAAAGAGATATATACGTACAGTGGAATCGTGCTGATTGCCACAAACCCCTTCGCCCGTGTGGACTCGCTCTATGTGCCGCAGATGGTGCAGGTCTACGCGGGGAAGCAGCGCGCCTCCCAGGCACCTCACTTGTTCGCCATTGCAGAAGAGGCTTTCGCGTAAGAGTACCAGTTCGGCCTGGTGGGCTGATATGATTTGGTTCCGTTCGCTGACAGGATTTCTGGCTGGTATAGTGACATGCTCCGCGACGGGAAGAACCAAACGATTGTGGTCTCGGGTGAATCCGGTGCTGGAAAGACCGTGAGCGCAAAATATATCATGCGCTATTTCGCGACACGCGAGTCTTCGGACCAGCCTGGGAAATACACCACGAGCCGGGCAGACGCCATCAGTGAGACCGAAGAGCAGATTCTGGCAACTAACCCGGTGATGGAGGCGTTCGGTAACGCCAAAACGACCCGGAACGACAATTCCTCCCGCTTCGGAAAATACATCGAGATCATGTTTGACGAGCGAACGAACATCATTGGCGCAAAGATCCGGACATATTTGCTCGAGCGATCCAGACTTGTGTTCCAGCCGCTTAAGGAGCGGAACTACCACATTTTCTATCAGCTTGTGGCTGGTGCCACCGATGAAGAGAGGCTGGAGCTGGGTATGCTGCCCGTCGAGGAGTTCGATTACCTCAACCAGGGCGGCACGCCAATCATCGACGGTGTCGACGATAAGGCCGAGTTCGATGCGACGAGGAAGTCTTTGGGCACCATTGGTGTGTCGGCACAGCATCAGACTGAAATCTTCCGCGTCCTGGCGGCTCTGCTGCATCTGGGTAACGTGAAGATCACGGCCACTCGCACCGACTCCTCTCTCTCATCATCCGAGCCATCCCTCGTTCGTGCATGTGAGATGCTAGGAATTGATGCCAATGAGTTTGCCAAGTGGATTGTCAAGAAGCAGCTCATCACCCGTGGTGAGAAGATCACCTCCAATCTCACTCAGCAACAGGCCATTGTAGTTCGGGACTCGGTTGCCAAATTCATCTACTCGAGTCTCTTCGACTGGCTGGTGGATAAAATCAACCGCGGTCTGGCCACTGATGAGGTTCTCGAACGAGTCAATACCTTCATTGGCGTCCTGGATATCTACGGTTTCGAGCATTTTGCCAAGAACTCCTTTGAACAGTTCTGCATCAACTACGCGAATGAGAAATTGCAGCAGGAATTCAACCAGCACGTGTTCAAGCTCGAGCAGGAAGAATACGTTCGAGAAGAGATTGACTGGACGTTTATTGATTTCTCGGACAACCAGCCCTGTATCGATCTGATCGAGGCCAAACTTGGAATTTTGTCCCTTCTAGACGAAGAATCTAGGCTTCCTATGGGATCCGATGAGCAGTTCGTCACCAAGCTTCACCACCATTTCGCCGCCGACAAGCAGAAGTTCTACAAGAAACCTCGCTTTGGCAAGTCCGCTTTCACCGTTTGCCACTATGCCGTTGATGTCACCTACGAGTCGGATGGCTTCATCGAGAAGAACCGAGACACCGTTCCTGACGAGCACTTGGGGGTGCTGCGGAACTCGTCGAACAACTTCATCAAGGAAATCCTGGACACTGCCGCCGCGGTCCGCGAGAAGGACTCGGCTGCGGTCTCATCCAAGGCCGTAGCTGCAGCCCCAGGACGTCGGATCGGTGTTGCTGTCAACCGCAAACCCACACTAGGGGGAATCTTCAAATCCTCGCTAATTGAGCTGATGAACACGATCAACTCTACCGAAGTGCATTACATCCGCTGTATCAAGCCCAACGAGGCCAAGGAAGCTTGGAAGTTCGAGGGACCTATGGTTCTTAGCCAGCTTAGAGCTTGCGGTGTCTTGGAAACTGTTCGAATCAGTACAGCAGGATATCCTACGCGTTGGACATATGAGGAGTTTGCCATCCGCTACTACATGCTTTGTCATTCCTCGCAGTGGACATCTGAGATCCGAAACATGTGCCATGCGATCCTGCGAAAGGCTCTTGGTGATGCCAATCACCAAAAGCAGGATAAGTACCAGCTTGGTCTAACCAAGATCTTTTTCCGGGCAGGTATGCTTGCTTTCCTGGAGAATTTACGGACATCACGCTTGAACGAATGCGCGATTATGATCCAGAAGAACCTGCGCTGCAAGTATTATCGGCGCCGCTATCTGGAGGCCCGCGAGTCTATTCTCACCACTCAGGCTTTCATCCGCGGATTCTTGGCTCGCCAGCGGGCCCAGGAAATCCGCCGGAACAAAGCTGCGACCACGATTCAGAGGGTCTGGCGTGGGTCGAAGGACCGGAAACGCTACGTCGAGATTCGGAACAATGTCATTTTGTTCCAGTCTGTTATGAAGGGTTTCCTCTGCCGGCGCAATATCATGGACTCGATCAATGGCAATGCGGCCAAGGTAATCCAGCGTGCGTTCCGCTCGTGGCGCCAGTTGCGGTCCTGGCGAGAGTATCGCCGCAAGGTTGTCATTGTTCAGAACTTGTGGAGAGGAAAGCAAGCCCGACTAGCCTACAAGTCGCTGCGCGAGGAAGCCCGAGATCTCAAGCAGATTTCCTACAAGTTGGAGAACAAGGTGGTGGAGCTTACCCAGTACTTGGAGTCACTGAAGCGTGAAAACAAGTCCCTGGTCTCGCAGCTGGAGAACTATGAGACCCAGCTGAAGTCTTGGCGCGCCAGGCATAACACGCTTGAGGCGCGCGCCAAGGAGCTTCAGGCGGAGGCTAATCAGGCTGGTATTACCGCAGCTCGATTAGAGGCCGTTGAGGAAGAGATGACCAAGCTGCAGCAAAGCCATGCTGAAGCCCAAGCCACCATCAAGCGGCTTCAGGAGGAGGAGCGAGTCTCCCGTGAGGCGCTCCGTGTCACCAATGAGGAGTTAGAACGCCTCAAGTTGGTCAATGGCGACCACGAGAAGGAGAAGACGGCTCTTCGCCAGCGGGTTTCGGAGCTCGAAGAAGAGCTGGAGGTTGCCAAGCGATCGGTGCCGGTCAATGGTGTCAATGGCGAGGTGCCCAATGGTGCTGTTGCTCCTACACCTGCCAACGGTTTGATTAATCTCGTCTCGACCAAGAAGCCCAAGCCGCAGAGGCGCAGTGCGGGTGCAGAGAAGGTCGGGACAGATCGCTTCAGCGGTGCATTCAACCCGCGCCCTGTCTCTATGGCCATTCCCGGGCCTGGCGCTGCTCGCTCAGCTGCTGCCTTCTCTCCCGGTCTGGACTCGGTGGAGGCAGAACTCGAGCAATTGCTCTCTGAAGAGGATGATTTGAACGACGAGGTCACTATGGGTCTGATCCGCAACCTCAAGATCCCCCTGCCAAGCTCGACCCCTCCCCCGACCGACAAGGAGGTCCTGTTCCCTGCGTACTTGATCAATCTGGTCACTTCGGAAATGTGGAACAATGGGTTCGTCAAGGAATCCGAGCGTTTCCTGGCCAACGTGATGCAATCTATCCAGCAGGAGGTCATGCAGCACGATGGCGAGGATGCGATCAACCCCGGCGCCTTCTGGCTCTCCAACGTGCACGAGATGCTGTCCTTTGTCTTCTTGGCCGAGGATTGGTACGAGGCGCAAAAGACGGACAATTACGAGTACGATCGTCTGCTGGAGATTGTGAAGCATGACTTGGAGAGCTTGGAGTTCAACATCTACCACACGTGGATGAAGGTGTTGAAGAAGAAGCTGTACAAGATGATTGTTCCGGCCATCATCGAGTCCCAGTCTCTGCCTGGTTTCGTCACCAGCGAAACCAACCGATTCCTCGGCAAGCTGTTGCCCTCGAACAACAACCCGGCCTACAGTATGGACAACCTGCTGAGCCTTCTCAACGGTGTGTATCGGGCCATGAAGGCCTTTTACATCGAGGACACCATCATCACGCAGACCGTCACCGAGCTTTTGAAGCTGGTTGGAGTCACTGCATTCAACGACTTGCTCATGCGCCGAAACTTCCTGTCGTGGAAGCGTGGTCTGCAGATCAACTACAATATTACTCGTATCGAGGAATGGTGCAAGAGCCATGATATGCCGGAGGGGACGCTTCAGCTGGAGCATTTGATGGTATGTTCTTTGTCCTGGGTGATGCAATTCATCTTTCATCGAGAGTCCGGGGATAAACTAATTATTTGAAACAGCAAGCGACCAAGCTTCTTCAGCTGAAAAAGGCTACCTTGAATGATATTGAGATCATTCAAGATATTTGCTGGATGTAAGCAAGATTCTCCGTTCCGTGGTATGGTATTCTACCGGGACCATGCTGATCTTCTTCTCTTCCCAGGCTCTCGCCAAACCAAATCCAAAAGCTCTTGAACCAGTACCTCGTGGCCGACTATGAACAGCCCATCAACGGCGAGATCATGAAGGCCGTTGCCTCTCGAGTCACCGAGAAGAGCGACGTTCTCCTCCTGACCCCGGTGGACATGGAAGACAGCGGCCCCTACGAGATCGCCGAGCCCCGGGTGATCACTGCTTTGGAGACGTATACCCCATCCTGTACGTGCCATGATCCGCAGGCTTTGCCTCCCCTTCCTCCCCCCTTCCGCCCTGGAATTTGTCTGCTTTCGCAAGTGCTAACTAGACCGCAGGGCTCCAAACGCCACGGCTGAAGCGGCTGGCTGAAATTGTGTCTGCGCAGGCGATGGCGCAGCAGGAGAAACTGGAGATAGATAACGGGGCGTTGGAGGAGTAGTTTGTGTGTATATTAGACATGTTCTCCTTGGATGTTCTGTGAGCTACGGATTACGACCAGTGTGACATCTCACCCACGACCTTTATGCCTGGGCAGATGTCGGGTTTGACATACAGTGATGCATATGATTCTGTCTTGATCGCATTGTTCTATACCCGTCTGTCGTTCATGTAGTACGAAGTAGATGGTCTCTAGATGCCCCATGCCCATAAAGACAACTACAAGCGTAGCCATTTCCTTAGCGGGTCGAGCGGTGTCCCTCGCCGCGGGGAGTTCCGCCGAAAGTCGTCTCCCACCACCACACCCCACGCTACTCACCCAAGCCGCCACCATGACCTTGACGAAGATCAATTTCATCACGGGCAACAAGAACAAGCTCACCGAGGTGCGTGCCATCCTCGGCAGCGTCATCGAAGTCGACAACCAGGCCGTGGACGTGCCTGAAATCCAGGGCACGATCGAAGAGATCGCGAAGGAAAAGGCGCGGCGCGCCGCCGAAGCGGTAAGCCTAATGTGCCTGTTGCTGCAACGGGCTTGTGAGCCAGTCGTTCCGAAAGAGGTCTCACTGACTGCCCACGCGTTAGATCAATGGGCCGGCGTTGACGGAGGATACGGCGCTGGAATTCCACGCGCTGAAGAGTCTCCCGGGGCCGTACATGTAACCAAACACCTATTCCCCCATGCCCGTGGTGCCGGTCCTGTCTACTAACAATGCATTAGCAAATGTTTCATGGAGTCCCTGGGCCATGAGGGCCTAAACAAGATGCTTGATGGCTTCGACGACCGCACCGCGGAAGCCGTGTGCACGTTCGCCTTCTGCCGGGGTCCTGGTGAGGAGCCTATCCTGTTCCAGGGACGGACAGTGGTATGTCGCGCTACTCTAGCCTCTTCGAATTGACGAGCTTGGATCTGATGAACATGCACAGGGATCTATTGTGCGGCCGCGTGGCCCGACGAACTTTGGTACGTATCATTTTATCACACATGCCGAGCGAGCAGCAGACTCATACTGATATACTGGTACTCCTACTGGCTCATGCTCTACTAACACGATCATCCAGGCTGGGACCCGATCTTCGAGTACGAAGGCCAAACGTACGCAGAGATGGAGAAAGAGGCCAAGGTAAGCGCGTGTAGCCTTATGTGCAGGCTGGGAATCACCGGCACTGGCATAGAAATCTTCAGAATCAAGTAACAAGTACTAACGACCAACGCTCCCGCCCAGAACCGGATTTCGCACCGGTACAAGGCGCTGGTGAAATTCCAGCAGTGGCTGGCAGAAGGCCAGCAGTAAGGGCGCGGGGTATGGGTATATAGAGCGAGAAATAGAGAGAGCCCGCCATCTGAGCGAGTTCGAGACGAGAATCAGAGCGACGGACAAATCACAAAAATTAACTCAGATGCTTTCGCACATTCAATCCGCGTCCTCGGCATGTTGCTTCTTCCAGTTCTCGACCCATTCGGCGATCCGAGTGCAGTTGCTATCAACGTCGCCGTCTTTTTCGCTGTTGAGTTCGACCACAATCTCTTCGTCGAAGGCTTCGCGGGCTTCTTCGAGGAGAACGCCGAAGATCTCGGCATCGAGGTTCTCTTGTAGTTTCTCTTCGTGGTAACCTCTAAAGCAAGCATGTGCGTTAGGACTGAGCGTATCTAGCTTGCTTGGAGACAGGAAAAAGGGAAGAAGAATGGGTACATGCCTCGAAGCTAGCCGGTCGTACAGAATAGAAGTTTCAGGGCACCGGACGACCACGACGAGGTCGATCCACGACTTGGGGAAGAGATCGCAAGCGTGCCAGTCGATGATGTAGCCGCCCTGGAGCACGTCATCCTCAATGGCATCCAGCAGCTAGAATTGGAAACGGCAGTTCGTAAGCAAATACAGTTCATACACTAATCAAGATAGGTGCCCAACGCTGGTCCGCAAAGCGCGACACGACAGCATGATGCGACAAGTACCCCGCTGTCAACCCCACCAAGAGAGGGAAAAAAAGAAAAAACCGAGGGGTAGGGACGAGCCAGCGCAGCACAGCAAAGTGCAAATTTCACACCTCCAGAGGGCCGCGTACCTTATCCTCATCGACAACCCAGCTCTTCCGCTCCTCATCGTACTCCTCGTAGCAGTCGCGGTCCTTGGCGACCTGGTTGACGGACAGGTGTTTGAGGCCGGTGTCCTGGGCGAGCTGTTCGCAGTGCACGGTCTTACCGACGCCGGGGGTGCCGGTGACAATCACATTCGGGGAGGATCGCATTCTTTGCGAGTTTCTCTGGGCAGGGAAAGGGAATGAGAGCGAAGGAAGCTAATGCAGGGGAGTTGAGCGAGATTTACTTCGGTACTTCTTCCCCAGGTGAAATTATCTCGGACTAACATTGGTCCCGCTTATCGCTTATCGCTTATCGCTTATCGGCGTCACTATATCATCTACGGGAGGTAGGATCTTTTTGGTTCAAGGGTCTGGACAGCGCGTTATACGTCATGTTTCCTCTTGCAGTGCGTCCAGTGTCGAGTTGAGCATGCTATCATGTAGAAATAGATTCGGGCGAGGTTGGCGTCGGACCCGTACGTAATCTGACCCCAAAGTCAGAGAAGCGTTGCAGAGAATCCGAGGTGGTCGATCGACTTACTTGAGAAGCTCGAAAAGCTTATACTTCTGCAAATAGCGAGTGCCTCTCCGGTATGCCTTGAGCAGCCGAACCGGATTCTCGGTCCGAGCGGACGTGCCAATCAAGCGGGAAATGGCAGGCGATGTCTTGAACATAGGATCAAAGACCAAGAGGTTCGCGCTGCCGTCATCGCGTATCTCAAATCCCACAATTGTCATTGAGTGGCCTGTACCGTGGATTAGATATGCACTGTAGACACAATAGATCCCACATTCATGGGCCTGGAGATACCTTGATGCTGAAAATATATGGGCGGACAATCGGTCTGGAAGACCTTGGTCTCCTCGTCATCTAGCGAGCAGGCCGACCGGAAGTAGGTCGCTACATTCATGTAGAGTTTGTCGGATGCAGGTATCCCCTCGCTTGCACTCAGGCTACTGGCATCGCAGCTGTGGAGGGTGAGTGTTGTACGCAAGGATTGCAAGGAGGGACTCACGGAATTCCACGACTTTGAAAGAGAGCCTGTGCCTGTAGGACGGAATGAGCAAATGCAACCCGCCACCTTTCCCCCAGGAACTTACTTCTGGTGTTCCAATAAATTTGCGCGTCCCTCGGATGCCCCCTGTCTCGGTTCTCCCCGTACTATTAAACCCCATGTCCCAGGCTTGTTCAATCATATCCTGCAGGTCAAGAATCGTCGGCACCCCATCAGGGAACTGCTCATGACCCAGGCAACGTGACTTTGTGATGTACGAGACAAGCATCTGGATATTGCGGTAGCCACAGAACCCGCCTTCGCGGGACAGCTTACAGATATGGCGGACCTTGGGGTTGCAGAGAAAGGCACGCTGGACGGTCTTGTCCTGCTCACACAGCTTCGCTATTACAGGAATGAGGTGGTCTGTCTCATTTTCAACCGTGGTGTGCCTTGCTAGCTTCCCATCCGAGGTGATCTGGGTCTGCTTTGAGGTTCGGCCACCTTTCTCCAGCATCTTCTTTAACCACGAGGGCATCTTTTTCTCGTGGGCATGAGGGCCCAGTTCCGAGCGCTGGATATTAGGATTAGCAAGTTCCTCAAACATTATATATCAACAATCTTGTGATTACCCCCAGCCGCATTGCACCATCTAGGCCACGAGTCCTGGGAGGGCTCTTTGCTCGAGCCGGTCTAGAATTATTGTTTTTGCGTGCAAAGTCGCGGTCTGCGCCTCGTTTGCCCCCTTTGAAGGCAGCCTCGAGACCGAGCTTATCCTCCTGGTCGAATGACGGATCATCATCACTGGGGCCCAGGTCGGCATTGAACGGCGTCGAGTCAGCACCGTCGTCGAACGCAATACCCTCCGCGACATGCAGGTCTAGATGTGTGGCTAGTTCCGCCGCTGTCACCGTCTCGCCGCACCCGTGGGGACAGTCGACATATTTCTCCGTCGACTCGACATCTGTCGTCGCCGACGGCGACGGCGACGGCGACGGGGTCTGGCTGGTGTCCAGCCCATGAACACCGGGCAAGAGAGTCTGTGGGACACCGTCCTCTGTGTGACAGAACTCAATGTGCATCTCCAGGAAACTGACATCCGCGTCCGAGAAGGGACAGAAGGGACAAGACGGGGTGCTGGAGTTGTCCATGTTTGCGGTTCTCTCTGACGGATCGGGTAAATGGCGAAGGCGGACGGCGCGGACTCAGAGCACCAGAACACTAGAACCACGATGGGGAGCCTGTAGGGTGGCGGATGCGCCAAAGCGACCAGGATTGGCCAGCTCAACCCGAAACAGGCCTAGGTGTATCAAACGTGAATCGCCAGGCTCTCTTCACGGGCGGTGCCTGAAGGCAGAAGGGCTGCGGATGAGACCCACTTGAAGCAAAACTAGTCTCGTGTGTCTACGAATCGACGGGGTCAAATCAATTCCCACTCCTTGGCAACTTTGGTTTGTAAATCCTGTTTGTCATGCTCGGTTATCTCTATTTGAATATATCTAGAATACGGACGTCGTGCCATTTTTTTTGGGGAGGGAATGTTGGAGTTACCATCTATCTACTCCACATGGGTCGTCCCGAGTGGATCTCAGAAGAATATATATAGTTGTGGGGTTTACTTGTTTCATCCCTCTTCAACACCCTCGATGGCACCCTCTTTCTCGGAGTTGAGCGACAGTACAGCCTTGTTGATTGGCTATCTAGCATACCACAAGGGAAAAGAGACCACCGAGTCGTCCAGTGGAACATTTCACACACGTTGAACTGGCTCATGGAGAATCAGAGAATCACTCGCGTGAAATTTTTCCCAGACCGCGGGTTGAGAAAATCATCCTTCATGACTTGATGCCCGTGTGATCGATATAGTTCAACCGACCCCACGGCATGAGTCATACACATAGCTGCAATGTCTATTGACATGGCTATGTCACCAACACTGGAAGGATATGCCCAAGAAGACACAGAGGTCCATGATCAACCAGGTTTGTCGAATGAGCCGACTATGCCTCTCAAGCCGCGGCGGATGTGCCCTGTAACGGTCCATCATCGGACACTCAACGGAATTGGAACTAATCCAGTCCATAGCTAAGTCTCATTTTGAAAGGGGGAAGATCTAACCTTTCCAGTTTGCTAGACTGGCCACGACCCCCATGCGCCCTCCAGAAACCCTTTACGTGCCTAATCGTCTCTGATATTATGACCACAGGAACGGGTTGAGATCGCCAATGTAGAGACAAATAGCGAGAGAAACTTCCTTCCCGACAAGCTATCCATAAAGCAATATTTCCAGCGCCCCGATACCCGGAACTTGGTAGCAGGGCAGAATTGCATCAGAACGTGCGCGTATCATGCCACATGGAGAACGTTGACCCCGCGAAGTTCCAGCAACCCTAGTAGGGTTGACTTATATTGATTCCCTACTCACGGTTGATCGATCTGATTCTCCAGAATAAATAAAAACCATGCAGATGACCCGCTGTGAGAAGAACATCTTCAGTCTTGGAACAAAACGGTGAATTCAATTGTAGGTAAATTTCAAGTATTTCAAACCATGGACCCATATGCTCCAAGATACTGGCCACACGCGTACGTCTGTACGGAGTAAATGGTAGGGCTATATGTGCGAATTGCCTCCTGAAGATCGCAAGAAGAATTGGAACTCCACAGTTCTGTTATTTATGGTATTTGGCCATGACTTATTTAGAATAGAGATATTCCATTGTGTTTGTCTCGGATGCGGAGGAGGTGGCCAGCCATACCGATCCTATAATGCATCCGTGGATAGGGTTGTTTGCAGCACAGGCACATGCCAAGAAAACCTAAAAATATACATTCTCGGGTGGCGATCAGCAGACAAAAAGCGATCTGGTATGGGGCACAGAATGATGACTAATGACAAATCATAGACTATCACTGTATTATGGATGTCGATGGTTTCGTGAAGATTCATCAATCCTAGACTGCATATACTCTGCAACTTTATACTAGGGTCAGCCTCGCGGCCTGGCGGGGGGAAACAATGCGTCATTGTCCGATTATCGCGGGGCAGTGGTTTTTCAGCGATGGCGTGATTGGCGGGGTCACTCCGACATCGCGTGCCTGGGCGGATACGCGGAAAAACTCAATTGCCTGAGTCATCAGAAAAAGATGTCGCAGCCGGCCCACTCCTCCGCTTTCGCTTTCCCCTCTGATCTCTCTTTACATGTTGTGAATTGTTTCGTCCCTGGTCCCTGGGTTGAACACTGGCCATGGCTTCACTCGATGCAGACCACCCGGCAGTCGGTGCCGTGCATAGCAACTGGGTCGTACAGAAATTCGGCGGCACCAGTGTTGGCAAGTTTGCTCTGAACATTATTGAGCAGGTTGTTCAGTACGGAGCCCCTCCACACCCATCCACTCCCCTCCTTTCTCCCCGTCCAACCCGCTTCTATGATCAACCCGAATATTCTTTACGGATTGGAGCAACCCGCTGATGAGTGACTATGATGTTTACAGACCCAGCCTCGTTGACAATCGAGTCGCTGTTGTATGCTCAGCAAGAAGTAATTCCACAAAGGCCGAGGGCACCACCAACCGGTGAGTCATCTGGATTCTCGACACATCCTACATGCAGATACCCTTCGATCCAAACATCGTGCGAGATCATGGCAACCACCGATCAGGCGCTAACCTCTCACGAACCAGGTTACTGCGGGCAGCCCGGGATGCTGAGAACCCCCGGTCCCGGCATTATGCATCGTTCGTCGACGCCGTCCGGCTCGAGCATGTTCAAGTGGCCCAGGAACAGATCAAATCGGTGGAGTTGAGGGACCAAGTGGTGGCCGATATCACCGGAGAATGCGAACGAGTCTTGAAGGTCCTCGAAGCCGCTCAGACCTTGGGAGAGATCAGTGCCCGCTGTGTGGACAAGGTGATCAGCACCGGCGAGAAGCTCAGCTGCCGGCTCATGGCCGCGTGTCTGCAGGACCGCGGGGTTGACTCGCAGTATGTCGATCTTGCTGATGTGATTGATTTCCCCATCGGCAACCACGGTCTGGATCAGGACTTTTATAATTCCCTAGCGGCGGCTCTTGGCAAACGGGTTGCGGAATGCGGGCACCGAGTGCCTGTGATTACAGGCTACTTTGGTACTATCCCTGGTGGCCTGCTGGACCAAGTCGGCCGTGGCTACACTGACTTGTGTGCCGCCCTGGTCGCCGTGGGAACCCATGCCAAGGAGCTTCAGGTCTGGAAGGAAGTGGATGGCATCTTCACGGCCGATCCGCGCAAGGTCCCGACTGCCCGACTCCTCCCCGCCATCACTCCCGCCGAAGCGGCCGAACTGACCTTCTATGGATCGGAGGTGATTCACCCCTTCACCATGGAGCAAGTGATCCGCGCCAAGATTCCCATCCGCATCAAGAACGTGATGAACCCCAAGAACCGCGGCACCGTCATCTTCCCCGACTCCACGGCCGAGCTGGAGCGGACCACCCCAGGCCACGACCCGCGTGTTTTCCGCACTCGGAGCCCGAGCTTCATGCAGAAGCCGAAGCGGCCCACAGCTGTGACCATCAAGCACAAAATCCTGGTGATCAACGTGCACTCGAACAAGCGGTCCTTGTCGCACGGGTTTTTTGCCGGTATTTTCTCCGTGCTGGACAAATGGCGTCTGTCCATCGACCTGATCTCGACCAGCGAGGTCCATGTGTCGATGGCTCTGCACTCGGAAATGCCTCTGCTGAATGGCAACGGACGGGACGAGTATCAGGTGATCGATGAAGACCTGAAAGGGGCACTGAATGACCTGACCAAGTACGGGACGGTGGATATTATCCCCGAAATGGCCATTCTCAGCTTGGTCGGCAAGCAGATGAAGAATATGATCGGCGTGGCGGGACGTATGTTCACCACCCTGGGGGAGAACAATGTGAACATTGAGATGATTTCGCAAGGTAAGACACCCGTTGGCGATCCCCACTTGCCCCAACTTTCCAACTTCCCACCTTTCCACCTTCCCCAACCTCCGTTCCCCCTCCCCCTCCCTCACCGCCCACAGCACCAGGACAATCTTTGCAGTTCACGCTGACCCGCTCGTTTTGTCCCCCCTGCAGGTGCGAGTGAAATCAACATCTCTTGCGTCATTGAAGAGCGCGATGCCGACCGTGCCCTCAACATCATCCACACCAGCATGTTCACCTTCCTGGACTAGAGGTCCGAGGGAGCTGGTGAGCAACCACAATCATTGTCGTTTGAGATATCCCTTGGGCCGGTTTTTCCTGTTCCCTGTTCCTGTTTCTTAATTCTCTGTTCCCTTATGAAGTTCGCTCATGATAGAGAAAAGTTGGCGTGCATTCGTCCCGGACCTCATTGGAGAGGGGCCGCGGAACGCTTGAGCATTATGCTTTCCGTGATTTTTACTGCATGGGCCTGGCGTTTCTTTGTTCGGAGGGTTCCTTTTTCTTTTCGTTTGCAGTATAGACAGACCGGAAGGGCTTCCCTCGTACATGACCGAGGGATGCGTATTTTCTTCACTGATTAATGCATGACATACACTCTACATGGATCTGGATGACCCCCCCATAGATGCAAGGGCAGTATTCTGCCTGTCCTGACATCCCACTACAGAGAGATAGTATACAAATGGATGCACGATGAGGTTCACGCGCATCTCTTTGCTGCAGGGCAGAGTCTCGTACAAGCGGAGCATCGATGGCCCCTCGAGCGACCCCCGCAGGAAACAGGCATTGGGGATAGTTCCTCGCAGGCCCACAGACTCGTAGACTCACAGCGAGGGTGTTGAAGGGCGCAGGCTCAAGGCTGGTGGGTGGTGAGAGCAAGGGATGATCCGGACACCACCATTGTCTCAAAGTTACATTCGCATTCTCGAAGAGAGCCAATGGGGTGGCCGGGATCATGGGCCGTTCAGAATGGCCGGGATATGACGGGTGGCTGGCGTCGAGGAAGAAGTGGCTCCCTGGGCCAAGAGTATAAGCGGTCTCCGGGGGGTTGAAGGACGGCGGTGTCGAGACCGACGTTGACATCGTCGGTATCGGCCGTAGTGTCTACGGTTCAAGCTATCGTTCCAGTAGCTCCCTTCGGATCGCGCCCAGTGGAGCATCTGCAGGGCCAGCACCACGGGGAGCCACATACATACTTCCTGTGGCCGAGCACTAACTCACTAGAGGCCGGCTTAGTCCCTTTGGGCCAGTTGGCTCGTCGATCGGCACATCACAAATGCCTTCGAGCAAGGAGGGCCAATCCCTTCGTACGCGCTCCGAACCTGCGTACCGTCACTGGTGACCGTACTGCCGATCCCCACCCCATACTAAGACGCGTGACGCGACCGCGTCCATACCATACCTGACGCGTATGATCGCGGGCGGTACACCCAGTACCGCCCTGCGCCGACCTTCACTATCATCCTATCCTCCCCCCACCTCGAAAAGGGCTCGACCCTCTGCCTCTTCCTACCACGCTCTTGGATCGAAGGGACTCTCACAGACCGACGGGGAGACAAAAGGGCGCGACTTCCAGGACTCCCTTCTTCAAACCCCTCTGTCGCTGCTGCCTTTGCTCAACTGCAACTCGCGCGCCACTCTTCCCACCCTCGACTGAACTTCCCCTTCCCACCTGCGCTCTGTGACCGTTGAAACCAACCTGGCCTAAATCACCCTCGAGTGGACAGGTCATCGGGGAATTAACTCCTCTTCACAGCAACGCTTCGCGTGGTGATTCCCGCATCTCGACTCCGTTATCCACTGATTCGCCTGCCCAAGAGTGGACGTGTCGTTTCTTAGCGCCTGGTGGCCCAACGCTCGCAATCACGACTAGTTTCACTGCATGACGGCCTGAGGCTACAGACCTGGTTTCCTCTTTGCGGCCTGCCATTGGCTCAACCTGAATCCCTCTTAACCCGCCCCGTCACCCGTCGGGCAACACTTGTGGTCGGCTGTGCTGTTCCCGTCGGCTGCTGTTGCTGCTGCTACTGTCCCGAATCGCGCCCTCCACAGTGTTTATCGACGCGTCATATGGTTCCTGTTGAGGACTGGTGACGTCTGAGCCTCGTTCCCAATTATTCAGATTATGGGATCGACGCGTCCAGCGCCCGGCGCGCACATTTCCCCAGTATTGGCTCCCTTATCCCAGTCCATCAAAGCGCAGCCCCGACTTCAACCCTCACCGCTACCACTTCAGCCTATTGAAAACTCATTGCTTCCGCCTGCCGGCCCGCACAGGCCATCACCGACCAAAGGTCTGCTTCCCCAGGGCTCGCATCCCGGGCGAAAACTCGGTTTCGTTCCTATCACCGCCCCGAACCCTCCCATGTTCACCACCGACTCCCCTACCAAGAAACCGCCTTTCCCCATCTACACCCAAACCTCCATGCCGCAATCGGCTCTCTTCACCACCTTTTCCAGTGTCAACCTCGAGGCCGCCAAGGAGAACCAGCACCCGGAGGATCCGTCTCATGGCAACTTCGCTGACTTCCCGGAACCCTCTTATGAATCCAAGATCCCCATGAAGCGAACCCTCATGGAAGCTGCTCCGCTCCGGGAGCGCTCGGTCAAGAAGCAGAAGCGCGAAGACGTGCCTGTCCACCAACTGCCGGAGCCACATCAGATGCCACCCATCGAGGATGACGGCACCAAGCCGCCATACAGCTACGCGACCCTGATCGGCATGTCCATTCTGCGCGCGCCCAACCGACGATTGACCCTGGCTCAGATCTACAAGTGGATCTCCGATACATTTTCCTACTACAAGAACAGCGATCCCGGCTGGCAGAACAGCATTCGGCATAATTTGAGTTTGAACAAGGCCTTTATCAAGCAAGAACGCCCCAAGGATGATCCCGGCAAGGGCAACTACTGGGCCATTGAGCCTGGGATGGAGACGCAGTTTCTGAAGGACAAGCAGGTGCGACGCGCCACCATGTCCAGCCTGCCCCTCCCTGCCGTCCCGCAACGAGATCTTGTTCCCCAGCCGCCAAGTGCAACTACGACAACATGGATGGTTCCACCCCCGCCAGCGCGACAGCCTCCCCCTCCCAAGGTGGCATCTCGGAATGAAGATCTCTCCTCGGATGCCACTCTACCCGCGTCGGACCCTGCCCTCCAGGAGGACACGGGCGATGAGGCCACTCACCCAACAACAGCGCAACCAACCGCGCCTATTCGCTCTTCGCCCCTGCAGGCTATTCGCTCGTCCCCACCCATTGCTCCGGCTCGTTTCCAGCGTCAAGGCACTCCTCCCACGCCGACTCACCAGGCTGGCCCTACCCCAGCTCAGCGCCCGCGAAAGCGCAAGTCCATTTCGATGAATGATAGTGGTTATTTCTCGTCATTGGAGTCTTCCGCCCTGCGGCCCAACAAGGCGGGTCATATCTTGACCTCTGACCTGGACATTGAACCTCCTCGCATCAAGCGCGGCCGTGCCGAGGAAGAGATTGCGCGGATTCGCAGCTCCTCTCACGACGTCAGCCCTGGCCAACCCACGGGTCGGAAAGAGGGCAGCACGTTGGTTGGCTCGTCCCCTCTCCGCGGAGAGTACGTGAGCATGCTGCCTCCCCCCTGACCCCTATGATCAAGTTCAAGAAGCCGGCCAAGCCTCCGCCCTCGGTGTCACCCAACACCAACTTGCGCAATCACCGCCGCAAGATCCAGCAGATGGTTAACTCACCTATCAAGCATTTGGGTCTGACGGACGAGGATCTGCCGTGGAGTCCTGCCTTCAATCTTCACGACGAGTCCTTCACTCCGGCAGATCACTTCCACACTACCTTCGATGTCTTTGCCGACTCTAGCGTAGATGTCCACATCTCTTCTGCCGCACTCGGCTCCCCCGAGAAGCGTCCCATCAAGCGTGCGCGCACGGAGAACGGTACCACTGCTCTTCTAGATATCACGTCGGCGAGCGTGAACAGCCGGTTGAGCATGCCCTCCCTCACCCGGTCCAAGTCATCCATCTTCCCGGAGTCCCCGTCCAAATTGCCGGATGGAGGTCGCCTTGGCGATACCGGTCAGGATGACTTCTTCTCATTCCATCTCTTCGACGAGAGCAACGACAGCCCCGGCGAAGTGGATGGGGTGGATCTATTGCAAGGGTTCCAGAAGATTGGAGGCTCCAGCAAAGACGACACTCTGAAGCACAAAACGCTTCACACGCGGCCTCATCTGAGCAACCGCAGCAACTCCAACATGTTTTGAAAAATTCTTTTTCCCCCTGCCTTGCCTCCATGTTTTATTCCCTCGCCCTTTCTGTATCGGGCAGGAGCTTCACACCCCGATTTTTTCCCCTCGTCTATGTCTTGTTTTAAAACCCGGGTTTGAACTATTCTGGCGTTGATTCGGCGTATCCCCTCTGGCTGGCCCTGTGTCTGTCCTCTGCGTTTCTTTGGTACCGTGTACCGTCTTGTCTTGCTTTTTTTCTTACTGTCTTTTTTTCCACTTTTTTCTCTCTCTTTCTCTCTCTCTCCCTCTTTCTCTCTCTCACGCTCTCTTTATTTGCGGGTTGGGTCGAAGGAGTTGGATTGGAACTCGAGATGTTACCAGGTTTCGACGTGGGCGGTGTTTTGCTTTTGGGAGTTTCTTGGGGCTGCGCTGCGCCGAGAGCGCCGGTTCTGACTTGTCCTTTTTCTTCTTCACCGTGCCTGTGATGGGCCTGGCTACGACCTTAATGACGATGTTAAGATGTACATGAGCAAGCGATGGTTTCATGATTTGGGATATCGGGGTTGGGATTTATCGTTATCTTGTTTTTCATGGGCTTTTTTACGGTTAGCTGCTGCTTTGCGACTGGATACATCGGAGGCGCTATTGATTAGGCTAGCAAATATGAACCTTATTACTTGTTTGCATTTCATGGATTCGTGGGTTGATGTTCATTTGGTATCTTAAATTGATAGTTGAATATTTTCGGAGTTTGAAGGGTATCTGATTGACCGAGTCGATCCAAATGAACCGAAAAGAGGAGACAAGCGGAAAGAAGAAGAGAAAGAGAACAACACGTGCAAAACCATGAACGCCCCAAGATCAAAACCCATCCAACCAAGACACTGTACCACCACCATATCATATACTAATGCAGTCCCCGAAGTTGGCCGGAGTCGAGTCGACGCCTTGCTTTTGCTCAGTCACTGCTCGCACAGCCCCGGCACCCGCAGCTGACGCACTGGATCGTCTGCTCTTCTTTCAGCTGGGCCTTGGGCACGCGGCAGATGCAGGTGGAATTGAAATTGGTCTCCTTGGTCTGGACGCAGCGGAGACAGCAGAGCTGGGGAGAAGAGAATGGGTTAGCAGGGAGAGCAACAAATGGGAGCATGGAACTTCGCACAGCGATAGCGGGGCGAGCCCAGTCCAGCGGTGGAGTGGAGGTGGACGTACCTTTTCATAACCCTGCTTCTTCCACTTGGCGATTAGATTGGCGTCGGCGTAGTTGTTCTTCAGGAGCCATTCATACAGCTGCTTGGAAATGGCTTCCTTCTCGTAGTAGAGGTCGTAGATGTATCGGGAGCCTAGATGTCGAACGGATCGATTGTCAGTATCAGGGTCAAGCGCCAGAAAACCGCGTCTGCACAGGGTTGGGGAAGGCGGAGCAGAGCAGAAGCGGAGCAGAAGCAGAGTGTAGAGAAGAGCGCAGAGAAGAACAGGGAAGGAAAAGGAAACCATGATCTTGCACACGTACGCTGGTGGCTAATCTGGAAGATGGGCCAGAGCACTTCGTGCTTCTTTTTGCCGTCATGGGACGCATTCTCAGCATCCTTCATCTTATTGCTGAACTCCAGCAGGGTATCTTCTAGATCATCGAAGCCGGCCGGTGGGGGTTTGCGATTGCGGCCAGTGCGGATGGGAGGCATGGCGGCGGGGTGGTTGGGAGGGTACAGAGAAAAACGCGAGCAGAGAAGAGCAGAGCAGAGCGAAGCAAAGTAGCAGACACACTCCCAAAAGAACAGCAGGCCCAGTCGACTGGAAAGCAACGCTCCGGATGCTTCTTCGGTGCCGGCGAGAGAAAAGAGCGGCGTTGTGAGCAGCTCGGCGATTGCCCGCGTCATTTTTGTGCCGGATCCGACCGCCTTCGATTTTGCGGTGCGCCGGACTCCCGCTGGACGACGACAGACCGACCACGCCTCCAACATCTCTTCACTCATTCCGACCTATCCTTCCTTCCAAAAATCCTCCTCATCCGCCAAAATGGATCCCCAATTGGACATCTCCAAGCTCACCGACGCCGACAAGCAGGAGCTGCAGCAACATCTCGCCAACGAGACGCAGAAGGCGAGCATCCAGCAGAGTACGTAGCGACCGCGCCCTGTCATTCCCCGGCTACACAGTGTTCTCGAAGCGGGCCCAGAATGTGTCCTGTCTACTCTTGTTACTGCCTGAAAGACACCCTTGCTGATTCTGCTTCCTGCGTGCTTTAGATGTCCACGCATTGAACGATACCTGCTTCAAGAAGTGCATTGTCGGCAAGAGCATTACCTCGGGCACCCTGGACCGGAGCGAGGAGGCATGCGCGGCGAACTGCGTCGAGCGGTGGATGGATATGCAGATGGGGGTTCTGCAGAAGCTGGGCAGCATGCGTGGTGGCCACTAAATGCCTAAATGCCCTAGTTTCCGGGCTGGCTTGATACCATGGGCATGAGCACGGCTGTGAGCATGACAGCTATGTCTGGACTGATAGTGCAGGCCGGGCCATGGTCAAATAATACGGCTCGCATTCGATGACTCGTTCGGAGACCGGTGCAGGAATATAGGAAGTTCATAGTCACTGTTGACTGTGACTCTCGATGGAGGTTCTAAAACTAGATCATCTTCTCCGGTGTTGGGATGAGGCGGGAATGTACGAGTCTCTTGTATACTAGAATCAAAGTGAATGGATCCTTTGTGCATACCTCTTGTTCTCCGTTGGTCCTATGTCTCCGTACTGGTCATGGTAGGAATGGAATGCAGATGAGAGAGAGAAAACAAGGAGGGAGAGCAGAGCCGTCTAAGAATTACCATGCGAGTGGTATCGTTACGTGACTCGTGACCCATTGGGGACTGGTTTTCTTCGATAGAAAGCAGCCCGCGTTCTACGGGGCCCTTGCGGCAGTGTTTCGGGCCGTATGCTTCTGATACTTCTTACGCGAGACGGCAGCAGAGCTCTCCACGCTCATCAACACGCAGTCTTATACTCATACTCATACTCGGGGATGGAAGTATTTGAGTCGTGTCAAGAAATGTTTCTTATTTTTGTAATCATTCAGCCCTCGTTGCTGCACATACAGCCAAGGAACTGGCTGGTATTGAGAATCACCACGGTGGAAAACAAAGTTCGCCTAAACCCAAAGAAATCAATTTCCTGTCCCTTTTAGACGATAGCCAGCTTGGTGGCGGCGATGTCGAGAGCATCAACGTCGGGCGTGAGACGGGCGTAAGCCTTCTTGGAACCGTCGGGGCTGCACGATGAGAATTAGCAACCGAGTTCATAGGGAGTGCACGGACTCGCATGTGCGAGCCTCGTTGCATAAACAGGACGGGCGAAGCCTACCGGACAAGGGTGTTGATCTTGACGGTGTCAACGTCGTACAGCTTCTTCAGAGCCTGCTTGATCTGGCGCTTGTTGGCCTTGACGTCGACGATGAAGACGAGGGTGTTGTTCTCCTCGATCTTCTTCATGGCGCTCTCGGTGTTGAGAGGGTACAGGACGATGTTGTGGGCGTCCATGCGGGCATCGCGGGGAACCGAGACACGGGGGTACTTGGGGGACCGCGAGAGCTGGAGGGTCTTGGGGCGATGGAAGGTGGTCGAGGTGCGAACCTTGCGGGACTTGTGGAGCTAGAGATCCCCGGAGTATGTTAGTGACTGCGCACTCCGTGGCTACAGAGTTCGAAATTTTGACTGAGATCGAAATCGGCCAGATAAATAGGACCAGAGGAACGAAGACGTACGGAAGAGCCCTTAACGACTGCCTTGGCGGCAGCGTTAGCCCGGGAGGCGGTGCCTGTAGAAGAAAAAAACTCGGTCAGTTTTCGCGGGTCTTGAAATGTTGAAGACGTTTTGAGAAATTGCGAATCGGTGCAGTCGAGACCACGGAGAAGAGAGCAAGTATGCCAAATGAGTAAAGGTTGTTGAGGCAGTGCGCTTCCTGCGATTGCCATACTGTCCCAGCTCTTCTTGCGCATCGCCGTTCATAATGTGGAATTCGGAAGCACACTGTCCCATCCTCCTCTTCCTCTGCTCCGGAACACAATTCTCGATCGCACAGAATTCACAGGGTGTCGGATGTAAGTGGGCAAAGTCATTCGAACGTACCTGTCTTGGTAGTAGGGGCCATGGCTGTCGTCCGCTGTCGTGGTGATTGTCGTCGCAGTGTCGAGAGTCGAACAATTTGGAGTGGCTTCGCTAAGCGAAAACCCTAGCACTGTGTGGGTCAGGTGATCCTGGGCGGTGTCCGTGGGTTTAGTCATGGTAGCTGAGTCAGCGGGGCTCCACCGCCGATCGTCTTTTTTTGATCAGTTGATGTTTTCCGTGAAGAACGGAAGACAGAAACTCGATATTCTTATTAATTCGGTGTTCATTGATTGAATATCGGGGAATTGCTGGAAGATCCTCTCCACGATGTCCCTTTAATTTGTCACTTCATCATCTTCCGCCAACTCGCACCCAAGCAAATGGCTCCCCAGAGTCGATCTAAACGGCCGGGCCTACTGTCCAGCGGCCGGCCGCCAACTGTCAAACCCAGACAGGCAGCTTTGTCCTCCAAAGCCACCCGGACCCTCATCAGATCCCATCATCAACTCCTCAAGGCCCGCGCACAAGCGGAAAAGGCCGGTGACGAGGCTAAAGTGAGCAGCATCAATGCCCAGATCCAAGCAAATGGCGGCCTGGAAAGCTATCAGACCGCCAGCAAGCTCGGCCAGTCCATGGACCGAGGCGGCGATTCCAGTAAGCTCCTCATTGACTGGATAAAGCCACAGTTGGATCAGTGGGAACCGAGCTTCCCAAAGCTACGCGTTTTAGAGGTTGGCGCACTAAGCACGAAGAATGCGTGCTCAAGAACCCCGTCTTTGGAGGTGACCCGGATCGACTTGAATTCCCAGGAACCGGGGATCCTCAAACAGGACTTCATGAAACGGCCATTGCCGTCTTCAGAGGAGGAGCGCTTTAATATCATTAGCCTGTCCTTGGTCCTCAACTACGTGCCGGATGCAACGGGCCGAGGTGACATGCTGAAGCGCTGCGTCCAGTTCTTGACGTCCCAATGTTCCATCTCATTTGTCCCGACTCTCTTTTTTGTCTTGCCAGTAGCATGTGTGGACAACTCACGCTACGTTACGGAGAAGAGACTGCTCGATATCCTGGCCAGTCTAGGTTTCCATCTGGTGCAAAGCAAGCGCACCAACAAGCTAATTTATCAACTATTCAATTATACGGGACAATGCTCGTCCCGGACCTTCAAGAAGGAGATGCTGAACCCGGGCACGAAACGGAATAACTTCGCTATCATTCTGCACGAGAAATGAAATCGGAATACAAACATGCATCACGCCATACATATACAACGAACCAATCAATGGTGCGGAGACTTATGAGCCGAGTCAGCCCTCGGAAATTATTTCGCGGGGCAGGAATGCCCACACAGTTCCCACTGCCGCCAGGATGGAAGACGTGATGAGCAGGAACCAATCGAGAATGCGCTCGCGTCGGCTGATCTCGCTCCCGAAGATCTTCAGGTAGAAGGCGATCGGGAAGATGATACAGATGGTGAAGCAGAGGAATGAGCCCAAGAACGCCATAATCCGGTCGAAGGAGGGGAAGACAACGGCCAAGACGACGATCAGAGCCACGGTGAAAACGCGGACTGCTACTCGGACAAACTGCTGGATCATCTCTCCGCGCCGGTCGGTGGGTGCCGGTCCCAAGCCAACACCACAGAGGACTTCGAATGTAGCGACTAAAGGTCGGGCACTAAATTTCTTGTTAGCGGCAAAGATTTTTGCATAGCTGGGGCTGTCAAACTCACTTCAGAGGCACTTTGGTCAGCGGGATAATCGCGATAAAGACTATAATGCAGACTGATAAGGCCTTTGGATACTGATCCACCCTCAGGATGTTGGCTGTGACTTCATCGCGGACGATGTCACCAAACATGAGCCAGCCGATAATAGCCATAGAGCAATCGAGAGTGAACTGTTCACGCTCTTGTTAGCGTTTGGCCTTCTTAGTCTAGATGGTTTTCTGTCATACCGTAAAAATGTAGGTGACCCGGAGACTCTTCCCGTACTTCCGTGGGTGCCTCATGTCGCGGTAGATATTCGGAAAAACGCCATGTCCACCCCAAGGTGCTATACTCATGCATTAGCTCACTGCATTCATTTGCACGCGATAAAAAGGCCGTTCATACACATGATGAGGCCGAAACTCAGCGGAAGAGTGGCCCAATTTTCGGGGAAGAGGAACGTGCTCGCAGGTTGTCGCAGAGAGCCCGGGCTATCTGGTTTAATCAAGCCGTCCACGCAGATGAGAATCACGACTGTTTCATAAGTTAGTACAAACCGGTTTACAAGTTTCATAGTCGACTCGCCACAGCCTTGTAGCACTCACTGGATGTGCAGGATATAATGCCTAGGATGCTAGTCACACTGAGGAAACGCAACGGCAAAAAGTTCAATGGGACCAGCACCAGACCACAGACAATCTTCCATTGCAGGATGCTCAAGCCGGGGATCAGCGCATACAAGCTGTCCGCAAACAGCACGACCAGGGCAACACATGCTCCCAAGAGTTCCATGCAGAAGAGAAAACTCGTCACGAGACGAGCCTGCTGCCCGAAGCTGATATAGGCCAGGTCAGCGTAGGTGACCAGGGTCTTATCCACGTCCAAGCATTTCGCCAAGATCTTCGCCGTATAGGAAGTAATCACGGCCGAGTAGACGAGAAATAGCAGTCCCAGCACCCAGCCCGCATGCTTCATCGCCAGAGGAAGACTCAGCAGACCAATACCGATCAGCACATTGACCGAGTTAAAGACCGTCTGAGGCACGGTGGATTGCCCGATGATGATATCCTCGTGTGTACCATCGTCACGCTCAACATGCTTGAGAAGCAGTGGCTCTCGATCAGGATCTCCCGTGCCGTCGCCCAGCACCTGCTGTTGCTCGCGGTGGAACTGGATCGCATTCCGGCGAGTCGATTGACTGACTCGCGAGGAGATCGTGCCATACGAAGTCGCGAAGCTCCTATCAAACGACGAGGCGAGCAGACCCGCGCTCGGAAGGCCCTTTCTAGCCCGCTGCGGAGTACCCAAGTCCTCTTGCTCGTGGTCTTCTCCATCCGAGTCCTCGGACAACAAAGGGCGCTCATGGTCGGACTGGCGACCCCAGGACTGACCCCAGGACGGCGAGCTGCGGGAGCCATAACCATAGTCCAGGCCCGTCGCAATGGCGAGCTCGTCATCTAAGTCTGCCGATACAAAGGACGCCGGCCGCGGGATGACCTCGGGGAAGCAGGCTGCCCGCTGCCACGAGCGGGCGAAATTGTCGATGCTGTTGGGCCCGCCTGCCTGTCGAATCCGAGAAAACGAGGAGGATCTAACGCGAGCAGTTAGACGAGGCCATGACATGACAATGCAAGACAACGCGATTCTTTCGAGGTCCAACCACATACCTTTCTCGACCCAGATTCTCCACTTCGGCGATCGGATTTCCACGGCTAAGGTGGCCGTAGTCGTAGGAGCTTGGCGGCTCAGCCGTTGGCATCCTCAACGAGCCATAGCTAGGCTCCCCATCGCGAGGATCATCTGAATTCCCAGGAGCCATTGACACAGGTCCCCCGGGGGCGTCTTCCAGAAAATTCAGGTGGTCCTCACTCGAGCAGCGATTGCGGCGAGTGGTCTCCGAAGGGAAAATTTGCCCGTCTGCTTTGGGTCAGGAACGGGACCGCTCGAGAACTAATGGGTCTGTCGTCCCGTGCAAGTCTGCAGTCCACTAAGAAGACCTCCAATCGACCAGCGCTCTTTGGTATGAGAAGAGAAGAGAGGTCGCGCAGGGCGAAACAGGAAAAGATAAGGGACAGGGAAACGCCGCCCGAGGGAAGCTAGCTACCCTTCAAGCTCTGGCCGTGTGGGGTGATAGCCATCGCTGATAAGCGCTTTTACCTCGCGCCACAGTTTTGAGTATGTAATAAGAGGCGAACTAGTGCTATTTTATTCATATACACGACTTTGGATGATAGTAATGCGTATGACTATAGTTATGATTATTGTCATACTCATATAGGACTACGTGTTCGCTGTACAAAAAACTTGTAGTGAGTTCATGGCCAGCGCTCAACATTCGGTGGGAATCAGTCCTGCATGCTATTACGCAGGTGGCATAGACGTCCACAGGGATGGACAAGCAAGACATAGCTAGGCGCGGGAAATGGCTGGATCGGCGGCTGCAGATGGCCGAGGCGATAATAGCAATACGATGTACCGGTGACTTCTCTGAGGCGGATTTCACTGTGAAGGATCAAGTCGCCGGTACGTCACGCCGTGCCCTGGCGGTGGCTTACCTCAGCCCACCGAGCCCCTCGACCCCACGAGGAAATTTGCAGCCTCTAACCAACGTCACAGCAAAGGTGTGTCCAACTCCCCAGATTTCTGCATTTACTGTGCGTGCTTCTGCCTCCACTTCCAGTCGCTTCGCCTCATCGAGAACCGAGTTGCTGACCCTCTCACTTTCGTCGTCCAGGTGTTAGGCAGGACCCAGTCTTTGTTACCTCGGGTCTCCCAATTTTGACCCCGGTTAGGCGTCGACAGGCAAGGCCTCGCATACTCTTTTCTCGCGCAGATCACCTTCGCCTCGCCCACAATGAGTTCCCAACAACCCCAGGGACAGGGCGGCGAAGCCGAGAAGAACATCGAGATCTGGAAGGTCAAGAAGCTGATCAAGCGCCTTGAATCCGCCCGCGGCAATGGAACCTCCATGATTTCGCTCATCATCCGTACGCCTCCCTTCCTCCAGATCCCTGCGATTCTGGATTCTTCGCATCAAAGCCTCCTTTCACTAACTCCAAAATGCAGCCCCGAAGGATCAGATCTCTCGTGCGGCGAAGATGTTGGCTGAAGAATACGTATGTCCTGCCTCTCCCCCCCCTTCACATCAGTCCCTGGCCCCCCTCTCCCCGGGCCGCCCTTCTAACTGTACGCTGGATAGGGTACTGCCTCCAATATCAAGTCTCGCGTGAACCGACTCTCCGTCCTGTCGGCTATTACCTCCACTCAGCAACGTCTCAAGCTGTACAACAAGGTCCCCCCGAACGGCCTGGTCGTCTACTGTGGTGAAATTATCACCGCAGAAGGAAAGGAGCGCAAGATCAACATCGACTTCGAGCCCTTCAAGCCCATTAACACGTCGCTCTACCTGTGTGACAACAAGTTCCACACCGAGGCTCTGAGCGAGCTGCTGGAGTCGGACCAGAAGTTCGGCTTCATCATCATGGACGGTAACGGTGCCCTCTTCGGTACCCTGAGCGGCAACACCCGTGAGATCCTGCAGCGTCTCTCTGTCGATCTCCCCAAGAAGCACGTGAGTTAAGTTCTATATCTCTCCCTTTCCCCGCGAGAGGTCGTTCATTTTTCATTGTCGCTCATTTATCGTCTCTTTCTCTTTCAGGGTCGTGGTGGTCAATCCGCGCTGCGTTTCGCGCGTCTGCGTGAGGAGAAGCGTCACAACTACGTGCGCAAGATCGCCGAATTGGCAGTCCAGAACTACATTACTAACGACAAGGTCAACGTCGCCGGTCTGGTCCTGGCTGGTTCCGCCGACTTCAAGAACGACCTGAACCAGTCTGACATGTTCGACCAGCGTCTACAGACCAAGGTCATCAAGGTGGTGGACGTGTCGTACGGTGGCGAGAACGGTTTCAACCAAGCTATTGAGTTGGCGGCCGAGACTCTGAGCAACGTCAAGTTCATCCAGGAGAAGAAGCTGATTGGCAAGTACTTCGAGGAGATCTCCCAGGACACTGGCAAGGTCTGCTATGGTGTTGAGGATACCCTCAAGGCTTTGGAGCTGGGTGCGGCGGAGACCCTAATCGTGTTCGAGAACCTGGACGTCACCCGCTGGATCCTGAAGGACTCCGCTGGCGGAGAGGTGATTTTGCACACCACCAAGTCCCAGGAAGCCAACCGCGAGCTGTTCCAGGACAAGGAGACCGGCGCCGAAATGGAGGTGACCGACTCGTCCTCTTTCCTAGAGTGGCTGGCGGAGTCCTACAAGGACTTCGGTGCGGCTCTGGAGTTCGTGTCGGACCGATCCGGCGAGGGCAACCAGTTCGTGAAGGGCTTCGGTGGTATCGGAGCTATTCTCCGGTACAAGGTCAACTTCGAGCAGCTTGCGGATTGCAGCGACGATGACGAGTTCTACGACGATTGACGGTTCGGCCACCTCGCAGAGAGCGAGGATGAACGGCCAGAAGCTCCCGAGGCGAGTCTTCTGACGGCTCGCCCCGTGGATCATGAAGGCGGCTCCGAAAGTGGAACCCAGGCATCCGTAAAGGATGCCATCAAACGGCCTGTTCCAAGCTTCGTGAAGCTGCTCAGAGGTGAGTCGATAGTCTGGACTTGCGTCTCCCTAAATCTACGTCCCCGCCTCTAACCTCTCCATCCCATAGGGTCATCCAAGCTCCGTGACATGCTTACTGAGGTTACCTCGGTGTCTGAGACGAACATGAGGTGTAAATTGCAATTTGAAATGTTGGATGCGATTCTCTGCAACAGTTGGTCACCCATTGCCGCCTGCCTGTACCGCGCGTAAGCCTGGATTGCCGGGGGTCAATGGCGTGAGTAATTGTTTTCTTGCTGCGGCCGATTCATCGCCGTTGTTCTGGATTCACCTGACGTGATCCGGATCGTCGTTCTTTTTGTTTACTTCGCACTCGTTATCTGAAAAAAGAAAAATACACCCGAAATGCTTCCACATCTTTGCTGGACTCGTTATGTTCCCGAAATGTGTTTATTTCTTCTGTAGATGTGTAGGGTTATGTGAGTTTTATACGGCCCACTTCATCTCTTAACCGGTGTTTTTCGTCAAATCGTCCCAGAAGTGAATCAAAATTCACATCGGCTGGGTGCAGCTAGGCAATGCTCCCGCCGAGCTGATCCTTCCAAGTGCCCCAATCCCTGCAGAACTCAGTCGCATGCCGCAGGTCGTCGAGAGCCTTGAGCACAGCCTCCTCATTCCCGTCTGAGGGAGTTCGCCCGCACTCTACGAAGAAGATATATTGCCAAGCGCGCTTCAAGCTGGGCCTTGTATTGATACTCGTAAGGTTCAAGCAGTGGTTCTTGAAGATCAGCAGCGCATTCGCCAGGGCGCCTGGCAAGGAATGGTCGATAGCGAAGGAGACCAAAGTCTTGAGCGTGATCACGGCGGCAGGCGCATTTGGTTTTTCGAATTCAAGCAGCGCTGAGCGCTCTGCAAGAACGTTCCTCAAAATCAGGAAGCGGGTCGTATTATCGGCGCGATCCTCGATATTCTCCTTCAGCACATCGACGCCGTGATACTCGGCGGCGAATTTGCTGGCGATGGCTGCGCCGCGCTCGCCGGTCTCTTTGGCGACAATCTCCGCCGCTTTGGACGTGGATGAGACGTCCTGTCTTTCGATGCCCTTGAAGTGCTGCGACAGTAGGTTCTCACATTGGCCCCAGGCCTGTGGGTGTGTATATAGCTTGGTGATGGAGCCGTCGTAGCCCGCCCATCCGGCCGGATACGTGCCCTTGCGGACCAGTAGGCAGTGGTGCACGGTCAAATAGTATTCGCCGCACACCTTGACATCCTTGTAGAGGGCATTGCGGTCCGCTAAGAGATCCAGCGTCTGGACCACGGAGCCATTGGTCGAGTTCTCGAACGGGATCACCGCATAGTCGGCGGCCTGCTGCTGTACGGCGGTGAAGGCATCTGCGAAGGAGACGTGCGGAATCAACTCGGCGTCCGTCTTGTCAAAGGACTCTGCCGCAGCCTGCGAGCAACAAAGCGTTAGAAAAAAAACACGCCGTGGAGCCTGAGCGAGAGTGTGGGGTAGCGGGATTGAGTGATTCATACCTGGTGCGAGAACGACGCCGGCGGGCCCAGGAAGGCTACCCTCAGACGGTCTGCAGGCATGTTGGGAACAAACACTGGACAAGCTTGAGGAGGTGGACAGCGTCGGGCACAGACGACGACAACTCGTCTCCGCGGGTCTCAAGCAACGCATTGCGATCTGCAGCGAGCGGTGTGGGTATCCTCGTGCCGTCGGTCCCAACAAACAAGGCAAACGGCCGAAGGTAATCGGCCATCGCATCGGAATTGGAGAGTGGCGTCACACCTGCTCGGGTTGGACAGGGTGCACTTCTCTTCTTCCTTGCTGTGCCCATGAAGACGAGTCTGACTCGGCCGTTACTCTCTGTGAGAGGGGCATCGCCGCGATGTCTGTACCGAGCTCACTCGTCGCTCGCGGAGCGGCTGCAGCATGAAATGACTACACGCAAGATCCCTCTATTCTACGACTACCTATACCCCCAGCCGTCACATCTCCTGAATCTCACGCTGTGTGATCTCCTCCTTCGGACAGGTTCCTGCTCCATCGCGCGCACCGCGACAACCCTCCCCTCGATAACAAACCCCTCGCCGCTCCCAATCGGTCACCACCTAATCTACTTCCCGCCGCAAGTGACGCTCTCGCAATTACTCCCAGATGGCACAGATATCTTGCACACGCCCGGCGACCCGTTCACCCGACGGCTCTGGGCAGGCGGCAATGTCCGATTCCCCGCGGCCAGCCCTCTACTCGACGGCCAGCGGGCTGTGTGCATCGAGTCAATCCGCAATGTGAGCGTGAAGGGTCGCGAGGGCGACGAGAAAGTGATTGTCACGATTGAACGGCGTATCGGTACGGTTCCTGAGGGTGAAAGTGAGTCGCAAACATGGGACCGGATATGGACAAAAGACGAGGCGCTTGCGGGCGAGGCAGCGGTGATTGAAAACCGGGACCTCATATTCATGCGGAGCAAGAGCGGCGCGCAGATTGCGGCGGACCAGGCGCTGTTTGGGAAACCGGGGAGGATTGTCAAAGGTGCGCAGTCTATCTGGTATTGACGGACTAGAACAGACCTCCAATTTCCAATTATTGCCCTCCTCTAATCTATCCTTGAAATGCTAACCCTTGCTTTTTCCGTCCGACAGCCCCCTCGGGCGCAACACTGCGGCACACAATCACACCCAGAAAATCCCTTCTCTTCCGCTTCTCAGCACTAACATTCAACGCGCACTCCATCCACCTCGACCAGAGCTACACCCAGAATCAAGAAGGATACCGCAACCTTCTCGTACACGGGCCGTTAACATTGACGCTCCTCCTCAGCGTACTGGAGCAGCACCTCCGTGGTCTGGGCCTCCGGGTCGATCATATTGAATATAAGAATCTGGCGCCGCTGTTTGTAGATGAGGCTTTAGCGGTCTGTGGGAAGCCTAAGAATGGCGGTGGTGCTTGGGATGTGTGGATTGAGGGGCCAGATGGGGGTCTTGCTGTGCGGGGGACGGTGAAAACTTGCGCTTTGTACGGCGATGACGAATGAATAAACTTGTGATATGGCAATACCTGAGTGTTTACTCTTGTTTATCGGGAGTGCTTTTCAGTGGGCTTTGGTTATATTATACTGGCTATACACCGATCCTGCGAGGAGAAGACTCCCATTGACGCGGATCGTATACCTGTTTCACTTGGTATGGAGACGAGCGCCACTCCCGATCTAGATAATCATAGCCCGGTCTGTATCTGAGAAGCCGGGGCAACTTCTTTTTACTTGGGTTATATATTTATTGAATGCATTGTGACTCGAGTTATAATAGGAGTTGAGTCGTGTTCGAGGGTAACGACAGAGCCGCTATGACCTGGCTCAAGCGTCCAAGCATACAGTAGCTGGCAATAGCCAATTGAGACCCAATGACAACACATCGTTGATCAACTGGGATCAATTGGTGTGTTGACAGTGCACGCATAATTAACTTCTGCCTGGCGGGCAAGGCCCGTGCTCCGTGCAGAGCCGCGCTAGTACCGCGGATCTCGGATAAACTGCGCGCCGTAGCGGTTTGCACACGTTTTTATTTCTTCCCATTTCCACTTCTCTTTCCTTTCTTTCTTCTTCCACCTCCCATCTCCAAGCTCATAACCCTCGGGTGTAATGACATGAGCTCAACTCGACCAATTGTTTAACCAATCATCTAGCACTCCCCTTCATCTCTCTATTCACTTCAGCAGAGATGGATGTATTCTGGCGGGCACCTCCCGTGGCCAGGTACGCTCGTCGTTCTCGCCCCCACGGGCAAGTTCGGGGAGGAAACTAACGTGTCACATTCCAGGACACTCACTGCTGCGACCCTGATCCAGTCGCTTCTGTATCATGGCCGTCTCATCACGGGTAGATACATCACCTTTGTTCCCAGGAAGATCTTCTTCCATCTGCCTCCGCAGATCTGGCGGTTGGCAACCTGCTTCTTTTTGACCGGCCCCGACCTCGAGTTTATCTTTGACCTCTGGAACCTATGGCGTTACAGCAGTGCTCTTGAGAGCGAGTCGGGTCGCTTTTCGAAGCCCGGTGACTTCTTCATCTACATCCTGTTCGTAGGCACCGTCATTCAGGTAAGTGACTCGCTTGGCCTCGGGTCAACACTAGTAGAGCCATTGTTTCGTGTTTCTTGTCTTGCGTTCATACCCTGTCACCTCGCATTATCTGCCCGCCCAGCCAAATTCTAGCTGAAGCGGTTCCTGGAAGTGAGGAAGATTACCCCTGCATCTCGTGCAGTACCGCATTCGCAAAATTCAAATGGTACTGCATGCGGTGTGGGAACGGTGGGACTACCTATGAGATAGCCGTCGTGATCCTATAAGTTCACGAACGGTGGTTAAGGTGCCCTACATTCTACATAACATCCATCATCCTGTTACCTATTACCTATTACCTATTTATCATTCGTTCCCGAATATCATTCCGATTTGCTCTCTTATCCACGATGCGCTCTCCCATTCTGCTTTCATGGTAGCCAACCCCATTCATCCCAGCGTGCTAATTTCCTCGAAGGCCACTGCAGGTTTGTATCTGGGTTATTCTACGTTCCTCCATGGTAAGCACCCTTGCCTGTCCCCAGTGACAGGTGTCATTTGTTTAAGCAGATACTGAGTTCCGGCAATCAGCCCTGATCTTGGGTCTTGTCTGGACCTTTGCCCAGGATAAACGGGGCACTCGCGTGAGATTTTTCGTCATCGATATCCCTGTGATTTACCTGCCAGCCGCGATGCTGTGTATCACCATGGTGCGCGGTGGATGGCCTGCAATGCTGCTGGAAGGCACCGGAATCCTCGGTGCCCATCTTTACGACTTCATCACCCGCCTCTACCCGGCCTTCGGAGGCGGCCGAAACTTCATCTTCACCCCTCGCTTCGTGCAGCGCTTCTTCTACAAGCATACCCCAAATGCTGGATATCGTGGATACGGCACGGCTTACCATGCGCCACAGCCATCTGAGCCGTCGCCTTCGTCCCAAGGCCAGGCATCTGGTTCTGACGCCGGGGAGCGCTGGGGCAGTTGGGGCTCTGGACGGAGACTCGGCTGATGGATAGCCACAACGCCTGGGAGGGTATGAGACGGCATATTTAGAGACAAGTCTTGCCTTCCATGATTCGGCGTCTATCCTACCTCGAAAGAATCATTGGGGAGAAGAAGACCCTGAGAATTGATCCCCACCCACTCTGTGTAAACTAGCATTAGAAGGTGCCCGGGTACCCTCTTAGTTCATAGCAATACCTTAAAACAACAAGAAATATTTCGTTGCCCGGTGATTGACCCCTTTTGACACCTTGAAAATGGTGCGAAGCGACGGAACTATAAGAAAAAGTCTCGACGGCTTGCCACAGGTCACATGACCCGCGACGGGCGCTAACCCGATCAGGCACTGGAGCTGCCGCACTCGCAAAATTTCGTTTCTTCGAACAAATTTTTGGACCTCAACAGCAATCCAACCCCCAAAATGGCCGCCGTCAACAACATGGAGGTGGACTACGCCATCAAGCCCGAGGCGGTCAACCCGACTATGTCCAGCGAGGACTGGCCCCTCCTGCTCAAGAACTACGAGAAGCGTACGTGCAAATCTTTTTCGAGGAAGGAAAAAATCCGACATTGATCACGGCTAACTGACCTGGGGCCCTGCGCAGTGCTCGTTCGCACCGGCCACTTCACCCCGATTCCTGCCGGTGCTTCTCCTCTGAAGCGTGACCTCAAGTCCTACATCAGCTCTGGTGTCATCAACTTGGACAAGCCCTCCAACCCGTCCTCCCATGAGGTTGTCGCGTGGATGAAGCGGATCCTCAGGTAAACTCCTCCGTGCACTCACATCCCCCCGGCTCCAAGGCTCCCGGGTCCGCCCCGTTCCCAAGGTCAATTGATACTGACATATTGTCTCCCGATAGATCCGAGAAGACTGGTCACAGCGGTACTCTCGACCCTAAGGTCACTGGTTGCTTGATTGTCTGCATTGACCGTGCCACCCGCCTCGTCAAGTCCCAGCAGGGTGCCGGTAAGGAGTACGTGTGTGTGATCCGTATGCACGACAAGATCCCCGGCGGCGAGGCACAGTTCCGCCGCGCCCTCGAGACCCTTACTGGTGCGCTGTTCCAGCGTCCTCCCCTGATTTCGGCTGTCAAGCGCCAGCTCCGTATCCGTACCATCCACGAGAGCAAGCTGTACGAGTTTGACAATGAGCGCCACCTGGGTGTCTTCTGGGTCAGCTGTGAGGCTGGTACCTACATCCGTACTCTCTGTGTGCACCTGGGTCTGCTGCTCGGTGTTGGTGCTCACATGCAGGAGCTGCGTCGTGTCCGCTCTGGTGCTATGAGCGAGGAGAGCGGCATGGTCACTCTTCACGACGTTCTGGATGCCCAGTGGATTTACGACAACCAGCGTGATGAGACCTACCTGCGCAAGGTCATCCGTCCTCTGGAGAGCCTGCTCACCACCTACAAGCGTATTGTCGTCAAGGACAGCGCTGTCAACGCCGTCTGCTACGGTGCTAAGCTGATGATTCCTGGTCTCCTCCGTTTCGGTACGTCTACTTATTCCCATTCTCAAAACCCATTGACGCCAAACGAGAAACTAATTTTTTTTTCCTATTCAAAGAGGCTGGCATCGAGGTCAACGAGGAGGTCGTTCTCATGACCACCAAGGGTGAGGCCATTGCCATCGGTATTGCCCAGATGTCCACTGTGGAGCTCACCACCTGCGATCACGGTGTTGTCGCCAAGGTCAAGCGCTGCATCATGGAGCGTGACCTGTACCCCCGCCGCTGGGGCCTGGGCCCTATTGCGTTGGAGAAGAAGAAGCTCAAGTCCGCTGGCAAGCTCGATGTACGTGAAGAATTACCTGTGCATGAAACCAACAGAAGGTGATGGGATTGCTAACTAGTGAATTTCAGAAATACGGTCGCACAAATGAGGCCACCCCCGCCAAGTGGAAGAGCGAGTACAAGGACTACAACGCCACTGAGGATGGCACCGAGCAGCCCGCTGCCGCACAGTCCGAGGCGCCCGTTCCCGCCCCCGCGGATGAGGAGTCCGAGCCCGAGGCCGAGGCCGACGATGACAAGAAGAAGCGCAAGCGCCACGACGGCGAGACCGCTGAGGAGAAGGCCGAGCGCAAGCGCAAGAAGAAGGAGAAGAAGGAGAAGAAGGAGCGCCGGAAGTCCAAGCAGGCTGAGGACAGCGATGACAGCGACTAGACGTCCCCAGGAAGACCAGTCACCGGCCTGGTCTAGTTCCTGTATCATATTTTCTGTTTTTACTTTCTTACTTCTGGAGTCTTGGGTCAAAAGGGAATCTGTCGGTTTGAAGATTTATAGTTGCTCGATTCCTATTCGAATCCTAAATATGTTCTTGTACCGCGAGGACCTCTGTATTTTCCTTGCTGTTAGTTTTGCTTTTTCAGAGGTTGGCCAGGCTCGTTGATGCCATCATGTAGATTCGGCACGATATAAACCACCCTACAAACTCCACACTGTGCTTTACGGAGGACAGCCTGATGGGAGGGTGAGCAGGCCGCAGAAGCTAGCTCAACGAATAGAACATGCTCGCTCTGTTCACGCGAGAATCGCTCGTTAGATCTGCGACCAACCAACCGAATTGGCATCCATGTGCCACGCTGATCCATGGATGCTGCTCTCATTGCGCCACAGCAGATCCTGATATAGTACATACACACGGTCGTGCTGCAAGGCTCCATGCCTCCATGCTCGTGGAAATACATTCTTCTATGGTCTCCGATCCGGATCGGGCACTAGCAAGAAAGTCCATCTATGGAGGGATAAGCCTGTGACCCTTCCATGGACCCCCCGTTGCCAGAACTATATTTCACCATACAGGTAACCGAATATACTAAATCGGTGGGCATTCATCGGTGGGTGGCCCACGAAACCCAGCATCGGTAGTTCGCAAAACCGGAACAGAGAACTGTTGGCACCGCGGAACCACGGGAAGCCACCCCGGGGCATTTTGGTTGTACCCCAGATCTCTCCAGTTTTTGTCGGCAGCCATACTTGGCGGCTCGATGGATTTTGCTGGAGCCCTGCTTCAAGACAGGTTTGGCTTGGTAGATTGGGAAAAAAATGACGACCGATGACATTCCTCGCTCGCCTCGTTTTCAGCCAGCAGCCTCATTTGGCTGCTTGAACCTTGTTGGCACGTCATGACAGTGGAAAGAAAGACAATTCATAGACTCTCATCCATGTTCATTGGTTTCTCTATTCATGTGACTCTCTTCGTGATGGCGTCACTGCGTCTCTGCTGAGGACCATCCCGTCCTACTTCTGATCCAAGTCAAAGGTGCGAGGTATATAAAGCCGTTGACTATACCAAGCTTTCAAGCTCTCAAGCTTCCAACCTATCAATCTTTCCATCTATCAATATCTTCAGTATCCAGCAACATCACCAATTGGAACTTGCACATTAACTTATCAGACCTACTTCCTATCATGTCCAACTTTATGCACAAAGTCAAGGACGCCATGACCGACCCGCATGACAAGGATACTCGCGGCTGGAGAGCATCTAACCGCGATCAGACCGGATCATCGAACCCTTCCACAATGGATCAGGGTGCGAACCAGTATAGCTCTTCTGGCATGGACCCTTCTTCTGGCGGGCGCCCTACTACTCAAGACTCTGGCCCTCGCTTTGGCCAAGAGACGGGTGGTCAGCGCGACACCAGGTTCGATGGTTGGTCTCCGAGACTTCTTCTCTCTCCACTCTCTTCTCTGATCAAGATACTAACCGAATGTGCGCAGATACGCGGAACCGAGGCGATTCCTCGAACACCGGGGTAGATGATAGCGCTCGAGCGGGCTCTGATCCCTACGGAACCATCAATGCTGGTCCGCACGAGTCGAAGACAGCCAACAAGCTGGACCCTCGTGTCGATAGTGATCTAGGTAAGCTGAAAGGCTCCCTTGGTTGTGAACAACACCCGGGCTAGCTAGCCCCGACTCAAGCATTTGAAACGTCCCATCGCATACCAATGTGCCCTCCATATATGCCTGGCACGATCTCCTGCGAGCCATAGTCAGAGTCATGTTGGATCCCGCATTGTGTCCTAAAGCTTCAGAACTAAGTCAAGACGGTTGATAGATAACCGCGCCCGAAACACGAGAGCCACGGGCTCCCAAAATCCGAACTACGCCGCCCAAACCGGTCAGCGCGGCATGGGAACTGGTCAGCGCGGCATGGGCACTGACGAACATGCGTCGAGCGAGGACAACTTTAGCAGCTCCAAGCAGGAACACAAAACTCACGCCCAGCCCGACCCCGCCGGGCTCGACAATCAAAGCAGTGAGGACAAATTTAGTAGCTCTACCCAGGAACACAAATCCCACTCCTCCCAGAAGCATACGGAGCCTTGCGACATGAATCCCCAAGCCGAGGCAGGCCTCGAGGGTCGGACCGGTCAGCCACAGTTCGGTGGCGGCGCAACTGGTGGCAGCAGCTATCACGACCCCAGCGCAGGCGCCCGAGAGCCATCTGCTCCTCAGAAGTCCGAGCGCCTCAATAAACTTGATCCTCGGGGAGTGAACCGCGCGGATGAGCAACAAAATGTTGGCAATCAGCGGGGCGGATACTAAGCGGGTCATAGTTCTTGTCGTTTGACTATTAGTTTTATTGTATTTTCGAGTTTCTGTACTACCTTTCGCCATAAGAATGAATGCTACTGTGGATATTCTGTCAGTCAGAGGTCCCTATGTTCCACACGTCATATGTAAAGAAAGTAAAAGAAACGTGATGCAGCACGCTGGGTCTGACTTGTTGATCTCGTGACCGAGCCCGTCTCCGCATTCCCGAACCGTCGACCTTCTCCTCACCTCGACATTCTGGCAAAGAGCAACGAGCACAAACAGACTCCGCCAGACGCGATAAATCAGATCCAAGCCCACTGCCAATATGGCCGCCGAGCTAACCTCTATCAAGCTCAACCCAGAGAGCCACCTGATCTTAGTAAGTCCGCTAGTAATGCAGCGGCCAAAACGTCATCGCATCACCGGCGCTGGGAAACTAACCGCGCGCATTAAACAGGACCAGCCACTCCTGCGCCTGCCACATGAACTAGCCCGCCGCAACTTCAAGACAGTCCAACGGGTCGTCGAGCGCGAAAAAGAATATGTCCTGCCAGCGCTCAAAGAGGCGGCGAACGCCTCGCTATCGAACACCCACACGCCGGACCAGACCCTCGCCGCACTGGACGCCATGATATCCCGCATGCAAGGACTGAAACGGAAGATGCAGAGTCTGCAGGAGGAGGAGAAGAAGATCCAGACCCAGTCTCGGAAACGGATCCAGCACCTGGAGACGCTGCACAAGATTCCCAGTTTGGCGGATGTCAAGTATGACCAGTGGTCGCGCGTGCGGCTGGATCGGTTGCTGGTGGACCATATGCTGCGGTCGGGATACTCGGAGAGTGCGAGCCAACTAGCGAAAGAACGGGATGTCGAGGATTTGGTCGATCTGGAGGTGTTTACGCAGTGCCAGCGGGTTGTGGAGAGCTTGCAGCGCGGGGAGACGAAGGAGGCGCTACAGTGGTGTGGCGAGAATAAAGCTGCTCTTAAGAAGAGTCAGGTATGTTTGTACTTTTCTCCTTTCTTTTCTAAAAAAGAAAATCAGGTCAAGAGCCGATTCTGATCAGTGTCCCAGCACAATCTCGAATTCGAGCTCCGGCTGCAGCAGTATATCGAGATGGTTCGGACACAAGACCAGTCGAAGAAGATCGATGCCATCAACCACGCCAGGAAGTATCTGGTCTCCTACCAAGATCCCGACAGCAAGGAAATCCAACGAGCAGCGGGTATGCTTGTCTTCGCCCAAGATACGAGGGCGGAGCCCTACAAGGTAAGAAGTAGAGCCGGCCACCCCGGAGAGACTTTCCTTCGACTCACATAGCACAGACATTCTTCTCGCAAGATCGGTGGAGGTTCCTATCAGATCTATTCGTCAAAACTCACCACGAGCTGCTATCCCTGCCATCGCAGCCATTATTGCACATCGCCCTATCCGCGGGTCTGTCCGCGTTGAAGACACCCTTGTGCCACTCCGCCTACACCTCGTCCAGCTCCAACTCACAGTCCACGACGACCTCCGTGTGCCCCATCTGTTCGACAGAACTGAACGAGCTGGCGCGCAAGATGCCGTACGCGCACCACTCCAAGAGCTACGTGGAAGGCGACCCGATCGTGCTGCCCAACGGCCGCGTCTACGGGAAGGCACGGCTGATGGATATCAGCAAGAATGTCGGGTCGGTCGAGTCAGGCAAGATCAAGGACCCGACGACGGGCGAGGTCTTTGGCGAAGACGAGATGAAGAAGGTGTACATCATGTAGAGGGTTGCGACCAGATCGGAATCCGCGCACTACCGCAATGCGCACTGTAATGAGCATAAATGCACAGCCAGAAGCACCCAGCCAGAATCTGAACTTTTAATTACTCGCTATCACTCTCCCCATCCCCATCCCTATCCCTCTTCTTGTTCTTCTTCCCTGCCCGCGGCGCCTCCTGCCTAACCTCAAAAACGTACATCCTCGCCAAACGGTCCTCCCCACGCCACCCTCCCCTCCCACCATCCTTCCCTTCCACCTCGCCCAGCGTTCTGGCATGCGAATAGCCTTGGTACTCAGCCCAGGGAAACTTAAAGCTGGTCACAACCTGCAGCCCAGCGTGACGGGCCAGATCCTTGATATTCCACAGGGTATACGGCTCGCCGTCGAAGAGCGAGACAAGGATCTGGCCGGGGCCGGTGCGAACAGCCTTACCGGACGTTTGATCATCTCCATCTCCACCTCCATTCTCACCCTCGCTATCTTCGTCCTCCGATTCCTCGTCCTCTTCCCACTCATCCTCCTCCTCATCTTCATCCGCCGGCACCGGGGCCGCTGAAAGCAACGGTACACAGGCCTTGAAAAACGCCACCAAAAGCTCCTGGTTCGCGCGCACCTGCCGGTTCACATCTGTTGAGAGCCCGCCCACATGCGGGAAATTGAAGCATATCACATCCCATGGCCCGCTGGGCGGGGGTGGCGGGGCCGGCCTAGCTGGCGTAGCTTGCGCCTGCGACTGCTGGTGCAGTTTCCAGGCGGGAATTTTGCGCTCTTTGCGGGGGAAGCCGTTGCGAATGTCTTTGCCGCCGCCGGCTGGGGCGCCGAGTTTGCGGGCGTCGACGGAGAAGAGGACTTTTGGATTGGGGTGATAGGTTGATGGGGTGGGTGTAGATGTAGACTGAGGTTGGTCGTCGGGTTGGTCTTGAGAATCAGACGCAGACTCGTTCGCGTCCGCGTCTGCATCTGTAGGCTTGGACTTGGACTTGGGTTTTGAGGAGTCCAAAATCTCCTGGATGTGCTGCTTTGCTTGGGGGTATTTGCTGAAGAGCGTCTCCTGCGAGTCGTAGCAGGTGGCGCACAGTTTGCGACATTTGTATTGCTTCGCCAGGGAGCGCGCAAAGGAGAAGTCACCTAGTGGTTGGTTAACTTGACTGCCCCATGAAAAAAAAAAAAAAAAAAGTAATTCTGATGCGATTGAAAGCAGGTGGAATATCAGAAATGCATTGCTAAAGGAGGAGCCGTAGCCGCCTCCCTTTCCATCTTCTATGACGGCCATATCCAGGCTTCACCCTGAATCGCCCAGAATCGCCCAGGAAAATGTTTAGATATCCCAGAACAAGTCAAGGTCAATATAGCATAATATTTGAAAAATGCTAATGAATGAAGGAAAAAAAAAGCAAACATGCGGTAATCGAACATAAAAACCAAAAAGAAAGACTCGTGCTCACCTTCACCAACCAACAAAATGCGATCCCCTCTCAAAAACGGCACAATGGGCCTCTGATTCATGTGCAGCTGCTTCTTCTGACTATGTTCTTTCACAGCGCCGCCAGCCCCAGAGTCTTGCTTGGAGCCTTTATTCGTGGACGCAGACGCAGACGCAGGTCCAGACTTGGCCGGACCGCCAGGACGATGAGCGCGAGGCGGCGGACCACCCTTTTGCTTCTTGCGAGGCATAACGCAGGGGACCAAGTCCAATTCAATCGGGTGAATAGGCGAATTGATGTACTGGAGCGCGTGTGAAGGTCTAAGTTGTTGCGGAGAAGTAGTCAATATACTCCACAGAAAGAAAGAACGAGGTGAAAAAACGCGGGTCGTCTCGGCCGATCTAAGATCCGGGCTTGATTAACTATGAGAAATGGGGGTGGGGTTCCCGAGCGAGATATATTGAACAAGACCTGCGTTATCTCGGCGCAACCTTATTAAAGGCTTTGTTACCTACCATCTGGAATGAGGGTGCTATGTGATATGCTATCCACTGAAGACCGTTTGTCTCACTAGTAGCCTTTGTATCTCATCATCGTTAAGCTCCGGTCTCCGCCACGACTACCCAAAATGCCCGGACGTTTATCGCAAGACTTGGACAGGGTTCCTTGCGAGAGCAACAACATGATACCCATGCCCAGGATTAGACGACAGGACAGAATGTTGCGAGAAAAGGACACGTTCTATTGCAACTCGGCATAGCTATATACACGAAACGAGCAGAAAAGACCAGGCTATGCCCGCAAGTAAGACACCAAGAAAATATTACTATAAATCATATTGCGAGCCCAAAACGAGCAGGCCCGTTTGGCCAGCTCCCCATCCGCTTTCCCTTAAGAGAAAAAGGGTCGAGCAGGAAGGAGAAGAGGAGTCAAGGACGAGAGAAACAGGGTCGAGTAGAAAAGAAAAGAAAGAAAAAGGAAATGGAAAAGCCCCTAACACCAAAAGGACCGGATCGACCCTTCAACCCACAGAAAGCACGGGCACCGACGGCTGCAATGAAACGTGAATCATACACATGCAAGAAAAACAAAAGGCTTCCCCACGGCATGCATGAGAAATGGGTGATGCACAGGGTCCCATGACGCCCCCAGGGAATCAACCTCAACCCAAGGGAGGAAGAAACCTGCCAAGCAGGGACAGAGGACAAGAACAAGGACAACAAAGAATGGTCATTTCATCTATTTTCTTTTACGCAGCTCCTGACATTGAACTTTCAATGCAAGCAAGCCCAACTCAACTCAAGAGCGCAGCGAGTCACGCATACTCTGGCTGCTCGCACTCACGAGCGGGTTGGAAGTAGGCAGGACGCCGGTCTTCGGCCTCGCGTTTTGCTTGATCTTGGCCACAGCGTAGACGAGACCGGAGACGAAGCCGACGACGATGGCAGAGACGCTGGGGAAGGTGACGGGGGCGTCGAAGAAGACCAGTCCGGAGACGGCAATGGGGAGCTTGTTCAGGGCGCCAACCATAGAGTAGGTGGTGGAGGAGGTGACGCGGACGCACCAGGCGGAGGTGTAGGAGATGAAGACGGAGGAGACGCCGGTGATGACCATGGCGAAGAAGATGCCGTTGCGGTTGGCCTCGGGGAAGTTGCGGGCCAAGTTGGCCGCGGACCAATCCTCGACGAGGAGGGTGGCGACAATGAGGACGGGAATGGAGAGGAGGTTGTTGTAGAACATGGCTAGAACACGTGTGTTAGAATGGGGCCTACTCTCAAGCGCAAAAAAAAGCGGCGCGGAAACCGTGGAGGGTACATACTGTCAAAGTCCTTGAAGTTGGTCAACTTGATGCGCTTGCGCATGCCGAGCACATATGACGAGGTGCACAGGCAGTTGACCATCATCCAGACGTAGCCAGCATTCAGAGTGGAGACCTTGCTGCTGGTATCGCCGTTGCTCTCGACGGCGTGCTTGATGTCGGCCCAGGCGGCGATGATGGAGCTGAGAACCATCAGGCCGAAGGAGAAGAGAGTCATGTTGGTGACGGAGCCACCGAACCAGAGGACCTCACCATAGGCGATCAGGATGATGGTCAAGTTCTTGAAGATGGTGTAGACAGGGATGGAGAGGAACTGGAGGGCCTTGGAGCCGGTGTAGATCATGCCGATCAGCAGGAGGGTGATGGGGAACCCTATTTAGAGAACGGGGGAAGAAAGTCAGTCTGGGATTTTGGTTTCCTCAAGGATGCAGAATGGAATGAATGGACGATGGCTGTCTTACACTTTCTGGCCTCGTCGGTGCTGAAGTCACGGTAGGTAATAAGGCCCATGGACTTGCACGTTTGGATGGCACCGATACAAACAATGGACTAGAAAAGGGATCAGCAAACGAGACTCGACAGAGCGCCTTTCCCAATGGATCAATATAGCCGCTTACCTGGATCATGAGCAGCAAAAAGTTCAAGTTGAAGTCCAAGCCCGACAGAACATACTTGTTCATCACGGTCATCAGGATGGAAGAGCCGCAATACGCCAGAACCGGCAGGGCCGGGCTATTCGAGATGGCGGAAGGCGGCGAGCTCACGGTGCGGGACAAGGGAGTGGGCGCAGGCTCGAATTCCTTGGAACCCTGATCGAGCTTGTCCATCTCGACAGTGTAGTCGTCTGTCTTCTTGTCTTCGACCATGATGGCGGAGTAGCCCCAAGGGGGAATGAGGCAGCGTGGTAGAAAAGGAGAGGGCGGGAGAGGGTAGGAGGAGGAGGAAGAAGCGAAAGAAAGGCTGAAGCGCAAAAGAGCGAAGAGGCGTCAAGAAACCAGACGGATGGCAGAGTTGAAACAGCGGAGCGTACACGACGCGCGAAAAAGACCCCCAAGGGGAACAGAACTTTTGACCGGAGGCGGCGTGCTTAGCTCAGCAGAGGCTTAGGGGGGCTGAGTCAGCCGGACCCGTCGGCCCTGGCCCACGCTAAGGACAGGTACGGCGACGACTACGACGACTTGGGATGTTGGAGAGTTAGTCAATGGATTAGTTTGGTTAGTTAATTATACCAATTTTGGGAGATAAGCTCTTAACTGGCTGTGATCGCCCCATTCGATCCAGTGATACTGGCGGTTCATCGGCCTATCTTGAGATCTTCGGGGACTGCTGAGGACCGTTGACTACAGTTAAACGGTGCCCGTTGCATCGCCTGTTTTCCCGAGTTTACCATGGCCCTGCCCCTGACGGAAACTAACTATAGTCCAACTACAACTATCCACAACTTCACGATCGAACGGATGGCCCCCGAGAGACAATATCACTATTTCCCGAAGAATAAAGGAGAGAACCGACAGACATTCCTCTATAGCATAAAGAACTCGCAATTCAAAGTAACCAAGTTTCGACGACTCGGCTTCATTTCTTTAGGACTGTCTTTCTGTCCATCTTTCTAGGTATCTTGTGCACGACCGTTTGGTACAATTTCTGGCCACCCATCCACCGTCTTATCGGCTAGTGGAGTATTAAACTGGACTACCAAGCTGTGAAATATCAACGGTCTATATTATTCGCGCAAGTATGGAATGATATATATTCTAACCCAAAGCCATGAAGTGAAGTTGAATCTAAATCATAATCCTCCTAGGTCACTGAGCAGTGTTGACCGAACGGGCGTAGCTCACGACACGCCGACGCGGTGGAGCTAGCAGACCCGCACTCCTCCCCCTCCACCACCCCGAATCATCCCATGGGCAACCTTCTACCTTCACGCAACCTTCCTTCAACCTCGACCCTTCACCTTTCAACCTCAATTGCCACTGCCCCTCCCATTTCAATCCCACGCAACACAAGCCACAGCTGTCCAGCATCCAATTGCCCCAACCCATCTCCCTAAAAACCACAACACACCGCCGAACACCCCCACCCAAAAAAAAGAGAAAATGCCAGCCGACTCCGACGACGAAGCCCTCTTCGCTGCCCTCGAAAACGAAGAAGCTCCCAGCTACCGCGACACGCGCATCCAACAACTGAACGCGGAATTTGCCTCCGCGAAAACCAATCGCAGCACCAATACCGCCAACCCCAGCGGAGCCAGCGCAACACTCGCCCACAATGAGTCCTACCCGACCCTAACATCCGACCAAGCCGTGCTAGATCACACAACATCCTCCAGCCGAACGATTGTGCACTTTGCGCACGCGGATTTCGGACGGTGCGAAGTGATGGACCGCGCGCTGGTGCAGCTGGCCGGGCTACATTATGAAGTACGCTTTGCGCGGGTGGACGTGCGGAATACGCCGTTCTTGGTGGAGAAGCTGGGGATTCGGGTTTTGCCGTGCGTGATTGGGTTTAAGGATGGGCTTGGCGTGGAGCGGGTGGTTGGATTTGAGGGGCTTGGGGAGAGAGGGTTTGACCCGGTCCCTGAGCCTAACGGGGGCGGGGGGGTGTTTAGTGTGGGTGTTCTGGAGAGGAGAATGGTTGCGAAGGGCGTTTTCGTAGCGGTTAAGGCTGGTGGTGGGGACGGGAGTGACAACGAGAGTGACCATGACAGTGATAGGGGGAGGAGGAGGGGAGGGAGAAAGTTGAAGTCGAAGACTATTCGGGGTGCGAAGGTGCAGATGGATGAGGATGATGATGATGATTGGGAGTGAGAGAGGTTGAGGAGGAGCATGGTCGAGCGTCACGGATCAAGGACTGGTGATGATTTCCAGTCTATCTGTACATGATATAGGAATACTGGATATACACCCGTACGGGATATATGAGATAGGATACCGGATATCCCCCCAGCAGACGCCCTGCCACATACGAAAGTTCAGAAACCAGACCCTAAACCAAAGGGAAACGAATTGGAACCAGATACTCAAGAAAGTGCAGAGCACGAAGACTGCATCATCATAGAATTACAGGCCAATATCGATGAGGAAAAGGCTCGGAGACCATAAGGACAGAGCCGGTTCGATGGTGAGTCCCCCAAAAAGCACGCGCACGAGAATAAGACAAACAAGAAAAGCTCCCTAGAGTTACAACAAATGCCGCAAAGCCACAGGACCGGAGAGAAACACAATTGTAAAGAGAAAAAGGATAAAGGGAAGAAAAATGCTATACACGGAAGCAGAAGTGGAAGCGAAAACGGAAGCGGAAGCAGTGGCACATAGATCCAGAAGTTCGTGTCATTGACGCCTGCGTTGCCCTGGAAATGGGACGAAAAAAAAAGAGCCCAGTGAGAGCGAGAGGTAGAGAGGTGGCGTGGACAAAGACACAGCAAGAAAGGGACAAGGAAGGGAAAGAGAAAGAAAATTCAAGACACCTTCCGCGCGAGCACGAGCTCCAGCTCTAAATGGCCACGTTCTTCATTTCCCCGAGGACCTCCGAATTCATGGCATTGGAAGATTCCGCGCCGTCGCTCTTTTCCGTCTTCTCGGCCTCGGACGGCTTCACGTCATCTGCCTTCTCCGGGAAACCCTCGTTCTCCTTGTTGGAGATCTGCGGTGTGGCCACCTCCATCAGGTCTTCCATCTGTTCTGCCTCCTTGTTGTGCTCCCGGGGATCCTCCGAGATCGTCGGGCCTGCGGGGCCAACGGTACTGGAGGTCTCCTCCGTCACGCGGGCCAGAGGGCTGGACACCCCAAATGGAGTCTTGGGGCTCTGCGCGGAGCCCTTGGAGAACCGGTGCGGCGAGCGGCCGCGCTCATCGGCCCGAGTCGGGCTGCCATATGGCGAGTCCCGGCTGCTGGACTTGCCGGAGGCATTCGCGCCCAGGCCGTTGGGACCACGTCGGCGCGGCGCTCGGCGGCCGTACTTCTGATCTGCCCGCCAGCGCAAGATTTCCAAGTATGACGGCTCAACATTTTGCGACTTGAACTCCTTCAGCTTCATTTCATTGGTCTCCTCGTCGACCACGGCCTTGCCGCTGCACAGGTCGTCCGCGAAAGCGGCCAGGAAAGCGGCCCACGACCGCGCAATGACATATTTACAGTCGTAGTCGCGGCCGAAGATGATCACCTGGCCCCATTTGCCGGCTGGACCGGGTGCCAGGTCAATGGCGATGTGGTTGCCGCCCCAATCACGGGCGAGGGGAATCCAGCCATGGTGGGCATATACTTTCTGCACGGCACCGGGAGGCTGCGAGTCCTGGCGGTCAAGCAGGTCATTGCGCCAAGCACCCGTGTTGCCTTGTTGCTGAGAGGACGCGGCGGCGGAGGACGAGCTCGCGGCGGAGCTGGAGACCGGGGGAGGAGGGGCCGCATCGTGAATCGCGGCGGCGTTCAGGAACTCATCATTCACAGTCTTCCAGTTCCTCCGCTCCTGCACAATCTCTTCACAGTCCAGCAGCATGGAGCTGAAAAGGACGCCTGTGGGCAGACCAGGCCGCTCCTGGCCATCATGGATCATCAGCGACTCGCGCACCTCTAATGGCAGAGTGCAATCTAACTCGTGTTCCAATTCGTTAATATCGTTCTGCGTGCACCCTTCACCGAGATTATCCAAGAGCTCCTCATAGTTGTGTTCCAGCCACCGCTCAATTTTGCGCCAGGAGTGAGCGACCGGGGGCGGAGGCGGCGCCCCGTCATGGAAGCTCTGCATCTGGATCTCCGCCGCGCCATCAGCCTGCTCGTTCGATCCGCGCTTTTGGGACGCGAGCGACCGCATCCCCGGCGAGTAGGGGCGGGTTGGGGAGCCCACATCAGTTGGAGAACCGTTCCATTCAGTCGCTTGTGCGGATGCCGAGCCCTTGGTTGGCTCGTCGTCGTAGGGACTGGAGAGGTCGGGGCGGGACTCGATTGCGCTAGTAGCAATGGAGGTGAGAGGTTCATGGCGGCTTTGACTGAGGGGGACGTGTTGGCCAGTCCGGTAGGGCGAGTCGTGGGAGGCATGACGGTCATAGGAGGTCATGGTATGCCAGAAGGAGCGCCATGCCGAACCGAATCTAGAGGGCCAGGGGGTCAGCGATGAACAGGATTCTGGAGGGCGCTAGAAGCGTAGCAGCAGAGCAGAGCAAGACAAAAGACCGGGAGGGCAGTGAGGGCAGAGGGGGAGAGAAGAGGGGGGGGAGGCACGTACGCGTTCGCCATGGTGTTAGGATGGGGAGGGGAGGTGGATTTTGTCAGAAAGGAAACAAGAGGGCGGTCATTGGCGACCTAGTCTCCGATGGGATCGGCGAGAGCGACAGACGTGAGTCAACGAGTCGATGTGAGGTCAGAGGAGTATTGTAAGGGGAGGAGTACAAGGAGGAGTAGAGAGGGTTAGAGAGTGTAGAGGGCTGAGAGGGTGTAGAGGGTTAGGTAAGGTCTGGCAGGCACGAAAAATATGATAGATGGTCCTTTCCCCGTGATTTGAAGGATCCGCCTTGACCAACTTTTTAGACTACTCCTCCCTCAACCGCGTAGCCGAACCAACCTGGTTCTGGTCTGCTGGCCGTGCTGGTGGACTGTGCTGGTTGTGACTGCGCGGGTTGGCTGCGCTCGTCAACTCAGCACCCCTGGCCGCATCCAGGTCCATGAGCGCCAGGCATGCAGATCATGATGTCGCCGCCGAGCGCAGCATGCCAGTCCTTCCCATGTTGGCTCTCCTCTGACTACTGACCTCAATGATGACCATCCCGTCAACCTATGTCATATCGATCCTGACGTACATACACGAGATGCATCCAGTCCACCTAAAGTGCTGACGGGAGAGTTCAGCACGCGGGCGCGAGGCAGCACTACCACGACTACATTGTTGACACGACAAATACCCTGAAGCGGCAGCGGAGCCTTCCTCGATGTTCCAAGAACGAAAGACCGGAATAGGCTCATTATGACAATGATTCATTACAATCATTATTATGACGGGGATTAAGGCAATTCGCCCTCCTCGTGCCTCAGCCACTTCTCTGCCGTGGCGTCCACCCTCTGGCCCCAAATTAAGCTTCATCAGGTCCGAGACAAGATCGACCGCCAGACGCAAAGAAAGACAATAGACCCCAGGATCAATTAGTGTCGGCCCCAGTAATGGCCTATCGCGCGCACGGCATAGACCAAAACACCAACAGGACAGGAAGTCAAAGAGAGTCCACCTCAATCGCCCAGCAAGTACTCCGTACCCCTGCCATGCTTTCGCAGGATGTACCTCTCGGTGTACTCGAGTACCTTTTTCCCTCGGGTTAACCATGGAGCCCCCCCCCATCCCCTCCCACCGCGGGACCCAATCTCGCAGGGGTATAAAATTAGCAGTTGGCCCAGACAAATCCGAGTGGAGCAGGCCGCCCCGAGCGCACACTCGACAGCGTGGCGTCGCGACCAGATTAAGGGGTTGTGGGAAACACCCACGTAACGGCTGCGTAGCCAGAGACAACCACGTATGGATGTCCCCAATAGAGTACTGAGAACTCCGTACTCGTGAGAGTGAAAAAGCCACTCGCACGAGGTGCATCCATACTACCACGGTACCTAAGTAACTACTAGGGGTCCAATCTAACTAGTTGCTTGGCTAGTTGTCCCCCTCGGCAAGCACGCCTTCGAACCCTGTTCTGACCCCCTTCTAATTGAGATCAGCGCCGGGGAAGCAAACCATGCCGTTGTCGGGGCCTCTTCGCAAGAAGTGTTCCAGTGGAGAGCGGGTGGAGAGTGCTTCGGCGAGTGCCGTGGCTCGAACGGAGTGGCTAGGGGGGCTCCACGAGCGCCCGGGCGGGCGGTGATTCGGCGTCTCAACAGTGTGGCGGGCAGGTTCAGAGAGGCCGGTTCGCTTCGAGGCTTGGCCTTGCGTTTGCTCCCTACGAACTTTATACACCGTAGGCATATGTATGGAGGAGGGAGATAGGCGTGCGCTGGGAATTAGTTCAGGGGGGACTAGTTATGGTCATGGGTTTCGTGTAGGAGGAAAAGATAAATTGTATCCTCCGTAAGGGTCAGGGTCACGGGTATGACTCCCTTTGAATAAGTAAGATCAGATGAATGCAAGTCTAGCTGGGCATGGTTATCGTCTGATTTCTACAGAGTACTTCTCTGCAACTCGCCTGTCGCCGTGCAGGGCTTTTACATGATAGTCCTGACAAGCAAGGCGGGAATGGGAGTTCCTTATATTACCTTTTACTCCGACTTTCTCGGTAGTCAACACTCGAGTTGGACTGCGATAGAGACCTAACCTTGTCTTCCATCTCGATTCCTATTTCTCAAATGTATTGATGTCATATCCCAGGAGCAACAACTTGCCTAATTACACATCCCTCGAAGGCCCAGTTGGGACTAGGGGTACAGCTACAGCTACAGAAGGGCGTCTAAAAGACCTGCACACGATAAACGAGCGGATGGCGTGATTTTCACACCGAACAAGCAGTCAGAGTACACTAATAACAAAACTGGGACCAAACAGACCCGGCAAACGAAGCGGAATACATGGCAGCGCACCGCACCGCATCGACGACCACAACCACCGGAGCAGTCCGTCATCCCCGCAGCAAGCGCCCGCACACGAGGGGAAAACCAAAAGAAAAGGAAGAAAGCACAAACTAAGCAAGAGAGTGACCGTCTCGCCGAGACACAAACCAGCGAATGCAGATGCAACCACAAGAAAACCACAGCCACCGACAAGCTAATGACGCATTGCGTGCGCTTCAGCCAGCCAGCCAGCCACCCAGGCGCCGTGCGACTGAAAAAACAAGCACAAGCACAGTGCATTTGCAAAACCGATCCCGACTCCGAATGATGCAAATGAAAGCGGCCCGACTTCGCCAAACCCGAACCGAACCAAATTGACCCAAGCCAGCCGAGCGGAATCGAACCAAACCACGTCAATGTACCGAGACTGGAAGCAAGAACCTATGCATCACATGAAACACCGCCCAAGTAAGCACCGTTGTCGTTGTCGTTGTCATTGTCATTGCGAGGGAGAGAAGGCAGAAGCATGAACAGAAACAGAAGGGAGATATGAGATGGCAAGGGAGAAGAAAAAGGTAGAGAGGGCGATAGAAAGATCAGAACACGAGCCGCCCAGGTAACACAGGAGAATAGGGACATCCGTGGACCCAGTCCAGGGTTGTGTACATGTTCACCAGTGGAACCGATGCATGCAGCCGTCAATCACAAAGAAAGGGACATAACAAATGAAAAGAGGCAAGGTTCTTGAAGAGGTGTGATAAAGTCAAGTGTGCGCGGAAATAAAATCATGTGCATATCATCATCTCGAAAATGCCCATTCATCAAGAAAATCAAGAAAAAGGGAAGCCTCAAGCAGCAAAAGACCTCTGCAAGCCGCTGGATGGTATGCCTGGCCCCGGGGCCTGAGTCGCATCCAGCTTTAGGATTCGCCGCAGGTCATCCTCCATTTTCTTGGTGTCAAGAGACTTGGAGGGAGAAGGGGAATTAGTTGGCATGGCGAAGGCTGCTTGGGTGTACTGAGGCTGGGGCGAGACAACGGCGGGATGCGACACCGACGCGGTAGGCGCCGCACAGTGACCATTTCCGTAGGGTGTTGGTGACGAATGCCCAGAGGGGTAGCCGTTGCTGTGGTAGCCATTGCTGTGGTAGCCATTGCTGTGGTAGCCATTGCTGTGGTGGGCATTGCTGTGGTAGCCATTGCTGCGGCCATTGACGCGAGGAACTTCGCGTCTTAAAGGCGAGGTTGTGTTCCGGAGTGGCTGCGAGCCATTGGCGTGGGAGTAAGGGTAGGAAGGACGACCAGCGTTGGTGGTGGTGGGGTGCACCGGCTGTTGCTGGCCGGCAGAGTAGCCTTGCGAGAGGGTAGCCGGGGGACCTGAGGAGGTTCGCATGGGAGTTGCGTAGTGGGGAACGGTCGAGTTGATATTGGGACGATGAGGCCCATAGTAACCCGGCTGCGCTTGAACTGGAGGAGACGCTGACGAGGATGGCGGGTTTTGGGGACGCGGGTTAAGCAACATGTACTTCAACTGTTCGGTCTTTATGCGCCGCTGGTCTTCAGTAGTGGCATCTGGAGCGGGAGCGGAAGCGGAAGACTGAGACGGGGAACTAGCGGATCGCAAAGCGTTCATGCGGTCCTGATACGAGGGAGCAAATGAAGGTCCGATTGGGGAAGCGCGCGCGCGCTCATTTTCCAGGTCCATTGGGAACATCCCGCCCGGCGTGTGGTTGGGATTCGAAGGAAGCACTTTGGAATCGGTGTGCGGCGAGCGCACGCGAGTAGCCACTTCGGGACTGCTCATGGAATTCGGAGTTCGAGCCTGCACAGCAGCCTTGAAGAGGAAATCAAGAGGCGAGGGTTGCGCTTTGACCTCCGCCGCCGCAGGTTGCGCGCGAGCTGCTCTGGGCTTTGACGGAGTGGTTTCCAGGTCTGGCTCCATGTCCGCATTATCACTATCAGTCTCGAGGGTCGGCGCAAGGTCAGATTCAGGGAAGGATTTGGAGAAGAAGCTCGGAATTGGCAATGCCGATGGGGCAGGTGAGGCATGGAAGGTTGGGCCTGCGTAGGCCGCGGCGCCGTCCTTCACCTGGGGAGTCGCGAGGCTAGACTGCGAGTGCGTGTGTCGATGTCCATTATGATTCGGTGCGGGTGAAGCTCCATTGGTGTTCCGAGGCTGGGGCTTCTTGCCCGAGCGCAAGGGCTTCTTCTTGGAATGAACATTGGCCGACGAGTCTGTCGCGATCCCGGCCGGACTCATATTGCGCGGCGGGGACGATGGTGGGGTACTCAGCAAGGTAGACTTCTGTGTATGCGGAGTAGCATTCTTCTTCGGCAGTCGCCGGTTATTGTTGTTGTTGGCGGTACTTGTATTGTGATTCCGAATGCCTTTGGGGGTGGGTGGATGAGGAGATTGGGCCGACATGGTGACGGATGTTTTGGCTTAAGAAATAGGCAGCCTGTGGGAAGATGGTGAAGAAAGAGACACAGAAAACAAAAAGGTCGAAGACGCTGAGAAGAACAACGGTAAGGATATATCAGACGAGGAGAAAGCTCAGTCACTGCTCAGCAGCTGTCGACAGTATTAGAGATATTCCAACGGCGGAGAAGCAGAGCAAGAACGAGCAGATGTACGGCGGTTTTCAAAGAGAGACACCGGGTACACAATGGCAAATGAGGTCTACAGCGTAGAAGAGAGAGGCACGAGCGAATCGCACGAGAAAGACATGTCTAACGGAGATGGTAAGAAGGGTGGGTGGTTGAAAGAGGAAGAGGAGAGGAGGACAGTCATAAGGTGACGGCAGTCGCAGCGGGGGATGACTAAGACCTCCGCCACCCGCCTGCCTTTGCCCAGTCCAATCAGCTAACAAGTCAATTCCCAGCCCTGGAGTGCTTGAACAAACACAACCAAACACCTCAGGCAACAGGTGGGGGAGCTTAGTCTTTGAGGCTCCGTCACCGTCCACTAGTTATTATTCCTTATCAACGCCATCCTCTCACCTCCAAGGTTACCGCTACCACCCGCCAGGCCCGACCACTACACTTCCCCGAGGTCCTCTCTGTAACCCTTCTCTTCCCCGACCCTCCATCCATCTACCCCCCGCGCCTCCAACTCCGACCACAACCACCCCTCAACAACCACAACCATGGCGGACGTCGAAATGAAGGAAGCCTCCGGATCTGCATCCAAGGGCAAGGCCGTCACCAAGGGCTCCGACGGGGCCAGTGACAAGAAGAAGTTCGAAGTGAAGAAGGTAACGGCACCATCAACCTTGGGAGCGCCCTCGAAAGAGCTCAGCTGAGACCTCCTATAGTGGAACGCCGTCGCCCTCTGGGCCTGGGATATCGTCGTCGACAACTGCGCCATCTGCCGGAACCACATCATGGACTTGTGTATGTCTCAATCTCAACCACTGGAGGACAGAGAACCGTGGTGGCGGATGCGCTGCGATGCTAACTAACACTTTACCCACTAGGCATCGAATGCCAAGCGAACCAGGGCTCATCAACCACGGAGGAGTGCACCGTCGCATGGGGAATCTGCAACGTTAGTACCCCCACAACCCGCGAGGTGCTGACTGAAAACGAGCATATTGTCTAACACGCGCTTCCCCTAGCATGCGTTCCACTTCCACTGCATCTCACGGTGGCTGAAGACCCGGCAGGTGTGCCCACTCGACAACCGAGACTGGGAGTTTCAAAAGTACGGACGGTAGGCGCTGGGCGCTGCATACCATTTACGAGCGAGAACTTTTCTTTTCTTTTACACTCACACGAGAACAATGCAATGCCCAAGCTATGGATTTACCGTCCCTCATCTTCCACCTCAACATACATCTACAAGTTTGTTCCAATAGCTATCATCCCCGAGGGCAGGGGCACGGAAGAGATCAAGACTAGGACAGAAACACGGCGTTCAGGAATCTATTTGGCATGATTCTATTTTGATCAGACAGGTCAAGCCAAGCCAGGCCCAGCCGGACAGGATAGATCAGCACGCCCTCAAAAAATTCCCGTCTTCGGCACGATCCACACGTAGCACAGGTCCTATCATCCTATATTACTATTCCTTTTTACTATCTCTTCCTTGGATTTCATGCCACCTTCACACCATCAACAAGTACCGTCGGCCCGCCCTTTCTAGCTGTGCCGAGCCATTTCTCTGGATGCTGGTTGTACATGGGCCAGGGCGGGATAACGACGAGAGCAGTAAGGAGCGTACCGGCTAGCCCGGTCCATAGCGTGAGGTAGATGTCTTTGTAGATGTAGCCGGTGAGGAAAGAGACGGCCTGCGAGCGCAAATGAACACGTTAGCGCGGAAGTGAAAGTGCCGATAGCAGAGTGGAAGCTGTGGGTAGGGGCAGGATGGGCGGAGGCAGGAGCTCGCATAGTTCAGTTCTACTTACCCCGGAGATAATCAGGAGCACGGTGCTGAGGATGTCGGCTAGGCGCTGGCCGTGGAAGTCCTGTGGCGAATGGTAGTTAGCAGGTAGCTCGGGCAGTTGGGGTTCGGAGCGCGCGAATGGGTATTGCGGGATGGATGGGGTCGTGTGAAAGGAAGAGGGCAAGGGGGCGAAAAATACAATCTGGCCCTCAAAGGCATTCTGCAGTGGCGCAAGTATGTCGTCCATGATTATGAGGATGATCTTGCAAAGCGGTTCCGGGCAGGGCAGCTAGTCGCGAATCGGGGGTTCGGCGGAGAGCAGCCAGCTTATCGCAATGTTGTCATCTGCCCACCGCCTCCGCCTGGCGGGAGCGGGCCATAGCCTAGTCTGGGAACTGAACTCTGTGAGAGAGAAAGAGAGAGAGAGAGGATCGGTGAACACCTTGATTTTCAATCGCGATCAGTTTGATAGCCATTATTCTTCGAGTCTTGTGGTAATCCAAAAAAAGTGTGACGTGTTGCTCATGATTCATCTATATTTATCCAATTTATCCATCTCTATACTACGCTAGGACGGGCCTATGCATATCAGATCTCACATCTAGCTACCTCGAACATCCGTATCAAAAACACAAGACCAGCATCAGCCAGCGGTAGCCCACCGCAATCCAGTCTCATCAGCGATGTAGCTTTTTCAGGCCTAAAATGACGAATGATAAAAAAAAAAAAAAAGGTCCCAGCTCTCAGGCCGCCTGCAGCCGCAATGCGATGTAGGAAAGCAGCGGTGAAAAAATCCCCTCGATCTTGCACATCTTGCATCCCGGCACATGGCGCAGGCAAACAATGACATCCGACTCGCACATCCCAGTCATCGCACCCCTCCATGCAGGAGCCTACGCCAACTAGCCAGCTAGCCAGCCGAAACACTCTTCCGGTGCCGTTGCAGGGGGCATTGAACCCCGCGGCTTGCGGCTCGTACTGAATGGTACACCTCCCTCTTCACGCCGTCATCGGTCCCTGATCGCGCCAGTTGCAGGGCTATTATCGTCATGTGCGGTGAACAGGGACCATGCTTCGGGAACCTTAGTTCATTGAGACGGTGGCGCCGTCCTGCGCAGGCTCGAGCAGCTTCCACTGACAGGTGATGTTGTTCGTGGCGAAGCGGGCGATGATGCGCTCAGCGATCTCGGTGAAGCGATCGGTGGCCAGGGCCAGGATGGTGGGGCCCGCGCCGGAGAGGCAGATGCCCAGCAGGCCGGGCTGGGTAGCCGGGGTCATGGATTGCAGGATCTCGCTCAGGCCAGGAATAAGGGTCTGGCGGTATGGCTGGTGCACTTTGTCCTGCATGGCGAGGAAGATCATATCTGGATCTGGTGGGGTGCTGCCCAGTGCGGCGGGGAGGAGCGCGGCGCGCTGGAGGTTGAAGACCTGGGGAATGTGTTAGTAAACCCGACAGACGAAGGTCAAACCAATCCCCAGACCGGTGTCTATAGAGAAGTAGAGTTTCCCAAGGGAGAAGCCCGGTCCACGTCAGAAGTGTACACGTACCACGTCGGCCCTGGTGTACGTCTGAGGAAGCACGTTGCGGGCATTGGCAGTGGGCACCACGAAATCAGGGATAATGGCAATGGCCTTGATCTCCGGAGCCCAGTCGAACTTGCGGTAGTGGCCAATGCCCAGCGGGGGCTCGGGCGGCCTGACGCCGGTATCAATGCCTCCTGCCGGTGAAGGCAAGACCTCACTCAGAGGGATCTCTTTCCGCGCCACGTCCTCGGGCTTCAGCTCATTCAGATAGGTGCCCACAAAGCCGCCGAAGAGGGATGCCGCCACGTTATCCGGGTGCCGCTCTGGAAAGAACATGAATCGTTAGTCCAAGCATGCCATGATGCGGGGATTTTCTGGGACCAAGGGTTGGGAGATCGAATTCTCGCCCCCACCGGTCCTCGGGAGGTGCTAGCTAGGCCAGGCCCCTGCACCGCGAACGGGGGCAAATGACAGCAATCATCGAGATAAACGAGGGAATTCCACCTACCAATCATCAAGCAGTAATCGAGCAGCCGCTCCTTGCTCAGTCCCAGCTTGCCGACCTCATTACCCAGCATGACACCCGCGACGACGGCCGTGCCCGACGACCCCAAGCCGCGACCCAGCGGGATGGGATTGATGATGTGCACCTTAGTCTCGGCGGGGAATGCGCGCTGGTCATGGCAGCGCAGGACGTACAGGGCGACACGGGTGATGAGGTTGACCTCGGGGTCGAGGCTGATCTGCTCGGCGGACTTGCTCTGGTCCTCGTAGGTGATGGCGCAGTTGAGGGGTAAGGTAGAGGAGCCCTTGGAAGGGTCGACGGTGACGTGGATATCGAGATGGAGGGACAGGGCGAGGCCGATCACGTCGAAGCCGGGGCCGATGTTGGCGGAGGAGCAAGGGATTCTGATCACAAAGGACGAGGCCATGATGGACAAGTGGAATGGCAGACCAGAGCCTCCGTGTGGGGAATTGGATAGCCGCGGAGTGTGCAACTGAGGTGTCGTTACTGCTGAGGGTCCAAATCGGATTCTTGCTGGGTTGGCCTGGATTGTATGGAGGGGTTATGACTCGATGCGGGTCTTGGCGCGAGCACAAAAAAATAGACGGTAGTCCGACGTCGGGAACAGAGTGGAGCTGATCAACTGCTTGCCTGTGGCTGGTCAATTAGGCATCGTCTGGATCTGTTAGTTGCTCCATGGGAGTGGATTCGCGCCAGCTATGGCTGCATGGCTTGATCGGTGAGTCTCGAGTGTCGCGTGCCCTGCCATTTGATCTCATCGTTAGTCTACGGTAAACTTTTCCAGGCAGCCGTGGCCTGCTCTCCACTCGCGGCCGCACGTTCTCCCGGGGTTGGCTCTGAAACAGACGCGTTGATGCATGCGGTCTATATAATCTCTACTATAGGTGGCTGCGCTGGTAATGGCGTCAGGAGACGGGTCAGATCAGGATTCTGTACTCCGTACAGAGTTCGCTTTCCATCGTTTCCCTACTGGCCTGGTAGACGCCTAAACGAAGTAGTCGACGAACGCATCGGCCCGGCAGGGAGAGGGCTTTAGCACCAGCGCTTAGCCCTATATCGAAGGTTCGAAAGGACAGCAGTATACGCGTAGCCTCGGAAATAAAATGCCTCAGCGGGAGCGTCGCTGGAACCAACTATGGACGAAAGAGGGTAAAGTCGAGGGAGGCCGGGGGCGCCGTCTGCAACCTGACCCGCTGAAAATTTTCACGGACAGCGCTGGACGGCAGAGTCGGGCATCCCATAGCTCAATGGATTCATACCTTAAAGGAGGGGTGCTAGAGAACCATTTCTTTCATTCTTTGACAATAGACACGTCCATGTGGTGGACTAAAATAAGAACCGCAGAATCCAAGCAGATTGCGCCGAACATGCAGGACTTTGGGCCGATCCGACTGGCCCGCAACCGCCGGTCTTTTTCCTCGCACGGGGCAAACCTCGCCACAAACCGCAGTCCCCGCTTCTTTTTTCTTTTCGCTCACCCACCGCCCCTTCCTTTCCTCTGGATTACGGAGTATTAAGACACAACTGCTATCCACCTTGATTTTCTGGGACGCAGATTTGTACTTGTTCTGCTCGACTCCCGATCAATTCCCTAGCCCCCGCAGCAACGTCATCCGAAGATTCTGCGAGGCCTCTGATAGCTTGCGACCCAGCTCGCTCTCGTTCTCGTCCTCATTCGCCGTCGCCCTGGAGCAACCGCGCTCCTCTTCATCTGAACCTGTCAAGTTGGCGGGACTTCGCTACACCCAGGCATCTCTCCTCCACCCTCTTGCAGGCCCCAAGTTCAGGGTCTTCGGCGGGGGCGACACCAGACCCCCCTAACTGGACTACTCCCTCTCCTGAGCTGGCAGCCAGACGCGTGTCGGAACCGCCAGACCCTCGTGAAGGGTCTGGCTTATGGATGGAGACCCGTTATCCATAACACGGTCCTCTTGAAAAAGGAAGAAATCCGGCTTGCGTTCTGCGGCTGTTCGTGCTGTCGACAAATCTATTTTATTCAACCCCAAACCAAAAGACAACAACATTTTCCCCTGAGGGAAAGCAGATAGCCCAACCTGGCGTGCTAAACTCGAATTCGTTTCATCCGATTCGCAACCCTCCCCTTCCCTCCTCTCTCTTCCCCCTTTTGCTCTCACCAGAAAGAGATATAAAAAACAGAAAATCATCAAAAATCCGCAACCATGTCCGATACTCCTCGTTCTGAGAAGGAGCTGTGCCTGACTCGGTACAGTACCCCGGTTCCCGAGCTGGATGACCACCGCTTCCACCTAGACGCTGTGAACACTCCCCGCATCGAGGCCCCCAGGGAGGAACGGGAGGAACCATTGAGCCGGCAGCACACCGCCGCTCAGCAAGGCCAGGGCGCCGAGATGGCGGCACCCGAGCGCCAGGATCTCTTGCAGGTGCAAGATGCGCTACGTGAAGCCGCTCCCGTCTCCCGAGACTTTGAACAGGCCGTGGTCGATGACGACCGGCCAGAGTACGATGTGGCGGGAATCGGCCGACGCTTCTCGGTCGACCCCACGGCGAATTTCCACACGCCGCGGCGCATCAGCTGCGTCCAGCAGGACCTGGGCAATATGTCCTGCGCATCGTCCGTCTCGGCGCGGTCCTCGTCCCCGCCCAACTCGGTCGAGGCATTCGCCGACCCCCGTCGTCGTGAGCGCGCCAACACCATGGAAAGCCAGGTGGCCCCCGATCTGGAGGCCATGCTGCAGCGGACCGTCTCGGGGGGCACCCTCGCGCGGCGCCCGACGTTCAGCAACGCCAGCGCCATTCGGCCCCCGCCCGGCGATATCTCTGTCTGTGCCCCCGAGGAGCCCGGTGTGGCGCCCACCTATGATGAGCCCGGCCGCATCCCGGTCATCGACTATGAGGAACTGGAGGAGTTTGTTGCTCTCAACCAGCAAAGAAAGGTGGCCGCGGGCAACAACCACCGCCGCAAGCACAGCCTGAGCTCGCAGAGCATGAAGCCCCGGGTTTTCTACGATCTTCGGCCGGGTGTCAAGAGCCCGGATGTGCAGGAGTTGAAGCAGGCTGATTCGGGCCTTTCATCGGATGCCTACGAAGCATGCGACGAGGTGGACGAAAAGGCGACCGGCAAGGTGCTGGACGAAAAGGTGCTTGTGGCGACGCTCCCGAACATCAACGAGCCCACGCGGTTCGGGTTCTTCTCATCCGAATCGCAGACCACCGTGCATGCGGCCGAACTGGGCGATCTGGTGCTTCCCGGCGACAGCTTCCGGGATCTGTTCCAGCTGGGCCCGGAGGGAGGTGTGTGGTGGTTGGATGTGGTCAACCCCACGGAGGAGGAGCTTGGCGCCATCTCGCGGGCCTTCTCCATTCACCCCTTGACGACGGAGGATATCCTGACGCAAGAAGCGCGTGAAAAGGTCGAGCTGTTCAAGCAGTACTACTTCGTCTGTTTCCGCACCTTCTACCAGATGGACAAGACGAGCGAGGAGTTCCTGGAGCCGGTCAACTTTTACATGGTGGTTTTCCGGGACGGGGTCCTGACTTTCTCGTTTGTGGAGAACCCGCATGCGGAGAGCGTGCGTAAACGTATCGGCAAGCTGCGTGACTATGTCTCTCTCAGCAGTGACTGGATCTGTTACGCCATGATTGACGACATCGTCGACAGCTTCGGCCCCGTCATCCGCGACGTGGAGCTCGAGTCGGAAGCAATCGAAGACCACGTATTCATTGCTCGAGTCGACGACTTCGAGTCCTTCCTTCCGCGCATCGGCGGCCTCCGCAAGAAAGTCATGTCTCTCATGCGCCTGCTAGGCGGCAAAGCCGACGTAATCCGAGGCTTTTCGAAGCGGTGCAATGAGCAGTACTCTGTGACGCCCCGCGGCGACATCGGCTTGTACCTTGGTGACATCCAGGACCATGTGGTCACGATGATGTCGAACCTGGCCCACTTTGAGAAGATGCTGAGTCGCTCGCACACCAACTACCTGGCCCAGTTGAACGTGACCAACCTCGTGCTGGGCAACCATACCAACAAGGTGCTCAGCAAGGTCACCCTGATCGCGACCATCCTGGTCCCGATGAACCTAATTTGCGGTCTGTTCGGCATGAACGTCAATGTACCGGGTAAGAACGATGGTGGTCTGGGGTGGTTCTTTGGTATTATGGGTTTGATGGGAGCCATTGTGGTTCTCAGCATGTGTCTGGCGAGGTGGCAGAAGCTGGTCTGATACCTTAATCTCTCCCGTGCCAGGGGCTCCTCTTATTGTTGTTTTTTCTGTTAGATGTGGATTTTTTGGGTATATTTTTGAGCTTTTCTGTGTTTCATCTTAGTGACTTATTTTCTCGCGCCGTATGTTGATAATCCTGTGATTTTGAGTTGACGGCTATCTCTGTCAGCGACAGGTCTGCATATCAATTCTGTGAATACTTGAAAATACACGCATGCATCACCAGAACAGATAGAGTACATGCTTGGAAGTGAATGTTTGAATGGGGTTTAAACTTAAGACTGGCCGCTATAATTACGGTGAAGTAAACGGAGTACAGTATGACCTCTGGCAATTGCCAAGGCACCAAGGCAGCAACAATCCAATCGATAAGGCTGATGTTCCGCGATAGCACCGCTCGTTTCCTCCAACAAACTTTCCGGCCAACTACATACAGCAGCGTAGGACAGCGCATCCTTGAAGACGAGGTCTGCAGCCGGTGGGTCTTATCACCACTCGTTCTTGATCCTACTCGACGACCTCTTATCCCTCTTTCCCTCCCTCTTGAAGTACATCCCAATGCGCAGTACCGCGCGACCCGGCGAACCCCTCAAGTCAACTTTCCATGCGACGACAATACACAGCTCTGCAGTTCTTACTGACTGCAACGGTCCTCGGCACACTCAACCCGCTCCTGCTCGCCTTCGCGAGCGTCCCAGCTGGCCATGGCGTGGACATTCCCCACGAAACGGAGGGCAGTCTGATCGGCGGGCCGATCATTAGCGACGGGGCGGGCTTCCCCGTTGCGCTGGACTCGTTCAATGGGCTGGAGCTGCGGGATGATGTGGGCGAGGATGGCGAATCCGGCGGGCTGGACCTGGTGCGGAGGAATTATCCCAGTGACGCGAAGTCGCTCGGCAACAACCAGTTCCAGGAGCCTACGATTGAGGTTGGCGGCGTGCAGTGGTTCTTCATTACCAAGGATGTGGTGAATGGCAATAAGTCGAACACGGTTTCGACGCTGCCAGCCAAGTTGAGTGCCCGGGGCTTTGAGGAGGACGACAATAATGTCAAGCTTGAGCTGCGGAAACGAGACCAGCAGCTGACGAAGCGCGACGAGACCACTGTATACCTGTCGGTGACGATGTGCGCCAAGCCAACGTCGAACAGCAGCACGGTATCTGGCTCATTTCCCCAATTGCAGGTGTACTACTCGACGTCCGAGAGCCTCGAGAAGCCCGGACCAGGCGAGGACGACAACCTCCAAACGACGATCGAAGCGAGCGGCGGCTTCGCCAACGCCTCGATCACGACCGATAGTGACATCTTCATCGGCGTGGCCGCCCCCAACTCGACCACCTATTCAGGGTCCTTCCGCTACCAGATCGCCGCATCCATTGATGCGCCCTTCCACAACGTAATCGACGACGATCCGAACCTATACTTCGTCGATGCCGACATCTCGGCCGCCCTGCTGGTCACCGACAACCTGACGCAATCGGAGCCCAACTCGACCAACTACAAGCAATGGATGAACCTGAAACCGCCGTACACCATGTTCGCACACAATATCAACAACACCGCGCTGGCGGGCCTGGAGCGCTCATTCTGCGCATTGGACAGCCTCTCGACGCTGGGACGTATTAGCAACTCGACTGAGGTGGGCATGACTTCCCGTGGGCTGGGCAATAAGCCCAAGGAGCAGTTCTACATCACTGGCCTCAACCGGAGTTCCACGTATAATGGGATTCTAGCGATGGTGGGTAACTCGACGAGCTCCGGGAACGGGATTATCGGCGGCGGCGGATCGGTGTGGAAGGCGATGAATTTCAGCACAAAAGCAGGTACCTATCACCCCTAACCCCCTTTCCCCTACCTCACTATCCACTCCCCAATCTTGGCCCCGTAGCCTCCTAGGGGAACACGCGCTGACCACCGTACGCAGATGACAACTGCGCCGTCCTCTTTAACCTAACCTTCTGCTCAGAAGTAGCCTACGCAGTGCCCGCAAACCCCCAACTCAAAACCGCTAGCGAGCTCCGTACTATCTACGACACCTACGCCGCCGACTACTATAAAAATTTCACCTACAGCCTCCAACAAGTACAATGCACCACAGACCCCGAATCTATGTACTCGCTCGCCGTCGGCTGTGATGACTGCGCAGATGCCTACAAGCAATGGATCTGCAGCGTCTCGATCCCCCGCTGCGCAGACTTCACCAAGGACGCATCCTACCTGCAAGTGCGCAACGCCGGGCAAGACTTCATCAACGGGTCCTCCCTGCCGGCGGACAGCGTATACCGGCAAAGCGCGGTGACGAACGTGAGCCGTAACGCGCTTATCGACGAGCAGATCCGACCGGGACCGTACAAGGAGATTCTGCCCTGCCAGGATATCTGCTATAGTCTTGTCAAGTCTTGTCCTGCGAAGCTGGGCTTTGGGTGTCCGACGGGGCCGTGGTTGAATGCCAGTTATGGGACTCGTGATGCGAATGGCGATATCACGTGTAGTTATCTGGGTGCGGCGTACTACTTGAACGCCGCGGTGAGGGTTGGATGGGGCGCGTTGTGGGTGGTAGTTGTTGGGGCAGGAATTTTGCTTTTATAGAGATGCCGAGATGCTTGGCTACTGTACAGTTTCGAAGCGATGATCTGACGAGCGTTTCACGTTTCTTGAGCGCAATTTGTGGCTTGACGGTTTAATTGTTTAGTAGACTAGGCAAGGACATAGAACCTAGCGATATCGAACTCGGGCTTGATATGATAGGATATCACTCATTGATACGGAGTACATTATTATGTCTCTACTCTATCCAGTTAATTCCCCCATTCTAAGTCTCTAAGTTATAGTATGCTCAACTCTATCCACTCTATGCATACATCCAGGCAATCCGCTCGAGTTCTCTCTCTGTTCCACTGCCTAGTCCCAATCCTATCCCGGTCTCAAAGGAATTCATATCCACTCACCACTCCAACTCCTTCCTCCCCCCCCCTTCAACCCTCCTATCACCCCACCGCTCCCGCCAGACCTCCCTCTCCTCCTTCCACAAATCGTTCACGCAGGGGTCACACGAGCTTCCACAGCACGTCCCAAGCTCCGGCGGGGGCGGGGGATCGTCGTGCGCGCGGGACGCCGCGCGCAGGAGTTGCTTCGTGCGGATGCCGCTCAGTCGCTTTTTCTGGAGAGCTTTGAAGGTCGGGGTGTCTGCGGGTGCGTAGTAGGCTTCTGGTGGTTCGTTGGGGGTGGTTTCTTGTTCTTGGATGCTGGTCTGCTTTGTTGGAGGTGATTTTGGGTCCGTAGGTGGTGAAGAGGGACCTTGTATATTCGGGCTTCTTTGCGTATCTTGCTCTTGCTTTGGCTTTGCAGTGGGATTCAACAGAGTGCATGGTTCTGGAGCTGCAGGTGGTGCTGGCTTTGGCGGCGGCCTTTGTAGGAGCGAGCTGAACGGGGATAAGAGAGATGCTAGCAGCGAGCCTGAGGATGAGGATGAGGATGAGGATGAGGGCTTTGTTGAGGATGCATCTTCTTCTTCCCCTGCCTCTGGCGTTGTCTCTGTCTCTGTCTCTGTCTTTGACTCTGCGACTTTGTCTGCGCTGGCATGTATTTCATTCTGAGGAATTGTCTTCGTCCCGGGGCCATCGCCCCGCGTAGACGGTGACGGTGACTGTGCTTGTGCTTGTGCTTGCGCTGGCCCGAGAGCCGTACCAACGCTCATATTGGCGTGTAGCTCGAAAGTTCAGGTAAAAAGGTTATAGCCTCTTGAGAGTCAATGTCTTTTCGATTTTGATCTGCTGGTCTTGAGCCGCAACCCGGATCTATACCAGACCACACTCGCCACAATGGATTTTCCTGCCCTGCGTTAATGAGTATGACTACTTTGCCCATGTAGAGGTCAAGGCCACTCTTACCAGTTACGTGTACAACCGCCGACAGTCAATGCGCGCATAGAGTCTGATATGAACAGGTTAGAGTGATGAAGGCTTCGGAGGTCCGGAGATCGGGCCGGGTAGGAAGATCTGGGTCTCGGGTGCGGCCGTTTCCTAGTTATTCCGACGTCTGTGAATCTGAGGGATGCTGTATAGCGAATTCACTCAGCACTTACACTACTAAATAGAAATTACACATAGATTGAGAGGACCTGTAAAAATTGACGCCGATGTAACCGCTTCCGGGGCTTGGGAGTCTCGCTTTTAATCGGGGGAACTTGGTCAGGCTGGGTTGAGGGGTTGTGAACTTGGGTTGTTCTCATACTCTCTGAAGACTCTCTCATGCCCGTCAACAACAAGCACATATATGAAAGCTTCCTGCAGCCTTTCTGGCTGTCTATTGTTTGGGTGGATGGAAACACGTAGCTACCTCTCTCTATAATACATTAAAAGAAGTTAACAAGTACAGTGAACGCCCATTCCAGCCCATGGTATCATAAGTCATAATCCGTGTTCCTAATCCACCCCCCTCTACTTCCGCCGCGGTGTCGGCGTCCACATATTCCCCAGCCCAGACTTCCCGGCCGACCCCCCTTTTTGCGGCGTACTTCCGCCAACCTGCGACCACAGCTTCTGCGCCGCAGGGGTCAACATCTTCCCGCCGGCCCCGCCCCCAGGCGTGCGGTGCAGTCCAAAGTCCAGGCGGGGACTACTCGCGAACCGCGGGGTCGAAGCGACGGGCGTTTTCGTGGTGCGGGCAGCCTTTTCCGCGCGCTTGGAGCGTGAGACGCGGTCGACCATGCGGTGATGCAAGGCCTCGCGCTTGCGTGTTTCGCGGAGCTGGAACGGGTTGGGTGTGGTGTCTGATGAGGAGCCTAGGAGGCGCCAGTCTGCTTCAAGGGAGTCCGTGGGCGCAGGCTCGGGCGCGGGCTCGTCTTCGTCAACGAACGCGTAGCCATTCACGCGCGGCGTTTCCCCGCCGGGTATGGCGGATGCTTCGGACTCGCTGAGGCGGGGCCGCCCTGCGATAGCGTCTTGAATGGCAGATATGGAGGGGGAGGCGGGAACAGATGCGGTGGCGTCGGCGGCGGCAGCAGCATCTGCGTCGAGGAGGCGCGTGTTTTGGTAAAGGGTTCGTTTTGGGCCTGCGCGCGAGGCGGCCTCTGCTTGTTGGTGGAGCGTCTCGTGGGTGTCTTCAATCGAGGAGGGGAGGAACATGAGCGTGTTGTCTGGGCGCGCGTTCCAGGCGTCAGGCCTTGCAGGGCGGGCATCGAGGTCTGTCTTGATGGCTGGCTCGGACTCATCTCGTTTAATGAGACTCATTTCGGGGTTGCCACCCTGGGCGGTGATGCGCTTGACCTCGCGCTGGTGGTGGGCGATCTGGCGCGCGGAGGGTATCTTGTTGCTGTTCCAAAGGAAGGCGTGTTTCTCGCGCTTCTTGACGTTCTGTTTGTCCAGGACTTTGTTGAAGGACTCGTTGTCTTCGCTGGTGTACTTGGCCTGGAAAGCCAACAGACCCATGTTCGAGACATCCGGAACATCCTGGTCCTTGCTCGTCGTGGCGGACGTCGCCGTTGACGCCACAGACATAGGTGTGTCACCTGTCCATCCCCGAGGAGTCTCGCTGGAGCTGCCCTGTGGAATATGCAGCGGCGTGCCTGCGACAGAGCCCGAGTCTGTCTTCCGCCGCGCATTGGAGCCGGGCGTCGGAGTGCGCATCACATCCGCAAGTTTCTGCTTCGCGCTCCTAATCCATTCTTTATCCTTCGAGTCTAATGCATCGAGGTACTCCTGCTTGGCTTGGGTTTCCAGGAGGCCTGGGAAGAAATCGCGGGCAATGATGTGGGAAAGAGCGTTGGTGTAGACGTCTTCGTCGAGGACGGTGGCAGGGCGTTTGATCCGTTTCGGGGCTGGGGGTGGGGGCATTAGCTGGCCGTCTGACCGTTTCGTCAGGGCCTGTGAGGGCGGAGAAGCAGCCATGGCTGGTGCATGGAGAGTTGGTGTTGAAGAAAAGTGAAAGTTGGACGTTGCCCGAGTTCAGAGAGCCGCGGAGGCGATAAGAAAGCGGGCGGATTACGGCAGCGGAGAGCGGCCATCGCGCAAATACTCCAGCTGCCAATAGAGAGATGATTTTATCTACGCAGGTGGGTGCGCCCTAACAGGGTCCGTTATGCGCCTCTTCGCCATCAGGCAATGCTCGAAGAAATGCCGCATAATGGCAATATTTCGATACATATTTGACTCAATCTCTAAATAGGATTAGCACTTGAATATCCTCCCCCGGTCCGCCTCATCCCAAATCCCAACTTCTTTGTCTGGTCTGTCAAATCTGAAAGAAACCCTAATCTAGCAAGCAAACATCCAAAAACAGGTGAATGTCGCACTCGATTCGAACCGGAATGTGAGTTCCCAATACTTTATCCAGATCTCCACTCTCCCCAATGACCCTCTATACTTTCCAGGGGGCCCGCCACCCCAGCCCTACGGTCATCTGACCATCACGAGCTGCACTCCACACTCCACTTCCCACTTCACCTATACTCTCTTCGGGCTCGCGGCCATACTAGCGAATACAGGAGAACAAAGATAACATACGCGATAAGATCTAAGATAAACTCTGCTAGATCTAGATCATCCTACAACCTACAAACGACAGAAAACAGCATCACTACAGTAGCGAAAGGAAGACCAAGCTCGGAAGTAAGACAAGGAAGCAAAGCACCATTCAACTGGCATTCGCATTGGCATTGGCATATATTGACTGGCCTAGCCTAAACCACAACCTCTATGAGACGATCGAACGCAAGGTGAAAATGAAGAAAAATGGAAACAAGACCAAGAGTCGGAGTCCGGCATAGCAAATGTTCCCAACCAGCCAACCAACCCACCAACCAGACAATCAGAATGAGGTAATCCAACCATCCAAATCCCATGCCATCCCATACCAGAACTCTTTTTTCCAATTGCTTTTCCCGGTTTGCTCCTCCAGACACCAAACCGATACCGATATCGCTGAGAAATGCATCGACAACGTAGAACACGAACGAGAAGAACAGACAAGTAAGAGAAGATGTGACAGATGTGACAGATGAGACAGACAAGACAGAACAAGGTAGACGAGACGAGGCACATGTGTAGGATAGTGCAGACGGACAGAAACATAGACAGACAGAATGAAACGAGAACGATAGAGGGCGTATGGAACAGGGGCAGCCCAGACACAGAAGAGAGAGAGAGAGAAAAGACGCAAGGAAAGCCCAAGGCAAACGACAGGACAGATCAAAACAAAACAGGACAAGGCAAGGAAATGTGGTGCGGTCGTGGACTCGTGGAAATCTATCAGACAAAGACAGAGGAAGGAAAATGGAAGAACGGAAAAAGCACAGCGCCACGTAGGGCGCGAGATGAGATGATAGATGCCAACAGAAGCACCCAAGACGTTTTGCAACGCAAAGTGTTTTGTCTTCCGGAACAGAAACAGGAGACAGATAAGAGAGAAAAGGTAAAAGGAAAGAGAACAAGGCAGCAAACGGCCGCGGGAGGAGCACTACTGCGCTGCAGTCGGGAAAAGCGAATACGACGTCGTCCGAGTCTTCTTGCGATTCGGATTCCTCGTCGGCACGGCCGGCAGCGCTGCGCTCACGTTCGCGCTCGCGCATGCACCACCTTCAACCTCCGACGTCGAATTAGCACGATCATGCACCGGGCCGGGGGGCGCCGTCTCCGCGCTCGCAAGACTAGCACTGCTGCCAGTGTGCATAAGCTGGTGGGCCTCGGCCAGACTCTTCGTCTGACGATGCAGGGAGCTTGAGGTGGGCCGGGCCAGGATCTCGGCGGCGCTGAGCCGGTCCGTTGGCATCAGCTCGCGGGAGCTGGAAAGGCTGTGGACCAGCTCGGGGACGGAGGTGGTTGAGACGGAAGAGCGGTGCTTGCGGACGATGCTGGCGGCGCGGGAGAGCATCAGGCTCTCTTGGGAATTGCACTTGCTGATGGGGGAGAAGCTGGAGCGCGGGGAGGGGTTGTGATAGGCTGGCGCGAATGGGAAGTGGCGGTCTGAGGAGGCGTCGGCATCGGCATCAGCGTCACCGGAGAGGTAGTCCTCGTACAGCGAGTCCTGCGTCAGATGCTTGGATAGAATGGAGGAGGAGACGGGGTGGAAGTAGTCCTGTGCGCCGCGGGCGATGAACGCGCGCTCGTACTCGGTTGAGGGTGTTGCGGCGGAGTGGGGGAGGGCTGAGCGCGCGGAGCTGGGGTCGAGGTCTGGCGTTGCCAGGGTCGAAGTGCTCAACGGGCTGGGTTGGAGGTGGCGAGCGGGCTTGGATGGAACCACAGACAAGCCCCACGACTCGTCTGTGCAGGCGACGCCGGTCTGAGGGCCCGCTTCCTCGAGAGATGTGCGCGACCAGTCGAAGTTGGAGGTGGACTCAGCGGCGTGCTCGTAGCAGTAGTCGATGTCGGCATCCCAGGAGTCATACAGCTCGTCATCGTAGGAGAACTGGCGGACGCGAGAGACGGACGGAGGCGTGGTCTCCCGGTGCGTGATATCGGCGGCTTCCTGGGGCAAGGCGTTGGGGAGATTCTGGGGGAGTGTGGGGGAGCCCAGGGCCTCGGAGAACTTCCTCGACAACTCTTCGGCGACGAAGATGGATAGCGGAGCCTTGGGCGCGATCATGCGAGATGCTGGACGAGCCTCGACCGTGCCGGGGCTCATCTGCGAGGTGGAGCGGGAGCGCGCGCCGTCAATGCTGGGTTCGGGACTATCCCATAATCGGGTGGCCTCGTCCTCTTCCGGGACGTCTTCCAGATCGTAATGGCTGCTCATCGAGGATGTGCGGGCCGTGGGGTCATCGGCCAGATCCGGGCCGAATTGGAGATGCGAGGATGAGGATCGTTCCGAGTCGATATACTCAGGATACGTGAGAGCGGAGTCCAATCCCAAGATCTCGTCAATGGCTCGTGGCGCCGGCTCGACGCCTTCCGCGGGGACCTCTGGTACTACCGGGGAAGGTGGTGTCGTGGGACATGACCTGGGATATCTCGAGACAGGCCGGGAAAAGTTCTCGTAGATACGAGATTCTCGGCGCGCATGGTTGCCAGACGGCATCACCGATCCTGATGCCGCCGGCGAGCCAGGTGGGCTCCGGGGCACAGGCTCATTGACAGTTGTCGCCGTCCCTAACGAAGCCAAATCATCGTTGGAGAAGTTGCGGAAGTGGATATCCTCGGCACGGATCCCCTTGAGGCTGGCCTCTGGCCGCTGCGAAGCCCGGATGACCGAGAACTCCGTGACCAGATCATTCTCGCGCGTCTGGTCCAAGGATTGGAATTGCGAGGGGCTGGTGTGAGTGAGGTGGTGGAAGTCGAACGGGTCCGAGATAATGCTTTTTAACCGTTCATCTGGGCAGAGAGATAGGCAAGGTTAATGGCTGGGTGATTGTTGCTTCCTCATTTGATGGGGTATTTGGGAGCCAATTGCTTCCGAACAAAACGCGATCAAGATCTCTCAAACTCACGGTGGTCAACATGCCGGTTCCGGTGCCGGCCCAATATATCCTGCTTCGCAGGCCGGGGCTGCTTCTCCATCTCGTCCTCCTCGTCCAGCGTGGCGACGATATTGATCTTGCTTCCCTGGCGGCGCAGAATGCGACTCCCCCGTGCGAGAAACGACCTTGACAATCGCTCCGGCTTATCAGGCCGCATCCCCAGCGCGGAGAAGGCCCGCTCATCCTGGGACGGAACGGAGCTGTCAGTGGACGTCATGGACGAGCCCGGGGAGGGACGCGACGAGGTCGAGGTGGTCGTGTTACTTCTGGAGCGGCCGCTGAAGACCGACAGGCGTTTGGGACTTTGGGCGTGGGCCGTGGACCGCGAGCGAAAATGAGCTATATGCTCTGGAGGATCGTTGGACGAGCCCGTGGATGGGGGGTCGCTATGGACAGACTGGTCGTCGTCCCAGTGGCTGGGCAGACGCGAGAAGGTCGACATGGTCGGGGACAATTGTCTTGGTCTTATCTGACCCGACACGGGGAAATTGGGGCTAGGGTGCCTTTTGGGGCACGAGAAGGGCAGAGGGGGGAGGGAGAGGGGGACGTGTGGGTAGTCCGGGTTCCCCAATTTATGTGCGAACAGGCTGAAGCACCACGGATTGGTGTGGTTTCATGGTAGGTGAGGCTGTTTGATCCAGCTTCGAGCCGCAACGGCGAGGGTTAGCGGTTTGAAAATTGAAGTGTGAGGTTGGGGGAGGGTTTCAGGGCTCGAGTGTCCAAGGAGAGAAAGGCCGAGAGCAGGACGAGATGGAGGTTTCGGGGGCCTCAGAAGACTGGGTCGGGGCGGAGTTACATATAACAATAGCCACGATAGGGACGGTGATAGTCCAGTACGGCTCGAGAGAACAGACTGTATTCATGATACCCGGTGGATGTGGAGGAGGTACGGAGTATACGGGCTGTACCTCGTCTGTACGAGTGGGGCCGAAGTTCAGGGGCGCCGCACGATGATTCGAGGGAGCCAACCGTTGCACAGGCAGATGCCGCCGTCCGCACTGCCAATCTGACGGCATCTCCTGCACCTGCGACATCTGAGTCAGTTGTTTAGTTCTGTCCTCAATCTATACCACCCACGAGCTTGGATGACCTCGGGCGTTCCCCCCGTGGGTCTCGTACGAGCTACTATGGGATCCTATCTGGAGAGGTCAAACTGTCTCCTATCGTACTCCGTATCGAGCTCCCGAGGACACGGAGCCGAAAATAATCCTGCGCGGGCTTAGTGCGATGCACGCTGCGCCCAGGGAGGTCCTCAGAACGTGCATGGCTTGGTGTGGGGACAGCCCGCTTAGCTCGGTTGAGTAAGTATCAGCGTGCTAAATAACTGGTACGATACCATACAAACGAGTACCGGTGTTTTGTTTTTGATTTGTTTTAGTGATCAGTTCCTGAGGAGTGGACTTCGCGCAACCCTCCGACCATAAACAGGCAGAGGCAGAGGCAGAGGCAGTATGTGCCTATGGGCATATATGCATGTGTGTGCATACGGGGATGCGCACTCCGGCAGGGCGAAGCGTCCCGAGGTTAGGGATTCCATGCGATCCTTACTTGGGGTCCGCTGCTGCGTGTGATGGAATGCGGAGCTTTTGTACTTTGGCTGCATTTCATCGACTTCTTCGAATAGAATGCCACCCTAATTCCAGAATCTGCGCCATGCGGCCTTTCCATTTGCCCGTTGGTCTGTCGGTCTTTTCCCCGCGTCGCTAGCGTAGCCTCGGCCGTTGTCCAACGGTTTTGGGTCTCCTCGAGATGTTCGTTACTGACTAACTCGGTACAGTAAACAGTCAGTCTACAACCTCGCTCCAGTACATACTCCCGTACCTACAACTTCTCTGTCGCTGGGCCCCGTACCCACCTTTTGCGGACCAGAGACCGTTCTCCCCTAACTTGTTCGAGTCTAGGGAGGAAACGGGCGCGGCCACCGATTAAGCCCATGGAGCTGGTCCCGGAGAGCCGGTGGTGTTCCCATCTGGCCATCAATCCCCTGCCTCCTCCCAAAGGCCCCTCTCGGCGTGCCTCTTAGCCCTCTTTGCACAAGCTGGATCGGGGATCTGGGACTCCGTCCAGATACCTAACATGCTCACTACTCCATCTTCCGGTTCGGGGCATGTGTTCCTCGGCAGTTCGTTCACTTGCCATCCCCTCGCTCTCTATGGACTATGCATCTACTCTGCGATCATTCTCCGCCATTGACCACGTTCAATTGACGTAGTAGAGTGACCCCCCTGTCCACAGCCCTGAGCACCGGACAATCACGCTCGCACAAGTCGGAGGGTGCCGCAATCCCCCAGTCCTGTCGGATCGAGGTTCAGGTTCCGGTTGAATTCGGTTCAACCCTGTCGCCGCCTTCTCGCGTGCCCGTCCCCGGTCTCTTCCTCCTCCCCCCACCAGATGCAAATGCAAGATGCAGGGGCTCACCATCCCCCGGATTCTTTTCATTGTCCATATCAGTGGATTTCCCACCATCGAACCAAAAAAAAAAAAGGGACTCAACTAACTAGCCGGTCATGATCCTAGCCAGCCTGTAGCAGGAATCCCCGAATTCCCGGTCGCACCGGGGGAAGTTGGCGGGAAAAAAAATCTCTGGAGAAGTATCCGCGAAGGCGCCGTTTCGGGGATCCGGGGGATGATCGCATTGCATATTGCTCTAGTTACTACATGATTGTGGTGATTCCGGTGGGAGCGGGATAGTAGTTCATTCCTTGGTACGTCTTATGTGGTGTTCCTTGGGTCTGGGTGGTTAGGGTGTTTAGACTCAGGTACCAACCAGAGGAACCAACCAAGGGGAACCAACCAGGAGACGAAACAGAAAAGTCAGGAGCTGTTCTTCCCGTACCTCGGACGGGATCAATGCTGTCTCGACGTACATTAGCGCAGCAAGTACGGAGTACTCGGTAACAGCACAGACCGACCGCTCAACAGTCCGTGGTCCATCCGAAACCCCGGAAGAGCCCTATCAGCCCATCCCTCAGGCGAGACCTGTCTATCATGTCTATCACCAAGGGTATATACTCCGTCCTTGATTGTCCCCCTCAAGCTTAATCCCACCGCAATCGCAATCGCAATCGCGTCAACATTGCCAGGGTGACCACGAGTCCAAACCCTGAGCCGAGCCCTACCACCGATATCGTCATCGTGTGGAAAAAGGCCGGGTGGGGCAAAGCCACGGCGTGTGTTAATGCGCAGCTAGCAGCGCTCGAAACAAGGGAGAAGCCCGAGAGAAAAAGTCAAGAACGCCAGAGTCTCAGACGCGGCTGGGCCGAAACTCAATGGGGTATTGTATCATACCGGGTGTACTGTATCCACGGGTGTACTGTGTGTAAGGCGCGGTGACCGAGTAGTTACCGAGTGGTTACCATACTGGCAGACGACTGCGCTATCCACATGCTATTCTTATTTTGGTGGAGGCCGTCCAACTCCCCCCACTGGTATCTTCGAAAAGCGGACTCCTGACGATCCCCCTCGTCTAGAACCGTCGAACCTCCTAAGACTCCAGCTGGGCCTCAGTCCGGCCTCTTCGTGCCCAAACAACCCAAGTGGAGTCCTGCCGCGCTACCGGACCTGATACAACCGCCGATCGCGTCAAGGGGGGTTGGGGGTGTTCTGGACTCGGTTTCGCGTTTCAGTTGAGCACTTGTCCTTTTAAGAAGGTCCATGACTGATGCGAACGACGAACTATGTGAGGGCACTTACCCATGTACTCCGTACTCTCATTTACTTCGTCTGTATGTACGTCATACTGTCCGTACAGTACGGAGTACTCCGTACATCCTGTGGGTATTGCATCCGCAGATTGGGACATCTCAAACCAAACCCGCGTTGAGCACTGGGATGGCCCCTGCACCGCACGCTCCGGAAGCCTCATCCGGGCCTCGTTGCCCGATCAAATAACGCAAAGAAAACACCGCAGAAAATTGGGGTCGTGGCGTACGGAGTACTTGTGTCACAAAGACGTCGATGGGGATGATCATGATCATCCATTGAATGTGGGAGAGTATACAGGAAGGAGTCCACGATCCCCCCACTTCATAAAAACCAGTCTTTCCCCATTCGATGGACTGTGCATGGACAGGCCATGGTGACCATAAGCCATCATATTAAGTTAGCTATCATGCGCTTCTGTCATCCTGCCCGTCATAGAGAACCCAATCGGTGTGCAGCGTCTGACATTCAAAATCCTTCGCTTGGCCCTAGGGCCGGGGCTCGGCCGCTAGATCAGTCTACCTTCCTTCCTGGGCCAACGGGGCTAGCCCTGGGGTCAATTGCATGATTCTGATGGGGCTCCGCGTCACCCCATTAATATTAATCCCAGCACCCTACCGTCGGGCGTAGCATAGAGGTTCACCCTTTGATCCTTAGACTCTATACCATAGCCGCGCTGGACGCAACTAAGTCCAGGCTGCAGTTCTTGTTCCTGTTCCTGTTCCTGTTCCTGTTCCTGTTCCTACGGAGTACGCAGCTTTCGACAGACCACACCAACAATGCCCTACTAGCATGGTTGGACGGAGTTGTCCGTCAGGGTTCCCCTATACACACACAATGAGTCCCCCCGAAACTACCATTCCCACGGACGCGTCCTCTGGCCGACCCCTTCGCTATTTTGCCTGTATTCGTCCCCCGCCCCGCAGCTACATGTAAATGTAAATAGCTAGGCACAGAAATGCACAGCAGCAGCAGGTACGTAGCTAGCCCTAGCGCGGGCCTAGAGCAGAAGTGCCGCGAGGATCATGGTGAGAGTCGAATGAATAGGAGCCTGTTTGACCGGGCGCAAGCTCCCCTTTACCCAGCCGGGGATCGACACTGCGGGCTCTTGGCGTGAGCCGGGGGCGTGGGCTTTCTTGGGCGTGGGGGCGAGGGGGGGTCGTTCATGCTTGTTTCGGAGATGAGCTGGGCCAACGACCCTGGAGGGGTTGGAGTGCCGTGCCAGTGCCCCGTAGTTAGTTATTTCCTCCGAGTGGGCGTGGGCGTGGGCATGGGCGTGGGCATGGGCGTGGGCATGGGCGTGGGCATGGGCTTGGGCTTGGGCTTGGGCGTGGAATTGGAATTGGAGTCAGGGTCCCAGGGAGATGCCGTGGGGCGGCATGGCTGGGGCATTCTGCTATCATCCCGAGTAGTGACAAGGCTATGCCCCGTAGGGTTATTGTAGGTCAAGCTATCTAGCTACGGTAGCAGATCATCAACTCGTTTCCAGCCATGATGTGGCAACTCCTGGACCTGGTGGAAACCGAAACCGCCCAGATCGGCCGCCCTAACCTCCTGGGAGGGAGGCCGGAGGCGATGGCCCTATTCTCGAACGCGTAATAAGTCGCCGTGGGACCACATGCCGTCGAGCACTAGTTAAGTTAGAGTGGTTACTTAGTCATGGACTCTGGACTCTGGACTCTGGACTCGAGACTCTGGGCACAGGCACGGGAACGGGAACGGGAACGGGCACCTCGCGAGGACGGCACGGCATAATCACAGGGATGACCGCTGTAAGCACGGTTGCTGTTTTCTCCCCTGCAATCAACTGTGCCCGACCACCCACGAGATACCAGAACGACTTCGCTACTCACTTTCCGTGGGTACGCATACTCTCATAGCCATACCCACTTCACCGATTCCCAGGAGATTGGGCCGGGCTATGCGTGGGGCTCTGGGCGTGACTATATTCCGCCATCTTTGGACTAGTCGACATGTCGGGCGTCGGGCGCAATAGCTTGGTTTCCACGATGATCGGCTACTCCATCCAATATCACGATCTACAACGGTTGTCGATAGTCGTGAATAGTGGGGGATAGTACACCGTTCGTAGTGCTGACACTTTGCAAATTCGGGGTAGTTGGAGGCCAATAGTACGGAGAACTATACGAAGGATCATACTAAGATCATACGAAGGATCATACGAAGACCTATACAGAGAACTATACAGAGAACTATACAGAGAACTATACAGAGAACTATACAGAGAACTATACAGAGAACTATACAGAGAACTATACAGAGAACTATACAGAGAACTATACAGAGAACTATACATAGAACTATACGGAGAAACTATTTATACAAAGTGGAGCAGAGGAATGAAACGCCATTCCGACGCCATGCCGAAGTATACTCGGTGGGGACCGCTACTCGATCAAAGGATCTATATCGCCTTGAATGGAAATTAACGAATTAACACCATAATACATGATCGTACAGTGCTAACCTCAGTAGGATCCATGAACGCCCATGTTGATTTTGAATTCCAAACGACAACGGAGACGAGATATAAAAATAACAAAGAGAAGAGATTTCTGGTCTCCGCGTCACACTGCAGCGAACCATTCGCTCGACACCAGGCAATCAACCCCATCAGTCGCACAGCTGCGAGTCATCAGAATTTTCCGAAAAGAGAAGATGGCAATACCGTGGCTGCCAGAGCCAGAGCCAGAGCCAGAGCCAGGAATCCGAGTCCAACCCCAGGTTCTCCCTCGGCCGAGTCAGGCAAGCTTCCGGTTAAGTCTTAGTCTCGTCTCAACGGTCCTTGACATATGCCATGTGGCCTTCAGGCTGGATGCAGCCAACGGCTCAGCCCGAGGAGAGTTGCCCGCCGCGGACGGGCTCCCATTGGCCTGCGAGGGGCGATTCGTGGTGACAGGATGCGCTAGCAAAAGCTTGTGTCAAGATGCGCTCTGGGTCTGCTCCGGCGGGAGCCGCAGCATGGGTGCAACGGACAGCGGACTAATATGCGCAGCAAGAAGGGCACGCGAGTGTGTGGGTATGGTGTGTGGGCGTGGGAGGGTGTGAGTGGTGAGGGGTAGTCTTGCCCAGGCGATGGGAGCGAGCCTTGTTGGCGCCCCGGGCTATATTCGGGCGCGGACGGAGGGCCGCTGACTGGTGCTCTGCAGTTAGTAGTTCAGACAGTGTCGAACTGCCTGAGACAACTGCTGATATTCTAGAAGACCTGCGCCCTGCACAACGCCGCCAAAGAGCCTATTGTGCAGTCCATTCTCCGCCATGCGCCCCGTCAACCTCACCCGCCAATGCTCGACTACAGTAGTTCCCGTGTGCTTGGAACGGAAATACAGACCCTGGTCGACAGTGTTGCATTCTAGCCGCCACCCCACCCGGCGATATCTTGCGGTGTCCCGCGACCACTCACAACAGAGCGTTCCTCTCGCGTCCGCGGCGTCGGGTCGCAAGCGTCGTATCGCGCCCGGGGAGCAACTCGCTCTAGAATACGGAGTGGATCCTGCCCTGCAACCAACCTGTTCTTCTCGATAAGAGTATGCGTCCTCACCGATCATCGTGTCCTGGACCTCGAACCCGGGTCTCACTGGTGTGTTGGCGCGCATCTAGGGATCGCCAATGAGAACGACTGCCATTGCGAGGTTTCGGTGACCGTTGTGACCTTGCTGTGATATGCAGAAATGTAGGCACGTAGGAGCTGTGAGGCATGGAAATTAGCTTCATGGGTTGGGATGCTGGCGGGATATTACAAACGGTCTAGGCTCGCCATCGCTAGGACAAAGCAAGGCAGGGAACAATAAGCACTGGAACAATATGTTGTTCGCTCAAACGGACCAGCAATTATGCATCCAAGACCCTTTGTCCTCTGCAGTGTACCGTACGTAGTCGGACCAGAGTAGCCGCTAGCTAAGACATTGAAATTCCACCCTGGAACATGCATCCGAGACACACAAGATCAGACATAGTGACCGATCCAAGCCCCCACAATCATAAATCATATCAACGCGCGAAAGGACTGGAGCTATCATGGGGAAATTCATCCCCGTCATCCAAGCGTATCTGGCCGAGAGGGAGGACAGAGGATTCGATATCAACCACTAATCTCCCACTAATCTCCGTTATCAAAAGATCTCGTTTCAGCCCCTCCCCAAATCCCTGACACACCGTTCAACCCGCTGACGCACTGCACTGCAATGCACTGCACGATCGGACCTGCATCTAGACGCCGATCCCAACCCAGGCCCAGCCGAGGCGTATCGGCGTTGTATCTCGCCCGCCCCGACCCGCGAATTGCGTCCGGCCTCCGGGCCACTGTGCCAGGTAACCTGCAGGTATCCCGCTCGGGCACATTCGCTCGAGCCCTGGCCTAGTCGGGGCGATTTGGGGCGGGTAAAAGTGGATGTTTCCCTTTTGAGGTGGATTTCGCGAAGGGGGAACGAAGTCGCGGGGGCTGGATGGGGGCTGGATGGGGGGCTGTAGGATGCATGTTACCTCGATTAAGTCGACCTTAGGCGGAGGAGTGTGGGTTTGTGTGGAATTGAATTCATGATCTACGTAAGTCAGGATGTCTTCTATTTTGGTACTCCGCTCGCATGCGCACGATCTCGGTCGCGGTACAGGGGTAGGACGTACAGGATGTGCATAGAGCCATGGGGCTACAACGTATTTCGGATGTCCGGACGACGCGACTTCCTGGACGAGTCCAGTGATGCTCAAGGGAACTGCCGTTCGTGCACATCGCGCAAGTTGCTCAGCGTGCGGTGGCGCGTAGGTGACTTGACGATTCGTGGACATTTGTTGGTGGCTGGCTTCCTTTGTATCGATATACCGCATGAATTCAGGAAGAAATTTTTGTTAAAGCAGTCAGGACCTTAATCGGTATCTACGGGATGATAATAGAGATCTTCCAAGTAGTGATGAACATGTATCTATACTGATCAAGACGTACGCCTGCTTTTGGCACGCATTCCAGCTAGTCCAGATCTGGAGCTCGACTATAGCTCCATCAGCAGTACTCACACTTATACAAGCACTATGGATGAAACGGCAGCAGGAAGGGGAAAGCGAGCGGTATATAGCATAACCACCGTAGGGTAGCAAACACGAAAACTGCTGCAAGCAATCGATAGGCCCATCAGATATATTCATCGCTTTTGAACAGGACAACACGACCGATCTCGGAGAGGTACAGAATGCACAGAGGCGTTGGAGATATAGAGGTAAGAAAAGACGTTCTTGCCAACGCCAGAGGTATGTAGAAAAACATGGATAGAAGAAAAAGAAACAGCAAACACGCGAACACGCGAACAGAGGACAGGGAGTCAACGGCGGAGGGCAGAGAGATGGAAATGACAGCCGACGAGCAGTGCGCTCAGTTTCAATCGTCTTGCATATCATCGCCGAAGAGATCCTCGTCGTCATTGTCCTCGCCAGCAGCAGCCTGATCCACCGCCGCCTCCTCCTCCTCGTCATCATCGTCCTCAATCCGACGAGACACCTTCCCACGTCTCCGCAGCGAAGCATCCTCCGCTCCACTCTGCATCTCCTCATCTCCATCCTCACCAAAAAGGTCATCCTTCTCCTCCCCGGGCGTCCCGGGTGCATCACCATCCTCCTCATCATCCGAGTCAACCACGACCTCACTACTCTTGAACTTGCCCTGCGCCTTCCCACCAGACCGGCGCTCCAACCGCCGCCTCTTCTTTGGCGCCGCCTCGCCCTCACTCTCAGGAGCATCACTGTCTCCCGCCTCGCCCTCATCATCCGCTGCAATAAAGTCATCGCCACCCTTCTTCTTGCGCTTCCCGCCCTTCTTCTTCCGCTTCACCTTTTCCCCATCGTCACCCTCGGTGAACTCGGCCTCCTCGCGCGCCCGATCTGCCTCTGCGCGCTGCACAGCATGCCGCTGCGCCTCCTCGACCATCTGCGCGCGCTCAGCGGCGATCTTCCGCTTCCGCTCAGCCTCGACCTCCTGCGCCTTGCGGACCTGTTCCTCGCGGGCGCGGATAGCCGCCTCGCGCGCCTCACGTGCCTCGCGGAGCTTAGTCGCGTTCTTGTCCTCGTACTCCTTCTGGCTCTGCAGCGCGCGGTCCAGCTGCTTAGCGATAGTGCGGCCCATGTTAGCGCGCTGCTCGAGCGTCTGCGCGGGGTAGGGCGGGGACTTCTCCTTCGAGAGGCGGTCAAAGGTGTCGATAGCTTCTTTGAGGCCTTCAGCGGCTTCTTCGACGTCTTGGAGGGTCTTCTGCGTGGGCTGAAGGCCGTAGGCCAGCGAGGCGATTTGGTTCTGCACGAAGGCGACGTTGAACTGCAGGTGCAGGGCATCTGGGGAGACGGCGCGGGCGCGGGTGGCGTAGTCGAGGGCTGTTTTCATGGCTTGCAGGTTGGCTTCCTGCTTGCCCTTCAGCCACCAGACGCGGCCGAGGCAGGCGAGGATTTGCACGTCGCGGGAGCGGTCTTTGGCGAGCGCGGCTTCGTAGTGCTCGATTGAGCGGGAGAACTGGCGTAGCTCAGCGTAGACGTGGCCGAGGTTGAGGTAGACGCTTGGGTCCTTGATGGCGTCGCGGACGCGAGACAAGATGTGCACGGCACTGCTGTGATCTTTCCTGTCGTCTACGAGGGCGATGGCTACACCCTGGGCGGCGTAGGCGTTCTTGGAATCCAGCTGCAGCGCCTTGTCGAAGAATTCCACGGCTCGCTGGTACACCTTGCGGCGCTTTTCCTTCTCCTGCTCGGTGTCGCGGCGCATGTCACGGGCAACCAGGAGGTGCACGTTACCCATGCCTGTCAAAGCATACCGGTCATGCTTGTCGTGGTATTGCAGGGTGTGCTTGTAGTGGCGCTGTTCAGGATCTTCTGCCAGGTTGGCCACGCGCTTTTTGGACTTGCTGAGGTACCATCCGAATAGAGAGCGAACCTCTAGATTTGTGGAATCGGTCTCGTACAGCTTGGCGATCTTCTTGGGCCCCTCGTCCGTGGGACTCTGACGCAGGGCAATGTACGTCAGACGAGCACTGGCCTCGGTGTAATCGCTGTGGCGCTCAAGCAGACCCTCGTAGACCTTCTTGGCCTCATCCCACAGGTCAGCAGCCTCGTAGGTTCGACCCAGGTTATAGCTGATAGTAGTAACCAGGGCATCGTTATCCGTACCATCTTCTCTCTCTGACGACTGAACGCAGGCATTCAGGGCAGACTGGAACATGCCACGGGCCAAGGCGATGTTTTCACTCTGGTAGAGGAAGCAACCCATATTGTTCAGAAGCTGCGGTGGCAGACTCTCGCGCAGAGTCGACTTCAATTGATCTTCATCTTCGATATTCGGCCTCTCGCTGGCAGGAATGCTGGCGATCTGCAGTTCCTCCAGCTGGGTCAAGCACTGCATGCTCTTCTCCGGCGCCGAGCTCTCATAAAGCCGAGCCAGATATACCAGCACCGATTCGTCCGGGATGAGTTTCTGTTTCTCATCCTTCCACATCGAGCGTACAGACTCAAGGAGCGTGATAGCCCTCTTCGCCTCATTTGACTTGTCTTCCTTGCTGCCAGCTCGCTGCGCGGCGAAGACTTCCTCCGCATGGAGTGCGCCCAACAGCATCATAGTCTCTGCATTCTTGGATTGCTGCACGATCTTCTCAAGCCGGAACTTGGCGCCATCAAAGTCTTTGTTAGTAACCTGCATCTGCACGGCACCGAACTTAGCCGGCAAATAACCCTTGTCGCCGCCACCGCGAGCTTGGTCAGAACGGTTGTAGAACTCTGTTGCGCGGCTGGTGTCGCCCTCGTAGTGTGACTTGCGTCCGAGCAGATACCAGCCGTCACTAGCGATAGGCATAACGTCTGTCTGTTCAATGGCTTTGCGGGCGAGGGTTTCCACCGTCGGATAAGCTTTGCGAAGCAGGAAGTAACCGCCAAATAGGGCACAGGTCATCGGGTATTCCTTATCCAACTTGAACGCCTTCTGCGTGTATTGGGTCATGGCCATCTTGTACAAGGAGCCGAACATGGGGTCGGTTGTCGAGCGACGGGAGCTGTCGTGGAGGTAGTAAACTGCGAGGAGAATATTGGCGACCTTGGAATCGGGGTTCTAGCGGTAAAGCAAGCGCCGTTCAGTTAGAAAAGGCGAGATCGAGGGAAAAAGCATGCATGCATTAGCGGAAAACATACCAGAGCCAGGGATCGCTCCCAAGCTGCCTTGGCCTGGTCCTTGAAGCCCAGCTGCCACAAGCAGCATCCCAGACCAATTCTTGGATCGGGATCGGTCAGGTTAGGCACTTGCATCAGGACTTTCTGGTAGTCAGCCAGGGCGTCGGCATATCTGCCCAGCATATAGAGTGCACGAGCGCGGCCCAGAATGGCCATGATGTTGCGGCCACCAAAGGCCTTGGAGGACTCCTCGAAGCATTTCAAAGCCTGCCGCAGCGATTCCACCCGCTCCGATGTGTCGACGGCACCGGGGCGCACCGCGCGAGGCGGGTATAGCGATGCTCGCAGAAGGCACAGGACACCGCGCGCCAGGAAAAGAGGCGGGTAGGCCGGGTTCAGGCGAGACGCCTCGTTCAGCGTGGACGTCGCCAGCTGCAGGTAGTGGTCCTTCGTCTTGGCTTCGGAGTACAGTTCGCCTTCGGGCGCGACACGCGGCGCCTGTCGGCTCTTCAGCATGAGCAGCCAGCAGATCCAGCCCAGCAGTCCGAGTTTCTCCTTGGTAGCGCCGTGGGCGACGGAGACCAGGCCCTTGTTCAAAATATCGATGGCGTGGTCCAGCTGCTTGCGCTTCGCGTAGGCCAGAGCAATGATGACCCAAAAGTTCTTCGCAGCCCGCTCATTCTCCAGTAATGTGCAAAGCTCAGTCGGGTCCTCCGGGAGATCGAGGAGACTAACTTCGACCTCACTGTCGAAACTGGAGGCCGGGATGTCGATTGCGTCGGGGATGTCGGAGAAGCGGATGGCGGCGATGGTCTCGCCATCCAAGCCATTGGCGTGGCCATTCTCAAGAGGCGCCATGGATGCGGTGGCAGCGCACCGGACTGGATGGGGCGCGAGGGAAGGAGGAGGTGTGATGGTATCTCGCTCTCGGGGGTGCGGGATGCGACTGGAGGATGAAGGAGTAGTGGGTGGAGAAGGTCTCTCCCTTAACTCATGGTCGAGTGAGAGAGCCCTTTGGTTGACAGGAGAAGCAAATGAAGACTTGCGCCGGTTCACTTCAGGGCTGAAAGGCGGGTGGCCGGAATCAACGCGCAATCGGAGGAGCTTCGCAGGTTCGTGCTGGTCAGTTGAGAATGGGATGCTTGGTGTGGCTGGTGCAGATTGCACCGCCACACATTCACCCCAAGACGGCCGCCCTCCTTACACATGGCTTGTCATGACAAAACCGAGAGTGGTCGCCCGCGACACGAGAAGAGCGCGTGAGGGATACACAGCAAAGCAAATGTCCTTCAAAACCCTGTCACTTAATAGAAATATTGTTGAAGATTCATTCTGAAGTTCTAAGTGGAAGCTTGTTTTCTAGAGCTTGTCTTCGTGTCATGAGCGCCCGAAAGCAAAATTAAAAGGGAATTGTGTCCAGTAGTCCCCACATCAACGTGAACAGTTGCATACAACCCGGCAGAGAAATGCGAGGCCAAGCAGAACAATGAAGATTTGGATAATCTCGCTCCAGTGGTGCAATCGAACATATGACTCTATATAGCCCGCGGAGATGGCCACTGTTTGCGCCTCGGTGGCCTTCTTGGCCTCAATGGAGCCGGCCAGCTCGGAGGGGAATCTCCCCGTCTCAAAGTAGCGGTCCAAAAGCTCGTCTTTCTCAGCCCATCGAGCGCGCAGCCATTCATCGAATTCGTTCTGGTCGTCGAGGGGGATGTCTGCGACAGCAAAGCGCCTCCAGTGCATGTTGACCGAGGTTGGTGGCCGTCCCCGGACGTATGTGGAGCGGAGAGTGAAGTACTTGTCCGGGTAGCTGCCCGTTCTGCAAGGTAAAAAAAAAGAAATCAGGTCAGCCATCAGCGTTCAAACCAGAAAAGTATGTGGTACTGGTAGGGCTAAGAAGAAACCTACGGCGGCCCCTCGTACGCAATCGTGCTGTCGTACACATAGTCGACGGTTCCCCGCAGCTGCTGGAGACAGAAGAACAGACCCGTTGAACGAGGCAGGATCTCATGCTTCAAAGGCGGATAGCCCTGCTTCTGACCGAATTCATCGCTCCGCCGCTTGGTATTGAGAGACAGATTGGTCCCCTCAGGGAAAATCAGCAGCCACATCGGGTCATACTGCGACTTGCCCGACTTGGAGCCCGAAAGCCGCGTTTTGAGCTTCTCCAAGCGGTGCTGGAGGCGCGGTTTGTCGGACTGCCATTTCCGGGCCATAAAAATAAACCCGTAGAACATCATGCCCTGGCCCATGACGGGAATATACTTGAGCGACTCCTTCAAGATGATGAAGATGCGGCCGTGCATGACATTGGTATAGGCAAACCACCACAGATAGATCCAGTCGGTATAAACCTGGTGGTTCGCAATCAGAACGAGACGCTCTGGAAACTGGGCCTGCAGCATGCCATCCTCAGACAAATGCAGTTGACCCCGAACACTCTCGTCCCCACTGACCCGGAGGAGGGTGGGGCAGCCATACTCCGTCAGAGCGGTGATTACCAGTCCAAAGTTCTGTTTGGTATAGGCCATGTACGAGTAGTACCAGTCCTTGTGGATTAGGTACAACGGAGCGCCGACGAGCTGGGTGGCCATGATGACGACGCAGCAACAGTCGAACCAGGCGGCCATTGCCAGGGAGCGGGCGATTTGCATCGGGATGCCATATTTGAGGCGCGGTTCGCCGAGTGGTTGGGTCGAGTGCTTTTGAAGCTCACTCGTATCCTTCGCGGGCGGAGGCTTACGTTGGCGGGCCTCCGCTGAATTCATAGTTGGATGAAGCCGAGTGTGGCGTGGTTCGTCCGTCCTTTCGATCAAGAAGCTCTAGGGCAAGAGTAGTCGGACCTAGAGAGCTGTATAGCTCTTGGGAGCGGCAGAGAAGCCAGGGTGCGAGTGTCTTGTCTCGGGACACGGCGGATGGCGGGGCGCGATAGCACGGGCGGTGACTGCCCTCGGGCTTCTAACGAGGGTGTCGGTCCCAAAGGAGGCGAGGGGGAAGGAGGAGGGAGAAAAGGCGGATAAGGCGGGGAGAGGAGGTTTATGGTTCCTGAGTCGCCATCGCGGGCGCGGGCCGGTCTGGGAGCGATGCGGTCTCGTGGACTGCGCGGCCAAGCTACGTAATAACGTCAGAGCTCGCGGGCGGTGGGGCTTGAATCTCTTGTTCAGTCGGTCGGCCTCGCAGCGACCCCACCGCTAGAACCACGAGCGCGCCAACGTGGTGCCCAGCGATCGCGTACCTACGACACCACGCCGGGCTTCCGGCACTGCCGTCGCGAGATCGCCTGCCTGTTCCTGAGGTGCGACTCATCCCCGCACATCACGAGATCCGCTCAGTGGGAGCACCGCCTGGCAGTGGCTGGCCAAGGGTCCAAGCCACCGGAAGGCGCTGGCTCCTGCAGCCCACAGGACACGAGGTTGAGGGCTGACTTTCGAAGCGAATGGGGACGACCATCCACCCGCTCAGGCTGAAGACAGCCTGGTTTACGGCATGCGTAAAGCTTGCTATCGCCACGCGGCTGGTATGCGATATCGACGATGTATCAGCCGCGAGTAGGGAGTCGTTTAACATCATCTCACGAGGAGATGACCGTGTCCAGGATCCAGGGTCCAGTGAACCGCACATAGCAGCAAACTTCCTGGGCTAGAATGGATGGCGGGACCGTCAGGGCCTCGGCGTAGTTGGCATCATCTGAAGTATATAGAAGTCGTCGCAGCATCAATGCACAGCCTAGCCCCTATCTACTCTGCTATTACATTTGTACTGGTCGGGCTACATGATCTATTCCTGCCTTGAGGTTGAAATTGCTAGTCCCTTAGCGTGGGGGCTCACATCCATCTCGGCTGCGGCCGGGGAGGAGAAATGAAGCTCGAGAGTGGCCAGCATGGGCCCAAAGGGAGAATGTGGACAGGGTTCGTTCACCTGCTGATTCACAAAGGAGGCTCATGGAATGGGAGATGCGTGGCGGACAAGGACGGGAATGGACTAGGGTGGACGAGTGCTTTGTCTGTGGGCGCATCCCTTGAGATCCCTTGAGATACTTCACAGAGATCCGTGGACGAGGTAAACTATGCCCTCCGAACAGTATACATCACGGCTATCTCGCTTCTCGATATGCTCGCAGGATACTCCACAGTGTCGTCTCCCTTGGCGTAATCTGGCACTCCCGGCCTAGCGCATCCTTGGATGCGTGCTTCCATTGTTCCTGGCAGTCCAGACGGGGCTTCCAGAAACCAAACCGACCCGTGGGTCCCGCCCGCCTCAATGGCCCGTTGATTGGCAGAGCGCTGTTTTCTGTAGATTGAAACGGGTCCAGGGCCCTCTAGCAATTCGCAGGACAGGTGAGCCTGTCCGGCTAGCCCAGCCGGGCCAGCTGGACCAGCTGGGCCAGTTGACGCCCAAAGCATACGATCGGCTCCGTAGATATCAGGGGAGATCGACTGCCCCCATCCCCGTCAACTCACCAAGTCGTCGCCGCTCCACCACCCCCCCTTTTATCCTCCTCCTCCTTCCCCTCCCCACCATCTCAAACGCAATTCCCCTCGCATTTTTTTTTTTCTATTTGGCTTTTGCGATCTGATTGTTGAGCAGTCCTCGCAGTGCGAGGGCCGCTCCTTTTCGCCCCCCTTCCCACGACAGGTAAGCGACTTCCCGCTCGGGGCCACCCCGTGTCCGCCCCTCCGTCGTTTCAATCCTGTCTAACAACCCCTAGCCAGATTGGCTGCCCTGAACGTGCGGGCAACCCGACTCTTCTATCCGTGGCGGAAACAGAGCCGCTAGCCTCGAGGGGCCTCAGGAGGTCTCGGCGCGCCAGTTACTTCTCTCTTTCGCGACGTCCCTGATTCCGGAAAGATGGCCTCATACGGCAAGTAAGTCGTGCCCCCTCCCCCCCCCCCTCCTTCCCTTCCCTCACCTCACAGCCATCTGGGGGTTCTTCTTTTGGTCGCATGGGCTTGACACTTATCTTGTTCTCTCCTTCCTCAGTAGCAGCACCATGTACTCGCCGGATCAGTTCATGAATCCGGGGCCGGCCCCCGCCCCCCGACTGATCGTCCCAAGTTGACCCTCCCCACCAACAACAATGTGGCCACCTCATTTAGTCAGATGTCCTTGAACTCGCCCAGCACCCCCGGTCCCGGCGGCAATCTCTCGCTGTTCCCCAACACCAGTACTCCGAGCCTGGCGCGGGCTCAAACGGGCCAGGGCGGAATCGCCATCATCAAGGAGGGTTTCGTGCGTTGCAAGGAAGACAAGTTTCTGGCGACATGGAACCAGCGGTACCTGATCCTGCGCGATTACAAGATTGAGTTTCTCAAGAACGAATCGGGCAAGGTGGTTCTCGCGTTCCCGCTCTCGACCGTCACCGGCGTCACGCGCTCAGAGGAATCCAAGATGGCCTTTGAAATCACCCGCATGGCCAATCCCAAGGATGCATCGTCTAAAACCGCCATGCTCACCCGCGATGTGCCCACCAAAACCATCACCTGCGAGGTCAAATCCGACGATGAAATCTATGAGTGGATTGATAAGATCTACGAGCGCTGCCCCGGCATGGGTGGTGTCAGCAACCCCACCAACTTCAGTCACCGAGTTCATGTCGGCTTCGACCCGCAAACCGGTGCCTTTGTGGGCTTGCCTCCCGAGTGGGAGAAATTGCTGACGGCCTCCGCCATTACCAAGGAGGACTACAAGAAGAACCCGCAGGCTGTGATTGAGGTCCTCGAGTTTTACTCTGATATCAAGATGCGGGAGCAGAACCCGCAATACTATGCCGGTCTGAACGGCCCCGGTGGTGCGCAAGCCAAGCCGCTTGCGAGCAATGCCGTGGGGAGCTCCATTGCGCCTCCCCGCCCTCCCCCACCAGGACCCCTGCAGCGCCTCGATAGTGGGCAGTCGAAACCCTCCATGGAGGGTTCCATGCGTTCCGCTACCTCGTCACCCAGTCAGCAAGGTCCGGATTCAGATCGTGCGGCCGAACAGCAGCAACAATTAGAACGTATGAAGCAACTGGCAGAGCAGGAGCGCCGTCGTGTGGAAGAGGAGCAGCGTCGTAAGGAAGATGCCGCATATAATGCATCCATTCCCCAGACCCGTGTTCCCCTGGTCAAGCAGGAAGTTGGTGGCTATGGTGGCTCTGATCCAGCCATGAACAACCGCTATCAGCCAAGTCGTCCGGCTCCCCAGGCTCCCGGCGCTGGAGCTCGGGCTCCCGGAGGGCAAGACCCCCGACAACTGACTGCCCAACGCCCGGCACCTGCTCCTCCGTCGTCGCAGAGTCCCTATGGACAAGGTCCGCTCCGTACTCCTGGTGGCGCCGGTTCTCGAAGCGAGGAGAATCAAGGCTCGCCTTCCCGCTACCCGGCCAATGACCCCAGGTCGCAGGCATCGTCCAGCCGCCAGCCCCAGAACAATGGCAGCAAGGGTCAGCAAGGGCCTCCTCCGACTCGCCTACCCGCTCCGGTCCAGGCTGTGAAGCCGCTGAATGTTGCTAATAAGCAGGCCGGTACGAAGCAGCAGGCCGTCCCCGACGGTGTCCGCCAGGCGGAGGCCGCCCTGACCAAGAAGCCCGAGCCGCGCCAGAAGGAGGTGCGCATGTCGGCTATGACCGAAAATGAAGTGATGGACCGCTTGCGGTCCGTGGTGTCCAAGGATAACCCCAATGAATCGTACAGCAAGCAGCGGAAGATTGGCCAGGGTGCATCTGGGTCCGTGTATGTGGCTCGGGTTAAGGAGAATGCGACATCGGCTGTGGCCCATGAGCTGTATCGACAGTACGGCCCGCGATGCCAGGTGGCCATTAAGCAGATGGATCTGCGCAGTCAGCCTCGCAAGGAGCTGATTGTGAACGAAATCATTGTCATGAAGGACAGCCAGCATGCCAACATTGTCAACTTCCTCGATTCATTCTTGCAGGAATCGAGCAATGAGCTTTGGGTAGTGATGGAGTTCATGGAGGGTGGTGCGTTGACGGACGTCATCGACAACAACCAGGTGATTCAGGAGAACCAGATCGCAACTATTTGCCACGAGGTATGGCACCCCCCCCCCCCACCCCCAAAAACCCTTTTGGTCCTTCCAACACAAGTTCCTTTTAATCTAACCTCGCCCTTTCTCTCTTTCAGACTTGCAAGGGGCTGGCCCACCTGCACAGCCAGAACATCATCCACCGTGACATCAAGAGTGACAATGTCCTACTCGACCGGGTCGGCCATGTCAAGATTACTGACTTCGGCTTCTGCGCCAAGCTGACTGAGTCCAAGAGCAAGCGCGCCACCATGGTCGGCACCCCCTACTGGATGGCCCCTGAGGTGGTTAAGCAGAAGGAGTACGGGCCCAAGGTCGACTGCTGGTCTCTGGGCATCATGGCCATTGAGATGATCGAGTCCGAGCCCCCATACCTGAACGAGGAGCCCCTCAAGGCCCTGTACTTGATTGCCACCAACGGCACTCCCCGCCTGAAGAAACCCGAGAAGCTCAGCAAGGAACTGAAGTCCTTCCTGAGTGTGTGTCTCTGCGTAGACGTCCGCAGCCGCGCCACGGCCGACGAGCTGCTGGCGCACGAGTTCCTCCAGACCGGCTGCAGCCTGGCAAGCCTGGCCGAACTCCTGCGTTGGAAGAAGGCCAATGGCCAGTAAATGGCCTGTCATGTCAACCTTGTTTCTCCCTCGGGCATATGAGAAAAGCCTCTCTCCCCACGTTACGACCCGCCACCTACTCCAATTCAATCCATACCCAACCCGCCTTCCTCAAGCCACACCCACAAAAGTTGACTGACCACCTTGGAGATTTGTTCTGCGCACATATGGGTCCGATTTAAACACGCCTCCGGTTTAGACACGTTCCTTTTTCATCTCACTTACGAAACCTGCATCGGCCGGCACATCACATTCCGTTACATTTCCCCCACCCTCGGCTCATTTTGAGCCGACCAACAATTCGATCAAGCTGACGCTTTCTCTGCGCTGCGCTGTGTTTCATGTCCATGCTCGCTCTGCTCTGCCTCTTGACTCTGCCTTGCCTGCCTTCCCCCAATCCTTTCTGCACCATACAGAACACCCGGCGCGGGTAATCGGCGTTGTCGTTGAATTTTCATTTTCATTCCCAATCGTCTTCGTGCGATGCTGATCTTGATTCTGCCTCCCATTTCAAGTCCCTTTCCATCTCCAATACTGTCCAGTTCGCGTCTATGATAATTCCCGTCCTCGACCCGAGTTGACCTGCACAAAAGACAAGACATCTTACATTCTCCATTCCACTTTCCATCCAATCCGATCCGCCTCCTGAATACCTGAGCCTGGGCTTGACAAGTATGGTAAAGGTAAAAATGTCCGTCACGGCATTGATGCGAAGCTCAGCTCTCCTGCAATGACCCACGTTCTAGTCCTAGTCTTCGGTTCCAGTTCTAGTTGGATGCACCCTTAACGTTGATCTTGACGGATCTAGCATAATTCTGTCTTGCTTTTGTCCCATTTCTGAGGCGTACGCACGAAAGCGTTGTTATTTAATTTGCCGTGCTTTGCTTTGCTCTTGCGATGAATCAGGATGAATTGAACTTGCAAATTTAGACTGAGAATTATATCCCCGCAAAGGGAAGCTTGGAGATTTTATCGATAGATAAGATAGGAGCACACCGAACGTTGACGTCGAACAGGTGGGCTTTTGAAGACGAGATACTGCTGTTGTCCACTGTACCTTCCAGTGGCTGTTGCTAGATGCTTGAGAGAACCCACTGTCATGATGTCACGCTTCCTTGTTCGTTGGTAGTTGGCGATGTGCATAGCTATTAGTCTAGCTAACAGCGTGTTTCGAACGTATTCTCGATGCTAAAAGCTTAAGCTTGCGAAACCAAGAGAGTGTATCGCATGCTCCATGCAAAATGAAACTTTTTGACTTTCTCAGTTGAGTGATCCAAGAAGAAAAACCAACTGACGTAGTCGGAAGCAACCGGCAAGAACTGTCGTTGCGTCGAACCTCCACAGTGATATCAATGTAGCTCGCTGCCACTACTCGAGAAGGGCTGACAATAAAGGAATAGCCTGCATGTAGCTAATCACCACGTGCGAACCGAAATCCGACCACCTGCCTACCCCAAACAGCCTTGGGAAACAACTAGGGTAATTGTTCAGCAGCTGAAAATTGATCATTTGCAGAATGTTAAAAACAAAATGTATACCAAGTAAAGTAGTCAGTCATCTATCATAGAGAAGGAAAGATATATAGCACAATTCATACAATCCAAGACAGCGTCAGCGTCAGTCAATCCATCAAATCCCCAACCCAAACCAAAGCCAAAGAACAACGTCATCGGTCATCCAACCAGGCTTAAATCAAGGCAAGCCCTCTTGGACCGCATGATGCAGCTGCCCACAGGCCTCGCCAAACAACACACCCTGCAACACAGTCTCACCCTCACTCGCAGCCCAGCGGCCGGCATCTGCCAAACGCTGTTTCCACGCAAGCTGGTCCGCAGCGTTGAGATCCCTCCAAGCACGGAGCTTGTGCGCCTCGGAGGATTCATCTCCGAAAACGCGATGGGAAGACGCCGTCTCGACGATGATGCTCTGCTCCGCGTTCTGGCCGTCATGGCAGCGCACAATAACAGACAGAGCCCGCGGACTGACAGTTTCGATATCAGCCGGCGCAGCGCCAGCGCTGTGTACCCGGTCCAGGATATCCTTTAACCTCTCGATCTGGCTTGCGTCCGGGACGGTCCGCACAGCGGGGAGTGCGTCGTGGCCCTTGGGCGAGAGCAGGTAGTCGATATACGAGCCCTTGCCCGGCGCGGGCGGAGTGTACTCGTTCGCGATGGCACTGCGCCAGGACGGCGGAAGCCACTGCGTAACACCGAGGACGGGCGGGGTGCCGCCGCGGATTTCGGTGAAGGCGAGCATCGTCCCTATGATGAGGAAGAGCGAACAGAGCAGCACGAGGCTGAAGTACAGGCCTTCCCAGAACTCAGAGGGGCCCGGTAGGGCCAGGACGTAGCGAGGGGTGCGAGAGGAGGCGGGGAAGGGGGAGAGTGGGAGGGTGTGGACGACAACGGTGTTGCCCATGCTGATGGAAGCGAGTTTGACTTTTTGGGGGAGGACGTCGGGGGTTATGGGGTGGGCGGGTGCGGTGAAGGGGGAGAAGACGAGTTTCGTCATGGAGAAGGGGTGCACGTCGCGGAGTGTAGCGTGCGGCCGGATGGCGCCGTAGCCTTTGTTTGGACCGAACTCTAGAGTCCAGAGGGAAATGGAGTTGTCACTGCCGCTGACGGCGATGATAGTTTGCTGCTGGCAGGCTGGGTTTGTGCCGAGCGAGCAGATGTCAAGGCCCAGGCCGATCTTGACGCCTCGGGGCAGCTTGCGTCGACGTAGGATGGTTGCCTTTCCGTTTTTGACTGTTGGGAGGCGGAGGATGACCAGCTCACTACCGCTGCGGTCTGGGGCATTCTGGAGAAGGATCAGGGCGGTTGGGGACAGGAAGCGCAGAGCACGGAACTTGGGGCGTGCAGCACGGGCACCGCTACTGGGCAGAGGAATGGTAAAGACGCAGTTGACATCGGGAGCGGCATTAGAGCGAGTGGATGACGAGATCTCGCCGACCATCACCTCGACGCCATTGGTATAAGCCACGCGGAATTTATCACGGGCATCTCCCTTCTGTTCGGGGTCATGCTGGAGGCTGGCAAGGTCCACATCCTCCGCTTCTTCGTGGCTGCCGAGACGAATACGGCCAATAACGTCCGAATCGGTAGGGCGTTCTGTGACTTGGAAGAAGACAACCTCTCCCGACGGTGACAGACCGGTCGCAATAGCGCCGACTCTGGTATCCTGGCTGCTCCAAGGAGACAGCCTCAGCACTCGTTGATAGGTATCACCGGGTTCCTTTGGGCGGAAGAGCGAAGCGCGTGAGAGTTCCTTTGCTTTTCCAGGAATGACTTCTTCTACCACCTTCTCCTTGTCTTTGTTGTCCTTCTTTCCCTTCTTATCCCTTTTGGAGGCCTCCCGCTCCGCATCATCCGCCGAGTTGACCTTAATCAAAGTCTTCTTCTTCTGCGGCGCTTCGAACCGAAAAGAGCGCATATGCTCATTGTTGTTTTTCTTCTGTTCTGCGACAGAGCTGTTGATGCCCGCCAGCACAACCAGCAAGCTCTCCTCATCGCCGACCTGTGGCGCTGCCGCGAGCGACGTCACCGAATCTTCGTCGCGCGACAGGTTGAGCACCACGGCCTCGGTAATCTCATTCCGACGTGACGCATCAATCAAAGACTAGTGTGACTGTACTTAGAGATGAGATGTTCCAGAACCCGAGGCTGAAGCACGCGCCACTTACGATCTTGTTCCCGACTCCGCTGCGACCTTCGCCGCCTCCGCCACCAACGAGTAGCCGTTCATTGTTGCGCGGATCAAAGTCTGCCGCGAATAGCGGGCAGGAGAGGGTGAGTTTGGCAGAATGGATTGTGGGCGCCATCGTTCTGAGGTGGAACTTGCTCTGTCCTGGGGCAAAGAGGACAGATGGAGGATGCGACGAGGTTGCCCCGGATTCTTGGCGCAGTAGGCCGGATTGGGGGATTCCGCGGAGCTTAACTACAAAAACAAGCCTAACTAGCACTATTGGTCTGAGACCTACTTCGGACCACAGACCAACTGAATATGTAATGGACTGACAGTCACATCATGAACAATCAATCAATCATCATGTAAAGGCTGGAAAAAAAAAAGAGAAATGGTGTATATTTTTTAAAATGCCACAAAAAACTTCCCCTCAACTCTACATCACTCTACTCGACTTCCTGTCCAGTGAATTCGGGCAGGCGCTTGGCCACATCTGCCCAGGTCTCGTCGCCATCGACGAGAGACTTAAGAGCCTGAAGGATCTCCTGCTCGCCGGCACGCACCTGCTTGGTGGTGTCACGGTCGCGCAGGGTGAAGGTGTTATCCTTGACGGACTGGAAGTCGACGGTGATACCGAAGGGGGTACCCAGCTCGTCGTTGCGGGCGTAGCGCTTGCCAATGCTGGCGGAAGAGTCGTCCACACGGCTGGAGACACCCAGACGGCGCAGCTTCGAGCTCAGGTCCTGGGTCAGAGGCTTGAAGGCGGGGTTGGTAGAGAGGGGGACCAGCAGGACCTTGGTAGGGGCGATGGACGGGGGAAGGAGAGGACCTAGATCTCGTTAGTATAAATGGTAAATAAAGCATGATGTGGAAACGGCAAAGGGCACTTACACCACGAGCTTCATCTCCAGCACGCGACCAGTAGACGTGCTCGATCATGCTGTACATAATACGACCAATACCGAAGGACGGCTCGATGACGTTGGGGGTGTACTCGCGGACGTTTTCCACGCGAGTGCGCTTCTCAATCTTGATCAGGTCCTTCTCCAGCTCAACCTTGCCAGAGCCAACACCCTCAATATCAACCTCGATCTTGCCCTGCTGGTCCAGATCCAGGGCCAGCTTCTCACGCAGCTCCTGCGACAGGGCGTCAATGGCCGACTCGACAGTCTTGGCGTCCTTCTTGAAGCGGGGGCCGAACTTCTTCTTGTCAAGGTCGATCTGCCACTCCTCGACGCGCAGGGGCTCGGATCTGGTCTCACGGACGACCAGCGGGGCACCAGTCTTGTTCTTGTGCACGGTCAAATCGTAAGCGCTACGATCGGCACAGCCGACACACTCAATCCAGCCATAGCTGGTCTGCAGCTCCGCGTCCCAACAGTCCGCAGCGTAGTGGGCCATCTCGTTGGCCATGTGCTGGCGGAAGCGCAGCTTGTTGTAGTCAACACCCAACTTCTGCAGGAACAGCTGGATACGGGCCAGGAAGTAACCCAAGGTCTCGTTGTCGACCAGACCAGTCTCAACAGCCTTGCCGATGGTCATCTTGGTGGTCTTGGTGCTGCCAGACAGCTGCACGTGGCGATCAAGCAGGGACATCTCAATGTCCTTGACCTCGGCGAAGCGGGGGTGCTTCTTGCCACCCTCGGGGTCGACGTAGTGCTCAATCTCGGCCATGAGGAACTCGCGCACACGTAGCAGACCAGCACGGGGCGAAATCTCGTTACGGAAAGACTTGCCAATGGAAGCAGATGCGAACGGCATGCCCTGCTGGTTAAATTCAAGCAGCTTCTGGAAGTTCAGGAACTGGCCCTGGGCAGTCTCGGGCCGCAGGTAGCCCGGCATGTTGCTGCTGGGACCAATGGAGGTTTGGAACATAAGGTTGAAGGAGACGGGGGGCTCGACCTTGCCGTCGGTGGCGGGATTGCGAATATCATACTTCTTGATGATCTCCTCGAGCTCGGGGCCGCCGAAGTTGTCGATCTGAGCAAGAGTTGACTCGTACTCCTGGACCAAAGCGTCGTCCAGCTTGACAGCCTTGGTCTCGCCCTTCGACTTCTTCTTCTTCTTGGCCTCCTTCTCGGCGTCAACCTCGACCTTCTGGCCGCGCGCCTCCTTGTCCCCCTTTAACCGGTTCTCCAGAACCTCCTCCACCAGGTGGTCGGCGCGGAAAATCTCGCCAGTCTTGGGATCCTTGCACATCCAGTCGGCGAATTTATCCACGTGCCCGCTGGTTTTGAGGATCTCGTGGGGGGTGAGCATGGTGCAGTCGACCTCAAGCATATCCTCCTCTAGCACAAAGTGCTTGCGCCACAGGTCGGTCATGTTGGCGATCAGGGCGGTGCCGGGTGGGCCATAGTCATACAGACCAGACACGCCACCGTAGATCTCGAAGGAGGGGGTGTAGAACATGCGGCGGCGGAGCATGGAGTCCAGGACCAGGCGATCGACCGCCTGGCCGGTCTTGGTGGTGACGGTGGCCATCTTGGGGTTGCGATTGGACTTCTTCTGGAGCGCGGTCGAGCAGGTGAAAGTCCTGAACTGGGTGGATAGAGGGGAAAGAAAAGAGCGGGGGACGAAAAGGCGCGGCAGCAATTGAGTCATCCACCAGCAGAAGCCCCCCTTCGGACTTCCAATGCACACACCACAGACAAATAGAGTTCAAGTAAAAGTTCCAAAAAGATTGAGTCAAAAAAACGAATGAATGCGCTCTTCCTTCTTCGTCTTTTTTCGTCTTTCCAATTTTCCACGCTGCAATCAACAAAATCTAAAGTTGTTGCCGGAGCGCCCAGGCCGGAGAATTGATATTCCGAAATAATTTATTTTATCGGGCTAAGGTCAATTTGAGCTTGAACGATCGCTCACCAAATTCACCGTTCCCTCCAGCAGATTTTCCCTCGCTATGGTTATGAAAGGCCGAGGGCGGCCGCCGCCTAATGCGGGCACCGATATCAAGACCGGCAACAAGCTGCGCCGGAAGATGATGCACATCAAGCGCAAGAGGGCCAAGGACGCGGAGCGGCGAGAGGAGCGCTATGCCTTCAAGAAGGAAGAAGCCAAGAACCCGAAGCTGAAGGAGGAACGCCTGCGCCGCAATGTCCCCTTGACGCTTGATCGGAAGCGTGTCTGGGACGAAGCCGACAGCGACGCCGAGGAGCATGGCCTGGGATTGAGTGTCGACATTGAGCGCGTCAAGCGGGCTAAGCAGGAAGAAGAGGACGAGCTGAACCGGCCTTTGGAAGAGGGCAAGGATGATAGTGACGACGGGGAGTCCGATAATGAGTCTATCGACAGTATGATCGCAACGAGCGACGAGGACGAGGACGAGGACGAAGACGAAGATGAGAAGGACAACGCCGACGCAGTTAAAGACTCGAGCCGTGGTCGCAAAGAGTTCTCACTGCCCACTGCCACCGAACGAGCTACCAGCCCATCGCAATCCACCCGCAGTACAAACTTGAACCTCGCTCCAGAAGCACTGGCGGCCAAATTCCCCTCGCTCTTCTCATCCGGGCCCCCTCCAACCCCCAAAATCCTCATCACCACCGCCATCAACTCGGCCCTCCACGACGAAGCCGATATCCTGACCGACCTGTTCCCAAATAGCGTGTACATCCGACGCACAGCACACCGCTACTCGCACAAGTTCTCCATCCGCGAGATCTCCAAGTTCGCCTCGAACCGCAACTTCACCGCCGTGGTCGTCCTGCAGGAGGACCAGAAGCGACCGAGCGGCCTGACCATTGTCCACTTGCCCGTCGGCCCGACCTTCCACTTCACCATCAGCAACTGGGTCGAGGGCAAGCGGCTGCCCGGCCACGGCCGTGCGACCGGACACTGGCCCGAGCTGATCCTAAACAACTTCCGCACGCCGCTCGGTCTGCTCTCTGCGCGTCTCTTCCAGGCGCTGTTCCCGCCGCAGCCGGACTTTGAGGGACGGCAGGTTGTCACGCTGCACAATCAGCGTGATTACATCTTTGTGCGCCGCCACCGGTATGTCTTCCGTGAGAAGCGGGAGACAGAGAAGGCGGTTGTTGGCGCCGACGGGAAGGAGATGCAGGGTGCGGAGGGCATCCGGACTGGTCTGCAGGAGCTCGGGCCTCGGTTTACCTTGAAGCTGCGTCGTGTCGATAAAGGTATCCAGCGGGCCAGTGGGCAAGAGTGGGAGTGGAAGGGTGGAATGGAGAAGGAGAGGACCAAGTTTCAGCTGTAAGCCGCTGCGACGGCTTGTACATGTTTTTTCCTGTCTGGATCTTTTTTATTTCCTTTCGCATGGGGTTTGGGGAGTATCCAAAAGCATGGTTTCTGTGATTGTTATGATTTACTGGGCATCTTACATACCCTACATGTCGAATGAACATAAGATGCCTCGATCGAGGTTTGATTCGATTGATTGTACTTTTGAAGTGTGGTAGAGTTGCGGACAGTCATCCATGGAACCCTAATCAGACTACCAGCTCCCGACCTATTCCACCCATGTTCCTTCTATATCGATTTTTTTTTTATATTCATAGTCGGATATGTGTCTGAATACAGCACTTTTTGCCATTCTCCCTAGACAGCCAGGACCTGGGCTTTAGCTCAGCTTGCATGCATATGCATATAGTACAATGCCATCCATCCTCAACACCACTTCAATCACAATCCCCATATCAACCTTTTCTATCCCCTCTCTCTATCTTCCTCTCCACTTCTCTCTCCATCTCCCACCGCCACACCCTCCTGCAAGAACTTAGCCCTCTCCATAGCCCTAGCAAGCAGATCGACCCTCTTCTGCGCAAACGTAATAGGCCGTCTCGCCGTAACAATCCTCACCCGCGCCGTCAACCCCCTCACCGCAAGCAACTCCCCCCTAACAGCATCACACAGGTCCCGCGCCTCCTCAACGCCATACCCGCCATGTGCCGTCAGCGGCCGCAGCGCATACGCCTCCAGCCCCTCCAGCAATGCGATGAGGGCCATCTTGCCGAGCGATTTCTCAGCCATGTCGTCTGGCCATAGACCGATGGGGATTGTGCGCTCGAGGACGCGCACGTCCACGAAGCCTGCGGCTACGAGAGCGTCTGTGTTCAGATGTGCCAGGCTGCGTGGGTAGTTCGCCGCGGACGCGGCGGCGCGCAGGGCAGCCGCATAGGTTTGTAGCGCCGGTGTTTCAGATGCCGAGCCCAGTCCCGATCCTGCTTCCGATGCGTATTGCGGGGAGAAAGCGATAGTATCGCCGGCTGGATCGGCGTCCGCGACTTCAATATACCCGCCAGGCCTCAGATGCGCAAACGCCTGCGCATACGTCGCACCCCAGTCCTGGAATGCGCCAGATAGTCCGCGGAGATGGATCAGGTCAAACGGTTCATGGTAGGTCCACTCTGTGCGAGCGTCGGCGAGCTGGAAGTCGACGTTGGGGAGGGCTAGGTGGCCGACGCCCGAGTCGAAGATGGTCAGGTCGGAGGCGACGATTGTGGCGGATGGATGGGCGGCACTCATTTCGATGGCCCAGTCGCCGGGGCCGGTGCCGATGTCGAGGATGCGCGGGGTTGGGGAGGGGGGAGGGGGCGGCTGTTAGAGCGCCGTCTAGTAGGATCAGGTAGATTTGGTGGACGATGTTGAGGCGGGTGAGTTCTGGTTCGTCGTTGGGCATGAAATATGTGTCATCTGCATAGCGGCGGTTGTTTTCGTGGGTGTGTTGAAGGGTTAGGGAGGAGTAGGAGCGGGTGGATTGGCTGAGGATGAGATAGATGATAGTGTTAGCTTGGAGGGGTGGCTTTTAGGTTACGGGTTGATTTTGCGTGTATACTTCCTATGCGCACATGTGAAGTATATGGTTGACTTTCCGAGGAATGCGACTGCGACTGTGACTGGGGGTGGCAATGGATCTGCGCACGCGACAACACTTACATGGATGCTTCGCTGTGAGACTCAATGTCGGAGTCATCATCGGACTCGGGCTCGGAGCTCGTGCATACTTGCTCCGTCTGATCCTCGTCCGGGGCCAGGTTTTCTGGTGCAGGAGATCGGCGAGGGTCCTCCTTCGATGACTGAATGGGTTTGCCGTCCATGACATGACGTGCTAGTGCGGCAGATGAAAGGAGGAGAGAGAATAGCCAGTAGCGCTGAACCGTCCAGATATGCTAGTAAAAATAGCCGAGAAAAGAGCAATGAGAGGACAAGGGAATAAGCTCATTAAGAATGAATGAAAATAAAAGAAGAGAAATGAAAGAAGAGAAATGAAAGAAGAGAAATGAAAGAAGAGAAATGAAAGAAGAGAAATAAAATGCAAGTTTGAGAGGGGGAAAAACGCTGCCTATTGCGTAGCTTGAAAGGAAGGACCTGTCTACCGGCCAATTGCAGTCAATAGGGGAGATCGAGGGAGGAGGACAGTCGAAGAGGGAAAGAGTAGATGAGAAGTAGAAGTAGAAGTCGAAGTAGAAAGAGAAGGGAAGGGGGAAGGAGAGGAGAAGAGATGAGTTGGCGCTGGAGCAAAAGTGGAAAGAGGGGAGCCAGAAGACGAGACTGCAGGCCACGCAGAAGGGAGCTCAACCTGAGCCCGACATGGTTAGAAAGTCAGTTAACTTTTTCTTTGACGCGAGTATAATTATGGAGCATCGCCATTAGCTGGGTCAGCTGGGGGCGGCCCCGATAGTCCGGACCGCGATACGTCACTGCATTGGGCGCTATAAGTTCAAAGGTAACCTTTCTACGGAGGGACGGATTGACTACCGAGGACCGAGGACGGTGGGAACTACTCCGTAGCACTCAGTATGGAAACCCCAAAATAAAAATATGCGTGAAAACTGTAGACCAGATCGCCGGGACGCCAGGATCGATAGATGAGATATCATATCGCAGACCCAGCACGCGGGGCCGAGAAAAAAAAAGTAGAAGGAAAAAGCAACGAAAGCTACAGCTGAAGGGCAATGATCATCCACCACTCGAGCCTGAACCAGGCAGGTAGACGTAGGGAGTTAGTTACAGTACTGATACTTATCCTGCTAGAGTAATTTCCTAGCCTCGTCCAGGCCCCTCCATAACCCCAGTGGAGCATCTCAGCCATCGGGGACATTACTAAACTTTGAAAAATTGGTCCCTGGCCCGGACGGCTCATAGCCCGTTCGTGCCACTGGTCCTCCCTGCCCGCCCTGGATGTTTTGGTTGGATTGAGGTTGTTAGGGCTTGATGTGGACAGCGACAGGTTCCAGTTGGGAATCTCGGTAGCCTCACATCCGAGGACGCCCTCTTTCCCTTGAAGTGTTATACGGAGCGTATTCGGCACGGTCGGTGCCCTGGTCCGGCGGGGGAGGTTCGACAGCTGAAGTGGGGCCGCAGTCTGATCGAGCCAGTGGTGGTCCTCTGGGTTTGGAGCTTATGCACGTCCCGGTCCGGTCGGAGTCTGGTAACCCGGGAGAGTGGTTGGTGGATTGGGTCAATGTGTGGTACGGAATAATGGACATGAGTGCGGACGTAGTGATTTCTGAGTGCGGACGTGGGCCGTACAGAGTAGTGTTAATGGCCAGCGATGGATCTAGCTATAGAATGTCGGATTATCTCGCGGAGGCTGGCCGGGACCATTTTCAGTGGGGTATCGTACAGATCGACGGGCAGGTACAAGGTTAGGTTGGTACGAGCACGTTGTACATGCATCAACCTTCCGGGTTCTGGGGTTGCCTTCCACGCGGCCGAAGTTGTAGCACAGGGCTTTTTTACAATGTTTCGGAGGTACTTTGTGGCACAATCAGAGAGACAGGCGGAGGGACTCCGTGCACAGATAGCATGCTTGGCGGATCATTATCGCTAATTCCGAAGAAGCCTCTAGATTTTACCGAGGTCCTCAGCAGATATACTATGACTATTATCAATCTACGGACCCCTTTCTAGCAGATAAGAGGCGGCTCCTGTCGTGCCGTTGAAATATATTTTGCCTCGGGTGTCTGACCCAGGAGGTTGGATCTGCGCCAACCCCTGTCACCTTCCTCCCCCTATAGACTCCGTCCTAACCGCGTCCGCTTTCCTTCCGCAGCGATCATGATAGTGTATCAAGAAACACCCCTAGGGGGAAATAGTTCTACCGCTACCTACCTATCTCGCACCATAACCAGGCGACTGGTAGTAATTAACCTTAACCCTGCCAACTGCGGCCAGGTGCATTGCATTCTCCGCCGAAACTGGCTAATTTCCAGCGAAATGCCTAGTCCCGTCTAGCCCAACGGTCCGTGGACTCCAATCACGGAGAAGTGTTCACCGTGGAGGGAGGAGACTCCCGAATCCATCGCATACTCCTATAACTTACTATGCTAGTATCCTAGCAGGTCAGTAGTATGAAACAAGCAAACTCAAACCTTCGCAGCATTCCCGCTGACTCGGACCTCTTCTTTTGCTCATCCCCTGTGGCAATCGTGCTTCGGTCCAGCACTGACAACAGCCCACCATCCGTGCGCCGACCCGACTGTCCGGTCGCGCATCCTGCGAGCCGAGAGAGTCTTGCCCCATGCGGTAAGGTGCGCCGGCACCCCCGAACTCAAGTCACGAGACGATCTCCCGTTCCTGATCCAGACATTCGGAGCCAAATATTTCATATGACGAGCTACTTCATTTTCCATTTTCCATTTTCCATTTTCTCAAGGCCAGGGTTAGTCCCCAGTCCAGTCCAGTCCAGTCCTATCCTAGCACTCCGGATCCATCAGCCCGGTCCCCTCCGTTCTCCGCGTCTGGACTCTGCGTCCGACACACGCACCACAGCGCCGCGTCTGCCCCGTCGAACGCCTCGACTCAAGTCCAGTCCCCGTCCAGTCCTGCACCGCGCTGCGCTGCGCTCCTCTGCTTCGCGGTCAGCCAGCCCCCGAGCGCACTACACCCGACTCTTGCCCAATATGGCCCTCGCCCGCCCACCCCGCCGCCTCCTCTTCATCGCCTCGATCGGCAACCCAAAGCCATACCGCACCACCCGCCACAGCGCAGGTCACCTACTCCTAGACGCGATCACGCCCTCGCTTCGCGCGCGCCTAGGCCCCACCACCGCCCCCCTCTACACAACCTTCTACAGCCCGTCGCTGATGAACATCTCGGGTCCCAAGTTGGTCAAGCATATGCAGAAGTGGCTGTCGAAGTGTGACAGCGCCGCGCTGGACCTCGGCGCGGGACCGCTGCCGCCTGGCGCGGCGGTTGGATATCCCGCGACGCTAGTGATCCTGCACGATGAGCTAGAGGCGCCGCTGGGAAAGGTACGGGTGAAGCGGGGCGGGCCTGAGAGCGCGAGTTTGCGCGGGCACCGCGGGTTGATTAGTGTGTTTGAGACGTTGATAGGGAAGCGCTTGTTTCCTGCGACGCAGAAGAGGCTGAACCTGGGTCCGGGCCAGAAGCGTGCGGCCAGGGGCAGGGACGAGGGGTTGCCACGGGAGTTGGATATTCTTAGGGTTGGCGTGGGGATTGGGCGGCCGGCGGGGAGGGAGAAGAATGCTGTTGCGGATTACGTGCTGACGGAGATGGAGGCGCATGAGTTGAATGCTGTTTCACGGGCAGCGGGGCCGGTGGTGGATGTTTTGGAAGAGGAGATGAGTCGTGAGTCTGGGTCTGATGGCGCTTCGTCCCCGTCTCGGTGACGATGATGTGGTACCTTGTATATGGGAAAGATCTTGGGGGTAGATGGTTGTATTATAGCTTACATTCTAGAGGGCCGGATCCACGGTGATAGCCCGTGGACGAGGCGCGATTTGGGTTTGGGATGAGCACTCATGTATTTGATATTTGATACCCCGTTTGCAATTGAAGGCATGCGCAATGCGCCACACTGGAACACCTTTTGTCCGGGAGGGTCAAATGAAAAGAACCGGAGGGGAAAGAGAAAAGAGGAAACCCGGGCCTTTCAGCCCGAGTCAATCATGTACATGATGGCTGGAAAATGAGACAAGTGCGAATTGAAACATGACGCGGGGGACAAACAAGGTCACGTAGTCTTCGTCAAGGCAAGCGAGAAGCGCAGACAGAAAAGGCAGAAACGGAACAGCAAAACCGGAAAGGGAGAAGAGAAAAAGCCCCCAGCATTATGCGAATATTAGCAAACTCCCAGCAAGGCCTCAAACAGTCCCTGCGATACTCAAATCCCGAATCTCCTGCAACACCTCCTCTACCCGACTATCCAAATCACCACGCGCATACTGGTCTCTCGTTTCCGCATCCAGGTACTGCTGCACCTGCGCCATACGCGAGTACGCCTCCGCGCAGAAGCGCAGCTGGATCTTGACTAGGGCCTCGAAGCTAGGATCCAGGTAGGGCACGCGCAGGTCGATGAGCTGGGGCAGCTCCGTGAAGAGCTGCTCGTTAAGCTGTTCGTAGGCCTGCTTGGCCATTTCGGCCTCGCGCTCGGTGCGGGGCAGCTTTGTGGCGTCCTTGTCGGGCTTTTCGACGAGCTTCTTGACCTTGGCGCGCATGGCGTCGTAGTCGAGGAGCTTGTGGTTGCGCTTTTTGATGCATTCGTTGACGTCTGGGAAGTATGCGCAGAAGCGGGAGATAGGCTCCAGGACGGTGGTTCTAAGTAGCAATACCAATGAGTATTCTGCTGGCTCCAGGAATTGGGGGGAAGGTGGTTGGTGAGGTGAGGCCGTACCGGTATGGTCCGTCTAGAGCTTTGATGGTCTCCGCATCAAGGTCCTCCACGGCCTGCTTGTAGCTTCGACTGACGCCATCGTGAGTACCGGCATCGCCGTAGAAAGCGTCAATGGTCTCTGCAATGCGCATTTGGGATGCGGTCATGGCTGCAGCGTGTGAGCCCTCATCGTCGTCCAACCCATAGCGATTCAGAGAATAATGACAAAATTACCTCGCAATGAATCCAGATATCCCTTGGCCTCCTTCTGAAGCCGGTTCGCGGCAGCCTCCATTGTCCGGTATCGACTACATCCCATCAGTATCCATGCCGCTCAAAGCCCCGACACCAACGCAGAAGGAATAGGCATACCGCTCCTCAATCTCATAGTCCCGGTCATTTGTCCGCTCAACATGCCCTATCAAGTCCCAAATAATCAGCAGGCTGCTCCAAGTCCTCCCAGTCCAGCCCATTCCTCTCGCGTAGAGGAGCCAGCCCAGTCGTCCCGCAAGCCTGATTGCGGGGTAGCTTTTCAAAGACTCACCAGTCTTCATCATAACCTGCGTCGTCGCGCGGTTGACATTCTTCTTGAAGCCTGCCAAGCGATACAATCAGTAGCCATACAACTCAAGTCATGCACCCAGCTCCGGCTGGGCTGCCAGTGGCGACGTACCTGCCCACGACATGGCGGCAGCCTAAGATCCTCTCTTTGTATGGTAGTTCTCGGGTCTGAGGTCGATTGATAGCGGAAGGAAGGATTCCAGGTCGTTGGTTGAGTTCACGTTGGTAGCAGGAACAAGGAGACAAGAATAGGTGAAACAACGCGGTAGTCACGGCTGGTCTTCAAGTCACTCTCGTCCGGCTCCGACGGGTAAGTCTGCCTTACGCTGTGGCGGTGCCGGGCGGTTGCTTAGTCATGCAGTCCCGAATGCGGCTACGTCATTAGGGCTGAGAGGGGAAACTCCCGTGTACTACACTGAGAGCTGTGAGAAGTTTGCTCTGTGATATTCACCAAGTTTTTGAACAATTGTGGTGGTGTTCGACTTTTTGTTTGTGTGAACCTATGCAATGCCCTAGTATGGCTGTTTTGCTGGCTGGAGGGCAGGGTCAAGTTGGGTTTCGGGTCGGGCCCGCGCTGCCGCTGGAAAACTACACCTAGGTGCCTGGACAAATTGAGAGGGATTAGAAAATATGACAAGATTTTTGAGTTAAAAAGTCTGTTATAATAGGGTGAAGCTTCAAATTGAAATTGAATAGATGTCATCACTAATTCATTCCTTGGGTAAGAATCAACTAAATAAAACACTAATCACTCGGAAACGAAGGAACTATCTCGCAGCTAATTTCCAGCACTCAGCATGCAAGGCAAGCATTCTCTCCATGTCTTGCACAACAATTTAATAGTCATCATTGTTGTTCCGCTCGCGTCTCTCCTGACCGCGCTCCTGCAAGCTGTCATTTCCAAGAAGGTCGCCAGCCTTTTCCATGAGCTTTCCGACGGTACTATCACCGCCGCTGCGGGACGAGCCGTAGGAGTCGTTGCCAGACGAGCCATAGGTGTCATTACCGCCGGAGGAGCCGTAGGAGTCGTTACCACTGCGGCCCGAAGAGCCGTAGGAGTCGTTGTTTCCAGACGAGCCATAGGAGTCGTTACCACCGCGGCCAGAAGAGCCAGAGGTGTTGTCGTCACGGTTGGACGAGCCGTAGGAGTCGTTGTTACCGGACGAGCCGTAGGAGTCGTTGTTACCGGACGAGCCGTAGGAGTCGTTACCACCGCGGCTAGAAGAGCCATAGGTGTTGTCGTTGTTGCTGGACGAGCCGTAGGACTGGTTGTTACCAGATGAGCCGTAGGAGTCGTTGTTTGAAGACGAGCCATAGGAGTCGTTACCACCGCGGCCAGAAGAGCCAGAGGTGTTGTCGTCACGGTTGGACGAGCCGTAGGAGTCGTTGTTAGATGAGCCGTAGGAGTCGTTGTTTCCAGACGAGCCGTAGGACTGGTTGTTACCAGATGAGCCGTAGGAGTCGTTGTTTGAAGACGAGCGGTAGGAGTCGTTACCATCGCGGCCAGAAGAGCCAGAGGTTTTGTCGTTACGGTTAGACGAGCCATAGGAGTCGTTGTTTCCAGACGAGCCGTACGAGTCATTGTTGTCCGACGAACCATACGAATCACCGCCGCGGTTGGACGAGCCGTAGGAGTCGTTGCCTCCAGAGCCGTAGGAGCGCTAGATCATTCAGTTAGAGATGCTTTTATGCGCCGGTGACATATGAATGAACAGAATTGGGTAATATCTCCGCCTCTCGTCATGCAAAGAACACGACAAGTATGAGTAAACAAGGAATCATCCACTTACATCGTTATCGTTGTTGTAAGACATTGTTGCAGGGAAAGTGAATTCAATTCAGAACTGACTATGGGGGAAAGTAGATCAAACAGGATTTCGTTCGCCTGGGGAGATGGCGCTATTTAACATGTGTACGCCACGGGGTTCTTAGAGGGCAGATGACGTGACTCCGACCCTGCCCCAAGTAGCTGAAGGTGGAGTAGCACTTGTCCCGATCTGATCTCGATCTGACCTGTTCTAGTAGAAGAGGGGAAAAGGAGGGGCAATAATAAGCGCTAGTCAGGCTATCCGTCCGTCGCCGGCGCTATTTTCCAGTCTATTGGAATCCAAAAGCTAAATGGGGGCACCCTATACCAAATAGATCCTGAGAATAAGCACATTAAGTTAAATATCAGGATTTACATAATGCTGTGTGTAAATGGGTGGATCATAGCTTTCTTGGAAGGGGAGGGGGTCTAGAAGGAAGAGCATTGTCAACAAACTTTATTCCACATTTGACACGAGTCAGAGTCCAGCTGGGAGAAACTTGTATTTGCGCGTGGCGAATCTAGTGTGGACTTCTCCTGTACCTCATCTACTGCGACCAATGCGCGACATGATTTCTATCACGTTGCTGTGCTTATCCGCGCTCCTCGTGCCCCATAGAACGATAGGGCCACAACTGGCATTTTCGGACCGTTCACCCTGTACCCCGCCTAATCGGCAAAACGGGTCGAGATTCCAATATTTGGGACCACAATCCACTATAACGCCCCTAAATAAGTCTTAAGGACAGAGCAATATTGAGATAGAATGAATTCTCACAGAAAAGGGACCGATTAGGGAAGCACGAAGACTTTGTCCTGTGCCACAGTCTGGTGTTGATACCATAATGTCCAGAAGAACAATGAACAATGAAAGAAGGACATCTCCCCTTTATTGAGGACGAGCTTTCTCTCAACTTAGGGGTCCCTTGGGAAACATCCGATGTTTACCTTTCCGTGACTAGCATCCCTGGAGCTCTGCGTTTGCATTGGGAAGGGGTCAAGGTTTGCGTGTTTGGGATAAACTTCAAGGAGAGAGGCATTAAGGTTAGGGGTAACTAGCGTTAGTCTCCAGATATGCCGAGGATCAATTTTCCTCACACTAAAAGTGGCATGACTCACCCGCCTCAATATTGCAATCCAACTCATCCAGCAGCACCATCTTACCAGCTATAAAATTCAAAAAAAATCCACGCCTACCCCTGCAAAGCGCCTCTCAGCCTTGAACTTGATCAAAAAAAAATGATCGTCAAACTCGACGACCTGTCTACCCCGGCCATCCGCTCTCTACTAGCCCACCACTTCACCGAACTCCAAGCCAAAACGCCCTCTGAATCCTGCTACGTCCTCGACCTGACCGCCCTCCAAGGGCCCTCCATCTCCGTCTTCTCCGCCTGGGAGGGCACAGAGTTACTAGGATGCGGAGCCCTTCAAGAACTCACGCCTAGCGCGGGAGAGATCAAATCTATGAGGACGGCACCAGCGTACCTGAGGATGGGAGTTGGGCGCGTTATCGTGCAGCATATTATCGGGGAGGCGAGGAGGCGAGGGTACTCCGAGCTGAGTCTGGAGACAGGGACTGATGCTTCTTTTGCTAGTGCGAGGGCGTTGTATGCGGGCCTGGGGTTTGAATTTTGTGGGCCCTTTGGGAAGTATGTTCCTGCCGGGGATAACTGCTTTATGACTATGGCGCTATCTTGATTCAGTTCAAAGATATATGGTCATTGTGATGGGTACTGACGCCTAAACAGAGAGAAAAAAGGATTGTATTTACTGCATATAAATGTTCGAAAGAGAACGGGAAAGAAAAACCGCTATAATCAGTCTACTGTCGAGGGGGATACTGACATGAGAAATCTATAGACGAGCCCTACGCTGGGGTCCTTCTTCTGGCGCATGTACTATCGGCTGGCCTTGCTATGCTGCTCAGACGCAACCTATCTAGAGGTTTGCTATAGAATGCGTCTAGGGTGTTCGAAGGTCCACTTGAGGCTATGCTTAGTAACTCATGGGCATAGGTAGTTATGACGGTCAAGCTTATTGAGTTGTATATGTAGTAGTCTAGTAGGGTTAGAATCCATTATCTTCGAGCACCCAGCCGTGCCCCTCGTGACGGACCAAATCCTTCACGATACAGTACATACACACATACACCGAACCAAGTAACCGTAAAACAAATAGCCTTCATTTATCGTACTCCGGTACTCCGTCACACCTCATCCTCTGACAAATTGCTTCGGGGCGAACTTACCTCCGTACCGCCACAGAGGCTGAGCTAAGGCTGAAGCCTGGAGGTGGAGGTGGCAGGTCAAGGTGGCAACTCTAGAATGGGGGCTAGCAATGGCTTCAACTGGTCCAGTTCGGTTCCAGTACTTCTGCAATTCGTCTGCGCCGAGCATGGAAATGCGGGTGCCTAGAGACTGTTTGACAGGGTGGACCACAGGACTGTGGTGCGAGAGCGGCGTTCTGCCAAGAGCGTTAGTTTATGGGGCGGTGGTGCAGATGTTGGCCTTACCTAGTAGTAGTGGACGACGTAGCCACTTACACCGGAGTAGAGTAAGTTAGTAGCGTAGCATGATTAATTCTGGGCGTGAGTGGGACTGAGGTCGCTAGGATGCCGGGCAGAGGATGGTCGTGTTGTGCATAGGATGAACTACATAGAAGGGCTGGTGCGGATGCAATGTCAATCCAATCCTGTAGGGCGGGCAGGGCTGGCGGGCTGTATGATAAGGCGTCGAATCCTGCGATATGCTCCTTGACTAGGGTACCCCGTGTAGCTAGGGTCACTAGGTTCATCTGTGCATGATTGATGGGCGCATTTCCTGCGGGCGATGCCGCTCGGGTATAATATGATGAGCCCGGGCCCGCTAGGACAACTGGAAACTTTGTGACTCCGTAATGCGAGGTTTCGGAAGTACTCGTTTCATGGCCCATCATCAGATGCGCTGGCTAGTGCTGCAGCTGTGGACCCGGTGCCACAGCCTAGCCTGATGTCATACCACCGGGGTCCGCGGGAGTATTACGCTGGTTCATGTCTGTGGCGAGGAACTGTGCTCTGTATTCGTAGACGCTCGGATAAACCCTCAGTATAGATCCGGAAGGGCCAAGGATAGAGGGCATGGCATTTGTCTGTACTAGTGGTATAGTGAGGTAGTAGTAGCAGAACAGTGGTAATGATGGTATTATGAATGGAAGCCAGTTTGAGATTCAACTTGATCTTGGAGATTCATTCCTATATACACAAGGGCATCGGTGATATATACGAAAGTCCCGATAGTTCCAAAACAAGTGAAAGTGTTCAAACATCCCCCGCGCCCAACCCCGACCAATTCCACGGCCACAATGACATACTTGGTCAAGCCAAATGTATAGACTATGCTGGAGTATAGCATCCAGCGTTCCCAGTGCCACCAAACACAGAAAGTGGATTGATCGGATCGAGCCATCATAAAAGTACAACAGCGCTCCAAAAACGCAAAACACCAGTCAACGCCGATCGGAAGTCTCCCCCGCCCGCCCCATTGCAGTAAGACAGAGACAGAGCATAGAGAGACGAAAGAAGATATAAAAAAGGAAAGTCATGACTCTTCGTTGGATTGACGTGAAACCATCCCTGGCAAGTCCCAAACAGATAAAGCTAAGCGATGAACACGGGCTGAAGAAGGAGATAACAATGCGCCGGATCAAATGACAGCGGACAGGATAAGTAGAACAAAGGAAAAAAGGAAGTTAAAAAAATAATAATTTCAAATCAAGGGCCTCCCATTTCTATCAGGAGCATGGCAAGGTCAGAGTTCCTCCTCATTTTTCCTTGAACGGTCTATGACGGGTAACCCACCCTCAGATGCGCGTAGGAAGGGGGGGGGGAGAAGAGGTGATCTCTGTGAGAAAAATCCAAAACGTGCCTCCCGTTTTCCAGGGAAATCTAGACAAAGGAAAAAAGAACAAGACTGGTTGAAATATCACTTTTCAACCGCCTCTCTTCTTTCTCTTTTGCCTAACCTCTCCGTCTGTTCCAAGATCAGATAACTCGGCAATACTGTATTTCTTGCCGAACGCCAACCCACCAACCAGGTTCAATCGATCAGAACCCTTCCTCACCAGCCTTGCAAAGCTTGATCTGTCGTACCCACTCGGACTTAAGGACCTGTGAGGCATTGATGCGACGGGAGGGGTTCGGATCCAGAATAGAGTAGATCACGTTGCGGCAGCGGGCCTGGATATAAGATGCGGAGTTAGTCCGATGTCCTGCATAATGACCTGCAGGAGCAGCCACGCTTACCCGATGCAGCGTCTCGATCGGCGCATAGCCATCCTCATGCTTACGGCCCTCCAGATACCGCTGGTAGAACTCGTCTTCGTCCTTGCGCGCCACGCGCCAGAGATGCCGCCCCGTCCGCATCGCCATGTAGATCACGCCAGTGGCCCACAGGTCCACGGCGCGCGGATCGAACTCCTTCTCGACGTATTCTTCCGGCGCGATATATGGTGCGGAGCCGCACAAGCCGGCCGTCATGTGCGCTTCCTTTTCCCAAGCCATCCGGAAGCACTCGCCGTTGCCGAAGTCGGTGATCTTGAGGGCTCCGTGGGTGGTCAACAGTAGGTTCTCGGGCTTGAGGTCCCGGTGAGCCACGCCCATCTCGTGCATGTACTCGACGCCACGCATCAACTGCTTGAAGAAGCAGTCGGCTTCGGCGACTTCTAGTTTACCGGCTGCGAGAACGAGAGTGTACAGATCGCCACCGGCGCAGTACTCCATAACTTCGCAGTAATCGCCCTTGGCGTCTTGGAGCAAATCGAGGGTGTGGATGACGTTGGGGTGGCGAAGGGAAGAGGAGATGCAGAACTCGGAAGTTAACCGCTTCTGGTACTTTTTAGCCGTCTCTTGGGGACGGCGACGAAACTCCTTGACAGCGTAGAGTTGCTCGCACTTGGAGTCTTGGGGATCGACCTTGTGCGAGATGCGGACAATACCGAAGGCCCCACGGCCAACAATCTCCTGGCATTTGCCATATTTGTCCACCAGAGATGCTGTCGCGTTGGGTCCACCCTTCTTGTCGGCGGCGAGCTTATCGCGCTCGGTTTTAAATTGATCGATCCAGGTCGACATCAGAGACAGCTGCTGCTCCTCCACCTGATCGTCGCCCTTTCTCCTTCCACCGCCCAGCATGTCTCGGAGGAGGTCGGTGAGCTTTTCCTGTCGCCGGGCACTTCGGAGGTTATGGTTGTGAGTGCCGGTGCCTTCTGGGAGAATCTCGAAGCGCTTATGCGGCGCGGCGCCATCCTTCGGGTCCTTGGTGCTGGCCGGCTTCTTCTTCGGATTATTTTCCGCGGGCTCACTTTTCAAGGATGGTTGTCGGGAGGGGGTGCGAGACGGGGGTCTGGAGTTTGCGCGGGACGAGGGTTTCGAAACGGGCTTTTCTTTGCCGTTGGTCGGCTGGACACTCTCAAAACTGCTGTCGGAGTGATCGCGGTGGACGGCGTCCTGGTCGCGAGTCGGGGTCTGCTTCCCCGTACCTGAGAACATGCGAGAAATGCGAGAGGCCATGTTGCCTCTGGGAGGTTTCGGGGCCGGGGAGGCCGGCGCAGAGAGCATATCCCCGTTCATCGCGGACAGATGCATGCCCGCCAGGGCTCGTGTTACCGAAGGGTCTCCATCGCGAGGGTCATGTGAATGTTGAGACGCTGCTGCTGAGGAGACTGCGGACGGAACAGGTGAGGGAGAAGGCGGAGTCATGTGCGGTGAATCTGTGGGGTGGGAGGGGAGGAGCTGGATGAGTGGAAAGGGAGGTGAAAGAAAGGTCGTCCCCGGTATGAGATGGGGAGGGACGAGCTACGCTCGCACGAAGCTGAAAGCTGCCGAACTGCGATGCGCTCGTATAATCTCGTGGTATCTTGTTGAATGGACGAGGTGAGGTCGGCGGCGAAAAAAAAAAGGTGTGGGAGTGCCTAAAGTGGTGGCCTGAGGCAACGAGGTGCACACGGGTGACGCCAGCGACTTCGTAAGTAGCCAAATGCGAGCGGATTCCGCTACAGAGGAAGCGCTAAAGGGTGAACGGTCAAGGGCTCCAAGGGCCAAAATATATACGAAGCGGCCAGAATAAGAGCATACGCCCCTCGGGGTATGTCTGATGATTTATAATGCGTAAGGTAAGAGGGAAAAAAATAAAAATAAAAAGAGGGAGGAAAAAGTGGCAGACAAGAGAGATAAAATTGGCGATGCTACGGGAGGAGCAGGGGCGTTGAAATACGATGAGGAAACGAGGTTTGTATGGGGGAGGAGTAGTAATTTACGGGGGGGGAACGGTTCCGAGGCGGGTTGTTGGAATTTTCTGGCTTGGATTATTAAGGCTGATGAAAGCCGAGAAATTAAGGCCGAGTAGTGATTTAGGTACATACTGTAGATGTTTCCATCGTAGTGGTACAGGCAGGCGCAGCCAAACGGTCCCATGTCCCAGCAAATATGTGGGCCGAGGTGCGGTAACGGGTATGGACGTAATTTGCTTACACCATTTCCAGGTGAATCTGGAGATTATTAATAATACGTGTATTCTGATTACCTGATGTCCGCTGGATCACAGGGGAAATCAGCAGCCGCCCCAAGTGGGTTCGACGAGGCGATAGATACTGATCTTACTGTACTCTTAGTTGATCAGACGGGTGGATTACTGTTGCTCTGCTTGTTCTGTTTTCCCTGCCGCTTCGAATCCTACCATACCTTGCATATACTGTGCTTTGTGCAGTAACATTCCTCGTTACCGAGTGGCGCATGCCCACCTGCCCTAGTGGTGTGGGCAAAATGGACCTCCACGAGCTCCGGCAAGTGAAAAAGAGGAACAGATGTGAAGAGGGGCCCGTAAGTAGCACACAGGAAACACAGCCAACGCCCACAAAAAGGAAACCGTGCAAAAACAACAACATCCGACTGCCGAGGGGCCCCATAGCAGTGGTCGTAACACTGGTCCGACGGGAGACTCGGGGTGAGAGATTTAATCTGCCCGTAATGACCATCCGTCCTATACCGCCGTCTTCGACTGTACCGGAAGATCCCTGGAATCGCTGGGTCTTCCGTCTTGCACCTTCGCCAAGAACGATTAAGCACTGCGCAGACTCCAGTGCGAAATTACAGGACGATCCCCGATGACGTCCCCCCTTCTCTCTGCTGAACCGGATGGAGTCTCATAGGCCCATGGAAGTACATCACCACGTCCTGTTCCTGTTCCTCCCTCCAGTGACGTCGATTGTATCGGGGACCATCTCAGACGAACCCAAAACCACCAAGCCACGCTCTACCTAGGTAACTATTATAGTTCCGCCACGTTTATCCGCCAAGGGGGGCCCGGATGTGAGTGAGGCTGTGCATGTCGTCTGCATTGTGCGCAAGCCCCGTTCTGATTCGATCGCGGCCCCGCACCAGCAGTCAGAGCCGATGCGCTGGGTGCGTCGTGTGGCGCTAGCATGGCCACTTGTCCTCGAGAAAGGCCTGGAGGGGTACCGATCATGGTAGAGCCATATGGATAGATGAGTACTGATGGGCCGCAGAGGGCCATCGACGTTATTGTCCCCTCTTCCTCGCCCATAGGCCAGCCTGCCACGAAACCCCCGTAGGACAAAGTTCGTGTCTACGGAGATGCTGTATGTCTGCGACGGACGCTTGGACGGCCCATATGGGGGGGGGAAATGCACAATCCCGTACCAGGCAAGGCAGTTGAAAGCGGGCCCCGCCGCAAATATGCTCCCCCGTTGCCCATCCACGGACGTGCTCCATTACTGTGTATAGACTAGATGGCGAGTTGACGGAACCAGAGTGGATATGGGCACCGTGCCACTTTACACTTTACTCCCGGCGTAATGTGATCTTCCCGGCCCCCACCGATTGATCACAGCTCCGTCGCTGGCCGCTCCTGATGGCAACATTGATAGGAAATACAAAACCGGCCCTGAGCATCTCTCTTATAGGCCATGCGTAGCGTATGCTGTGTTTAGGAATATACAAATTTACATCCATACCTACTACTGTACCCACCTAGCTCCAGAGGTGCGTATGTGCCATATCCAATTGGAAAGAGGTTTTACCTCCTCTGTTCGTCCGCCGCGTTACATACCATATATTCCATACCCCGCGCTCACCATCAGCTCGGTCGACTGACGCTGAGTCACACAGACCCAAAACCAAAAGACCAAAACCAAAGACCGAAATCAAATCCAAAGCCAGAGCCAAAGCCCAAGCTCCAGGGAAAACCCTCCATTCGCCCTTCGTACTGCCAGCCGATCGCCGCTAGGTAAACGTCACCCTGCACATCTCCCCATCGGGTCATGGATCACAGCGTGGGGTCTCTGTGCGATGGAGTCACCCGCAAGACCGCAAAACACCACCGAAAAGCATCCGGTACGAGGTGTAAGCTAGCGAGCTCGGGTTCAGCCCGTCTAGCGTCATCCAGCCTAGATGACGGCATCTCCTCGGGACGAGGGGGGCGGAGTGAGAGTGAATGGTTGGTCATGCTGACCAGTGGCTATCTGCCATTACAAAAGCCGTAGCCTGAGCTCAGCTGGCGGAGCGGAGCACAGAGCTCATGGCCCTTTTCCTTCCAAGAATATCGGTCCGACTCGAGCACTCTAAGAGAGTCGATTGAGGTGGCAGACCTAAGTCTTCGGTCGATTGAGGGATATATGGGGAGCCTATCAGATTTATCAGGGGGGCACGCACGGTCGGTGGTCGAGCTTTATTCGCACAACGAGCTTCACCGTCTTTTTTGTCGTGCGATTCCTTTTCCGGGGTGGGGTTGACTTGACGGGTAAAGAGCTATTAGTGCCCCGTACAAGGTATCGGTACATATCTGGTCTAGTGTAGGTCAGCATGTTAGCTTATCTACGTCTGTACATCTACCTTCATATCTTGTGGTTAGAGTTTCCGGAGTCGTGGATAGTCGCTATGTACGCAGTTGATCTCTGTGCTTAGGCAGGCTTGTGCCCGGCCTTGACTTCCGACCTAAGATAACGCGCAGTTTACCCCGGATTATGGTTCCCTGACTCATGCGTCGCTCAGCAGGGAGTGTAGTTTTTTCATGCAGTCCCTTGCCGTTTCATACTTATTTAAGCGTGCCTCCTAGTCTAAATATCACTACCGGAGGTGCTCGTCACAGAACGATGTATTTCCCCCTAAAAAAAGGAGGTGATCGGTACTATCCCACAGCAATTACTTTGCCAGGAGCAAGGACATTAATCCGGGGCAAGCTTGGTTTGACGCAGAGGCCCACAGCCGAACAAACTTGCGCCAAAAAGGCAAAAGCGAAGAGAAGAGCCGGAAAAGAAAACCGGCCACGGAAAGAATGCCAACGATAAAATAAATAAAATGGAAAAAAGGCTCAACCGAGCCTATTCGACGTGTACTTCGCTTAGTCCTCCGCTTAGTCCTCAACCGCAGCGTCCGCTGCGTTGCAATAAACACAGTACGAGGCATTTTCCATCTACCAATCAGCGTCCGCAAAACGGGAGGAGGGGCATAATTCTTTCATGTCCTGTGCGATGCAGCTGCTGCGGTTGCTGCGTTTACAGTATGATGACTATTGTTCTTTTTTCTGTGCGTTTTATACACGCAGCCTTACACTGTGCACATACTCGGTATACATTATCCAGGCTACAGTAGCGTCTACAGCCAGCCCTCGTTACCAACGTATTCATCCCATCCCGAGTCCTAGCCCCACACCTACACCTACAGTACACCAACACCAACACCCGGCCGTTTCATACTTTATACCAACACACACCTCCGTACCAATTTTAGACCTGAATGTACCTGTACCTGTACCTGTACCTGTACGTATCCCAGACCAGATACCCCCGCGAAAAGGAATCGGAAGTGAAACGCCACTCCCACTCCCACTGCTAGTGCTAGTGCTGGCCAAGGTCGTTCCCCGAGCACAAATACCTCTCGCTCTCCCCAGGGCCTACCCCACCACAGCAACAAGAGCCACCCAATGCGACGAACAGCCCGGGACAGATTGGGGAGGGGCCGGAGATCAAAATAAAGCTTTCCGCTGGGCCGGCCGCGCGCCGAGGTGAACCATGCTGACCGCCAGTTTCGGGGCGTTGCATTTGCATCCCGTCCCGTAGCCACACACTTCTGCGCTGCTGGTCTTGCTCTGCTCACGCAGACTCCTGGATGCGGATGTGGGGCATGTCAAGCTGACGGAGGTGTTCTGCTTTGTTCTACCCTTGTCCACGCCCAGTCTCGGGTCTGGGGCAGAGGCATAGGCACAGGCAGAGGCAGAGGCAGGGATGGTAACGGGCTGTTTGGCTTATTCTCAGGGAGCTGAGGACACGAGCGTGAGTTGAGATAAGCTGTGGCGGACCTGAGCTCGGCGTGCAGGAAGCTCGGATGCTCGTGCGTGGTGGCTGGTGCAGAACTGCAATACTGCAATACTCTCGCCTACAGTAACAACGATAGTAACAGGCCAACCGCCGGCGTTCGAGGTGTCGACGTCTACCCTGTTCAACTGCACTATACGCTATACGCTATACACTATACCAGCCTGCCAAGAATCAAATTGAGCTGAACTGCATGAATTGATGTGACCCATTTCCCACACACCCCCCGGCCAGCATTCGTGTCTTTCCCCCTTCACCGTACGTTTGTGAACCTCCCCTCATTCCTGCCCCGGGCCCTGTATCACCCCTATTCATAGCCATTCTCTGCATTGTGCATTAAATCGGAGTTCCACGCCCGTATCCGGTTGCAACGCGCAACGCCCACGCCTTGGCGCGGGCATCGCCCTGTCAGAATTCGACATGGGAGCGATATGGACAGGAGAAGCTGCGTGCCGTGGAGCCGGGGTGATCGTCGAGGTTAGGGGGTGGGTATGCTTGTGCATACCCCGGTGTGCGCGGATGCCGGAGCGTTGTCTTCCTGGGTGGATGGGCCTGGATGGAGCTGGTTGGCGTTGGTCTGTGGTACGGGCCGGCCCTGCACATACCGCAGACCGATCCTTGGGTATTGCTACCTGCCCCTCGCATCCCCTTGGGAAATGCAATTACTAGATACACGATGGAAATTACTGAATCGTGGGAAGAGTGGTTATGGAAATACGGTGACGGGTTCTTTCGTCTCCAGAGATTAACATCTAAAACATACTGCCCCTTCGACCATGGAAAAGTCGTGCACGACATCCCCGACATCGCCTGATAGCTACAGCCACGGCACACCATGCATGAGCCACGCCTGACCGGATCCCAGAAATCCTGCTTTATCTCCTCTTGGCAGAGGCTGGTGATTGGCTAGGTCCAAAACACTGCGGCTTTTGTGCAGCCCACCCAGACTGATAGTCGCCTTGGTCCTAGAGCAAACAGATGGCGGACAGGCTCGAGAGACCGGGATAGGCAAAAGCATAGGCAGGCTTGGTCAGCAAGGCTGCAGGCATGCCAAAGAGGCCAGTCTCGGAATTTCTATTGAGCACGCTATTCACATAGTGGCGATGACGCGGGGAGCTCCTCGTCAACACCAATGTTCGCACCTCCCACCACCCGCCCCCCAACTCCCCCGGAGACCCCAGCTATCCGGATTCTCCCGCCCCCATTAGTGTGCTGGCGGATGCTTGTTCCCGGTCGATAATGGAAAGAACTATGGGCAGCTCTGCGGCGAGAGCGCCCGCTTATCGAGGGTCGGCGCGGCGCCACGTGGGACGCCGGCCCCATTGACTGGCAACACATCTGAAAAAGCGGTATGGGGCCTGTTGTGCTGGGTTGCAGGTTTGCCTCCGCCGAGCCAATTCCAATTTTTTTCGGGCGACAGCATTGCGGTGTGCTACAATTGTTTTCTCTGTTCTCCTCTCCCCGTTGCCGTTTGGACTTGACTTGACGCGGTGTGGGTTTCCTGATTCCAGAAAACCAGCTGGCGGCGGTACAGCTCCCAACCTCCAGTGCTTACGTGGCGATGCGGGTAGTGCCAATAGGCTGGTGGGGGCTGCATCGAAATCATGATAGCACACGGGTCTGCTGCCGGATCAGAAAACGAGTCAACAATGAATGGGGCGGTTTCGCCTGGTCGGCGGAGAAGGTACACGTACCACGAATTGTTCTAGGGACTCCTCGAAAAGCTCGTTATTGACCCCTACGCCGCCGGGATGTTCGGCGGGGGATAGAGGGTTCTTGACAACTATGGTGATGACGGTCGAGTCAGAAGCGAAGGAGCAATAGCATCTGGGGCAGGAAGACAAACCGTATTCCACGAAGAGGTTGATATAGATCTGCTGCAGGGCGATGCGCATGCTGGGGCTCTTGGTGTCGGTTAGCATGACGAACTTGATGTTGGTCGGCGTCTCGTAGTAGTGCAGCTTATACTGGCTAGTGTTGAAGGACACGAAGCTAGACGAGGCTGCGGTGTTAGCAATTAGGTTCCATCATGTGGCATGGGATTTTTGTCTGCGGAATGTCTCACTTGTCCTCATCGCCGCCCAGCTTGCGGACCATATTCCGCAGCGAGAACACCGTGCCGAACACCAGTTTCGAGTCATCGTCTGTAGCTCGCATCGTCTGACCAGTCGAGGTGGGCCCGGCGCCTTGGGCTGGGCTCTCAGAGTTCCGCGAGGATTTCCCCACGATCGACGCCGGGCGAGGCAGCCACCGGCGTTTGTAGATGCATTCCGCTAGAAAAGGAACAGGGTTAGTCCGGCGGATCCAACTAGCCTATTCTCCGGAGTTCAGGGTCAATTTACCGTGGCGGTCAAAGATATAGAAGGAGTAGACAGTCATGGCTGGAAGGGGTACTGTGGAAAGCTTCCGAGCTGGAGGGTGGTGATTTGTTGATGTTCAGGGGAGAGCCGGAGGCGGTGAGCAGCGGCATCGATAAGGCCCTATCGATAACCAGAGGGCATTACGTTGCCTGGAGAAACCGTTCAGCGTTGAGACGTTAGCCCGTCGATAGGGTCAGGGTCTGCCTAATTTTCTATTTGCTGGCTTGGGTTTGTCTTCCCATCCGATCTCCCTTGCAGGGAAAAAGCTTTTTTCTCTTCGGCCTGGTAAGGCTGACACCCTGCATTTACCGTTTATCTGCTTGCCCCCGCTCTCACCTTCGGCCGTCCCCCTCTACCCCACACCTACAACACAACCTGCTTTTGCGGGAGCACTCTTCCTTCTCTGCTGTATTGTCGCTCCTCTCAATGGATGACACCGTCGAGACTTCCCTCTCTGACGTCTCTGCGGCACCCTCGATCGACTCCCACGAGGGGATGAGTCTGCCGCGGGCCGTCCGAATCGCGTAAGCGCCCCATCCCGAACAACAATGGGATCCATCTGGAATTGGCATTGAACAAGTCGTTATGAGCGGTTAGCTGACGCAGATTACGATCATGTTTCTTCTTTTCAGTTCGTCTGGATCCTATGATAGTCTCCAGCGACACCGACGACGAAATCCACGAGCACGGCGTCCGGTGAAGGTGGGTTTGTTTTGTGCCGCGAGAGAGAACTTTTGTGGCGATAGACTGATGTATATCTCCTTTGCGGACATAGGAAACACTGGACGCCCGCTCCGAGTATACTACAAGCCAAGATGATGGCACGGCAGAGCACCGCATCAACCAGTACATAATCAAACAAGAGATCGGACGGGGGTCATTCGGCGCCGTGCATCTGGCTGCTGATCAGTTTGGCCATGAATATGTATGGACAGTCTTTCCAGCAAATTGTTTTTGGTGATGAATGTGGGCCAGCGGAACATCTGAAGATGAAGCCGCGGCGACAAGAGTACCCAAAATGTGATGTGCTGACTTTGTGGTCGGTATATTCAATATGCAGGCAGTGAAAGAGTTTTCCAAGTCACGTCTCAGGAAACGCGCGCAATCACACCTATTACGACGACCGCGAGGCCCTCGCCGAACCGACACAGAATTCAATTCGCCGCTCCATCGCCATCCATCACAAGATGATAGTGAGAACGCGAAGAACCCGCTATACCTGATCAAGGAAGAGATTGCGATCATGAAGAAGCTGAATCACAGCAATCTGGTCTCACTCATTGAAGTGCTGGATGACCCGACAGAAGATTCCTTGTATATGGTCATGGAAATGTGCAAGAAGGGGGTAGTCATGAAGGTCGGCTTGGAAGAACGGGCCGATCCCTATGATGACGAGCATTGCCGCTGCTGGTTCCGTGATCTGATTCTGGGCATTGAATATCTTCATGCACAAGGTATTGTTCATCGCGACATCAAGCCAGACAATTGTCTCGTGAACAGTGACGATGTGCTCAAGGTGGTCGACTTTGGCGTTTCGGAGATGTTTGAAAAGGACTCGGACATGTTCACTGCCAAGTCGGCCGGATCACCAGCGTTTCTCCCTCCCGAGCTCTGTGTGGCGAAGCACGGCGACGTGTCCGGCACGGCAGCTGATATCTGGTCCATGGGAGTCACGCTATACTGCCTCAGATACGGGAAGCTTCCGTTTGAACAGCAGAGCATTTTTGAGTTATATGAGAGCATTCGAAACGACACTGTGGATTTTGAGGATGAACAGGATGAGATTTTCATGGACATGATGAGCCGGATCCTGGAAAAGGACCCCGCGAAGCGCATTAACATGCGCGAGTTACGAGTAAGTGGGAAATGGCCTGCCGGTCCCCTTGATGGATTTAATCACTGACAATGGGGAATCAGGAACATCCTTGGGTGACCGCCAGCGGCGCCGAGCCTCTTCTCCCTTATAAGGAGAACACCGCACAAATCATCGAACCCCCCCACTGAGGAGGAAATGAATCAAGCTATCACGAAAAACTTGGGCCGCTTGATGACAGTGGTAAGTTCTCGGACTGAAAGGAGACGATTTGTGGATTGCCCCGCTAATTTAGCATCAAAACAGATGAGAGCGGTCAATAGTTTCAAGCGGCTGGTAGAGCCATCCAAATCCGGATCGGCCATGCAAAGCATCTTGGGCGGCGATTATGATGCACACTTTGTTGCGCCGCCTATGGAAATGGACGAGAGTGATGAATTTCCCACAGTTGGCCTGGATCCCAATGCCCAAGGTCATCATCATCGCCATCTTCATGGGCTCGGTGGAAGTATCCGAAAGGCCTTCGGACGGCATCCAATGTTGGCCGGAGCACATGGCCGAGATGAGTCAGGAGCAGAGCGACCCCCAGCGAGCAATTCAACAAGCTTTTCTTCTTATCCGGAGCAGAGTCCAGCCGGCAGCCAACGACCCAGCGGTGTGTTTGAGCCCCCAGAGCGGAAAGACTCGGGCTCCATCCGAAGTGGAAGATCACCTGGGAAGGCAGATGCCACCGAACCACATTCTCAGTCGGCATCTCCTCACCCGGCGCTTTCACGGGCAAGCTCAGCGATGACCAAACGCAGTATTGAGGGAACGAGAGGACATGCGCGGGATCCGCTGGAAGAAGACTTCCCTTATCTCTTCATTGGGCCATCGACGTATACCGGCACATCACCACAGGAACCCAGCGATTTCAACATTGGCAGTGATCCAGCGCCAATCTTTGCTGAGCCTGACAGCACCAAGGTGGGTATGGACATCGCATTGGAGGCAGCTATTTCGGACGAGCCCATGCAGATTGTCAGCGAGTCCCCCGGAGCCGCCGAGTTTGACATCTATGAGACCGCGTACCGCAAAGAACTCGAGCGCATCAAGTCCGACACTTCCACCTTCCCTGGCGCCGGCGCGGGTCGCAAGGTGTACCTGACACGACGTGTCGAGGGCAAGGACGAGGTGATGAAGTTTGTCAAGGACAAGGTGCTTGACATGCAGATTGGGACCAAGAGACTCTGTGCCTCCGGTGCGCGGTCTGCAACGGCGTTTGGTGCAGCAGTGAGCCTATTGCGGAATCAGATGGAGCAGAATAAGGAGACTTCAGCGGCAGAAGCGTCGATACAGGAGCAAGAGCAAAGCCCTGAAGAAGGCCAGCAGAACACACCGCGCGAGCGCCAGGAATCGCATCCCCCTTCGTCCTCTCTCTCGTCACAGTCGATTCCCGGGCCCGAGGCGTCGTCCCTCGAGGCGACGGGTGTGCCGGCTACTGACTCGCATCCCGGAGGAGGAAATTCCACCGCGCAGCTCCGCCGTCTCCTCGCTCGTGCTCGGGACAAGCCTGAGGAGTAAATCGGGAGGGACCGAGCAATGTGATGGTTCCGGTACTTACGAGTAGCAGTTGTTAGGGTTTCAGTGATGTCAAACCCCCTGGTCACCACCACTGACATCTCACCGCCATGAATAGGAGATGAAGGAGGAGCGGAGCACGAAGCAGCAGAACAAGAAGTAGGAGAGGGGGCCGAAGAGGACACATGCAATGGAAAGCAGACAAGGCTAGTTCCTGTCTTACGATCCACCCTCCATTCTCACCCATCTTTCTTATCATTTTCCATTTTGTCTTCTTAACCGGTTTTTATTTTATTTTTATTATTCCCTTGCATTTGCACTTTCATCTTGATTCCAATCCCTGTTTCCGATCCCACATCTGCTTTTTCCCCGATCTAGTTAGCGGGTTCAGACAAGTTCAAACGAATTCTTCCCATCCAAAGACTGCAAGCTCGCACTTCCTTACCAGACTTTTCTTCTGTGCTCTTCCGCATTCAATGCAGAATCCGCAGAAGGCCAAATCCCGCGTAGATTAAACTAGTCTCATCTACTTTCCCGGTGAAGGTTGGAGGATTGTCGCCGGATTCCGATCGATTCGCGGCCGTGGCGTGGTTACACAGCGGGTCTGCCCCTCTTTCCGGATCGACGTGGACGTACTGGGAGCTCCCTGGGTGCTCGGGGACTGCGGAGTTACGGTGTAGGTTCGCGACGTGCTTTGCATGGTGGGGAAGGGACAGGGAAGGGGCCTGCTGGGTAGGGCCGGGTAAGTTATACCTATGAGTCATCTGGGTTGGTGAATTGGATCGGTAAGCCGTGCGAGTTATGAGCTGTTGTGTGGGGCAGAGCATGGAAAGAAAGCTTAGTGTACGATGTACTAGGTTCTTTTAAGGCAAGACGTGACGCAAATGATTGAGGTGGATAGAGGAAGCACCAGGTTGATTCTCTAGTAATTGGAATAAGAGCAGCAGAGTGGCAGAGCAGAAGAGCAAATATGCGCTGTACATTATATATCAATCCATATTCTTACATGCGTCATAAGGCAGAACAAGAATCTCGAACCAAGAGCACCAACACAAAGTCACAGCTGATCTGGGTCGTTAGCCTGAGCGTGACAGGCACAATCATAAGGGAGCATAGCATGCCCCGCCGAAACGAAGAAAAGCAAAGGAAAGTGAAGGGAAAGCAGGGCGTAAACACGTCAGTGAAAATGGGCATCACAGAGAAAGGAATGAGGGCATTAAATAATACAAAGGCACGCCAGATCAGTCCAAATGCAAGGAAAGTGGATAAAAGAAGAAGGAAAGATGTAGGGGCTTGAGCACGGAAGGTCCAGCAAAGAAGAAAACAACAAGAATGCATGGCTGAAAAGGACCGCCTTCACCGTGCTGGAAGTATATTTTAGACATCGTGATTGAGGGGTGCATGTCATGTCGCATCACGCTAGACGGGAGGCAAGAAGAAGCGGAGGAGGCGGAAGGAGACCAAGTCATCAAAAAACAGAAGCATAGAGTAGCGGTTCAGAAGAGGCGCAAATCTCACTCGAGATCGAGATGAGCAAGGCCGATGGAGAAGAGCAATCAATACAGAACAGTTCAGCGTAAACAGGGCTGCGTCAACTGGGCATGAAGCATTGGGTCATAAAAGGACGCTTCGAGAACTGGATAAGGAAATGACAAGGCTGCACGAAAGCCGTGTCTTCGTCGAGTATCATTATGGACACATCAGTGGCAGTGGCAGAGGCAGAGGCAGAAGGCGTTCGGTAATTGTCATTGTGAACGGGTGATTAATAAGGGCGGAAGAGTTGCAAACATGACAAAGAGTGTCGAGGCGAAGCGAAGAAAGAGACCAGGTCAGAATAGATCGTAGATCAAAGTATAGCAGAGCAGAGCAGAGCAGTAGTAAACAAAACAATACACGCAACTCGAAACGCTGTCTATTGTTCGTTAGAGTTCATTTCATGAGTTCGAGGTCGTCGTGGGAAACGGCTGCAAGGAAAACGAGGACAGATTCGGTTCGTTCGAATGGTCAAAGTCAGGGTGAAGGTAAATACCAAGATCAAGGTCAGGTAGGTAGGTAGTCAACAAGGAACAGGCGGAGTCGATCGTGAGCGACGGCGCGTATGTGAATTTGTGAATTTTGCGAATGCATTCAAGCGTGCCTAGGTTTCAGCTTCACGTTGCAAGGACACTCGGTGTAAATTGACTCGGCGAAGAGATAGTCCCATCCATATCAACTATCCCGGCGGCTTCTCGCCCGGCGTCGTGCTAGTCCGGTCCTCATACGGCCCCGCCGTTGGTTCTCCCCGGCTGGCCGCTGAGTCCCGACGGCCACTATCCGGCGGCGAGAACCGGCCTGGCGGGATAGTGCCGTACGCGCTGCGCTCGCCGGGATTGCTGTTGAGGCGAGGGAAGGGAGCAGGCGGCCCCAGCTGCAGGGTATGCGGCGAGGGCAGCGGGTGACCCATCTCCGTTGGCCGGGGCAGTTCACGCAGATTCGGCCCCATGCTGCGCGTCTGCACATCTTGGCGTTCTTGGGCGCCTGGCAGGCTTGGGGCCGGAGCAATGGGTCGGGTAGCGGTGATATCGTACGAAAGTGAGCCTGCGCTAGGGCCGTAGATGGGCTGAGGTGCTGGAGCGGACGGGTACGGCGCCAGTGACGCGGGGCTGGTAGGCGAGGGCGGGATCTTGAGTCGGCCTGAGCCTGAGCGGCGTGATGGAGGGTACGTCTCGCCGCGGGCTTCGGCGGCGGCTTTGCGCCGTTCGGTCTCAGCTTTGCTGGGGCGGCCTCGTTTCCGAGGTGGCTCGCCGCTGACGGTGCTGTCGAGTCGCGGGGATAGTTGGGCCGAGCTCTCGCTGCTGTATGAGGCTGTGCTGGCTGGGGGTCGGGGCTGGATGGCGCGAGGAGCGGGCGGTTTGTCGGCAGGGTAGAGTGGTCGCTTCCGTAGGGTGGGATCTATAGGTGCTGGTGTTCCTGGACCTTCTGGACGGGGCAGAGCAGCAGTGGCCGGGCCGGGCGGCGGTGGGTGCTGTTGGGGCGGGCTTTGATGTTGATGTTGATGTTGATGTTGATGTTGAGGTTGAGGTTGAGGTTGAGGTGGATGTTGATGTTGATGTTGATGTTGATGTTGATGTTGATGCTGATGTTGATGTTGATGCTGATGTTGATGCTGATGTTGCGATTGCATGTTATAGAATGTCATTTTGCACTGGCTGAGCGAGCGGCCTATTTGGATTCCACGATCGGTTGCGGTTAGTGATTGGCTGTCAGACCGGGTTTTATAGATCGCGTCTGGTTTACCTTGAGGCAGGGGGATATGCTCCCAGTTAGGGTTGATACGGAACTCATTGATCATGCGGAGGAAATAGCTGGACGGGATGCCCGCTTTCTTGAGGATTTCGGTGAGTAGAGTGTTCTATGCTGCAGTGAGTATGATTGTATGCTCCGTCTTGTGCTGTGCGGCCATACCTTCTCCTCCTCGGTCCATGGCGTATCCGGTGGATTCGACATATCCAGACCATCAACGCGGAACGGCTTCCCTCGGGGCGTCCAGCCACCAACAATGATAGATCAATAGATCAATAGATCCAAAGCACACCTCCCAGTAATTGTGATTGAAAAATAAACGCAAAGACAGCCTCCCAAGAAAGATATTAAATGGAAGCGAATGGCGGGTTAAAAAAGCCAACGGGCGTGAATACGCGCGCGCACACAAACACACCAACCACGGACACTCGAACCCTCCAGAGTAAAGAGAGTAAGAAGGGAAATCAAAATAAATCCAAACGCGCAAAAGGAAACTCTTATGTGTCCATGCTCCACGAGGCAAGCAAAAGCAAGAAGGAAATAATAAAAAAAGAATAATAATTCCTCAATCCAGAAATCCGAATGCCCACAGACAAGGGACGAAAGAGAAGAAAAAGTCAAAATAGAAAAAGGAGTGGCCTCAATTGAGAGGGCTTTTCAGCCACAGAAAATGGAGAAGCAGCAAAGCAGAACGCGGTCCATGAATTCCCGGCTGGAAAGGATTGGCTGAAAGGACTTGAGCAGCCGGGATCGCGCAGGAGGGACCGGCGCGCGTTGGACCGGAGGGAAAGCGGCAGGGACTATGTCGTGTTCGAGAGCGCTGGTGTGTGGTGAGTGGGGAAGAGGAGTGGAGTGGAGTGGAGGAGGAGGAGGAGGAGGAGAGGAGAGGGAGGGAAGGAGAGATAGAAAGAGAGAGGTAGGTAGAGGCTAAAGCAGAGGCAGGAGTAGGAAAAGCAGTAGCAAGCAATGTAGCGATAGATAGGCCAGTTGGTCAGTAGGGATAATATTAGGAGTAGGGGCCAGAAAGTACGATACAGGAAAAGCGAAAAAGGAATTATAAAAAGGACAATCACAGATTGGAAGGAGAGAAAAAAATAATAATGGGGAAATCGGGGAGTTTCATCTTTCCAGAAGAGTTCGAGACGAAACAAAATTACCACCCATGCACGTCGCCGGAGGGGCTCGTTCTGGACAAAGTACGATCGAGGGGGGACTTTAGGACGTTTCCACTGGATTCCACTCCAGGTCGGAGACACTAACACGACTACAGTAGGTCTACGGAGACTAACACCAAAGCTAGGCATGTCTGTAAGTAGAGTACGGCGTACTTGCGATGGACTTGCCAGGGCAGTCGATGTGGGGGCGTACACTGCATGGTTAGTGACCTGCAGCTAACAGTCTAGGGACAATTAGGAACAAATCCACAGAAAAGCACTGGCCAGCAGGTGCCAGGATCTTGCCCGGATCGTGTCAGGAGAGAGAGGAGCGTCGAGGGCTAAAAGGAAGAGCGACAGGGCCCGGGACGGAAGGAGGCTAGTCTGCCATGTAGGTTATGTGGGATGCAGGCTAGCGCCAGCGCATCAGGGGGAAGGAAGATTTATCGTACAGGCGAAAACGGTTGGCCCTGACGGTCCCAGAGCCAAGGGACATGCTGCGGGAAGCAAGTGCTTTTTCCGTGTGGTAAACCGTGGTCCAAGGGCGCACTGGGGCGAATTGCGACCGTCTGATAGGCGCGCCCCGACGGGTGCCCCGGGACGTTGGGTCGTTGTGAATGGATTATGTTTGAAGCTAGGCCTAGGGCCGGTTTACGGCGATCCACCGACTGGTTCTGATGACAATATGGGTATTGCAGTGGTACACTCCGAGGAGTGATAGAGTATACACACAGACCACTATGGCGACGGCTTGATCCAGAGTATAATGGGCGGTCCATAGGTACCCGGTCCGCGGGAAATCCTGAGGATGTATACATGTATACATCAGCCTCTCCGAGTGCAGAGTTTGCGCCAGGCTAAAGCTCCGGGGGTGCTTGCCTCGGGAGGTTGAGGGTCAGAAGAGGGAAACAGGAAAGAGGTCGAAGATCTTGCGCCAGCTGCCCCGCCCGGATGAATCACCGGTGCCTTCTCGGGTGGTAGTTTTGTCAGTGGCCGTCGGATGAAGAATCCCCTCGTATGTAGCTAGTCCCCTCGTCTCTTCGCTCCCTGGCTGTGGTTATTCTTAGCCATTACTATACCTCACTAATGTAGGTCGTAGTTGTGGGCATCGCGCGGGGCACGGGGTACATTTGGCAGGACGTAAGGAAGAGAACCCCGAAAGGGGCAAAGGTACACACCTGGTGACGATGTACCCAGTACTTTGAAGCAAAAGAAGAAGAAAAGTACACAAGACCGCTAGCATAGCACGGGGCGCGTGCCGTGTACTTCGAGGCCGGTTCTGATTGCGATGAGGATGATGGCGGGAAGAAGTTGCTAGCTCTGTTTGCTTGGATCTTTCAACCTTATAATCTTATAGTCTCATAGCCATGACCGTGGATCGCCAATGGTCCGACCTATATGGAGTACATCTATTCCATCTGGCCGTTAATGATTGATGACCCTCCGATTAATACTCCGCATGCTTAGCGCATGTCTTGTCTCCCCAGACCTGACGATGATGGCGACGATATTCTCCCCCAACGATGTCATATCCAGGTCTCTATGATGATGTGATCATTCCTATTTAATTCCAACCAATCTTGCTACTCTTCTCGATAATCATCCGCCAATCTCCCCTCCCCTTTCCCACTACCTCTCGCTTCCAACTGGATCGATGCCCTCCGCACAGACATCGATTGCATTTCTGCATCGCATCTGACAGAAGCGCCCCAGAGTCGCTCCCATCCAATCGTTCCCCCGCCCGGAGTCAATTCCACAGCGTGCAGCAACCTCCAAATCGGGGCTTCTCATCCACTCATTTGCCTTCCCAGACGTGGACGTGGCCCTGCAGGGTACAAACACTACACACACTACAGCGCTACGGCCACGACGCTATTGACGGTACTGACGCAGTACACATTACTTACTGCTTCCAGCCCCAGAGTCCACCATCCACCGTCCACAATCCAGCGTCCACCCGGCATGCATTTCGTGACGACCCTGAGCATGGCCGGCCTCGCAGAGCCTATGACTACCGTGAATCTTCTGTGTCGCGTGCAACCGGTGGGCCGTTGCCTGCATCATCCGGTCTGATTACGAGGTTGTGCACGGTGCTGCCCCTTTCCTAGTCGCTCGTCGCAGAGAAGCTGGCGCGGCACGGCATGTCGTCTAGCGTGTCGGCCTCGGACCAGACCTCCGGGAAGAGGGTGATCTGCTCAAAAGCCCGACCTCATCTCGCTACGCTGGATATTGCCTCGGCGCCGAATCCATAGACTTATCCGCATTCTTCCCAGTCGGCTTCCTCTCGCAACCTGAGGGACGAGGAATGATTTCGGTCGCGCGACGCGTCGGCGAACACAGACCGAATCAGATCTCTGTCGGCGGAGGAGAAGGGATAGGAGGATCGGGTAGGAAGAGTGGCGAACTGTGGAAAGAATGAGATCGACTCCAGCTCGACTTCAGTTCGACTTCCGTCGTCAGTTCAGGCTCTGTACACACGGGCGTATACCCCGAGGGACCAGCCTTCGTGGGCGGTGAGCGCGCGCGACGGGGACGAGAGCGGCCTGTCAGTTTAAGATTATCTCTCGAATGAAAGCTGTGCTTTTCTCTACTTTCTCTCTCTCCTTTGCTCCCTTCCTCTCTACTTCTGTTCAATCCTCCCACCGTCACCATCACCTCCATCTCCATTACATCTCACCCTCTCTCAAACCACCCCCCACGTAGTCCGTGTTCGTCATGTCTGCCCATGACAACGCGGACTCCCAAGATTCCGAGGCAGCATCCGCGAAAATGGACTCGCCCGCCGCGGTCAACGGCTGCAGCCACGACGCCCTGAAGAATAATGGCCGACTCGCGCGGTCTTCCCGGTCGCCTCTTCCCCTGCTGAAGACAGAGGCCTCGACCGATGCCGACACACCTCCACACAGGGTCGGGACGCCAAGCTCCGATTCGGGCGCGATCAAGGACGAACTCGAGATGAAGCAGCAGACGGTCGGCGGCGATGTCATCGTCAAGCAGGAACCGGATCAGCCGCTGAAGCTGTCTCGGACTTCCTCGCAGAAGGTCGTCCCGCGGCCGCCGCAGCTGTTCTCGCATTTGCCAGATAGTACGGCGGACGCGCTGGCCACTTTTGAACAGATTGAGGCGTGCTGGTATGCGAACAAGTACATGGGCTACACCGAACATGCGATGGAGTGTGACTGTGCTGAGGAGTGGGGTATGTTCTTCTTCTTCTCTTTCCTACGGTTCTGCTGCACCGCCACCTGGAGGGGTTTTAGGACCTTGCGCAAGGCCTCGTCCGGGGCCGTTGCGAGAGGCGTGTGTCCCCGATTCTAATAAAAACCCCCCTCCCCTCCCTCTTTCTCTCCCCTCGCCTGATTGCTCCGGACTTTTTCTCTCTCTTTCTATTCCGCTCACCAGTGATGTTCTCTCTCCACCAGACCCCGAAGCCGGCCAGAATTCAGCATGCGGCGAGGATTCCGACTGCATCAACCGTGCGACCAAGATCGAGTGCGTAGGCGACTGCGGCTGTGGGCCGGACTGCCGGAACCAGCGATTCCAGAAGAAACAGTACGCGCAAGTCTCCGTCATCAAGACCGAGAAGAAAGGATTCGGCCTCCGCGCAGAGACCAATCTCGACCCGCACCAACTGATCTTCGAGTATGTGGGCGAGGTGGTGGGCGAGCCTCAGTTCCGGCGCCGCATGAGGCAGTATGATGAGGAGGGCATCAAGCACTTCTACTTCATGTCCCTGAACAAGGGCGAGTTCGTGGACGCGACGAAACGGGGCAACCTGGGACGCTTCTGCAACCATTCGTGCAACCCGAACTGCTATGTCGACAAGTGGGTGGTGGGTGAGAAGTTGCGCATGGGCATCTTTGCGGAGCGCGCGGTGCAGGCGGGCGAGGAGCTCGTGTTCAACTACAACGTTGATCGATACGGTGCGGATCCGCAGCCCTGCTATTGCGGAGAGCCGAATTGCACGGGGTTCATTGGTGGACGGACCCAGACCGAGCGCGCGACTAAGCTGTCCAATGCCACGATCGAAGCCCTGGGCATTGACGATGCAGATGGCTGGGATACGGTGGTGGCCCGGCGTCCGCGCAAGAAGAAGACCGAGGAGAATGATGAGGAGTACGTGGACAGCGTGCAGCCCAAGTCGCTGGATGAGCATAGTGTGACCAAGGTCATGGCCGCTCTGATGCAATGCCAGGAGAAGTGGATTGCCGTCAAGCTGCTAGGGCGCATTCAGCGGTGCGAGGACGAGCGCGTGTGCAATCGAGTGGTCAAAATGCATGGCTATCAGATTCTCAACTCGCAGCTGGCCATGTGGAAAGAGGACCACAACGTGATGATGCAGATCTTGGATATCCTAGACACATTTCCGCGTCTCACGAGGAACAAGATCATTGATTCGAAGATTGAGTCGAATATTCAGCCGTTGACAACATGCGGAGATGGGCGAGTAGAGAACAAGGCGGTGGCTTTGCTGGCGAGCTGGGCCAATCTGGAGGTTGGATACCGCATACCGCGCATGAAGAGGGGCGAACAGCAGACCAAGCAGGCTGTCAATCAATTTGAGCGCCGTGAGTCCGGGCGAGAGCAGCAGCAGAAGCGCTCTGTCAGCCGCTCTCCATCGCCCGTGGGACCGCAACAACGAGGAGGAGGGCACGGCGGCGGCCAGCCGCGACGTGACCGAAACAATCATCATCATGGAGGAGGGGGAGGAGGAGGACGATCTCGCCGGGAGCGTCGCAATGATGCTCGCATCCGACAGCCTTTGCCGGACGGTTGGTTCACCGCCGAGGCCGAAGGGGGCCAAGTTTACTACTACTCGGCATCAGGCGAGACGACATGGACACGACCGACTGCTCCGGCCGCCTCTGCTGCTGCTCCATCCGCGAACAAGCGCAATCTCGCCTTGCAGAGCATCATCGACGGAATCGTGAACTCGCAGGACCAGACCCCTTCAGAACAGAAGAGCGAGACTCTCGGAACACCCCAACCCGCATCGGATCCGCAGCCGGAGAAGAAAAAGAAGGAAGGGGATTGGTGGAAGAAGCTTTCTTTGGAGAAGCAGAAGAAGCTGTATGAGAACACAGTAAGTGGTTACAGCCCATGCAGCCCCAGGCCAGTGCGTATCAGAAAATGTCGAATCTCATGCTGATGCCAAATGCTTAGCTGCACCCGACCATCAAGCACGTGGTAGACCAATATAAGCACAAGATCCCGAAGGACGATCTCAAGCGCTTTGCAAAAGAGGTACGCCCCATACAGGCTACGGCTCTTTTCCCATGCAGCCCATCTAACAAGACTCTCCCTCCAGACAGCTAAAAAGCTCGTCGAAGGCGACTACAAGAAGCAGCGCGTCACAGACCCAACCAAGATCAGTGAAAAACACCAACAAACTGTGAAAAGCTACTGCAAGTCCTTCTTCGAGAAAGCCGCCGCCAAGCACAAGGAGCGCGAGGCCCGCAAAGCCGCGAAGAAGGCGCCCAGCAGTGGCGATACCAAACCCGACAGCACCCCCGCCGACGACCAGGACGTCAAAATGTCCGATGATGAAGGCGACCACAACCCCAATACACACCCCAGCGCCGAACCACCCTCGCCTCTGGATGAAGACCCGTCCGCCTCCACTCTCAAGCGCAAACGCGAGGAGAATGCATCTCCCACCCTCGACACAAACCCACCCTCGGAGCCTGACTGCTCGCCCTCGAAGCGCCAAAAGTCCACTCCTCCACCTCCCCCACCTCCCCCGCCGCCCATGGACGTACGTCCAGAGGATGATGCCGATGCAGATGGCTCGTACTCGTCCATATCGCCGCCCCAAGCTCCACCTCCCCCCAAGGACGCCCCCGGCGACCGGGGCGGGACCGCTGTCGACGTGGAGATGGGCGATATGCAGGTGCGGCCGCCAGCGCAAATCAGCGTCCAAGGGCGGGTATAGTGCGCTGTTCAGAGCTGGAGCCGGTGCCGGTACTGGTGCTGTGGAAAGGAGCGAAAGGGAAGAGGAGATGATGCTGCGAAGGCCTTCTATACCCGGGCTCTTCCTTCTCTCTGCATTTGCCTGATAGTGGGGTGGTAAAAAGCGTTTCTGTTTCTGTTTCTTTTTCTTGCATGGTTTGGAGGGATGTCTGCTTACCCTACCTATCTACCAACCTACCAGGTACTATGGTGAGGTATGAAGGCTCCCATCCAGACCCCATCCCTTTGTCTTTCCATCTTATTTGCCGGTTCTTCATCCCAACCCCCTACGTCTATCAGCATCCTCCTCCCCTCCTTCTCCTTCTCCTCCTCCTCTCCCTCCCTGCTGGACGAGGCATATGGAACCGACAGCCGACAACCGATGCGGACGTGGTTAATTTACTTAGCCTTGTTTTGCCCTGGCGTTGCTTCGCTTCGACACTTGTCTTCTGAATCTTTTTTTCCTCCTTTTCTTTTCTTTTCTTTTTTTTCCTGTTCCCTAGCTGCACGTATTTGAGAATACCCCGATCATAGTTGCAATCAAGGAGTTTGGGTTGCCTTTCAGTGGGTGTGTGGATTTTCTTTTGAGCTGTTCTTTTGAGGTATTTCCTCATGTCTTGTACCGTCGGGTTCGCGCTGTTCTGGCCTGTAGATGTAGGGTGTGGTGTGACATAGGATGTTGGGCGAGGTGGAGGATGTCATCTGCGGCTCGAATTCCATTGGGTTGGGATGAGCGTGCTGCAAGGAGGGTAGAAATCGTATCCCACTAGCCTACCCTAAACATTAGGTTTGGTTAACGACCGTCTATCCCTACACCCTTGGCCTTCCAACTTCCATCCATTCAAGTCGAGGGGCCCAGCCGTATGGCAGCATTGTTTTTGACATCCGCTGTGGGTTGAATTGCCTGTCCAGTAAGACTGATGCCTGTACCTGTACTTGTACCTGTATCTGTACCTGTACCCTAGCATGACGGAAATAGAAAGGCGCCATCATGGGAGTTGGGAAAACGGAGGTTCGCCGAGTCGATATGCTGCATAGATTCGGCATTGATCGGGGATGAAGGCTTAAATAGGCACTACACGGCTCTCATGGATAGCCCCAGGCCCAGCCAGGTCTAGATCTAGATCTCTACATCTAGATCTCTACATCTAGATCTCTACATCACCAATCACGGCCACTCTACCCTCCACGAACAAGAAGTGGTCATCAATCATCATTGCCGGACCTAGATAACAAAAAAAAAAGGAAGAGAGCGAGAGACTCCGGCCACTATAAAAAGGCCAACTCCACAAACCCCTTCCCCCTAGTAGAAGCTCTCCACAATACTCTCCTTATTCACGCCAGCACCAGCGCCACCAGGCGCCATCTCACCGAGCCGGAACACGCTCTCCACAACACTCAGCTCTGTCGCCGTGGTATCCAAGCCCGTCACAGCCAGCCAGTCGTTCACGACCATGCCGGCGCCGACGACGGGCGAGCCGCGGTTCACGGAACCGGCGACCAGCGGGACTTGCAGCAGCGAGGAGAGCTCGTCTTGGTCGCGGATGGAGGTCTTGGGGTGCACGAGACCACCTTGGTTAGAGAGCGCCATGTACGAGCCTGTCAGGACGTTGTCGGCGACTGTTTGGCGGAAGACCTCGACGCCGAGGACGTCGGCGATGCTAGAAGAATCAGGTTAGCACGGCACATAGCTCTAGCTCCCCAACACCCGCAAGTCTCGATCTCGAACACGAGTACTAGTCTCCGGGAAGGGGGTTCATAGGTTCAGGTTCATCTGGGTGGGGGGATGGGGAATTGAACATACATCTCCTCCGTTTCACGCTCCAAATCCGGATGCACCAGCGCAACATGGTCATTGCAGCAGATTACATTCCCCAGCGCACTCAGCCGCTCCTCTATCCGCTGGATTTTCACCGCGTCCGGCAGCGTATTCCGCAGGTGCTGCAGCTCCTGGTCGGTCGTGGTGGTCGGCACCAACAGCCCGTTCTTGTTGCCCACCGTCAGCCGGCCGACGATGCGGGTACCGGCGATGGTGGCGTGGCAGATGGGGATGACGTCTTGCAGTTCGGACTCGAAGACGGAGTAGAAGTTCTCGGAGGCGCCGACGGCGACGATGGCGTAGGAGTTTGTGAGACGGGCGAAGACGCCAACCCTGCAGAAAGAGAGAGGGTCAGTACGATTGGAGATTTTAGGTGATTAGGGTTTTTGGGTGGTTTGAGGGGGAGGGGCTCTTACTCGTTCGAGTTCTCGAATTGCGCGCGGACGGCCATGGTGCTGGATGCGACGGCGACGGCGTCTGCAGGGGGTATCACGGTGAAAGAAGGGGAGGTCGGAGGGGTAGAAGCGAGCGCAGAAATCCTCGGAGGTGAGGTGGAGACGGAGGTGAGGATGGAACGACCGCGGGCGGGTGGATCTGGAAAAAGGCTCTGCGGCAAAAAAGGCAGATCTAGAGCGATTGTGGTCGTGTGTCTAGGAGAACGTGGGATCGGACTGGACAGAACCGGACGGCGGGCGTTATATAGTAGCAATCTGCAGGCTCAGGCTTCGTCTCAGGCTCAGGCTCAGGCTCAGTCTCCGTCTCGACGAGGCGAAGTGGGATGTGAAAAAGAGCAAAAGCTCGCGCCAATCAGCGGGGCGCTGGCCTGGACCCGCTGGTGGAGCCGCCGTCGACTCATCGCGGGTAGCGAGTACTTCTGTTTGGTCGGGGATGGTCTGCTCAAGCAAAGTAGAGGGTACTTGTGACACGAGCATGCAAAGCCTGACTCATGCTGTCTCATGTTGACGGGCTGCGAGTTGGGGATAGTCATGGAGGGCGCAGCATGGGGGTGGATCAGTTGCCTTCCGGTCGAGAAGAGCCGAGATCCTCTCATACGCTCCAGCGCCAACTGGATGAGGATATCGATCCACCGAGATTCTACTCTACTCTCCTGTTCGACTCAAGACACAGAAACCACCAGAACTACGGAGAGACAGCACCACTAAGAACCAAGTCAAAGAAAAAGGAGGAATAACATATTTCACAAGCCCCAGCACCCCTCAAGAAAACCCAGCAAAAGTAGATGTAAACAACAAATCGCCATCCCATCCTCGAAACGTGGAGATGGAGATGGAGATGAAAAATCAACGCCGACGCTGAAAGGCAGATGGTATGAAGTGAAGGGTAGCGTACACGGGTATGGTATGGGGGATGGACGTTGTGGGAAGGGGCAGAGTCGGGCGGGATAGTTGTAGGGGTATGGATGTATGGGTGTAGTGGTGGTGGTGGTGGTACAAGGGCTCCAGTGTCACGCAGCTGTGCTAGTGCAGTGCGATGTATCGAGGTCTGTTTGACGTGGATGTCGACATCAACGTCGGGCATCCAGGCACAGGCGCAGACCGGCTGCAAGCGGAGGAGGGAAAGCATCTCATCGTATGATCGATTCAATCCCGCTTCTCACGGGCGCTCAATACCGCCGCGGTGGGAAATACAACGGCGGCGGGCCGCTGTGAGGGCCGTGAGGGCCGTGGGGGCCATGGGGGCCGTGAGGACCGTGAGGACCGTGGGAACCGTGATGTCCAGGCCCCGGCCCCGGCGGTGGCACTCCCTGCGGAGGGTGGCCGGGCGGCCAGGACGGCAGCGGCAGGCGCTGGAAGTTCGAACCCGGGGGCGGGGGCAGCTGGGGTGGGCCGTTCATGGCGAAGGGGTCCGGCAGGCCCAGCTGGGAGCGTGCGGGGAGCAGACGGCGCGGCTGCTGGGTGGGTGTTGGGCGGGGGGAGGATGAAGGAGCGAGGGTCGGTGGGGCCATGAACCATGCTGGGGGGAGGGGGCACGCTGATGCCCTGGGGTTGGGGGAGGAGCGCGCGGTGGCTCTGGTGGTGCTGCATGGTCAGGTCGGGGCGGATCTGGGGGAGGTGGGTCGGGTGCGGGTCTGTTAGGGCGATGTCGGCGAGGACGGAGAGAGCCTTGGAGATGTCGGCGGCGGCGCCGTCGTAGGAGGGGCGCGCGCTGGGCTCGTGGCCGTCCGCTACGGCATGTGCGGCTTGCAGGATGGAGGCGATGGTGCGGTCGACATACTCGACGGCGGCGGCGTCGAGGGTTGCGTCTAGCTCCCGCATCTGCGGGTTCAGGTCTTCGCCCAGCCGGACTTTCGTCACAAAGTCCTCCCACATCTGCCAGCCGCGCTCGAAGGCGGCCGCGCCGTCGGGGTTGCGGACGGCTTCGGCAAAGAAGCCGCGCTCGACTTCTCTCATGCCGGCCTTGCCAATGCGGAACAAATATCGCGGCTCCTCAGCTTCGGGGTCCGACCCATCAGTCTGATGGAATCATTAGCTTTTGCCCATGCGGATCGGTATCGCGAACAGCCGTGCTTCTGCACACTTACCTCCGTATGCTCATCATCCTCTGCAGCCCGACGGCCCATCACGAGTTCCATGTACTTGCCCCGAGCAGCATAAAACATCTCATCTTTGATATTCTCAATGCGCTCCTGCAACGAAACATTAGTAAGCCCCAACCGGTTGGACCCAGCCAAAACATCGTCAATCACAACATACCTTCGTCCTCTGCTCAATCATGTAAATATTCCCCGCATACACCTTCTCCGCCGACCGAACCTTTAGATCAAAATCATCCCGGCACCGCGTCAGCGCCTTCCGCTCATACTCCGCAAGCTCGCGCTGCACCTGCCCATACTCCGGACACTCCATATGCACGTTCTTATCGCGCGCAATCTTTTGCATCGAATGATCCGCCAACACGCTCAGCGCCAATTGCTGCGCCTGGCCCACCTTCTTAAACAAGGCAGCCAACTCCTCCGCCCGATCCTTAAGTGGCTGGGAAATCGGGATGGGCGACGGGGACCGGCGGCGGCTCTCGCTGTCCCAGATTTCATCTTCGATGCGCTTGCCGCCGCGTCGAAGGGCGGCCGCTGCGGCTGCGGCGCGCGCCCGGCCTCGTCCTCGTCCGCCGCGGGCGCGAACGGCCGTTGAGCGAACCGGGCCCATGGCGCCTCCACGGCTGCCTCGGCCGCGGCCACGCCCTCGTCCACGCCCGCGCCCTCGCCATCCACCCCGGCCCCGGCCCCGGGTGGGACGGGCGACGACAGGGGCCGCCTCGAGCTCATCTGCCTCGGCGGTGGCGCCCTCGTCGGGAGAGGACTCCGGGACAGACTGAGTTTCGTTGCCGTTTTGGAGGGTGCTGTCGGGGGTGGCCTCGGGGTCTTCGAGCTTGAGTCTCTTCGTGGTCGGAGGCTCGGGCATCTCGACAGACTCGAAGTCCTGCGACTCATCCTTCATCTCGGTGGATCTGCGCTTGCGCGAGAGGCGCGGCGAGAACAGGCTTCGCGGGGGCTCGGACGAATGCCTCGCGCCTGGGTGGGGCTCGTCGTCTGTTTCGTGAGAGTAGGTTTGCGGAGAGTGCGATGCATCAAGCATGGCACGGTCTTCTCTGGTCAACTCCGGGTGGTCCGGGTCGGTGGCGTGGTCGGGCGATGCATGAGATGGCTCGTTGATGCCCGGGGTCAGCGAGGCCAGTTTCATACGAGGCTTTGGATCATAGTCCTCATCATCTAGGTCCTGTCGTTCAGTTGAGTAGCTGTCCTCCTCTGGTTCCGTCGCGTCGGCCTCGTCGGCGGCCCTGCTGGGGGTCGTCTGTTCCGTAGACATTTCCCCAGAAGGCTTGAGACGGGCGGACTGGCGGGTGGTGCGCGAAGATTCAGGGACTGCCATTGCACGCTTGGAACGCCGGGGACGAGGCGTCTCCGGGTTCTGTGAGCCAGTGGGGGTACTGGACGGCGCAATGGATTCGGCATCATCCGGAGTGGGCGCATTGGTGGAAGAAGATACGAGTCCCAACGTCCGTAGAGCAGGTACTTTGAACGTGATAATGTGGGAGCGCTTGGGTGCAGTGGGCGACTCCTCTTCGTCCGCAGGGGCAATCGCGGACGTGCGGCCTGGGAGGCTATTTCGGCCGGCCCAGTAATTGGCCCAGCGGCCTCTGCCACGACCCCGTCCACGGCCACGCGGTGTGTAAGTGGCTATCGATTAAATGAGAATCCCGGACGACACGGGGCTGGAGAAAGGGAGTGGAAGGAAAGGCACAAAGAAAAACAGGGTGAAGATCATGCTCCCATGATGGGGAGCCCAGGAGGTTTACTTACTCGATGCATTGCGCGAAGATCGCGTCGCAGGGCTGGAATTGGCCGACGCCGCGCCTCGTTTTCCACGTCTGCCCACCATCGCGACGGTCTTTTGTCCGGACGAGTCAGTACAGTGTTTCAGTGGTTTCGCAGAATCTAGTAAGAGACGATGCAGACAAGGGGGCAGCCACGGTGCGATGAAAAAACGGCATTCAAATAAAGAGGTGAGACACGAGTGGATGGAAAATAGAAGAAAACCCGGCACAGTAAGAAGCGGGCGGGGGTTTTAGATGGCGGGAACATGAAATCGTCAAGGTGGAAGATGGGAAGAAAGTGATGTAAAAGGACAATGAAGGGCTTGATGGAGGAGGCAGACCGTGAAACCAGTCGAGATGCAGGAGACTACCGCGACGAGGACTGCATCACAGGTCGTCGCCAGGACGAGCAGAGGGTAGGGGTTTGTTAAAGCCGAAAGGGCCGGGAGGAAGAAGAGTAGACATGAAGGAGACGAGGATGCGGAGGAGAAAGAGCAGAACGAAAGGAAGAAGTATGAATGGGATTCCCGATGGGAGATGGAAGTGGAAGCATGGGAATAATACCAGCAGCTGGCTAGGGCGTACGTAGTTGTTCGGATCTCCCATGGGACAGGGGCAGGTAGTGCGCCGAGAAAAACAGAATTACATGGAAAAGGGCGGGGATGGGGTGGACGAACAGAAGAAATCAAGAAGACAATCAACTTACCTCGGGGGGGGGGGGGGGGGATACGATATGGCGTCGGGGGTGAAGGGGAGTGACAAAGTGAAGTTGCAAGGTCGGCGATCTACTCGGGTCGCGCAGGATTTGACTGGATCCCCCGGGTGGAGGAGGGTGGAGGGATGGGCCAGGTGTGCGGACGCAAGGGCGGACGTGGGAAAGTCTGCGAATAATGGGAAGGAATCAAAGAAAAGAATCAGGGTAATCAAGACAAGTAATTATGTTCGTTAAGAACCCGGTGGAGATGGGGGAAGTAGGGAGGAAAGTAAGAAAGGAAAAAGGCCTCGGTGGTTTTTCCCGGCGGCAGTACTCGCTCGCTCGCAGTAAGTAATAACTAGGTAATTCGAGGGCGTGATCCTCACCACCAGGCGCCCAAGGCCCTATCTAATTTAAGCGAATAGCTCATAGCTCACTACCGTCCGTTCATAGCTGCTTACATCAAGCATCATCCCCTATCTGCTGCGTACTTCTCCCTCCCATCCGGCCGTCGCAAAAAAAAAAATAAACGGCCCGACCCACTTGGTAACCCGCCGGTGACAGCGACGAACGCGGCGACATCGCATGCTTCGGGAAGTAAGTATCCATCCATCCCTTTCGTAGCAGGGGCTACTTCAGGACGACTACGACTCCTATGATTCCTATGATTCCTACTGTCGAGGCAGTGGCGGATGAAATGTAAAGAATTAAGTATGACAAGACGAGTCTTAATAGTGTCGTGGTATTCACAAAGGCCCCTCCTTCCAGGCCTGTCCAGTCCCAATGCCATTTGTACATCCCATCCCAATCCCGTCATAATAGTTCAGAAATAAGAATAACAAAATAAGGCCAATCGCTTAGATCAATCATCAGAACATATATCCCATATCGCAGCAAAAGTCAAAGACTAACGCAAAAAAGGAAAAAGAGATAACAAGAACATTATCAACCACAACAACAAAATGGCTCAATACCTTATAACGCCAACGCACAAACAAAATTCATATCTCGACATTACCCTCGGTCACATCTCCTGTCTTCTCATCTCTTCTGCAGAGATTCATACAAGTTCAAGCCACGCCCCTTCTCATCCGGCGTGATACTTCGTCGCCCGTATAGCCGCGATCGGCCCTCCATCTCGACACCAGGCGACGGCGACGGTGAGGAAGGGGGAGGCGCACGCAGCTCACGCGCAGACCGCATACGCGTGAGCGTCTTCTGGGTAATCGTCTGGCCCGCAGAAGGCGACGCCTTCACTATGCTCCCCGGCGTCGGGTTCGGGTTGGGACAGGGGCTCGTTGAGCGGAAGAGGGGATGAATATTGTGCTCGCGAGACGCGGATGGATATGGAGGGTTATGCCCACTACCATTGGGTTCCGGCGGAGCCAATGTCAGGCTCGAGACGGAGGGCGAGTCAAACGCGAAGCTTGATGCTGTCGGCGAGGACGCCTGGACGAGGCTGTCGAGCGAGAGCTGGATATTCTGCTCGCGGCGTAGACTGGGTATGCTCCGGAAACTGGAGCCGCGGAGCAGGGGGCGAGTGTCACGGTCTGAAACGAACGGGTCGGACATCTGTGTATGCGTCTGCGTCTGCGTCTGCGCCTGCGTCTGCGTCTGCATCTGCACCTGCACCTGCACCTGCGTCTGCTCGGTTGTCTGCTCGGTGGAGGGTGATGGCTCAGGCGAGGAAAGTGTGGATGAATTCCTGTCGAGAGAGTTGTGCTTAGCTTCCTCGCTGCTCTCAAGGCAAAGTGTCCCCCCCGAGAAGCGATGGGAGCGTCGCGGATACTTGCGCAGCGAGGAACGTCTTGTGTCGAACTGTTTCAGCTCCGGGTAGGGGTCACAGAGAGCCTGTGCGGGCAATGCGACAGACCCGGGGCTGTCGGGGAGCGATTTGAGCTCCTGCGAGTATGAGTGCGGCCAGTCTGGGCATGGCTTGCGATGGGCCAGGGTCACCAGGAGGAAGCCGTAGTAGAGACCCTGTGTCAGGATGGACAGGGCCCAGATGATGGAGCGGGCGATGAAGATGCCCCCCTGTCTCGGCAAGTTGTATAGATCGTGGGTAGCCATTGTGCCCGCTAAAGAGGCGGTACTGATGAGCAGGTATGCACCTGTGCAGTAGAAAACGCCGATCTTCCATGTAGGCCAGTGGGCATCACTCCGTGCATTCGTCTGGATGAGTAGGCTGAGGGCCAACAGGGCTAGGCAGGTCAGGATGCTGAGGAGGACGGGAGCTAACCCAGTTGCCGGGGTATGGGAGGGTAACGATTGCAGTGCGGCGTACGCGAAGCCATTGAGGATTGTTACAAGAAGAGCAGAGAGCAAAGCAGCTCCTGCCAGCGAGTAGACAAGCATTGCCGACGGCATGGGCAGGGAATGAATGGAAACGGATCAAGAGTGTGGGAGAGAGAGCGTGGCAGCGGGTTCAGAACCAGAACCAGAACACAGAGGTGTATAAAGAACGAGGACACAGAACTGCGCGTCGGTGATCTGATTCCGGCCTGTACGACAGCCTTCTAAAAGAATGCGTCCAGGTCGGAGACGGGAAAGACAGAGGAACCTGCGATCTCGAGGATGAATCTGCAGGACGAGGGAATGCCTCATATTTATCATTGTGGTTCGCGTGGAGCGGGACGGGGCGAAAGCATAGCCCGAAGCGTGGCTTAAAAGTGTATCAGGCATATCGAATGCAAGCAACTGCAAGCAACTGCAAGTCCTGTCCAACCTATCACTTTTGGGGATAGCAGATCGATCTGACCGATCAGCCCGGCAGGGTGGTTAGAGTCCGATAGGGTTCGTGAGAAAGACGGGGACGCTTGGTCGAGTCAAGGAACTGCGGGCAGATGGTAGTCTGGGCTTGTCGATGCTACCTAGATTTGCTCTAGTTTAATTGAAGAGGTATATCTCAATAGGGTACAGATGATGTTGTATACTATGCGGAATCCAAGGTTCCAGATGGGTCCGGTTCCTGGCCAGCGGGTCGGTAACTCCGGGGTAGACATGGCCAGACAGGCCGACAAGGCTTTCTATAGTGCTGTCAATTGTACCGCTAGCTTTCACACTATCTATATGATCCATCCAGCCTTTGCAGGACCAAGCGAGACGGTCTACCGAGCTCATGGAGGCGGATCGCCCGTCCCGATCTCCGGCGCGGCTGAATGTGAGATGTCACTTGCCACTCGCAACAACCTTCCGGGTTCCCCTGAATCCTGGCAATCTAGCTTCGTCTATTGTTGGTCCCGTCCATTGCTGGGTTCATGTGGTTGCACTTTAGTCTGCAGTGGTGTGCTCGTACCAGGAAAGTGGCTCCGATAGGGTCGATGGTATATACAGGGACCAGGTCCCGGGGCCGGTATACCCCGTATATACAAATACTATGGGCGAAAGGCTCCATAGATCGACAGTCGATACTGGACAAGTTTAACCAAACTTGCATAATCCTGGAGAAGAGATCACTGGTTATTATTTGTCAATCTGGACCCCTGTCGGCCGGGGGGTCGTGGGTTGATTCCTCATAAGCGAGTTCTTTCCATGGATTGTTGAGAAGACCTGTCTATGCTCGATGCACGAAATCGAGCAAAGCCTTTGGACGTGAAGGCTCGGCTCCCGATCCAGTCAATTGAGAAATCGCACTGATGATCCCGCCAGGAAGGTCCTCTCGCCATCTCCGAACGGGATAACGTGGCATTAGGCTGGTCCAGCCCGAGGTTCACCTTGGGGACAGAATCTCGGGATGCCTGCAGAAGAGACGGAATCACCACGACGAGAACCCCCAGTACATGCTTAACAGCCATACCTAATTGATGGAGTAAGCATAGGCTGACTATCGAGTATCCTGATCATCACGTCTTCGAAACTTTCCCACTTTCTAAGCATACGGTGCGATATGCGATCAGACCTGGGTCTACTCCAAAGTGGGGGCGGTGAGGCCTGCGCCGCCTCAGGCATTGCGTTTGCTGCCATCGTCGTCACTCAGTCCTTCCGCCGCCCCTCTAACTTCCTTCGACCATTGCCGGGCCTGAATATCGTTCCTCGTCCACCACCCAACCCTCCCCCCGCGGTCCATCTTTGATCTCCTCTTTCCCTCCTACCTACCCTCCTATCCCAGTTTCACTCCTCTCCACCCCCCCGTGAAGCCAAAATGAAGCTTACTTTCAAGGTCCGGACTATCCTTCAAGCCCTTTACCGTCCCCCACCCTGGCTTCCACAGACGCGCTGACTCCTTTTTTTTTCTGCTGTACAGGATCTCAAGCAGGAGAAGTTTGTGATCGAGGTCGAGCCCTCCGAGACTGTATGTGATATTTCCCGCCTCTCTGCTGCGACGTGCTCGACGCCGCCTGGTGCGGGGCTGACCCAGGTTTCTCTTTTTTCGCTTGCTACAGGTCCGGCAGGTGAAGGAAAAGATTGCCCAGGAGAAAGGCGAATATGGCGCGGATCGGATCAAAGTGATCTACTCTGGTACGTGATTCTTTGAGAGAAGTGGTGATGGTTTGCGGAGATGCAAGTGGGAATGCAGCTTTCTCTCTCTGTCCGCCATGGCACTTTCCTGATTTTCTGCAAAGACACACCAGCTAATCAGACATCTTTGCGCATGTAGGCAAAATTCTGCAGGATGATAAGACGGTCGAGTCCTACAACATCCAAGAGAAGGATTTTTTGGTCTGCTTGTCTGCCAAGGTATGGAACAACCGCCTGGTCCCCATTATGACGTCTTTTTCTCCTTCTTCCATGAGCGTGAACTTATACGGACTTGCCACATAGCAACCCAAGGCTGCCTCTTCCTCGGCTGCTTCTTCGGTTCCCTCGACGCCTGCCGCCAGGGCCCCTGCATCGACGCCTGCTGCCCCCGCTCCTGCCGCTCCCGCGCCTGCTACTCGTTCCACCCCCGCTGCACCGGCGACCCCATCTCCCGCTGGCACTGGCGGTGCTACGCAGTCAAATGAGCCCGCTGCCTTTGGTGACCCCTCTGCGTTAACCATGGGCGGCGCTGCTGAGGGTGCCATGCAGCAGATGGAGGCGATGGGATTCGAAAGACCCATGGTGGAACGTGCTATGCGTGCTGCATTCTTCAACCCAGATCGTGCTATTGAATATCTGCTGAACGTGAGTTATTCCAAAATTGGCAAAATTGGACGGGACTTGTTTTAATTTTGATTTTTTATGTCCAGGGTATTCCCGAGAGCGCCCAGCGCGAGCAGCAACAACACCAGCAACAGCAGGAGCAAGGCGCTGCTCAAACCGAAACTGCGGATGTCGGGGGCGCGACCGGTGGAGAGGAGCCCTTCAACATGTTTGAGGCTGCTGCCCAGGCTGGTGAAGGTGGCCGTGGTGGCGCGCGGTCGGCGGGTGCTGGCGGTGCGGCTGGCAGTGATGCAAACCTGGACTTCCTTCGCAGCAATCCCCACTTCCAGCAACTCCGCCAGCTGGTACAGCAGCAGCCCCAGATGCTCGAGCCGATCCTGCAACAGGTCGCCGCCGGCAACCCCCAGATTGCCCAGATCATCGGGCAGAACTCTGACCAGTTCCTTCAGCTGCTTGCTGAGGACCTTGGCGATGAGGAGGAGGCTCTGCCTCCCGGCACCCAGGCGATCTCGGTTACAGAGGAGGAGCGTGATGCCATCGAGCGTGTAAGTATTTGCTTGCCTCGATATTTTCGTTGGAGATTTACTGACTTTCCTTGCCCCAGCTATGCCGTCTGGGTTTCCCCCGGGATTCCGTCATCCAGGCCTACTTCGCCTGCGACAAGAACGAGGAGCTAGCCGCCAACTTCCTCTTCGACCAGCCTGACGACGACGAGGAGTAAACCTGAAACGAAACGTCTTTCTCTTTTCCTTTCCTTATGTTCTGATGAATACCAAGCATGCTGCGGCTGATTTCCCACATTTGGCAGAAGCCTCTCCCAATCCTCTAGTTGCCTTACCCTCCCCTTCCCCTTCATGAACTCTTTCTGGTTGGCTGCTCAGAGCACCGCCCGAGTTTCTTGCCGCTTGCTGAGCCCGCCACACCTGCGTCGTTGCATCCTGGCCAGATCTGCTGCGCGGGCTCTCTCGCTTCTCTTCCCCCATTTCCCCCCGATCCCCCCGAAACGACTTGTCATGTACTTACTTAATGGGCAAAATGGGACGTTTTCGCTAAATTCGGACTCGGGATCGTAACTACGTATACCTGGGCAGACTGTCTCGTGAAGAATACCTAGCATAGTGGGTTGATTGGTTGGCCCCGGTAGGGTAAGGTGTGAAATGGTGACTGCATGTGGCATGCGAAGTTTGTTATCTCGCGAAGCCATGCCGGCCGTCAGTGCGCCGTCCGCCTGCTGCGATCATGCGAATCCGGCCTGGCGGCGGCTGACCCGCCGATCGCACCGGTGCCCGTGCGTACGGAGTACAGGGGATGTGTTGAATGTGGACCACTACCTTGAAGTGAGATGTTAGGTGGCAGTTACATTGGTGGCTAGGGCAATTAGCTTCCGAATCGAGAAGAGTTTGGTGGAGGCCTGCTGCCTGGAATGCGGGTATTGGGTTGGTGGCTTGTGGTGGTTGCCTGTTGATTACTGCCTGGATCGCCTTCGTGTATGTGTATATTATGGCTATTAGGTTGGGCATGCCGAGGTGTTGGCGTGTGATTCACACACGTCGCCATACTCTGGCCTAGGCTCTTGGTTCTAGATACTGTGCCTTTTACATGGGTACAAATTATACGAGGTTGCATTTGTACATTTTGTACCTAGCATATCTTGCGATAGTGTGGCAACTATACGGAGTATACACACTTCAATAGGACCTCCTCACACCCAGCATAGCAGAACAAGGCAGGAACCCACCGAGGGCCTAATAGACCACAAACTCACCCCCCCCCACCCCCAAACAACAGACCTACAAAAACTAGAAGAGTCACTATGGTTCTGTGTTGAACTGAAAACTGTAGATGAGATAAATTCCGGGAATCACATTCAATCCACGCCCATCCCGATGGGCAGTGCTATGTCCGGATCTGAGATATAGCTCAAACTGGTATATCTTCAATGAACGGCAATGAAGACGCCAATGAGAAAACGACAATGAAAAAGATCACACCCAAACGTTTCAAGTAGAATTAACAAGAAACTGCTGGGTGTGGGTGCTGACTTTATTATACTGTAGGTATATCCCCACTCATGATTCCAACCCAATCTAACCGAGACCCACCAGCCAACCAACCCGATGTAAATATCAAAGAAGAAGCGAAAACACTCTATTAGCAAGACCGCCGCACAGACCAGACGCCTAGCCCGCGGCGCCCAATCACCCGCGACAGCGTCGGCAAGACGCCATCATCACCGAAGTCCAAATCATCCAGATTGAGATGCTTGCGGTATGTCCACAGGCGGTAGAGCTGGAGGTTCGGGGCGCGCGGCGTCCCCGTAGCAGTGTACTCGTCCAGGAAGGTAGCCGATGTCGGCGCGACGAGGTACACGGGCGAGACAGCGCCGCAGTGCGGGACGGTCGCGTCGAGGCGCTGGATGAGCTCGGCGCCTGGGATGCCCATGAGATCGAGGGTGTCGATGTGCGCGGGTCCCGCGGCGGAGCTGGAGCTGTTGCCGTCCGCGCCGAGGAGCCACTGCGGCGGGGAATACGTCTTCCACCAGAAGACTGATGCATCGGGATAGGCTTTTACACCCTGAGCGGCGGTGTTGGCGGCGACGATGTCGCGCATGGCGAGCTGGGCGGGTACCACGCCGCCCTGGTGGTAGACGCCCATGAGGAGGCCCATGAATGCGTTGAAGATGATCCACGCCGCGAGGAAGACGCGCGAGCGGTGCACGCGGATGCAGCTGAGGAGCAGTGGGACGCAAGGGATTAGGAAGCGGGGTTCCTGGTGTGGGAAGATCGAGAGGAGGAGGGTTGCGGAGACGGCGGAGACGGCGCGCGCGTTGCGCAGCCAGGAGGGCACGAGCGGCCAACGGAAGAGGGAGAGAATCATGACGATGTAGGCGGGGCCGAGCAGTTGGATCAGGTTTGCGGTGAAGTGTTGGTGGTGTGGGTGTAGGCCGTGTGTGGCTAGGTTGGTGGTGTCGGTGTTGTAGAGGAGGTTGTTTAGCGGGGTAATGATGGGGTTGCGGATTATGGAAAGGAGGGAGCTCGAGGGTCGGTAGAAGGCTGTGTCTGTATAGATTGCTATTGAGGCGAAGAGGGCGCCGAAGCCGAGGATTGCTGCGAGAGAGGTTGGCCTTCGCGTCGGCGGGTTAGTATATACCGTATTCTGTATCGGTTGGGAACAACGCGAAGGAGTGAAACTGAAGATACTCACTTGCGCTGGAAGTACGGCAGCAATTGTAGACCCGGGATCAGAAGGAAGGCAGGGAAGGTAATGCGGTTAAAGACACCGGTCACTGCGATGAACGATAGCACGGCGCAGGAAAAGAACGACGAGCGTTGCTGCAGGCCAGTCAGGTCAGTTAAAAAGCTACCACTACATCCCCCGCAGGCGCTGGCGGAACGAACCTTGTTCTCGACAATGCGCCGAATCAGAACCAAGCCCCATGCCACTAGCAGTGTCTCCAGGGAGTTGGAGAAGGTGTGCGTCTGATATGTCCAGGTGACATACGACGAGGCCACCAGGACGACCGTCGCCCGCCGGTGGCGCGGAGACGGAACCAGCTCATAGATCGCCCAGTCCTCTAGCACAAAGCTCAGCAAGAACATGCCTCCGCGTAGGGCGTAGTACACCAGCTGTGGTGGCGGGTTGCCGGCCCCGATCTCGGTGTAGAACCATTTCAGCAGGCTCATGGGGACCTCGTAGGTGGGCCATAGTGGGAAAATGCTGCGGATGGGGTGGTCGACGGTAAATTCCCAGGGGAGTTTGGATGAATAGCCGAATATGCGGCCTACAATATATGGTGGAATAGGTTAGTTATAGAGGTGTAGATTGGTGAATGGTGGGGTATGCTAGTCGAAAAGGAGGGATCGCGGAAACGGGCGCATTGCAAGGGCCAGCCAGCCGGTCGCAAACGAGAAAAGAGGCGACGGAACCCAAAGCGTATCGCAAGGATTATTTCCACGGGATTTGGGTCCGCGCGTATTGCGGGACTTTTGACATACCGGCATAAACCTCGGGGCCCTGGAAATTCTCATCGGGATGCAAATAGCTGGGCGATAGCGCGAAGTAAACACGGATCAGTAGTAAGAGCAGGTAGGTTCGTCTCCACATGATTCAGGGGTGGGACATGCTGCAGAGACAGCGGCGGGCGGGAACAAAGAATGAGGACCACGGCGAAACCAGTGGGGGAAAAAGGGAAAGATTGAACCGGAGGGTTGGGGATAGAGAAAGAAAAGAAAAAGTAAGTAAGCAAAGACGCGTTGGAGGAAGTTGGCGATGATATCACTGAGGGCGCGACCTGGCGGCAGAATGTTCCGAGAAGTATAGGCTAGCTCATTCACTAACGACTAGCTGTTAACTAGGGAGCGCTATAGTTTGACTAGATCTGCTTGGACCCGAATGTACCGTGTATCTGCTATCCCAGCACACCAGGCGATCTATCGGGTGTGACAGTTCAGAAATGCACCATAGCATGCTATTGGCCGCTACGCTGGGAGTGATGGGTACCTATTTAAGAGTATACTCAGGGCCCCTACTTTGCTTGATTAGGTATGATAAATAGCCCTTACAAACGATGTCTGACCCTTTGTTTCAGAGACATCAGGCAGAATCTCCTAGAGTTACTAGAATAGCCCTAAAATAGTTAGCTTCATCACCAATACTCGAACCTTAGCGAAGTAACAAGGAACAAGTACTGTAACACGGCGTGTTAACTAGTTCCAGGCACCCAATTGGGCCCGTGGGGGCTGAAAGGGCGGCAGTCGCAGAGCCGCCAGAGTGACTAAGGCCAACCTCACTTCCCTTCTTAACCACTCGGTTCCCCGACTTCGTCCCCACCTCCCACCTTCATTGCCTGCACAACCCCGTCACATACTCGTGTCTATACGTGAGTTTCGCCCTCTGATTCGACCTTCTTTTCTCCCTTCCACTCACCGGACCCTGATCCTCTCCCTCTCCCCGCCACCTTCCACTGTTCCACCATTTCACGTGCTAACCACTCTGCACCCTCGCACCAGATCTCACCTTCTCCAGTCCTCCACATCGAACTTATATCTTCTACCAATATGTCGACCCAGATCACTCTTACCAGCAGCGATGGTGTCGATGTCTCTGTTGGTGAGTTGAGCGAACATTCTTGCCCGCCCGCCTCGGGCCTCAACCCCGCCCCAGCTAACAATCAAAAACAGACCGCGCCGTCGCTGAGCGATCCGTTCTGATTAAGAACATGCTGGAGGACCTTGGTGATTCCGGCGAGGCGATACCCATTCCCAACGTCAGTAACCGCCCGTTCCCGTGTCTTGGATGCGTTTATTATGTTCGCACAAGCTCACCACCATCGAAAAGGTTAATGAGGCTGTCCTGAAGAAGGTCATCGAGTGGTGCGAGCACCACAAGAACGACCCCCCAGCAACGGCGATGACGACGACAACCGCCGCAAGACTACCGATATTGACGAGTGGGACCAGAAGTTTATGCAGGTCGACCAGGAGATGCTGTTCGAGATTATCCTGGTACGTTCCGCATCCAGCACTTCCTGCACACCATGCCCGCCGGAGGGGTAATAGCCGCGCGGCAAATCCTGAACCCTCACTAATACATTCATACAGGCTGCCAACTATCTGGATATTAAGGCCCTGCTTGACGTCGGCTGCAAGACTGTCGCCAACATGATCAAGGGCAAGTCCCCGGAGGAGATCCGTAAGACCTTCAACATCCAGAACGACTTTACCCCCGAGGAAGAAGATCAGATCCGTCGCGAAAACGAGTGGGCCGAGGAGTAAGTCACGACACACCCACCAAAACTTGCACATTTGGATTCTTTGAAACCTCACTGACATGAACCAATTCTCACATAGTCGCTAAACGGGAGCCTCTCCTGCTTTAACGACTTGCTTCACCGGCTCCTATACCTACACCCCTTACACGCCCTCAGCACCCTCCCACCCACCGCCTAGCTATCCAACCCCGTTGGAAAAATAACGAACCGATGCTCACCCCCCACCGACTGAGTTCGGCTTTAAGTTGGAAGGATCTCCCGGCTCTGGCGTCGTGTAGCTACTGCTAGTCTGGACGGATGACCTCGATGCCAGGGTGATCCTTTCTGTTTCTATGTTTCTCCCAATCTCCTTTGCTCTGAGGCGGCGTTTGTAAACCAGCGGCTTTTTAAGCTAGCTCCCTCTAAATGGGTTTTCTTTTGTGTAGCTTTTTATTGAGAATGGCTTCTGCTTTCTGCTCCGCTCCCGGGGCTGGGATAGGCTCAATGAAATACATTTTTTTACTCAGTCTCCTTTCTCTCTTGTCATGCTATTCTTCTAGGCCTCTTGGTCCTTTGCTGGGCGTTTGGGAAGTGGCTTGGTATGGTACTATGCTCCCAGAATCTGCTCGGCATACTCTTACTCTGCATATACACGGGGAACGAACAGATTCTATTCCCAGCTACCAGCTACCAAAGAAATGTACCGGCTTGCATTTACATGCTCAACCACATCTTGTTGACGTGATAGCGTCCGTCAAAACATGACTTTGTCCCGACCCCTCTGCCCCCAAGTCTACGTCATGTAAACGTCCCACTGGCACCACACATGCTGCCTGGCGCTACCGCTCATTCGCCCATTTCTGGGGAACTAGCGTACGTCCTCCTTTGTAGACGGGAGTCTCTATCTCGCAGGGTTAAGGGTGGGTTTGATGACGGTTGTCAGATCTGATACTGGCAGGTTTTGTTGGACCACTGTATTTCACTTTTGTGCAGGACTATAATGCAGTCAGTGTTGCTCTTGTAGGTGCGCCCAACTTTGCTGGAATGAGGGTGCCCCGACGGGGTGGCTCGTGGATAAGGCTTTGCCCATCGCATGACACTTTCCACGCCATCTCCATCGGTTCTACACAACACCATACTAGACATCTAAATGCTCTATTTAGTTCATATAAGGCACTTATATAAAGTACTAACTCTCAGTTGGTGAAATAACCAAATCTTCCAATGCGGAGTGGGGGCGACCCCGATGGTTTTTCTGTATCACTCACTATATATATTAACGTCCCGTTAACCACGCACTCGAAATCATGTCCACTTTTCAAGTGAGGAAATATTGAGCCAGTCATGAAAGTCCAAATACCCTATAGAATCAAAGTTCAGGAGCTGGAATGATGCAACTATGGGCTTGATCTGGAGTGGGCAGGTTTGGACGTTTTCGGCATTCAGCGTCTCCGGAGTCAAGGTCGTTAAGGTTTGGCATGCCACAACAAAGCAACTTGAAGTACCCTAAAGTTGCTAGTGAGATGTCGCTTCGCTCGCTTGCGTAACGCCATTTGTCGGGAGTTCGCTTTTCGAAAAAAGTTTCCCTTGTGAGATCACTTGCTACGATTCTCTGCTTGTCACACTGGCCGTCAAAACGGCTGACCAACTAAGCGCGAAGCAAGGCCTTGATTGGCATGGAAAGCAAGTTGAGTAAAAACATTGATGCGGTGTACGAGCTCTCGAACCATTCGCAACGTGGTGAATACGCCATGAGAGGCCCGTCTTCCTGATAAGTGTTGTGACTACTCAGACCGAGCCAGACGTCAGAGAAGGGTGATGAGGTCCCCAAGATCCATGTCCCATTGACGAGGCGCTCATTTACGACGCGCTACGCTTTGACAAGGGGATGAATGCTCCAAGTTGCCACACAAACCAGCTTTTACAGTCTATAAGCGCACCCGTCCCACCTACGCAGACCACAACCGGAGCAGCAGTGCAAGACAAAAGGGACGTCAATTCGATTCGATCAGATTTTTGTAATAAGAAAAACCCTCCCCGCCAGTCTCAACCCCGTCGCAACAGCGAACCGTGAGAGGCCCTCACCCGGGTCCCGCTCCTCCGCAAAAAAGATTCATCATTAAGCACTCAAGCAACTGGTGTCGAAATTTGAACATGGATCCAGACTCGGGCAGGTCGTCGTTTCTGTTCGGAAAGAAGGGCGGAAACGAGAGATCGAGCGACATGGGTATATGCATATCGACCGGGGCATTGCGCCTGAGAAAGATAAAGACACGACGGTGCGGACTTGGACGTAGTTTCTGCTTTTAAACTAGCGCATCCAATGGGGACAGATGAAGCGGGTGGAGCGGGCGGGCATCGCGTCGTTAGGATATCGAAACATGCAACATCGTTGGAACGGGATCTTGACGGCGTGGGGGTACCGGGTGGGAGATGTCCGGGTCGAATCTAGATGCCCAGACGGGTCTTGCGCCAGTGTCGCCGCTTAGCGTTGTATCTGTGAGAATGGGGAGTCAGTGACTGGTGGCTTCATTTCATTTCTTTCGTGGGCGTGGATTTTCGGCTCGACGGGTGCGGATTGTGCGGGTGTCATGATTTTTATCTCCATTTTTGCGGAATGGCCGGGATTTTCTTTCTCTTGAAGACGAGGGCGCAATTTACCTGATGGTGTTGCCGGTGCGCAGACGAATCCACTGGGGGATGGGGCGGTTCTGACGCTGAGCTTTGGCAAGCTTTTGCTTGGTGCGGAAAGTCTTGTGGCTCTGTAGGGGTGGAAAGGTGTTAGCCGGCGCTGCAAAAATTCTGGCCGGCGAGGAGGCGGGCGAGAACTCCTAAAGAGTCCATGGGATAGAGCCGGGAGCGAATGCTGGTGAACTTACCGGCATCTTGAAGGCTTGGTCGCGACGGCGAGCTGGTTTGATGGGAGAAGATGTCGTCGGTCGGGAGGCGGATGGTTTGTGTGCGGCAGGGCTTGGCTTCGCTTCGGTTCGGTCAGGTGATGAGCCGGGAAGTATCGGCCTGAGGCAAGGACTGAATTATTGAGTGCCTCAGGCGTAAAAGTAATATTTTAAGGCCACCTATACCCTAATTGAGCGACTGGATATCGAACATTTTGCTAACAAGTAAACGATTATTCGATCTTGTATGAGCCTCAATCAACTACCAAGGTTGCCATTGTCCAGGCCTTCATGTTCATCCTGTTTAATTTTTTTTCCCCATTTTTCCTTCTTCCCTTTTTTTTCATTTTTCCCTTCATAAGCCGGTAGCCCAGCTTGTGTCCAATTTTAAGGCTCTCTTGACAGTCATCAGTCCGCATTGAACATTTTTGATCAACTCAATTTTCACACTATGCGACGTTTGAGCCTAGGCAGCATTCTGAGGACAGACTTTTCCCAACAAGTCAGAGTAGATTTAAATAGATTTAGTTCATTGCCTAATGATGTGACAAAAGTTTCGTGCATATAGTCGCCTGAGGCTGCAATCAGACGACTAACGTTAGATATCCCCTGGCCGGATTTGGAGTCCGCCACTCTGAGGAATTTGTTCGAGATTTCCCGCAGTGGACCCTTCGCTAGTGGCCGGGAGTTCGATTCATACGATAAGGCTTCCTGGTCATGCACAACATCATTTTAGATCTGAGACCACCAGATCATGATGTTATGTGTCGAAAGCAAACTGACTCATAAGTAGCCGGTGACTATATCTTGCCACTTTTCGAGATTGATCTGCGGGAGATCAAGGGCAACTGCGGGTGACGTTCGATATATCGCAGATATTCCCCAAAGCGGTTTGTGCTGCGGCCCCTCCTAAAAATGGGGAGATGAGACCAAAATCACTACCAGCGTATGGAGCCCTGTTAATCCTGTTTAGGGGGAAGCATCGGTGTCCGGGCCCAAGATTCAGCCGATCACCGGACGGATGAAATGCACGGCCCAAGGCTCGATCGTCATACCGGCCCTTCTAACTGGCGGGTCCGTGCAAGTGTACGCACGCAGTGGTGTCGGTGGACCAGGTTGGCCAGGTCACATTTATTGGGGGGTGAGGAGGGGGTTTTTTTCGCTCTGCAAAACCCCGTAAATGCGTCGCTGATACGCAGCCTGGAGCCTACCGTCGGCCTTTGGAGAGTCGGCGACACTAGAAAATTAGGCAGGCCGCGTGAAATGGGCAATGAGTCAAGGTGCCCCACTTGGGGAAGCTTCGTATTCGGCTCTGGCGTTTTCACGGTCGCCTAGGGTCGCATTCGTGTGCATTGCCATGCCGCCCCGTTAATCCTATTCATAATACCGGCGTGTATCACGATTCACCCGGAGTTCTAAGTCTATTCGCGTGGTAGTACCTGGGGGTAGGCGAGGCAGTCCTGAGGAACCGGAGCCCTTTTTTTGGGTCTTCTGCTGGCTGTGAGGAGTGCGGGTAGGTTTAAAGATGTTCCACGGTGGAGAATGGACGAGGCTCTGGCTCAAGGCTACGGAGTACAGTGTATACCTTGCGGACGAATTGGACGGATGTGCGAGACTTGGAAGTATACCCATATTGGGACGGGTATAGTTGTACCCGCCGCAAGGACTAACACGCGGATAGGACAATGATAATACCTACCGAGGAACTAACTCCTCGAGGAAGATAGCTTGTCAGCAACTAACTAATTATCCGAAGCAGCAGTTAGCACCGTATACTGGACCACTCAGAATGCAGTCAATCGCTTGGAGAGTGCACAACATGCCGGAGACTCTAGATTCCGGCCCACTCCTCGCGATCGGTGCCCCCCTTAAAAATAGTGCCTTTTTTTAAATCATTATTTGACCCTTTTCTGTAGTCCAAAAATCCAAAAATCCAGATGATTCCTGGTTCGCGTTAGGCGATAGTCTCTGCCTGTTCCCAGCATCCTAAATTCTATCTCTTCATTAAATACAATCTCGTTCGCCTGCTCGTTTCGCCCGTTCTCTTTCTTTCATTCCGCTTCTGTACTTCTTCCGAATCCCGCCCACCCGACAGCTCTGCGGGCACTTCAACTCTAATAGCACAGGGACCCTTTTACATTTTATTGTTATACATCTTCATCCGTGTCATTCTACCTGACTTTTTTTCTCCCGCGATCGCGTTGATCTTCCTTTTTCGATCATCCCCCTCTCGACGACCGCGTTAACCTTCCGTTCCGTCTCTATTAACCCTGGCAGCTGGAAGCCCATCCTCTGTCGTATTGAGACCGCACGCCAATTTACACGGCACGTCAACCGCGTTTGTGGCCGGATAGCTCTGAATTTCTGAATGGAGGAGTGGCCCGCCACCAACTAGGAGAAAAAGAGTGGGACCCCCCCCTTTGTGACGCAACCCGACCAGGAGCAATATCTCCGCCATGCAGCAACCTGAGGAAGGGGCGACCGCGGTGGAAAAGGTCCCGGTCGAAGTGATGGCCGGTGACCAGGTATCCCCGACGTCGGAAAAGACAGCCGAAAAGACTCCCGACTCGGGCTCAACGCTATCCGGTACCGTGAAGGAGAATGGAAGCAAGACGGCCCTGGCGCTGGACGACGATGCGCTCTTTGCGCATCTGCCGCCGCATGAGAAGGATATTTTGAAGAAGCAGTTGGAGTCGCCGAGTGTCAAGATCTCTTTCTTCGGGCTCTACCGCTACGCCTCGCGCATGGATATCCTGATCCTGGTGGTGTGCACTATCTGCGCCATTGCGGCCGGTGCTGCGCTGCCGCTGTTCACGGTGAGTTGCGACGCCCCATACTTCATATGATCTATTACTCATCATTGGACAGATTCTCTTCGGTTCCTTGACGACTTCCTTCCAAGGCATCCAGTTGAGGACGATTAGCTACGACGATTTCTACCACGAATTGACGAAGAATGTCTTGTATTTCGTCTACCTCGGGATTGCCGAGTTTGTCACCGTTTACATTAGCACCATCGGATTTATCTACACTGGCGAGCACATCACCCAGAAGATCCGCGAACACTACCTCGAAGCTATCCTGCGCCAGAACATCGCCTACTTCGATAAGCTAGGCGCCGGCGAGGTAACTACGCGCATTACCGCCGACACCAACCTGATCCAGGACGGTATCTCGGAGAAGGTCGGCCTGACGCTGACTGCTCTCGCTACCTTTGTGACGGCTTTCATCGTCGCCTACGTCAAGTATGCCCGTCTGGCTGGTATCTGCACATCGACCATCGTCGCACTGGTGGTTATTATGGGCGGTGGGTCCCGTTTCATCGTGAAGTATAGCAAGATGACCCTGGAGAGCTACGGCGCCGGCGGCACAGTCGCCGAAGAAGTCATTAGCTCGATTCGCAATGCGACTGCCTTCGGTACCCAGGACAAACTGGCTAAGCAGTATGAGGTGCATCTGCGCACCGCTGAACGTTGGGGCATGCGGCTGCAGATGGCCCTGGGTGTGATGGTTGGTGCCATGTTTGGCATCATGTTCTTGAACTACGGCCTGGGCTTCTGGATGGGTTCACGGTATCTGGTCGAGGGCAAAGTCAATGTCGGCCAGGTCTTGACCATTCTGATGGCTATTCTTATTGGTTCATTCAGCCTGGGCAATGTCAGCCCTAACGGCCAAGCTTTCACAAATGCGGTGGCTGCTGCTGCCAAGATTTTCAGCACGATCGACCGTGTCTCCCCCGTGGACCCTACTTCTGACGAGGGTATCATTCTGGACCATATCGAGGGTGATATTGAGTTCCGCAATGTCAAGCACATCTATCCCTCGCGTCCGGAGGTCACTGTCATGCAGGATGTCTCCCTTTCGATTCCTGCTGGCAAGACCACCGCCCTAGTCGGTCCCTCTGGCTCCGGCAAGTCCACTGTCGTTGGTCTGGTCGAGCGCTTCTACCTGCCTGTTGGTGGTACTGTGTACCTGGACGGCCACGACATTCAGACACTCAACCTGCGCTGGTTGCGTCAGCAGATCTCTTTGGTCCAACAGGAGCCTATTCTCTTCGGCACTACCATCTACAAGAACATCCGCCATGGTCTGATCGGTACCCGCTTCGAGCACGAATCTGAGGAACGCGTCCAGGAGCTGATTGAGAATGCCGCTAAGATGGCCAATGCCCATGAGTTCATCCAGGCTCTGCCTGAAGGGTATGAAACCAACGTTGGTCAGCGTGGTTTCCTACTTTCTGGTGGCCAGAAGCAGCGCATTGCCATTGCTCGTGCCGTGGTCTCGGATCCCAAAATTCTGCTGCTGGATGAGGCTACCTCTGCCCTGGACACCAAGTCAGAGGGTGTGGTTCAGGCGGCTCTCGACCGCGCTGCTGAAGGTCGTACTACTATTGTTATCGCTCATCGTCTATCCACCATCAAGACTGCGCACAACATTGTCGTCTTTGTCAACGGTCAGATCGTCGAGCAAGGCACTCATGATGACCTGATTGAGATCGAGGGCCCTTACTCCAAGCTCGTGGAGGCCCAGCGCATCAACGAGGAGAAAGAAGCTGATGCCCTTGCCGATGAAGAGCTGGTAGAGGACTCGGATGAGGCTCCCGGTAAGGAGCATGTCGCTCGTGTCAAGTCTGTGGCTAGCGCCTCGACCGCCCTCAAGGATGAAGAGGCCGGTGCACTGTTTGCAGAGGATATGCGCCGCTCCTCGACCCGCAAATCGGTGTCCAGTGTTATTCTCTCCAAGAAGGGCCCCGACCCCAAGTACAAGTATTCGCTCTGGACCCTCATCAAGTTCATTGCCTCTTTCAACCGGGAGGAGTGGAAATTCCTGGTCATCGGTCTGATCTTCTCCTGTCTCGCTGGTGGTGGCCAGCCCACTCAGGCCTTCCTGTATGCTAAGGCCATCAGCGCTCTGTCCCTACCCAGTTCAGAGTATGCTAAGCTGCGCTCGGACGCCAACTTTTGGTCGCTAATGTTTCTGGTTGTCGGCATTGTCCAATTTATCACCTTCTCGACCCACGGTATCGCGTTTGCGTTTTGCTCTGAGCGGCTCATCCGTAAGGCTCGCAGCAAGGCTTTCCGTGTTATGCTTCGCCAGGATATCAGCTTCTTTGACAAGGAAGAGAACAGCACTGGTGCTCTGACCTCGTTCCTATCCACAGAGACGAAGCATCTCTCTGGTATCAGCGGACAGACCCTGGGCACCATTCTGATGACCTCGACCACGCTGATCGCCGCCATTGTCATCTCGCTGTCGTTCGGCTGGAAGCTTGCCCTTGTTTGTATCAGTGTCGTTCCCGTTCTCTTGGCCTGTGGTTTCTACCGCTTCTACATGCTCGCCGCTTTCCAGCGGCGCTCTAAGGTCGCCTACGAGGGCTCTGCCAGCTACGCTTGTGAAGCTACCTCCGCTATCCGCACTGTTGCCTCTCTCACTCGCGAAACTGATGTCTGGGGCGCTTACCACGACCAACTGGAGGCACAGGCTCGCACCAGCTTGGTCTCAGTCATCAAGTCGTCCTCGCTGTACGCTGCCTCCCAGGCGCTCGTCTTCTTCTGCGTCGCCCTCGGCTTTTGGTACGGCGGTACCCTGCTGGGCCACTACGAATACGACACCTTCCGCTTTTTCGTCTGCTTCAGTGAGATCCTGTTCGGCGCCCAGTCCGCCGGAACCGTCTTCTCCTTCTCGCCTGACATGGGCAAGGCCAAAAACGCGGCCTCCGAGTTCCGCAAACTGTTCGACCGCCGCCCGACCATCGACATCTGGTCCGAAGAGGGCCAGAAAGTCGACCACGTCGACGGCGTCATCGAGTTCCGCGATGTGCACTTCCGCTACCCGACCCGCCCTGAGCAGCCCGTCCTCCGCGGCCTGAACCTCAGCGTCCAGCCGGGCCAGTACATCGCCCTGGTCGGTCCCAGTGGATGCGGCAAGAGTACGACGATTGCTCTCCTGGAGCGCTTCTACGATGCCCTGTCCGGTGGCGTTTTTGTCGACGGCAAGAACATTGCTGACCTGAACGTCAACTCGTACCGCAGCCACCTAGCCCTCGTCAGCCAAGAACCTACCTTGTACCAGGGTACCATCAAGGAAAATATTCTGCTCGGTATCGACCAGGACGACGTCCCCGAGGACGAGCTCGTCAAGGCCTGCAAGGACGCCAACATCTACGACTTCATTATGTCGCTGCCCGAGGGCTTTAACACTGTCGTCGGCTCCAAGGGCGGCATGTTGTCTGGCGGCCAAAAGCAGCGTGTCGCTATTGCGCGCGCGCTCCTGCGCAACCCCAAGGTCCTGTTGCTGGACGAGGCGACTTCGGCTCTGGACTCGGAGTCCGAGAAGGTTGTCCAGGCTGCCCTGGATGCTGCTGCTCGTGGCCGGACCACGATTGCGGTTGCCCACCGTTTGAGTACTATCCAAAAGGCGGACATTATCTATGTCTTTGACCAGGGCAAGATCGTGGAAAGCGGTACGCATACGGAGCTGCTGCGTAATAAGGGCCGGTACTATGAGCTGGTTAACCTCCAGAGTCTGGGCAAGACTCATTAAACCACTCACCATATTTCCACTCCCTTCCATCTCGCTTCGATATCCTCCTACTTTTTGCATACACATCCCCCCGCGCTTCAAAACATCTCTTACCTGCACTCTTCCTATCTTCTTCAGTTCCAATGTCTAACCTTCCTGTTAGACTTCCCTTTCCTCAGGTCCGACCGTCCCTCTCCTTTCACTGTATCCATAATTCATCTTCTCACCTCCTGTGATATTTCTTCTTACCGCATATACTTTTCGACGGCATTTCCGATATATAGATTTGCGGCCGGAGTTGGTTGAATATATTTTTGATTCTTGACTGTTGACTTGACTGATGTTGACCTGGGCGAACCCCCTCCTCTCTGATCAAATGAATACAATGAGAATCAACTAGAGAATGACAGTGCATGGTAAATAAGGACCCCTCCCAGAATGCACTAGGCACACTGATATATTAGAATAACCCATCGCCATGATCGCGGTAAAATGGTAGAAAAGGCAAGAGTACTCTGCTTGGTCAACGACCCAGCCTTGCTGTACATCCAAAGTCGAATCAGTCCCGCTCCTTCACGCCATACTCCCGCTGCACATCGACGTGTCGCACACCCCTGCTTTCTGCAATCAGTCCCATTAGGCCCTGGGCCCCATCCTTGATCTCGTTGTACTCATGCAGGAGGCGGATATGCCGTGTCACCGTCTCCGAGGGATCGTGTCTAGTGCGGTCAGACAGGGCCAGGAATTGAGAGCTAGAAATTAAAAATGTCTGAGAGGCTTGTTGCTGCTGGGCAACGTACTTGAGCTGAGATTTGAGTTCTGCTAATTCGGCTTCTAGTTGGGCTTGTTGGCTTTGCAGGTTGGCTATGGAGGCGTGGAGGGCCCCCTGGATTTGATTAGATTGTGATTGCAGGGGGCATGGCTAGGTCTCTCATAGATGAGCGTACTTACTATACGCTGCTCCTTCGACTGCTCGGCCATATCGCCGGGCGGCGTGAGTAGCCGTCCGTGCTTGCCTGGCCGACTTTCTTTCGCCCGTCGCAAGTGGGTCTCGTCCGCAGCGATGCAGTTGTTTGTATAGCGCGTCTGCCAATCACCACTCGTGCTGAATAATCGGGCCCCCGAGTCGCCGACAGGAACAGGACAGGACGGATGCGTCGAGGCGAGACCGATCGAATAGAGAAAAGCAGCCGAGTCTTCATCAAACGACTTTCTGATCTCAAGGCTGTGAGAAAGCAAAGTCGCGTAGTGGCCGACGTAATCCGACACGCCGGATTGGCAAAGGATCGACGTTGCCTGATCTCCGCTTCCCTTTTCGGGAGGCCTTGCCCCTTCAAAACTTCCCCTTCCTCACCTTTCACCCACCGTCCACTCCCCCGCGCCGTCCGCCCACCATGACCCTCTCGCGACAAGGGTTCCTCTGGGCCCTGGTTCTGTTCGCAGGCCTGGCACTCGCACATGGCGGCCACGAGGCTGTCCCCGAGGGCTCCGCTGTGTCATTAGAACCCATAGTACGTGGCTAATTCGGTCGACACTTGACCTACACATATAACCCACGAATAATTTCGCTGATGGGATTGGATTACTGCTAGGACTCGACGCTATGGACACATATGATTCTCATGGGCACTTCGTTTGGCCTTATCTTCCCACTCGGCATGGTTCTCGGAGTACGTTGCTTCCTTTGGCGATATTATTATCACTTTCCATTCCGCTCCGAGCCGCATCTAACACCGACCGACTACCGCAGATCGTCCGCTCGCGTTGGCACGTTCCCGTCCAGATCGTTGGCACCGTCATCGCCGTGCTGGCGTACTTCCTCGGCCACGCCCACAAGGGCCGCCAATTCGGCAAGAACGCCCACGCCTCGTTCGCAAACTGGCTGATGCTGCTGCTGGTTGTGCAGGTCGTGCTCGGCGTTTACCTGAAGCTACATCTGGTGAAGGCGGGTCAGGGCCGGATCCGGTGGATCTTTGTGCTGGCGCATGGTATCGTGGGCAAGATTATGCCTATTGTCAGCTGGACGCAGATGCTGTTTGGTGGCATTGCGGCTCTAGGTTTCTGCCAGGGTGACCATCTGGGACAGTGTCTCGCGCACTTTATTATGGGCAGTGCGTTTATCGCGTACGGCATCTGTTTGACGATCCTATTGTTGGTAGGACAGTACTGGCTGCGCCGCACGGGCCGGAGCCAGGAGTTTTTCGACTCGTTGATTATCGCTGCGTGGGGTTGTGTCAATACCTTCACCGAGCACCGCTGGGGCGGCCCCTGGGTCCACAATGATCTCCAGCATACCACGATGGGCATTGTCTGGTGGTGCGCCGGTCTGCTGGGCATGTGGTTGAGCCGCAGCCGCAACGGTCGGCCTAAGCGGAACTTGATCCCTGCCATCGTCATCGGACTGACTGGCTATGCCATGTCAGCACATACGCAGTCTCTGATGGTCAGCACTATGGTCCACTCTATCTTTGGGTATACCCTCATGGCCGCGGGCTTGACCCGTATCATCGAGATTTCCTTTGTCTTGCGCGACAGGAGCAACATTAGCATGAGCGGCGTCGACCCGAACAGCTTCCAGTACCTCACGCCTTTCCTGCTGTATGCCTCCGGTTTCCTGTTCATGGGTGCCACCGAGGAGCAGATGCAGATGCTCAGCGACGCGGGTATCATGCACGTCTCGTACATCCTGATTCTCTTCAGCATTTCCTTTATCCTCTTCCTCTGTATGCCCCTACCCCACCTCACTATTATCCGCAGCTTACTAATAGTCTCAGTTGTCAACATCCTCCTCCACATCTACGCCGTCCACGCCTGGCCCGAAGGCGCACCTGAGGAAGAAGAGGAGGAGAGCCACAAATACGCCAACGCCAACGGTGGCTACATGAACGGCCGCGCGCATAATACCGCTGACGCACAGCAAATCTCTGATGCCGAGGCTTTCGAGCTTGAGGGCCTGATGAGTGACGACGACGAGGAAGCTGGCTCCTCGATGCGGCCTAAAAAGAAGACCGACGAAGAGATGGGTGCCAAGGAGGCATTGCGATCTTGATTTAATTTACTTCTTTTCTCCTGCTAGACAAAAGTCTGGCGAGTATTCAACTTGGTTGGATGAAACTTACCCATATGCATCCTTTTCTTGGCGTTTTGGTTGGTTGGTTCGTGTGACGTTTTGTTGCACCGTAGTATATGTGTTGCTAATTGTATTGGACATATGATTCTCTCTGGACATGCTCTTTTTGGTTGACACTAGTTCAACTTTTCTGTTTACTGCAATGACTGCCTTGCTACGTATTCGCCCATAAACGTGGTAGAATTCGGAACAGCTTTGCATCGGCGCTAAACACTGAGCAAGGAGTTCCCACGAAATGCTGTTGAAAGATCTAGTGCATCCTGCTAGATATCGTACACTATGAGAGCCGGGAAACCATCTTTTCAAGTAAAAAAAAGAACCAAAGAAAATCGTCAGGCTAATGCATTCCATCCCGCATCAACCCCCAATACGCCAACACCAGGACCGAACCTACTCCCCCTTAGCGTCTAAAGATACATTGTATTTCTAAGACAAGGTCAAGGAATGGTCGTCGGCGTTGCGTTTGACGCAATTGGATCAGCCACCGGTGGCACAGCAGCCAACGAGCCGACATCCATCTCTGGCGGGAAAAATGGGTGGAGCGGGTAAATCGGACCAATGGACTTCTCTCCGTCGAACAGCAGCATGTTCTGTAGCGGATGCTCCCGCGCAGACAGTACGTTGATCACATCCTGTGCTAATGCGCCGCCGAGGAACGCCGCCACGGGACTAAGTTCGCAGCCCAGGTTCTGCAGGAACTGCCGGAGGAACGAGGAGTCAAGAGTGGCTAAGTCGAGCTGCAGCTCTTGGTGGCTTTCGCGCGCAAGTTTGGTGAAAACCTCCAAGTCCTGGTGCGCGAACGAAGGCCGTCTGCCGCTGGAGATCTTCTCGAATCCCCACAGCGCGCGCAGACAGCTCAGCAGCGGCGTGACTTGCTTCCGGCGCCGCGGCAATTTGGTGAACTCATCTGGCAGCGGGGACGTATTGGCCAGAATCAGTGGACAATATGTCTCACGCTTGGTGACTAGCTCGATAGTTTTGTCGCCCTCTTTCTTGGTTGCGACCTTGACGATGCTCCTTGTGAGCGTCTCCTGGTGCTGGGTTGGTACGTTCGACTTCTCGCGCTCGATCACAAAGTCGTGCGAAATGAGATCCGCGAATATGTAGCCGTAGAACCCGTGCAGGCCGGCTGCGTAGAAGGGTCGGTTGGCGATGCGGCACGCCGCGTTGATCGTAGTGTTGGTTGCAAAGTCTAGCTCCGTCGCGATTGTTACGTCAAATTGGGCGAAGAATTCGGGTTGCTTGGTACGAACGTCGGACGTGTCGATGTGTAATTTAACACGCGGGTTCATGCGGTGGATTTGAGGGCCAGCGACTTCCGCGCGCTAGTTGGGGGTATGATCAGTTTGCGCTTCGGTTGGAAGATTCCTCCAAGGTGGTGTATACTCACATTCTTGCCCTGCTTGATGATTTCCTCGTCCCTGTGCGCTTCTTCGAGGAAGAATTGTGCATCTAGATCGGCCTCTGTGACGGGTTCATGGTCGATGATTGTGAGCGAGCCAATGCCTGCGAGGACCAGGTTCTTGGCTACTTCGTTGGCGAGCGCCTTGACGGTGATAAGGAGGATATTTGCAGACCGGATTCTATATTACGTCTTGTGAGACCATCGTTATCTCTCTCTCAATCTTAATTTGAAGACTCACTTTTCTTGTGCCTGCACCCCCCATAACCTGATCTGTCGGTCATATAGCGCAATCTCATCTAGAGCGGGATGTCGTCAGTAGCTACAGAATTGGGTCATTTGCGCAAAATAGGGGTTGAGCTAACCTGCGCTGATAGACTGTCCGTTCTCTGCTTCCGCCATCTTGATGTTGTTGATGGGAAAAGAGAGGAAGAAGCTCTCAAGCTCTCCCCACAAACGTATGATCCAACCCGCGATCACGTGCTTGAGATAACGTAGTCTGTAGGAAGCGCCGTTTGGTTTCCCCTCGAACGCATCAACTACCTTTGCGAGATATCTCTGCTCTGCCCTCTATTTTGGCTGGCCCTTTGGAGGGCTTGTCTCTTATTGCTTGATACTGGACCCGTGAGACCTATCTCTCTCGCTTCTGAAACCCTCTGAGCTCCCAGGCGATCCGTAGTCCCAAGCGGTACCCGCTCGGATTCACTCACCAGGATGGTATGTTTTGCAACGCCCTGTTTCTGCTTGATATCGTCTAGCCGATCACCGCTGCTGATAGGTTTCTTATGATCAAATAGCCCAGGAATCCGAACCCAGGGGATACTGGGGACTCAGGGAACGACCCGGGGAACTACGACTATCCTCCTGCCTCGTCCCGCCGACCCTCCCGTCTCAATGCTCCGCTCAGTGGCCCGGTCACTGAACAATCGTTCCGTGAACGCTTCCCGAACACCCAACAACTGATCGACAGTTTAGCTGCTCAGCATAACCGGCTGGCTTCAGAAACGAACTTGCCGCCCTGGGACCAGTTTGTAATAGAGACCCTGGGAAATGGAGAAACTACCGCGTCGCTGAGCCAGTTGCTTGGAATACCGGACAATCATTTGGACCAGAGCAACGAAGCCCTTCGCGAGAGCCAGCGGTCCACCGCCATCCTTGCTAGAACAACTACTAGAGATCGTCTACATTATCTGCGAAGTCTGCTTTCCTCCGAAAGTAACCGCTCGAACGCTGATGATACCATCCGTGCTCTGGAAACTCTAAACCAGGAAATTGAAGACCACCATCTCGACCAGATCCGCGATCGCACGGCAACGGCCAGTCCTTTCCACATCCCGCGACCACCTCAGATACCACCGAACTCACTGAGAACGAGTAACAGAGCTTTGTGGGATCAAGTGCGGGCCGAGTTTGGAACCGCCGCCCAAAGTCCTGCCCGCACAAACGCCTCTCAAGACCAACCCCGCCCGACAACAAGCAGCAGAAGTCTTCGTCGTCGCTCTTTCCGACCAGACCTGCGAGGCATCAGCACCCTCAACGAACCGATTCCCACCCCCTCTGTCATGCCGCAGCCGGCCTCCGCTCAGTCGGGCCGCGATGGCCGAGGGAGGTTGAAGCGGCGGAAGCTTGAGTCGGACGATAACCGAGAGGGTCTGCGGGGATTCAACTACGGCCAATATGGCCAAGTAGTTCCTGGAGCTTTGAAAATGGAAATTGCTAGCTGTGATGGAGGCACCTTCGACCCCGACGGCGACAGCTCGTTCCCAGAGAATGTCCTTCGAAATGATCAGTCGGTGTATTGTACTAAGTCCGATCGCTGCAACCTGGTTCTACAGCACCGAGGCGAGGCACCTTTTTGTCTGAAGAAGATTGTTATCAAAGCTCCGCGGACAGGATTTGATTCACCGTATGTTTATGGCTCTGTGTGCCCCACCAGCTACATCCGCCTTCTACTAACACGACATAGAATCCAAGAAGGAATGGTGTTTGTGTCCATGACATCAGATGAATTGCTTGCTCGCACCGCCCAATACCAAATTCAGTACTCCAGTACCCGTCGCCGCCGTCGCAATCGCCGACTGGGCCTTCAGCCTTCTCAAGAGTACCTGACCGCTTTTCGATCTCCTCTGCAGTCCCTGGAGCGCACCGTGCTCATGGGACCCGACTCGCATGCTGCGTCTGACGAAGCTACCGAGCGAAATGCGAACGACCCACAGACCGAGTTCCGCATCACCACCGAGTACGATGAACACTCCGAGGACAGCCTCTTTATGGAGCACGAAGATGATGATGCCCCCTCTGTCGCTGAACTCGAACGGTTGCAAGAGGAGGACGACCTGCTCTGCTCGGATAGCGACGACAGTGCTAGTGATGATGAGGACCTTGACGACACCACCATGAGTGGCGTTCACCGACGCCGCCTTGAGCTGCAGCGCCTTGGATCCATGCAAAGACGCCGCCCCGCTAGTCTTGTCGACCCACTTCCTCCTCCTTCATCTGCCCCTCCCGGGTCCCACGCGCCCCCTCCCAATGTCGAGGTGTTGAAGCCCCATGCCCGATTCTTCATCGAGCGAGAGAAGAGTATGGTCAGCATCAAGTTTGACCCGCCTCCGTATGCTTGCACTTGCACCTCCGATCTTGCTCTACTGTGTTACTGACCCTTTTCCCAGTTCTGGACGGTTCATTCTCATCAAGCTGTGGAGTCCGCGGAGTGATGGCAACATTGATATCCAGAGTGTCATTGCCCATGGATATGCGGGACCGCGGTTCTTCCCGAGTGGTGGATTCCGATGAAGCGGCTGATCCCTTTTGCCTGACTATAGTGCCTAGCATTCTTTGGTAACGCCTCAATGACCATAAACGATGATACGATAGTGGATTTGGTGCCATGATTCTCGCTGTTCTTTAGTATAAACTCCCCGTCGTATACTCGATCACCCGCATACTTCTGGCTTCCTCGTAACCCAGGACGCTCTCTGTATCCGCTCTGTGGCTTGCCGTTTTCGCTGCTTCCCTATCCCTGATCTCTATATTCTTCGAGAGCATTTTTCACCTTAACTCTTCAACAGTAGCGGGCCTCAGATTGTGATCATTACAGCCCTGGTACCCAGTAGATCTTCTAAAGATCTTTTCCAGGAAAGGTTATTGAGAGCCCCGAGAAAAGTATACTGCTGTCTAAATTCGGTTCTTTGGTTCATCCCTCCAGGTTCGATGGGTGCATTGAGTCTTGCCAATCAACTGGGAGTCGGGCCCGACTTTTGCACTGCTCGACATTTGGACTTCTTTTAGATAGAGGCCGTGGTGGTAAGACTTCTGCTCTACGCCGAAATCAATCCCGCCTATAAGATGTTCCAGTAACGTACCTGGAGCTATGTATGTACTTCTGTCTCCCGAAGGGGCATTCTGTTGTGAGAATGTACTTCCTCGTAGATTCTACCAGCAAAAGCACCGAGCCATCCTGCTTATTACTCATATACTCATACTAGGGTAGCAAACAAAAGGGAGGGAGGTATGATGGAAAAGAGGGACAGTCCTCGTCTCCCACTCCCACTCCATCTCTCTATTCATCTTTCTCGTCTATTGTCCCGTTCTTCGCAAGCGTTTCAACCAAGGGTTTGATGCAGTTTGTTGTTCATTTTCCAATCAGCCGGATTACATTCGTTCCTGATCAATGGTGGCGCGCCCCCCTTACGAGGCAATTTCGTTGTAGTCCAATCCGCGCACCGCCACTATGGACTTCTGGAAATCTGCACTGCGATGAGAGACAAGATCGCTCTGTGACAAGACAGTATATGGGAGCGATTGGTTGGGAGGACCTCGATGCGGATAGGGTGAGAGGTGAAGAATGGGCAGGGGAACGGAATGTGTTTACCTTGTTTCTCGTGGCCGCAAGACCCGACGATCGATCATTGGCTGACTCTCCGGGATGTCACGTTCTGATTGGGCAACTGCACGGCTGTCGCCAGGAACACAGTGCTTGATCAGAAAGGAGGTGGTCTTCCGGCGTCAAAGCCCCGTTGGCGTCACCATCCTCCTCAATAGAGGAGAGCCACTGCCCGGATTTGACACCGGAATTCGGCGTGGCTGTTGTTGGCAAATGATAGCGCCGCGTTGCAAAATCCCCCACCATTAGTCTCCATGGTGACAGATTCCGATCCTCATGGGCCACCGAGCAGTTCGTTGGAGGCTGCATTCTGTGGTGATTGTTGACAGTCAACATGGAGTTGTGGTGGCGGCTCACAGTATCTTGATGATATTCAACCCTCGTGTGCAGAGTTATAAAAGCTTGGTCTTCCAGCGATGGTTTCCTGTTCATCATTCGCCCATCCAGTCGACAACCCCCGCCATCCCCGGTTCGCCAAGTTTCCTTGTCTATTCTTCCATTTGAGATTCGGTTGCTGTCTCTCATTCACTCTCGCAATTCTATTTCAAAACGCGTTCATTATACTAATCGCTCATGATGAAGGCCGTTGTTGTGCTTTCGCTTTTGAGCGTCAGTACGCTGGCGCACCCGTCGGGCCTCGTGAGTACTCTTTCTGCATCATCGGCCGAGTAGTTCAAGATCTAATCTCCGAGATGCTAGTGGTGGGGCACCGACGAGTGCTATCCCAGCCCGGAAAACTCCGACAATCAGTGCTTGGAGCCGCAGCAGGATGGCTTTGACTGGTCTGAGCTGGCCGACCCCGACAATTGGACCTTTGAGGGCTTCAACTTCGTTGGTTTCTCCCCAAGCGATGCCTGTGGAGATGCAGGAGTAAGTCACCGAGACAGCAATCGTGGTTCCATGGGCTAATGTGAGATCAGGGCAAGTGTATCCAGGCGAGGCTCTCCCGAGACGACGACTACGCGGTCAAAGTGGAAGGGACCGATGCTCCGTTCTCCGTCACCAACTTCCGTCTCTCGACCTCTCGGGACACCCCTGTCATTCTCAACTATGAGATGCCCGATGGGACTTACTGTCATCAGCTCGCTTCCGGCTCGCCGACTGGTGCCGACGTGGCGAACGAGCAGTGTGGTGGCGCGAGGGCCGTCGAGTTTACGCTGCCGGAAGATAGCCAGTTTGGCGATTGCGATCTGAACATTCATGAGATTAACTTTGACTGCTCGACTGGGACAAAGCCTCCTCCCAGTGACGTACCATCTTCGGCACCTTCCACATCTTCCACTCCGGAAACGCACGTGGTGCCTAGCTCGACCAGCATGCCCGAGAAACCGACTGAGAAACCGACTGAGAAACCGACCGAAAAGCCAACCGAAAAGCCAACCGAAAAGCCAACCGAAAAGCCAACCGAAAAGCCAACCGAAAAACCGACGACCACGTCCACCACGTGGATTGAGCATCCCACCACGTCTGCGGTGTCGACTGATCCATGGACCACCTCTACAGTTTGGACCACCTCTACAGTTTGGACCACCGCAGAGATCACGATGACCAAGTGTGCGCCGGAGGTTACGGACTGCCCGACTCACTCGACCGTTGTGGTCACGTCGACCTATATTGCGTCGACCACTGTCTGGCCGCCCAGTTCGCTCAATGTTACCCCGAGCCCCGTCAGCACGACTACTCCTGCCAGTCCCAGTCCGCCAGTTGTGACCGCTCCCTGCCCTGATCTTGTCCCCAAATGTCTGAACACCTGGCTTTCGATTCCCAAGTGCGACTCCAACAGCGACGCCGCATGCTTCTGCCCGTCTAGCGAGTTCACAGATAAGATGAAGACCTGCATTCAGGCATGGGGCAAATCCAAGGAAGAAGTGAACTCCGGGCTCGCTTACTTTGCGGGCATCTGTGCGCCTTACGTTCCCAAGAACCCCGAGATTGTCGACATCGTCCCACCGAGCAGTACACCTTCGCACGAGACTCCGCTCCGCAGTGCGTCCCCCCGGCTGATGCTGCCACCACTCCCATGCCGGCCCAGACTACCCCCGCTACGCCGCCTATGACGACTCCTTGCACGACCATCTCCTGGGCCTCTCACACGGCGACCGTCCCGCAGGTTGGGTTTAGTACGATCCCGGTTGGCACCACCAGCACCGTGGCCTTGGTCGTCGGCAATCCCAATCACCCAGAGACGGCCGGCCATCGGACCTGCACCACGACGATGGCGACTGCGACTGTGCCTACCACTTCCACTACGCCGACAGAGACATGGGTTGTCTCGAATGGTGAATCGAGAGCATTCTCGCCAAACTTCTGGGCCTTTGGTGCCGCCTTTTTGGTCTTTTGGCTCCACTAACCTTTTTCATTTCTTCTACATACTTGAACCTGTTCTAAGGATCGTCGAACATACAACCCCGACCTCCCGCATTGGATGACCTTATGAGTCCGTTATCAACAGGAAAACATGACTCTTTTGACTGTGCCTTGAATTCAAGGCTATTCTCTCTCTCTTAGAAGATTATAATGCTATTGGCGAAGCTGCCGACTCCTTCCTATCCTTATCTTGCCCTTTACAGTCCGTGACACCGTAGCTCATGGACTCAGAAGTCAGACCGTGAAATGGGAAAGAAATCGATATGAGACGGCATGCCTACCACTGACATTAGTCGGAGCGCTGGCGATGTGGAAGCTATTGTACCTTTTGCACGTCACTGCCAGGCTGTCCAGGTCCCGATCTCACCGCGGGGGTAGCATTCCATTCCGTGTCATTATTAGGCGAGTCTTCCCAGGCGACGGTGTCAGACGCCATGACACTGAAGTACTGGTCAGTCATGTAGGTGTCAATCATCCAGCCTGGAACGTATCGGCAGGATATCAGCGTACGTCAAGGGGATACCCTGTGTGGCCGCGCCCGTCAGATCTTTGTAGGTCATCGGGTGGCTAGAATGAGGATCAAGCCTTTACTGGCCCAACCTCAGACATCCAATAGCCCCCACGGCCAGCTTGCATGGTGCCGTTACGGTCGTGGTTAGTTTAGTGATGGGGTTTCACTATAGAGACAGCTTTGGAAGAGTCACAGTCGGAGCAACCACTTCTCCTCCTTCAGTGCCCGAGTATCGAATTCAGGTTGTATCGCCCTCGCTCTTTCCCTCTTCCCCTCTTCCCTACCGGCTTTTCCTGCTGATATCAAGCAAGTCGGTCCTGGCCGCGGGGAAGTGGGGCCACAATTAAGGTTGTCTTGGCGCCCGAGCTACCAGACAGTTGCAGTAAGTTAAAAGATAAACAACCCTGTTTCTTGGCTTCCTCAAGATGGCTGACCCGACAACCATGCGACTAGCACCAAGCCCCTCGCACCACCCGGTTCGATCGTCTCGCCAGGGTGCACAATGTCCTCTATCTCGGCAGCCCAAGCCCGGAGCGCATTCCAACCGCAGGCTCCTCGCACATATCGTGGAAGGCTATATTAGCCGTCAAGAGATTTTGGCGCGTGGTAAAACAGTGTACGGGCGACTCGTCCGCTGATGACCGCACCGGCTTGAAGAGCGCATGCGCTGTTTCCGGTCGTCAGTGCGCTAGATCCATGGGACCTCACTGGAAGCTGCAGGATGTCTACAGTGGATCGATACGAAGCAAAACCTCTCGGCGGCTGCTCAGCTAGATACCTACGTTTGGCCTTGTTAGAGACCTCGTAGAGAAGGGGATCGGACGGGTGCGATGGGGCTGCTAGTTAGGTGTAGTCTCCGGCTCATGAACCTCGCTTCCAGATAATATGTAAAGCTGCACGACTCCACCTAAACAACACTCGCTTGAACTCCATGGGTAGACTCGCGACTTTATTCCCTCAAGATTTTACGTTGCAGATTGTTTGCAGGTAAATTCCGCCCACACGAGTGGGCATAAATGCACACATGCTCCCTGTTCAGTAAACAGAATCGACGTCAGGGTAGACTCTTCTGCCTCGGCCAGAACACTCTGGATTGCGCCACCACAAACAGTTTCCCAGAGATTACCATATTCTCTTTGTCCACTCCTTCATCCTTCCCCAGCCCCAGCCCAGGCCTGTCCCCTCGTGTGCCGGTCTTTCGGACTCAGCTTGTCTTAGTAGACCCGCTTGCACGATGAGCACCATTTTCCTCTCGCATATCGCCCAGACAGACTCGGAAGAAGAGCTGCTGGAACCAATCCTCGTCGAAGATCTTGACGCACTATTCGATACCATGGAAGGACGGAAGCTGACCACGTTGGACCCGAAGCGGGTCGTTCGAGATCGGGCCACGGCCGCTGGACACAACGCCGACCAGGTGAGTTGATACTACAATCACATCTCCACGGAGCGACATCACCAGAATCAGAGAAGCAGACTCACTGACACACTCTCAAGCCGACGAACGACGTTCCCGTCCCTTCTGTCACGAACCGAAACGCCCCCATGACACCCAGCGTGCCACTGCAGTATAGATCAGCCATGGCGCCTGCGCCTGCGCCGACTTCGATGGCACTTCCAGTCCGGATGGCTCCAAGAAGGACCCTTCAACCATCGGACACCACATTCTCGTCTGGATTTGCACAGCCTCCTGGCACAGTCCCCTACATCCAGGGACCCCCTCCAGCCCCAGCCGACAACCACCCAAACCTATCGCCCCAACGCCCCCATAGCGCCATCAGCACCACCCCCGAAACACCAAACAAAGAGCCCTGGGCCAAGCGCCTCCGCACTGGAGGAGCCATCCCCGCAACCCCAGACCCAGCACCGGCCTCCACCACCCCCAGCAAGGGCAGCAAGGGCAGCACCAAGAAATCTCACTGTATCCGATACCCGTCCTCCTGGGCCGATGCCGAGGAGGAAGACTTCCTCCTGTTTGAGCTTCGGGCGCAGTCTGACCCCGGCGAGAAAGACGCCTGGGGCAAGCTTGCGGTGGAGTGGAACCGGATGACGGGGCGGTCGTACTCGAAGAAGACGCTCGCAGCTCGCTGGGCACGCATCAAGCAGATGCTGGGCCTGCCGCCGCAGGAGATGAAGATGGAGATGGAGATGGAGGTGGATGATCCCGTCTTCATGGGCGGGCTGTGTGGGTTTGAATACCTGATTCTTCTGCGAGGATTCGGTGATGAAGGCTGGGAGTGGTGCTGACGAGTTAATAGTTAGGGTTTCCGGAGAGTGAGGAGACGACGACTTGAAGTCCACGATGCGGGTGTTAATTGGAGGAGCGATGGGGATGATGTGGGATCTTCGGGATTGAGTGGTTTTGATTTCATATGGAGATAGATGATCTGGAGGGACTATCAGAGCCCGAGAGTAGCAGAGGGCATACCCAGGAATAAGAAGGGGGAAAAAAAAACGGAAACAACAAGCCTAAGGCAGGGAAAATGAAATGAGAAGATACATGACTGATATCCCTCCAACGCCATCCAATCCGGATATATCCCCGTCCTATCATAAATCATCATAGATTTTGCGTGTATAAACAACCTTCCCTATCAAAGAACGCTCAATTCGCGCCTCCCACCACTCCGCACATTCATCCCTAACCCAGGCCCACTCCATTCCGACGAAGACGAGTCCCCCCGAGCCCGCGATCCGCTCGTGCTCGTGCTCGCACCAATGCTGATCCCCGCCGTCGTCAGAGACTCGCCGTCGTCCAGCGCAGGCGAACCGCCCACCATGACAGGCCGGATCTTGGCCCCGACGAAGCCGCGCCGGTCTCGGCCTGTGCGGCCACGGCCGAGCCAGTTGTGCTTGAGAGCTTTGCTGAGGACTTCGATTTTTTCTTGGGACTGGTCATTGGTTTGGACGCTGGCGAGGACGCTGACGCATTGCAGCATGCGGCCGACCGTCTCGGTGATGACGTGTGAGGAGTCGGCCGAGTTGCCGCGGTGGATGACTGTGGGGCGCTGGTTGGATTTTGGGGGGAGACGGCCGAGAAGATGCCCGGGTCTGGGTTTGAAGAGGTATTGGACGCAGCGCGGCTGCGGGAGTCGCTGCTCAGTGGACGCGGGTGGGTGGCCAGCGCGCTCATCGAGTCGGAGGAGTAGCTGTCTGCGACAGTGCTGAGCAGGGTGGAAGACTGGGAGTTGTAGCTGCCTAGGCCGGCGTCGAGGGATGCGGCGGTTCCCGGGCGGCCGCCAGCACCGGCGCTTTTGGCCGTGACGCTCAGCGTAGGGAATCCCGAGTTGATACTGTCCAGGCTGAGTCGCGAGAATGTTGCTTTGAGGGTTTCGTAGCGGTTCAGGATGATGCGGTCCCGAAAGGCGATCAACACCAGATTGCGCACATCGAGTGACTCGCCAAATGGCAGGGCACCCCAGAACTCAACTGCCTCACGGCTGGTCATCAGTGACCCAACTCCCTTGAATTCGAGGTCCAAGGGCAAGAAGACCGCCTGGATGAAAGGAAGGATCGTGCCGAACACCAGCATCCAGATTTGAACGAGGTGGGGCACGAGCTTCTCATCAGGAATGCCCACTAGTGAACTGTGGTTCAGCGTTGCAAACCCGGTCTCAAGGAGCTCCTGCAGATCCATAATCACCGCAGCAGGCGCCCGCTTATGCACACAGCGTTGCAGATGGACCAGCGCCAGTTTATTGAGATCCTCAATGGCAATTCTCACGTCCTCGCCGTCAAAAATGACAAGCAATTTGGCCTTGAGAAAGTCCCAGGCATCTTCGGGCGACATATTATTCAAGCCAAAGCCCTGTAGTGTCTCTCGCAGCATAGCTTCACCCAGTACTCCAGACGAGCTGGTCAGCGAGGACGGCCCTGCCAGTCCGCCAGGCGCGGTTCCCCCGCTTGTAGAATTCGCCAGCCACTCCATTGTCTCGGACTCGGCGAGGGCCTTTTCTTCCTTTTTCTTCTCGCGGAGGGCCCGTCCGCCATGCAGCAGATCCAGTCCACTGACTGATTTTCCAAAGGTCGCACCCGGTGCCGGAGAGGCAGGGCTGGTAAACGAATATAGAGATTGCGGAGCATTGGGATCTGCCGGACGCGAATTGCTCGATGCCGAAGAGAGCGGCAGGTTAAAGTGATCATCCCGATCTTTGAGCTTGAGCTTCTGCCGAGACAAGAAGTGATGCTTATGTTTGTCCTTATCCTTATCTTTATCCTTCTCTGGGGGCGCGGGCGACCGATCGGCGGGGACGACGGTGCTGACAGACGCGTTCGAGAGGTTATACATGGAGGAATTGTTCGAAGGGAGATCGGCCAGGCTGGTGGTTGAAGCGCTGACGATGCGTGATAAGCCAGGGAGCTTGCTAGGCGATGGCAGCCCGCGATCCCGACCAAAGGGGTCCTTGTCTCGGCTGATGCCGATATGTTTCGGTTTTGAGAACAGCTTTTTCTTTTTTTGCTTTTCCGGTTGCTGTACGTCCGCCGGTGCGGTACCGGCCCGCGGGAAGACCACATTCGCTGCTGTCGTTGCCACGTTTCCCGCTGCTGGGGGCGCGAGGGATGGGGAGGGTTGGTTGATTCGTAATGGGAGTGGCATAAGAGGCGGGGAGGCACTGCCGTTTCGCCGTGGGGATCGTGACGCTCCATCGTCGTGCGGGCTGGCCACAGTCTGGGGCCGCTTCATCTGCTGCATGGCGGTCTGGGCCGCGATACGGGAGGCTGAAACCGGTGGCATCTGGTCTGACGAAGCGGTGGGTAGGGACGGCTCAAAGAAGCCCTGTGAATGATGTCTCGACCGGTGACGCTGTAGTTCAATGGATGGGCCCCGGCCAGAGGGCCGGCGGCCACCCGAGGCGTCTTGTGGCATGGCACGAGCCGCGTGTTGGGGAGAGGTTGTGGCCGAGGCGGAGCGCATCTGAGGGGGAGAAGTAGCCTGCGGCCGGGGGTTGAGTATTGATCGGGGTGATGGGCGCAGCAGAAACGGTGGTTACGTGTGAAGAGGCATCACTGCCGGAGGAGCCGGGGCGGCCCAATTCGTCGTCATCGGAGTCGTCCTCCTCGTCGTCTTCGTCGTCCGAGGGCGGTGGTGGTGGTTGGCGATGGCGGTAGAGGGGGGCGGGCTGGCGTGTAGAACGCCCGGGGGAGTTGGGCGAGCGGACGGTGGGATTCATGGCGAGTCATCCATGGCAGGGAGTTTTGTGGTTGTGGTCGTGGTTGTGGCAGTGTCTGGTTTGGTTCCAGGTTGACAAGGGCCAGTCGGAGGCGTGGATGCCTGCCCCAGAAGCTCCCTCTTTCGGGTTTAGCCCGCATCGGGCTCCGCTGATCTCGTCTTTCCTTTCACCCCACCACTACCACTACCATTACCGAGATTCTGCATCCTGCACTTTCTTTTGCTTGCAACCCTCTTCCCCTTGCTCTGCGTTCCAGTGTCTTGTGAATTGCAACCATGGCCGCAATCTCGCAGCTCAACCTACAGGCTGTCTACACCGCTCCAGACGCCACCAAAACCTTTACGCACGCGATCCCCGCCGAGTCGAGCACTGATGCTCTCGCTGCGAAACAATCTCACTTGAATCACCTCCAATCGCTCGTCCCCATGCTGCAGGATGAGATCAACGTATTCCTGACTGAGCGTATGGAGGAAGACAAGAAGGCTCAAGGCGCGGTCTCCGAGAAAGAAGCCAAAGAGGAGGAAAATTACGGCGAGGACGTGGTCGAGGAGGATGCTTGATTCACAACACGAGAATGGTATACTACACTGGGTATCAAAAGTCGCCGGGAAAGAAACGACAACAACACATAAGAAAAGAAAATTCCAACAACCCCCGGCGGATGCAGATGCTGGGAAACACAAGAATGCTACCCGGAACGGATGCTGGGCACGCGGTTCGCACAGCCCAGATGGACGACGGTGTTGCTGTGACAAGTCAGAATAGGGTGATGGCAAGAAGCACGGGCAGTTGGGGGGGCTTACTCGGGGAACACATTGATCACACTACCTCCCAGTCGCTTGTGACACACACCACAAATCCGCTCCTCGGTGACGGTGACGTGGCGAGCCCGGGTCCCGCCGCCCCGAGCACCTTCGCCCAGCACGAGTTGGGCCTGGGTCTGCATATCGCGTGTCTTGCGCAGGTTCGCCACGATGCGGGCTTCGTTGAACACCGAATTGGCTGCACGCATCCGGCCCTTGAAGTAGAACTCCAGTTCGCGTACAGGCAGCGCGGCAGGAATCAGGCTCAATGCCGCGTCTGCCGGTAGCCGAGACCCGTGTTTGGCGAGGACAGCCAGCGCGGGGCCATTTTGGGGCTGATATCCGTGCGGTGGTGCAAGATAGAGGGAGAGAAGGGTGAGGTAGATGGAGCTTTCTTGGTCGTCCTCGGACTGGGGTGTGCTTTCCGAGAGATGAACTTGGTTGCAGTAGCTGTGGGAGGTGGCTTAGCAATTGGTTTGACGCCCAATGTATTAGAAAACTCACTCCTCTGCTTTCTGATGGTCCTCCAACTTGAAAACGTAGATCTCCAGCACCTGGCGGTGCTGGCCCATTTTGCTGAATACGACAGCTCTTGCCTCGTAGAAATCGGGATCTGTGGGAGCGTTAGACATATCCCTCCTTTACTCGGGAGCAATACATACCCTCTCGGTCCAAGCGATCCAACATCTTGGCTGGCGAATATTGCTCGCTCTCCTTGAGCATGGCCAGGAACTTATCCTTGCATGCAGTATCTTTCTTATCAGCGTTGATCTGATCAAGAAACAGCGTTAAAAGCCGCTGGTGAAGATCCGGGCTCATGTCATTCCACTCGTGAATGACATGCTCCAGATACTGAATAGCCAGTTTCCGATCAATTGGCTCCAGGAAAGCAAGCACCCGGGACCGCGGCAGAGTTTCGGCGTTTTCAGTTTCGGCCAGGAAGATTTCCATGCCAAGTTCGTGGTTCTCGCGGACGGGCCATTCCCCAAACTCCAGAATCAAGTCAATCTGATCGGGCGGCAGATTTTGTAGGTACGCAACGGTGCGCGTTGGGCCGGCCAGGAGTCCGGATTCTTCTTGTCCAAACCGAAGCAACAATTCCAAGGCTTGGCGATGCAACTTCTTGCCGTAGAGGAAGTCGATCAAATCGTTGTATCGGCCAGTCTCCTCGAGGCGTTCCATGACCACATCTGGGTCGCAGAAATTGGCAATTCGAAACAGAGATCCGGCCAACGAGGGCGTTGCATACATGTGTGCACGGAACAATGTGGTGTCGACCAGCCGCGCCTTGGAGCGTAGAGTGGTTAAGAAATCATCTGGGGATGGGAAATCGAGGAGCTTGAGCACGGAGTCACTAGCCTCATCCGTAGCTTCTGTAGGTGCAGGGACTTTGAGTGAGCCATCTGGGCCCAAAAATCGTTGAAAACGTCGGCGCACATCCGCCAGGTAGCCCTGGAGTTCACGCACGGAATTCTTGAGATCTATGGTTTGATTAGCAAGTGGGATGGATTGGCTACATAGGTTAATTTGGCTCACCTTTGTCTTTATCTTTATCCTCGCCGCGAACACTGCTAGTGTCGCTCCCATCTTCAGTTTTTCGAAGCAATGACCTGAACGAAGGGGCGTAGAGAGATTGCTCCGCCGGTGCAGCTTCAGACGAGCCATCAGTGCAATCGCCGTTGCCATTGACTTTCGTGTCCGATCCATTGTGCTCCGGAACGGTAGACAGGTCACCTGCAATCAAGCTAGGATACAGCCGAATAACCGTCTCGGGAGGGGCAGCGATCTCGGTGAATAGATCCAACGACTTGCGGTATTTACGCAGAGCAAATAAGCTCTGGGCTTTTTCAAGCTGGGCCTTGCGTAGTCGGCCCGGTTTGTCCTGCAACAGGGCGTCCTCCAGGCTGCCCAACAGGCTGATTGCCTCATCCAGATAACCCTTCTCAACCAGAGAGTCAATCTGCGTATCATAGCTCAGGGCCTCCATGCGCCAGATAGTCCGATCGCTCGCGACGAGAAACCCTTTACCTGCATGCGCAAGGCTGATGTTCGGCTGGGGAATGTGCAGTATACTCGCCGACGGCAATGGAATAGACTGCAACAACGACAGAGTCTCCGGATTCCGCACCTCCAGCACCCCCTTCGCCGTATCATGCAGCGCCAGCAGAAACGGATACGAATACCCAATCTCTACCGGCGCATGGCTCCACGGGATCTGCCGTCGCCCAAGCGCCTGCCCATCCACATCAATAAAATGCGTATTGATGTCCTTCGCTAGCAGAATTTGGCCTTCCTGCAGCCTCGTAGCCAGCGGCCGCGGCACCATACCCCCCATCCCGATGTAGCTCATGCTCGCAGCCCCGACCCCGGTGAACCGCCCAGCCTCTTCCACACTGCCGGGGCCCGGCAGCTCGATCACTTGGCCCGATTCGATTTCCACCAGAACAAAGCTGGAGCTTAGCCCGACGACTATCCGTGTCGCTGATACCCACGTCAGCGTCTTGATCGCGCTGGCCAGGCTCAACTCCATAGTATCCGACTCCAGCTCCATGTCACGCCACACCCACATCAGGATCTTGCGTTTCACGGCGACCGCCACCCGCGACACGATGGCGGGGACATTGGTATCCGCGTCATTGACGACATTGGAGGTGACTGCAAACGCAGAGCAGCCCTTTGTAGCTGCCAGCTGCTGCTGCTGCTCGTATGTCTGCGAGTCGTGCAGACTGACATAGCCGCCGGACAGGGAAACCAGCACTTTCGCCTCTTTCACGAGTGCTAGCTGCTCGATCTTGTAACGGGCAAACTTCTCTAGCTCACGCAGCAGCTCGGTATTGCCGTCGTCGGTCACGCGGTAGATGCGGAGTGTGCCGTTGTTGAGCCCGGCGAGGAGGCAATCGCCGTAGGCGAGGACTGAGTCGATTTTCGATTTGTCGCGCGGCTTGAGCTCGACCAGCGGCCGCGCGGTGAATGCGGATAACATCGCGCGAGCCGGTGGGAGAATGGGGCTCAATTCATGTCCCAGGGACCGTCTTGTGCCCGTTGTGCCGCAGGAATTGGGGGGAGCTTCACCCTCTCCGTCTCCCGCTGGGCTGCATGTGACGTCTGTGGATGAGTCAGCTGGCGCCTCAGGCTGGAGGTATTTTGGCTACGTTAGCTCACTACTTTACCACACAGAACGCAGGGTAACGTTTACGGTAACAAATGTGCTTTTCTAGGTAACTGAATTTAGATCTCGCCGCTCTGATCATGCTTGGTGAGTCAGTTATAGAACACATTGGCTGCAGATTTTGGTTGTATAAGACTCCTCGTATGATGAGCACCATACATCCCGGGAGATCCTAAGCGACGCAATATCCCGATTTTATTGTATGATTTACATATCAAATAGCAGGATTGATAGCCATTCAAATAAAGGTCTTAAACATTCTACTTTCAGGGTCCAAGGACATAATATGAAAGTGTAGATGTATTTGATCCCCTGCTGCACGCCGATTTTCATTCTTTGAAAGGCGAAGAACGTCTCCAAATTGAATCTTCACCTCAACTGCAGAATCCACCTGCTCATATACCACGAGCAGATGCTCACAGCACTCAAAGCCATACAGCCGCCAGTAAGCGCTACAAGAGCCATATACCTTGTCAGCCCATATGCGTCCGGCTCTAGCGTTGGTAATATCAAGTTTCCACTAAGAGGTCCCGTCAAAACATTGCCTATCCCTTTACCAAAGCAAAACAGGCTGAATATTATCGGGGCAACCGTCGGGTCAGCACTGACAGACGTAGACATGCGCGCCCACATGGCAGTATAGCCAGCACCAAAAAAGCCATAGACCAAGGCAAAGGCGATTAAAGGTGCCAAAGAATGTGCGAATCCCCACAATGTCAATGAAGCCACCGCGGCTGCAATGCTCGATAGCGTGATAAGAGTATTGACAGAAAACCTTCGATCTGATAAGAATCCAAAGGTTAACTGTCCCATCACCTGTGAGATGCTCATAAGCGCCAGAAGCAAGGCTCCATCGAAATTGCTCAGTCCCATAGATGTGGCGTAAGAGGGCAGATACAATGACGGATAGAAGTACCCTAACCCCTGAGCCACATTGGAGAATGTATATGTCCAGAAAAGAGGGGTTTTGAGAAATCTCCAATCTGCTTTGGCGGCTATGGTGTGTCTCGACGCCGGCAACCGGCCTTTCAGGAAGGGAATCAAGGGGCCTGTCAACGTGAAAAGCGCAAGAGCAACGGCCCGTAGCGTTGTTCGATAGCCATATGTGTTAAGCAGCTTCTCCATAACGAAAGGCATTACTGCACCTGAAATTCCAGAGGCGCCGCATAGAATTCCATATGCCATCCCCCGTCGGGAAATCCAGAACTCGTTCACCATGTTGAGAATTGGATAATAGAAAATGAGAAACCCGAGCCCATAGGCCACTCCCTGTGTCAGAATGAGGGTTTCGAGAGTCGAGGCAAAAGATCCGGATACCAAAGCAACAATACAAATCGGCCCTAACCACAAGTCAGCGGATTCTACAAGAGGACCGAAGTCTGAGGAGGCTGACATCCAACCCAGATCATCTGTCGCTGGAATCTCTGGTAGCGCTTGATAAAGGGAGCTGTAAGAGGAGCACCCAGATAGGAGATCCCTGAGGCAACTGTGCCTACGACTGAAACGTAAGGATTTTCAGAAAATTCGGGTAGCTTCGAGTAATAATTTTGGAAAACTCCAAAGGAAAGAGGGAATCCTGGAATGTGTCAGTCCAGTTAAATGCTTTGTATCACCAACATGGAGTATTACTCGCCCCATAGCAAAGCTTCAAAAACGAATGCAGTGCAAAGCAGTCTCCAAGCAGCAAAACCCCGATCAGTAGGTTCAAGTTGTCGGTTGCTAGTTTCTGCTTCCTCTTGCAACTCACTCATTTCGATTGCAGGCGAGGGCAACTGCAGCGATGATCTACTTTCATTTAATGCTGTTGAGACCATGGCAAATAACGCACGTGGGAACATTCAAGGAGTTGAATTTACAAAGATTTGTTGAATCTGGCGCCCACAGGAATAGTGAAGCTCTTTGTGCGGGGACAGAGCTGCGACGTCGCCGAGGTTCGGGGCTAACGTGCCTTTGAGGAATCGATACGGACCAATGGTAGAGTCCCAATGATCATCCAATAGACCACAGTCACTACGCCCCCGGCGACCGAGGCTATTTTCCTTGACTTGATTCGTATGTGGATGACAGGATAGGGCGAGCCAGGATGGCGGTAGACGGGACCTCCGCCCCTCCAGATTGGCCCTCGCACTGGCACCGAGGTATGTTCCCTGATCAAAGGCCAGCGATTTGACCACGACCGCTTGTGCTACAAGGATCGGAGAGCCAGCCAGTATAGCCCGCCTGGATTACCGCCTTATACTATGAATATGCGGCGCGATTAGAGGGCTCGGGGCGATGGCGTTTACCTACGTAAGACGGGCCAGTCACGCAGCATAAATAAACAGTTCTGGTATCTGAGTTGTTGCGTATCTGAAATCAAAAGAGCACCTCATGCAGTCCCTAACCCGACCAGATGTTTGTCAAAAACGCCAATAGAGCCGATGCTACCGGGCCACACTTAATCCTAACCCAACACACCATCTAGAGTAGATTGGAAAACGTTAGTGCGATGCAAGGGGCGCTTCCTGCCCATTGGCCGGGAACTCCTGATGTTTCGCAGACGTGCCTTTCCCACGCCACGTCGAGACAGCCGGGATATCAGCCTTGAAGCGCTTCTCCTCAGTGCCGTAGGCGCGGGGCGTGAGCTTAATCAGCGTGTGCAGGGGCACCTCCATCCAGGGCGACTGCTCCTGCGGCACATTCATGAAGTACGCATAGATGCAGCGCAGCACGGCCTGGTGCGTGACGATGATGACGTTCTCGCTGCGCTCCAGTTCCATGATGATCGGCTCCAGCCGAATCACCACGTCGCGGTACGACTCGCCGCCCCGGTACCGGTAGTTGTACTTGTCCTCATCGCGCGCGGCGAAGTCTTCCGGGTACTTCTCGGCGATTTCCTCGTATGTCAGCCCGTCGCAGACACCGGAGTCCAGCTCGTCTAGTGCCTTCCACTCTAGCTTCTCGAAGCCGGTTTCAGCTTTGAGGTGCCGGGCGGTCTGGATCGTGCGCCGGAGGGTGGATGTCCAGATGACAATCTTCGTGTTGGGGGGAACTCCGGACTTGCGGAGGAGTGAAGGGAGAGCAGAGGCGTAGGCCTCGCCGCGCTCAGAGATGCTGGAGTCGCCCCCAATGCGGCCAGTGAGGTTATATTCGGATTCACCGTGCTAAGACTGCGGTCAGCTTTCAAGGTCACCAAAGTGGGTGCGGGTGCCGGGGAGCGGACTCACTCGGGAGAGCCAGATGGAACGGGGTTTGATGTGCAGGTTTTGAATATAGTAGACCAGCCGGCTGGACAGGTAATCCTTTATCTGGTTGATAATTACCGTTGACCCAACGTTGATGAGTTTGACATAGGTGTAGTGCTTCTCATTATCATCGATGGTCTCATAGGCCTTTTCATAATTGCGGATGCGCTTGCGGAAATCCAGGGCCGCCAGCTCGGGATCCTGGCCCTTGTAGTCCGGCGACGTAGTCTTCACTTCAAGGATATTGGTCATGATCAGGTCTTCATCGTCACAGATCGACTCGACAAAAAGCGTTTCAATATCGGCTTCCCGACACTTTTCATGGATCCACTGGCGGCGCTTCTTGGTGGAGTTAGTGGCATCCAGAATGGCAACCACCCCCTTGCCGTCGTGGAACCACTGCAGCATATCGGACATGGCCGCTTCAGCCGCTGCACGGCGCATGCGCTCGCCCTCCGCGTTGTGTGGGTCAAAAAAGGTTGCGGCTGGCTGGGGTGTGTTATGGCGGCGGTAGCTACCGACGTTGAACACTTTGGCCGGAATACCGACCCAGGCCAGATAGCGCATGGCTGATTGATATCAGCGCGTTGTTCGTGCAATTGGGCACCGGTGGTTTGGAGGTGGGACAGGACAGCTTACCCTTTCCGGCAATGAGGCTCTTGCCTCGGGCCGGCAGGCCTACCATGACCACACATATTTTGCAGTCATCAGACTGGACGGTAAAGTTAGACGGGACCATAATGACACATTAAGCGGGGAGAGTAGCATGGGAAGGTGTCACTCATCGGGCAAGATGAGTGGTAGAGGAGGGGGGAGAGCAGAGGCGAGAGAACGAAAAGAAAGTCGATATGGACAAGCATCAGATGACCGCTGGGCAGGCGAACGTGGAAGACGTCGGGACGAGAGTAGGCTCGTTTCCGGCCCAGCTGGGCTATTTGAGCCATCTGCATGCAACATGCCATATGGCCATCTGATTTCTTTCCGATCAAAGAGGCAAACTAAGCGCCGTGGTGTTCATCCACTATGGCCCGGGGTTGCCCCGCCGCAGAATACAAGAAGGCATTCCCCCATGCAGCTATCCAAGCTAGCTAGTCCCCGTCGCTCCCGTACTTCCGTTCCTGGGGCCGCTAAAGCCACTGGCTGATGGAGAGGGGAGGAACCGAGGCAAAGGAGGGGCGTGCAGGGATCCCCGCGAAACGCGAGCGTGTCGATCGGGGCCCAGACATGGGGGGAGATGGGGGGTAGATGGGGGCAGTAGTAGTAGGCACAAATTCAAAGCGCATCCTACTTACACTGGCAATGAACACCTTGTGCTGCTGCTGACTCCGGATCACACTTTTTGTCGACATGGTGGTGGTGGGATTAGAATTGAAAGGATGTCGGGTAGAATAGGAATCCTTCAGAGAGACAAGCTTCCGACCCGAGGCCTGCTGGGAGGAGAAGATGAGGTAATGCCGTAGATGCAGCCCAACATGCAGACCAAAGGGGGAGGCAGGAATGAATCACAAAAACAGGAGGATGTGAACCAGGAAAAATTCTCAAAGAAAAATAAAATAAAAAGAAACGAAACTCCGAGGGAGTTTGGGCCAGTGGTTTGGAGGGGATTCTCGTAATGCGGTGAGTCTGGATTTCGCCGGTCCCCACTAAACGTCATCCCGAGCCCGCTTTTTGCACGCTCGTGGACTTCTGGGACTACTGCATACGGACGATCTGTGTCTCGGAACGAGGTCTTGATTCATATCTCTTGTCGTCATGTGCCCTTTTGATATAACTCCATACCCCCCGCCAGTGCCCGTTCTATATGGTCCCGCCTGTACTCCGTACACACTACACCTGCTCGTCACCCTCCGCGCCCGGTGTTGAGCTGCCCTCGGGCTTATTGGTCGTTCCCCGCGCACGCTGCACACGCAGCGGTCCTCCCCATGGGCCCTGGTGGCCATTGAGCGTGTCCATGGCCCGCTGGGCTTCGTCAACGCTGCTGAAATCTACAAACAGATAGTAGTGGTCGCCGGGCTCGAATCGTTTCGCGGGGTGTGGGGTGAAGACCTTGCTGACGTTCTCACTAACAGATCCAGCACACATCAGTCACGAAACAGACAGGAACTGCGATGGGGATACACCCCCATCGCCGGCCAATACATACACGCTGTATCCCTGGAAGAAAGTCCTCATGTTGCTCTCCACGCTTTCGGCCTCGGTCAGCCGGGGCAGGCCGCCCACGTACACCCGCTGGCTGGAGTCGCTGTTGACCTTGGCACCGCTGGTACCCTCCTGGGGACGCCAGCGGCCCATGGCAACCGGTGACCGGGGTTGCTCGGCGGCGCGCTCGGCAGACTTGGCCACGCCGGGCTTAATCTTGACGGGGCGGCCCAACATGTCGCGGCCGTCCAGCTCGGTCATGGCCTGCTGCGCATGCTCCTTGGTCTGCAGGTCGACGAAGCAGTAGGACGGGTTCCGGCCGGTGAACGGGTCAATGGCAATGTCGATGCGCTCGCTATCAAAAATCATGTCTCAGTCGGCGCCGTCACACTTCATGGAGGCGGCTGGCATATGTCCTACATGAGATACTCGGCCGCCGTGAACAGCGCCTCCACATCCTCCGACTTGGCCGTGTACGGCATGTTCCCCACGTAGAGCCGGCGGCCCTCCGAGATGGCCTGCGGCACATGTGGTCCTGGTCGTGCGAAGGCGGTGCGGGACGTGTTCGTGCGTGGCGAGGGCGAAGCTTGCGGGCTGCTCTCGCTCTTCATCCGCCAGTTGGGCGAGTTGAAGGCGCGGCCGTTGGTGCGGACATTTTGGAAGGGCGACTGGGGAGCTTGTAGGAAGAGAGCATTAGCAGCGATCAGGCTGGATGGCTCTTGCGGGCCTTAAAACACACTCTGCTCCTCTGGCCTGGGGATCTCGGTGTCGGCCATCGTGTGGTCGATGTAGGATCTGAGATCGTCAGTCTCCAACTAAGAACAGGCGGAGCTCCACACTCACCCTCACACAAATTGTCGTAGAATCCACTCACAGGCTTTGCCAATTCTCAAAAATTCCAAGCCACGCTCGCGCTCGACGCTTTACGCCTTCCACCACTTTTTTTTTGTTTGCGCGTGCAAACAGTGCAAAAGCCATAGTGGATTGGGCTCCACTGTGCTGGCCCGCGTATTTCAGCGCGCTTTTTTTTTTTTTCTCCTTCTTCTTTCTTCCCGTCTCAGAGAGAAGAATGGCAAATTTCTACTCTGATGTCTCCAGATGGTCCTCTGTGACCATGGGTAACCCTCGAGTGGGTTAATCCAGCCATGGACCCCAGTCCTCGGGTGTGCGTTCATCGCGATCTCATCCGCGGCGGCTCTTAGCCACCGCTGCCCAGCTTCTTCCCCAGCTGGTTCCTGCCGAGGATTTTCCAGAAAGCAAAAATCTCTCTACAGAAATCCTCGAGCACGCCCAGCATGAAGCTCTTTCTCATCCGCCACGCAGAATGCGAGCATAATGTAGGCAAAGCATTGTATGTGCGCGGATGAGGAAGCTCCCCTACACCCCTGTTTCTCGCTAACTGCCAGTGCGCCATGCAAGCGGCAACTCCAATGACCTCACAAGTGTCGGGAAGGAGCAGGCTCTCTGTCTGGCGCGGTACTTCCGTGACCGGCCGGTGCGCTTCACGCGCGTGTTGTCGTCGGATCTCGATCGCGCGACCGATACTGCCCGGGCGATCTGCCAGTACCAGCTGGGCAGTGGGCCTGCACTCGAGCCGTTTCAGACGGCCAAGCTGCGCGAGCAGTGCTTCGGGTGTGGCTCTCTGTCGCGCGAGGTGACTGGTATCGAGTCGATGGCGTCGATGCGGGCCCGTGTCAATGGCTTCTTGAGAGATCATATCTGGCCGGAGATGGCCAATCACGCTACCAGCGGTGATTCCGTTATTGCGATCGTTGGCCATGGTATGATCTTGCAGGTTGTGTGGGCGTGCTTGGCCGATCTCTTTGGTCCGCAGTCGTTCCATCTGGCGAGGGATGCGGAGTGGACGGGGTCTGGTTATATACATCCCTTGTGGTCGAACACGGGGATCATGGAGTTGGATATCCGTCCTGGTGGCCCGCCGGAGGAGATGCTCGCTGAGAATACGGTCCATCCAAGTGTCAAGCCGCCGTGGCTGATGAGGGCGAAACCGCCTTGGCCTGAGGGGAATGCCCCCTTGGTTGCATGGTCAGTGACGATCCTGATGGTGGACAGCACGCCGCATCTCAACGGTGACACCCTGGCACCGACCATTCCCGTGGTCGTGTCATGACCGCAATAACAGCCGATGAACCAGGTCGATCGGCTGGCGGGGACTGTTTGACTTGGTAAGTCTTTTCGATTTATTGTCTTTTCGCTCCCGTGATGAAGTATAATTTGCAGACCTGTTCTGAGTTATAATGCGGAATCAATGTTTACTATCTGATGGAGATTTTGCCTTTTTGTTTCGTTTGAAATGAGTTGTGATCGTTGCTAATGATCCTTCCAGATTCTCGCCCGTCAGAATCTCGACTGGCAGCCAACCCCAACCCCCCTATGGATGGGACTATCTCAATAGGTGAGTTCTTCTGTTTGTGTTTCCGGGGCACTTCCCACTCCGATGACGAAGCAAGATTTACACAGACCTGTTCTGAAAAAGAATGAGGATAACAAATCACAACTCTTCCGATGGAGCTCCTATTGCCTCGGTTCTCTTGAAACTTGGCGTGTGGTCGTTGCTAATGACCGTCACAGTCCTATTCAGTTTAGACTTCACGACTATAAAATAGTATTAAAGAATGTATAAAATCAACTATTAACTCGAAGCGAGCTCCTTTTTCCCTAGTAGCCAGTCCCTCGGATCGAAGGGACCTTCTCATAGAAGCTCCATGTCAGCATTCCAGACGAACCTCCTGCCCTGTATATATCTCCCATCTTGTGTCCTGTCTCTGCGTGGGTTTTAACTGCATTTGGGGGAGATCAGGCGAGGTGACAGTCTGGTCCCTTTCTAGTAACACGAGGTCTAATATTGGATGGTTCAAGAAGAAAAAGACGAGAATCGCCTCAGAGGCGTACGACTGACTGGAAGTGTACGCACTAGACAGGCCAAGAGCTCCCGTGAAAGTTGATTAATTGTCGCGATCTTAGAAGTGAACTCTGTAGCTCACCCACGCAATAACTCTCTTCACCTTTTCGAGAAGTGCTTGAACGAGCGCCGCAAATTCCATTCCTGTGTGTCAAGTTTGTCAAATAGAAGTTCATTGTTTTTAAGGTCAATAAAGCTTGAATCAATCTGAGGTAACTCTTATGATGTAGTATCAACAGTCATGATGCCTCGATGGCAGCATATCTCCATTCAGTTACTTGACAACCTAGGGAGCTTTCCCTTGCTCAAGACCATAGTAAATAGAGTGCTACACACATCGGCAATTGGTGGTAGGGATTTTGTTACTTCTGACCACTTGGCTATGGGTTTTCACGTTTCTATGCAGTGGTTAGCTCGTATCACAAAATGAAAATCGCACAAGGTTTGAAGACATCACAACCTTTCTGTCCGTCATGTATACAGGGAACACGATTTCATATGCCCTAAAGGCATATGGTTCTGTTCGAAGAAGGACCTTCTTGCGTTTGCTGGTCCAACCTTTCACGCTACCCAATGGCGGCACTCCATAAACAGCACGTTCTTCATCCGAAAGAAATATATGACTGGATTGTTGATTCGCGGGGCTCACAAGGAGTGGATCATGCAAGTCCCCCTCCAGTCTATATTCCTCCCTCAGAGCCGTGACCTCCTTGTCCACTGTTGTTTGCGTAGGGTCGTAGGGCGACTTGTGGCGCGCAACTTCGTCATCGGTTCCAGTCTGGCATGTCTCTGCTCTGTCTGGTCGCAGAATTTGTCTTTCGAGGAGCGTGAACTTCTCCAGTTTCTCCTTTGGGTTCATGGCAGCAAGTCCATCGTGCACACGACGTAGACTGTTGGGAGCTCTCGTGCAGCAGACTTTCTTAGCTGAAGGAGCCCAGTGTTTGAGAAGGCCATTCATTTCGAGGGCTTTATTGTGTCATTGAAGTTATACCATTCATAGTATACGATTGAAAGTACTTCAGCTCATTTGAGCGTTTATAATTTCTGAAAATATGAGGGTGAGAGAGCCTCTGGCAATAGCAGCGAATAGGTGACTTTTAAAGATAATATGACATCACGATTCTTGACAGCATCACGTGGACGGGAAATGAACCCAAGGTTTATTACACAGGCGCTTACATTGAACTCATGTCTGTCTTTCAGTACTAGAGAAGTATGTGACGATGGCGATGAAACTGGCCAGAGTCAGTCCTGAAGATTGAGGGAAGCTTCTCACATGGGATGAGCGGATTAACCCCAAAAGCGTGTCCAGATAGTATGCAAAAGTTTTCATTTTCATTTAACGAACACCGCAGGGAACTAGGAATAAAGCAGTTTCAATAGTCACCTCAATCCTCCGTGACGATAAATTTTAATTCTCCATCGATGTTTGCGATGTGGGGTGCAAGATCAATTTCAGTAGACACGTAATCACCGGAGGAATTGAGAAGCTCCGCATGAAGAATTGGTTTTCGTTTTGGCCCTTCAGAAATGCTTGCGTTTCGTGCACTCTTGCTAAAATCTGTTCCGCCCCATTCGAAATGCCCTAGAATGAGAACAAGAAACATCAGACCTCTTTTACAGACGGTCTCTGGCAAGACAACTTCTCACCATCATTATTACCCAAACACTGATCCAGAAGAAAGTCAGTAGTGAGGCCAGAGCCCTCGTCGTTGTTGCAGATTGCGTTCAAGACTGTCCCGCCGCGCAGAGCGGACAGGTGGATATCGCACGCACTTTCGTTGAAGGACATGGTGGGAAATTGAAAGCTCGAAAGTACTGATGGAAGCTATCGGTAAAAAAAAAGGAGGGGTAATCGCTATTAAAGGCTGGGGTGGCAAATTGCTCGTTATGCCGTTTGGACTGTAGTGACTGTAGCTACCCGCTCCAAAGAACTCCAATCTATGGTACGAAGACTACTTACACAGGCTATGACGCCATATGTCCCACGAACTTTCAAGCACACATTTACTCCGCACTTACCACGGATATGATTCGTACTGGGAGGTCTCCATCAGGAGAAAGGCGGAGGTGGCAAAATCTGAAAGTAAGCATTTTTGACAGCTATTATATCGGGCCGTTTCCGCTCCCCGATAAACCCGATATTGGAGGATATTGCCGGCAGGATCGGGTAGGCGTGAGCATAGTTTCAACATAATGAATGAACTCTTTAGGCTTCGTCCGCTTAACGTGCTGAGGTCGCTCTATATTGGTTTTGCCGACAAACCTATCACGGAGGAACAGCAGAGGCGAAACCGAGACACCGAACGCAATGCTCCGTTGCATGAGGAATATAATTATCTACGGCAAAAACTCATCAACCCTCTTCATGACAAAATATTCCTTGCCGATAGTCTCGCTCTCAGAGCGTCGCAGATCTCAGGCGGAGCTTTACAAGCCTCACGCCATAGTATTGAGTACAACACAGAGAACGAAGAGCTTCCATTACCAGAACGGAAGAGAGACATCAGAATCAGACTTGCCGATGCTAGCTTAACATAAAAAATGGACCTAGAAACACTCAAAATTTTGAGTAAAATGCTTCTAGTCCACAATATCAAGCATTTGAATCATACGGCCGATACCCGGCGATTCTAACACCCCGGTTCATGATTAATCCAAATTTCCATACCAAAACATAACGCAGGCGATCTCCAATGTGGTCTACTGTATCAATTGCTAGCGGTAAGTGACCGCTCCATGTTTCGACACACCCCGTTGGCGAATAATCTTGCGAGAATTCGCTGCATAACAAAGCAATTAAAACTGGTCAAACCTCAGATTGCTGGTCATATATCAACATCCTAGTAAGCCACAGATTGCTGGCTACTATCCATATTCGTCTAAGCCACAGACTGCTTGCTAAAAAGTCATATATTCGGTAGGAAAGTCATCGAAATCATCCGTCGCAACTTTGACTGAATTGACGCCAGGCAGGACCTTCTGAATCTGTGTAACAAGCGCCGGGTTGCTTCGTAGGCGTTCGTTGATCTTTTCGGCAATATCTTCCTGCAGAACCCAGTCATGTGGGCGCGCTTCGGTATTCAGGTAGTAGCAACGGTCATATGGGTGGATTCTTCCACACACGCAATTCTTCCGTTTAGGTTGATCGATAGCTTGATCCGTTGATGTCGTAGCTATAGCGGAATTGGATGCGCTTACATAGCCTTGTTCTGACTGATCTTGCACTGCCCGGTGCGTCCGATACGCTCTCAGGACCTCTTGGAAGCTTATGGGATCTAGGCGATCTAGCTTATCCCTCCAGATGTTGCTAAAATAGCTATCTTGAGGCTGCACGGCCTGGAGGAAGTCCAGAATAGGTGTATGGTCCTCTGGGTACTCATCGTCTTGGTAACAGACATCAGGCACTTTCGCTGATTTTGCCTTATAATATAAGGTCGACCAGTTCAATAGCCATCGGTCTATCGACGTCTTGCCGATCGGGGTCATCACTTGGTGCCTCCATGCATTCCGAAGGTCTTGGCTACGTGTAGCTTTAGAAGTCACCATTCTTGCATACAAATCAGACTGATTCGCAGGATCTGCGGAACCTATAATCCTTCGGTGCGGGTTGATCCGCGGCGGATTCGTGATGATTCAGGGGCTGATGATTCAGGAGACGTACGCTGGCAGGATGCAACAGTGGCAGATTGATGCGTGTTTTCCTTGATGATTACCAGCGTGCTATCGGGCTCATAACTATTTATCAAGCTCAGAACGTATGGTCTAGTATGCATTCATGACGAAGATTAAGCGGAATCAAAATCAGGATGAAAAGGTTGAAAGATTGAGGAAGAGAAACAAGGGGGGCAGGAGACACAGTGGTGTCTCAAGTTTCCGACCACCGTTTTGCTCCACCGCCTAGTCTTCCACTCTCAGAGGAAACTTCACAGGTCAAGAAACCGCTATAAACGTAATCTTCGATCATGCTTTTTAATAAAGTTCATCTTCTACAAACTTAGAAAGCCATATATCGAGGGTGTGATGCAAGAGTAAGGGAGTTGTTCGACCGGCAGAATATTATGTCATTGTTGGGTGGTCGAAGGCTTATAGAACACACAGTGTACGATATATCACTATATCATGCTACGTAATATTACACCTCACAGGGGTTTAAAATTTCAACCCCTTGAATAATTACCAAGGCTATTAGCAATTTTTCGACCAGCGGACATGCGTGTACTGTAGCTATCGACAAATTGTTCAGGGTAAATATACAAGCACGGACCCATCGCAAAAACCGGAACCCTATGATAGCAGTTCTTGCCAGGGAGTAAGAGGGTTGTGAAGTATGTAACAAAATAAGTCCATGTCTGGAGGTGCAGCGTTATTATCTCCCAAAGACATTTCGTCCTCCTTGAGCTATTTTGGGGCTTCTGACTATCATCATATCTTGCGTATCACTGGGGATAGATATCTTGTTGCCAGCCATTTGGGGGAATATATATCGACAACGGAGGAAGGGGACGCGCACCGGAGCAGTTCAGTAAGCAAGTGATGCATATTGTCGCGTGCCTGGTGCCACAGAGAATGAGTTACCTACCTGAGGGACCAATTTCTGGGGAGATCGACCAAAAAATATTGCGAATAAAAATAGCAAACCCTGGTTTCGATCCAGGTACCTTCGGGTTATGAGCCCGACGCGCTTCCTATGCGCCAGCTTGCTGAAGTTAGAGTTTTGTGGGCATTTGGCCATAATAATCGGGTCCTCAAGCTCCAGTTGTGAGTCATACTGGAGGCCGGGTATCCACTATGCCACTACAGGACTAGCCGCAGACACCCTTCCCCATCCGGTTTAGACTACAAATTCCTTGCCGAACTAGAAAGGTTGTACAGAAAGACACGCATCACTCATCGGTGTTTAGAGCTGGAAATTTCTAATTGGAAAAGATTGAACTGGATAGAAAAGAAAAAGAAACCGGGGGTCGCTGTTGAAGCTCCCCATGGCCATAAGGCCTAATCCTCGGAGGTTGCATCACGACACCTGCTCGTGAATCCGAGATTATATACTTCGCACAAAGGTCTGGGGGGAATCGACGGATCCCCTGGTTTTATACCATTGTGTCAACTGACATACAATATAGCTTACGCCGTCAGTATCAAAGGCCCCATGGCCTCAACAGAACTCTGCAACCAAAAAAAGCAAAATTAGACCCACTCTGAACTCCACAATATCCCACGGCCAGATAGCCCATGACGAGCTTTCTAATGAAAATGAAACAAAAGGCGGGGCCCGCCTCGACACAGGCTGGGAATATCTCCTCCTCAACAGGCATGGCTTTAGTTCAGCCTCGGCGCGAGATGGGGCATTATCCTCTGATGCATCGCAGTCCGTACAGTCGGAACTCGCTCTATAAACCCACTCTTTTTGTCAAAGAGCCACATATTCGGTGTGCCTTCTGGTGCCGAGGCCGTGTATATCTTGAACCGCATCCACGGGCCGTTGATTCGGGCGGGTCTATTATAGCTGCTTCGGGGGTGAGTCCACACAATACACTGGATCAGGTCCCAGCTTGGCATCGGAGGATGACCGGCTTGGCTTGGATGGTGCAAATTAATCCACAGGAATACAACCGCGAAAAGCTGGCGGACACCATTCGCGAGAGAGACATGCGTGATATGCGCCACAGGGGCGTAGCCGATTAGGTTCTGTGTCCTGTACCAGTCCAGAATGTCGGTAATATCCTCATAATAGAGGCAGCTATAATCACTCCCGGTGTCATCTGTGCAAGGCAGGACCACATGCGGCCCTCGGGAGTTCTGAATCCCCCATAAAGGCAACGCGAAGGACATATCGACCTAGGAAGAATAACAAGGATCAGCGTTGCCCCCCATTACTCTCGTCAGCGCGGACAAAAATACTCACTTCATTTTGGAACGTAGGATCCCTTATCATACCGTGTATATTATTTGCGCGCGTGACAAGGACTTGCCCGATTCGCGGGGTTGAATGGCCGAAAAGCTACAGAACAGGGAGACAGTTAGCCATAATTCATGTTCGATATCCCTATCTCCTGAATTCGTAAAATCTCAATCCTAGACCTAGACAGAGCGACCCACCCCTTCTACCCAGAACGCCCGGTCCCCACGAAACTCGTGGGCAATTGCCTGATACTCTTGCAAGTCAAACGGCCGGGGCTGGCTGATCTGCTTTCCTTTCGACCAGTATGTCACCAGCCCCAGATCTGTGTAGATATCCAGGTTTCCATCCTTGTAGGCCACCATAAGGGCCTCCACAATGGGTTTCAGCTCCAAGTGATCTCCCTCCTCCTCGAGCCAGTCTCGGATACCCTTGAGGTCTTCAAGCCGTTGAATGACCGCCCAGCTGAGACCCGGATGGTTCTTCATTAGCTCTCTTGATAATGGTGGTCAGCAGATTAGGTCTCGCTTTGCGCTTCATCTCTACAGTGAATGCTTACTTCTTTTCCACAAGCCGCTCTTCATACACCACCAGCTTTTTCCGGAAGGTGTCCGGCAAGATATTTTCGCTGATTCGTACATGGCATCGCTCAATCTGCGCCTCGATATCACTATGGATAGTCAGATCGATGGGTCTCCTACCCTGTGTACAGGTAGGTATACTCATTGTGTAGGTCTGGCTCATCCCAGTTCCACCCCACAGGAAGCTCCTTGGTTCCTGTGAGCTGCCATTGCTTCCGTTCCGGTAGCTTGGGTGGGGGAGGAGGAGGCTCAAGCTTTCCCACGTAGGAGACATCTAGGTCGAGGGTTGCGACATTGGATAATGGCTGGGTCTCTGGTTTGGTCGCGGATGAACTGGCTTCTCCACTCGACTTTCCTTTGACTGCCCCTTGTCTCTTGTGGATGGCTTCCTTCCTCTGCGCTGCCCGTTTGGGCTTTTGAGTTGACTTCTTCCTGCGGGGGGGCATCTTGTAATCTTGTAAACGGGGCGTGAAATAAGATGAGAATCAGCAGTGAAAGTTGTGAGTTTTGCGAGGGAAAGGGCTCCCAATTTATTCGGGGAACACTGGTGAAGAAGAACAAAGCGAAGAGGATTCAAGAGGAGGCCTCGATGGGTACGCAATTGGAAGCTTTGTTGGGCCAGTGATTCTTTGATGGGAGTTTCTCAAAGAAAGCACCAGCTTTCGTTCTCCACACGAATGCTAGTCATTGAAGCCACTTTACCAAGAATCCCCTTGGGCTCCCTTGAAACGCATTGCGGATTCTTGGGCTTTGTTTAGAAGACTACTATCCTCCGGCGGTGATGGAAATTTGGTCATGTGCCCTTTTACACTGGCACGCGTGTTTTAAGCTTACCAGAAGAGTATGGGGTGGACTATATTTATATCAGGTTGATTTGAGGCATGCCATCCTACAGCGGCTACTGCAAAAAACCAATGTGACGGTTGAATGTTATGTACTCCCATTAAGTTTCATCTTGATAGATGAGTTGATTCAATATTGAATTAGCAGCTCCAGAAGGCTCCAGGCGATTTATCCTTTCCCGAAGGATTAGCGAAATTCTACGATTGGAAGACTACTACCTGCCATACAATGGAAAGACAGAGGATTACCATCGGCAAAGGGGATGAAATGGTAAAAAAGGTCATCGACCACGATATCGACAAGGATAGCATCAAAAAATTACCTCACTACCGTTAGTGCCGTGTTGACTGCCATAGGCTCGTTCTACGGGGAGGCTAGCGGAATCGCCTCTCCTGCAACAAACGGCATTGGTTGCCACTACCTCTATCATGGGTGCTACCCAGGCAAGTGCTGCAGATAGGTATGTGGGACCATTTATTATACTCTAGATTCAAGATTCAGGCTCACTGAAGGATCAGCGTCCAAAATGAATTTGCGCTTATTGGTATTCTTGAGTCGGCCATCTATATCATTCCTGATACTACGGGCAAGGTAATAGACACCTTTCCCAGGCAGTCTGTGAAAATTCCCCTTGGCAAGCTTAACGACAGCTCTAGTAATGCTAGGTCGGTTTGGGCTAACAGTGCCCCGAGCGTCCTGAAGAATGGTGTCTTTGCTGAATCCATGACCTCCAGAGAGTATGATAGTATTGAGAAGAATTCTTCCACGGTATCGCTGTCTTTATCAAGTCGGTCGAACTAGCATACATCTACGCATTCTTTCTTGCTAGATTCAATTCCTGTGCTTGAAGCCAACTAGTCAATTGAGTCAATCTAATCATCATTATCACTTAACAAAATTACGAATATTGTCTTTCACCCTATTGAATGTGAGTCAGAGTCCTTTTGTTGAGGCTGACATGTGATAGCCACCATTCCTATATAGCACTAGCCCGGACCACTATTTACTTTACCCCAAGCTTGGTTGAGACTAGCGATTGCTCAACAACGAAGTTAGATAACTTTCTACGACTGCAACGAGGCCAAACATGAATTGCATGTGAAATTGACTCATATTGTCCCAACCAAAACCATCTGTAGGAGAAGTACGCTTATGACGGCTCTACACTTGATGGTGAGCGGGGTTGGCTTATCTCTCTCTTATCAGCAGAGCCTCGATTTGCGTTAGAGCCTCCAAGAGTTTTCCCCAGACCGAGATAACTCGACGTCGCCTAGTTATAGACAGACCTTGACTACTTCTAGATGTCCATTCTTAAGAAATAAAATACTATCCGATCCTTGAATAGATCTAAGCAAGGTGACTCTGGTGGGGGTCCACACAGGGGCCCGCCTTTACATACATACCGAGTCGGGTCGACCAATCGGGATTAGCGTAAAACGCGACGTCCTCTCACCGCCTGGCATTTTTTCTTTTTTTTTCCTGCCCGCCGCCAATTTCGATCTTTCCCTCCCCCTCCACCAACTGCAATTGCAGCCTGGTCGGGAGCTCACGTCAAAATGAAGTACGTTCTTGTCTCAGGTGGTAAGTTGTATCTTCCTTGTCGGTTTTGCGTTCAGGGAGCTTTTTGCTGACGAAAGTTGTCGTTGTTAGGTGTCATCTCCGGTGTTGGCAAGGGCATTATTGCCTCGAGCACCGGGTTGCTCCTCAAGTCCGCCGGTCTCACGGTCACTAGCATCAAGGTTAGTGCTCAGCGCCTCCGTTAGATCCAACCGCCCTCCACTCGATCTCTCCAATCGTGCCAATTGTGCCAATTGTGTCTACATTTTTCTAAACGACGCGTACAGTGTGACCCATATATCAACATCGATGCTGGTACTATGTCGCCAATCGAGTCAGTTACTACGCGCCCCCGCGTCGAAAGACCTAAATACTGATTAATCAGGCACGGAGAGGTCTACGTGACGGACGACGGCGGTGAAATGGATCTGGACCTCGGCAATTACGAGCGCTACCTCTTGACCACTCTCACTCGTGACCACAACATTACTGTGAGTCATAGCGAACCGATATCATGGGGATGTTATTGTTCTTGAATGGTTGAACTGATACCCTGGATCTATAGACTGGCAAAATCTATCAGCAAGTGATCGAACGGGAGCGTATCGGTCGCTATCTTGGTAAGACCGTCCAGGTCGTGCCCCACATCACCAACGCCATCCAGGATTGGATCGAGCGGGTTGCCAAGATCCCCGTGGATGAGTCCGGGAAGGAGCCCGATGTGTGCATTATCGAGCTGGGTGGTACCGTTGGAGACATTGAGAGCGCGCCCTTCATTCACGCAATCAGCCAACTTCAACGACGGGCTGGCAAGGGCAACTTTGCTCAGATCCACGTGTCTTATGTTCCCGTTATCCACGGCGAGCAGAAGACGAAGCCCACCCAGAGGGCAATTAGCGATGTTCGTAGCGCGGGCCTGAATCCGGACCTGATCGCTTGTCGCTGCGAGCTGCCGCTGGAGGACGGCACCGTCCAGAAGATCGCCAACATGTGCTCCGTGGACAGCCAGCAGGTAATTGCCGTGCACAACGTGTCGACTACCTACCACGTGCCGCTGCTTCTTGAGAAACAGAAGCTCATCGGTACTCTGGGAGAGCTGCTTGATCTCCCGTCTATCAAGCGGGATGCTAAGCTCATCGAGCAGGGTAAGACCATGTGGCACGACTGGGTTGACCTTGCCCGGGGCCAGGACTACCCCCATGACACAGTGTCGATCGCGCTTGTGGGCAAATACACCGCCTTGAAGGACGCTTATATCAGTGTGTCGAAGGCGCTGGAGCACGCGGCCATGTTCTGCCATAAGAAGCTGGATTTGATCTGGGTTGATTCAGCTCATCTGGAAGACGAGGTCTTTGAGACCAACCCAGCTGAGTTCCACAAGGCTTGGCATGCAGTCTGCACTGCTGACGGCCTGCTGGTCCCCGGTGCCTTTGGTACTCGGGCTACGACCGGCATGATCAAGGCTATTACATGGGCGCGTACGAAGAAGCGTCCCTTCCTGGGTGTCTGCCTTGGTATGCAGCTGGCCGTCATTGAGTACGCCCGCAACGTGATGGGCGTCGAGGACTGCGGAAGTGAAGAGCTCCACCCGCAGGCTAAGAACCACGCCATCGTGTATATGCCCGAGGTATGTCGTTCCTTCCTTGTAAGAGTGTATGTCGTCTTGCGCTAATAGCAAACTCTAGGTCGACAAGGATAAGATGGGTGGCACCATGCGCCTCGGAAAGCACCCTTCCATTTTCCAAAAGGGCACCGAGTGGTCCCGCCTTCGGGCTCTGTATGGCCCCGAGGTTTCCCAAATTTCGGAGCGTCACCGTCACCGGTACGAGGTCAACCCCGATATGGTTGAGGATATTGAGAAGGCCGGTCTGTCTTTCATCGGCAAGGACGAGAAGGGCGAGCGTATGGAGATCGTTGAGATCCGCGACCACCCCTGGTTCGTGGGTGTGCAGTTCCACCCTGAATACCTCAGTCGTGTCCTGGCGCCCAGCAGGGCTTTCCTGGGCTTCTTTGCCGCCGCCGCCGGCTGCTTGGACGAGGTGACCAAGGCCCTCAACGAGGGTCTGCGGAGTGTACCAACTCAGCAGCAATAGGGGAATAAGGATGAGGAGAAGGAAGAGGCACAGACTGAGTGTCACATGGAAAGACCAGTGACAAGCCTACATGCATGTTCTGCAATTTATCCAATTACGTTTATCACGCTCAGAAATAGAAAATAGACAGTCGTGGAAAACCACCACCGACTCCACAATACATAACTCATAAATTTTATATGCGCCGAGATTCCGTACATCATCAAGCATTATATCCAGCATCCCCCGCCACCACAACCTCTTCCTTCTCATACAAAATCTCCGGCCTGACATCGCGCCTCAACAAATACCTCTTGAAGAAGTACGGAATCTGCCTCAGTCCATACGCAGCATGGAACCGTGTCGGCACCGAGAACACCTGATCCAGCTCCTCCAGCGTCTTGTTTTTCGTCTCCGGCATAAAGAGCAGCACAAGCCACCACCCCACAATGCACCACCCGGCATACCATGCAAACCCGCCCTGAGCCGTGAACGCGTTCCGCAGCGACGGCCACGTCACCCCCAGCACGAAATTGAAGAACCACGTCGTCGCCGTGGCCAGCGCCATCCCGTACGAGCGCACGTACAGCGGGTACGCCTCCGCTGAGTAGGTGAACGGCACCGGGCCCTCCCCCGGCGAATAGACCACGCCGAAGAGGTAGGTCCCCAGCGCGATGCAGCTTGTGCGCGCAGTGTGGTGGGTTTCTGGAATCCAGAAACTGAAGCCGGTGAAGAACATGGCGAGCGACATTAGTGGGAAGGTGGTTAGGAGGAGGTTGCGGCGGCCGAAGGTGTCGATTGTGTAGATGGCTGGAATAGCGAAGAGCCAGTTGATTACGCCCCAGCCGAGGGAGGCGGCGAGGGCGGAGGCGGGCTCGAAGTTGGCTTCCTGCGACAGCGAGGTTAGTTTGCATGATTCTCTACCCTGGGGCCGGAATGTTCAAAACTGTGGATTGGGGTGTCAAACCAGAAAGATTTCGGATGAGTAGTATGCGATGACATTGACTCCGCAGAACTAGGATGAGGAAGTCAGTCCAGTGAACCGCCGATATAAATTGTTGTAGTCATGGACTGCAGTTATGGACCACTTACCTGCTGCATGAACATGACAATCTCCGACGCGACCATCGCTCTCCGATTTCTCGGCACAGTAATCAGCTCCAAAAGCTTGTTCTGCCCCAGCTTCATGCTCGTCTCCGCCTCCAGCAGGGTATGCATGTAGTACAGGTCCCGTGCGGCCTGGATCTTATGGTGGCGCAGGGTACATATGCTCTGGTATGCGCGATAATACTGCTTGTTACGCATATACCAGCGCGGCGACTCGGGACACGCAAACACAAAGCAGCACACCACCAGTGCCGGGAACATCGCGGAGGCCATCATCAGCCGCCAGTTGAGGCCGACGATGCCCGGCGGGTCGGACACTTGGTAGAAGATCAGGTCCGCCGCGTAGCCGAGCATGATCCCAAACGCTGTCCACATCTGCCACTGCATCACTAGGGCGCCGCGGATAGCTGGGGGTGCGGTCTCGGCCGCGTATACCGGCACAGTGGCGGATTTGGGGCCGATGCCAAAGCCCAGCGCGAAGCGCGCGACGAACATGGCCCACCATGTTGATACAAAGCCTTGCCAGAGGCAGGCGATCGCGCTGAAGCAGCAGGTAAGGAAGATGGTGCCCCGGCGGCCGAACCAGTGATTGAAGGGAACTGTGAGCCAGCAGCCGATGAAGGCGCAGCAGAGGTATGGTGCGGCGTTGATGAGGCCGACTAGCCAGGTGTCCCTCGATCTCTCTCCGGCGATGCCGAATTGGTGCTTGTACCAGATTTGTGCGCCGTTGACCACTGTCTCGTCTATTTGTTTGCCAGGTAGACCCGGGTCAGCGATGCGACCAAAATCTTCGATCTTTGCTTTTGGGAGGAAGAGGAGGGAGGTTGGGAGGCGCCAGCTCGTGCTTACCCATTCCCTGGACGGCGGCAGACAGTGAGCACAGCGCAATGACCGCATACATCGACCACGGCTGCGACCAGCGATTTGCAAATTCCTGGCGCAGGATCTCTTTCTCCTGGCTCGTCAGGCCGGCGACATTGGCGTATTGCTCGGGTGATTGGGCCAACACGGCGCCCAGCTCGAAGGCGCGCACGTCCTCGTCATCGCCTATTTCATGCGTGAGCGCAAATTTGCGACCCTGCCTGCGTAGCTCGGCATGGCTAAAGCCTGCCAAAGGATTCGAGAGTTTGGCGTTGAGATTGCGCCGGGCGCGCTCGGCTGCGGTGCCGAATGTGCGCTGCGGGACGAATTTCTCGCGGCGCGGCGAGTCGGCGATGTTCTCATCCTGCTCAAACATGCCTCTGTCTACTTTGCTGGACATGGACATGGTGGGCTGAGACCGGGGGCGGCGCCGCTCATGAAAGGAAGCCCGTGGCGGCGAGGTTTAAATTGAGGAGGGAACCAGGATGTCGAAGTGGGCAGAGAGTGAGAGAGCGAGAAGAGGCTCTAACAAAGCAACGCAGCGCAGCAAACACATGACTGGGGACGGCGCGATGCAACGAGGGAGTCCATTTTGCGGTGGACGAGGCGCGCGGTGGGTCACATCCTGTCAAAGCAGGCGGGCTGCTCCTCCATGAGTCGTGGCCGGACAGGACTGGGGCCAAGAGCTGAGGGTTTTTCGTTAAATTGATTGGGTGGATGTGAAGGCCAAGAGTCGGGTTGTGAAAGTAAGCAGAGGTTGCTCCGTTATAGGCCTTGATCGTCTGCTCGTCTGTCTGGGGCACCGAGGGATCAGCTCAGTGGCTGGTTGCTGGGCCTGCATCTGATGATGCAGGGCGCAGCGAGTTCCGAGCGGACAAACTGGAATCAGTGACCAGCTGGGGCGATGGAATGGCTGGGCATTGGGAGCAAGGCAGAACGGTGCGGGCAAACGCGATCCGATCGAGATTCCATTCTCCAGGGATGTCTGTAGACAGCGAAGGCCGAGGCTGGAGGAGATTGATGAGATTCGCGACTTCCGACTTGAGACTTGAGACTCAAGTGACGTCTCCCCCGGACTGCCCCAGACTCCCCTCGTGGGGGCCAACTCTAATCGGGGTAAGCGAAACCTGCCGCGCACAGTCAGACCCAGGAATTGCGCTTTTAGATAAACTTGATCGTCGATGACTTGTGCAGTGTAATTCTCTTAGTTCAACTGTGGAATCCCTTCACCAGGCAGCTCGGTCACGAGGCTATCCTCAGCATGATCTAGAGGTTGGTGCGTGGCCTTTGGGTCATCAAATTAGGGTGTTTCCCCGCATCTCAGGTGCTGTCCGCTATCCTCAGCTCGGATTAGAACCACATGGTAGAGAAGCTGCTGATTTGATTAGCGAACATTGCGGCCGAAAGGAACAGAACTGGACAATTATATTTGTCATTGTATTGTATAAATGCCTGATATGAGAATGGTGCTCGAAAAGAAAAGAAGGGCCATCCGCAAACTATTTATTGGCCGTGGACCAGCACATGTTCAGGTTTTGGCATAAAGCTACTCCTACACAGGATCCCCTTATTCTGTTTCTTCCACCACAATACAGTTTCTTGTACTTCTTGGACCCACGAAATTACCCTTGAAGTCAGGGATTAGACAGTAGTTCCTACATAGTCAGTCCCTCGCTCCCTGGCTGCTATCTTAGGCAGTCTATTAATCAGGCTACCCCTTTCGAAACTACCATTTTTTAGCTTATTATATCCGGTAGGTTATACTATAGATCGCAGTCTCCTTAACTATCTTAGCCTAAAAGTTCTTTAATCCTAGTGTTACGGTATCTAATTGCATGGTAGAGGGCCTGTCGACCAGGTAAGGAGGAACCAGTGTAGTCAAGTTAGAACAAAGACTGATTCTTAAGGACTCAGGAAGAGATAGAGAGGTATAGCACTTTTTATACTGGAGCATCCTATGGGATACTCCAGCCCCGAGAGGGTATCGGTGGTATTTCGCGTATTTCGCCCCAAGTAACTTAGTCTAGTATCCAAACCACTTGCAAAAGAACGCCAAGCAGCGTCGCTGCGAAAACACAGGGTGAATGTTTACGATTTGATGCATCATGCATTTATACTATTCTGCGAGTTGAGAGCGGCTTCAATGGGCAGGCGGTGCGAGAACACTATGGAAGCTTGCTAAGGTACTAGTCTTGCGCTATATTTACCAAGCACATGCGGCTGAGCTGGGAAGCCTTGTCGTGTGCCTGCTCCCCCTCGGCAATGCCTTCCGTAAATACCCGTAAATTCCGAGAATAACCACTCCTTGACATCCGTCTATCCATCAACTATTCAGTCTGCCGACCTGTTGCTTCTCAACAAGCAGGGCCAAGACCTCGTGTCGTGATAGTAGAGAGAGTGCTTGATTGACATATCGAGTACTATCCAGCTTGTCTGGACATTCTGCTTAACCAGATTATCCAACATGGCTGGGAACCCCCAATCTCAGCCAGAGCAATCAGAGTCAGCACAAATCAATACCAGTCCCGAAGCATGCCGAAAACGACTTCATCACGATGCCTATACGATCGGGTGGGTGTGCGCTCTTCCAAAGGAACAAACCGCAGCCAGAACCATGCTAGACGAAGAGCACGACGGTCTTTCGACCCCTCTCAATGACCATAACACATATATCCTTGGCTCAATCTGCAGCCACAACGTCGTCATTGCCTGCCTACCCACCATGGGAACCAACCCTGCCGCGACTGTGGCTAACTCCATGATTAATACGTTCCCATCGATCAGGTTCGGGCTTATGGTAGGGATTGGCGGCGGGATTCCGTCGAAGGTCAATCTGGGTGATGTGGTGGTCAGCCAACCTGTTGCTGGCTATCACGGCGTGGTACAATGGGATATGGGGAAGCTAGAACGGGGTGGACGGTTTGTCCACACGGGCTCGCTGAATAGACCCCCGAATGCGCTGCTCAGTGCGTCAAATCTGCTGAAAAGTAACCATGAGATGTACGGATCGAAGATAAATGAGTACCTGGATGACATAGGAAAGAAATTCCCGCGACTAGCGCTGAGATATACCAGATGTGAGTACCTGGAAGATCCATTGTTGGTATCCGACAGGACCCAAAGAGAAGTGAGGGTGCACCATGGCCTGATCGCATCCGGCAACAAGGTGATTAAGGATGCGCAGTTCCGAGACTCCCTCGACAAAGCATTTGGCGGGCACTTGCTATGCGTGGAGATGGAGGCAGCTGGGCTCATGAATGACTTTCCTTGTATTGTTATCCGGGGCATTTGTGACTATGCGGACTCGGGAAAAGAGAAAACCTGGCAGGAGTTTGCTGCAGCTGTGGCCGCTGCATACGCAAAGGAACTTCTGGGATGTCTGCAGCCCAGGATTGTTGATGACGAGTACTCAGCCAAGGCCATATTGGAAAAGGGTTAGTACCTACCTACCCGGATATACCTGCTATAAGTGTCTAAAGTACTAGACAGTCCATGAAGATATATCGAGAAACACGAAGGATATCACTGACCTAAAGTCGAACTTGGTCAAAGAAGAAGATACCAGGATCCTAAACTGGCTTACGCCAGTTGAGTATGGCCCTCAACACACAGACTACGTCAGAGACCTGCCTAAAGGAACAGGTATATGGTTTCTTGCGTCTGATGAGTACGAAGAGTGGTTGAAAACCGCCCAAATGTTGTTCTGTCCTGGCATTCCTGGAGCAGGGAAGACAATCATCACCGCGATTGTGATTCAAAACCTTTTCGAAAGATTCCAGACTGATACCACTGTTGGCATCGCCTATATCTACCTTAGCTTCGGAAAGCGGGCGGAACAAACAGTTGACGCTCTCCTCCTCAGTGTTACGAAGCAATTGCTCCGACAACACCAATCCATGCCGGGCGAGGTGAAAGCTCTGTATGACAAGCATCAGAAAGCGAGCACTACGCCGTCCTCTGACGAAATAGTCGAGGCTGTTCATAGAGCATGCAGGCTGTACTCGCGGGTCTTCGTTCTTGTCGATGCGCTCGACGAATGCATGCAATCCACTCGGGCAGAATTCTTATCTGAGATATTTAACATGCAGGCAAAGGGAGAGCTGAGTCTCTTTGCTACATCAAGATTCATCACGGATATCTGCGAGCAATTCAAGAATGGCCTTAGCTTGACAATTCGTGCGGATGATGGAGACGTTAAAACATATTTGGATCGCAATATGTCAAAACTTCCACTCTGCGTGGGCCGCAATAAAGGTCTACAACAGGATATTAAACGCTGCATTGCAGGATCCGTTGATGGAATGTATGTTTAGCTTGTGTGAGGATAAATTATATTGCTGATCTCGATTAGGTTTCTGCTGGCCAAGCTTTATATTGGCTCCCTCGAGGATAAGATGACGCCCAAGGCCATTCAGGGTGCATTAATCCAATTTCAGAGACAGGATCCAGGTCCAGGTGAAGGCCAGAAACAGGGATTACTGTCAAAAGCTTACGATGATGCAATGGACAGGATCAGGGGTCAGAGCAAAGGCCGTTGGGACCTTGCTAGACGAGTTCTTTCCTGGATATCCTGTGCTAGGCGGCCTTTAACTATACCAGAGCTTCAGCATGCACTTGGCGTTGAGACTGGAGCGTCTATGCTTGACGAGACAAACATCCCGGAGCTCGAAGACATGATCTCTGTATGTGCAGGATTGGTTACCCTCGACGAAGAATGCAAAATACTCCGCTTGGTGCACTATACCACCCAAGAATACTTTGAACAGCCACAACAATCGAATTGGCGTTCAGATGCCGAGCGAGAGATTCTCAGAACTTGCATGACGTATCTCTCTTTTAGCGTCTTTGAGAGTGGGTTCTGTCAAACTCGTCGCATGTTTGAGGACCGGCTAGGGTCTAACAAACTCTTCGAGTATGCTTCACGGAACTGGGGACATCATGCCCGCAAATCATCGATTGAAGGGGACCAATGTATTTTGGATTTCCTTAAGAGTCAGGCAAAGGTCTCGGCTTGTGCCCAGGCAATGATGCCTTGGAGGTGGGACACCAGTTACAATACTGGAAGTGGGATGACAGGACTTCATATCACAGCATACTTTGGGCTTGAGCATTCGACGGCAGCCCTGCTCGACTTGCAACACTGTCCAAGCCCCAAAGATATATCCGGCCGTGCTCCGCTACACTACGCCGCAGAGATTGGGCATATAGAGATAGTGAAGCTGCTGCTCGACAAGGGGGCCGATCCCAACATCAATGAAGTCCACAGTGGCCGGACCCCGCTCTACTACGCCGCTGAGAAGGGGTATAACGAGGTAGTGAAGCTGCTGCTCGACAAGGGGGCCAATCCTAACACTAATGAGGTCCGCGACGGCCGGACCCCGCTACACTGCGCCGTAGGGAAGGGGTATAACGAGGTAGTGAAGCTGCTGCTCGATAAGGGGGCCAATCCTAACAGCAAGGATAGGAGCAAGATCATCCGTGTCGTCTGGACCCCACTATACTACGCTTCAGTGATAGGGCATAACGAAATGGTGAAGCAACTACTGGACGAAGGTTTCGATCCTAATATCAATGAGGTCCGCGGTGGCTGGACCCCGCTATACTACGCCGTAGAGAATGGGCATGGGGACATAGTGAAGCTGCTACTCGACAAGGGGGCCGATCCCAACATCGATGAGGTCCACGGGGGCCGGACCCCTCTGAACTACGCCGATGAGAAGGGGCATAACGAGGTGGTGAAGCTGCTGCTCGGAAAAGGCGCCCACCCCGTTTTAAGGACGGCGACGGCGACCGCCATCGTACCCACCAACACTACGCCGCAGAGAACGGGCACAAAGAATAATCGCACTCACCCGCTACGGCAGTCGATCCGACAGGACGAACTGTAGGGATTCTTGCAAAGTTCATCTCCCGTTTTCTCTTGCACTATACACTTGGTTGGTTGGTTGGTTGATATCATCTACCCTGACCACTCACGGAATGCCATATACAGGCTACAACTACTTTCTATATACATGCTGATTAATCCCTGAGATTGTTTCAAACTTCTGAACGGTGAACTTTGAACCTTACCTAGTAAGGCCTGTCGTGGCCTGTCTGCCGTTCGTGGTGTTAGGCTGCCCTCTTGGCGCGGCTATTGTAGTTAAGTTCCCAGATAAGGCGGCCAACAGTTATTTATAGTTGGCTGTATCTCCGCCAGAAATCGCGAAAACGCTGGCAATGCTGAATTCAAGAATCTGGATACCAACTGCGTGGCAGATACGGTTTTTGGACCCTTCTTTTTCTTGCTCTTGAGCTGAGATGGTGATGGTTTATTGTGGAAAAGGCGGCGAAGATAGTTGTGACTGTGGGGTTTGGAGGTGGGGCTAGGGTCTAGGCGTCGGCTACGGTAAAGAGGTGGTAGGTTGCTAGAGAATAGAGGCGCACTTTGATTGTTGTTATTGGGCGGAGTTGGTAGTCGGGGTAGATTAGAGAGGATATATAGGGGTAGGTGGCTTGCCACGATACTGTATTTCTGATTCGAGTCTGGCGGGTAGTGGCTTCGTAGGAGTCTCGAGATCGATTTCTGCTTGGTTTAAAGGTGAGCTATTGATATCGGGTGACATTTGGGTTGCGTATAGATTTAGGAATAGTAATCTAAGGAGATAGGTTTGCGGAAGAGGGCGCGTGAGCGTGAGGAGGAAGAAAGGGAATGCAGCACGTCCAGTTACCTCTCGCGGGGATGTCTGCGAACAGGGAACACTCTGTATGTTAGCAAGCATTGCTGGCAAGCCGTGTATAGGCCCTCTTCGGTCTCCCCCCCCCCCAGTAGAATGCATCCGGGGCGTATCGTCAAGTGTCGTCGGATGGTACACGGCTTTCCCCCCGCACTCGCCAACTGCCGAGCCGATCCGCCCCGCCCAAAATGCGGAGAACAAGCAGCGGTCCGCCATGCGCCCTGTCGGCTGCGCTCATCCGACGTTCTGCTTCCGATGCTCTTGCCTGCTCCAACCGGATAGCTATGTGGCAATATGAGGACCGCGTCGACTGAATAGCCTAGTTGCGATCAAAATGCGGGGCAGCTAGAAGGGATCCATATAAATCGCCTCAGGTCCTTGCTGGCTGACGTCTATCCTCGTGCTGTTTATACCCCCTCTCCCCTCTCCACCCGCCAACTTATTCCAGTGTAGACCTCTCATTTCCCCCGGTCGTCACACCCCGACATCTACCCAAGCAACTCACGCGAAGCAGTCCATTATGCTGGGGAAAATCGCCCTCGAAGAAGCCTTCGCGCTGCCCCGCTTCCAGGAGAAGACTCGCTGGTGGGCCGGCATGTTCGCCACAGATGTCGACAAGCACGTTGCCGAGATCAACGACGTCGACTCGATCCGCCTGAACTTCGCCGAGAAGCACGGTGTCGGCCTGCAGATCCTCTCGTACACGGCGCCCGGTGTGCAGGATATCTGGGACCCCAAGGATGCACAGGCGCTCGCCGTCGAAATTAATGACTATATCGCGGAGCGGGTGAAGGCGCACCCGGATCGTTTTGCGGCGTTTGCGTAAGTGGGCTGAATCCGAATCCAATCCATCCCCTCCGGCCTGACGTCCCATACATTATGAGGCTCAGACTCGGTACCGTAGCTACGCGTTCCATGCTGATGCCTGTATAGTACGCTATCCATGCACGACCCCAATGAAGCCGCCGCAGAACTCCGGCGCTGCGTCACACAGCATGGCTTCTTAGGCGCGCTCGTCAATGACACACAGCGCGCCGGCCCCGACGGCGATGACATGATCTTCTACGACAACGCCAAGTGGGACGTCTTCTGGGCGACGTGCACCGAGCTCGACGTCCCGCTGTACCTGCACCCACGCAACCCCACCGGCACCATCTACGAGAAGCTCTGGGCCGACCGCAAGTGGCTGGTCGGCCCGCCGCTGTCATTCGCGCACGGTGTATCCCTCCACACGCTGGGCATGGTGACGAACGGCGTGTTCGACCGCCACCCCAAGCTGCAGGTCATCCTGGGCCATCTGGGCGAGCATATCCCCTTCGACATGTGGCGGATTAACCACTGGTTTGAGGATAGGAAGAAGCTGCTTGGTTTGCAGGAGACGTGCAAAAAGACGATTCGGCAATACTTTGCGGAGAACATTTGGATTACGACGTCGGGGCATTTTTCGACGACAACGCTGAACTTTTGTATGGCGGAGGTGGGATCGGATCGGATCTTGTTTAGTATTGATTATCCATTTGAGACCTTCGAGGATGCGTGTGACTGGTTTGATCGGGCGGAGATGTCGGATACGGACCGCTTAAAGATTGGGAGGGAGAACGCGAAGAAGCTGTTCAAGTTGGGGGCGTATAAGGATAGTACTGCGTGAGCTTGGGCGTGGGTTCAAGACTGGAACTGGAATTGGGTGATTTTTTGTATCATTGATGAGAATAAGATAAAAAATTCCTACTCGCTCTCCATTCATACTCGCGTGTCCATGGTCGTTAGTCGTTATACATTCGTAAGAACTGTCAATGCTTCCCCGTTCTCGGTCCCTTCATGATCCCTCCCCAGCTTTTCGTTGCGGCTTCTCCTCTGCAAGACAATCCTCCATCTCCGGCGAATTGGGCATGTCTGTCATTGTTGGCGTAAAGTAGATGTCCCTGATATCGGCCAGCGTCCCCCGGTAGATGGCATAGTTCTCAATGGACCGCGACATGATCTCCCAGATGGAATGGAGATGACGGGCCAAGTCCAAGCGTGGTACGTCAATCTTCTCCTCCTGCAGTATCAGGCGATTGCTCATGTGCAAGAATCGGTTGTGGATCCACTCGTCGTACAGGTCGAGGTACAACGAGAGCAGGCGCTGCTCTAGGAAACGTGGTTTGCGGAGATGGCTGTGTGAGACTCGTTAGTGATTAGTGTCCATGCTAGGTTTCGTTCGCTCGGAAAGGCGGGCAGGGCGAACAAGTGCGAGATTGGTGACGGGGGAGGATCTCACGCACGCGGCTGCCACACACGCCATCCGTCGGTATCGCACAACTACAGACACCTCTTCGTCCATGAGCAGACCCAGCACCTCGAAGATGTGTTCGGCCGTGTCAACCAGATCCTGTAGCATATTATCCACCCAGTGGAGGTAGCTCAGCATCACAGTGGCTATCTCCGTAGCCTCCGCGGTGTCCTGCGGTCCCAGGAACTTCTCGCTGCGTCGAAACAGGACATGGTCTAGACGGATAATCATGTTAGTGAGGGCGATGAACCGCTTGCGCGTGGACAAGCGTAGCTGCGGATTCGACAGAAGCTCCTTCAGCCGGTCCAGGGCGACGCGCTTGGTTTCGGGTTGACCTGGCGGCGCAACGATAGCTGGCTCGACCTCTCTGATGCGGATCCCTGCTTGCATGGCGGCGGTGACGGCTTGGTTGTACGCGTGCTCGCACTCGCTAAGGGCCTCGGAGAGGTTCTCGTCGAAGTCTGGGAAGGGCTCGTGGTCGTTGGTGCTTTCGATGAGGATGATGCTGGGGTTCGTAGACACGCTCTGGTCCAGAGGCGTCTTGTCAGGAGGCTTCTTCTTTGAGATTCTGATCGTGGTGGTCTGCGAGCTGTCAGAGTCTGAATCGATTGTGAGTTGTGCGCGCACGGCGTCCAGCAGTGACAGGGGCTGCTCGACCTCCGCCATGACCGGGAACTAGTTTATTGGAAGCAGGAGGGGAGACGAAGAGAGGAAAAGGCACGGCGGGTGGATTGGGAAGGAGCGTGGAAGTCAAAAAAAGAGATGTTTGGATTTGTTAGGAGTGATGAGAAAAAAGTTGATTGGATATCTGCCTGAATAAACGATGGAACATCGACGTGCATTGGGGTCTAAGGGAAAGGCGATGCGCCAGGTTGATGCTATGGATACGGACGTGATATGTACCATTCCTCGATCGCCAAAAAACGCATAGAGAATAAAAAAGACGCTTCCGTTGGTTATTCGAGTCGTGGTCCTGCCTTCCCCTCAATGCCCATCTGATTGGCGAAGCAAGACGATAACATGGAACAAAACGCTCCAGAGGCCACCAAACTTGCTTCTCAGATGGAACAGCTGAGAGTTAATGAAGGGCAAGAATCGTTCTTCGCACATTGACTAATCAGCGTGTCATGGAAAGGAGCACGGCAACTTAAAGTAGTGCGAACGGTGGGATTATGGAGGAGAACTCAATCCGTCTTGGAATGGTCACCTGATTGGGGTGTGGGCACGACATCATCATCCTCGTCATCTGGCAAGGGAACATCCATAACTCTTTCTCCAGCCTTTTCTAGAGTTCGTTTGCTCCAGGACCGGACGCCTTTGTAGACAGCCTGGCTGGGGGGTTAGCCAAGCTGTAAATATACAATGGGAGAATATTTCCCTTCCATTACAACATACCCAAAGGAAAGTGCCGATGCCTATCACAATCATCAGCCAACGCACTCGATCCCGGCCGGAGGAACGGCCTCCTCCTGTCGCGACACGGAGATTCCACGGCGACATCATGAACATGACCCGAAAGAAGGATAAAAGGCCGAGGGACGCAAGGCCCTTGATGAAATGAGCCAGCCACGATGCCTGTTGTACGTCAAGGTCCTCGACTTCCAAGGGAAGATCATCCAGGTCGACGAGGAAGAATTCAATAATGGGGTCAGCAACAAATCCAAGAAGGAACATAGTCAAGAGCAGAATGCCGATGGTAAGAAGAATTTGGGTGCCCGAGCTACTGATCCATCGTGCCCAGGTTAGACGTTCCAGCCGGTACTGAAAACCGCAGGTTGGGCACTGCCAGTAGTTCCGACTGCCGTATCTGGGGTCCGCGTGCCGCCATGTTTGCAAGCATCCTTCGTGTACATATCGCGAGGATCCTTTGCATTTGCAGGGACGCAGTAGTCGGCCCAACTCTGGGTCGGTGGACTCATACACCACACGAGGCTTCTGGAAGAATTCCGAGGGCTGAACTGTAGGCAGTACAGTGTCTAAACAGATGCGGCAGACTCGAGGGGGGTAATAGCTCTGCTCTGGCTCCGGGGGAGGGGTATCCTCTGCCCCATGGCCCGGCGAGTCCGACTCATTGCTCGGAGACTGCATGAATGATAGTTCCAGATGGGATCATGTTATCGATTCTGCTAGTCCTTCGATCCCGCGCGGAGGGGGAAAGAATTGTGTGGAAAGACCGGAGAGAAAAGCTCGGAGCAAAGTGGGAAGAAGACACCTCCATTTATGTAGCCGCTAACCCCAATCAGACTCACCGCCTTGTCCGCACCGCAGCTGCGACTGTCTTTGGAGCTCCCGCGTCAAACGTCACCTGTCTGCCTACAGCTCCATCTCCCTCTCCCTCTCCCTTCCCATTCCCTCCCTGCCATCCTTCATTTCCCTGTGATATTGTGTTGTGGGTTGAGATTTAGCATCATATCATGGCGGACCGCTACTCCTTCTCCCTGACTACGTTCTCGCCCAGGTATGAAGCTTGTTGTTTCCCAAGAGCCCCAGGACCTACTTCAAGAAAGCTAACTCCCATCGCCCTACAGCGGAAAGCTGGTGCAGATTGGTAAGCACCGAAGACATTGAGCTCGCCGTGTGAGTTGCAGCGGGAGCATATTTGCTGATGAAAATCATCCAGAGTATGCTTTAAATGCGGTCAATCAGGGTGTCACAGCCCTCGGCATCAAAGGTCAGAACACACCTCTTCCATCTCATCATCATCATCGGTCGCGTGCCTAAAGCTGACCGTCTATCTTCAGCCACCAACGGAATTGTCCTCGCCACCGAAAAGAAATCCTCTTCGCCGCTCATCGACCCTCCCTCGCTCTCTAAGATTTCGCTGATCACCCCGGACATCGGCATGGTCTACGCCGGCATGGGCCCTGACTACCGTGTGCTGGTGGATAAGGCCCGCAAAGTCTCGCACACGGGCTACAAGCGCGTCTACAACGAATACCCGCCGACCCGGATACTGGTGCAGGACGTCGCCCGGGTGGTGCAGGAGGCCACGCAGTCCGGTGGAGTGCGGCCGTACGGTGTCAGCTTGCTGATCGCCGGCTGGGATGAGGGCGTCGAGCCCGAGGTCGCGGATGCTGAGAAGGACTCGGAATCGCCGGAGAAGATCCCCGGCAAGACTGGCGGTATCCTAAAGGGCGGTCCCAGTCTCTACCAGGTTGACCCCAGTGGCAGCTACTACCCGTGGAAGGCGACGGCCATTGGCAAGCACGCGACAAGCGCCAAGACGTTCCTGGAGAAACGGTACACCGAGGGCTTGGAGCTGGAGGATGCCATTCACATTGCGCTGTTGACGCTCAAGGAGACCATTGAGGGCGAGATGAATGGGGACACAATAGAGATTGGTGAGGAATTTTCCCCCTGCAGTGTGTTATTTGGTTGTGACTGGCTACTAACTTGCATCATCGATAGGCATTGTCGGCCCACCAGCCGATCACCTGCTGGGCTACGAGGGCGTGGAGGGTGCGCAAGGCCCGCGGTTCAGGAAGTTGACCAAGGAACAGATCGAGGACTACCTGACCAACCTATGAGACGCCAAGAGACCCCCGAGTATGAATTAGACTCGAATGACAACCCTTTTCCCCTTGTGTTTACCAAATTTCTATTCATGGATCTACGCCCAATGGATCTACGCCCAAAGTGGAGTACACCGTAGGACATTGACAGACAGCAAATAGATTGTGAGGAGAACCACAAGAGGCGGGTAGTTGCGTAGCCTTGCACTTCGGCTACTACGAGGTCTCAGGATCCTGTACTGCCCCTCTTACGGCCCCTGTTCTGACTGTCGACTGTCACGACCACTGGCGACGACCTGACACGGTGGACAAACCGTATGTCGGGGACAATAGGAGGAAACTGACCACGCGATGGTCTGTGACCCCCCGGTCATACTTTGGGCCCCTCCCTTCGTAACAGACCAAACTGTATTGATCCGAAACATTATACACAGCCAATCGGCCAGCATCACATTCCAGGAAAGGAATTCCGACCCCGCGGCAGACAGTGGACCTTCTCCTGACACTTGAGTCAGGTCCATCGCCTAGGTTCCCCGGGCTAGCCCAGAAGCACGTGCTAGTAGCCTGAGGTGGTATAGGGCGAACTGCTGGCCCGGCTTCAGCCAAACTCCCCCTAACAATCGCACTATTGCCGGGGCTGGCCGGCGATCTACCCCGGGTTTCTGGTCCCCGGACCTTGCTAGCAGGGGCCTCCTGGGGGCCAGGGCGGTCTGCCCACTCGCTCTTTTCGCCTGTTCCTGTTCCTGTTCCTCCGGTTCCTGCGCACAGACGACGACTGTGGGTAGCTTTTGCATGGGGGTCGCATCTGTTCTCGACTGGCCTTTTTGGGCTTGACTCTGCCGGCCTTGTTGCGGGTTTGTTATTTTCCGTTTTCTCTCTCTTCTCTCTCTCTCTCTCTCTGTGTGTTTTTGACTGGATCTTGCCCTTTCCTGCATCGTCCGCGATACTTTGTGCGACACACGGACGGCTGGTTTTGCGATTCTGCTTGCAATCTGTCTTCCTCTCCCCCTTTGGCGCGGCCCTCCCTTCTTCTCCATGCGCTGCGCTTGTCTGCTGTTCTTGACAGATATGTGGGCGTACCAGACTGGGTGAACTTGGCTCCCTGAGTCCTGTTTCGCCTTTCCCCACAGACGCATTCGTTTTCATTTGGCTTGCTCTACTGATCATTTTCTCGGTGCTGCTCCCATTGGACAAGCCTATGACCATGTCCGAACCCTCTCGGGACCTGCTTGATGGCATCTCCGGTGCCCTGGCATCGGAGGGCGACGTGCTGCAGATGACCCTCGTGACATTCATCGGGCTGTCCTGCTATAACGTCGCCGAGCTAGTCGTCCTGGTCCTGTCCACATTCCGCCGCTGGCGCGGGCTGTACTTCTGGTCGCTGTTGGCGTCAGGCTGTCTGGGTGTCGTGCCCTACTCGATCGGATTCTTGATGAAGTTCTTCACCGGCGCAGACTCGATCTTGTCCGTCACCGTGCTGACGATCGGGTGGTGGACCATGGTGACCGGCCAATCGGTCGTGCTGTACTCGCGCCTCCATCTCGTGCTGCGGGACGAGAAGATCCTGCGGCGCGTGCTGCGTCTGATCGTCGCGAATTTCTTCCTGCTGCATGTCCCGACGACCGTTTTGACGTACGGCGCCAATATCGTCCATACCGGGGACATTGCCTGGATCCAGGGCTACAACATCATGGAGAAGATCCAGCTCACCGGGTTCACGCTCCAAGAGTCGCTGCTGGGCACGTTGTACGTCGTTGAGGCTGTCAAGCTCCTCCGTCTCGGCGCAGACGTTACTGCACGACCAGACGCCCGCTCCATCATGTACCAGCTCATCGGGATAAACTGTACCATCATCGCAATGGACCTGCTCCTCCTGGGCCTCGAATACGCCAACTTTTACGCCATCCAGATCACTCTCAAGGGCTTTATATACTCGCTCAAACTCAAGCTCGAGTTCGCCGTGCTCGGCCGTCTGGTCGATCTCATCCAAGGCTCCCGCCATCCCATCTCCATTGAAATCGCCGATACCCTGCCTCTTTGTTCCTTCCAGCGCATCCCGACAACACCCGATCGAACGGACCAACAACCCTGCGAGCCGGAGCCGAAGGGGATTGTATCCCTGCCGGGCGACGCGTCGGTCGTGGAGGGGACGTTGTTTGTGAAGTCTGGGCCGGGGAATTACATGACTTCTGATGTTCATTAAATTTAATATCGTCTTTGATTCTATGTGTTCTCGTAAATTCCTGGTTTTTGCTATAGTTCAACTGGGATCCAGCACAGCCTCACCCATCCACGCGTACTCTTCTTCCGAGTCTTCGTCCTGGCTATCGGCAATTTCATTCTCTGCCTTGCGCTTGCGACTAGGAGTTGGCTCCAGTGACTCGGGAGATTTCGGCTCCTCCACGTCGCAGAGTCCGTCCTGGGAAGGGCGAAGGGTAAGATTAATGAGATCACTTGGACGCCCGGGCATGTAGGAATGCTCTCTTACAGATTCAATGCGAAACGGGACAATCAACTCTGTCAACCGCACAGGTACCGTCTTTCCCGCTCTCTTGGTGATCTCTGCAAATCGCATGTCAGGTAGATCGCGATACAGCACAATCCGTGTCTGCACACTCGTTTCCCACGCACCCCCGGCCAAGACAGGGTGCAGTGTCGCGCGCGGTTGGCCCTTGATCTTGGTGTGCGTCTGATTGAGGGCTAGAACAGCGATGTTCCGCGCGGCGAGACGCGCAAGGTGCGTTGCGAGATCGCTGGTGACGTTCCATTTGCGGTTTAATAGCCACTGCAGCTGCAGCTTGTCAGTGATTTTGCCTTGCGTGAACCGGTCCTTTAGTTCTGCTGCGCTGGGAAAGTAAGATGGAAATAGGGATGAGACAGAGTCGATGACGATCACGGACGTCTCCTCGGGTGGGAAGTCCTTGGGTGAGCGGAGGAGGAGAGCGAGTAAGTGCGGCAGAGTCGGGGCCCGGAAGTAGAGCATGCTGTCCAATTCCGGGATCAGGGACTGTGATCGAGAGGCGAGGGGGGATCCGGTATCTGATCTTGTGAGATTCTGCGATGGGACTGGATACCATGCTGGCATCGAAATGGGGAGGCATACCGATCCAGACCACTTTCCCGCCATCGCGGAGGGCATGGGATGCAACGCTTAGTCTAGCCAGGGGTCAATTCACGACGGCGCATCTGCACTGCAAAAAACTTACGCTAGAGAGGTCTTGCCTACTCCGGGCGGCCCAAAAATCTCTGTAATCTGTCCACGAAGGATCCCACCAGGTCGCCGCTGATCTGCAGGCGAGTCATTTAGAGCCTCGTCTAGACGCGCCAGTCCAGTGCGGATCGGCTCCCCAGCAGCAGCTGACGCGTTTAACGACTGCGAGGCTGAGATGGAGACCACAGGAACTAGAGATGATTCTTAGTTGGGACCGTTGCTGGGTACGTATCTATCTGGAGGAAGAAAACTGACGCGTGTCTTGGCTGTCGAGGCCGAACAGGTCGTTGTTGATGCTCATGGCGGGCACATCAATCGAGAGCAGGGCAACAGAACATATTAAATCTGGACTGCAGGGCCTTTAGGACATCACATATCCAGTCGCAGCGCCTCTTCGCCGATACCACTAATGCAGTTCGTGGTAGTTGGCGCGGAGAGATGGTGTGGACCGTGGTGGGTCCGCGACGACGCATCGGCGGAAAAACCGCAAAGAGGCTCGGCCTGAAGTTTCCTGCACGATGATATATACTCCCCTCCGATCAAGGACAGCAGCATCCTCATGTCCTGGGCCATTGGTTCCTTAGAGATCTCGGCCTCCGGGGCCCTCATTATCTCCGGGCTTCTCTGGATTGTCCTGATCGGCGTTTTTCCCTTGCTCGTACTGATCAACGCCTCCCCGAGCCCCGGGCCGAAGGGCTGTCGGCGGCTGGGCCTTCCTCAAGGGCAGAGCAACCTGACCGATGAATATGACCAGAAATACAGCGAGGGCGTCCCAAGTGACACCAAAGACGAGAACGGTCAGCCGGCCTGGCGCGTCAAAGCGCTCTTTACCTACCCGCTGAAATCGTGTGGTGGCATCGAGCTGCAGAAGTCCGACGTCGTGCCGACGGGCCTCAAATTCGACCGCCAGTTTGCCTTCGCCGAGGAAACTGCCAACGGATGGAACTGTCGCACCCTGCGCAACGCTGGGTTCCAGCGCATGGCCCTAATCCACCCGGAGATCTGGGTTCCTGACCCTTCCTCGCCGGACTATGACGAACGCCGGCCGGAAATGCAGTCGGGCGGCGTGATGGTCATTTCGTACCCTCGACTCGCGCCATTAGGTCTCTGGGGAACGATGATCAAGATCGGAATGACATTCCGCATCCTCGCGACCCGACGCAAATTCAGTGTCCCTCTCGTCCCGTCGCAGGACAGCAAGTACCCGGTGGTGCCGGTTAGCATCTGGAAAGACACGCCGCGCGCGTACGACTACGGCAGTCTCCTCCCGGCTTCGCTGCATGAATATCTCGGCTTCAAGCCCTCAGAGTCCCCCCTGACTCTGTTCCGCGCACATCCGTCTCACAGCCGTGAGATCTTCCGCAACGCCCCGCGCAAAGAGCAGATTGGCTTCCAACCCAGCACTGCCTTCGCAGATGCCTACCCAATCCACCTCCTCAATCTGGCCAGTCACCGGGATGTCGCTGCGCGCTGCGCGGCCGCAATCCCGCGTCTGAGTATCAGGAGATTTCGCGCAAATATAATTGTCCAGGGGCCGGAAGCTTTTGCCGAGGACCATTGGAAGAGGTTCACGATTGGCGGTACGGAAATCCATGCTGCGTGCCGGACTGTCAGATGCAGGCTGCCGAATGTGGATCCTGATACTGGCGATCGCCACAAGGCAGAGCCGGATCGGACGCTGAAGTCGTATCGCCGGATCGATGATGGGGATCGCACGAACGCGTGCCTGGGGATGCAGCTTGTGCCTTCTGTGGAGGAGTTTTCCGTGTCGGTTGGTGATGAGGTGCGGGTCTTGGAGACGGGTGAGCATCTTTATATGAAGATGCTGGCGCCTGGGGAGAAGGTTGAGGGTGTATAATATGAAATAGCTGGGATCCATATGATAGAATGTAAGATAGATAAAACAGAGCCGCTTTCGCTCATGTCAATAACGAATGAATCAATCGCCAGAGAAATCCAAATAAAGTCAAAAAGAAACATGCTAACGACAGGACTTGAACCGACACACCCACCCTCATAACATTTCTCTCACTGTCTCAGCTGAGTGACCTCGCCAACTGTGGATAACGTCAAATCTGGGCCTCGCCATGTCAACGTTCCCAACACAATACATGCATCAACCATACAACCATAGCCAGGAAAGCAAAAAACCTAGAATGAGCGTCTGGCAACTCAAACCCTAGTACCATTCATCAGGCCCCACGGCGAGGAGTCAATCCAACAAGGTACATCAAGCAGGCTTCTCCGAAGATAGGCCCCAAGACGCCAGGGGCCAGTGTAGCGATCCATGGGATGTCTTATTCAACTGGGCCACAGGAGGAAGGCTGGTTAATGATGCCTTCGATGCCTAGATGATAAAGGAGACATAGAACGTCTTTGAGAAGGTCATATCTCCTTACTCACTGATATCTACCTGTTCCCACTGCATATGCGTCATTGCTGCCCGTATGTGAAGCTACCACAGCGAGCCTATCCTCTGCCATATCCTGATATGTAGTTTGAGCGAAAGAGAGTCAGTCGATGGTATTGAAGCCACCTCTCCCAACTTTGATATTCTCGATTAGTCTCCTCCCCTTTACCTCCATATCCACCACCTGCAGGCCGGACTTCACCCAAGTAGGTCTAAATACAAATTGACCCCCTACAACCTGTCGAGATCAACTTTGGCCTTGTTCTGAAACTACCAGGATGAGCAGTGAAAAGGAACCCATATTCATTGTCAGTGAGATTTTATTTCATGATCAGATATAAATATAAATTATAGATAAGACAACGCTAGAAAAAAGCTAAGGTAACAATCACATGGTCAACGTAGAAAAGGAAAAGCAAATCATCTACTCGGAGGCTGCTGCTCCATTTTCCCAGAGGCGGCCTGCACAGGAGTCGCCGTCTGGGTTTGCCCGTCCTCAGACTCAGTCGCATGGAACACAGCCGGGACATCATCCGGCTCCTCGGGGATGACCAGATTAAGGAACACGCCCAGGATAGCACAGACGGCGAATCCGTTCTCCATGACTAGATCCACTGCATTCAGCAGGCCCGAGAGCGCATGGTTGTCTCCGCTGTAGGAGAAGACATATGCCCACCAATCCGGGACAAGCGTGATGCCCATGCCCAAGGAGAAGCTGGCGGTGAGAATGAAGCGGTTGCGGCGGGTAAAGTCGATGGTCGAGATAATACGGATACCGGAGACGGCCACGCTGCTGAACAAGAACGTGGTCATGCCGCCCAGCACAGCGCTGGGGATGGCCACCAGCGCCGCGGCGAATTTGGAGAAGATGCCCATGATCACCAGGAAGAAGCAGCAGAAAAAGCCCGCGGTGCGGTTGGCGCACTTGGTCAGCGCGATGACGCCGTTGTTCTGCGCAAACACCGACATCGGGCTGATGGTCATCAGCCCCGCCAGTAAACAGGTGATGCCGTTGCCCAGCACGCCGCCCTGAATGCGCGAGTCGAACGTCGCTCCCTCCACCGCAAGCCGGGACACGTCGCAGGTCGCGGTGATGTCACCGATAGACTCCATCATAATGACAATGTACAGCGCCAGCAGCGGCAGAATCAGGGGTGGATAGACCTTCAGCGGGAATGTGTGCACCCACGCGAAGGACGCCACCGGCGCCGCAGTGATGCCCGAATCTTCGAAGTAATTGCATGCCGCCGCCACAATCGAGCCGACCAGCAAGCCCACCACAACGGCGCAGCTCTTCAGAATGGGCGGACCAAAACGCTCGCACAGGATAATCGTGACAAAGACCAAGAAGCCCAGTCCGATGAACTCGGGGCTGCCCCATGGCAATGCGTGCGGTGCGCTCGCGCTGGGACACAGAGGTCGTGTCGCGGTCGATGAGGCGGGCACACACCCCGAGCCGCCGGCCCAATCCTGCATGCCGGATTTGATGAGCGAGGCGCCGATGAGGAGCACCGTGGGTCCGGTGACGAGGGGAGGGAAGACGCGAGAGAGAATGCGGCTGCTCATGAAGGAGAGGCCGATTTCGAGTAGCGCGCAGAGGCAGGATGTTCCCAGGAGGGCGCCGTAGCCGGCAGGGCAGGGGAGTCGATTGCCATCTGCGTCAAGGGGGCAGTAGCCGGACTTGTACATCTGGGAGAAGGCGCCCGTGGCCACGGTGATGGTGGAGAAAGATGTTCCTGGGAAGTGGGTTGTGATGTTAGTGCTAGATCGATCTCGAGGGCGTGTGGATGGATCTGTTGATAGTTAGGGAGGAACGTACCGACCACGGACAGGAGCCCGGTTCCGACGTAGTACTTTGTGCCGTATATGTGGAATCGCGCCATCTGCATTGCACTCAGAAGGCCCGATACAATCAAGGAAGTCGACACGAGATATTGGTAGAGCTCGTCTCCGAAGTTCACGCCGGAGGAGCCGCCCAGAATGATGGGGGGCGAAATAACTGCAGTGTATCGTTCAGCTGCTGTCCACCGATTGTATACCTCTCTCGACTTGGTACGGAAAACTCACCACCAGCCAGCATGGCAAGAGCATGCTGCAGTCCCAGAATCAGTGCCAGCATAATCGGCATGCGATCTTCCAACCCGAAGAACGGCGTCGACTTGCGAGCCCGCTTGGTGAAGGGCAGTCGCGGCGTAAAAAGGTAGCCGTAATCATAGTCTCCGATGAGGCCGTCCCTATACAAGCACGCGTTAATAGGCAAACCCTATACTAAACATGCGTTGCCGAACCATGGTAGACCAGACATACCTCGTTGTAAAAGCCTTCACCACGCGACGAACCTTGTCGCCGACCGTCTTTCGCGGGCTGTGGTCAGGCCCAATCTGCTCGGGGCCGTCCATGGTACAGGTACAATGTGGAAGCTAGGCGATGAACACTGGAAGTCGGATCATATTACACGAGCTATGGGGAAATGGAGCATGTATTAATATGATCGCGTCGCTACTGTGGGATTTCTCCAGCGTTATTCAGCCAAGCTACTAAGAAAATATCCGGCGGCAAGTCGCGAACGCTAAACCGCGTCCATGTCCATGTGGAGCAGGGCCAGCCGGGAAGCGTGATAAGATGCGGCGCTGATCGCCCGAGTCCGGTTGGCATTAGCAAGAGCATTGCATAACATCTGACTCGCTCATAATATTCTTGCCACTGTACCGAGCACTAGTCCAATGCAGCAAAGGCAGGGCTGGAAAGCATGGTTCTTATCTTCTTTGGGTGGTGTGGCGTCCAATCATATGGCGTGGAGGTCTCCGCCCCCAGCTCTCCCGAGTGGGGGAGATAAGCAAGCGAAATCGTTTAGCCGCCATGGCCTTCTGGCGATGAAACATTCTATTACAATTCTACGGATACATTGTAGGCCAGTGGGGTCATTGTACATGTCGATCCTCCTACTACGGAGTCTGTAGCGCGTACTTATGTACCCTGTCGCCAATCTGATAGGGCCGGCACCTCCCTATCGAAAAGCGGCCATCCCGAGAATCGGTCCACGGTCGGCTATCATTTGCACACATACCCGGGGTTTATCTTGACAGGGATTATCGATCTCGCGGAGCTGCCCGTGAAGAAGTGGAAGGCGCCGACTGTCTTATCAGGGCGGTCGGTGGTCGGACTCGGCGGCTGAGGGGTGAGGCTATAAGAAGCAGCCATAGCCGGTACACCAGGAGATCGGGCTTGCTTGGGACGGGCCCTCTAGATTCCGGGGGCGTCGGGGCGCGGGGGAGGTGACGGGTAGATGTCTTGGTTAGAGGGAAATGTCGGAGTCCAGACTTGAGATCAGAGTTCATAGAACTACAGAACTGGGGTAATCCACTGGCATTTTGGGGGGAGGGTCGGCCCGGTACCTGTTCCCAGAGTTGACCTCGGCTTCAGGTCGAGGCCATGCACAAAAATGATGCTTGCAGTTCGCAAGTCATACAGTATGGAGGTAGCCCATCATTGGCATCTAGGGGGTCTGTTCCTGGTTGACAGGGTCAGCCTTGGCCGGAGTTTGAGGCGCTGAACACACGAGCACGGATGAACATGGGCCAGAGGCGTCGACGTGGGCGATCTGTTGAGCATAGATGCGGCTATTACTCATACTATCGACTTTCTTATTTGTTATGAAGTAGCAGTGAAGCAAAACTAACTCCATTCTTTCTTGAAATTTCTTGTCCCTGTCCTACCTTTTTATCATTTCAGGGCCACAGCGTGCGCAGCGCGCATCACCAGTGCCCTGAAACGGAGGAACGGAGTGGAAGGGGTTACTAACCCCACGGATGCGCGACGCCGACGTTGACAGCCAAAAAAACAGCGAGAAACACCCACCCTCCTCTCCGCCAAGCCTCTCTCTCATTGGTGCTTGGTTGGATCCCAGGTCACGTGCCCGGAACGAGGAACGAGTGGAGGGGTTTATTTACTACACTGTGCGAACTGCCCGCAAAACTAGGCCTACTAGTCTCTTCGCGGATCCTTACGTGTCGCGGGGATGATTGGTCCTTTTTTCTTGCCAATATGTGATCTTATTTGTTGGCTCTTTTGCCTCGATAACGATTTTTTTGTCTCGCAACCCTTTACTCACAAGACCAACTGATTGGTGTTTCCAGGGTCCACTTTATTATGTGTCTGGATTGCATCAATTCAATTTGCCTCTGCTATTCAACCGAAGAATTCCAACACCTGATACCTGCTTCCACTCCTTAGCTGAAGCATCCATCCCACGTCAAACCTTCCCAAGCCAGTCGGTCCACCCAGGCCTCCAAGTCAAGTCATCATCATAAGCACACAAATAAAACAACAGTATCAAAGAGACAGCCTGTATCCCCTGCTGTGTATACCAGATATTTAACATAAAACTATGCCCGCTAAATCCCTCCACGAAATCTCCAACGCCCCAAAGACAAACAGAAACAGTTATCCAGGGTAAAACGAAAAACCATATTGAACAAAGACTCTCAAGTTCCTCCGGCATTAAATGGCCTTGTACTTTGAGCCCGCTCCACCCAATCCCAAAGACAACTAATGAGATCGTCATTCCAAGGGCAAAATGACACAGTCCGCCGTAGTACGTAATAATTCCTCGGGAAGAACAAGACCCACCCACATGGACTGTGAACAGCCACTCTCGCCGCAACTCTAGACACATGTTCATTACTAGAGCTGGTTCCTGCTTATCGTTAGAGAGAAATGTAAAGTGGAAAGCTGACTACTTACAGGATCGGTAAAGCCAACTACAGCTTCTATGGCCTCATTTGTGAGCCAGTAGAGGAAATAAATACTTGCTAGCACGTAGCCAATGACCACTTCACGGGGATTTCCACGGACTGTGATGAGTTTCGCGAACTGGATGACAGTGAGCAGTCCCATGATGGTGGCTAGGATGCGTCTTTTGCGCGTCTGTCGTCCTATATCTCTAATATCCTGGAATATATAGTTGACCATGACCGCCTTCGGAAGCCCCCCCGCTGCTGCTGGGGAGTAATAGTAATCAATGACTCTATAGGAGCGGTATCGTGCAGCGCGCATGGCAAGAAGAACGGATGACAAATTCGCTCGAAATCGTAGGAGGAGATAGACAACTTTGAAATAGGCCGTCAAAAGGTCTAACAGGCAGTAAATGGGGGAGAATCGCCAGGTGTTTATTGCCCCATCGAGAATGAGAGACCCACCGGGCTGGAAAACACAGCTTAGTTGTAAGAGAAAGATCCCACTAAAGGCGCTGCCTGCTGACCAGCTGCTGCGGTTCGGGTTGTTAGGATTTTCAAGACTGTGGGTATTCTGTGGCGTAGATTTGATGGTTATTTGATTTAGGAGGATTGCGAGGCACTGTCGGAGGGTTTCTCCAGAAGTGGTGACGCAAGCTATACACAGGAAGACAGGAAGTATGCGGTAGCTTGGTAAGTAAGCTGATATTGTCGGGAAAGTGTCGTATATGCGGTTCTGCCGTGCGGATGCCATAGTCGTGTGGTCTCTATAGGCCATCGAAATTAGTGCTTTATTAATGAGACGAGTACCACAATTTCTTGCTACCTGATGCGGGGAATCTCAGGCTGCCAGATTATAACGTAATCGGACACGAGCCGCTCGAAAAAAGAACCAATTTCAGCCAACGCCATTAATATCGCCTTTAAATAATCGTTATCTAACTAGGATATCTAAAATGGCACCTAGTAATGATAAGACCCATCAATGTGCAACAGGCGCGGTGCGGCACACTTTCGTGATAACGCACACCCTTCCGTAGCCACTGCTTCCTATGCTTTTGTAGCGTCTTGAGCATGAGGCTACGTAGGTTTTTTAGACTCCTTTTCCTACTTCTGATAGGTATTTGCTTCACAATGCTGCTTAAATTTATGTTCCTGTGCCCTGAAAGGATGAATGGGTGGAACGGAATATGCCGGTGGCCCGAGCCGTCCACAAAAAGATGCTAAAAACAAACCCACTGGCCTTTTCTCCAGAACGTTGCTCTTTTACCGATTTTCTTCAATTCACTTTGACCCTGCTCGTGTATCTTCGTACTGGTGCTCACCTAATTAACTCCACCTCGCGCCAGCATTCAACTACCCGACTTGGCATTGCATATAATTAATTAGCTTATCCTAGGGAACACCTGTACCTTTGTGATCCCCAACCAATAGTTCAACTTTGTTATCCCTCTACTCTGCAACACTTTTCACAATGTTTTGTTTCAGGGCCACCGCGTGCGGAGCGCGCGTCACCACCAGTACCCTGACCTCTCCCCCTAGTTGGATCCCAGATCACGGGATATAGGCACACACTAGCGGCTCGAGAACGAGTGTGACCCCGTCTTTAATGCAAACTGGGCAAACAGAAGGGAGAGATGCTTGGCAAATCTGACATGGCAATAACCCGCCTGGCCAAGGTGTCTTGTCTCCTTTAGCGATACAGAAAACCGTCGTCATTGAGTATACTGATACTGTGTGATGCACACATAAAGTGGTAGCGACTGGGATGTGTCTCGCCTGACTTGACTAGTTAGCCAACTTTCGGTCGTTCAGTGTGTCTCAGTCTTTTAGCCCTGACTAACAGAACTGCTGTCAGATCCTGACCTATTTCCAATGTTAGGTTCTAATGGACCGACGTCGTCTCCACCCCGAAGACTATACTGTAGGATGGGTCTGCGCATTGCCGCTTGAGCTCGCGGCGGCTCGCGCGATGCTCGACGAAGAGCATCGGGACCCACCTCGACAACCCCACGAAACAAACGTCTATTGCCTCGGACGCATCAGTGAACACAACGTCGTCATCATGTGCTTGCCAGCCGGCCAGTACGGTACAAACTCCGCCGCAGCGTCCACGGCGCGGATGACGGAGAAGTTCCGGTCGATAAGATTTTGCCTTATGGTTGGCATCGGGGGTGGAGTTCCAAGCGAAGAAACGGATGTCAGACTTGGTGATGTTGTGATCAGTCAACCTCAAGCACAATATGGAGGTGTGGTTCAGTATGACCTTGGCAAGATTGAAGCAGATGGACGCACCGTTCGGACTGGCTACCTTAACCCGCCGCCGACCGTCCTATTAAACGCGCTTTCCAAGTTTCGATCAGCTGGACAAGATCAAGCATGCAATATTTTGGCTCATATATCCTCACCTGCGACCCCACATCGATTCCCCACCGTCAAAAAACCCGAGTCTGATACTCTGTATGAGTCGACGTATAGTCACGTCGGAGGGTCCACCTGTTAGAACTGTGACCCTGATAGAGTTAAGAAACGCGCAACTCGCGACCAGGGAATTCAAATTCACTATGGCACAATCGCTTCTGGCAATCAAGTTGTGAAAGACGGTATCATGAGAGACAAAATGAGCAGGGAACTCGGCGGAGTCCTTTGCTTCGAGATGGAGGCTGCAGGGCTGATGAACATTCTTTCATGCCTGGTGATACGCGGTATCTGTGACTACTCGGACTCACACAAGAACAAGAAATGGCAGCAATATGCTGCCATCGTGGCGGCATCATGTGCAAAAGAGCTTCTAGGGATGGTTCCTCCGGCCGAAACATTGGAGAATCCTCCCCAGAAGGATGTTAGAGCCCGTTTAGAAGCTCTCCTCCTTACCGATCCTACTATTGACCGTGAGCATCTTATCAGCACAAAGGGAGCGAGGGTCGCCGGTACCTGCGAATGGATTTGTAAAAATGAACTTTACCATTCTTGGCTACAGTCGAGCACACGACTTCTCTGGATCTGTGGCGGTCCCGGCAAGGGGAAGACAATGCTTTCAATCTTCCTTACTGAAGAGCTCGAGAAGTTTACGCAGGAAGACGAGGACAAAGAGCTGGTCTTCTTCTTTTGCAGCAACCAGGATGAGAAGCGCAATACGGCAGTGGCCATCCTGAGCGGATTAGTGTATCAGATCATTAAGAAGCGCCCAAACCTGATTAAACATGCCGAGGCCTATTTTGACACTGAGGAAAGAGCTCGAATCACGGTGTCATCCGTGGAAGCCCTTTGGATTATATTTAGGAAGATCATCCAAGATCCCGATATTGGTACAACCTTCTGCATCCTTGACGGCCTTGACGAATGCGATCAAGATTCACGAAGTTTGCTAGGAGCGAAGTTCGCCGAGTTGTTTCCACCAAACGGCCCCAGAACGGGAACTGGAGGATTCAAACTAATAATCGTTAGTCGAGAGATACACGCATTGCGGAACTTCCCAAGGGTGCGACTTGACCCTGACTTCGATGAACAAGTTACCAGCGATATTGAGCACTTTGTCTCTGTGAGAGTCCAAGAACTCTCAAGACTTGACGGGTTTAACGACAGGTTACGCACGCATGTTAAGAGCATCCTCCTAGAACGGGCCGAGGGAACTTTTCTGTGGGTTGGCTTTGTAATGAACGAGCTACTGCAAAAGAAGACCTGCACAGAAGTTTTAGAGACCCTGGAAGCTCTTCCAAGCGGATTGCCAGGGATTTATAGCCGGATGTTACTCGGAATTGAGGGAAGTCAACAGGAAGTGTGCTCTCGGATCTTGCGTTGGGTTACAATGGCACTTCGTCCTCTAACACTGCAAGAGCTAGCGGCTGCTATCGGTACACAGTCCTCTGATCTTATCAGCGGTGATCAAGCCATTCGCGACCAGATCGCGTTTTGCGGACCCTTCATCAAGATAGATAAGCAAGAAGTTGGCCTCATCCACCAGTCAGCCAGGGATTATCTATTACGCGAAAATTGTGACAGCAATCCGATCCTGGAAACGTTTCGTATCAACGCAGAAGAAACGCACTTCCAACTAGCACAAGCTTGTCTTGACTGCATTGGAAATAGCAGGTTGCGTTATGTGCCTCTGCATAGTCTTGATGCACCGCAAGACCCTCCTCTATTAAGCTATGCGGTATTCCATTGGCCAGAACACGCACGATGTTCTGCATATACTGACGCAATATTTGATACGTCACGTCCATTCTTCCAGAAGAAGTCTCCCCTGCGGTCGAACTGGTGCAAAGCATACGGCAATCATTTATCAAACATACGTAACGTGCCATTGATACACATCGCTTCTTATTTCGGTATTACTTCGTGGGCCCAGAAGCTCCTTGCAAGGAAGTTTAGGCTACACAAACTCGCAAACAAGAAAGATAGCAGTGGCCGTACCCCACTCATTTATGGCGCTATAACGGGGCATGAGGCAATAATCCGACTGCTGCTGGACCGCGGCGCCGACGTCAATGCGACAGATGAATATGGATGGACGGCACCACACTGGGCGGCTATCCTGGGGCATGAGGCAACAGTCCGACTGCTGCTGGACCGCGGCGCCGATGCCAATGCGATAGATGAAAATGGATGGACGGCACTACACAGGGCGGCTTTCCAGGGGCATAAGGCAATAGTCCGACTGCTACTGGACCGCGGCGCTGATGCCAATGCGATAGATAAAGCCAGATGGACGGCACTACACAGGGCGGCTAACGAGGGGCATAAGGCAACAGTCCGACTGCTGCTGGACCGCGGCGCCGATGCCAATGCGATAGATAAAGCCAGATGGACGGCACTACACAGGGCGGCTTTCCAGGGGTATAAGGCAATAGTCCGACTGCTACTGGACGGCGGCGCTGATGCCAATGCGATAGATAAATATGGCCGTACCCCACTCATTTATGGCGCTATAAAGGGGCATGAGGCAATAATCCGACTGCTGCTGGACCGCGGCGCCGACGTCAATGCGACAGATGAATATGGCCGTACCCCACTCATTTATGGCGCTATAAAGGGGCATGAGGCAATGATCCGACTGCTGCTGGACCGCGGCGCCGATGCCAATGCGATAGATGAAAATGGATTGACGGCACTACACTGGGCGGCTTCCCAAGGGCATGAGGCAACAGTCCAATTACTGCTGGACCGCGGCGCCGATGCCAATGCAACATGGGGCAATAATAACACGACTACTGCTGGACTGCAGCGCTGATGTCCATGCGAAAATTCAAGATAGAGCGATGGTACTGCGCGAGGCAGTGTCAAAGTTGCATAAGTCAGTTATAAGGCTGCTTTGTAAACCTAATCCACTGTAATTCGGCGAAGGCGATCGTGTTCCAAACAGATACAAAGATACTGGCGTCAGCCCCATTGGGTGGCATCTTTGTCTTTACAGAACTAAACTATAAGCTGCTCTTTTGTATTTTCTAATATCTATTCGAAAAGAGGGCCTGGAAGGACTGATAACTTTAAGTAGCTTACCAGATGATCGAAGACGGCGGCCCCTAGGTAATGAGACGCGTAGCCGATATGGACTAGATACTCCAGTAAAGTGTCCTAGCGGTGGGCCCGAAGATATCGTGTCTTTTGAGGGCAAGCCGATTTCGTTACTGATCGGTAGTTCTGGAGAAAATCACACTTGTACCCCAGTTCAGAGTTTCAACGAATTGCGAGGGGGCAGGTTAATTGATACACACACACACACACACACACACGAACTGTATCAGGCTCCTACTTTTCCTGTATTATTTTCTGCGTCATAGTCTTGTTTTGATGACGTAGGATCCCTCCCGCATGATGTTGTGTGTAAGCGCCGAATATATTAAGTTAGACACGTATCTGTTAGCCCGAGTTAGTTGCACGTGACCAATTAGAAACTGCCCTGGGTTCAAAGTCAGAGGTCTCAATGAAGTCACGTCTGGCTCTCTCGGCTATGCCTTGCTGAGGCAACGTAGTGATGACGCCACGTCTATTGTGGTCGGGAAGCTGTGTGAATGTTGAGTTTTTGCGGTTTTCGTGCTCTTCGCCACGGTAGGGCTGGGGTGGCGCAGGGGTCAGAGTCGTGCGAATAGCGATTCGATAGGAATCCGCTTTAGCTCAGACATGTGATATGGGCAACGTATCTGGTGAATTAGAATTTCAGTTTGAGAATCCCAATCAAGGATAGTGTTCTTGCTTGAAAAAAACATGATGGGGGAGCAGTGCGACTCTGACTGGATGCGGTAGGCATGGGTCCAGACCCTCGCCGCTTTCGAGAGGAATGGGGCGATGTCACGTGCCCCAACAGGGCGGAGGGCGGAGGGCGAGAAGGGCCGGATCGTACTCGTACAAGCAGGAAAGGAACGGAGTACAGAGCCACCGATTATACACGGGAACACTCGAGAGTACTTCTAATCAGTGTCCACTCAGATGACGGGTGAATGGGATCGTGGCACCATGGAACATGGCCTCATGCGAGAAGTTAATCTATCCCTCGTTAGAGTGGCCTGACGATCCGAAAGTCCCTTATCCTTCCGAATGCAGCCAATGGCTGGTGCCCGAAATGCTTATCTCAGCCACTTCGGCCTCAGGCCACAAAGTGTTGGGGCGGACCCAACATTCACTTTTATTCGGAAAGACAAGCAGATCGCCACTCGCAGGGGACCCGAGGCCACAGTACAAGAAAGAAATTCATCGGCCTCCTTCAATTCCTCGTCATCTTTGCTTTTCCCCCCCGGCAAACCTCGGGATCTTGTGATTCCTGGCCGAACCTGCCTCTTTCATTCGTCTTGATTCGCTCTGCCGAGCTTCCCCATACATTCGTTGCCGATCACACCCTTCCCTGCCCCCAACGTTGGTCTCAGGTGGGCCCTCATATAAAAAAAAAGCTCACCCTCTGCCCACCCCACGCCCTTTCCTCCCTCTCATCCTCCCACCCACACACATCTCGACACACCATGTCGTCCAAGGCAGAGTCGTCTCGCCCGCGGGCGGCGGACACCAAGAAGGTCCATATCGCCGACACTGCGATGACCCGCAACAACTGGTACAAGCACGTCAACTGGCTGAATGTCTTCCTCATCATCGGCATCCCGATCTATGGCTGCGTCCAGTCTCTCTGGGTGCCGCTGCAGCTCAAGACTGCCATCTGGGCCGTCATCTACTACTTCTTCACCGGATTAGGCATCACTGCAGGTAAGCATTTATCCTGAGTTGGGGGGAAAAAAGATGTTCGGGAAAGCTGACTCGCCATTCAACCAAATAGGGTACCACCGTCTCTGGGCTCACTGTTCCTACTCGGCCACTATGCCTCTGCGCATCTGGCTCGCTCTGGTGGGCGGCGGTGCCGTCGAGGGCTCCATTCGTTGGTGGGCTCGCGGCCACCGTGCTCACCACCGTTATACCGATACCGACAAGGACCCCTACTCCGTCCGCAAGGGTTTCTGGTACTCCCACCTCGGTTGGATGGTCATGAAGCAGAACCCCAAGCGCATCGGCCGTACGGATATCACTGACCTCAACGAGGACCCTGTCGTCATCTGGCAGCACCGTCACTACCTGAAGGTTGTCCTCGGCATGGGTCTCATCGCCCCTATGCTTGTCGCTGGTCTCGGCTGGGGTGACTGGTTCGGTGGCTTCGTGTACGCCGGTATCCTGCGTATCTTCTTCGTTCAGCAGGCCACCTTCTGCGTCAACTCTCTGGCTCACTGGCTCGGTGACCAGCCTTTCGACGACCGCAACTCCCCTCGTGACCATGTCGTCACTGCTTTTGTCACCCTCGGCGAGGGCTACCACAACTTCCACCACGAGTTCCCCTCCGACTACCGCAACGCGATTGAATGGCACCAATATGACCCTACCAAGTGGACCATCTGGACCTGGAAGCAGCTCGGCCTGGCCTATGACCTCAAGCAATTCCGTGCCAACGAGATTGAGAAGGGCCGTGTCCAGCAGTTGCAGAAGAAGATTGACCAGAAGCGCGCAAAGCTGGACTGGGGCACTCCCCTTGACCAGCTGCCCGTCATGGAGTGGGATGACTATGTCGAGCAGTCCAAGAACGGCCGCGGCCTGGTTGCCATCGCCGGTGTCGTCCATGACGTGACCGACTTCATCAAGGACCACCCCGGTGGCAAGGCCATGATCAGCTCCGGTATTGGCAAGGATGCCACTGCCATGTTCAACGGCGGCATCTACTACCACTCCAATGCTGCCCACAACCTTCTGTCCACCATGCGTGTCGGTGTGATCCGTGGCGGCTGCGAGGTCGAGATCTGGAAGCGCAGCCACAAGGAGAACTCCGAGTACGTTCGCGACGAGATGGGCCAGCGCGTCATCCGGGCTGGCCAGCAGGTCACTAAGATCCCCGAGCCTATCCCCACTGCGGATGCTGCTTAGGTTGTTGCTTTCTGAACCAATTTTGAAATAATATGCCTTGCATTTTGTGGGTATTGGGGGCTGCGGTGTTTGCCAGGCGTTTTTTGCGCTTTTTCTTTCCCTTGAAAGTGCTTGTTCTTTTCTGATCATTCCGAAAAGCAATGGGCACAAGGAGTAATCAATCCATCACGAACTAGAAACGAACTTACATCTTATTTATACTTCTCTATTCTCTTTTAATATATTAGTGGGCCATAATTGTTAGTAGGAGGACTGTTGTTCTCGGTCCGGGCAGTCCTTGAAGCATCATTGTGGGAGCCTGTGAAACCCGGTCCAAAGGGAGAAGACACTAGTGTAAACTTGGGCAAAAGCCAACATCACGCGGGGGCGGGGGCCCATCACGTGCCCCTATAGTAGTCAGTGAGGTTCGACTGGTTACATCACTGCCTCAGGCCAGATGTCCAAGCTAAGTTAACTTTAACTACTGTACTGCAACGGTAACTAACTGCAACTGCCCTGCTGAGAACGCGCCCCTCTTCTCCCTCTGAGTCACAACACACCGCATTTCCCCCTCCACGGACCTTAGTTCCGCCCAGCATTGCGTTCACCGCTCGCCTGCACCTGCTCGTCCTGCTCCTCGCCGTCCTCACCCTGGCGCCCTTCCTCCGTCTCCCGGCCCGCCTCTCTTCCGTGCTGGGCCACTTTCGTACTACGACGCCAGTCTACTACCGATACTTGACCACCTCCAGCATGGCCCCCTCTCACCTCCGGCGCCCGCCGCAAGCCCCGCCGGTCTTCACCGCGACCCCGCAGTCCGTCGTTGCTGACGCAGAGCGTCTGATCAAGACCTCCCGCGCCGTCCAGGATAAGGTTGTTGCAGAATTTACGCCCGAGACAGCTACTTTTGCGGGTGTACTGGGCCCACTGGCGCGGGATGAGAACGTCATGGCCCTTGAGACCCATATTCTGGGCTTTTACCAGGCTGTTTCAACGGACCAGAAACTCCGCGATGCCTCATCCAAGGCTGAGGAGCTAATGGATGAGTACTTTATCGAGTCGGTGATGCGGGAGGATGTGTTCCAGCTGGTGGATGCTACTTTGAAGAAGAATGAATCTTTGGACCCCGAGTCTCGCAGACTGTTGGAGAAGGAGCATAAGGAATTTGTTCGCAACGGTCTCAGCTTGCCTGCGGGTCCGCTGCGTGCCCGGTTCAAGGAGATCAAGAAGCGTCTCAGTCAGCTGAGCATTGAGTTCCAGAAGAACCTAAACGAGGAGAATGGTGGTATCTGGTTTACCCCGGAGCAATTGGACGGTGTCCCTGAGGACGTGCTCTCTGGACTGAAGAAGGGCGAAGGCGAGAACGCCGGCAAGATCTGGTTGACCTTCAAGTACCCGGACCTTTTCCCCACGATGAAATATGCCACCAACCCGGATACCCGCCGACAGGTCATGACCGCTAACGAGAACAAGTGCAACCAGAACGTCCCGCTGTTCCGTGAGGCGATTGTGCTGCGCGACGAGGCTGCTCGTCTTCTGGGATACCCTAACCACGCTGCCTTCCGCATTGAAGATAAGATGGCCAAGACCCCCGAGACTGTCGACAACTTCTTGGGCGATCTGCGCACGCGCCTGACTGCTGGCGGCAAGCGGGAAATGCAGACCCTGATGGAACTGAAGAAGGCCACTGACCCCAAATCCGATGGCCGGTATTACCTCTGGGATCACCGGTTCTATGACCGTTTGTTGCTGGAGAAGGAGTATTCGCTGGACCAGCAGCTTATCGCGGAGTACTTCCCGCTGCAGACCACTATCGAGGCTATGCTGAAGATCTTCGAGGAGCTGTTCGGCCTGGAGTTTGTTGAAATTGTTGGCGAGGACCGCGCCGCCGTGGCCCCTACCGGCAAGGGTGACGATATTGTCTGGCACGAGGATGTCCAGGTATTCAGCGTGTGGGATGATGCGGGTGAAGGCAACGGCTTTGTTGGATACTTGTATCTAGACTTGTTCCCGCGTGAGGGCAAGTATGGCCACGCTGCCAACTTCAACCTCCAACCGGTATGGTCTCCTCTTCGGACGATCTGATTAATCTCCAAAAAAGAAAAAAAGAGAAAAGCATGAAACTAACCGTCTCATTCATTCCAGGGATTCATCGCCGCAGACGGAAGCCGCCGCTACCCTGCCACCGCACTGGTATGCAACTTCACCAAGCCCACAGCCAAGAAGCCCAGTCTCCTCAAGCACGACGAGGTTGTCACTCTCTTCCACGAGCTGGGCCACGGCATCCATGACCTTGTCTCCAAGACCATCTACTCCCGCTTCCACGGAACCAGCACGGTCCGTGACTTCGTCGAAGCCCCCAGCCAGATGCTTGAGAACTGGTGCTGGACGCCCTCACAGCTGCGCACCCTAAGCCGCCACTACTCCACCCTTTCCCCAGAGTACCTGGCCGGCTGGCACGAAGCGCACCAAGCCCGCAGTGGCGGTAAGACGGCGACCGCGCCGCCGTCCGAGCGCATCCCGGACGACGTTATCGAGAACCTCATCCGCACCAAGCACGTTAACGACGCGCTGTTCAACCTGCGCCAGCTGCACTTCGGCATCTTCGACATGACCGTCCACGAGCCTGCCAGCCACGCTGAGATCGAGGCCCTGCCCATCTCAGCCACCTACAACCGCCTCCGCCGAGAAATCACCCAGATGGACGGACCCGAGGCCCTCGGCGCCGGCGATGACTGGGGCCATGGTGAGGCTACCTTCGGCCACTTGATCGGCGGCTATGACGCCGGGTACTACGGCTATCTCAGCTCTCAGGTGTACTCGACCGATATGTTCTACACCGTCTTCAAGGATGACCCGATGAACAAGGAGCATGGCCGTCGCTACCGGCATACTGTGCTTGAGAAAGGCGGTAGCCAGGATGAGATGACCACCCTGACCCAATTTTTGGGTCGTGAGCCGCGCACTGATGCATTTTACCAGGAATTGGGGCTGGCGTGAGTCGGACGAATGGTGAATAAAGTCCAGGTTTATGTTAAATGGTAGAAATACTGGGCAAAGAGTAGTCAAATACAACACTTGATCCAGTAGACTCTATTCAATATGCCCTAGGAGTCAATAAACCTCGTACCAGATGTCTGCCTTCCTGCACTCAAGAGACTCGGATGCCGCTTTGTCTGGGGCCTCAAGAATGGAACCAGTGAACATACTCGCTCGCTATCAGTATAGTCCGGGGCTATTTAGCTCTGTTTCTTTGATCCAGCGTGTATGGAGTATTCTCGATATCTCGACCAACGGTCTGCAGAGCTTCGCAAAGAAGCATTCCTAGGTGCGTCATTTAAGTCAATTTAAGCCGCTGTTATCTTGCGGCAATAGAGGATGGGCTATGGGTACTGGCAATTACTCTCATAATGAAAAATAGCTTGATGTTTGGATTGCAATTTTTGGCCTATTGGACTGGCTTTCTCGATTTATAGGTATATCTATCATGTTACCTTTTCCCATTCTACTTGTTTTACAAAGAACATTGTCTCTGACGATCGGCAGCACCTTATACTTCTTATTTGAATGTTTTCTTTGGAAGGCCAGGCTGCATGTGATGACTTTGACGGCCATAGCCGCTCTTACTGATCTGTTGTTTGTAGTATTGTCCATCCTTTCTCGTTCGATACTGACGTTCTTGCCAAGGACTTTCGTCGCTTTTTCTTCTCCATCTCGCTTTGCGTATTTTTCTATGGCCCTTTCGACAGTCCCTGAGCGCTGCTTTCCAATCACTTCAAAGGTAATCGGTAGGCTTTCTGAATTCACTTGGCTCTAACAATAGCTCTTGTAATCGATAGATGGATCCACTACCTATACAACCTGTACCTGTACACCGAGCCTGCTCATCAGTAGCTGTATCTAAAGTGCGGATTCTCACGATCTGTCACATCTTCAAATCCGTGGGCGAAATTCACATCCGGAACGACCTCCCCCGACGCGATTTCCGCGTCGCGTCTTCGGTTCTGGAGAGAATACCATAATCTCAGTGCCCCGAGAATAATAGCAACAAGAACGAAACATCCAAGCAGGATTGCAAATGCCAGGAAGTACCGCGGTGCATCTTTATCCCGGAACACCTGCGGTCCAACCGAGTTTCCTACTGCCCAGAAGATGAAGTTTGAGGCAATGAGAATTGACTTCTTGGTCTGTCCTGCGACGTTTCGAGATAAGAGCGCCAGGGACAGTGATTGCACGGCAAAGAAGGAGTAGAAGATGAAATATGCAATGAGCATGCCGACCTTTTTGCTGGGGGTGTAGGGTATGCCAACAAGAATGGAGGTGCCGATGATAGACGGGATGACAGAGCACATCATTATGATGATTGTTTGGTTGAACTTCCGGTCCAGGTAGGCCGAGGTAAGCATTGTGATTGCGATGACTGCGCCGACGACCATCATGAGAAGCTGGCTCTCCCAGACACTATACCCAAATCCATTGACTATTTGGTTCGCGAAGGCACCGATCCCGCCGCTCGGGATCGTCGTGAGAATTTGGATAAGTGCAAATGCATATACTGGGATGTACATTACACCAGTTAGTATCAATGAATACTAGTCCACGATTGTGAAGGACATACGTTGTGGGTCTGTAAATGCGTCTCGGACTTGTTCGATCCTAAAGGTTCTGTTCTGCAAACCAGTCTGGTTCTGGCGAACACGTTCCACCATCAGCCGCTTGTCTTCCTCCGTCCAGCAGGTGGCTCTCATGGGACTATCGGGCATCCACCAGAAAACAAAGGCCGCCCAAAACACGGTGATGATACCGTAAGTCATGAAAATGGCTTGCCAAGACTTTAAAGGCGAACTTTCCGCAATGAAGGAGAAGCCAAATGCCAGCAGGCCGCCCGCTATCTGCTGAAGCCCGTTCATCATGTACCATAGATTGATGATGCTGCCCTGTTCTTCTCTCTTGTACCATGTCGATGACAACAGCACAAAGGTAGGCTGACAGGCCGCTTCAAAGGCACCCATAAATGCTCGCAAGATAATCAATGCGACGAAATTCCTCGCGACGGCGATCAGAGCGATGCAAATGCCCCACATGAGGATGTTGAAAGACAGCCATTTCCCGATTGGCACGCGCTGCAGAATCCAATTTTCCGGGTACTCGACGGTGAGAATCACCAAATACACCACTGTAGTTAACCACGAATACTGTGGTCTATTAGCATTTCGAATCGGGATCGGATCGGATCGGATCGGCGTGATCAAACATACTTCATTATCGGCGAGATGCGTGTCTTCCTGCAAATGCATAATGCTCGCAAAGGAGAGCGTTCCTTTGTCCAGGCATTGCAGGAAGTAGGTGACCATCATGACCACAAGAATACGCTTATCGATCATATGCTTGAGCCGCTTATTGGTGGCTTCGTCAATCTCGATGGCGGTATTTGTGGCGTACTTGGCAACCTCCTGGTCGACCAGGGCGTAATTAGTATGGTTCTTCTCGGGCATGTCATCATGAAAGGCTGCAGCATCTTCGATTTGATGGTTTTCGGTTTTCTCTGTCTTGGCCATTATCACAGGGCACCAACAGAAGGCTCTAGAGACGAATTGATGGTTTGGGGGGTTGTTCTCGGGAGACGTGCAATCCCAATCAGCCTTTTGCTCCTAAAGCACCCTTTCAGAAAAGAGTACTCCGTACTTCAGGGGCTATTTGCAGGGAAATACCCCCCAGCCTCACGTTTCCGCAGGGGGATGTGGGGGTGGAGGCACGGCATTGCATGGTTCGGTAGAATTGCTCCCCGTGGGGTTGGTCGGATGCCTTCCCCACGCCCGGAGTGACGCCGACGTGTTACCGGCATCTCCCAACGTACCACCAGCAGGGACAAAGGCAGGGCTCGGTGTAAGACTCCCGATTCATGACACTCATTGCCGGATCGGCAACTGAGATAGCTATATCAACAATGGTCCGGGTTCCACATGAGGGGCCTGCTCGGGGGACAACGACCCGAACGGTATACTCCGCGTATTAGTGGAGCAGTGACCCCGCGGCCTGGTCCGATTGCCCTCGACACGAGGTTTGGATGGAGCGCGCGGTCTTTGAGACTGCCGTCTTTGACTTAGCCGGTCTTTGAGTCGTTTTTGGGTCGAAAGGTAAAAACAGGCCCCTATATCCCTTTATCACTCCCCGCGCCAGTCACTGTAGTAGTAGGGTATCGCCATCATGCTGGAAGCGCCGCTGGTCACTTTTGACAGCTCCCCTCATCTTCTCAATCTGGTCGGCGCCAAGATTATAGCCGACCCAGCCGATTTCAAGGGCATCCATCATGCAGGCCGAGCGTTAGCCGAGGATTTCGGTCGAGTAACGCGCGGCCTCGCAAGTCCCTTTGAGTTGGTGCAACGGGGGATCCTGGACGTACCAGCCGCTATTATTGTCGGATGCATCGAATCATGTTGGATGCTTCAAGAGTTGCAGAGGCTGGGCAAGATTGACACCCAATCCATCCGGGGGAAATGGGAAACTTTCATGACGGCCGTCGTGGACAATCCGCTCCCAGGGTGTACCAAGGCGCTGGTGATTGCCGGAAGCGACAAGAGAGCAGCAATCTTTGGCACATACACCCTCTCCAGGCAAATTGGAGTATCGCCGTATGTCACCCTATGGTTTTGCTTGCCGTGTTTCCCACTAACCTCCATGAAAGATGGTATTGGTGGGCAGATGTCCCTGCACAGTTTCATGAGGAGATATTCGCGCTGCCAATGCACGCGATATCTGGCGAGCCCAGCGTCCAATTCCGCGGGATATTCCTCAATGACGAGGCACCAGCGCTGACAGGCTGGGTGCTGGAGAAGTTCGGCAGGTATAACACAGACTTCTATAGGAGAGTATATGAGCTGCTCTTGCGCTTGAAGGCAAACTTCATGTGGCCGGCTATGTGGCCGGGGTACCCAAACCCAGGCGCCGTCTTCTTCCTCGATGACCCGGAGAATCAACGCGTGGCGGACGAATATGGAATCTGTGTTTCGACTTCCCATCATGAACCGATGCAGCGCGCGTCGACGGAGTGGTTTGAAGGGCATGCCGATGGAACATGGGACTGGCTCACACACCGCGAGGAGATTGTCCAGTTCTTCCGCGAGGGTGTGCAGCGAGCACAGGGCCTTGAATCGTATTTCACCCTGGGAATGCGCGGCGAATATGATAAACAGATGGCAACCGATGATCCTGGAGCGGTGGTTCGGGAGGTGCTTCGAGAGCAGCGGGCTCTCTTTAAAGAAGTGCACGGCCGTGAGGATGCAGTGCCCCAAGTACTGGCGCTGTACAAGGAGGTACAGGATCTGTATGAGGCTGGTGAATTCACAGTCCCAGAGGATGTGACGCTGCTGTTTGCCGATGACAACTTTGGGTCTTTGCGCCGGCTACCCTCTGGCTCGGAAAACGCAAGATCGGGAGGCGCAGGAGTAAGTAATGCAACACCCTTGTGGTATCATTCCACCACTGTCGGGGAGAGACTGGGACAGTTTCAAGCCACCATCATTGCCTCGGCTCTGGATGCATGCATTGGCTAATATTCAAAGCAGATATATTACCACTTTGAGTACGTCGGCGCCCCTCGAAGCTACAAGTGGATCAACTCCAACTCTTTGGTCTGTGTTATCCTACTGCATGATGTGTATTCGATGACTATAGCTGATTTGTATTTCATGCAGGGGAAAATTTATCATCAGCTATCCCAAGCATATGAGCGCAATGCGCGGAAAATCTGGGTCTTTAATGTCGGCGATATCAAGCCTATTGAGGTACCCTTGACCTACGCGCTGGAGATGGCATGGAACATCCATTCAGTTCAGGTAGACGGCATGTCCCAGTTTTTGGGAGGCATCGCGAACGACTATTTTGAAGCGGGAGTGAGTCCGGACGTGGTTTCTATCTGGCAGGAATATGATCGCCTCGTCCGCCTCCGCAAACACGAACACATCGAGCCGGACAGCTTTTCATTACTGCACTACAACGAGGCCGACAGTATCGTCGCTCGATGGGAGGCACTGGAAAGCACGGCAGAGACCATATTCAAGGGAATATCCGAAGAACAGAGAGCGGCGTTTTGGCAACTCGTGGTTCATCCGGTGAAGGCAAGCTCCATCTTTAATCGACTGAGAGTGGTGCAAGCGCGGAATCAACTCCATGCCCGTCAGCGACGTAACACAGCCAACCAACTTCTGCGACACGCCATTGACCTGTTCGATGCTGACTTCAAACTGTCTCAAGAGTTTCATTCCCTTCTCGATGGCAAATGGAATCATATGATGTGCCAGTCCCATATGGGCTACGGGGACACCTGGCATGCCCCTTCGCGCGATGCAATTTTCGGTCTAGCATATGTGCAGCGACATCAGAACAGCAATCTCATTGTCGGGCAGATGGGTGTTGCGGTGGAAGGCCACGAGGGAGTTCGAGCAGGGCGCATCAATGAAGAGAGCGAGCGAACACACCCCAGTCGACGAGATCTCGTTCCAGGACTCACTCTGGGTCCAATGAATCGATATGGCCCAGTCAAGCGATGGTTTGATATCTTCACCAGAGGAACGCACACTATCCACTGGAGTACTTCGGCTCCTCATCCATGGATTCATCTCTCCGAAACAGAAGGGATCCTGCACCCAGATGGTGACGACGTGCGCGTTTGGATCACAGTTGACTGGAGTCAAGTCCCAGTGCAATTGGCCGAAGAGGTCTTGATCAGCGTTGCCTCAAAGGAGGGAGACTTTGAACAGGTTCATTTGCCGGTCCACGGCCACAAAGTCCCTGAATCGTTCCGTGGCTTTGTCGAATCCGACGGCTGTGTATCCGTCCCCGCCTCCGCGCTGGACGTGAAGAGGCCCTATCAACACCATCCGGAGCTTGGCCGCACAAGTGCGGGATCAATCACCCTCGAGCGGTCTGTTCGCAAAGACGGAACTTCCCTGCCATTCCTCGAATACCCCGTTTATGTCTTTTCCAAGTCCACTTCGCCAAGCTTCACATTGATATTCAACATGACCCTTGATGTCGACCCAGCTCACCGCATGTCCTATGAGTTTGGAATTGATGATGAACCCACAACGATGCACTTTGTGCTGCCAAGTAACGAGACGAAGGCTAGTAAGCTACCGGCTGAGGGCTGGCTGAGCGCTGTGATGGACTGCGTTTGGAAACGAGAACATGCCATTGCCAGCCTCGAGCCGGGCGCTCATATTATCCGTGTTCGGTTGAGCCATTCAAATTTGCTACTGGAGCAACTTGTATTAGATCTTGGGGGAGCCAAGGAGAGTTATCTTGGACCACCTCCAAGCCATCGTGTCTCTTAGATGCCGATCACCTGGAACAGAGCAAAAGAACGATATTTTACCCCTTTTCATGAGTAGCTGTAGGTAGTTAGGAGAAAAAGAATCACCAAATTCCCGGGGGGCAAAGCGAGATATCGGAGAAGAGAGAAATGGTAGGTCCGTGATGCTCCGGCTGTCAATTATCCGACAGAATTTTACCAGGAAAACAGCAATAATATCTCCAATATCGCCCTGAACAGCATCGTGGGGACCGCGAAAGCGCATAACCTACTCCGGCATCTATGACAATACAAATGAGGTTCTACGACCACGAAAGTCGAGACTTCTGTTTCACATTATGCAGAGGTATCGAACTCAGGACAGAGTTAATCACCAGATTCGTCTTCCTCATGAGAGTTGAGTACGTATAGTACTTTGGCCGACCGGTTCCGTCTTTGTCCTCTGTCGCCCAGTTCATCTTGTCAGCTTCAGAGAGCGCATCAATGGTCGCACCACGAAGCTTTAACAAAGTAGTGATGTCCTTGTAGCCTTTCATTTCAGCAACGTATAGCCCAGCATGCCCGCACTCTGAAGTGTTTAAACCACCAGATAGGAGAAATTCAACCATGGGATAGTCCCTTCGCAACACAGCAAGTTTCAACGCTGCTTTTTGGGATCGCACATCGCTTTTCAGTAATGCAGAAATCAGGTCTCGCCGACCATCTTTAACAGCGCGGTATAAGGGAGAAGGAGTATACCGCTGTGGATCAGCACCCTCGAGCAACTTGTTCACCATCTCGACGTGTCCGTATTGTACAGCCGTGAATAATGGCGGGTCGTCAATGTCAACCATCACACTATGCCATAGTTTGCGGGTAAATTGTGAAAATGGCTTTTCCGCACCGACTTCCACGATAGAAATTGACCTCTGCGCCAAACTGCAGCAAGACTTGAACAGCCTCGGTATTTCCAGTCTGAATACCCACCACTAGAGCATGCTGGATATTAAGGATACTCGAAATGCAGTATCCTCGCGAGAAAAGGGGGTGAGCGTACACATCTTCCCAATAAGGATCGGTAGATCTAATCTCCCATCTAGATTCCTTCTTCTTATTATTGGATACAAATCTTCTTCGCTTTCCTCTTCTTCCTCACTTTCCTCGTTTTCCTCCTGTCGGGTTGCCCTGGTCTCTTTCCAGGGATGCGAGTGAGGCAGAGTGCGGGCAAAAACTAATCCGTCTAAAAGGGTTTGAATTTGTGGAATGAGGCTGTGCTTGGCAGCAAAAAAGAGCGCCGATCCATGGTTATACTGAGCGTTCCAATAGTATAGGCACTTTTCAAGCCCTTGGTGTAGGCGACGATTGATTCTAACCAAGGCGTAGATATCACTCTGGAGTGGGAGATAGGACGCAATAGTCCACAAGGTTTCGGTGGGCAGCTGAGAAAGGCTCATTTTGAGGTACGACAGCAGAATCGAAAACGCCTGTAATTTCGCAGACGCATGTGTGTTGTGTGTAGGGGAGGAAGCGGAAGAGACTAGTTATCTGTTGAAGCCCGCTTCAGTCACCTAGTCTATATTACTAACGCGTTATGGTAGGTAAGCCCGTAGTGTAAAATATATACTAGTCCCCAGCACCACTCGATGTGGGTCGACCTAAGGGAGGGCCGGGATACCTCTTTTTTGATGGCAGAGACACACCCTTTGAGTATATTGGCTTTTTAAAAGAGCAAGGGAGCCAGGTCGTGGATTATGGCTGTGGCAAATCGTTGGACCGAACTGGAACATGGACGTGGCAATCCTATGACAAGGTGATAGACTGCTCACTTTTTTGAGGAGCGTTGAATTTGGTAAATCAAGAGCCTCCCATAACCTGCTTGAAGTGTTCTCGGCATTATTTCAATAAATCGCTCAAAGACAAAAAGACAAAAAGCAAGCCTCAGTATCGATCCACACTCCATTCGACTTGATGCTCCACCCGGATGAACATCGGACCCAGATACTCCTCCAGGTTTTCTCTCTCCTTGCGACATCGATCGGGCTCCATTTGAGCGACGCACGACGTAAGATGGATTTCATCATCATGAGTGCGCAAGCCCAGCTCCGGCTTTCCGTCCAGCGAATCCACCGTGTCGGCCCGACAGTGGCTGTTGCTGCTGGTATTGCTCACGCGCTTCCGCAACTCATTTACTTGACTCAACGGTTTGCTGTGGTGTACTCGGTTTCGGATATGTAGTAGATGCTCCATTTTCATGAATGATTGGACGAGCGGTTGGAGAGCGGGCAGGCAAGCACAGATTATGCCAAGGCAAGGCTCCACCGTGGACCAGACGTAGACATTGCTCATGACCCATGTGATGTCCACGCTTCCGTTCATAAAGGTCAGGTAGTGGAGTCGCACGATACTTGCAACGCAGACACTAAGGGAACGAAGCGGTTAGCCGATGTCGAGGAGAAGGCACAGGCATGATTCAGGTCACATACAATACGCCGAGAAAGAACACGCTCGTGATCAGGAGCTTCTGCGTCAGTCGCAGCTTCAATCTCCACACCACGGGGATTGGGATCAGCAGAATCAACACATCGATAACCACATTTGCGGCGGCGTTCCCAATATAGTATTGGTAAAAATCGTATCGAGAATGACCACCTTTGGGATCATAAGTCGACGACCAAAAGTAAGCCATGGGATCGCAGCTCGCTAATAGGGCAATCATGCTGCCCAGCGCCCATCCGGTAGTCAGGAACAGACCAATCAAAATTCCCCATTGCCTCCCAAAGATGCGGCGATAGAATACCAGAATCGAGACTTTGATCAGAAATAGCTCGAAGAGATAAATAAAGAGGTAAGTGAAGAGAATCTACCCAGATATCGTTTAGCCAAATGTATTTGTTACTCTTCATCCAAGCGGCATACCTTTCTCAATTTCACCATGGCGCCGATCGTCACGAGCCAGACGTGCTTCCCTAGCCCATAATGACCGCCAACTATTGATTCAGCTAGGAGAGCGAACATGGGAACCTATGCAATGCATTAGTTTAATCCAGCCACTACAGTCCAAGAATAGGGACCAACTGACCAAGGTGGCTGCCATAAGCCACTCATCGAGAAGGATTTTCGGCTTCTGACCTCTGATCCGCACAATAAACCGAATCGCGACCATGAAGGCAGTAATAACGCAGATCGTGATAACAGCAGCATTGTCCGTCCATCTCCGGTCCTGCTTGAGGTCTACATTGGCTGGTGGCGGACCCAAAATAGCCGTGATGGGAGTCTCCATGATATGCTCCATGATAGGCAGGCAGGGGAACGGTCCCACGTGAGCTGTAGGAAACAAGCAACAGCGATCGCAATTCAGAGGCGGGGTGGCTGGTGGCTATTATAAGAAACACAATCTGCCAGTCTGACACGTTATGGGCGATCGCATCGAGAGCATGGGGGCGGGCCCCCAAGAAGCAGGTGAGATTTGCTTGTCACCGTCATCTTTGACCATGGAAGTGTAGTATGTGGCCCCCGGCTTTCTGCATGGCATGCACTCCTTGGGGGCTGTTATCAGCCCCGGGGGTCCGTCCCACGCGGTTGAAAGTGTTAGGCTAGGGGCCAAATCATGCACGGAGGGTGTGATTGGCAGCACGGACGACGACAGGTGAGGTTCATGCACAGTGGGGAAAATGCGTTCCTGAAGGATTCCACGTGGTTTGGCATCTTCCCTTTCTCGGCAGATTCAAGGTTTTCCAATCCCAACTACGGAGTCCAGGAGGAATGAGATTGAGCCTCCGCAACAGGTTTAGAGGGGGCTTGAATCCGTACCGTGCCAGGTACCCTCATAGATAAAGTGATTCAAAGTCAACATTTCTCGAAAAGCTACCCAAGTGAGTAGTATTCAGGCGCACCACTGCAAACCTACCTGGAAAATTTCTAATCGGGCGCAGGATCGCCCAAATTGGCAGCAGCCCATGTCAGCTTGTGGGGGCCGCATAGTCGCGATCTCTTGCGCGATTGGACACGCCCAGAGGGATCAACTCAGCCCCATTGCTCCTCAGATAAAGAATACGGAGTCTACCGCCGAGCAGTCATGACACCGTAGCACAATAACGTCGACCTTGTCGCGTGAGCTACCGTTCTCATGAAACAGACTTCTGAGCTTGTGCTTGTTGATGCATTATGTTTCAAAGTCTTGGCGGAATCCCCACCAGGTACTCCACCGATAGTTCTTCCAACCGGCGGGCATCTACCCAAAAAAGTGATTGGTAGACCGTTTAATAATATGGTCTGGGGATTTATATATAGAATCCGAGGACCCGTGAAATCGATGCCGAAAATGACAGCCTCTGGCGCTAGAAACAGCGCCCTTTCCACCCGTCACTTTGGATAGCGAGCCGCCGCTTGACCGCCCTCCACTCTTTACCCCCCCGCCTATTCTGCACCCAACCAGCATTGTTGGTTATCATCCTCTTGGGAAATTATTAGTATTGATAGAGATATATAAGTTTCCTTGATCGAAAGTCTAAATTACATTGTTTTTTATGGTATTGTAGTAAAATATCATTCTAAATATAATCAAATTCCAAAATATTGTCCTTGACACTTATAGAAGTAGATAAGTCATTTTTCAACTTGATATATATACTTTTTGTTGAGATATGGATTTGTAGATTTTCGCAGTTACTGTGTTTTGGGGTGCGCAACGTAGGCGGGAAGCAGTTTATGTGCTTGCGGAATATGAAAGACATTGCGAGGCGAATGGTAGGCTCCTCATCCTATCCTACCAGTGGAAGGCAATAAGAGTAACCATATGCAGGACACCCCGATTCCTATGCAGAAGCTAAAAAGCTTATAGCCGGTTTTGCGGGGCAATTTATTGACCAGATAGTAGAAACGAAAGGCGTCGACTTCATTGACAAGAAGATGGCAGAATACTACGCCCAAGGCAGCGTCAATGAGGTCGTGGGGTAATATGACTTTAGCCAGATTATGTTCAACTGCAAACCCTGAACTTGCTTCTTGTTGAATTTACTATCATACTATCATACACCCTACCCTACCTCAGCGTGCTCAATCCCCTTTTTCACCATGTTTGCTCTCTTGTTAAAACACCTGGATTATCTCATGTGTGTCGGTATTTCACTCCCTACTTTCTTTTATGTCAACATATGCATCACACAACTGCATTGATTTCCAATCAGGTTCCCAGAGCTCCTACCATATCGAAGATTCATGTAATAATTTACGCAGGTACCCGAAACAGGATTATACCGCACCTCAAAAGGTTGACGCTTGTGCTATGAAAATGGTCTAGGGTTTGCTGATTCAGCCTCGTCTCTTTCGCGACTTTTTGAATATCGTTCCGTTCATCTTTCAGATTATTTCCTGATTGAGCTTTCGGTGCAGTTCTGAAGGCATTATTCTAACGTCCCGATTTAGCATATTCACGTATTTACGGGGGCTCAGACGTTTGAAACACCACGGTAGCATAGAACATCAAATCGAATGGCAAAGAAACAACAGCACCAGATCTCCCATTCTTCCCGACAGCGCTGCTCTTCCAGATTCCTTGAGCTACAACTTCTAAACCGTCCTTGTTGAGAGTAAGATCCTTTTCTCTGGATTCATCTGGCTCTAGACGTAAGAGGAAGAATGGAGCCTTAAGGCTGCCATGGGTCATGTTAATCTTTTTGCTGCTATTGTCCATCAAATTTATGAGATGCTCTGGTCGAATCCATTTATCAATTATGACTGTGGATATCCGTCGGACCATTTTGACGAGACATCTCGGCATAGATGAAAATAAATCCACTAAAGAGCTATGTCCTTGAAGCTGGATACGCTGAAATCATTGTGGGGCACTTGGGTATATATCGAAACTCTTGACTTAGAAATTGAGAGAACCAAGTAGCCAGGCATGTAGGATGGGTTCAGCCGTAAGACTTTCTGGGGACCAGATGGCTTGCGCAGATTTTGTCCATAACACTGTTATTACTGCATCATGAGTGCGTCAGGATAGGGTTCAGCCGACTCTAGTCGTGACTATCTGGTTTGAAGTCAGGTTGAGGTGCCATTATCTAATTTGAACCTTTAGGTGAGTAGTGGATTAGCCATATAGGGCACTTCCACTGGTTGCTGTACAAACACTACTCCTCCGCTTCTATTTACGGTCAGAATAGTTCGGCCTCCGAACTTCTTCCACCGCCGAGCCGCGTACCGAGCTCGCTTAGATCCCGAACTATACTCCTTGGAACAACATGCCCATTCGAGTTGCCGCTCAAGTTGTGTCAACAATTCTGGTCGAAACAAGTCAATGGGAGACTGGATTGTCAGCCACCTCCATCACAGGTAATTTTCTGTTTGTATTTAGTCACTAGGCCCATTTGCGGGGCACAGGTGCGTGGGAGGCGGGTTAGTTTTCCCACTCGCCCGCTACGCGAACTAAAAAGAGTGCGAAGATTTTTCGAGGCTACTGTTGTACTATTTGTTCCAGTTTGAAACATCGATGGTCCTCTTCGACTCTTCTCAATTCTTTCGGGGGATCAACTGGCTAGATTGCCCTCCTGTTATGGCCTCCCTCTACACATACTTTTCATCCGAACCCATCAGCCACACAGGGCTGTCTGCACGAGCAGTACCCACGTCGACCGTTGGCTCGGGGCTCTCACGCCCAGAGAAAATCACACTATATGTTGTCGCAGTAGTAGCAGCCATGCTCATCGCGGTAGGAGTCACAATAGCTGTTCTCCGGGCACGCTGCCACGACAGACCATGGGCTGCTCATGACTCGGCACAAGCACGGCCACGCAGTTTGGCAAGAGCACTACTGAAAACGATTCCACTTGTTCAATATGACGACGCAAATGATGTACCACCAAATACGCTGAAGCCAAGCTTTCACAGCTCTACCGGTTCGACAGAGTCTGAAGACGAAAAGTGTCGACCACCTACCTTCGCCGAGAAAGCCAGTTCGGCTGGCAAGACGAGGAACTCAGATTGTCCTATCTGCACGGACGATTTTGTGAAGAATCAATTGGTGCGCATTTTGCCCTGCGGGCATTTATTTCATCGGGAGTGTGTTGATGAGTGGCTCGTCAAGAGGTCAAGGACGTGTCCTTTCTGGTGAGCTGATTGAAGCCGCGTGGATATCTAGCTGTGCGAAGTTGACTGACGGAATTTGGATAGTCGATATGAACTCACAGTCTCCAAGGACGTGACAGATGAGGAAAAACCTGAACATTGTCTAGACATTGAAGCCGCCCTGCCGAGTGGTGAGGCCCGGCAGACGCAAACCTGCAGTCGGCGGCATAGGTTGTGGCGGGTGTTTTCGATTAACATGGCGGAGGAGCACTGCCACTCCTAGTCACGCATGAGGCTCTCTCATCTACCTCATATAACATCTAATTTTAAATAATAACGGACAATTCCCAGCCGAACCCGAAAGAACCAAGTACGAAGCAGTCTACGTAGGAGGCCCAGCGTAACCGAAATGAATCATCGGAAGCCCAAATTCACAATGAACCTCGTTTCGGCCATCAGATGATGTGCCACTTGATGTGGACGGAATTGATTGGCCCAGTCTGGGGGCCGTGATCCTTCAAATTCCCCATTGTTGCTACATCGGGCCGAATGCAGCGGGATCCATGCTTAGATCCCAGCAGGCGATCGCTTTAGGAACTAGCAGAAGCCTCGTAATGACAATAAGGGCAGTCGTATGACGGCTGCCGCGCATAGACCCGACATACTGGAGTGAAGAGCTGGCTCGGCTTGTGGCGCGCACTCTAGTCTGGCCGAGTCTTTGGGGGCTACCTACAACATGTCCAGACATGCCTCTACAGCCAGCATCATGCTGGATGACATGGCTGAGGGCACGGTTTTCCAAATAAGGTTCCATCCCTTGACTCCTTGTCCATCTGGTGCAGACAGTCTACGCAGGCGAAGCCCCACGCCGGGCAGTAAGCGCGAATTGTGTGGGGGGAGGATTCCGCAGCCACCGTCGAGCCTGGCGGTAGCGGTGCACGGAGGATGAGGCTGTCATCAACGCAACCGTCGATCCGTGCGGGAACGCCCGCCGCGGGCGCACCTGTGCCGACCTCTTACCGTCAGCACTACCGCTCGCGGGCTGTGAATTCTGAGGCAAGAAAAGGTGTCGGGGAGGTGCTCGACCTTGCTTTGGGCTGCTTGATGTGCAGCGGGCGAAGCACACAAAGTACTAGTGCGGGGGGAGTAGTCCTGCTTGGCCTCTACTTGGTCATGAAGGGGCCTGACTGTCAGTTGCTGAACGATCTCCCCTGGACTCCGTGACAAGCTGCGCAGAACCGAACCTGCCCATTGCCGAGCCACACGGCCGGGAACCATGCGAAAACGGTGATCTCCCTCTCACGGAAACGAAGGCGAGGGGCAGTGGGCAGGATGAGGGCAAATTCTGCTCAGGAACGGTCCATGGGGATACGCCAAGGGCGGGGTCTTCCCAGCGGTCGTACTTCTGGGAGCAGTCTTACCGGATTCGAGTTTCAGACTGGCATGAGACAGGAACACGGTCGGGAGTACCCGGATAGACAGCCACGGACCCCATCCAGCCCAGTGGCAAAATGACCTTTGGCAGAACGAGACGAGGGGAGGGCGAGGCGAGGATGGATCATAGGCACTAGCGTGATAAGCGCCATCAGACTGAGCGGGAGTGAAGTATTCTTGTAGCCAAGGGAGGCTTGTACCGAGTCCGGCCATGTTATCCGCCGAGTCGCTTCCTATTGGGGAAGAGAGCTGGAGTTTCGCAGTTGCCTTGGCCGTTGCCGTTTGATATCAAGCCCGAACCGGAGCCGATCTTCAAAGCTAAGTGCGGGGAGTTCGGACCCATAGCGTAAGGTGCATCTTGCGCCCATCCCGTCATCATCCGTCATGTTTCACTGGACAGCGAGTGGGCCATGGACCTGCAGCTGAGCTAGAGCTAGCTCAGCTCAGCTCTTCCGTGTTGCTAAAGGGGAAGGGAAGGGGAGTTGAGCGATTAAAGTGGGGGATGAGAAGGGGTGGATCGTATGTAAGGAGTCTAGTCCCGCCCTCAAGCGTTACCCGTCCACTACTTCCGTCTCCTTCAGTCCTCTTCCATGTCCGCTTCCTCCTTTTCTTCCTTTGCCCACTCTCTCGGTTTCATCGTTCATTCCCACCGTCCGGCGCCTTGTGTGGATTTGCACCCCCTCGTATCCGCCAGACCATCCGCCTCCCCCTCCTCCGCTCCCTGATCTCTTTCTCCCCGCACCCGATACCATGTGAGTTTCGGAGATAAATGCACTGCATCTCGACGATCCCCAACTAACATGCACCCTCACCATTGCCAGGCGTATCACCGTCAGCGTCATCCGCCCCGAGCAGGCGGACTCCGACATCATCAACCTCGAAGTCGGCGGAGACATGACCGTCGAGCTGCTCAAAGCCATCGTCGAAAGCGAAACCGACATCCCCCCAGAAGCCCAGCAGCTCGTCTTCAACAATCAGCTCCTCCAACGCCCCGCGCAAACCCTCGACCAGGTCGGCATCGGCGAGGGCGACATGCTCGGCGTCCACGTCAACCTCCGTAGTGGCCCGCCAGGCCCCACCACCACCAACAACACCACCACCACCGCACCCCCCTCCCACGCAGGCCCCAGCGCCGCACCGCGTCAGAATGTCGCACCCCGCCCCGGGATGCCTGACCCGGAGACTATCCGGCTACATATTCTGGGTGACCCGCGCGTGCGCGAGGCCGTGCGCAGACAGAACCCGGAGCTCGCGGCGGCGGCCGATAACGCACAGCAGTTCCGGAACGTGCTGCTGTCGCAACAGCAGCGGGAGGCGCAGGCCGAGGCGGAGAAGGAGGCCCGCATCGCCATGCTCAACGCCGACCCGTTCAATCCGGACAACCAGCGCGAGATCGAGGAGATCATCCGCCAGAATGCAGTGACGGAGAACCTGCACAATGCGATGGAGCATCACCCCGAATGTGTGTTGCTCTCTTACGCTTAGCCTAGCAGTCCGCTGCGCTCGCATGGCTTGGATCAGCTAACCTGTTTTTGTTTGTCTATAGCTTTCGGCCGCGTAACCATGCTCTATATCCCCGTCGAAGTGAACGGCCACCGCCTCAACGCCTTCGTCGACTCCGGTGCCCAGGTCACCATCATGTCACCTGAGTGCGCCGTCGCCTGCAACATCATGCGGCTGGTCGACCGGCGCTACGGCGGCATCGCCAAGGGCGTCGGCACGGCGCCCATCTTGGGCCGCGTGCACTCGGCCCAGATCAAGATCGGCGAGATGTTCCTGCCTTGCTCGTTCACCGTCATGGAGGGCAAGCAGATCGACCTGCTGCTGGGGCTAGACATGCTGCGCCGGCACCAGGCGTGCATCGACCTCCAGCGCGGCGCCCTGGTCATTCAGGACCAGGCCGTGCCATTCCTCGGCGAGGCCGATATCCCCAAGCACCTAACCGAGGAATTCGAGGATGAGCCGACTGTGAAGGGTGCCGATGGTGCGGAGGTGGGTGCGCGCACTGGCGCCGTTACCCACCCGGCTGGTGGGCCCGGTCCGGGTCAGGGTCCGTCGCAGCAACAGCCGCCGCAGCACTCGTCCTCGTCGGCCCCTAGGATCAACATTCGGCCTGCGCCGGCCTCGCGGTGGCCGCAGGCCTCGGTCGCCAAGATCACGGAGCTGGGCTTTACGCGTGAGGAGGCGGTGCGGGCGCTGGACGCTGCGAATGGGGATCTGGATGGGGCGATCGGGTTCTTGATCTGATCTGATCTGTTCTGTGCGGATCAGTTCTGATCTAATCTGTTCTGATATGGCCTGGACTAAACTGAACTGATGCGGCCTGAACGGAACCGATTCGTGGATGGAGCCCACCCCAGCATATTGATTTACATTACTCCGGCGTTAAGCGGTAGGGCAGGGTTTGGATAGTGTATTTAGCGGGACTGTACTGCTCTTTTCTTGTTCTTGTTTATACTCTTCCTCTGTTCATGTTTATGTTTTGAACCCATGCCCGTCGCGAAATGTGTACGATTATGTGGTTGCATCCGGCCAGACAGCGATCGTATAGCACCAGTACTACGAAGAGATATCCATTTCCAGTTTCATCCTCCCACCCTGCATTTGCATTGCCCAAGTTGCAAGGCAGGGCAAGGCAAGGTAAGACAAGGCAAGACTCTTTCCGAATCGTCGCCAATCTGCGCGGGGTTTGGCGTGTTCACTCGCGCTTGGTCTTTGGCATCAACCGAGCACGCAATCGGACGGCCATGTCGAGGGCCATGAGGGCACCTGCGCTCGTCAGTTTGGATCGCGATGTATTCTATACGTGCAGCAAAGACGGCAGTGCCCGCGACCCCGAATGAGCACGGATGGGAATGGGAGGGTCGCGGGTTATTTGCGTGTTCATGTGCATGTCCACGTTCATGTCCATGTTGCCTCACTTCCGAACTCACCTAATGCTACGTACGGCCCGTACAGGTAGGTGATCTGCTGCTTCTCGACGACTGAGCGATCGGTCCAGCTCCACACGTCGACGAGGCAGGTTAGCGAGGTGACGAAGGCCTGGACGCCGAAGACGAGGAGGTGCACGGGGACGAGTGGGTGGTCTGTTTGGGAGTCGGGTCAGTGGACATCCATCACAGCAATGCAATCTTCTCGGCAGTCAACCGATCACACTTCGTTCCATCGTCCGAGTGCAGAGAAGGGGGGGTTCGGTTCGGTCGGTCAGCGCACCTCGGAGTAACCCCCACACCGCCCACAGACTGGCTGGCACATGGTACAGTAGCTCCATCCAGATGAACGCGCTGAACCAGACGGGCGCGGGATCCTCGAAGAACTTGTCGCGGTACGTCGCGATGTAGTACTCGCGCAGCTGCTGAGATAGCTCGGTGCGCAGCCACGCGGGCTGCAGGGGAACGGTGTCCACCAGGAAGATGATGGGGATGTGCGAGGCGAAGAAGAGAAGGTATGCGCAATCGCGCTTGCGGGTGGAGAGGGGGGCCATTGGGGGACAGGAGTATCGAGCTGCCTCGAGCTGTCTCGGGGGGGAAGATTTGGTGCGAATGAAGGCTCGGGTGGAAGTGGATAGCGTGGCCGTTTGTGTTCGTCCGGTAGATAGTCGACAGTCAACGGTCAAGGGAGGAGTGGGTCAAGAGTCACGTCAGGTACGGCGATCTGCTGGGTGCTGAGCTGCTCCAGAGGGGGGGGTCTTTCTGAGCTGGACCAGCGGACGGGAACTGACGGACGGGAACTGACGGACGAATTGACGAATCGACTTCACAGGGAAGAAGGAAATCAGGTGATGCGGCGGGGCTGCCTACCGGCGATCTGGGACCATGTTTGCTTTTTTCGGGTGATTTAAGCTTAGTGGAGATCTGGTCCACTACGGGACTTGATATAGAAGGGGTGTTGGAGGATCTCAGGGATCCGATGGGTGACGGGCTGGTAGTGTTCTGTGTTTCTGTGTTTCCGTTGTCCAGCATCTCGCATCTCGCATCTCGCATCTCGCCTCCGTGTCTGGGCAGTTCCGCATACTATCCGGGATGGCCATATCACACCACGGTCTGGCGAGTCCCCTACGGAGGCCACCCGGTGAACCACGGGAGATGCAAGTCTGGCTCCCAGCCGGCCCGTTCCCTTGCCTTGAAAAGGGGGGGGGGGGGGGGGTTCCAGACGGAGTGATCCACTCGAACAACAAGCGTCCCGACAAGGAAACCGCTTCCATCGATAGCAAACCTTGACTAGCGGTGTTTGTGCCAGGAGTACCTTGGCGTCGTGACCGGGATGCTATCACTCCCAGCGCGGATTGCCTCCGCCGAATCCCCGGCTCGTCCAGGGAAGGGAAGGGGGGAAGAGGGAACAGACGGGTCCCGCCGCGGGCAGACACCTAAGACCGAGAGGGATGCGATGTGCGATAGAGACGTCATCATTGTTCGAGGGGTCCGCATCCATCAGGTACGCATGCAGCCCGAGGCGATTCGTACGATGCGTCTATGGTCGGCATCCTTCACAGCCCTCTGTTCGTGCGACGTGTCCGCCATGAACCAGTCGATGAGGTCAAGAGGTGGGAACGCAGCAGACCGCATGTTTGGCTGGGGACCAATGAGTTACGGCCGTGGGCGCCGAGAGGTCGGAAGGCCTGGAGGTGGGGATGGTTGATTTACGGGATTGAGTTGGGATGATTGGGCGGCCGGGGTGATGATAGGGGGCGCGGGCTGGCATCCGGAGAAGCAGCCGGTCCATGGATCACGACTCGGAGAGGCTGGAGTGGGCTGGCCTGGCATCAAGATCAATGGCCATGGATCCAGCGCATCTCGAGCGCGAGTCCTCGGCATGGATGTGAACACGAACTCGAACTCGGCGTGCCAACAGGCCGGTCCCCGGGATCCTGGCCATCCACCAGAAACCTTGGGCTTCTTCGCTCGCTCTCTTGCGCTTCTTGGAACGGTCTCCTTGGGGCTGCCCGATTCGTCGACTGCCGGCTGGGCCGAAAAGAAGTCCTGCAGATCGCAGTCCATCGCGGCCCTCGACGGAAAGAGCCCCCGGGCCTGCACAGATCACGGCAGATAATGCAGCAATGCAGTTGCCATTCCGCCTGCATGCGCCTTATCGATGCACGGTGCAGCACTGTTGCTGCAGAAGCTGCAGCAGCACAGCACAAGCCGGCCCTTGGAGGCCGAGGCAGTCTGGCGTCTGCTCGACGCGGGTCCTCGTCAACTTCAAACTCCGTGAATCTCCACTTGCCCATCCCGCTTCCCCGTACGGAGCGGTGAATCTTCCACGAAGTATGACGCTATGGATGCCATGGATTTTATCCGAAAAAGGGCCGCGTCCTTCCCAATCCACCAATCCACCAATCCACCAACCCACCAATCCACCACTTTTCCAATCTTCCAGTCTTCCAGTCTTCCAATCCACCTTCTTTGAGCCCTCCTCTGACGGGTCGGAACCCCTCGGGATTGCGGCCTTGCCCCCCCCCCCCCCCCCCCCCCCCCCTTCCCCCCTGGTCCCCCAAGGATTGAGCTGGTTTTCATGGCTGACCGCTTGTCTGAGCAAGCGAACCGATGGACGACCACGTTTTTCCTCCCCTGCGAGCCCTTCGGCTGGGCTCCGGCGTTCATACCCCCGAAACTCTCCATGTCCTTATCCCGGAGATGAAGGGGGGCTAGGGTTTGAGCTATCCTGCAGCTCGGGGGCCATGCGCACTGCCTTTGTGCATTTTAGCAGGGGTTTCGGGTTGACCTTGTTGGCACTACCATGACTATATCATCCTAGAACCCACTTTTTTTTATATTTTATTTTTTTTACTTTTTAATCTGGGGGCGTCGCTGGCCGGTATATCGGCGCCATGGTGATATAAAAAGGCCATGGCAACGAACACGGTCCTGTTGGATCTGATAATCATTTCATTCCCTCCTGCTCTTCCCCGTACGGCCATACTTCGCCAGGGATACGGCTTGATACCTTGGATTCCTATCATACGCCTCCAATCCCAATTCCCAATTGTCATTCCCCATTCCCATCTCCATCCTCCATCCTCCATCCGAACCACCTCCGTTCCCCCTCCTCCCCCACCTTTGACACCCACACAATGCCGTCCTCGGCCCCCCTCATCCGCTCCAAGGTCAATAAAGCCCATGGCCACAAAACCGACATCCCCATCAGCTACGACATCAACATCCCCTATGTCGACGTCGACAAGCTGTCCCAAATCAACACCCCATACCCGCAGTATCTGCCCACCTGGGACCCGATCTGGTTCGACCCACTGCCACACTTCGACTACGCCGATCCCGCCCTGCGGGTGAAAGACCCCGCCATGCGCAACCTGCTCACCCCCCACGCCAAAGTCACCCATATCCAGCCCAGCATCGGCAGCGTCGTCGAGGGCGTGCAGCTGCACACCCTCTCCGACGCCGCCAAGGACGAACTCGCCCTGCTCATCTCCCAGCGCAAAGTCCTCGCCTTCCCCGACCAGGACCTCATCGACGCCGGCCCCGACGAGCAGGAGCGCTTTATGCGCTACTTCGGCAAACCGAACTACCAGCCTGTCTCCGGCACCGTGCGCAATCACCCGGCCTTCCACGTTATCCACCGCGACGGCAATCGCGACGAAATCGCCCGCTTCCTCGAGCAGCGCACCACCACCACCCTCTGGCACCAGGACGTCAGCTACGAGATCCAGCCGCCCGGCTATGTCATGCTGGGCCTGCTGCAGGGCCCCGAGGTCGGCGGCGACACCGTCTTCGCCGCCACCGACATGGCCTACAAGCGGCTGTCGCCCACGCTGCGCGCCTTCCTCGACACGCTGAAGTGCGTGCACTCCTCGGCCAAGATGATCGCGCATACCCGCTTGATGGGCGGCCTGGTGCGCAAGGATCCCGTGGACTCGGTGCACCCGCTGGTGCGCGTGCACCCGGTCACGGGCGAAAAGTGCCTGTTCCTCAACGCCGAGTTTATCACCCGCATCCAGGGCATGAAGGAGCCGGAAGTAAAGTGGATGCTGGATTTCCTGATGAATCATATCGTGACGGGACATGATTTCCAGGCCCGCGTGCGCTGGCAGCCGCGGACGATTGTCATGTTTGATAACCGGTCGACGACTCGTGAGTGTCCCCACCCTTTCCCCGTCCATCGACCTCGTTTCACCTCGTTTCGCCCCGTTTCACCGCACAGTGCCGCTGCTAACGCTAACGACGCCAGATTCCGCCATTGTGGACTATCTCGACGAAGAATACGGCGCCAAGGCCCGGCATATCTTCCGGCTGATCGCGCTGGGCGAGAAGCCCATTCCCGTGTACGACGAATTCGAGTAAATACAAAAATCATGTCCTCCTCTTCTGTGAAATGCAAGCGATGCGTGTTTTTTCTGCGGTTTCTGCTTTGGGTGTGATAGACGGTCTTTCGCGGTTCTTGCTCGGGTGTTTTCGGTTGAATAGACGGCGTGCTTTGGTGTATATTTTCTTTCGATCTAGTTTCGTTTTGAACCTCTATCCGCATATTGGCCATCGCACAATAAAATCGACCCCCTTTCCGATGGGATGGAGCCTGCTGGAAGCAATGGCCATTGAGTGGTCTAAAAAATGGAACTGGAAGTGCACTTGTGGATTCCAATCCATGACGCAACAAAGAAAATGCCGTTTCATTACCATTTCCCCAAGATACACAACGCCCTCGGGATTGCAGTAGAGTTTACAGAAGCAGAAATGGGAAAGGAGAAAGAAGAGAAGAAGAAAAAAGAGCACCAGAAAACCCGTCGATCCTGGACATATCCAAGTTAAATAAACCATCCCCCGTGACAGAATAGATCACCGTAGCAGATCCTCAATCCGTTGCCGCAATTCCTCGCTCCGCTCGGTAATTTCAGGCGTCTGAGCACTCCACGGCTGCTGTTGCATCAACAACAATGTCTCCGAGACACGCTCGGCCTGGCTGTCGCCCCCGAACACCATTCCTCCCAACCGGACACTTTCCCGGAACCATCCCTGCAACAGATAAAGCAAGTCAATGGCGATGAACCGGCGGTTGGGGCCGTGGAAGGGCGCCTCATCAGTATAGAACATCGCCTCCAAAACGGTGAAGAGGGCGTCGTGCGCGACCCCCAGATCCAGGAACAGATCAACCACCCAGTGGGTGGTGCTGACACTCCGTTGGAACTCCATTGAATACCGTTCCAGCATCGGCAGGAGCTCCCGGACAGGGAAAACCGTCTCCGACATCCGCAGACGGCTGCCAAGGCTCCGTACTTTCTCGGCCACGGCCTCGAACGGCTGCGGCGTGCCGTGATCCACTGTCCTCTGGTGCAGATCCTGGATTAGATTCTGCCAGGTAGACTTGATGTCCGCCGCATTCCGGTAATCGGCAAGGAAGAAGATCTGCAGACAGATGTCATAGTAGCTCGCTGAGTCTGCATATTGGTTGTAGAGCTGAAAGATAGGAGGGGTTCATGTCAGAACAGGAATCACGTAGAGGCTGAGGGGGCAGAAAGGTGGAACATACGGTGCTGATATCCAAGACTGGGCCATCCACTTCCCGGAGGATATCCGTTTTGCGTTCGGGGGCGATGCGATTATCGTCCTTCAGACGTTGCAGGAGATCATCCTGGATATTGGCCACGTCGATGAGGTTCGAGATTTCCTGCAGCAGGCGCTGTCGGACCTGACGGCCGACGTCGGCAGTGAAAGTGGAAGCATTAGCACGAGCACGGCCCAGATACTCGATACGACGGCTAAGTGGCAGCGTAAAGGAACTCTGAGCCAACTGGAACTGGACTTCGGCGGCCTCGAAGAACCGCTGGGATTGGGCGTAGTATCGCCACAACAGGTCGGCATGGGCAATATCGTCATTAGACTTCCGCTTGAGATAGTCCACGACAAAGGTCGATTGGGTCTGGAGGAGTCGGTCGCTCCAGCCCTGCTCGAGGTACCAGTCGTACAGACTGGTCAAAAATACCTCGTCGCTAGAATCGGAAATAACGCCATATGCCTCGGCCTGTCGCTTAGCAATCACGGTCAATTGACCATCAATTACACGAGGATCAGTAGCGGCCTGGGTGTCCACGGCAACGATAATTTTGGAGATGAGATCGTAGCATTGCTTGCGGAAAAGGAAGTACTCCTTACGGGGGTCCTGGAAAAAGATGAGTGACCCTTGTTGGTCGGTGTTGTAGAAGCCAGGAGAATGGGGTAAAGTTACCTGTTCGGGGCGGCCGTCCACAATCCACGAGAGGGCCAGCTGCGCCTTATCGGAGCGTGAGGCCACATGAAGGGCTAGTTGGATTGCACCTGATTCCAGATATTAGAACAAGGAAAATCCCCCGAGAAGTAGAGAAGCTAGTGGCAGCTTCAACACAAAGAAAACCTTACCGGCAAAGAATTGGTTGGTAATATAGTTGTCCACGGCCGAAACTAGATAATCCATGGGTAGGTTCTCGGCCACCTGCATGAAAAGATGTAAACTCTCGTTCAGCAAGTTGCGACCGAGCTCGGAGTTGGCACCGGCCTCCGTCGCACGCTTGAGCTGCTCCTGCGCCTTGAAGATGACCACATCTTCGGCACTGCAGAAGCTACCACACCGGCGGCGAAGAGCATCAGCCACAGTCTCAACATTAGATCCCTTGGCAATGTTGCGATTCACGATACCCTTCACCAACTCCTTGGCGATTTCGTGGCCATTTTTAGTACTGAAGAGCTCCTCGAAAGTCAACTTCAAGAATCGCTGCTTCGACTCTTCAGGCAATGTCGCCACAATCTCTTCCACTCGCTCATCAAACAGCACCAGCACAAAGGAAATACCCTCAATTGTGTGTGAAACCAGCTGAACGAGAGAATGAAGAGCACGGTGCTCGGCTTGCAGTGCCGTCTCTTGTTGTCGGTTGGACACCCGAGCCAGTTCCTCAGGTCCAGTCAGACCCTCAATGAAGCTCTTGTTGACTTTGAAGAAGTCTTGCAGGGAGGAAAGATCGTGCTGAATGACGCGAAGCTTGGCAGCGCTCACCGAGGCGGACACAGACATCGCACCGTTGGGTCCCTTGCCCACCTTGGTAATCTCTTTTTTCCAGATCGACCGCAGCAGGCGCGAGATATACAAGGCAATACCGTCATGACGAGGAGAGAGATGGATAGTATCGATGGCTGGAGTGGTGTTGTCCTGCACAGTATTTTCGTTCGGCACTGGCCGGCCACCTTGCTCGATAAAGACTCTGCGAGCAAACTCGAGCACATCCGGATCGTTGATCGGGGTAAGTCGTTGATCAGCGGAAACTTCCACACCCTGGCCGCAAGCCACAGCCAGAGCAGTAGCCAGTGTCTCATTGCGGCCATATGCTCTGATGAATTTCACGACCTCCAGCTCAAGGCCCTCCTCACCCTCGGCAGCACCGCGGCTGCGCGCTAACGCAGCAAACACATCTACCAGACGTCGCCGACGAATGATGTGGATGCCACTATTGGTCAAGATTGCAATTTCGGTCGCGCCCTGATCAAACTGAACGGCCAGCTCGTTGCCAAACCCACCCCCGGGGATGCCTAGAGGAGCACTTGAGCATAAGCCAATATCTTCAGCTCGGCCACCCAGATTCAACCAGACGGCTGCCTCAGCAGACTTGGCAATGTTCACACTTTCTGGCTGGTAGTTAAGACGACCTGGATCAGGCGAGGAGATGAACAATGTATCCATTTTCTGGGTGGCATCTCTGCAAGTAAAGCAAAAGAAGAAACCGGGGGGAAATCGTGCCGCCATTCGGGTAGGGGAGAGAGACTGGATCGGGTGTATCGTGACAGCCGAATTGAGTCGAGAAACACCGTACTCGGTTGGGGCCGCTACAGCGGGGAATGCTGCTGTGTTATCGACCGGTGGGGTCTTGACATGCTGGGCCTGCATGCTTGTGGGTGCATTGTTGCCGTTCGACCCGGGGGTCCAGCTATATGCGTTGGTGGCACTGAGATAGATCCGGTAACCCGTGGCTGTGGTTGCCACGAGATGGTACCGCGATGCCTCCGCGGCAGGGACAGGGCTGATGGAAACAATCTTGACTTTAGGGTTCAAGGTGTCGTTAGATGCGATGATATGTCCGATGTTGGAATAGATATCCTGGGCCTGCTTGGTGATTGCAAGACAAATAGCACCATCGGCTTTCATATGGAAGACTCGGATGGTCGATGTTGAGGACAGAGTATAGAGCAGTTTCCGACTGTCGTCAATTACCATTTGCTCCACATGCTCAGTGGCCTTCTGGGACAAGACGGCAAGGTTGGAAAAGCTCAGGGATGGCGCGAAGGCAGATAGCCTCGAGCTGGTATGGTTGATTTTGCGACATCGACCCTGGAACCATCCTTCCTCTTGTTGGTATGTAAGCTCGTAAACCTCATTGTCCGACAACCCTCCAAAGAAGATGCGACCAGTAGCGTCGGACGAGGCAAACACATTTACATCGAGACCACGAATAGACACCCCCATTCCAGTCTGGTAGAGAGTCACCTGTTTCGATCCATTTGGTGTCGATTCCACGCCCATACCCAGCAAGATTATGTCTGCAGTCGTAGCCACCACAAGCAGGTGGGTGATAGCGGGCAGAAACACTCCCGGGCGTGGCTTCAACAGCTTGACCGCATTGATGCTGTTAGGCTGCTCCTCAAACCCAACCAATTGAGAGTTCGGATGCGTGAAATCCCAGAGATAGAGTGCATTATCGATCGCCACCCACGCGTGGTTCAATTCGGCGAAGAGACCCATAGTTGTTGACACTTGTGCACGGTTGTACTGTTCGAAAATCTGGTCGGGGATATTGTACATCTTGACTTTTTGGAAAGGCGCCCATGACTGGGATACTGGGATATCATATTCGGAGGAGAAACCCTCTATTCAGCGCGTGTCACGTTAGCTTTGGGGGACCTTTTTTTGTCCTTTTCACATGGATGGCCAAGTTTGGAATTGGAGAGGACTCACGAGACAGGTAGCTGTCCAGATCTGGATACCGCGATTCCTTTAGAAGCGTATCGTTGATGGTCCGCGCTCCACGCTCCTCGGTGCTCAACGTCCGAATCTGTGACTGTGAGGCGGCCGGGGGCATTCTGGGCATCGGAGGCTGGGCAGCGGCGGGCTGTGGCTGCTGTGGCTGCTGCTGCTGCTGAGCTGAAGACTGGAACGGCCCATTGCGGGCGACGCCTGGGGTTTGCAAGTAAGCTCCAGGAAGGGGCCTCTGCGGCGTCGCGGGCGGGAGGTTGGTTGGCAGAGTCGGGTACGACATGGTGGATTCGCAGGTGCACAGCTGGGGATGTGGGAGGAGAGAGGGCACGACTCCCCGGCCGAGCGAACAAGAAGCTGCAGGATCAATCAAAGGAAGGAACAGGTACTCATCAACAGTCGTCGCGGGGAAAGGGCGGTGTAAATCGAGTAAGAGGAGGAGGGTCGCTGTTTCCAAGTTCTTTTGCGAAAAGCGAGTCAACAATTGGAAGGCGCACGGGCCACTTCGATGAACTTCCGCCTTTCGTCTTTAGCAGTCCGCAAAGCTTCACCTTGCCATTGCATCTTCGCTGCCTAGATTGGCTTGCCATTGACCCTGAATAGCTGGTCCTTGTTTCCTGTAGGCAGCTGCCATTTATCCATACAATGCTTCGATCTCTTCGTCTGTTCACCCGAGTGCCGGTGCGCTCGGTGCGCTGGAATTCCACTGCCGGTCCGACTCTGCCGCCGTTGATGGCCACTCTGCGCAATGATCTCAAGACCGCAATGAGAGCGAAAGACACCTCCCGGTATGTCTAGAGTGAAGTGAACAGCAAACTATTCTCACTCGGCGAATATTTGTTAATCGAGGGGGGTCTGTTCCTTACCCTTCCAGCCTCAATGTCCTCCGCGCCCTGATCTCTGAGACCAACAACGCTGCCAAAACCGCTTCACCCATTCAGACCGATATCCAACTCCTTTCCCTCATCCGCAAACGAGCATCCGCAGCCAAGGATGCTGCACAGCAGTTTGCTGAAGCTGATCGGCCCGACCTGAAAGAAAAGGAAGATGCGCAAATTGCCGTCTTGGAGGAGTATGCTAGCCAGGTTAAGACCATGACTGTGGAAGAAGTGGAAGCCGTGATTGCAACAGAGGTTGCTGCCATCAAGGAATCTGGCAAGAAGCTGGAGATCGGACAGGTTCTCAAGGCTCTTTTCGCCCCCGGTGGTGCTCTGGATGGCAAGCCCGCAGACCGGAAAGAGGTTGCTGGGCTGGTCAAGAAGGCTGTCTCTGCTTGAAAACCTCAACGCAGAAAAGCGTCGGAGTGAAGCAAAAGCTTCCTGTGTATAATAGTCTTGTTACAATACTTTGGATATCCCGCACCCCTCCACTCGAGGTATGAGTCTATATAGAGAGGAAAAGAAGGAAAAAAGATTCATTTATCAAAGTTACACGAAGAAGGATTCACAAGAGTGATACGCCACAGACAGAAACGCCAGAGATCCCACGGAAAGCGTTATTATGAGCAGAAAAGGGCCACTCCTCCAAGCGAAGTCATCAGCACACCCAACCACCACCATTGGTCCGGGTTGATTAGCTCCTCCTTGATTCTCAGGTGAAAGCTAGTCCTAGACATGTCGCGCTTCTTGTGAGGTCCATTTGGTATTGGGTTCAACGTCGAGGTAGGGAGCATCCTCGGAGGCCGGTAGGCGAGATACATCGGTTGCATAATCTTGCCGTCCGCTTGGGCCAAGTCGAGGCGCTGAATGCCATGGTATCTATCCATTGAGACCGAGAATCCCTATGGGAGCGTCAGAATCGAGTGTGGACGCCCCTTTTGACTGTGCGGTGTCCTACCTTGAACTTCTCCGTGTTGTTGAATCGTGTATAGCTGCTCACACCCTGTCTGCATGGTTCGGAGAGCAATTGGCGCCCATCAACGGCAATCGGGGTCAAGGTGAGGGATCCGTTGGCCAGCATGACATACGAGCCATGCTGCCACTGCATGACCCCGGACGGACATGAGGGGTCGGTGGCTGTGTGGGAATATACGAAACCCCGTTAGTGCTCTGGTTCTCTGGTTCTACTCTCCAGCCCTCGTATAGATGGCGGGAAGACGCGGGATCCACCGAGACTCACGATTGGCCAAGGCCCGGTACCAGGCCTCCTCATAGTATCCGTCGGCGGAGAAAGAGTAGGAAATACCCGTCAGATTAGGCTCGAGGAGTCGATCATTGAGCGGATCGTAGAATCCCTGTCACGTCAGATCAGTCTGTCGTTCTTTGAAAGTTATGGAGCTGGTCACAACCCATACCGGCCCTGTGAGGACATTGCGGGACTTGGTCGTCCATGTCCCGACCAGCTCATCCACGCTAACAGCCACCGCCGTAGCCAGCAAAGTCCAGATCCAAATCATAGTTGGTTGGATAAATGATCAATCATAGGTATAATTAAAGGTCAGAGTGTCCAGCAGGAGAGGGAAGCAGCATGGGCTCATTTCAATCCCTACATTCAAGTGGGGACCAAACAAGGACCTCAGCAATGCCGGTCCACCCTTATCATTTATCGCCCTGGAATGAACCTCTCCTCCTCCCACTTGGCTTTCCCGCGGGGTTTTTGCAATTGATCCGCAAACATGATGGCATTTCAGACGGCCAAGCGCGACCTGCGCAAGCGAATGCGCGACACGCTTCAGACGCTATCGGCCACTTCGATCACACAGCAGTGTCAGTTATTTTTCTTGTTCAGCGCGCTGTGCATCTTTCGAGTCATTCCAGGGCCTTCACTTTCTCCTTCCCAGCTAACACACCCACGCAGCCAGCGTCGCCACCCATAAATTACTATCGCTAGCCGAGTACCAGAATGCAAAGAGTATCGCCGTCTACTTATCAATGCCCACCGGGGAACTCTCGACCCGCAGTATTGTCCAAGACGCATTTCAGCGCGGGAAAGACGTCTACATCCCATTCATCCACACTGTCGACAAGGTCTCCGTCATGGACATGCTGGCGCTCGAATCCATGACTGAGTTCGAGTCATTACAACCCGATAAATGGGGCATCCCCTCCCTACAACCTGCGCAGGTTCCCGGCCGGCGGAATTGCCTCTCAGAAAAGGGACTAGATCTAATTGTTATGCCGGGCATGGCTTTCGATTACGACTTCCGACGACTCGGGCATGGAAAAGGATATTATGACCATTTTCTCACACGGTATTCTCAATGGAGCAATAAGATGCCATTCCTTGGTAAGATGACGCCCAGAACCAGATGAAATTAACGAGAAAAAAAGACAGAAGAAACCCCCGGTTTTTGCCCCTGCCCAAAAAGCTAAAACTCCGTTACTCTAGTGGCCCTGTCTCTCCAGGAGCAATTGCTCGCCGAGGATATCCCCGTGTTGGAACATGACTGGCTGATCGATGCAATCGTGGTGGGTGATGGGCGGTATCTCGACCGCAGGTCGTAGGTCGACAAAAAAGTATAGAACGAAATGGATGCGAGGTGTGGTGTCGATGTTTCAAACTGCCTGGATGAGGGAGACATTGTCGCCCTTGAGCAGAATTTGGCCTGTATAGTGCGCGCGCGAAGTTAGCTTACGTCCGTTATTCCTCTCCAAGCTCCAGTATCCGTATCTCAAGGGGTCCATACCAAGAGGCCTCCGCTTCTCCTCCTCAGTCTTGGTAGCTAGGCGCACCTCCACCGCATCGTCAATAACCAGGTTCATGAACTCATCGAATCCCTAGGGCACGTAAGTCAGTCAGATCGCAGCTGTCAGATGATCACTCATCAACTTACCCTGATCTTGCCCTCAATGCGGAACGCGAGCTGCTCGTAGAGCCAGACCGAAACCGTGCTGCGCTTCTGCAGCAGGCTGAAAATGAAGTGAATCGGCGCTAACAAAGTCTTGCGGCCGGCCATGATGAAAGAGGGATTGAGAGGGTGGGAGGTTGACACAAGAGGAGCGGGATTGCGGGTTTGCGGCGAAGGAGGAACTTGGCGAGGGCCGAAAGCTCTGCGTCCCGTGATTTTCGTACGGTAATACCAATACAAGAGTCACGGGCACCAACATCCCACCTTCCACTCCTCCTCATCAACTCTTTTGCGATCCCACTTCTCTGCTCTCTCTGCTGCCTTTCGTTCTTTTATTCTCGGTTGTTCTTGGATGCTTTAGATTGCTGAGCTTCCAATCTTGTCGAACCGCTCACCCTCCTCCAAAATGGCCAGCAAGGATGGTGGGCAGCCATTTGCCCCGGTCCTGGCGGCCGTTGCGACCATGCAAGGGAATGTGTCTAGGGCCGAGAAGGCCCAGGCCCATGAATTCCTTGAGAAGTTCCAGAAATCGGTATGCCCTGAGAACAAAGTTACTTCTTACCTTTTACGTCTGATTGGCTTTACTGACTGCCCCTCCAAAAAATCCAGGTCGAAGCCTGGACGACTACGCACGCTCTTCTACAATCTGCCGACGTGCCCGTGGAAGCTAAATTGTTTGCGGCGACTACATTGAAGGGAAAGGTGAGATGAAAAAGTCTCAGTGTCATGGTGGGACTACGCGCTGATAATCACAGATCATTTTCGATTTGGACCAACTGCCCTCAGACTCCATAGTGGCGCTGCGCGATTCCGTTCTCAATCTGCTCGTTGCATTTGCCTCCGGTCCGCGACCCATACAGACTCAGCTATGCGTGTGCTTGGCAAGTTTGGCGATCCAAATGGTGTCTTGGAAGGATGTTTTGGCCACGGTGGGGTCGGTCTTGGGCAGCAGTGCGGGGGACTGTGTACTCGAATTTTTGAAGATCCTGCCAGAGGAAGTGACAGAGGGTCGCAAGATCAACCTCAGCGTACGGAAGCCTGTCTCAAATACCTGCTTTGGAATGGGGCATACATTTTCTAACAATACTTTATAGGAGGACGAGCTGAGCGCACGAACCCGAGAGCTGTTGGAGGATAATGCGGAGCAGGTGATGCAGCTGATGATTCAATATGCTCAATCGTCGCGTAAGTATTATCGAGCTACGCCTATTATATGTCAGATTGATTAGACCGCTGACTCTCTCCGCCCCGCGGCCTCATAGCTTCTGCCGCCACCAACCCCCGTCTTCTTGATTGCATTACCTCATGGCTTCGTGAAATCCCCGCTGCTCAGGTCATCAATTCGCCTTTGATGGACGTAATTCTCAAGGCGTTGGACAACGATGTATCATTTGATGCCGGTGTTGACTGCATGTGCACGCTCTACCGTGACACTAAGGACGTCCACGAGTCCCTCCCCATTATCCAAGCCCTCTACCCTCGCCTGATGGCTCTTCGACCTAAAATTGCCGAAACAGCAGAAGCCGAAGATCTGGAAGCGTTTAAAGGTATTACAAGAATGTTTGCCGAAGCCGGCGAAGCATGGGTGGTGCTCATGGCACGCGTGCCCGGTGAATTCCGAGGTCTGGTGGAGGCCGTTCTCGAGTGCTGTGCGCGGGACTGGGAACGTGAGGCCGTGTCAATCACCTTCATTTTTTGGTATGAGTTGAAGCAGTGCATCACAGTAGAACGACATGCCGACGCGCGACTCAACTACCAAGACATCTGGTCGCAGTTGATGGACATTATGGTCAAGCATCTTGAATTCCCTACCCCTGAGGAAGGTGAGACTGATCTGTTTGGCGGTGATCGTGAGCAAGAAGAGAAGTTCCGCCAATTCCGTCATGCAATGGGCGATGTTCTCAAGGACTGCTGCTCCGTCATTGGCGTGACTGAGTGCCTCGGTAAGATTTATCAATTGATCCAGCAATGGGTGGGCAAATACGCATCACAGGCCAGTAACGATCACGTCCCTCACTGGCAAGAGCTGGAGGCACCACTCTTTGGCCTTCGGGCCATGGGTCGCATGGTTGACCCGGTCGAAAATACCGTGTTGGGTCAACTGGTCCCTTTGATCGTGCAAATTCCAGAGCAGGAGAAGGTCCGGTTCCAAGCAATCATGGCTCTGGCCCGCTACACGGAGTGGACGTCGATGCACCCTGAGACTCTCGAGGCTCAGCTCAACTATGTGATCTCCGGCTTCCAGCACCCCTCTCCCGAAGTCGTCCAGGCGGCTGCCCTGGCGTTCAAGTTCCTGGGAACCGATTGTCAGAAGCTGCTGGGCGGTCATATTGACCACCTCCATTCCTTCTTCGAGTCGGTTCTCGATAAACTGAAGCCTACTAGCCAGGAAGAAGTGACTGAGGGTGTTGCGGCCGTGGTGTCCGTGCAGCCGATGGAGAAGATTTACGATTCAATGAAGATGTTCTGTGATCCGATCATGCAACGGATCATGAACCTTGCCAACAACGCCCAGACTGAGGAGGGCCAGCGAGCAGTGGCCGATCATCTAGGACTGATCTCCATCTTCGTCCAGGTGGTGACTCCCATCGTCGCCCCAGGTGAAGAGAACCCCGCAGTCAAGTACTGCGGCGAGATCCTGCCTATCATGACTACGATTGTTATGAACTTTACGTCTTCTACCCCTATTCTCGAGCGCGTGTGCCGTTGCTGGCGAAACATGCTTATCTCATATCGAACCGCTATGATTCCTCTGCTGCCTACCTTGGCCGAAAGCATCGCCAATGGCTTCCAAGCCTCCCGAGAGGGCGGCTTCCTGTGGGCTACTGACGCGGTGGTCCGCGAGTTCTCTCACGGCGCCGAATATGTCGATGAGGCGACCAGCAATGCCGTGTTCCATTTCTACGAGCAGCAAGCCACTACTTTCCTGCGAATTCTGAACGACCTGCCACCCGAGAACCTCCCCGATGGTAATAACAATGCTTCCCTCAAACCCCCTCTGCCCTTTACAATATTAAGACTAATTTGATTTCATCTCGTATAGTCATTGAGGATTTCTTCCGGCTGTCCTCCGATGCCGTCCGCTACTACCCCAAAAAGTGCATCACTTCCCAGTTGGCCATTCCTATCTTCTCCGCGGCTCTTAGTGCCCTTACTCTCCAACAGGTCGATCCTCTGATCGCCACCCTCCATTATTACCGGGACCTGTTCAGCTTCGCTTTCGAAAAGCCTTTGGTCTCGGAATTCACCAGTCCAGATGAGGAGCCTTATGTCAACCCGCCTGAGGTGCGCGAGGCTGTGAAGAACCTGATTGCCTCCCAGGGTCAGCTTCTGACCCAACGCATACTGGTCGGCATGATCTTCACTTTCCCTGGTGACTGCTTCCCAGATGCGTCGGCGATCCTGATGACCCTGTTCGAGTTGCTCCCCCATGAGACCGGCGCCTGGCTACAGACCACGCTACAGATGCTGCCAGCCGGTTCAATGAAGCCGGCCGAGGCTGAGCGACTTCTCAAGAACATTGCCGAGAAAGTGCAGACTGGTGAAATCCGGAAGATTCGCGTTTTGCTTCAAGGTTAGTTGATCTCAACCTCTCGAGCTGGCTGTTTTGGTTTTTTTTCCATTCTCTTAACGTCTCCCTTCTATCTAGACTTCACCAACTCGTACCGCCGCCGCAATGTCGCCCCCCGAGATGGGCTGGGCCGCCTGGAGGCCACCCGATTCCGGTTCAGCGGGTGAAAGACAAGAGAGAAATTTCCCTTACTTTTCTCTCCATGTACATTGATTTCTCTCCCTCTCTCTTGACCCTCGAGGTGTTTGCTTCAGGTTCCCACCCGGAAAGAAATAAAAAGAATCCCCCGGGGAGCATTCGCACATCAGGTGTTGGTTCATTTCTCTCTCTTGACGCGCCATGTGGTTTGTATCTTGGCACGAACATCGTCTTGTGATGATTCATGATCCCGCCGGTGCGTGCCCGTTGCCAGATGAGGTTTTTAGGTTTTTCTTTTCTTCTTTCGAGTCTGGCTTCGACTGGGACTACGTTGGGGTTATGCGAATCAACCCCGTTTATGCACCGTGATGACTAGGTAGAGAATACCAGATAGATATTGTCCATTCCGATCTTGGGTAATTGATTGTATGTTTGCGGCTGTGGGGAAGGTATGGTAGCTGTCTTCTATGTTTACAGGAATTTAGCGTGGAAAGTGTGTAAAATATGTCCTGGAGCACGGAGCTGTCGTTCTGCAGGTCCCGTTTCTATTCGGGTTGTTTTGAACCTGTCTTTTTGCTCCAGGCGTGTAGTAACCTTGTGGTGTGGGCAACAGCAGTCTGAACTGGACGAAGAATACATATTGCGGTACACCTCGGCTAATATCACCAGTAACCTGCACTCTCCTTGGCGATAGTAGTAGGGCACAATGCCTAAAAGTCCTTGTCAAGCCAAGTTTATTCTCGATTTGATTGCCTGCTCCTGAGAGTATGGTCTTGCGAGGGTGCCATAATTAATTGCATGGATGCTGCTCATACGGAGCTGGACTTTCGGCAACCCAGAAGAAAAAGAAAAGCGCTTTGTTCGATACTACTTTAGTTTCTATTCCTATGCAGATGATTACATATACTGCGTAGACGGGCTGGAACTGCCTAGCTGGAGGCGAAGTCTAGCCCCGCCTACTTCAACCCCAACCCACGGCAGTGCAATATTCACCGAGCTCCGCCTCAGCTTAGACACGACCCCACCGCATCTCCGCACTTCTGGGGACTGACATTTGACGTTCCCGCTCCTTTGCGATCGTTCTGTCATTTGCCCTTTGAACCTCTCTGCTTCCTGCTTCCTGCTTCCTCCGTCGCTGCCCGTCGCTGCCCGTCGCTGAACGCCCACGTGGCTCTCAGCTTTCTGACGATCGGGTGCTCCCACCTGCAGCGATCATCGCAGCGCCCTCGTGCCGATGGCACCCAATGGTGCTCCCCACGATTAAACCAGACATCATGGCTGAGGCCGACGAGCAACCCTCCAAGCGCCGGCGACGCAGCCGGCGGGCTCCCTCCGATCGCAAGTTCGAATGTACTCATGAGGGCTGCGGCAAGAGTTATTCGCGCGCCGAGCACCTGTACAGGCACCAGCTAAACCGTATGCGATTTCTGCGCCCGCGCTTGCGCATTCACACCCATAAGCCACCCGGGAACAAATTAGGAGCAGGGCGATGCTAACGAACACAATCTTTCTTTCCAGACACCCCGAAACAGATCTTCCGCTGCGATTTCCCCAATTGCTACCGCTCATTCGTGCGCCAGGACCTCTGCATCCGCCATCGCGAACGGCATACCACCCGTGGCTCACAGCTGCAGAAACGCGACAGCTTCGCCAACGACAGCCCCGATGAATCACCCCACAAATCACTCATGCCGGCGTCCTCGCCGTCCTCGCCGTCCATGACAGCGACCGACTACCCATTCCTGACAGGCCCCCCTCCACCCAGTTCCAAATCGCCTCCAAACACGGTCTTTCCGCTACCCACCTCCACCACCATCGACACAGCCGGGGTCCCCGTGTCCGGCTACACAGACTTCTCCGGCGTTATCAGTCAAGCGGACACTATGCTGGAATTTGACTCCATGTCAAATGCCTACCCGATATTCGGCGGCGAGACCTACAACCGATCACCATTTGCAATGGCGGACGACTTTGCAGCGTGGCTATTCAGCGAGCCTCTCGCACCACTGGGATACGGGATGATGCCGTTCGTGCAGAACCAGTTCTACGTGAACGAGCCATCGTACAACAACTTTTGCTCGGTGATTCCGCAGCACCCGATGAGCGTGACGAGTATTCTTGACTCTAGCACGCTGCCGGCGATTATCTCAGAGGAAAAGCGGCAGGATCTGTTGCATCTCATGGCGACACGATTCAATGAAGCGGCGTACTCAGCAGAGGGGAAGCGCAAGGATGCGCTGATGGACGGGGACTTGGACAGTGATCGGCATGTGCTGAGTCTACGCATGATGCAGACGTATATTGGCTCGTATTGGTTTCATTTCCACACGCAATTGCCGATTCTGCATCAGCCGACCTTTGCGGCAGATCGAACACCAAATCTGTTGCTGCTCGCTGTCATGGCCATAGGAGCGGCAACGCTGGACAAGGCTCATGGGCAGGCTGCGACGGAGACAGCCGCAGAACTAGCTAGCTTCATTGCATGGCATTTGCGCTGGGAGATTTTTATGGATGCAGATTTTAGGCCGCCAGCCCGGCTGTGGGTATTCCAGGCCCTGCTTCTACTGGAAGTCTACGAGAAGCTATTCTCGACGCGCGCACTGCACGAACGCGCGCATATCCACCACGACACGACCCTGACGCTCATGCGCCGCGGCAGCTCGCTAATCGGCCGGTCCTCCTTCGATACTCCCGAGTCCAAGGAAGAGGACGAGTCGTGGACGCACTGGATCAAGTCAGAAGCTACTCGGCGCGTGGCGTTCGGGGCGTTCGTGCTCGACTCGACGCATGCGACTATGTTTGGACACTCGGCGAAGATGGTGGCGCACGAGCTGCGCCTGCCCCTACCTTGCGACGAGGCGCTGTGGGCTGCCACCAGTGCCGCCGAGGTCGCGAGGGTGCAGTCGAGTCTGCAGTCGCATGGAGTCCGGCCGATCATGTTCCTGGATGGGCTGAAACGGACGCTGAACGGACAACCGGTGCGGACGAATGCTTTTGGCCGGATCATTCTGATGGCCGGCTTGTTGAGCGTGAGCTGGCATCTGAACCAGCGAGACTTGCAGGTCAGCTCTCTCGGGGTCGGACAAACTCTGGGTGGACGAGATAAATGGCGGACCGCTCTGCTGCGGTCTTATGATAACTGGCGACGCGACTTTGACGAAGCCCTCGGCCCGGCGACCTCGACCGAGTCGGAGTCGCGCGATGTGCTGCACGGTCTGGCCCACATGGCATCGCATGTCGACATCGTGGATCTCCAGATCTTTGCAGGTGCCGGCCGCCTGATGGGCCGGTCGATTACTGCGCGCGACTACAGTACGGCGCGCGAGAAGACTGACCGCTGGGCGACCAAGGCGTCCGCCCGCGATGCCACCTTCTACGCGCTCAAGTTCTTGAACGCTTGTTTCTCCGACCCAACCGTCGAGGCCGGCGACTATGTCGCTCGCGACGACTACCTGCTCAACCGCCCGTGGGTGATGTACTTTGCCACCCTGGTCGTCTGGTGCTATGGGTTTGCCTTGGATGGGCCTTTACGGCCGCCGCCGGCGCTGGCGACGCACGCCGATCGGCAGCGGAACATGCAGACGTTCTTGCAGCGCGTGGGTGGGGTGCGCGAGCCGAACGAGCTGGAGGGGATGAAGGGGCGCAATGAGTGTCTGGGGTTGCTGATGATCCTGCGGGACTCGTTCGCCAATTCGCGGTGGGAGCTGCTGGGCGAGGCGGCGCGGCTGCTGGACAGCTGTATCGCGAAGCTGCAGTCGTAGGGCGAAGGGGCGGAGCAGAGGAGACCAGGAGACCAGGAGAGACCGATCGTGAGGCGTGTGTATTTCTGTTCCTTGTGAGATAGTTTCTTGTACGCCGTGAGTATATATTTCAATCTGATTGACTACAAGTCCTAGTGCTCCCTCCGCATCCTGAGCCAAGCTGATCCCCCCACTTTGCTGTTATCTGTTGTCGTCGAGGCGTTGCCCGAACAACCGCCGATCCCGCTTCGCCCACGTCCACTCTCCCCTTCCACGTCGATTCACCTCCATTCCATTCCTGAACCAGATCTCTCCCTTCCAACACCCCTCAATTCCATTGTTGTTCTTCCTTGAAGAAAGAAACGCACCATGGTGAGTTCCCCAGCCGATGCCGTCCCCTGTTGACGGATTACCCCTTCGGTCCTGCACGGGACTGACTTCCGCCCCCATCCCTGGACCGTCCGACCGTCCCCCTTCCTCAGCTTGGCTGGCGGCTATCCTCCCCTCTGCCGTCCTCGCCAGCAACCTCCCCATCATGGCTAACATGCACGACCAGGCCTCTACCAACTACAAGGAAGCGTTCTCGCTTTTCGACCGCCGCGGCACTGGCCGTGTCGCCGGAGATCTGCTGGGTGACTTGCTGCGTGCCTGCGGCCAGAATCCCACGCTTGCGGAGATTACCGACCTTGAGAAGTCGGTCGGCGGCGACTGTATGTATCGCGACACCACTCCCACGAACTCGGCGATTGCCATTTCTGACAATAATCACAATAACTTCAGTTGATTTTGACTCCTTCCTTAAGGTGCTCAACCGTCCAGGCGGTTTCCGTGACCCCGGCGAGCCCGAGGAGTACTGCCGCGGATTCCAGGTGTTCGACAAGGACATGACAGGTTTCATCGGCGTGGGCCAGCTGCGCTACAGTACGTTCAGAACACCCCGATCCAAACCAGCGACCATGCAAGCTAACTCCTCCGTGTCTCGCTAGTCCTCACCAACCTCGGCGAGAAGATGACCGACGAGGAAGTGGACGAGCTCCTCAAGGCCGTCGACACCAGCTCGGGCGAGATCAACTATACCGACCTGGTCCGCACGATCCTGGCCAACTGATACCCTCCTTCTCTGGCTTGTTTTTGTGATTGATGAATTTACGTTATGGACACGGCTTTTTGCGAGGAACGGAATTGACGCTCGGGATACACTGCACTGCACTACTTCTACTATTCGGCGCGAGGAGCATCCATTCTGTCTAGGCCTGTATTTGATCGACCTTGAATGTATTATTGCGGCCGCGATCTATTCCACGATCGGCGGCTCTTCATTTCATATGATCCATCTGATTGATATCTGTATTCTTGCGCGGGTAGATTCTCCGGCCCATGTCCCTGTATTGTATCGCTGTCGCATTCGCATCCTCTGCAATGCGACTATGCATCCTCCGCCCAAGCCCTCCACTCCTTCTCGCCCACCCCATCATCTCCCATTTTGTCCGTCTCCACCATCGCCCCCGGAAGCACATACATCGCTGGCGGCCGCTCCTCCTCACCCTCCTCGCCTAGCTCCCTCTCTTTCCTCACCCCTCCCCAATGCACTTGATCCAAATAATACCCCACCACAACGCGACACCGCCCGCACCGCAACAACATGCGCTTCTCAATGCCATCTTCGCGCCGGATCAGCGTCGCCCGCCGATCGGGTATCGTCGTAGAGAGGAGGAGCGTAGCGTGCTTCGTTCGGCCACTTTGGGTCTGCGGCTCCGTGTTCTCACCTTCGTCTAGCTCTGTGCCCCGGTTTTCGAGCGGCAGGATGAGCGCTTTGTCTTGGGAGTCGCCTGCGCGCCGCGGGAGGCTCGAGAGGTCGCGGGTTGTTGCGAGGAGGAGGTGGTTGCAGAAGCGGCAGTGTTGCGTGCGGATGGGGAGACGGGTAGCTGGAGATGATCCTGAGTCGGCCATTGCGAGGGTCGGCTCGTCTGGTTTGGGGTATGGGGGGGTTGGAAGCTGTCGGAGTCGTGAGAAGTTGAAGGCTTGGTGTGGTTGGTGTAGATTGAGGAATCTCTTTTGTAGCAGAGCGCACGAATTTCCAGAGTGGATTCCGCTTTACTGAATGCTTATCGTCGATCCTTGATCTTTGCGAAAGAGCTTGTTTTCTTGCAAGAGGCGCAATGTTGGGGAGATGCGGATTTCCTGATCCAGTTGGAGAGGCCGAAGGGATGGTCTAGCAGACGTTAGACTTGATCCTGCACCTGGAGGGAAATCGTTCCGTGGAAAGATAACTCACTGTGCCTAGACAGTATTCGAGGCTCGAATAATTTAAGGATTGGGGCTCGTGTCGCTGCGCAAGAAAAGTCGATGTCGCAGAGGAATTGCGGAGCGTCGACAGGTCAGTTCCAAGGCGGTGGGCTTTATCAGGATTGAGCGAGATAAGGATCTATACTCTGTAGCTTCTCTACAAATTTGATTCGAACCTGCCAATCCTAACTTGGGCTTTGAACGCGACATAATCAAAACACTGTTCGAGTCTAATGCCTCTGAAGAGGTCCGCTATTTCTCTATTCCATGGCTTGACGGGCTTACTCAGGCCTTGATTCTATCAGCGTATTTGTAAATCTGCGCTAACACCCCCTGCTCGGTTCTTTTCATTTCCAGAGCCTTTTTGAACGCAATAATTTGTTGCACAGGGCATAGAGGACTACGTACGGTAGAACTGTCACCCGTGACGATTATTCGATGTTCAACTGATCGCCAAGTCTGTACGTCATCGTAGACAATGCATAGATAGTTCCCCTAATGTCAAGACCAAGCTTCTTTTGAGTGTCCGCCGAATGTTGCATAAACAGCTTACCGACCCGTGTTAAGCCAGTACAAGATATGTTCTTTATGATGCTAAGCTGGCTGACTGTATAGAATAATCTCACCATACATTTGAGCCACTTCTCACTGAACTACTCCAAGAAGCTCGACGCACACAGCCTCGTTCCATGTCGCTCTGATCTTTACCATTCCCTGCGAGAATGGTATTACCTAAATCTTGCTCATTTCCAAGCAGGAGCCCAACACTCGATACCGAATGCGGTTGCGTGGACGGCATGACACCGGCCTCTAGGCTGGGGATGTTTGGAAGCAGCCAGAATCGCATCTTAGACATTATGACGGTTACTTCGGAGTAGGCCAGAAGATAAGCGAGTGCAAATCACCTACGTCCAGTTGATGCTAAGCATCTGCTCGTAGCTTGTAGGCGCTGCGGGGACGCTTTTCGGCTTATTTTGGCCGAGATTTGCAATATGGTGCCGGGGGAGGGGAGGTGCTGCTTAAGTCCGTACCTATCTATCTGCAAGGGCTTTTTTACTCTCGTAAATTTCTCTTCTTTTTTGATCAGCCATATACGGAGACAAGGATGTGTGTCGCTTTCGTTCAGTACAAAGCGTCGACACATCTTGATTGAGTTGTACGTACTAAACTCATAAAACCTGATTACCGCATTGTTTGTGCGGATCAGATGATCGCTGCAGCAAGTTGACTGCCAGGAATTCAGGGCAGCGACTCGAAACCAAGGTCGTGGGTCGATGTGCTTACTAAAAGTCCGGGGAAGCACATGCTAGCGGAACCCTAAATTAAAACCAACTACTCCGTGGGAAGAGCCCCGTGCATCGCCAAGGGTAGATTTGCCACCCCATTAAACTACAGGCAATTACAAGAGAGATTCAAGTCGAGCTTCAGAGAGGAGGAAAATGTAAAAATAATATCATTAATCGCATTAATTCATATCCAAGGTCATATATCCTTCGATCATTGAATTACACATGAAAGTCATATTAATCCCAAACGCCGCGATCCAGTCAGCCAAGACCGATCTACAGCGATTGGAGAATGCCCTCGATGAGCGGCATGAAGCCTGAGACGTCATTAATCAGAGTGGAAGTCTCATTGACAAACTTGGCAGACAATAGGTCCTCTGCGTTCGTCAGGAGAGTCGAGATCTTCTTGATAGAGTCGGGCTCAAGCAGAGTCTTGATCTCCGGCATCGAGTCTTCCAGGTTGGTCAGCAGACCCTTCAGGTTCTTGACCATGTCGGGCGTCAACAGGTCGCCGGCCTCGGTGATCAGATCACTTGTGCCTGCCACGAACGTAGGGGTCAACAATGCTGTGCCATTGCCGAGGAGATAGGTCAAGTTCGTGAGCGTGGTGTGGTTCAAGAAGTCCTTCTTGATATCTGGCACCACAGGCACAAGACCGTTGAGCAGCTCGGACAGACCGCCCAGAACATATGGCGAGAGCAGATCGTCCGCGCCATCGATCAATCCGCGGGTCTCGTTCACGAACTTGGGATCCAAAAGATCGTTGGCATTCGTCAGCAGAGAGGCAATCTCCTTGACGGAGTCAGCAGTGAGGAGCGCATTGGCGTTACTCAAGAGAGAAGCAATAGCTTCGATCGTAGACTTGGTCAGGAGGCCCTTGATCTCGGGCAGCAATGGCGTCACCTCGGACAGGATCGACTTCAGGCCAGTGACAAGCTCAGGAGTAAGCAGTTCGTCGGCATTGGCGACCAGACTCTTGGTTTGGTTAGCAAACTCGGGAGTGAGGAGATCGCTACCGCTGGCGAGGAGATTCTCCAGCTCATCAAACGTGGCCTTTGTGAGGAAGCCCTTAAGCTCGGGAAGCAGAGGGACGACGGCATTGAGGAGCTGCTTGAGCGCGTTGCTCACGTCCGTGGTGAGGAGCGCTGAAGCACCATCAATAAGACTGTTCGTCTTAGCAATAAAGGACTTGGTGAGCAGCGCGTTGCCGTTGGTAAGCAGGTTGGTCAGAGCGTCGAACGTATCCTTGGTGAGGAAGCCCTTGAGCTCAGGAAGCAGAGGAACGACAGCATTGAGGAGCTGCTTGAGCGCGTTGCTCACGTCCGTGGTGAGGAGCGCTGAAGCACCATCAATAAGACTGTTCGTCTTAGCAATAAAGGACTTGGTGAGCAGCGCGTTGCCGTTGGTAAGCAGGTTGGTCAGAGCGTCGAACGTATCCTTGGTGAGGAAGCCCTTGAGCTCAGGAAGCAGAGGAACGACGGCATTGAGGAGCTGCTTGAGCGCGTTGCTCACATCCGTGGTGAGGAGCGCTGAAGCACCATCAATAAGACTGTTGGTCTTAGCAATGAAGGACTTCGTGAGGAGCGCATTGCCATTCGTAAGCAGGTTGGTCAGAGCATCGAAGGTATCCTTGGTAAGGAAGCCCTTGAGCTCAGGTAGCAGAGGAACAACAGCGTTAAGCAGCTGCTTGAGCGCGTTGCTCACGTCCGTGGTGAGGAGCGCCGAAGCACCATCAATGAGACTGTTGGTCTTAGCAATGAAGGACTTGGTAAGCAGCGCATTGCCGTTGGTGAGCAGGTTGGTCAGAGCATCGAAGGTGTCCTTGGTGAGGAAGCCCTTGAGCTCAGGCAGCAGAGGAACCACAGCGTTAAGCAGCTGCTTGAGCGCGTTGCTGACCTCCGTGGTAAGCAGATTGGCAGCACTATTAATGAGACCGTTCGTCTTTGTCACAAAGTCCTTGGTGAGCAAAGAGTTACCGTTCGAAACGAGGGTCTCAATTGAGTTGACATTGTCCTTGGAGAGCAAGGCGTCCGCGTTGACAACCAAGTCGTTGACCTTGTCCATGTTGTTCAGCAACTTCTGGAGGTTGTTGAGGTTGTTGTCACTCAGGAGAGCATCTGCCTTGGACAAAATGTTGCTTAATGTGTCGGTGTTCTTCTTGGTCAGGAGGGTATTGGCGTTGGTGATCAGATTGCCAATTGCCTGGGTGTTTTCATTACTGAGAAGGACACGAATATTGGTGTACACAGGCGGGGCCAAGCTGCCGGAAAGATACTTGAAAGTATCCTCAATCTCAGAAAGCAGGCTGGGGTCGAGAAGACCGGTAATACCCTTCAGGAGACTACCAAGGTCACCGAGAATACTCGTCAGACTGGTGCTGCTGCTGTCCCCGCTCAGGCTCGACAAGATACTGTTGACCTTGCTCTCCAGATCGGAATTAGTGCTTGAGGAGCTACTATCCGAGGTGGTGCTGGACGCGGTAGATGAGCTGGTGTCTGCGGAGGACGCCGTCGAGACGGCTGCAGCGGCGGTGTTGCTAGCGGTGTTGCCAAGAACGGTGTTCACAATGTTGGCAATGGTATCCGCAGAGGCAGCCTGGGTCGTGGCAGCATTGGTGTTCTCCTCATTGCTGCTGGCAGCCTGGCTCGTGGCGGCGGCTGCAGCTGCGTTCTGTTGAGAGGCCGCTTTGGCGTTGGTATTGGCAGTCGAGGCAGCGTTAGATGCCGTGTCTGCCGCAGCGACAGTATTCTCAGCAACCGGGACACTGGACGATGCAGCTGCCGGTGAAGCTCCCACTACATTGGAAGCGGCGAGCAGGGCAGTCGCAAGGACTGGAATGAAACGCATGATGGTGTTGTGGGCTCCAATATCTTGTGCGTTTATATTCCACGGTCACACTTGGGCTTCGTCTCTAGTCGGCCGTCAAACGGGGGGAAGAGCCGCGAGGAAAAGGGGAGAGCCTGGGGAAGCGAAAGCTCTTCCCTGGGGTCGCGCCAGGTCTTTATTTTGGCGTGCTGGCGATCGTCCCTCTGGGGTATCCTTTTGGGACATAATCCTCCACTTGGTCCATCGCACTAAAAGCTTCCGCGGACTCTGGCCGCCGAGAAGGTGGATCAACACCGAGGTATGGAGACCGGGAGGAGTCCCATGTGATGAGAAGTGCAAGTAGTTCCGGTCACATTGCTAGCATATGCGCTATCCCGATTGCATACTCCAGATCCTCAGGGTATGACGGCGTTCCTGGGGCTCGAGGGGGCTCGAGAGCGGGCAGATTGGCTCTCCTCAGGGCTCCCTCGGCACAATGCAGGACCGTACATGGGCGGCAGGGTTTGCCCGCTAAGATCAGGGGCATGAACCTCTTCACATGTTCTTCCTGGGAGTTTCCATTCATTGAGGGCAGACTTGTGCCCATGGGGTTGCGGCGGCCTACGGACCTGCGGGAGTTTGCGCTAGTCGAAAGGCTAACCCTAACAAGGCGGGGAGAGCTCCACATCGGCTACGCCAACACTAGCAGCAGCGCAGAACCGGGCAGGCGCGGGCAAGCTAGGGCAGGCTTGGAAATGAGGGGTTCGGCCAGCCCCCCAAAGCGGCAGTGACTCCTACCCCGGACGCCCGACCCTCGGGCAGGCCGGGGCTGTCGTGGCGGCCCGGCGGTGGTGATTGGTGCTGCCCAAGGCCCGGCGGGGAGGGGAATTTGCTCGAGCGGACCTGTGCGACTAGACGCCGATCGTTACTCCGCACGCTCGTCTGAGCCCATCCGTTGCTTCGTTGTTGGTTGGTTGGGACGGAGTCCTCGGGCCAGGAACAGACTAGACGTTGATTAGTGTCCTCCGTCCGTACTTTGACCTCTGTAGCCTCGAAAACTCGTCCCACGTCCATGCGTCATCCTTCCACCTTGAAGCGCGGTCTTCTGGTGCTCTTCCCCCGGAATGTGCCCAATTGATCGGCTAACGAGAGTGCCGTCCGCCTCCACTCGTGGCGCCCGAGCGTAGCTGGAAAAGTAAGACATGCACGGTACAGGATCGTTCTCGTCGCCGTCCTCCGTCGATGAGCACCCCGCTCATTGGCCCTTCTATTCCCCGAGCAGCTGCTCGTGATGTCCAACCAGGTGGGCTCTGCGCATCCTTATTTCCTTTCGCTTCCGCCCGTGGATGGCGTCATGTGGGAGGAAGCTGTACGACATTTGGAGCTCGCGGAGGGGAAAAGCAAAAACGAGTCCTGAGCCACCAGGGGAAAAGGGGTCGCGAAAGCGGAGACTCCTCCTGTACTCCGTAGAAAGCCATCGAAAGAGGAAGCTAATCCAAGGCCGAAAAATTCCTGCTTGTGCGGCTGAGGTGGCCCAAGCACCCTGCGAACCCATCAAGCCTCGTTGCGCCACCGACCTCTCTCAGAGAGAGTGATACCATCTCCCAAGCCCGATCACGAACTAGCGTTAAACTAGACTCCAGTCCACGGCTTCCCAACAAAAAATGCCATCAAAGGAAGACTGACATCATATGGTTCAAAGCACCAGCACCGCCGGTCGCACCTCCGTGCGATGAAAGAATGTGTGACCTCCGCTGGCTTGCCTCCTGGTGCATACTGCAGGTACTGCGCAGGTACAGAGGTTGAATGTGCTTCTTCGCATCCACAGTATGTACACTCAGCCTACATTATCAATTCCCATTATAGGTTTCTTTTGCTCGTGGGGAGATGGCCGGCCTGGTCGCGTCGATGCACCGGAGAAACGCGTCCTAGCTGACATGCTAGAATCAAGGCCTTCGTTCTTATAGGAACTGAATGCTTGGAGCTTTCAAAATGTTTTTCGACCGATCAAGAATCAGTTCTGGTTTGGCCATGTCATATCAGAAACGGATTTCCGGTCTACGTTATTTGTTCCCGTCGTGAGGCTGTTCAGTGGGCGGGATGCGGGTTCTCGGTCCCATCCCTGCCTGACTCGTACACTTGCACCGTCAAACACAACCCCATTAGATTTCACCTTCAGCTCCCATATACTCCGTAGATGATGTCCCATTAAACACTTAACCTTGTTAATCCTGCAATGGCCCCAAACATTTCCGGGTCCATAGGGGGCCCTTGGCTACAACGAACGGGGGAAGTAAAATCTGGCGCCCGTGGGGGCGATTCGTGCAGTTAAGTCGCTTTTGGCTCCGTGTACGGAGTGTTCAACAGTACCACATCTGGGCATTCGGGAATGTGCGTGGGTCACTCAATATCTGCGTGAGATCTATGATCAGTCGATATCATGCGCGTAGGTGGTGCTACCAGCGCGTGAGGTACAACTGACCTGTCAATATATATTTTCGTACTACCTCGCAAGCCAGCGTTGCTTAACCAGGTTACGTCGCTGAAACCCTGAGTCCCAGCATATCAATTCCGAAGTCGTTGAAAGCAGCCAACCTGTACAACGCACTCCATGCACCACGAAGCCAAAGAGTTATGTTTCTTGACATCGTGGTCTCCCGTCGGCATACCAGGCGGCCGATTTCCTTGGCTGCGGGGCGGCCAAGACGTGGGGTAATCTTTACATTCACCACCACGCGATGCGCTCCTAGTATCATTCTCCCGGTGAGTACCAACATTGAGAGAATATGGAAAAACGCGAATGGTAGCGACTTTGATACCGGTATGTTCGCCACTGAGCGGCTTGCGACCGTGACCGGCTGTCCTTGCACCGAGGAAAGGGGAGGCAGATCAATTGCTAGTCCTAGCATGCCAGCATACCGATATCAACATGGCACGAGGCTGCTCTTGGAGCTGTATCGGCTTTCTTGGAACCGGGCCTGTCTCACGGATCAAAGGAGAAGAGTACTGAGCTTAACGTCAATAATGGATAAGCAATGATAAAGCGATGCTTTCTCAATGGAATCTTTGGTTAAGAAAATACATTAGTTGCTGACAAGTGGAAGGAAAAAGCTCACCTGCCGCCTGGTTCTCGAGCTCGTGGGCAGCAGCCTCATTTTACTCATCACCTCCTCCTCACCCGCATCCCCATTCTCTTCCTCATGCCCGTCATCCTCAAAGCAGCATTCTTCGTCATTGTGCAACTCTGGTGGCTCCTTTGTATGAATGAGTATCACCAAGGCGGCGAGAAAGCCGAGGCATTGATCGTCCGAGAGGTCCGAGAAGGGGCCGGCATCACAGCAGGCGCCCCCCTCCCTCCGAGCTCGCGGTAGTACCATTTCCCTCTCTGGGTTGCATAGGCTAGCGCTGTACATACAGGTATCTACACCACAGGTGATTAACTCACTTGTCTCGGGGTCTGTAGCTGTTGCTCTCGACTGGCCTCTATGATGACGGCAACCGCCACCGCTGTAGTAAGCCTCTGGGGTGTATTGGGTCCGCCACGGGCCATCTGACGCTACGATACCATCAGCACAAGCCATGCTGTAACTCACTGGTACCTGCGGCTGGACTATGAGATTGTCCTGGTTATATGGCACTGGGGAGTGTGCAGTAGACATGGCGGCCGCAGGACAACAGTAGCATCAGACTGAGTGGACGTAGTGGAAGTTACCAAAGCAGCGGCAAGGAGTTTGAAGGCCCCTTATACGGCGATGCCGACGGGATATGCTCCTGCCTTCGCATCTTCCTACTCAGCTCACTCAGTTTGGAAGGTACGACAGGCTTCACTTTGACAAATAATGCTGTATGGAAATACCTGGTTTGCCATTTTGGTAGCTCCGTTCGCTTGTTTAAGATGTCTAGATCTCCCTCCTTGAGGTCTCCAATGTAATCAAATCAATCGCCCTTCCTCTCTTCAATTGTCTATCAGTTGAGAAGCCCCCTGCTCCTGATAAATGAATATGGAGGTGTTTTAAACCAATGCATAGATATTTACGGGCAGAGAAGACAATATTGAGGAGAGCGGTAGCTCTCAGTGCGCTCAGGAAGAGGAGAGAAGGAACTGTAAACTGCGCTATTAACAGATAGCCGACGGTGTGTGTGTGTGTGTGTGTGTGTGTCAGTGTCAGAGAGAGAGAAAGGCTCGGAAAAGTTCCAAAAAGGAAAGCCATTAGCATATCCTCACTCCTCGCCAATGTTGTCAAAAATGGACCACTTTATACCTTCTTTCATGCCAGTCCTTCGAGCCTGGAGCATGCTAAATCACTCATCGACTTGTTTCAATATTCACCAGCATTACTCTTTCGAATTCATCGACGATGTTCGCGGAAAGATCGTGTGAGAGTGTGGGATTTCCCTGATCCTACTGTATATCGGGCAAAGATTGTAGCCTTATCTGGGCTACGGAGGTAAAACATTATTGAGCGGCCCTTTCTATTACCTGGGGGACCTAACAAACTCGGAACGTGACCTGCTGCTCGATCGCTACTGGCTTGACATAACTGCCTTGGAGCAAGATAGCCAGACCGATAATTGGATAGACCTTGATCAAGCCAAATCCCAGAAATACAGTCGATTTACTTGGATGTGATCGTGAGCTCCTCTATAGGAAAACGAAGCCGAAAAAGTGCGCCATCGGTGAGATATAGCAGATTTAGAAGCAGTCAACTTGCGCAGTCTGCAAAGTCTTGGCAAGAAGACCAAGTGAAGCGTTTCTGGGGTTCCGCTCGTTCTGTGAACCTGAAGTGGTCAGCTGATTATCCGAGATCGGAATCCTATGAAAGATGGGAAGAAAACCGACATGCAGCCTGGTCTCTTTCCGTTGCAGACACAAAAAGCCCTCTTCTATTAAAAGACCCTCGTGGCTTGATCGACAATTTGTGGTTTCGTGAAGTAAATCATCACCCCAAGCCCCTTACGAAGGATATCTCAAAGGTTCATTCCACTATTGTGTGGCTGGAGCTACCCCAAATGGAGAGTAGCCGGACTATCTGGAACCATTAATAGTTCAGCTGGTGTCAAGGGCTATGTGATGCTGTGTTATTGGTTCATGCGTCGGTTACACGTCCATATCATAGACTCTGCTGTGAGTCTAATGTTTCTTTCAACTACATGTGAATGTCAAAGCCGTGCCTCCTGCTAGGACCGGTAGCCGGCTTATGATGTGAACTTTTCAAGGTTTGGTTATGGATAAACATGGTTTGTTCTGGAAAAGGGGGTAAGAGCAAGCTAGAGAGCTCGGTTTGTGAACGGAAAGATTACATGAATCTAAACACTTAAGGTGACCATATATTATACGAGAAAAGGGACACAACAACCTGCTTTGTTGCTATCTACATTCATTTGCCAAGGGCATACGCGGATCGTCGAGGGGCACCTAAAATGGTAATAGCTCGGCGGCGCTCCCCATTCTCAAGTGTACAGCTAAATGCAATGTCCATCGATTACCCGAGCCTTTGGCCCCTCAAAGCCCCCCAGCAAAACAAGGATGTCTGCTATCTACTTCATTTGTAGAGTAGTTCTTCGCGTGCCAAGCAAGTCTGGTGGCTGGGTGCTATGACCTTTTTGGCCGCCACCATCTCACTTCAGACAGGGGTTTGATCATCGGATCGTTCGGCAAGAAGCCACCCGCGTTCTCACAGGGGGCGCTGCGCCACGGTGTCCGAGGGCGGTCGGGCCGTTGCAAGGATATAGCTTCTCGTATCGTGCAGATGGACGTCCATGTCGGATTCACAGGCAGCACCTAGCTATCATTGAATGGGATCCATGAGTAGCAAGAGTAGTAGTCTATGAAAGTCAGTTAGCTAGGTTTTTACCTAAATTGAGAAGAGTATCTACTTTCGGGCTCCTTGCCGGAACCTGGCTTCGGCGCACCAAGTTGCACACTGTGAAACGGCTGATGCTTTGACCAGCCAAAATCGCAGTGACGCCTCAGTCTCCAGCATATGAAGCTTCCCTGTGTTGCCGACTCTATTCCCCGCCAATGCTTGATTGGCTGCCAACATACAATAGTCCTGGATTTATCCTGGAGGATTGGTTAATGCGGAGATTATCTTCGGGACCGATGGCCGATACTACTAAGGGGTTTCACTTTCCTGTATCGTCTCTCTATTCAATGGGCCGGTGACGATCTGGAAGGGTTCCATTGTGACAGAATATCTGACTCAATAGCCGGGTGGCATGACGTCGGCATGCCGATCGGTGGCTTTGAAGAGCAGGCCGGCGCTGCATTCGTAGGACCCCCTGTACAGTACTACCCTAGAAGACCACGCTGGAGCTCTCATCTGGTGACAACACCTCCTCACTCGCAACAACTGGACCGTCTGAGGTCATACCTCCGCATGGGAGCGGGTAAAAGGAGTGTCTGAACTGTGTCTTGAAATTATCCAGCAGCAGCACCATACCCACATTTCTCCGGGTAAATCCATCCTCTCGGTTAAAGATGTGCCCTCAACCGAACCGACGCCGCTACGAATTCTCCGACTGGCTGGCCTCGACCAATGCTCCCCGTCCCTTCGCCAGTGACGCAGGGCGACATCCCCGATCTTGCACCCCGGGATCCGCATCCAGGCCTCCTCCGCATTCCTGGGGCGATCCCTTCTCCAGGGGGCGTCAACCCCACGGCCCGGGAGTGGTGCGATAACCGTGGGCGACTGCCGTTTCTCGCGGAGCCCCCGCTTGATTGCAAGCCACCCGAACGCCGTGCCTTGGCCTGTGGATCTGTCTTGCTTGACGTATAAAGCCGCGTGGGCCGCATGGACGAGAGGTTCTGGATGGATCAAACTTGTCGAGGTCGCTTGCCACGATGTATCGCATCTCGAATATCTACGGTATGTTCTTTGCAAGGAACCGGCGATGAGAAAGGGCTGTACTAATGCTGCTATCAGTCCTCGCCGCGTTTGGCACCATCGGCGGGGCCCTCTTCGGCTTCGATGTGAGGTACGCAACCATTCGCGACCCCGAGACTAGACGCAATATTGATTCACCTTCTCACCCAGTTCGATGAGTGCCTGGATTGGCGTTGATACATATACCGAATTCTTTGACAACCCGGACTCCAATCTCCAAGGAGGTGTAGGTTCCTGTTCCCCGTGCCGGTGTTAATCCATAAGGGCGGCGATTTACATTGAGGGTTTCATCTTAGATTACTGCCTCCATGTCCGCTGGTTCCTTTGCCGGGTCTATCGCAGCAGGATGGCTCTCTGATATTCTTGGTCGTCGGGGCGCATTGGTGATCGCCTCGTTGGTGTGGATTGTCGGGGCTATGGTTCAATGCAGCGCCCAGAATGTGACCCACCTAGTCGCCGGCCGCGTGGTCGGTGGCCTTGCTGTTGGTATTACTTCGTCACAAACGTGCGTCTACTTGTCGGAGCTGGCCCCGGCTCGTATTCGCGGCCGTGTCGTCGGTATCCAGCAATGGGCTATTGAATGGGGGATTCTGATCATGTATCTGATCGCATACGGTTGTGCCGTTGGTGTGTCTGGGCCGGCTGCGTTCCGCATCTGTTGGGGTATCCAGGCGGTCCCTGGTCTCATATTATTTATTGCGCTATTCTTCTTTCCCGAGTCGCCTCGGTGGTTAGCTGGAAAGGAGCGGTGGGAAGAGGCTTTGGAGACTCTGGCCCTGATTCACGGCAATGGTGACCGCAATGACCCCGTAGTGCAAGTTGAGTTTGCGGAGGTTCAGGAGGCCGCCCGAGTTGCCCACCAGGCGAAGGATGTCTCCTTCTTCGCTCTGTTTGGTCCTCGCGTCTGGAAGCGGACCATGTGCGGAATGAGTGTTCAAATGTGGCAGCAGCTCCTTGGCGGCAACGTGGCCATGTACTATGTTGTTTATATCTTTGAGATGGCTGGCATGGTGAGTTTCTCTCTCAGAGATAATCAAAGTTGTATTCTTCTGACTGATTTTCTCAGACTGGAAATACCACTTTGTGGTCATCAGCCATCCAATACGTGATTTTCCTGGTGACCACCGGTGTCATGCTTCCATTTATCGACCGCGTGGGTCGACGCAAGTTGCTGCTCACTGGCTCTGTGGCTTGCATGATCATCCATTTCATCATCGCCGGCGTGATGGCCAGCAAGGGTCACTCCGTCCCTGATGTGAACGGCAACGCAAATCTCACATGGTCGATTAAGGGATCATCCGGTATGACTGTGATTGCATTCTCATATATCTTTACCGGTATCTATGGCTTCACTTGGGTATGTAAGCTCTCAACGCTCTTAAGTGTACATCTCACTAATCAAAAGAATTCACAGGCTCCCACCGGATGGATCTACGCCTCCGAAGTCTTCCCACTCAAGCACCGAGCCAAGGGTGTTGGTCTCTCCGCCTCAGCTAATTGGATCTTCAACTTCGCACTGGCCTACTTCGTCGCACCTGCTTTCCACAACATTCAGTGGAAGACATACATTATCTTCGGCGTTTTCTGCTGCGTGATGACCATCCATGTTTTCTTCATGTATCCGGAGACTGCTGGTCGGTCTCTTGAGGAGATTGATATGGTGTTCGATATGGACGTTAAACCGTGGCGGACTAATATGATCCATGACACATTTGGTGAGGAGATTGAGAAGTACAAAGAGACAGCCGCTGCCAAGGAGGCGGGTGCGGCGACCCACGAGGAGGTTGTCTAGGATCAGGGCAAGACATATGCTTCTGGTCAGGCAAAAGCCAGAATGGATAGAGATGCTTGTATGAGTCAACGAAATATCAAACATCTGCGATAGACGAACTTACATACAGTCAATGAAGCAATGAAGTTTTACTGGTGTTGGTTGGAAATGGCTTAAATATTTTGTAACCCCTACATTGGTTTTCAATTTGTCACAGTGCTTCATTGTAAGTCTCCAAAGCTAATTGATGTAAGGTTGGCAGTGTGACACTGGCCTCAACCGAGCATGAATTATGAATTCTTTGTGAGACCCCATCACCCTATGCGACTCAATAATGACCGTTGAGCTGCTTTACACGAGTGGGCCAAGTACTATGACCAGATGGCTTCTCACGCCACAAGGCTGCCAAGGAACTTTGAGGGCAAAGATCCGACTCCATCCATATGGAACTAACTGACCACCATCACGATCCAATGGAGAAGCCCACGGGTCCACTGAGGCTCTTGACAAAGATCTCCAATAACGGCGAGACCCTAGTACGCTTGGAATGTATCCAATGAGGTGGCTGTCTACTTTCTACAGAATCAAGTATAACTGGTGACGATCGCCAAAGACAATATATTAAGGATGCCATGTGAGGCAAAAATCAGTCTAACGTGGGTATTGGACCGTTCTCAAACACAAAAATTCCAAAAGATAGAAGGGTCATTCATCAAAGAAGGTTATTTCTCGGCGAGCCGAGTAGACATGCGCGCAGCAAGTCGATCGTTACGGCATGTCGGCGTCCCCTAGCAAAGAATGGGCCAGGGGAGGGCGGCGTTTAGGATACTTTAGTCCGGAAGTTTGACTGAGTGGGTCATAACCGTGACTACAGCTTATTTCTCGTCGCTGGAGCTGCCTGACCTGTCCTTCTCGGTGATGTGCTCGTGGTGGTTGTTGGTGGCACGCTTGGAGGGGTTGCTTAGGACGCTGGCACGGCGGACGGCCTCGTCCTCGACATCGTCCAGGGTGCGGAGTAATTCACCGTTAGGACCGTACATGTGCGGTTCGGTGCGGGCGAGCGAGACGCAGTCGAACATATTGGTGGTCTTGTGGAAGATGCGGTCCATCTCCTCCAGAGAACGCATGGTGGTCTCTGGGAAGAAGAAGTAGACCACGGGGACAATGAAGGCGTTGCTAGAACTCAGTTAGCAGGGGGAATCCTCTATTTTGGGTTTGGGTTACAGCAGGAGGAGTAGGGGTAGCTTACATCACTGCGAAGATAATGTAGGTCTTGTATCTAATGTTGGTGAAAGCGACAGGGGTGATCATGACGACCATGAAGTTCCAGATCCAGTTAGAGGAAGTGGACAGGGCGTTGGCCGGGGCACGAATTTTCAGGGGCACAATCTCAGCGGGATACAGCCAGGTCATGCCCAGCCAGCCAATGGCGAAGAACGTATTGAAGACGAATAGGAACACTGTTTGCGCAATACCAGCACGAGTGCCCAGATCGGTCAGGGGATTGGCGGCGGAGATACTGTCGGTCACTGCCAAGACAACCATGGACAAGGACATGCCGATGGCACCAAAGATCATCAGGGTACGGCGACCGAACTTCTCAACCGTGAACACAGCCACCCACGAGGCGGCGAAGTACTCGGTGCCGTTGCAGGCGGCGATCAGACGCGATAGGGTCGGGCTCAGACCGACCTGGTCCTCGAGCAGGGTGGGAATGTAGTAAGTAATCAAGTTGATACCCGAGATCTGCTGGAACATCTGGTTGACATAGGCGAGCATGGTGCGGTGGAAGTGGCGGTCCTCGCCCATGGTGAACATGTCGCGGAATGAGCCCTTGGCCATCTCCAGAACCGTGGCCTTGATTGCCGTAAACTCGGTGTCGATGAAGACCTCGTCGGTCTCGTCGCCCATTAGGCAGGCCAGAACCTCCCGAGCCTCATCCTCATGGCCCTTCAAGATGAGCCAGCGAGGAGACTCGGGCAGGAACATGACAAAGGCCAGGATAATGAAGGCGAAGAAGATCTGGAAGGCGAGCGGGAAACGCCAGGCGACTTCGTTGGGATCGGCGAACATCAGACCAAAGTCGATCCAGTAACTGATGGTGATACCGCAGGTAATCATGGCGCCTTCGATCATGACCATCTGGCCACGACGATGGGACTTGCAGCACTCGGATTGCCAGGTAGGGACAGTGGACGTGTTGATACCATTCCCGAAACCAGTGACGAGACGGCCGATAACCAGCTGGGCCAGATCGTACGAGGTACACTGGAGCAGCGCGCCGATGACCATGATGAAGGAACCGAGGAAGATGGCTTTGCGGCGACCGAGCAGGTTTCCGAGCCAGATGGTGGGAATCGAGCCAGCAAAGCAGCCCAAGTTGTACGCAGCGACGGTAATACCTTGGCGAGTGGACTGAGCACTCTTTTCGGCGGAGGTCCAGCCCGCCGTGTGCGCGGTGGTCGTGTCGATGGAGGGGAAGTACTTGCGGAACGAGTCCAGCGTCAACAGGCCGCCAGTGACTCCCTGGTCGTATCCGAACAGTAGGAAATCCATGCCGGCCAGAACGCCGATGGCAATCTGGAGCCTGGTGCCATTGAGGCCTAAGAATCGCTTCGTCATCTTGAGTGGTGCTGGTGTTGCTAATCACTGGCGAACGCCTGCCGAGATAGAGGAAGTATAGAATGGATCCCACTTATACTGCCAGGCAACTCTGGTCTGGATTCCTGTGGTCGGGGTTCTCAGATCTATAGGCTTTGAGGTTGTTTACTCAGAGGTAGACCGAACCAGCCGGGATAAGGGAAGAAGAGGCTCAGACAGGAATGAGGGGAGGAGGTGGAGGAGGGTACAGAGGAAATCGAACTAGTCGAGGAATCGAGCAGAGATCCACGGCGGACAGGCGGCCGGATTTAAACAAGACGTGGGATTGCAATCAGTCATCGGGGGCCGTGACCTTTCGATGATGCCCAGGGGTGGGCTTGTTAGGACTTCCTCGTGTCGTTGCCGAGCCGCTCAAGCTCGAATGCATTCGTGGGAGACTCCGTGGGTCCACTTGCTCCCCCAGGGCCATCGTTCCATCTCCACCTCCACCTCCTCCACCTCCAGCAACGCCGCTGGCACGGACACCTCTTTGGGTCCAACCTTTGAACATCGGCCCCCAGCTGTTTTCTAATGGCTTTGTGTCTCCGTGGCTCCATGGCTCCATGGCTCCGTGGCCCAACTGACCAAATGACCCATTACCACTGCCCATTTCCACTGCGCATTACCACTGCCGATTAATCTTGCAGACCCTCGCGGCCCTCACGCTGGGCGTTCCGACTGGATTTCCGGGCCACGCGAGGCCAACACGGCCCAATGAGATATATTCCGCCCGGGAGGTCAATCGGCGACAGGCTCGGGTTCACCAGATCAAGTTAGCCCCAGCGTCGCATCTCCCCCCCCAAGGTTCACCTGGTAGCAGCCCGCCGATCTTTCAGCCTGTCAGGTTGCGTGGTTGCCCGGCGAGTGGGGACTCAAGTGAGCCTCTCAGCCTCTTAGCTTGCTTGGTACGTGCTTGGTACACTCTCCTCTCCGCGCTTTCTCTCTCCCTCTCCGCCCCCCGGCCGAACGAAAATTGGGTCCTGTGTGGCTCCCGATCTGGGGATTTGTGGGTGAAAGGGGACCATTGCTCCAGGAAAAGCCCAGGGTCCAACCCCCGAATGGATCACACATCACGCGAGTTCCCCCTCGATTGGGGCAATTCCGCAGGCCATCCTTCGAGTGCTCAGGGTCTGCGATATCAAATCGACTACTGGAACGGTACGAGAAGGCGAGGTTTCGGTGCGCAACCCGGCCAGCTTTCCGCCCTGCCGCTGCCGGCAGGTAGATCAGATCCTTTTCGCGGAGATACCGACAACCGACTACTTACAGGGGTTCTGGCCACTGGGCTCGGAGACGCCGGTATAGAATGTGCTAGTACGACACCTGCGGAATCTGGCAGGCCCAGACAAGCTGTCCACCCAAGTCGTGCCATCAGTGCGTCTGAACCACGAATCAGAAACGCTACTGCCCGAGATCCCACCACTGTTCAGCTCACTTCCACACGGACATTGGCAGCTAAAGGAGGAAAATGCGCGAAGCCAAAATGACAACAACCCGTTCGGCGGCTTGGCGCCCAGACGCTCGATGCAAGTCAAGAAATACCAAGAGCTCTCTCAAGCCACCGACCACAGCGGTGGTCTCGCAGGATCTCTTGTCCTTTGCTTGGTGTTGCTTTGGGCGGTTGGATTTGTTCTTGGGATTGCTTAGATAGTTCTTGGAATTTCTTAGCAGTTGCTTAGTTGGACGTCATTGGGGGTTTGCCTTGGTCGGGATGCTCGGTTGTCTAGTAAATATTCCATGGGACGGAATGGGGTCAGGAGAGTGGCCCGGGGAAAGACCCAGGGGTCGCTTCCAAGGCACCTACTACGTGCTGTACTTGCGAGGAGAGGTCCCACGCCGAACTGGCCAGGTCGAGGCGGAGACAGCCATTTCCCAGCTTTTGGCTCGCGCCCTCCTCCCCTGCCCCTGCCACCGACACACTACGCCATCCGTCGTGATCCTGTGGAATAGCCTTCGCCCATGCAATACAATTATCTTCCGCAGAGGGCTCAATATACCCCTCATCCACCGTTTCCGCAGTCATCGTCGTGCCTTAAAAGGACCGCGCTAGCAGCAGCCACCTGGCCCACTTCGACCGGACGGCCCAACGATGGGCGAGTCTGCCCGCGGAGCATATGCAACAGGCCAATAACACTACCATTGAAGTCCCACAGGCCAACAGCCAGTGCAACCCCTTTCAACCCCATCAACACCCCACCAAGTTATGGCTCTGCTTTGCCAGCCCCCGCGGTAGCGACCAGATCCTGGGGGATGCACAGTACGACCTACCGAAACAGGCAGTTCCGGGCTGCCATCGTTGGTTTGGGGCAACCCGGCGCGAAAACTGGAGATTGCCTGGAGATTGCCTGGAGAAGGGCTGTGACACTGGCGACTTCTCGTCGTTCGCGTTTCACTCCCTCCGCACGCATGGTCTGATGCACCACCCCATGCCATGCACCATGCATTGACGTTATTCGCCGCCCCCCATTTGCTTCCCCCTAGACCCCATCCCTTCCACTCCCACACACTTCCCCTTTACTGTGCCTTTCTCCTCGATCGCGAACTTTTAGAACCCCAGTTTTCTCCGTCCCATGACGCCCTACGCCGCGGTCAGCAGCGGCGCCACGAGGCGCCTCCCGCCCGCCACTGAGGTCATTCGGCATGGCTCGCACAGCCCTGCCCGGCTCAAGGTTTTCTTGGTGCAAGCCATGGCGTGCGGATCACGGAGAACTGGGCGCTCGGGGGGCCTTTGGTCCGTGCTACCATCGGGCGGGGCCAAAAGGAACCGGTTCTAGGGCCGCCGAGGCAGATGATTCCCGCGAAAGGGGAGCTGTGGCTATGAGCATCACATCACGTCGGTCGAGCTGAGGGACTGGACTAACTATCTCTAGTTAGTACCATCTACTTCGTTAAGCGACCGTTTAGGACGATTCTACTCCGTATGAAATACAGTAAGGATCAATGAGCGGAAGGGATGGAATCGACTTGCTAGCACCCAATGCCACTCACCGTTGATCCAGCTTTGATCCTCCACAGAGTGAACGATACCCCATGTATCCCGTCACTAAGGGGGGATCATGTTCCGCTCAGCCAGCAACGCTGAACCATTTGCTTGTTTGCTGCTTCGATAGCCGCACCTGTGGCTATCGGTCGATCTGTGATCTATCGTCTGTTTCACATTTCCCACAGGCCACATGTTGACCCATGTGGTTGTGTTCGGCCGAATGTGATCGTCTCGCAGGCTGCACCCGCTGGTGGAGCAGGACGTGGCCTGCTGCGAGACCCCATCCTGGAGGATGCAACCCGGAAGTCCTTGTTTCTTCGCCATGGTTGGTGATCGGGTGGCCTTGCAGGGAAGACCCCGTTAGTCGCGGCTCCCCCGCCAATACTGATCCCCGTGGCCTGGACCCTGTTGTTCTCCCTGATTTACGCCCCGTAGATCGGGTTGCTGTTTTGGGTCCACGATGGCGATTCGATCGACGGCGAAGGGGGATCGTAAAACCTCCGAGTATAGTGAAAGAACTCCACTTAACAGTGGATGTACGGGGCGTTTGGAGGGCTGCCCCTAGCGTGGTTCTCTACGATACGTTTTCGAGAACATTGACCGCCAGATCAATCCGTCAGCAGTGCTTAACAGTGCTTCGAGAAGCTAGACCGACCCCACTCAGTACCTCACTCTGCAGCCATGAAGTGTTCTTTCCGGCGCTCTTGACCGACTTCTGGAATTTTCCAAATCGCGCTCTCCCGCAGCGGCAGATGTGGATGTGAGATGCGAGTGCCACCGGACACACAAAGGATTGCCAAGGCCACAAAGACAGTAAGGATTCTTAGTGACAAGCGAGCAGGATACGTACGCACGTGAGAAATACCTGTATTTGCCTTTTCAGAGTCTGGCATAGTAGGCTGTTCCGGGTTTATCGCCGGCTGGCGTTGACTTGCGGTAGCGGGCAATTTTAACGATTACCGTGTACCCAATAGCCAATCCTGATACCTATGCAGATGGATGGAGCGAATATAATCGAAGGTTCGCTGATTGAGATAACTATCCACCAACGCACGAAGTACCTCTGAAGGTCGAACATACCACCTAGGTACGCCCTTCGAATCAGTCTGGATGGATAGTGTTCCTCGTCACCTTCCTATTTACGCACGCTCATTTTCACCGCTCCCATGTTCGACCAAGCTCTGTCCAGAGTATCCCAGACAAAAGGATGACTTCCGCTGCGAAGCAAATCTGGGAAGCGCGGAAGCAGAACCCATGATCCGCGAATTATCCTAGTCGCATTCTTCGGCAGTCTTCGCATCCAGAAAGCTGAGGCCCCTGCGTGACCTGCTGCTGATGTGCTGGACACTGTACCCCCTTCTTTGGTATCCCTTCCAAGCATAGAATGGAGTATCCAGCACACGCAGACCATAATGGCAGAGACGTGCCGTGATACGAAGCCGGTATCGCCCGCACTGTGATAGCACGGAAGGAGAGGACCAAGTGCTCCGTACTTTTGTCCCTAGGTACCCGGTCATTCCGACTACTTTGGCTTGGCTCCTTGGTTGCCTTATGGGGTTGAGAGCTTGGTGTACTACTGTCAGCGGTTGATAGCCGCACTTTGTGTGAACCGAGGGTGACGTTTGGTAGCACCGTCACCGCGGCGGGTTACTCTCAACACTAGAATGTCACCACCACCGAATCCTGATCTTTGGCATATGTCAAATTCGATACAAAGTAGAACATGGAAGATAGAACTGTGCTATTGGAGCGTCTCATGTCGGACAGAAAAGATAGATACTGGAGTTCGTCGTCCGCAGGTATCCTTCCGTATGTCAACCGATTCTCGTGGATTCTGTAGGTCAGGGTGGGTATTCAGTCGTTCATGGCGGTCCTTGTGTCATGGAGTCCTATGATGTCCATATTATGAAACGTTCTCAGATGATAACCTGCCTTTCTCCAGTCAGGTTGGATAAATCTCCGCGAGGAGGATTATTCAAAGCTAAAGTAAACATCAATCGGATGGGAGCATATTCTCCGGAATGCAGGGACACGCGTGGACTCAGCCAACCACATCAAAATCTGTCGGAAGGCCTGAACAGCACAAGCCTTGTACCCCCTCAGCTCTACGTCTTCTTGAAAAGTATCGCCTTGTCGTGCTCGAACACTCTTCCTGATCTGGCAATTTCAGATGAGCGCGAGAACTATCTATCGCAGAGGTTGCGCGCTGTGACGGAATTATTGCATACCAAGCAAGCGCGAAGGAATGTGTGGCAGGAAGACGATATCATCGCGCGTACAAAGCTCTCGATTACCCCCTTGCTTGGTTAGATGGGGTTACAGCTAGCTGTAATGTCGTAGTTCTACAAAGCTAAGGTCTGGTGCCCTCGCTACTTGTCTACGCTCTACTTCATCGACCACCCCCACCTAATCCGAATGTCCCCGACTATTTGATAACCACAGTTTTTCTCAGTCTAGGAAGAGACTGGAAAAACGTTCTATTTAGTTGATGGCAGTCAGCTCAGAGATACGGGACAGCCATGATGGATTTGTTGAGAATCGGGACGACATCCCTCTTAAGGAGTCCGGAAGTGACGATGACAGCGACGATGAAAAGCAAGACTATCCGTCAACGCTACAGCTAATACCCATTATGGTCGGACTCTGCTTCCAATCGATCTGTATTGCGTTGGTCGGTTGTTCCTTCCTCTAGATCACGCTAGGTCGATATCAAGCTGACCCGGCGCGTTATGATAGGATAATACCATCCTGGCCACCGCAATCCCCAAGATTACAGAGCAGTTCAACTCTCTTGAAGATTTATCCTGGTACGCAAGTGCATATCTCCTCACGACATGTGCGGTCACTCTCCCATTCGGCAAGATATACACCTTCTATTCCACCAAATGGACATATATGATCGCCCTTGCGCTATTTGAAATAGGGTCACTCATATGTGCCGTGACACCAACATCAAAGGGATTAATATTGGGACGGGCAATTGCTGGGCTCGGATCTGGAGGACTGTCCCCCGGTGCTCTGCTGGTGCTGGCCAACAGCTTACCTCTTCATCGACGAGCGCTCTATTTTGGAATCATCGGGAGCGCCAGTGGAGTAGCAACGATTACGGGACCGATGTAAGGTTAACTTGGCACATATAACGAGTAACCATGGCTAATGAAAGAACAGGTTAGGGGGGCTCTTAACTGACCGGCTGAGCTGGAGATGGTGCTTCTGGCTCAATTTACCCCTCGGCGCGATTACTGGACTCTTCATTACGATGTTTTTCAAGGACTCGAAAAATCAAGCAAAGGCGGAGCCCGGAAGACTCAAAAAGGTCACACGAATGGATCCTCTCGGCATCGCTGCTTTCGTACCCGCTATAATCTCGATTCTATTGACGCTGCAGTGGGGCGGCACCAAGTACCCTTGGACAGATGCACGCATCATTGCGCTTTTTGTGATTTTCGCAGTCTTCGGGGCATTATGGTGCTCCATACAGCTCTGGAAGCAAGAAGAGGCTACTGTTCCCCCTCGTTTGCTGAAGAATCGGAATGTACTTGGGGCTGTGATTCATGCAATGTTTTTGGGAGGGTCTTTCTTTGTTTTCAGTTACTACGTAAGTTTTCCTACTCTGGACTTTCGAGATCACCTTACTCACGTTTCTTGATAGCTCCCAATATGGTTCCAGGCTATTCAACAAGTTTCAGCATCGGACTCTGGAATTAACACTCTCCCTATGGTCGTGTCAATGATCGTATGCTCCGCATTGGGAGGACTGCTAGTGAATCTCCTGGGCTACTACACGCCACTCATGTTTCTTGGGAGCGGTCTTCTCACCATTGGCTGTGGCCTTTGTACAACGTTGAGAGTTCATACGGCTCATAGCAAGTGGATCGGCTATCAGGTTATTATCGGCGTGGGAGCCGGAGTTGGCTTCCAGCAGTGCATCAACGCCCTTCAGACTGTCCTACCACTACATGATATCCCGGTCGGCATCGCTATCATTACATTTGCACAAAGCTTGAGCGGCGCCCTCTTTATTTCTATTGCACAGAATGTCTTCCAGAATCGCTTGGTGGAAAATTTGTCCGACTACGCCCCAATGGTCAACCCGAAGGCGATTATCCAGGCGGGTGCAGCGAATCTGGCACAACGGATACCGGAGGAAAGTCTACCGTCCGTGCTATATGCCTACAATATTGCAGTCACGCAGACATTCTACGTGTCAGTGGCTACCGCAGCTCTCTCCTTTGTCGGGGCAGTTCTTGTGGAGTGGAAATCCATGAGAAAGTCGAAGAAATGTGCGTGAGAGCTTGAATAGATACCAGAGTTGGTGGCATTTTTTACTCCAGCGTTAAAGCATTGATTACGTTTGATTTTGCGCGACATTGTTGTACACAATTGTGCACAAATAGCTCTGCTGATGGATTGGGCGATGGTCAAATCATATAGTGTGTCAATGTAGGGTTCGACATTGCGTTCCCATCCAAATTAACGCCGTGCGCCTTTGCCCTGCCAGCTCCCCTAGATGAATTCGGCAGAGGGAGAGAGAGGCAACCTTCAGGAACAACACATTTCGAAATCCAGATAGATCATAACTCTGGACTTGAATGGGGTCAAAATTTCCTTTCACATCACACTGCAAGATTCTGGGCGACTATTCTGTTCATGCCAGGCAGTGTCCAAAAGTCTTCCGTCTACTTCAGAATAGTTTGCACTATTCAGATTCAGCTGAGCTCTGAGGTGATGACTGTAAAAGCATGCCCGAAGCCACATTATACGTTCGATCCAGTCGATTTCTTTGAAGTCTGTCGAATAGTCGGCCAAGAGAGCCTGGAGGCGTGCCAGCTGGTGTGGATCTTCGGCAGCAGAGCAACCCACCACAAGGCATAATGCAACATAAGCCGCTCCCAGTGGGCGATAGCGACAAGCAGCCTCGGCTTCCCGTATCATCTCACTGCAAAAAGATAAAGATTCCGCAGTAAGAAAGGTATTAGTGGGGTCAAACGCTCGAAGGAGGGTGTTCAGAATCAAGGCAAGAGTGATAACAAGTGTATACCCCGCCTGGTGACGACAGTGGTTGACGGCGGCCGGATCAGTGAAGGAATTCGATGCGACATTTGACCAACGATCCAGATACCGACGCATCTTTTCAGCATCATCTCGCATGGTGAGATAAACAGCTGCAATCTCGGGAATATGCGGATCTGGGTGTCGGATCCATTCAGGTAAGTTTGCAAAAGTGCTCAAGGTACTGGAAGACTGAGGTGGGTCAGCGTTTCGAGGGCGTGGCGCTCCAGAAAAGCGCCGTGTGACATCGTCCCACCATTTGGAATCCATTTGAATGCGGGGGTTGATGACAGCCTCAAGGATCTGTCTCTCTATTAGTCAATGATGTCCGCTGCCAAATTCTTTTTTGATCGTCGAGTCGTATAGGTTACTATTGAACTAATTTTGGTTGTACATACCACCGGAACAGTCAAAGTGACAATCATCTCCTTTTCAAAGCTGCTTTTACATTTGCGCAGGTCGGTGATTTTCAAGAGGTGGGCGATTGCTTCTCCGTGGCTTTTCAACTTGTCATCGTATCGTCCTAGCCAGCTCTGAGTATTATATGGATTAGCATGAGTCCCAAGACACCGAGGGTGCGACCCGTAAAGGAGAAAACGAATGACATTACCTGACAGATCGAAATTAGGTAAACAGCACAGAGTGTATCGAGTGACCGAGCCTGGACTGGGTCATTCAAGGACTCTCGAAGCGCCCGTAAGGAGTTGCAATATTCCATATAAGCATCTGCACCGAAGTTTTGATGACGAAAGTACGGATAGGCAGTGACCACTGCCTTAACAGATGCGTCTAGAGCCACACTATGGCCTAGGCGTCGAGGTATTTCCTTCAAGAACACCCCATAATAGGTTATATCATATCTAACGTCGGTGTTTGCCAAAGTATTGGCAAATAACGCGGCTAGCTTATCGCCAGGTATCTGCATCAGGATCTGAAAGGAGTTCGCTACGGTCGTGGCTGGAGATATCACGGCCCGAGTCCTCCTCGGTTCCGCTTGTGTCATCTTCGTCAGACCCGATTCCGTATTCTTAAACTTAAACCGCTGCTGGCCACTGCCAATACAGAGAATTTGCAGTCGGCGACACCGTGAGCATGGTTTGAGTTCATCACACTGGTCTGCGCATTAGGAAGAGCTCCAATGAGACTACTTGGGGGAAAATCCCACCTTCTTCTTTACGCGTCGACAAGCATCACATCCTTTGCTAGACGGAACCCCGGGCATTTTCTCAATCTGAAGTGGCGCAACGTTTTACGCAAAAGGGTAATAGGTGAACAAGAAATCAATGAGCATGCAACCCACAGCCCTCGCTTCCGGGTTTCGCGAGTTGTCTCTGACGATGGGTGCTGAGGTGGCGGATAGAGTTCCCGACGCGATATAAATATGACGCGATCGGTCAGGTTCGATCCTTGGAAGACCAGGCGAGCCGACACAATCTCATGGCATTGAGCGGGACACACCTGTGAGGCTGAAGCTGGGCAAGAAAGCGGAGAGTCGTTTGGCCCCAACGGAAGTTCCAATCAGATGCCTCACTCTGCTGAGGAACAGCAACAGACCGCAGCATCCAATAAGATCTGCCCGACAGGATCCATCCGGCGCACCATTTCGCCTAATTGGGAAATATCGAACCTCGGCCGCTCCGAGCTGAATATTTCCTTCACAATCCGACGTGCCTTGGGATCCAATTAAGACCTTGGTACATCCTACATGCTACCCCCTCGAAGGCCCACCGTTGTATTCTATGGTGCAGCAAAGGAAGGAAAGCCCAACCTTGTGATATTTCGGGGCTTAGGTTCAAGGCCCGTATGACGTCGTTGGAGATGCCAGTTTCCCCTCGACATTTTCCTATACCTCAAACTTGACGCTCATGGTCAGCCCCTGACCATGACGCTGAGCGAGACTTGATATGAGATTTTTTACAATGTTCTGATTATATTGAGAAAGTGTCATTGACTTACATGTGTCACTATTCATGTATTTCTACTATCTTGGGGAATTTACTCATAACTAGACCCCAATACCGGCAAAGATCGGTCAAATATCCAGACGCCCCTCCACTTTTCATCACAGACCTAGGAGATATATTGTTTTGGCAAATGTTGAAACACAGAGATCTGAATAGAGTCTGCCCGTTGAGCTTATATTGAGCTTATATTTAATGTTTTAGTGAGGTAGAACAAGGCTTAAGTTTATATCCAAGGTTATGTACGTTGCAATAAGGTACCGTTGTTCCGAGATTGAATTCTTTCCCATCTAGACCCATGATCTATCTATTCCATCTATAAAATATAGGTCGTAATCGTCTGATTTCGCCTCCAAGTAGTTCGTGTCCAATAGCCACATCCCGTCTTAGTAGCCTTGTTATTTAGTTCAAACGGTCGATTTCACAGTCGGTCGTCGTAAACCGCTGAAAAGATTTTCGCCGCCAGGTATCTTGTGTTTGAAGGCTTCTTCAATTTCGCCCAGCGATCGGCCTTTCGTTTCGTGCATGAAAATTGCACCCACAAAGGAAGTCAAGACGGAGCAGCTGCCAAACAGGAAGTATGCACCAAAGTTGCTCTTGGCCAACAGGATGGGTGTCGTTAACGCAACCAAGAAGTTGAAAAGCCAGTTGCTGGAATGCGCCAAGGTAGTGGCCGAAGCACGAGTCCGTTGAGGCTGGATCTCAGCACTGTAGACCTTGACTGCCACTGCCCATGTCATAGAGTAGATGATGGCAAAAATGTAAATGCAGACGATCACAACCCAGCGACCAGCACCAAAAGAGCCATGCACGGCGTTGCCGGCGTAAAGTCCCCCAATAAGGAACATCACTGTTCCAAGGCCCACACCTCCATAGATGATGCTGTGTCTGCGCCCCCACCCATCTGCATAGATCAGCCCAGGAATGGTCGCCGCAAAAATCACGAGCGCTGAGACACCGGACGCGAGAAAACTTGCTTCCGAGGAGGCGAGCCCAGCCTGTTGGAACAATAGCGGGGCGTACTAGAGCGCTTGTGAGACCATGAATTACAAAGAAGACAAATGAGAAGGGTAGAATTTTTGACATACGTATAGCACACCGTCAATCCCGCTGAGCTGCTGCATGCCCATCAAGAAGACAGCCAGCGCAGTGCGTGTACGCACATCTTTAGAGAAGATATCGAGGAGTTTATGCAGGGTGCTGTCTTTGACCGTATCGGCAGGAGGTACCACTTCAGGCGTGTCCGACTGTAGCTCAACCTTCTCACGCTCTGCCTGGCTCACTTCCAGTTTGTCCCAAGTCTCGGCGGCCTCTTTATGACGCCCATGCAGTGTCAGCCACCGAGGCGACTCCGGTAAGAAGAAGAAGGATACGACAGAAAGTATCATTGAAAGCGAGGACAGAAGAAAGAATGGCGCCCGCCATGACAGCGACGACTGGACATTGGAAGATCCGTAGCAAGTGAAGAAGCCAACGACTAAGCCGAGCGTAATCAATAGCTGCGGTCCGGTTGTCAAAGGGCCTCTGGTTCTGGTAGGCGAGATTTCACAAATGAAGACAACCAGGTTTCCCAAGAAGAGACCTTCTCCCAATCCTTCAATCACTCTACCGGCGATAAACATTCCCAAGCTGACTGCCCCTGATTCGATCGCAGCCCCAATACCGAAGATGAAAACACCGATGCTGATTCCCTTCGGTCGCCCAAGTATATCTGCAAGATGCCCTGCGAAAAACGAGGAAAGTGCCGCTGGAATCAGAATCGACGAAACGATGAGGCCATGAATGGTCGCATTTTGGCTACCCCCAAATGACGCCTTGAAATCTTTCATATCAGTCACTGGGCCGATAATGCCGGTATCCATGCCAAAAAGAAGTCCATTTGCCGAGCATAAAACGCAAGCCCAAATATATTTTGGTGGCCTTTTCATATAGTCTGGGAAGAGGGCCATTGTTAAGAACTACCAATGCCAAGACTGAATTCAAGGAAATCCTTCTTATCGGGGGGTTGTAAATAACCGAGAAAGCCCAAGAAACTGGAGGTTAAGGAAGTAGATGAGATGAAGAAGAATCTATCACCTCAGGAAAGAAAGAAGACTCTTGTGAATCGACAGATTTGTTCGCTTTTGGTTTCTCTTTTCAATTTCCCCTCGTTCCCCCACGCGCTGGCTAATCACCCCACTGCTCCACTAGATAGCATAGGATATTCTCAGTGGCCAGCTTACGGTGGATATGAAAATTTTTTTCGCTCAGGTGCAATCCAGAACCTTTTCCCGCTCTGCCACCCCGAGACCTCTGGTTTTATATGGCGGAGAAAAGGGTCCAAGCTTGCGGGTAAACCTAGGGTTCACGTACCGGCAGAAACCTAGGACAGCCGAGAATAGCATACCTACCTTGCATTATATACTTCACATGGAGATTAATATCTCGACGTTTGTACTAATGAGCCGGACTTTGCCTTCTATCTCAAATGCTTTCATGGCGCTATTTGCTACAGCGATAGTTGGCCAGAGAAGGTGGTGACTACTCTCGGTTCTACCCCGGGTGATTCAATGCAAATGCAGCAGACTACTTACAATTAGCTTTCATCGCGTCTTAGATGACCAGGAGTACTATTCACATAAGCAAGGCAATGGAATATATTGAATTATTTTGAATGAAAGCGAATGAGCAGAATTCTTACGCAAGTGGGATCTTTGATCCCCATTTAGCCTCGTAGGGCCGTCACTCGTAGCTACCACAAAATACGCTTCTTGATTATTTCGAACCCCCACTTCATCCCCTTCTTCTATGCGCCTCCCTATTTTCTTCACTTGGCTAAGAAACTGATTGAGTTCTTCTGGACGCCAGACATTATTAAACTCGAAGACTTTTCTGGAGACAATTTGGAAGTAATTAAAGATTTGTTCCAGAGAATTATAAAATGAACTATGGAAGCTTGAATCCCTTAGTCATGGACCTCTCCGGATTGAGAATCCTCAATCTTGCTCTCGCACCTTGAGTGAAGCGTTAATCAAGGACCGCGCATATTATAGGTTTGCTGAGAATAAATATAGGTAGAACGTAAAGTAGTGAAGGGATTTCTACGTTTCCTTTCCTACTGATCGCTATTGCCACCACAATTTAACATTGTAGGTGGAAGCTGACTCCTCGCAATATTCTCGGTCAGGCACCAGAATAGTAATAGTATCTCAGTAGAGTCACAGAATGTTTGACAGCGAGAGAGATGATTACATTAATCGAGAAGTCGAGTTATCTTTTCTTGTTGACAATTACAACCCAATACCCAAATAACCTACGAGAAATCTGACCTAGCAGCCACGCTCAGTATGTTCATTATGCAATTAATTACTTCTGGATTTATAAACCCAGAAATACACGCCATCAAATAAATACAAAAGGTCTTTGCATGCAGAAGTCTATGGAATTATAAGTACACAGTAATCAAGACCCATGAAACCCGAGCACATCACAAGAAAATGTTTAGTGTCAAGAGTGCAAATAGATAATGGTACAGCCCATTAGATACTCCACCCAGAAGATCCAATGCTCTCAACCCGAATTCCAAGTTTATTCATCTTGGGTACGTCAATGACGCATCGGCCATCGAAGAGCCACTTGGGGGATTGCATTTCAGCCGAGATCCTCGTCCAATCCAGCTGTTTCTTCGGAGTAGTATCAGCAGTATCCGTATTGGGATCTCCATAACTAGTTCCCGATTGGCAGTCTGGACAGTCGGCAGCACACCCTGGCTCATCGTTGAATCGCCTCTTGATCGACTCGTTGGTATCAGAGGCAGGGAGCTTCTTCCCTTGTGAGGTGGTGCTAGAGGATCCGCCAGAATGAACGGGGAAGTTCATGAATTCATCAAATTCGGTGACAAGTAAAATGGCATTCGAGCCAGCACAGGCTGCATAGGCATCGGAGTAGACCTTAACAGATCCACCATCATCACTGAGGACCGGGGGCCCATAATCCTGCAACGAGCGAATCTCGTTCTCAATCACGACCGGGTTACAGCAGGGATCGAAGATTGCAATTTCGCGTGGATTTTCATCCAATAGAGTTTTGATAATTTCGAGTGCCGGTGCCTCGCGAGTATCCGAGGTGTTTTTCTTAAAAGCATATCCCAGCACGCAGATCTTTTTTGTGACCAGCGTACTGTTTAAACGCTTGATGACGCGGGAGCTGAATCGGTTTCGCTGATACTCATTCATCTCAACCACTTGGCGCCAATACTCGCCAACTTCCTGGAGGTTGAGAGACTCGGCCAGGTACACCAAGCTCAGAACATCTTTCTTGAAGCAGGAGCCGCCAAATCCAATACCTGCTCGAAGGAATTTCGAGCCGAGTCGGGTGTCAGCCCCAATTGCGGCCGAAACTTCGTTGATTTCAGCCCCTGTGGCTTCGCATAAGGCTGAAATACTGTTGATGCTGCTTAAACGCTGAGCAAGCATGGAGTTAGCAACTAGCTTGGCTAGCTCTGATGACCATACATTGGTCGTGATGATTCTTGAGCGGTCAATCCAAGAGGCGTAGACCTTTGCAAGGGCGGCGGCTGCAGAAAGTCCTTCAGGGGTGGTCGCAGAGCCAATGATAATACGGTCTGGCTGTAGGAGGTCTTGCACAGCAGTTCCTGCGGCTAGGAATTCGGGATTCGACAGGATCTCAAAATGTGCCCCCGGTCTTTGGATACGAATCTGGGTGCCAAGGGCTTGTTAGATGAGCAGAAAATAGCGGTGGAGAGAGAAAAAGAAAAGAAAAAGAAGAGAAACACGAAATTGCTGGCAGTATCATACCATTTCTTGGATCATCTGTGCCGTTCTGCAGGGAACAGTGCTTTTTTCAACGATGATCGTACCATCCCTTGCATGACGCACGACCTCGGCGGCAACGGCCTCGAAGCTTGTCATGTCAGTGGCGCTGCCCTTCCCTGTACCGCGCATCTTTGTCGGTGTGTTGACAGCAATCAGAACAGCATCTGCCTCACTGATACACCGAGAAACATCTGTTGAAAAGAACAGATTGGGTTGGCGCAAAAGGGCGACTGGCACATCGTCTTCCTGGAGCTGGGGGGATTCCCGCAAACCGTCTCGTGCGATACGCACAACCTCAGCTAGACCGGGTTCGTAGATCGGAAGATGCCGTGAATTCCACCTCCGGATACGTCGATCGTCTCGGTCAACAACGGTCACTTTGATAGATGGATTCTTGAGCGCAAGGACGGCAGCTGTAGGGCCTCCAACGTATCCCGCGCCGACACAGCAAATACTGTGGATAGGCTTCGGGCAGATATTATTCTCCACGTCCCTGTCCGTTTCAGAAGTGATCCCGGTGTCATTCGAGGCGAAATCCTGCTCGTCTGTGCTATCGTCCACTGCTGGACTACACGATTCACTTCGATCCGGTGTGGTGGGTATGGTTGAGACGTCGACCGAGGTATATGTCTCGGAATCCACGGCAGATGCAATGGAAAGCATCGCTTGATAAATGGGAGTCAAACAGTCAGCGCACTCCAGGAAAGGAGAAAACAAACAAGAGAGAGAGAGAGACAGTCAGGGGAGAATGAATGTCCAGTCGCACACATGAGAAAAGGAACGAGCTCCCGTGTTCTAGCTATCGGAGGAGAGGTCAGAGCTGCTTACCTGCTAAGTTTGGTTCCTCGGAAACTAATATGAGCATTCGGTTACTATCAATTACGCGCTTGATCTTGTAATGCAACCTCACCCACCATGGATAGCCAAGTCTCAAAAACTAAAACTTAGTAATAAAAGATCACCGACAAGAATACCAAAAATGAGGAACCACCCACTATGCACCCTGGCGTACTGTACGGAGTACATAATTTGGTTATACGACATAAATGCGATGGGAAGGAAATTACATATGCCCGGGTTCAAGAGTCGGGTGTTCAGGCGACTAAAGGCTGTCCCCACCATAATGGGGTCACTGCCGACCTCGCCGGTGGTCATGATTCAATGTAACGTGTTAGGTCCAACATAAGACATGCGCGTCCTCCTCATGAGAACTTGTTTTAGGCGCAGAAATTTATACCGTCATTTCGGGCAAACAACTCCCCTGCCAGCCAATGCCGCCAGCTGACACTCTGTACGCTGCAGACGAAATGCAATACAGCCCGTAATACCGCCCAGAGGAGTAATGATTATCCACCCGGGACCATTATTCGTACTCGTATTGTCACAATACGAGAGCCAGTGCATCGATCAGGGTGTTCGGGGGACGATTCCCTGGCCCGGATCTTCGCCTTTGATCTACGGGGAACCTTTCGTCGTGGCCAATAGACTTCCCGCGGTCCGCCTCGTGGGCCATGGCATGTTGGGCCTCCCAAAAGGATAAGCAGCGGAACCCGCCCACTCGACGGATTCATCGTGCATCCGCCCTTGATAGTCGCAGCACCGCGCGTGTCCTGGCTCAATCACTCCTCCCATTTTGGGCATGCGGGACTGATCGCTTCGGATCTTGGCGGGAGGCTAACTAGCGCAAGCCAGCCTTGGGCGTTCCGTGCTGCCAAGGAGCGAGCCCCATGTCGGCCCTGATAGTGGATGGATCCTAACGCGCCGAGGATACGGAAGCGGGCGATTGATTTTTGAGGGCCACCCACGCTATTAAGAGAACAAATAGTTGTCCTAGAAAATGGGTCCAAGTCGATTCGCGGCAGAGAAAAACGAAAAAAAAAACCAGTATTCTTCATTCAAGATACACAATCATGGCACGTGAACGGATCTACTGTACAGCACGCCCGGAGTCCTGTTGGACGCCATTTTTAGGTAACTTTGCGCTCCCCTTGGCGGGCAACTTGGTCAGCCCTACCTTGCACCTAGTGAGCTAGTTGGTCGGAAGTGGGGGTCGAAGGGTCGAAGGGACTTGACACAGCCGACAATCACTTCCTATTGCGACTCTTCCCAAATTACTCCGTATTTCACACGGAGACCTACTACGGAGTTGGTTGTTAGCCCTTCGGCGGAGAAGGTATGGTCGTTAGCAAGGTACAAGGAACTAGCATTTGCCCAAATCATCATGTACCTAATCTTTCCCTTGCCAGTCCCTAAACCATTCCAAACCGGGATGAATCCATTCGACCCCTCCACACTGATATAATCTAATCCGGATCCGCCGGCACTCCTTTACTTAGATATGGATCGGTCCGGTCATTTCGACGATAAGTCACGGTACATAATTCGGTTCGATTGGCGACCATTTGACATGATAGCGCTCTTAACTCATTTCTCTGAAATTACTGGTCCAGTACTTGTCTCAGCCACCGGACCCTGCGTGCCGCGTGGTTCACCGAATCGCCCAATCGCCCGCCAAGGGTCTATAATAAGTGAATACCATCGCCGCCCTTGAAACCGCAGCCTTGACCGTCTGCATGAAATTTTTTTGGGGCACCCGCTCGTTTGCTCGCCCGCATGCGGAGTTGGAGATCCCCGGCAGGGTTGGCAGAGTCCTCCCCACCCAATACATTACATTAGTGCAGTAGCCTAGCGGCACTCTTGGCATGATAACACAGGCTGGGCACTGCGGTGCTCAGGTGGATAGGCTGCCTAGAGAAGCAATTTACATTGCTGATTTATGCATTGTTACTGTAATACGAAATACATGGCGGGGGGCTGACGAGAAAACGGGGCGGGCGGACGGCGGACCCTGAGCGATCCAGTCGACAGGTCGGCTTTATCCGGCCTTACATCCGATCAAACCGTCAGCCGAAAGCTGAGCTGAGCTGGTAACCTCGTAAAAAGAGAGGGAAAGACGCCGAATTTGTCATTGTTATATTCTATTTAAATATAATGCGCGATACACTATGCAGATGCTGCGCGCTTCTTGGAATCCAACTCCACTTTGCTGAAGAATGCACATCCGGCTAGGACCAGAAAAATGCCCATCCCGTTGAGCAGATTGATAGCGAAATCGTGGAATAAGACGATTCCTAGTGCGAGCGTAACGGCCTGTTTCAGATTTCCCGCCACCGTAATCGTAAGCGCGCCAGCAATCTTGTTTGTTTGGAACGATGCGATGTTGAGTACGAGGGCAAGGAGTCCGTTCCCAAGGATGAAGGCTATGGTGAAAATGGCATTGAGGACCGATCCGTTGGCCGTGCGCTCCGACATGGCCTGTGAAAGAATAGGCAGCTCCCCTGCTATGATCGCGAACAGAAAAGACTGGACTGCGGCGAGAGGCGCCATTCGGAACAAGAGCTCCATGGATGGTAGTGCTAGCGAACCAGTCATGAGGCGGTTTGTAGTAACAGTCTGCAAATGAAAAATGATGCCAGGTTAGCAACAACCGAGGGAGGAGAAGGGAGGCAAGAAGATAGGTAAATAGGAAGTGACGCATACCTTGACTGCCGCCAAAACCACCCCCGAAATCGTGATGATGAGTCCTAGCAAAGAGTAATGATAATCTCCCGCTGTGCACATTCCAGCACCTGCAACAATTGGGATCAACGATAAATATGTGGCTGTCGTGTACGTTCGTGAGAACCAGAGCCGGTAGATCAAAACGGTAAATAGAGGGACAGTGTTGCGAATAATTTGGAAAAAGGCCAGTGAGACAAGAGATCTATCGCCAGAGTCAGTATTGACATCGCAGTCAAAGTATAGCTCGGAAATCATCACATACAACGACAGGTTCGACATGGCGATGTTGGTTGTAAATAGAACCGAAAAGGCCACTAAGATGATGTGCTCCTTGCGACTCAACTTGGACAGCTTGAAGTATCCCATTTTCAGCATGACGAAGGTACCAAGAGCGCTAAAGGATGTGTGAAGACAGGTCAGGAGCCAAGGTGCTTTGAACTATTGAGCCTGTTAGCCATGGCCGACAGTGGCGACTGGATGGGTCTTTCTCACGGATCCCAGAATGAATTTATTGTATATCGTCAGAGCCATGCTGAAGCCGAAGTAGCATGTTAGCCATATGAACTTCAATGTCGTTGGCGTCTGGTATTCCGGCTCGGTGTTGTTAATCGGATCATATTTTCTATCGGCTTCCAGGTCGTCTAGATCGGTGCTGTATGCTGTATCATCCTCACTGGACAGCAGACCCAGCTCTGCCGCCTCTCTCTCCTCACTTTCCCGCGCCATCTCGAGTCGCGGGAGTACACGGGGGAATAGGGTATTGGTATAGCGACCAGTTGGGTTCACGACTCCAGCGGGCACGCGGGCAAAGAGTGTCGTGTGGGAAAAGTCTAGATGAAAAGGGAGATTGCCTGCGCCAACCTGACCGCCACGGCCGATCGAATCCGGTTTGCACGAGAACCGTACAAATTACAAAATACAAAATACGGGGTATATTGTTCATAATTCGGGATAATTTACTCCGTCAATGGTGCCATCCGAACCGTCGAAAGATTACATGGGCTGTGGGGCGTCTTCCTCTTACTGTATCTCGTTTTCGCATACAGCACAGACACATCCGCTTCGACCCGCCCCAATACCACCCAGTCGACGGTGAGACAAGTCCGTTCGAGACGTTGATTCGCATTGGGCGTCAGCAGTGAAGGCCTATCACGCCACCAGCCGCATAGATCATAGCGTGTCTTTCTGTGCCACGGCAGCCCGTGGCGTCCGGGGGGCACCAGTCCGGCGATGTTTAGCTGCTCCTCACACGTCACGAAAAGGAGGAAGCTTTTTCATAGCCCAGGAGGCATACGTAGACAAAATCGCCAAAGAGGGACCCGCTGGATCGCGGCATCTCCCGCTTGCAGATTGATTACCAGAGGCCGTCCGAGGCATTACAAGCCAAATGGAAGTGGACAAGGGGTTGGTCCAAGGGTCCATATTACCAGCGGATTTTTAAGTTATCGGATATACACCGTTTCATCTCCAGCACACCACACTCCTCAACCCATAATAGGCGATTCCCAAAATCTAGCGATAGCCCGGGGGCCTCCCCTTTCCTTGTCTCACCCACTCCCCCGGTTGGGGCTCTTCTCGTACAAAGTCCCAGTCCCTCACACCAGGAAAAAAGGTGCGGCGACGAAGCGAACAATGCAGCTGTCAAATCGCTTGACTCGCTGGCAATGGGCCGGCTTGGCCAGCTTGTTCGTATTCGCTTTCTTCACTGTCCTTCAATATCGAGGGTCGACGGGGAGCGATACAATCTCCATATCTGCTATTCCGTCCCTAGACCGTGCCTCGAAATTCCATCTGCTGGTCCCGGCTAGCGGCTACCACTTCCGACTATGTCGCGCTCTCGCCTCAGCGACGGCCCTGGGCTATCCTGTTGCCGTGCTCAACGGGTGGATGAAGGAAGGTGACTTGGATGCATCCAAAACACACTTGGCCAAAGTGCGCACTGTCATGCACTATCTGGACAGCTTACCCCCTTCCTCCGATGATGATCTGGTCCTAATGATCGACGGGTACGATATTGTCTTCCAGATCCCGCCAGATATCCTCATCGAGCGCTACTTCGCTATCACCAAAGCTGCTACTGCCAAACTTGCTTCGCGCTTTGGACCCGATTATGTCGAGTCGCTCACGGCAGACGATCGTCCTCAACAGACAATCCTGTTTGGGCCTGAGAAGGTCTGCTACCCGGTGGACTGGAATCGGGTCGGCTGTTGGGCTGTCCCGCAAGACATCGACATTCCTGCTGGAGCATTCGGGCCGGAGGATGGGCAGCTGCACCACAATCTGCCCCGATGGCTCAATTCTGGTACCATTATGGGCCCGGCAAAAGATATGCGACTGCTGTTCGCTGCCACGCTCGACCGAATTTCCGGGCACTATGACCCCAACTATGAGTTCAGTGACTCCGATCAGATGTACATGAGCGACGTCTGGGGTGTACAGGAGTTTGGCCGCTCCATCGCAAGACATCGACAATACTTTCACGACGACATGGATCCAAATGCAGTTGTCCCCGGGGGCGTGGATGGAAAGGTTGTGCCTATCCTCTTACCAGGCCAAAGGACCGAACATCACATTGGCATCGATTACCGATCGGCGCTCTTCCAAACACGCGCCGGGTCCGATTTTATTCTGGAAATGCTCACATACAACGAGACAGCAGAGGGAAATGGGACAACGACAACGACAGCGACAGCGACATTTGCGACCGTTACCCAAAACATCACCGAGTCTCCGAACTTCATGCCTTTTAAAATCCCCCTACCAGCCAACCTCGCTTCCTCGATTACTCGAACTCTCCAATTAGTGGAAAAGGCAGTCGGCACCATTCCTAGCGTTACCGAGCTTCGTCTAGAAACAAACATCGTGACGCAAAACGTCTACGGTCTCTTCCATTCTACCGGCGGCAAGGACTACATTGATAAGTTATGGTCACAGCTGTGGTTCTTCCCATATGTGCGACCTCTCTTCCTCGCCAGGATCCCGCTACTGAAGGCTGGACGGCCAATTGTGGTTGCAGATGGACGCACATGGTTCCCTGCTCACAACCTTCCCTCGAACGTTTCCGAGTCCCAGGGCATTAATGCTACTGGGGCCTGGGCAGATATTGATGGTGGATGGCTGGGCTGGCAAGAGCTTTGTGGAACATTTGAAGCTGAGGTATTTGATGGCTTCACACCCCCGATGGATGACTGAGCGACGTGTGTAACAACTATCACCCCCTTACATTATATCCTACCCACCTTCTTGTATATACTAATGGACAAACATTGTCAATGCAATCAAAATAGATATTATTGGTTATTCAGTGCGGCCTTTCTCGTGAGTTTTGCTCGGCTCACCAAGCACAGCCAGCCCGATGCGCTGCATAGCGTAGTTCTGTCTGATCGAGGGAATAGTTCCCGTCGGGGTAAATCGGAAAGTTGTTGCGCTTTTACGTAGAATCTAGAAGTCCCGGAAAGATCCCGATGTAATCCTCAACGTGACATGATAGCACCACTGGGGTCTATATTCTGCCGTATAGGAAAGAGAAATGACTAGCCAGAAACGGTGACTAATGTCCCATTTCTCTGTATGCGTATGCTCTTGAGCAAGAACGGACCCACAAAATATCGTGGTTAAGGTCGTGAACAAAACAACACATCTGTCAACAATTGGTCTATTAATCTGGTCACTATATTACAAGAGCTAAACTGGGTTCACAAGAGTCTAAATCATGGAAGGGTTCTAGAAAGCAACCTTCGTCCTTCGACATTGTTTTAAACTCGGGAGCTAGTAATTTATCTCAACGGTGACCGGGAAGGATTAGTGGGGGGCATTGATCGAGACTACTCGTGTTGGCCCCTCCCAGGCAAGAGCATGGCCCCCGGGGCAGGAAGTAGAAACGGTGAGACGATTCCTATTTTGCTAGATCGTAGGTTCACCGCAGTTACGTGAGGTCTACTCCGAATTAAGGCAGAAGACTCACCCATATCACTGGAATTTGACATAATGAGTGGCTCGAATTGATACCCCTGGAGGCTACAAGAGACAATGGGTCTTCCTCATTGCTTGCTGTATGATATTACTCCTCTCATTAAGTCAAGGTAGGCTTATCTCTATTTTTCAAGTGTTACACAAATTGAAAATGCCGTTCGGTGTGAGATAGAGTTACTTCAAAAAGAGCACAATAAGATAATTGTGGTGATCCCTACTACCTTATTTGCCAATAATGGCGTCTTATGCTATCAATATGATGAGCGATTTGAGAGGAAGTATAATATTTTCTGCCTTCCCATGATCTCAAGCCAAATTGACGACTCATACGTCAATATGTCGAGACTGAGGTGGGGTAAACATGGGGATGGCTAGTTTGTACTATGGATTGCTATTACTATGGCAGAGCTTATAAATTTGCTTTATCTAACTCAATCTCAGACTCTAAGATCAGGAGATATTGTCCTACGCTGATAAACCGAGGTAAGTTGTTTGGAAAACTACAAGCAGAGCCTTTTAGACCAGTCTGGAGAGCTTGGATGCCCTGGTGACGAGGTCCAATATAGAAGGAGACATCGAATAGTTGAAGGCTATCCTAATTATCGAGGAGATGAATGCTTCCCGAAAAGGCACCTATGCGTACTCTTAAGAGGCTCTATTTTCATACGCCTGGAAGAGTGATGGATTTGCACATGTCGGAGATGGAGTGAAGTGCGCCGGGTACGAAAAAAGAACGGGAAACAGCAGATGATGAAGAGTCTCGCTGCTTGGTTTGTTCTTACGATATTGACTCGGAATTAAGATATGCAAGGTAAGTTGAGGAGCCCCGTCATTCTCGACAAACAATCTTGAAAGGTGCAAAATACTCAGGGCAGTCTCAGCGTTGCCTTTGCTTGAACATTGCATAGTGGCTTCGAGATGCTTGTATGGATACATTAACGCGGCAATTCTTCACTAAATAACTAAATAAAATGCATTTGCAGTAAGTAGACCCGGACACTTTCGAAAGGGTTTGCTAGGGCACCTATCCATCCTCGTTCTCTAGTTGCGGAGAAGCGGAGAAGTGGGGAAGCGGCCGATACCGCGCCCTGTTTTGACCGCCAACAAGTAAATCAGGGATGATATTACCCCACGTATATGTGCTTTCTCGATCGTCAGGGCTACTGCCCTTTTTCTCTTCTAACTGCGACCTTGCACTGGTACGCTGCTATGTCACCGACGACACGACCCCATAGGTCGCGTTGGCCAAGTCATTACGCGATTGGCCACCCTCGCGACCTGGAATGTGAGCAACACGCGATATGTCCACATCGAGTCTTGTATTAAAGACTGACCCCTGTTGTTTTAGCGCTCTATTCCCCGCAAAAGCACACGGGTATTGATTGAGCCGAAAGACTCCAGGAATTCCCTTTTTTCACTTCCGTCGCAATGACGCTAGCTAAATGGCCGATATTAAACCGGTGGAAAATAATCCGAGTAGGTATGTTCCAGGAAAGTGACCTTGAAGAATGTACTTAACTCAGGGGTACTTGGATCTCTTTTTGGAACCACCTGTGGTGAAGATTTTCTCCTCTATAAATTCATCGGTGCTTCCTACTACACGGGAACTAAGTGAGAGGCGCGTTTTCAACTCATAATTCAACATGGGCGTCAACACGTACTCATTGAGCTTGTTGCTCAGTCTCTCCATGGGTACTATCTCTCTTTCACAGGTTATCACGAGTGACACGTACTTCTATGGCCAGTCCCCACCTGTTTATCCCTCTCGTGAGTTTCTGTTGTCCCTGCTCCCCTTCCTGCGGGGCAGTTCACTGTTGCTTACACCTCAACTTGTGCAGCGGAGGGTACTGGCTCTGGCAATTGGGAATCTGCCTATCAGAAAGCCAGATCTTTCGTTGGAAAGCTCACGGTTGAGGAAAAGTTAAACTTCACTGCTGGTACCTACGTGAACAATGGATGCTCAGGAAATATTCCACCCGTCGAGCGACTTGGCTTCCCAGGCTTCTGCGTCTCTGATGCCGGCAATGGCCTGGTGTGTATTCCCTTCGTTCTTATTTGTCCTCTTCTAAATAGCTAATGAGATGCCAGAGAGGGACAGACTATGTCAGCAGTTGGCCAAGTGGCCTGCACGTTGGAGCTAGGTAGGGAAAGTGCGTATTGTTCAGACAAAAGCACTATGCTGACAATTTACCACAGCTGGAATAAAGACCTGGCTAAACAGCGTGGAATCCAAATGGGGGCCGAGTTCCGAAGAAAAGGCGTCAATGTCCTGCTTGGGCCTGTTGTCGGTCCGCTCGGTCGTATTGCCGAGGGTGGTCGCAATTGGGAAGGCTTTGCAGATGATCCCTATCTCAGCGGTGCTCTAGTACAGCCCACAATTGAAGGTGTGCAGACTTCGAGTGTTGGAACCTGCGTTAAGGTACGGCACACCTCATTAGATCGAATATCGGCCAGCCGGATTCAAAACTAATGGGAACAGCACTATATCGGAAACGAACAAGAGACAAACCGAAACCCCTGGACAAATGATCAAGGTGTGACTGTGGAAGCTGTCTCATCAAACATTGACGACAAGACCATGCACGAGCTGTACCTCTGGCCTTTCCAAAATGCGGTTCTGGCCGGGAGCGCTTCCGTTATGTGCTCCTATCAACGTGTTAACAACTCTTATGGTTGCCAGAACAGCAAGACCCTGAATGGGCTTTTGAAAACAGAGTTGGGCTTCCAGGGTAAGTGCGTTGCTTATAGTCTCCAACCTTTGTTTTTTTGCACCTCTTTCTTGACAGAGAACCTGATAAGAAGCAGGGTACGTGATGACTGATTGGGGCGCGCAACACGCTGGCATCGCCGCTGCCAATGCTGGCCTGGACATGGTGATGCCTTCCTCTGACATGTGGGGAGATAACCTTACCATTGCTATTAACAATGGCTCGATGGAAGCATCAAGACTGGATGATATGGTCACTCGGTATGTGATAAAAAAGAAAAAAGAGCAACGCGCGATAGTCTCCAATCTGATAATGGTACCTTTACCTAGCATCCTGGCAACGTGGTATCAAATGCACCAAGATGAGAGCTTTCCTCACCCCGGTATTGGCATGCCCAGTGACATCAACGCCCCGCATCAGAAGGTCATGGGCAAATCTGCCGACTCGAAAAACATTCTGTTCCAGGGTGCAATTGAAGGCCATGTCTTGCTAAAGAACACAAACAACGCCCTACCTCTCCAGTCCCCTTCTCTGGTTTCAGTCTTTGGGTATGATGCACAGGGGTCGGATCACCTGGAGGTTGCCATCGACGGAGTCTCCAAGGGCACGGCACTCCAGAACAGCACCTTATATGTCGCTGGTGGCTCGGGTGCTAACTCCGCTGCCTACGTGGATAGTCCTATCGACGCTATCCAGCGCCAGGCTTATGCGGATGGTACCTCTGTGATGTGGAACTTCTATTCCCAAGATCCCGCGGTCGATCCCACCTCAGACGTCTGCCTGGTCCTTGTCAACAGCTACTCCACTGAAGGTTCTGACCGTCCCGGCTTGACTGATGACTACAGTGACACTTTGATTACCAATGTGGCTAGCAAGTGCTCCAACACGGTGGTTATCGTGCACAACGCGGGGATTCGCATCGTCGATGACTGGGTTGAGAACGAGAATATCACAGCTGTCATGTTCGCTCACTTGCCTGGCCAAGATACCGGTCGCTCTCTCGTGGCGCTTCTTTATGGTCATGCCAACCCGTCTGGCCGACTTCCGTACAGCGTTGCGAAGAGCCCATCTGACTATGGATCACTGCTGCAGCCTTCCCAGCCCGAGGGCGAGTACCAGCTATTCCCGCAGTCTGATTTCACCGAGGGCCAATTTATTGACTATCGCGCATTTGACGCGAGTGACATCACACCGAGATATGAGTTCGGGTTCGGTTTGTCGTATACTACCTTCGAATACTCGAGTCTGCAACTGCAGAAGACAAATAAACCCGCCTTGCAGTATCCCCCCACAGCGGATATCGTAGAGGGTGGCAACCCACACTTGTGGGATGAGCTTATGACTGTCACTGCGACCGTGCAGAACACTGGCAGCGTTGACGGCAATGAGGTTGCTCAGCTGTACCTTGGTATCCCCAACGGACCGATCCGCCAGCTTCGTGGGTTTGACAAGGTCACGATTGCCAGTGGAAAGAGTGAGACTGTCAACTTTTCGCTGACTAGGAGGGATCTGAGCAGCTGGGATGTGAATGCTCAAGAGTGGGCTCTCCAGGAGGGAGAGTATGAGGTCTATGTTGGTCAATCGAGCCGGAACCTGCCTTTGCACTCTACATTCACCCTCTAGATGGGAAGAAGCTGGTGGTGGGGGGGGGGGGGGTTTGGTGGGGGAGAATGACGTGGCAGACATTTATTGTTTAAATGGTGTATACTTTCAATTGGTTTAATGTGATTGAAGTCGACCATTCCAAAAATTTTGAATGTGCCACCATCCCCAAAATAGACAACCGGGTACCATAATGAGATGTGAACACCGTGCAGTAGAAAGAAAGGAGGGGAAGGGAACTCAACTGGCTTTAAATAAGGGAGTTTTGATCCATCTCAATTGCTTCCTTTGGATCCTGGACGATTTATCTACCTATCGGTTGCAGTGGTTAAAGGATATATATAGGAAACGATTTTTTTGAAGTTCTTCATTCGATCCTAGGAGATCTATTCTTGTCTCTAGAGTCTATCCTTCCAAAGCAGAAACGCGCATAAATACGAAAAGGGTAAAAGAAAAAAATATACATCATCAGAATGGAAGAATGCACCCATAAATAATCTAGAGCTTGCTCTTGGGCGGCTCGTTCTTGAGCAGAGCCGCGTTCCACGGGTACGGGTCGAACACCAGGTCGTTGACGGGGTTCTCCTGGCTGGCCCGGCGGAACAGATCCTCGTACACGTTGCCATCATACCGACCCAGACTGCTATCCAGCTGCCAGTCGGGAATAGCCCAGGCATCGACCAGGCGCACGGCGTGCGGGCGGATCTGGTCGAGCAGTTTGATCACAGCGGTAGTGCGGGTCAGGGTGATTTGGCGGACGGTGACGGCGCCCGAGGAGAAAAACTCGGCTGCCTCGCTCTCCAGGGTGTGCAGGGCGTGCAGGCGGAAAAGCTGGTGCATGAGGGTCTTGGTGTCTTGGTCCAGTGACTGTGAGAGCTCCGGCGAGGTGACGGCCTCGTAGAAATTCTTGACCACTGTGTACTGGGAGAGGGCGGTTGACAGGCGCCAGAAGTTGACCAGCAGGCTGTTCCACGAGCGCTTCTCGGCATCGCGGTGCTTCAGGGCCTCGAAGGTGAGGTGGGCGGTGCGCCAGGCGAACGCAGCCACAATGTCGGCATCCTCCTCGAGTATGTCGAACGAGGCGCCCTTCTCGCGGCGGTCCAGGTAAGTGCGGAGGATGCGGCAGGTGTCGTTGTCGGCGGCCTTGCCCGACAGGACAGCACGAGCGGACTTCAGCAGGTAGCGAGCGACCTGCTGGGTCAGCATATAGTTGTCGCCCTCCCAGGTCAGGGTGGGGAGGTAGTCAGAGTACCACGGTCCAATACCGCTGTAGCTGCTGTAACCGTGACCGCCGCAGGCGCGACGGCAGACCTCGAGGCCCTCACCAGCAGTGGTACTGGCCAGAGCCTTGAGACCACAGGAGGTGGCATGCAGATCTGCCAGCAGGTCGGCACCAGCGCGGAGCTCCTCAGGGCCAGCACCACGAGTGTCCTGGTCCGGGGAAGCAGCCGCCTTCATGCGCTTCTGGTTCTCCTGGTACAGGCGCATCATGCCGCGGCCGGTGAAATGCAGAGCGTACATGGAGGCCAGGAGGGGAAGCAGGCGGATCTGCACCATCTTGTAGTTCAGCACCGGGTTCTCACCAGCGCTGGCATCGGCATCGCGGTCCTGGAATTGCCTCCGCACAGCGCAGTACCGAGTCGCAATGGTCACGCCGCGTGCGAGGACACCACCAGACTGCAGGACAATGTTAGAGCGCACCCAGGTCATGGTCCCGTAAATGACAGAAGGCGTGGCGGGGCGGACATATTTGTTGGTATCCTTGTCGACGCGGGCGAAGCGGGCAAGCATGTTACTGTGGGGGACCTTGACGTTGTTGAACAGCAGGAAGCCGTTGTCCATAGTGCTGTGAGTGACGTTCTATGGTCAGGAACAGACTCTCCCCAAAATAAAGTTCTCAAGGCGGACTCACTTATAGCCAAACTTGGGACCAATGTCACCCACATATACGTTCTCCAAGGGCTGATGGGTCTCCAGGTCGCGGACCTGCACCACGAAGGGGTGAGGACCGTAGTTCTTGCCACCAATAAAGAGCTGAGCCATCACCACGGCGTGGTTGGCAGTGCGACCGAGAGAGCCAATCCACCACTTGGAGGCAGTCAGGGTGGGCGAGTGGATGGTGAAGGTCTTGTCATTGGGGTTCCAGGTGGCGGTGGTCTCGAGGCCGCGAACGTTGGATCCGTGACCCAGCTCCGTCTGAGCGTAGCAACCGATGATTTCGTACTTCTCTGCGCGCTCGAGGAACACCTTGTGCTGTTCGGGGCTTCCTTGTTCGCGGAGGGTGACCTATAGTAAGCGGAGGCGGCGGAACGGGTCAGCTTTCAGGTCTTTACTATGGCTCGAGTCCAGAAAGAGAGAAATACATACCAGGAACATGCTGGCGTGCAGGCCATAGGGGGTGGGCTCTCCGATCAGCTCGTTGGCCGCGTGGAGCTCCTCCATCGACCACTTGTTCTGCTCGGCCAGCTGCTGCAGGCGCTTGGCCTTGGCCAGAGACCGCTGCAGGCGCTCGACACGGCCCAGGGTGTGGTTCTGCGACTTATCGAAGACCTTCTCGGGCTGGAGCATCTGGAGCAACTTCTCTTGCCGCTCCAGAGCCTCCTTGGTGTGCAGCAGCTCGGACAGCTTCTCGACATTGACATTGGATTGCGCCCGCTCTTGGGCGAGCAATTCGGAACCCTGCGGGCCTGCGGGCTTCAGGGCCTTGACCCAGTCTGGGGGAGGGGATGGCATTGTGTGGAGGAGGGGAGGTGAAGAATGGAGAATGGGGACAGTGGGAAAAACGTGGGGAGTGTGATTATAACTCTGGCGGCTCCTCCGCCGCCTCCGTGGGGCCCCAGTGTTATTTCCAGGCCGAGGGCCAGCCAAGAGGGCCGAATCAGGAAAGTGCCGAGGCTCGTCTCAATCAGGTAACGTGCCGTTGGCCGAAGAACCCCGAGTGTGCCTCAGTCCCCAAAGTCCGACCGGCCGAGGTCGCTGAAGGGGAAGAGACTATGTTGTTCATGTCAGATGCATAAAGAGGCCCTTGACCCCAGCTCAGGCGTTCGAAGAAGCATTGGTGCTGGTTGGTCGTGTCGGCTCATGGTCATTCTGGACGACTCGGCCGGGAGGTTTCCGGGGTCAGCCAACTCGCCCATCGAAGTCCGGGTCGTAGGGTGTTGAGCGGGGCGATCAGCGGCAGCGGTTTCGATTTCTACGGGGAAACCCGAGGGCGGCTCGCGTCCTACAAATTAGAATAATAGGAGGTAATTCTACCATTCTCGTTTCCCCCTATGCCCTATGTGCCAAAAGTGACCTCGGGGGTGCAGCAGCACCTTTAACCGGCTTCAGAATGCTACATGGTGGCCAGTTGGGGGCTTTCCCTTCGCCTCGCTGCCTATCCCGAACCGATTTTGTATTTCCCGACCCTCAGGAAAGCGCCCCGATGAATTGCAAACTGTGACAGTAAAGACACAAGCAAAGAGACAGCCAAACTGCATATTATGCTGTTTATTGTTTATTTTTTAGTGTCCAATCTAGCCCCCTGATGCTCCCAGCACTTTCATATGACACGTGGAGGACTTCCACCGAACAGCTTCGGCGCTGAGCCGCTCGGGAGACGAAAGTACTCGGATCAGATAAGAAAATCGGGCCCGAGAAGCACTTTCACATGGTCACATGTCAAAGTCCACTCTCTCCCCCCTTTTGGCTTGTGGCGGCTTGTGAATAAGGCACGGGTCCTGCCACCCAAACGCGTCATTGCCATCAAATTTCCAACCTCCTGTTTCAGCTCGGTCTACTCGCTCCGTGGCCCCTTTGACACGCGCGGTAATCCCAGCCAGGCGAGAAAGATCGCCCCGGACAAGGCAATGATGAACGGCTGCAGTACCTGCACACCTTTGGCCTGCGCCAGTGCTCCCACGGCAAAGGGGAGAATGGCGGCCCCCGAGCCGCCGAACGCAGCGCAGAAGCCGATGGAACTGACATGCAGGTGTCGAGGAAGAAGCTTTGTAACCATTACGACGGCGCCCGGGAACAGAGGCCCGAGAAAGAACCCCTGCAGGGACACGGCCACCGCAGACGCATAAAACTGGGGCACAAGCCATAGAACAAGTCCACAGGCCATCGACAACAGAATATATCCCTAATACAGACCCGCAGATGGCTCCAGTCAGTTTGATTCTTCTTCTGATACCGAGTGGAAAGGGTGTGAGCAATGCAGGGCGGGGTCGATGGCTTACCGCAATCGCCATCTTTTCTCCGATGCGGGGAGTGACGAAGCCCAGAATGACGCGCCCAACCGTGATGCCTAGCCAGAAGCCAGTGGCTGTCATACCACTAGCGAAAGCACCACCATGTCGGACGCGGATCATAAAGGTAACAATCCAGCCGCCCAGAGCGACTTCGACACCGACATACCCCAACAGGAAGAGCGAGCACAGCCAAGTCACGCGAGCAGAGGGGCGCGTGAAAAGCGCATTCCGAAGACCACCCTTCTTGTTGTCCTCTGTCGAATGCGCATTGGCAGCCCGGAAGACGGCACCAGTGGCTCTCCAGAAGCATGCGCTGCAGGTCGCAAGTTCAATGGCGGCACAGCCCACCTAGTCATTCTCAGTACTATTCGGCCAATGGCAAAAGATTCGGCGGCATCAGCCCACGGCCCTTTCTTACCATCACATAATAGAAATAGTACCACGGCATATTGGCCCGCGCAATCATCGAAGTCGCAATCAGCGGACTCAACACGGCGCCGAGCCCGTATACCCCGTGGAGAAGACCCAGCAGTTCGTTTGCATTGGCCATGTTTCCGATCCATGCATTCCACGCGGCGTCCTCTAGCCCATTCCCGAATCCAGCAAAGATAAACGAGACCACGAGAACGGGATAGGGAGGATGCACGCAGTTAACCACGTAGGCGATGAGATGGCACCCAGGCCCGATCAACGCTACCCCGCGCTGACCAAGGGTGCTATGAATACGGTGGTTCAAGAAGGCGGCAAGCGTATATCCCACTAAGGGTGATAGAAAGACGAGAGACACTACTGTGTAGGTAAGGTGATAGTATGATTCGAGCTGTGGCCTGGCGTAAGCATGGTCTTCAAGAGTAGCCCTCCCGAGTCACACAAAATCCTTACATATGGAATCAAGGCCTGCGTCCGTTAGAATACAGTTCCTAAGAGTATAGAGATTCAAGACTTGTCGAGAACCGTCACTTACACCGTACGCGGCATCGTTGGCCCCCATCACCAGAAAGCTCCAGAACGTTGCCAAAGAGCGATAGACGTTGATCCGGGGGTGGTTCCATTTCTCCAGCGCATGAAACATATTGGGCGACTCATTTGATCCTGTATCTGTTCCATACCGGTCGTTCGGCGGCAGAGCCTCGAGCATGATGTGGTCAGTAGCATCATGCGACTGTTCCTGCACTATACACGTCGAGGCCATGGTGGGAAGCTATCGGATCGCAGCGCATGAAGCTATGCTATCAACTAGCAGATAAATCAGCGTATAAGTAGTCTGGGGCAAGCTGGTTTCAGAAAGATGGATGTCACTAGGTGGCATTTCCACTCCACATCGAAACATTCGCTGGGTGCACTGAAGTCAAAAGACCCACCGCCACCCAGGCCATACGGAGCGTGCAGCTTAGCGTCGGAGGTTTACCCGCCTCTCCGAATGCGGGATTCACGGCTAAACTTCGGGGCTGAGGAGGTCATTCAGAGGCGTGGAGGATTATCTAAGAACACACCTGTAACTACCACATGACTAATTGCCATGTAGCTAGCTATTTAGATAACTGGATTGATTATCTGGAGTATGCAGTAGACTCTCTTGAAAGGGTCGCGTTGTGACGTCATGTGATGGGACTGGAGGAGTCCATCGCGGAGTTCCTCCGCTCTTCTCTCCACACCGCGAATGCGAGCGTAGACGCGCGCGATTACCTGCAGCAGCATGCATGTTCCTATTAGAGGTCCTAGTACATCCCATGAGCATGAGTCAGGCACCACCTTTTCGCCCGCATATGAGCTGGAGGTATTATAGGCTAATATACTTATTACTATAGCAAAATATGCCCTCATACTCCCGCAATCTTACATAGTAGTAAATTCTGAATTAGATGTTCTTCCATAACTATTCGTAGGAGGATATAGCCTTTTACAAAAAGACTAATTCTTCTAGAATAATCTCTAGATAATAAAGAGATCGGTAGGAAATTGTTAAATAGGAACTTATTGCGGTATCTAGCGAGAAGATAGTGCCTGGAAATTCGCTCTGCAGGAGACAGTATCTATGGTAACCTGGCCGCTAGATCGTGCAGTTATTCTATAATTACTTCTACATTACTGTGCAAAGCAATCCACCGCCGAGAGCTAGATAGTTGTTAGGTAGTCTGACAATAAATTCCGGGATGCCGTCGAAGATGCGATAACTTACCGGCAGAAATAACTCCAGCCGCAATACCCGAGGCAATACCATTGGCCGCGCCATTAAATAAGTTTCTTCCTCCACTGACCTTTTGATGAAGTTCACGGGCCTCTACAACCTCTCCTCGAACTTTCTCGATGTCTTCCTCATATCGTTGTAATTGGAGTGTCACCTGCTGCGACCTTTTGATGCGTCGAGCCGTGTCCTTGCGTATCTCCGCAAGTGATTCTTCCATATCATGTAACTCTTGTTCTTTAGCCGCGAGATCCTCCAGAAACCTTTTTTCCAGTGTTTTGATTCTCTTTCTCCAAGCCCGTTCTTCGTCATTGTGCAAATCTGCCATCGACTTCTCGAGCGCTCGTTTGTCCTGCTCGGCTTTCTTCATCTGCTTTTCCAAATCCGCCTTGAGCTCCCGTATCGCAGCAGCATGTTCAGCATTCCGCTGGTCAACTTCCGCCGCGAGTTTTGCTTTTAAATTTTGCAGCTCCCGTTCATGAGCCTGTCGAGCCTTATATAGATCTCCCGCGAGAACAATACCCGCTTTTGTCTGGCCAATGACCTTTTGCTGGTCAATGACTTCATGCTGCAACTGCAGTACGGCAGGAGCATACTTTTCCGATTGATGGATAAGATGTGTCACGATGCGCTGCGCCGATGTAACTTGTGCCAAATAATCCGGCCGGCCCTTTTCATTGTGGCGAAACAACCTCGCCCCACGTGCAACCAGGTCACCGAAAAAGCGTTCGTCCGATAAGAGCTGTGCTTCGCGCTGTTCATAAGTGGACGATCGCTCAGACCACATGGTTGTCGCGATGGCAAGATTGGAGTAAGTCTCGAATCCACACATCGCCTTCATCATATCGAGATTGCGCATCGTCGACCCTGATATGCGGTTGTCAGATATGGGGTGGAGCATCAGTATGCCATGGATCCGTACGCCATTTGCGTACGAAGCACCGAGGTACGTGGCGAGAATGCTTAGTGTGTCGATGTCGGAACGGCTCGTATCATTGAACCCGGGCGTGTCGATTAGGTAGACTTTGTGGCCATCGCATTGGAAGTCGAAGAGATCGATTGAACTAGTGCCTGGTACTCGTGTTACCCAACGGAATGAAATAGTGCCTCGGTGGAGATTTTTTGGAATTGGGAGGCATCTTACATGAGTATAGCCCATGGCCAACAGTGACATCTTCCCCCGTGCATCGCGCGATGAACGTGCTTTTCCCCGAGCCTGTCATGCCCATCACGAGGAAGAATTTGTCAGTGGGTTTGGGCTTGGTGACGCCCGTGAAGGATGCGAAGCGTTGAGTCTGATTTACCGCATTGCGCACGTCCACGTCCATGGTTATTTGAATATTTGATGCTCTGGATTTCACGGAGGAAATTGTGCAAAGCAAAGAATGACTGAGAAACTATATTTGATATCCCAGGGTTTGTTGGGACAGATCATTGATAAGGTTATCTCAATTATAATTTAACATACAAGGCTTTTTTAGCCCAGTAGTTCCCTTCGCTGGGATATAAGATGAGTTTGCGGCGAACCGAGAAAGGCGCAGCAAATGGCGTCAGGGGATTGATCCGAAAAGGAAGCGATCTCAGCTGCATGGGGAAAGCCGGGGGTAATGCGTGAGGACTGTCAAGGCGCCTACAAAAAGCAGACAAAACGGAGTAAGCAGCCACACGACGGGCTATCATGTAACATCGCGCGCTGTTTTGTGCTCGCACTATGCCTTAAATGTACGAGTGCATCTGCAAGGCAACACGCGAGGCAGATTTTGGTAGACCGAGTCACCGCAGTTGGTGAGTCCGTGGGCGTTTAGACGCCTTGGCGGCGACGTGGTGTTCTGCAGTTGGAGAGACTCGATTCAGCTCGCCCTGGTGAAGCGGATCTATGCTTGTCTGCCAAGACTCGGCTGAGCCGCAAGAGTGGGCAGCCAAATCGATGTATAGGGGCGGATGGGGCAATCCCGGAAGAGTCATTGGTCTGTCAGCTGGAAGAGTGTCGGCTGCATTCTCTTGCATCGCCCTGAGGCTCTAATTTTTATTTTGGGTTCCAAATTCGCGATGCGCGGGAAACGAGTCCTTTGCCATTGTTTAAATACAGGTGTTGCCACCAACATCAAGATCAGTACCTACTCCTCTATGCAGATTGCCCTCCATGTCGGTCAAGTCAGGTTTTAGTAGTAAGTACTTATATTGTCAAGGGAAAAGGGGGTAGCATTTGCTCAAATCGCATAAGGAAATCAGGACAGCCGCTGGCGCAGGAGAATACATCATTCCCGAGCACTCGGAGCTTTCGTGGGGGCCATGAACCTAGGTAGGCAGTCGACTATCGGTCTGCTATGTTGAAGCCATCGCTCATTGATTGAATCACTAGGCCGACCGATGTATTCATCGCCGTCATGGGTGTCACTGGCTCAGGGAAGAGCTCATTCATCTCGCTCTGCTCAGGCAGATCCGTCTAGATTGGCCATACACTAGATGCATGTTAGTGGACTTGTGTACAAAACCTAACATTTGAACTATTTATCTGGACAGACTTTGACAGTAGGCCAGGTACCGCGAAAGTCGACGTATATGCGTATAAGTTATCCCCCGAAAAAACGGTCTATCTGATTGACACGCCCGGCTTTGACGATACCTCGAAGAATGACACTGAAATTCTCAGCGAGATTGCTACTTGGCTTGGAGATTCGTATCGAAGCAAAATCAAGCTCCATGGGATTATATATCTCCATCGTATCACTGACATCCGGATGCAAGGATCGGCGAGGAGAAATATCATGACGTTTAGAGATTTGTGCGGCGAGGACGCTCTAAAAAAGGTTATTCTTGTCACAACAATGTGGGACAAGGTCTCAAGTTCCGAAGGCAATATGCGTGAGCAGGAATTGAAAGACAAAAAGGAGTTCTGGGGTTACATGATGGGCAAGGGAAGCACCTGTCATCGACATGAAAATACCAAGGCTTCAGCAAGGGATATCGTACACCTGCTAGCCAAGCACAAGAACCCCATAGTCACGGACAACCAGAAACAGCTTGTCGACCAGAACCTCAATCTTGATCAAACATCGGCCGGCAAGGGGCTGCAAAGCGAGACCCTAAAAGAAAGAGCAAAATGGATGAAGGAGAGGCAACAGTTTGAGCAGGAGCTACGAGAAGCGAGACTGCAACAGGACCGCGAGAGAGAAGAAATCATACGTGAGGAGCAGGATATACGTGCAGAAATGATAAGGAAGGCGGATCAGGATATGGCCGCCCTGCGCTTGAATATGGAGAATCTGCTCGCCAAGCGAGAAGAGCGCGAGGCACAAATGGAGAAGCGCATGGAAGAGCGCCTGGAGAGGCAGATGCAAAAGAAGCAGGCTGCTCATGACAAAGAGATAAAAAGGATCCGAATGAAAAAGGAGGCCGAACTGGAGGCAGCGAAAAAACAACAGAAGCAAGCTAGACGCGAGCTGGAAAAGCTCGAGCGGAAGAAGGAGGAGATGAAGGCCGAACAAGAGAGAAAAGCTGAACAGAAGAGAAATTCAAAGGCTTTACAAGCTAGCAATCAGACCATAATATCCTCATCAAACGCGGCAGGTTACTCTCCCTGGTCGGTAACCATGGGGGAAAACATTTGTGCTGTTAGTGGCCCAAAATCATACAAGTGGTATGCTCACCTCCCCGATGGTTCGACTGTTCGAAACACTGAATAGTATCATTTAGCACTTCCACTTCAGAATGGCCTAAATTGAAAGTTGGGTCCGAATGGATTGGCGCAGTCACCATTGGAGGGAATTCCCACGACTGGGTTGCCCGTTACGGAAAAGGAACTTGGTGTAATATGCCCGTTGAATCCTCGAAGATCTCAGACTAACATTTGATCCTAGGGAAAACAAATCTGGATAATTATCAAGGTCTCGCAGAAAAGATTGCCTGCTACGGACTCGGAAATCTTGAATTCTGTGTCCTTGGGCCCGCTAATAATTACTATGCCCGGTGGCTGAATGGTACATGGTGTAGCGCTGCATGTGACTACACCAACTCGATTTTCACTAAAATTTCCAATTTCCCTGATGGCTGCAGAATCCGCGCCATGGCATTTGGATACGACCAATCATTTTTTATGTCTTATGGATATGCTTCAGGGCCAAGTATGGTTGGCACATGGAGCAACTTCTATTACTTGAGGGGGTACTACTCAGATCTTACCCAGTTTATGGAGGCGAGTAACCCAATAAATATACAAGTGAGTCTCCGTTAATACCTGGTTCACCGTGATCTCGAAAGGCTGACTGTAGAATAGGCCATTGCACTTGATCCACAGAGCACGACCGATTACATATTGGTCTATACAACCGAACAGGGGGGATCCTGTTGGTCACGCTGGATTTGCTCGGATCCTTATAGAAACCGGGTCATTCAGGCTTGGTGGGATAAAGAATGTGAGACTTCATGATGGTACCTCTGGCTTCGCAGATGCCCCTTCAATTTCCACATGAGCGGTCGTTCACAGTTCTATGCATATCGCGTGCTGGCCTGTCCATTGCTGATCAATTCGCTAAAAATTGACAATCGAGATTGACGCGGTAGAAGTATTGTTCTTTGTCAAGGTCGTAAGCCCTCTAGCTTCATATATGTAAAATAAAGACAGATATGGACTGTATAGTTGGCTGTAGAGTTGGCTATGGACCGTTTACCCCCGAAAGCGACCTACCGTGGCTTATTCCATGTATAGCCTGAAAGTAGAGTTCGTGGGAGAGTAATTTAACAGTCATATGATACGGAAAGCTCCGATATAGAAGATTCTCGTATCTAATAATAGAAAGAGATCCTATCTCTCCTTATCTTTCTCGTCCTTTTCTTCCTTAGATTCGATATCTTCATTAAATTCAAGAAGTAGAGTAGCTTCTAAAATACTATCTAAGGATAAGACTAGATTCCTCTTAGGGAGATATTGCTAGTGTCGAAGCTTTATCTCTATATAGCGCGCGTTATAGTACGAACAAGGAGGAACTTTTGTACCAAGAAAAATACTAATAGATTTACGTGGAAAAAAGCTTTATCTATGTTTTAAATCGTTTATAGCTATCCTAGTATTACTAGTCTAGAGGCTAAATAAATACTTCTACTTCTAAATAGACTATTGGGGGCTTAATAAACAATAAACATATTATAAATTTTTACCTACTATCCTCGATTGAAAGATATAGCAGAAGCCCATTAGTTTGTAAAACTAGTTATAATTATCGCCGTTTCTCGGATCCTCATTCACTCTAGGGAGTAGTAAGTAGCTTATAATCCCTTCTAGCCTAGTAGGAGCCCGCTTTGCTAAATAACTCCTCTTTTATTGAAATATGGTTTGTACATTGAAAGGGTCTCAGATGTGGCGTCTGTTGTGTGAGTCTGATCATGCCCAACTTTTCATTATTTGTTACTCTTGGGGTAAACAGAACTCTCAATTGATGCATAGGCTGGAAGTGGTTTTGTGGGCGTGACTTATCAAATCCTTCTCATATATGGCCTAGGATCAATAGACGAACTCTATGTTGATGTGCAATTCGCAATAAGCGAGCTGAATATCCCCGGGTAAATTACCCACCTGCCGGGAAGTGTCTCTCGCTAACAAGGAACCTAATTTCTCCACCAATCAGTCTTTACAACTCAAAGACATGAATTACTCCTCCATATTTATAAAGCCTGCCCATCATATTTGATAATGTAACGGGATCCCCAAAGTCATGAGCTTCACCAATCCAATCATACCTGGCTTCAACCCAGACCCCTCCATTGTCCGCGTGGACCAGGATTTCTTCGTGGTTACCTCAACCTTTGAATATTTCCCCGGTGCCCCAATTTACCACAGCCGAGATCTGATTCACTGGAACCTAATTGGTCATGCATTGACGAGACCAAGCCAACTTCAAATCCATACTCCAGAGCCGGGTGGCGGGGTGTGGGCCACCACTATCCGGTACCACCGCGGGGTATTCTATATTGTTACAGCGAGCTTCCAGCGCTACCGCCCACAAGAAGATGATCGAGTGTGGCCACGGGGATTCTATGTCCAAACAACCAATATCTGGGATGACAGGACCTGGTCAGATCCTGTGTATTTCGACCAAGTTGGATTCGATCAAGATGTAAGTTGGGGCTCCGGAACCGCATTGCCCCGCAACTGTAAACGAGATTCAAGTCTAACATTTTCTTCTAGCTGTTCTGGGATGATGATGGCACCGTATATCTATCATCTACCTACCGCAAGCTTCGACCTACTCCAGGTGTGAAGCTCAAGGACTTCGCCATCCACATCTGTACCGTTGACCTCGCCACGGGACACTCCACATCAGAACCAAAATTGATTCGCGAGTCGTCATCCGGAGTCGCGGAGGGCTCACACATCTTCAAGCGTGGTCGCTACTACTACCTTTTCACGGCTGAAGGTGGTACGGAGAGTGGGCATTGCGAGTGGGTTAGTCGTAGTGAGACTAGTCCATTCGGGCCGTGGGAGCTCGCACCAAATAATCCTCTCTGGCGCAACGGCGTGGAAGATGAGGTGCAGAATACAGGTCATGCGGATTTGGTTGAAGATACCAACGGAAATTGGTGGGCAGTTCTCCTAGGAGTTCGGCCACTGCGACATGAAGGACGGTGGCAGGAATCAGTCCTGGGTATGTTTTATCAAGTCTCACCCCGCAGCCACCAAAAACCTCTTTAAGTTTGTTAATACTCTCAGGCCGAGAAACATTCCTTGTGCAAGTGGAGTGGGAAAATGACTGGCCAGTGATCAACGGTGGCAAGAAGATCACTCTGCAATCCAACGGGCCTGGGCTCTACCAGCATGATATCCCGGTCCTTTGGAAGGATGACTTTTCTAGCCCCAAACTCCAATTGGGTTGGTATCGGAAGAGTACATATACAGACAACCAGCAACTTGTCCATTACCCTGCGAATGGCTGACCTGTACCTGATTTTTAGATACCCCTTTGTCGGTCGACTATTCCCTTACTGAACGCCCCAATCATCTCCGACTGTACGGCGGGCCATACACCCTTTCTGTACCGGCTTGTCCGACCATGTTTTTGCGCAAGCAAATCCACCGATTCTGTACATGGGAGACGAATCTATCGTTTTACCCCAGCTCTGAGCATACTGAGGCCGGGGCCGTCGTCTGGTGGAACTACTTCACGTATACTAGTCTTGCGATTCGCCGGCAAGGCAACCGCCGGGTGATTCGGTTCAGGCCATCAGAAGGCGATATGAATGAGAATACCTTAAAGTTGACAGGGGATGTGGTACTCATGATCGAATGTGGTTACGAATATCGATTCGGATACCGTGACTCGAGCAGCTCGCAGACTGTTTGGATTGGAACCGTCACCAATCAAGTCACAACGAAGGGACCGCCAGTAGGCGCTCCATTTACAGGTGCGTTTTTGAAGAAGCAATTACCAAAGATCAAAAACAAACATAGACTCGAGTGGCTTTTTATCAAATGCTAAGACAACAGCAGGCATGATGCTGGGGCTTTATGCATTTGGTGATTGCCAACGATGCCCGACCCCGGCCGACTTTGCATATGCACAATTCCGATGAAACGCTTGCCTAGGAACCTGAAAATACATTTATTATTCAGTGATAATCAAAAAGTGATAATCAAACATGAACCACGAAATTTCTTCCACGGAGTAAATAGAAGGCATCCCACCGGCATAACTTCGGTCTCGCTAGAGCCCAAGTCACGTGCAGACTACCTGAACCCAAAAACGGGTGCCCAGACCGTCAGCAATCGCCTTGGACCCTCCTCACGGCTGCAGGGAGAGAATGCGTCCTCCTCCTGTTGCCCACGGTCCCTGGCTTGAATATGTCCTCGGATTATGAGGAGGATAGCGATGTGATTCCGCCGCATTTCGGCTCCCGCCCCGGGTTCGACACCCCGACTCTCGCCCTCGCGGCCTTGCCTGCTCCACACTCGTACCTCCCCGGAGTCGATGATGACCCAAACGACAATGATTCGGCCTACGGCGAAGATTCCTTATTGCGCGACGACACGAAGACGCTATCATCGTATATCACCGAGTATCGATATGAGTTTGGACGGCGGTACCACGCTTTTCGGGATGGTGCTTACTGGGTGCGTGGTGGTGGGGGGGGGGGGGGGGGGGGGGGGGATTTGCCCCTGCCTATGGCTCCCCAACAACCATCAACCCATGCGTCCACGGGGCTAATATCCTAGGTCTATAAATAGGGACCAAATGATGATGTCGCGAATGAGCAACAGGACCTTGCGCACCACATGTATACCGTGACCTTGGACGGAAAGCTGCATCTTGCCCCGCTCCACCAGCCACAGGTACGTGGTTCCTGGCCCCCGCCACCTCTTGCACCCTCGGCAACCCCTGCATGCAGCGTTCTAAATGCGACTAGGAAATTCTTGATGTGGGTACGGGGACTGGGATATGGGCTATGTGTGTCAATGGAAACTTGCGTATTTTGTTTTTCGGATGTGCGAAGCTGACCGCTAGTCTTAGCGATATGGCCGACGAATACCCTAGCGCCCGAGTGACTGGAGTGGACCTGTCACCGATTCAACCGTCGTTCGTACCGCCAAATTGTACATTCGAAATTGATGATATGACCATGCCATGGACGTATTCACCGGAAAGATTTGATTTTATTCATGTCCGCGAGTTATTTGGCTCCATCCCTGACTGGGATGAATTCTTTCGGCAATGTTATCGAGCGCTAAAGCCAGGAGGCTATATTGAAGTCGTGGAACATTCAGTTAGTCCGGTGGTCGACGATGCCACGATGGGTCCTGATCATTTCTTTCGAACCTGGGGGGAAACCGTTATACAAGCTGGAGATCGATTCGGCAAAAGCTTTTCGATATGGGAAGAGAGCGCCGCGCGATTAAAGGCGGCCGGGTTCGAAGACGTTGTGGAACACTCTTACAAATGGCCGATGAACGGGTATGTCCTTTCCAACGCATATGGCGACGCAATACAAAGTAGCCTAACGCTAGCAGTAGGTGGAGCGATGACCCAAAGCTGCATGAGCTGGGACGGTGGAACGAATACCGACTTCATGGCGGGATAGAGGGGTTCATGCTACGACTTCTCACCACGACATTAGAGTGGCCGTACGTGCAGGCTCAAGTCTTCCTGGCGCAGATGCGCGCATCTCTTCGCGACTATCGAATACATGCCTACCTCCCCGTTACTGTGGCCGTCGGCCGAAAGCCTCTTGGAAAATCTTCTGTACTAGAGTCATGAGCGATGTTTCTTGTTTTTTGCTTATTGTACAGCGCAATTTGGGTGGCCATCTGTCAAAGATCCTGCTTCGTGTCTATTCGAGGCTAGCGCTTCTCCGCGCAAGGTCTATTTATTTCCTGTTATGCGTTCCTCGTCCCTTCTTTATACCCGGATGGTTGTTCATGACCATCTATCTCATGATGTGAGAATGATCCCAGCGAGTCATGTATATAGCTCCAGCAGATATCCCTCGATACTTGATCCAATGTCAACATGCTAATACGTTCCAAAGTTGGAAGTTGGTCGCACGTAGAATATCTTGGACACCTTCCTTTTTCTGTCGAACTTGAGGGATTGGTCTTGACTTCGAGTGTCACAGTGCCTGAAGAACCGGTGTCCTTTCCACCCTCCGGCCATGCCCAATCACCGCAACCTGTCCGACCGGGGAAATAATTGCGGCGCCGCCTATCTCAATCACGAAATTAGCACCTTGCCCTCGACTGGACGCAGCAAGGTCAGAGGTGCCACACGGCATCCCATGTCGATAGGCTTTATGTATACCTAAAGCGCGATCTATTCCGTGCCTTGTCATCGGCGGACCTGCAGTAGAACCAGACTTTCAATCCCTGGCCTTGTCGTACGGTATTCTGACAGTCATAACGATCCGCAAACCTAATCTCTTAACTCCGGGCCCATCTGCGCCAAGGCCCAAATTTGATTGGTACAGACCCGCCCGACTGGTGTCAGCGGCCCGCATAAATCGGACTCGGTCGCCCGCCCTCTTTTGCTCCTCCATGAAACCGCTAAATTGCTGACATCCTTAGTGCCAACTGCGAGGATGTCCGCTTCCCCACAGCCAGTTACGCCACAGGAGATAGCTGCGATGCAGGGTGATGGCAAGTCGGCGGACAATTGGGCAGGGCTTACAGACCCGGCCGAACGGCGACGAAGACAGAATCGCATCAATCAGAGGGCCCACCGTATGTTCATGTTCTTTCCCCCCCCCCCCCAGTTAGCCATTCGGCACCCTCTCTGCTTAGGCGAAAACTAAGAATTGTCAAGGGCGGCGGCTGCGCATGAAAGCCAACCAAGATGTCCACCCCAAGAGCGTGGTGGCGTCTGCTTCACCGACGGCACTTGTCCCCCAAGACGAATCGCGAGCCGGGCCAATGCAGTCAGAGAGTCTCTGCGTTTCGCCTTCCTTTGCGCAACTTCTGCTGAGTCGGTATGCCGCATCGGCATACCACAGCTACATGCTGGGATCTCCCACCTCCGACCACCTCTTAGTGCTGACGAAAGTCAATGTCTTTCGCGCCTTTGGGCACAACTTGAAATTGATCGGCTGGCCTTTGGATAATATGGACGACGACGCGATATCACCGTTTAGTCTACCGTCGACTCCCGAGGTACCGGGGCCGGAAGAGTACAGCTATCTGCCGCCCAGTCTCCGTCCCACCAGGCTCCAGAGGACAATCCCACACCACCCCTGGTTGGATTTCTTTCCCCTGCCCAAAATGCGGGACAACCTGATCCAAGCAGGTGATCAATGGGACGATGATGCACTTTGCCACGATATCATGGGCTTCTGGGGGGAAACTACTTCGAGCGGACAAGCAGGGCTCTTGGTCTGGGGAGATCCATGGGATATTCGAAATTGGGAGTTGACGGAGCCGTTCCTGAAGAAGTGGCAGTGGATTGTAAGAGGTTGTCCGGAGATCATGAATTCCACTAATGCATGGCGGGCGCGTCGTGGTGAGAAGCTCATATTCCGCTACATCTAACAATCATGCTCTCTGGTTTTCTTTCTCTTTAGGCTTTTCCCTCTAGTGCGTGGGCGTCAACAGAAGGGTCGGCCTTGTCGATGGCGCCAATGCAAGCTGCTGACAGGCCAAGACATTGTGGATTCACAATCTGTGAAATTGAACCAATGATATCACGTCGATTGGGTTGGGATCCACCATCCGCGACAAAAGGTTTCGTATGTTTCGTCATAAACATGTATCCTACCGTCAAGCGTACTGTAAGATACGGTCGGGGTCAGTCAACAAGAACAAGGTACGGCAAATGCAAATGCTTGCGAAAGGGTGTTTGTTACTCGGCTTGGTACGCGGTTTTTGGAATATAAATGATAGTAACGATGTGATGTGCACTCGAATCTAATTGATGCTGATACGTCTACCTGTTTCCGGAGTTTCTTTTCGTTCTTCCCGGGTTGTGTGCAGAATGCCACTAAATCCACTCGAAATGATCGCCCAAGTACTGATGGGCTCGAGCGTCTCCAGACCGTGCATGACCCTCGAAGTTTTCTGCCCGCGCAGCTCGGCCACAGAGACGGCCCAGCTCGCCACTCTCTTGGGGGGAAGTCACCTCCTGGTAGGTCACGGTCTTCAGGTACTTGCCCACCCACAAGCCCCCGGTATATCGGGCCGCACCACGAGTGGGAAGGACATGGTTGGTTCCGATGCACTTATCACCGTAGGAAACACAAGTCTTCTCCCCCAGGAACAGGGCGCCATAATTGGACATCTTCTCCAGCGCCTCCCGGGGCTTCTGTGTCAGGATCTGGACATGCTCGTATGCGTACTCATCGGCCAATTTGTATGCTTCGTCTAAGTTGTCCACGACAATCACCTCGCCCAGACGCTCCCAGGAAACCCCAGCGATATCGGCGGTGGGGAGCACCTTCAACAGTCGGTCGACCTCGGAGATGGTCTGTTCGCCGATGCTTTTGGAGGTGGTGATGAGGACTGCCGGGGAGTCGGGACCGTGCTCGGCTTGCGACAGGAGATCGGTCGCCACGGTGAAGGGGTCGGCATGCCCATCGGCCACGATGAGAACCTCGGTGGGGCCAGCAGGAAGATCAATGCCAATCTCCACTCCAAACAGTTGCCGCTTCGCCTCGGCCACAAAGGCATTGCCCGGTCCAGCGATGAAGTCCACCTTCGGCACGGTCTCCGTGCCTACAGCCATCGCTGCCACGGCCTGCACACCCCCCAGGATGTAGATAGCATCCGCACCGGCAAAGTGCATCGCAGCAACGGTGTTGGCGGGGATCTTGCCCGCAATTGGAGGGGTGCAGGCAGTAACATGCGGCACCCCGGCGCACTTGGCTGTGAGAATCGTCATATGGCTCGAGGCAAGAAGAGGATAGCGACCACCCGGGATGTAGCTGCCAGGAACCATCAATGGATTAGCATCCCAGAAGATCCAAAGGCTAGAGAAGACGCAGACAGAAGGGACTACTTACGCGCCAACCGCGTTGATCGGGATGTGTTTCTGTCCCAGGTGGACTCCAGGCCGGATTTCCATCTCAAAGTCTTTCAGCGACGCTTTCTGCGCCAAAGCAAAAGTCCGGACATTCTCCTGGACTTGCTTGATGTCATCAATGATCTGCTGGGGGACAGTCGAGATTATCTGCTGAATCTCCTCCGGCGATAACTTGAAGCGTTCGGGACTCCATCTGTCGAACTTCTCCGAGTAGGTCCTCACGGCCATATCCCCGTTGGTGCGAATGTCATTAATGACGCTTCGAACGATCGCTGGTGTGTCCGTCACTAATGCGGGGCCCGCACCGGAAGAGTAGGGCTGTTTCAGCTTGAGAACCATGGCTGTAGAGGAGGAAAGCGTCGAGGAACGTTGCTCAGAATGCTTTTCTGGGTCGTGTCTTGATCCAGTAATTGAATCATGGTTCTTTCTGGCCCTATAAGAAGCTCATATCGCGCTATCGTAACGAAAGCTTCAGGCTTTGCCGGCGTCGGCGCCGATTCCGATGTCAATTGGGGCCCCGCACAATTCGGATGCCGCGTGGAGAGCTTCACGCGTCTCGGGATGTGGGGGCGTTTGGCTGGGACTGCACCCGAATGGAAAGGAAAACTATAAACTCAAGACAGCGAAAGTCTGATGCGTAGTGTCAGCAGATCCTTTGGCCATCTGATATCTACCGCGCTGCTTAACCGTCCTTCTACCCTTTTCCGTATAGGATGCTTCTGACACCATCAGACAGTTCTGGGCTGCATGTCCCAGGGACGCTGCCTATAGTTGGATCGGACTATTGGTTTTCCGGGGACCATCTGATAGATGCGGTCGAGCGTACGGATTGACCGACCTCAAACCCCCGATTTTTGGATCTACGGATGTCATGGCGTCAGTCATTCGCTTTGCGGCGAGAACTCTTTCAGTTTCGCTTTCTTTTCTATCGCTTTTTTTTCTCTTTCTTTTCTTTTCTTTCCTTTACCCCCTATCCCTTGACTGATGCGTTCTTCAATGGCCTGCAGGGTGCTCTGCCGTGCATGATCTGATAATGACCAAGCAAGATCATTTCTCCGTCTGTGTATCATGTCAGGGATGGCGAGTTCTGGATGGCGAGTTTGGATGGCGCTAGAAGTGGTTTTCCGCCGTGGTTTTGGCTCTAGTGACCGGCCCACCACAGCCCCACCGGAGGACCCCCAACCCAAAATGCATGCTAAGAGACTAGAGAATGACAAGAAATATCTAGCTACTCACCGATGATCCCCGACGATGAAATGAGAGGGATCGAAAGGCTTTGAATCCTAGCGACCTCGCTGTCCACTACCCCGAACTGTCTTCCCCGCAGTTTGAAGCGTCGTGCTTCTGGCCGGTCATCGCATCAGTTTTTCCACAAATTAAGTCGATCCGGTGACGGATTGGACAGAATATAAAAACAGAAAGAGTCAATTGAGGAAAGTGGAAATCCAAACGAAAAGCTGTTCCTTGCTATGCAGTTGCTATCAATTCTCGCATTGTTCTCGACGGCAGTGGTGGGCTTGTCCCATCCCGCGGCCTTGGTGAGAGCGCCATCAAAGGTCTGCACGGTCCCAGCAGCTGGGTCGGAGTCCATTGACGATACTCCCGCGGTACTGAGGGCATTCGATGAATGTGGACATGGAGGCAAGATCGTCTTCCAAAATACGACCTACCATATCAACAGTGTCATGAACACGACAGGGTTGGAGAACTGTGAGATCGACCTGCGTGGAACCCTGTTGGTATCTTCATCCGGCGCACTTTTCATGAGGCACGACTGATTGATATTCCCAGTGGAGCACGAACATCTCGTACTGGCTGAGCCACTCCTTGCCGGTCGGATACCAGAACCAATCCACGGCATGGGTTATCGGAGGCAAGAATGTCCACTTCAACGGCCATGGGTATGGTACTTTGAATGGCAATGGACAAGCCTGGTATAGTGCTACTGGCTCGGTCTCCAACTATCCTAGACGGCCACATGCGATGACCGTGGCGGAGACGAGCAACTCCAAGTTTTACGGGCTGCGCTTCCTCCAAAGCCAGATGTGGTCAGTACAGAGCGGTTTACAGGAGAAGATCAGTGGCTGAATCAATCACCGCATAGGACACTGTCTATCATTCATTCGAAGAACACCGTCTTCGACTCCATCTATGTCAATAGTACTAACCACGGCGGTTCGTCTCGCAATACCGATGGCGCCGACACGATTTATAGCTCACACATCACATTCCGCAATTGGGAAGTCGACAACGGTGACGATAGCATCAGTCTCAAAGCCAACTCCACCGACATTCTCATCGAGGACTGTTTATTCCACCGCGGGTTGGGCCTTGCCATGGGCAGCATTGGTCAGTACAAGGACGTGTATGAGACTATCGAGCGGGTTACTGCAAGGAACATTACGTTCAGCGGAACGCTGCACGCGGTGTATTTTAAAACCTGGACAGGAGAGCAGGTCAACTATCCACCGAATGGCGGTGGCGGCGGGTTGGGCCGTATGTTCTCCTCAAGCCACGGACTGGTTCCAGACGTAGCGACATGCTGACAGGCCCAGATGCTTCCGACATGACATTCAAGGATCTCCAGGCCACCGCGTTGAGAGGCCCAGCCTTTGCAATCTCACAATGCACTACGTTTTCGGGCACGGCGGGGAATTGCACGTCGTCCAAGTTTCAGCTCCGTGACCTATCATTCCGCAATATCAACGGGACAACAACCAGTCATAATGTGGCTAGCTTCCAATGTTCGGCGGTGGAACCTTGCGAGAATATCCAGATCACTGATGTCAACCTAACTCTCCAGTCCGATGGTACGGAGGCCGATGCGTACCTGTGCGGACATGTCGAGGGAACACGCGGTTTCAACTGCACTGGGGCCGTATGTGTCGGCGGAAGTGCGACGGGTGGCTGTTGACGGGGCAGAGGTTCCTGTTTCATCCGGAGACGCATGCGCCAGGCACATCTGAGCCTGTCTTCGAGTGGTCTCAAAGCGAGAGCGAACCGATGCAACAAGCAAGGAGACAAAGTTTTGTGTTCATGAATCATGGCTTGGGTATCATATTGAAATGCTCTTAATCATACATACAAAAAACAAAGGAGAAATGATTGGTAAATCTACGCGCCCCCGGCGGGTACGCAATGCCCCAGATCGCCCATCAACTGAGCAAGGCTTTGGACCAGTGGCAGTGTCCGCTCCGACGGATCGGGGCGGAGCACCCGTTGCACCGCCTGCATCATAGCCCCCGTATCCGCCAGAGCGATTGGTCCGCCCGGCCCATGTAGTGCAGGAATGCCACAGCTGAGCGTGACGAATTTCGAAACATCAGACACCTCCTCCGCATCCAGGAATACCGTTGGTCCCTGACTGGCAATGGCAGAGGCAGGGCTTCCATTCATCCGGGTCTTCTCAGCCTTGGAAACCACCGCATAGGACCAGAAGGCCAAACCGGCATAGTAAACTCCAATAGCCAAGAATCCAGTCATCGAGCCAGGGGCCATTTGCCGGGCTGCACGAATAGTTTGCCCTGCGTGCCACACAGCGCGCCGGGAATCAGGACTGGTGATCCATTCAAGGGCAGAATGGTAGACCCGGCGGGCTTCCTGTTTGTCTTCTTTCCCAGCAAAAAGCTGGAGCTCCTCAAGCGACATGTGAAGAAGCATTGAAACTACTTCACATACCAAGACAATCTCAGGTCGGCACGGAACTCGAAGCTCGGAGCAAACCATCCGGAAATGTTGCAGAGCTTGATCGAGCTCTTGCTGGCGTGAATTTGTCACAAGGGCATGCCAATGTTTCGATTTGCTTGTTGAAATGAACTTCAGTCGATGGTACTCATTGATCAAGGCAGAGAGGCCGTGAAGAAGAACAAAAGCGGCCAGTTGAGTGTCAATGCGATCCTGAAAAATCGAAAGCTGCGACATGTCGCGAAGAAGGTCGGCAAGGGAGGGCATGCGCGCGGGCGTTATCACGCAAAAAAGTTCTTTCCATTCGGTGGCAGTCTTGGCTTCCCATAGCTGGCGTGCTGCTGGGAGTGGGAGTTCCAGGTCGGCATAGGAGATCAAGGGATTGACATTGAGTGTCACAGAAGACTGAGAATCGTGAAGGAAGATATGATAGACAAGCCTGCGAAACGTTCATTAACCGCCCATCATAATCGAACCGCGAGTAAGGTGGTATTACCTTTTGAACGATTCTTGCTCAATCCACTCATGCCATTTGCGCTCCAATGCTTTCCCGGTATCCTCCACATGCGGGACAATATTCGTATAGACCGAGCGGCGAAATCGAAGAGCACGACGAAGCATTGTTACCAAGGGCTGGGAAAAACTCTCTGCAATTTCCGTCTTTCGTCGATTGCCGCTCCAAATCCCAATATCAATATTCAACGCATAGGTCTGTGATGTACGAAGGTCCCGGGTAGTGCTATTATCACTTTCATACTGGCAGAAGGTGTGAGGATCCCCGTCAATGGCACCGGAGAGGGCATGGGTGTAAACCTACCTTTATAGGCATGTAGAGCCGTACGATCTCCAGCAGAGCATATCCTAGCTTTCTGATTGTGGGGATTGGCGAGCGAACGGCTGATGCAGAGGCTAGCGCAGTGAGAATACTGGCATGTTCGCTATTCGGGCGGAAAGTTGGCCCGTGGATGAAGGAGTCCACACTATGAGTCTGGAACTCAAAATACTGTTGAATCAACCCGTCCAGCAGTTCTGTCCTGGGGAAAGACTTCATAATTCGACTCAGATTGGCTTGCCGGCTAATCTCAAGCACCAGGCCGAAGATGAGATCTCGGCTGCTCGGGGACAGACGCTCAGAGAGGATCTGTCGATCGGGGGTGGCGATGGCTTCCGGGCTGTCGATTGTTTGCGGTACAGACAAGTTCTCATGGTCATCGAAGGCATGGTCTTCCTGGGCTGGCTTCCACTGAGACAGGGAAGACCGGTGATAGGCTTCGACTCCGATCCCAATTCCACTATCCGCATCGAAGTGGTCCTGGGGTTCATGCTCATGGGCACCTGGAACAAAATTGCGGGCATTATACATGTCAATTAGACCGAAATCGCCATCGGTCAAATTAAAATTAAAGGCTGGGCTTTCCAACGCCCCATAGTGTGTGAAATCGGAGATCAAATTGGACGAATCGAATGGGTCATTATACCGGCTCAGCGAAGAAATCAACGAGTCCGGGATGAAACTGGGGAAGAATGTGCCATCGACACTAAAGATGCCACTTTCTTGGTCGGTCGGCGATACTGGAAAAGTCTGAGCAGGGGTAGATCAGGGGACAGTTGGCAACGGGAGCTGCAGGTCTCTTACCTCCATAGTCCATTGTGATTTGCTCGCCCGCTCGGGGTACTTCTGGCGAGAGCACGGTTGGTTCCAGAGGAGGCGCGTAGGGAGTCAATAGTACACCACTGCCACCGGTAGGAAACTCATCCATCGGCGTTGACATCGGGGAGAACGTAACCGACGCCGTCATTTCAACTGGCTGATGGAGGACTACTGAATTTTCCACCTGATTCGGCTGCTGTGGCTCTGGAGATGAGTCCTGTACGACATCCTGCCAGTCACAGTGCAGACTTCGCTCTCGGCACCGTCGACATGGCTTGTCCTCGTCACACTTGAGTTTTGAGGAGGCACATGCCTTGCAAGCCTGGGAGACGCGACTCTGTTTCGCGACCGAGGAGCTTCTTTTACGTTTGCGATCTCGGTCATGGGAATGACCCGTCGCATGCCGCTTCAAAAGGTCCCTGGGTGCACGTCAGTAAGTGCACGGCGGACGACTTCGAGGGGGAAAGTACTAACGGCCGCGCAAATCCCTTGTCGCAGACATCACAGACGTAAGGCTTCTCGCGGGTGTGGGATCGAACATGGCGGATCAAGTGGTCTGCTCGGTTGTAGTGGCGCTTGCAGAAGCCGCATTGAAAATAGCCCCCATCCTTGGATTTGACCGAGGATTGGGAGGTGTTGAGTTGGTCGGTGGGCGGCGCATCATTGAACATGGTGATGGAGGTGCATCGGGGGAAGGATGACCGACGTCCGAGAGATGAGAGGACGAGGGCGCGGAGGCAGGGGAAATCCGGGGAAGTCGCCTGGGCTTCGGGGCAGTAACGCAGCCAGTGCCGGCGCGGGGGCACGTGTGATGACCCCGGATTTCCCACCAGAGCGGAGCCAGCCCTCGTCTCGCGATTCGCTCTGAAGGTCGGCTAGCTGACTTGGTCGCTTGCCCCCTCAACCCCCGCGCTCGTGTACCTTCCCTCATGCCCCCCGTGAGGAGGATAAGCAACGTGAGTGGGGCAAGCAACTGTCTCGCTGAGTCTATGGTCGGGATGTGGGGGACCATTCCCGACGCCCGCAATTAAGCTGCCCTGCCTGCTGTACCCTCTCCGGGGGCAATATATTGCAATGGATTGAATGGATACTGCCATTGCATTTTGTTCTCGTTCTTTCCTTTTCTCCAAGTGTGTTCGTCATTCCCTGATCACCACCGCATCCAAATGGGTAAGGCCTTGGTTCCCCCCCCCCCCCCCCCAAACCACCCCAAAACCAACTTTCTTGTGTTCCTGAGATTAAAATTCAAAGTGGAGGCGGCAGGGAAACAAAGACCATTGCTAATGGCTGTTTAGGTCTCACACCCGTACACTTCTTCTCCCATGGCTCGACCATGATGCTGGGAGAAGAGTCCGAGAGCGCCGACTACTGGAAGAAGTGCGGAGATGAAGCCCTAGCCCGGAACATTAAGGGCGTCATCGTGATGGTAGGTATAGTCCTGTGTTCAGCGTGAGGTACTGTCCCCCGGCTAGATCCCTTTCTGACACTGCTGATAGGGTGCGCACTGGGACTGCTTGGGTGACAGAATTGAGCTGGCCACGAACCCCAGTCCCGACAAAAGTCCTGTGGCCTATGTCCATCCCGATAAATACGTTAACTACAAGCTCAACCCCGACCTCGAGACCACCAGCCGATGTATCGACATGCTGGTCAAGGAGGGCTTTAATGTCGGCGGCAATCCTAAGTTCGATTGGATTCACGACGTTTACCTCATCCTCATCCGCATGTTCCCCAGTGGCTGCCCGCCAACGACACTGGTCTCTGCCAACGCCCGATATGATCCCCACTTCCATATGAAAATCGGTGCTACCTTGCGCCCTTTGCGCCGCGAGAACTACCTCTTCATCGGTACCGGAGGTGCCGTGCATAACCTATACCGAAACCGATGGGCTCCCATGCTGCGGTTCCGTGACAACTTTGCGATGGAGACGCCACCGGAGGACTGGGCCATGGAATTCCGACAAGCTGTGGAAGATGTCATTACCAAGACATCAGGGGTGCAGTTACGGCGTGCCATGACTCGTCTGATGAAGCACCCGCGGTTCCGAGATGCGCACGCCACTGATGACCATTTTATGGCGGCGCTGTTTGTGGCTGGCGCAGCAGGTGACGCCGAAGATGAAAACACTCCGGCGATTCTGGGTGCTGAGAGCTGGGAGCTGACCAATATGTGTAACTCGCAGTTCACTTTTGGCCAGTGGTCTAAGGAAATTGCGGTGTAAAATTATCGTATCATATCCATCTTATCATATTTTATCTATTTATCACATCTGATGAGCGGGTCTCAATGATAATCAACGGAAAGCGAACATAATTAGCCGTAGCTAGTTTGAACTTTAGAGTACTCGCCCGACCTGCGATTGATGGAATACCCCCAAAGTGGAATCGCTTCTGGTCCAGACATTTGGTGGATGATGTGACCTTTGCATCTGGTAAAATTGGGTTTCCTCATGCAGGATGTACTTATCGTTCGACCAATTTGGAGGACTAGCGGCAAGATAGACATCAAAATTGTGATGCGTATCAAGTGTAAGAATGGCAAAAAGCGCTTGGGGCCGTACGAGATATGAAAGACGGATCTCAGACGGCGAACGCACCCGAAACGGTACGCAAAGAGTCATGAAGGTGGAGTTGGAATGAGAGGAGAGAGAATACATGTTGGAGGGATATAAACTTGAGAACAAATAGGCAGTGGAATTGGTTAGATACAAACAAATCAGACTGTGAGTCTCCAATCGAGTCTTATTCAGACTCAGGGAAGAAGCCGTCATTCCTACGGAATACTGTCATAACACTTCCAAGGTTGAGTATCATTAAGCGACAGCATCCCCCAAATGAGAGTGCCGCAGGCGAGGGGAAAGCCAGTACGTATGATGTGCGTATATACAGACAGCCTGGAATGGAGAACGAGGCCCAAGGAACAAGTAAAAAACAAGGGGCATAGGAGGAAGCAAGAACCAAGCCCAAGCAAGACGATTTCGCCACGCCGATTAAATGCTGTATCGATGACTCTCAAGGGGAAGAAGACCTGATCATCGCCAGAGATCTCGCCAGGAAAACTCACCCATGAGTCTCATGCTCATGTCTCATCTCTTCGTGCAAAACAAATGAAAGTACAAAGGAAACTCTTCAAAAACGCCGCCCGTCAATGGAAAAAGGTAGCCCTGAAGCAGAAGAAGCAAAAAGTGAAAAAGAGCTGCAACAAAATGGGATATTCCAACTCCAGACCCAAGGCCAGAATGGACATGAAACAAGAAGAGCGAGACGGAATAAAAAAAAAAGACTAGATGACAATCACATCACCCTCAGCATCCGCGGGGTCGGAAGCCATCATATCACCGTATTTACCCACCGCCATCAACATAGTATCATCCTCTAAGTCGATCGCACTGTCATCATTGTTGGGTGCTTGAAATCCCGTATCTGTGAGAGCCAGCTCTTTGTCATTCGGAATGTGCTTTGTATCGGGTTCCTCGTCAACGGTTTGGTCCCTTGTACCGCGAGGATCCGGGGATTGACTAGTATTAGGCTTGGATTGAGCGCCATGGCCAGCCGCCTCGAAGGTGGGAGGTTCAGGAGCATTCGGCTTCAGCTGAAAACTCCCCATGCTCGTCTGCTCCGCACCAAATGTCATACTCTGCAAAGAGGCGGGACTATTTCTCATGAAGCCCCCTTTCTCCGCTTGCCAAACCATCATCTCATGGAAGAACACTTTGGTCATCCACCAGGCACTGAAACTGGCCGCTCCGCCAAGAGTCAGGCGGTGGAGGATGGAGTCCCACAAGGCATCCACTTTCTTAATGATACACTGCGTGCGATGGTGGGAGAAAGCCATCGGGAGGTTCAAGATGAAAGAGACCCACTTATCGGGGAAGTTGTACTCTTCGCCAGTGGAGGTCTCCACGGGGAACTGATGAGCTTCAATGTCCTCAGGGCCATCCGGTCTGGCGAAGAAGGAAAGACCAGATGAGGCATCGGCTTCACCCAGGGGAGTTAGGAGTGCACGAACGTCGTGTTTGAGGATTTGCTCCGTGGCTTGTTCAGCACAAGTGGGAATGTTGGCCTTGAGGATCATGTCCTTTGGGTCAACGATGGTCTTGAAATCGTACCACATCTGGTTGCGATTGTCCGGATGACAGAGCCAGGCTGCTGCCGCATTAGCAGCCTGGTTCACATCAAGCATGTGCTTGAGAAGATTGCAGAAGATGTGGGCTGGGATCAGTCGCGCGATGGACACATGAGACGGTTGAGCCTTGAAGGTCTCCGCGATATGACCGCATAACCGCTGCGAGATGGAGCTGAATGCGTCCAAAACAACCTTGGGAACTACCTGGGTTGTGAGGGGGGCCACAAAGGCAATCATCTTCTGATACATCAACCAATCACATTCTTTGATCCATGAGGCGAGATTGGGATGTGTCAGGAGCTTTTGGACTGGCACGGTTAAGGTGCCGTGGAATGCAGAGAAGTATTTGAGGAGATTGCGTTCTTTGCAGAATCGGAAACTATCGATCACCGAAATACAATGGGATCGGTAGAGAGCCGCGAGAGCTTCAGCAACTTTGGGATCTGTGTGGACGGGAAGATACCCGCGGATATCAGGGAGGACGAGAGAGTCGTTATCAATGCCCGGAACTTCGTCAGTTGGGAACTGCAGCATTTGATGGATCATCTTCCCAGCCTGCTGGGCAACGTTCCGGGTTGTGATAGCGGCATCGGGGCCAGACGGGGGTTGAGTTTGGCAATTGCAGCCATTGACGGGAGAGTTCGCAGGGAATCGGGGTGCGAAGGAGGTTGTTGGGGACGGGAACACTGCGGTGTCTGCTGTAGGCTGAGGGATGCTAATGCTGAAACGCCCGTCAGAGCTGACAGTTGGAACAGAAGACATGCCATCATACCTCCTTGAGCGCATGCCACTTGCAGGTCTTTCAGGAACACCAGCAGGGACGTGCTGGGGGTTGGGAGCAACTTGTGGGTTAAGAGGGACGGGTCTCTGTTGCTTTTCCTCGATGACCGACAAATCCACGTAGTGATATTTTGACTCGCCACGAACACCCAGGCGGCGTGTCTGGACATTGGGAAAGATGATGCGGACTAGTTTGCCAAAGGAGGCCGGGTTCAGAACCGATACTCGCTCCGTTCCACAATTCTCTGCATAACAGCAATACACTCGGTCTCGTCGTACCGAGCCATTGCTTTTCCGGCAATTCTCTCGTAGCCTGCACGATGAAGACGTTTAGTTTCAAATCCATATGACAACAAAGGCGCAGAATCCAAACAAAGGATACGAGACTCCTTACCAGATCATGGCGAATACTTGTTTCACCTTCTCTGCCTTGCCCCCAGCACCTTCGTGTTTCATGACTTCGGCAGCCATTTGTTTTAGTGTGTAGCCTTCGTATTGACGAAGTAACTTCCGCAACTCGTTATCGTTTGCGAGTGTTGAGCTTGACCCGCGTTTCTTCTTCCCACCAGCTTCCGAGGCCTCTTGATCATCCATAGGGTGATCAGGAAGGTGATTCTCAATCCCACTATCATACATAGGCTGGTAATGTGGGACCGGGATCGTGGGAAGGCCATTATGTGGCATGTCTGGTGGTAATGAGTGGTGCGAGAGACTGTGGCCGTGCATACTGTGTGTTGGAAAATCATCCGCTCGGGAAGCCATTGAATGGGTGTCCCGCATACTGTGTTCCAGCGACGCGCCATTGGGCTGGTGAGACAGCTGATGACCAAAACGCATCAGCATATCTTCGGGGTTGTTGCCGAACACATTCTGGCCTCCTGCGACCTGAGAAGGCATGAACTGCGGGAATCCATCGAGGTGCTGGTCCTGAGTTTGTTGTGTTGTGCTGGAATGAATGCTGGCAGTTGAACCTCGAGAGCGAGGACGACGCCCAGCTCGCGAAACGGTCTCAGATCGGGCACGCATGGGGTCTGCCGTCCCTGGACGGCTGTGAGGACCCATCTGCTGCGTAGTCTGCGAGACGACACTTCCTTGCGACGGGGCGCGCGCTATGGATCGACCATAATAAGCAACCAGGCTAGTGGACAAGTAGAAATGTGGAGAGCCAAGCAGCTATCTCACCTAAATCTGGACGCATGCTGGTTCAGGATCGTTGGTCAGTCCGAAAAGTGGAGGAGGGCCCGTCACCAGGGAGATGGCCAGGTCCTGCACGGGTCGTGTTTTTTTCTTGGGAATTGGCGGCAGAACACGGCGACGATGACCATTCGAGTCCAGCGACCGGACCAGAAAGCAGGCCTGGATGGGTGCAAGCAACAGCAAAACAACAACACCAAAGGAAAGTCGGTCCAAGTCCAAGAGCTACGGAGACGGTCGGCCGCGCGGTGCAAGTTCGAGATCAAGGAGGATAAACAGAGCAGGCCGTTCCTCAGACAACGTTGTTTGGGTGGTCATGTGAGCTGATGTAAGCATTCCGGGCAAACAAACAAAGCGCCTTGCCAGCACACCGCAAAGTGCAGCCAAAGCAAGCCACCATGTTTGCAGAAGGATGCCAAACCGGTAAATGCATTTCTGTGGTCGGCTTTGGATCTTATTCTCGCGATAGCACAAGCCTATACTCTCAGACTCGACGATGAGAGCATCAGCTATAATAGTCTGAGAAATTGAACGCGCCGATGCTTAATGCAAAGGTACTTATTCCATGTTAGATTTTGATTTCAAACCTCCACATCTCCAGTTGGACTGATACTATAAGGGTGTTTGCTGATTCTTCCTTTGTTTACGGGGTGTTGTTCAAGTTTTGCTGGGTTCCCTGCATGGTTGGCGGCTACGTCATTGGCCCAATGGGTCGGTGACGAGAATGGATGAACAGGATAACTAGATGTACCCATAGAAACAACGTAATTGCTGAGCAAAATGTCTACGAGAATTACTTTTAGATAACTATCGGTTTATTGCCTACCTACAAGCAGCTACCCAAATAAGACCGTTGTATGAGGCACTGGGCCATCTCGTCAAACTTATTCCTCTGGGTTAGAGTACAAATATATATAGCATCTGAAGCCAAATCCATCATACCCCATAGTAGAAGCTATGACCCTGTATGTTCCCGATAAGGTTGATCTCAAAGCCTCGATCCTTTGCCAACTAATTGATTCAGACTGATATGTAGCGAAATTCTGGAAGGGCTGTTTACAATCATAACTTTGGTGTCGGGCCGGCCGAGACAATGCCCTACATACTTATTCTAGAGACTACGTGCGTCCCGCTCATTGGCCCTCCTTATCAATGAATCCTGCAAACCGAAGTTCCAATCTCGGCAGAACTCGACGTCTTTAGCGTCAGTTCCGAGCAGACGCCCCTGTGGGGTACATGGGATGATCGTGTGTTTAGCACCAAAATGGGGCAAACTCAATGGAATGGCTGTAGGGTTCTCCGCATCGCGGTCGCTGGATAAAAATTGTCTTTACCCAGTGGCAAGTCAAAAGTTTGAAATCACGGCAAGACTTCAGATGAATGTTTTTGATTATGCCCTCAGAATTACGCGAAAATTCTAACGTAAAGATATCTAGAACGACAGGCAGAAAGATATCAGGACATTCCTAAAGCGACGAAGCTGAACCGTTAATGTTAGGCACTTTTCAAGGCACTGATTTCAAACTTTTGAAGTATTTACCGCAGTGTAAAAATTCCAGACATATCCTGATGAGGGTATATGCCTATATAGGTCCAAGCTTATCCATAGTATGCTGCATTGCATTGCACTCTCTGGAACTGGACTTGCAAGATGTTCATTCGCAGGTATTTACACATATGCTGGAAGATATTTCAGCCCCCTAGGGAATATGCTGTCGCCGGAACACTGCTCACTAGATGATTTGCTGCATTTCCGCATCTGGGGACCACGACGTATGTTAGACTCGGTTACGATTGGGCAAACAGTCCCTTGCATTCCCCACAGCTTTTGTGATGGCCCTACTGTGGTTGATTTCAAATATGGAATGATCCTACGACAGAAGAGCAGAGTCACTTCAAGTGCTTGAACGAGGCGTTAACATGGGGTAGTGATAGAGCATACAAGGTGTATATCAAGCTGCTAATTTTTCCCGTCTCTTCGGGGTGAATTTTCCCGTCGAATCTCAGTCAATTGAGATTTCGAAGACCATGCATCATCTCTTCGCTCGTCTCGCAAGTGCGTTCGAGTAGATCAGAGGTCCCCGTTCCTGGGTGATAGTGGGCTGGGCTGTGTGCAGTAAGTACGAAGTTGCTTTTGAGATATTATTTTCAGTCCATAGCTCAATCGGGTTTCCCGCTTAAAGTGGTGATTCGGCGGGGAGGAACAAGTGGAGCCTGACTTCTCCCGATCCCGCGATAATCCTACAGGAAGGGGGAGGTGGGGGAATTCCTGAACAGGACAAGACCCTGAGTACGGTGTACGAGATTGCTCTGGCGCCAGTGGTTAAGTAGTCAGGTAGAGATCAGCGCCAAGCGTCGCATGTACAGTTTCAAATACGCGGCGCATAACAGCATCCGACAAGCCGCGTCGTAGGGCAGTAGGGCAGTAGGGCAGCGCTGTGGTGATGTCACCGCCGAGCGAAGAGCACGGCGTATTATTTTTCACATTTTCCAGGCCCCGTTGTTTCCCCTCTTTTACTTTGCCCCAAAAGCCCCATCTGTCGTCTCCCCATAGCCATGAAGAAGTTTAAGCAGAAAGTCGAACACGAATTCGACCAGCTGGAGGAGAGTTTCCGAGGTCGGACCCATCTACACGCGAAACCTGCTTTCCACCCCCACACTCACTGACTGGACGGTAGACACCCATATCCACGACGCCAAAGCGTCGGCGACGCATCTGAAGCACAAGGTGGGCAAGCTTTTTAACATCGTCAACCCGAATCACCGTCATGATGAGGAACATGAGCAAGCGACAGACCGGAAGCGCTCGGCCATTTCCGAATCGCATCGCTTCCAGTCCTTTGCACCCATCCATGACGGCAATCGCGTCAAATGGTATGTTGATGCCATGGATTACATGTGGGCAGTCTCGGAGGCCCTAGAAAGGGCCACAGAGACCATCTATATCGCCGATTGGTGGCTTTCTCCCGAGTTGTTCCTGCGCCGCCCTCCAGCCAACCACCGGGAATGGCGGTTGGACCATATTTTGAAGCGTCGCGCGGAGGCGGGTGTGAAGATTTACGTGATTGTCTACAAGGAGGTCAACCAAGCGTTGACCTGTAATTCGGCACACACCAAGCATGCATTGCAAAGTCTTTGCCCTGAAGGCACACCGGGCCATGGCAACATTCGAGTGCTACGCCATCCAGACCATAATGTCTTTGAGAATGCTGCCGACATGACTCTCTACTGGGTACGCTGGACCCTTCTTCTCTTCTGGCGAAGAATTTGCAAAACCTGACGACGCAATTAGGCACACCACGAAAAATTCATTGTGATTGACTACGCAGTGGCCTTTATCGGCGGCATTGACCTCTGCTTTGGCCGGTGGGATGCTAACCAGCACGCCCTGGCCGATGTGCATCCCGCGGGCTTGAGGGATGTCATCTTCCCTGGCCAGGACTTCAACAATAACCGTATCATGGATTTCCAGAGCGTGAACGACTGGCAAAACAATGAGTTGAGCAAGGCCGAATACGGGCGGATGCCGTGGCACGATGTGGCAATGGGCTTGATCGGCGATTGCGTCTACGATATTGCAGAGCATTTTGTGCTGCGCTGGAATTTCGTCAAGCGCGACAAGTACAAGCGCAGCGACGACGTGGATTGGCTCTTGATGGAAGGCCGCACCGGAGAGGACGAAGATTTAGTTGGTGTCCAGCGGCCCAAGTACCCCTGTGGCGAGTATATCCAACATCCACTGTCTCCATTGGGCGGCAAGCCTCGTGGACAGCAGGGATCTGTTCGGGCGCAACTCGTGCGGAGCAGTGACGATTGGAGCAGTGGCATTCTGAACGAGCATAGTATTCAGACTGCATACTGCGAAATCATTCGCAATGCCCAGCACTTCGTTTACATTGAGAACCAATTCTTCAGTATGTCCAGATGTGGTTTCCTCTTTCCCAAGACCTTTCCAGGGACTGATCCTTTCCAAAGTCACCGCCACCGGCGACCAGCAACGCCCCATTTTCAACACCATCGGCCGTTCCATTGTCGATGCCTGCGTTCGAGCAGGCAAGGAAGGCCGCAAGTTCCGTGTCATCATCGTCATGCCTGCCATCCCAGGCTTTGCGGGCGACCTGCGTGACTCTGCGGCAACGGGTACCCGAGCGATCATGGACTACCAGTACAAATCTATCTGCCGAGGCGAGCACTCAATCATGGGCCAGATTAAAAAGGCGGGCGTGGATCCTACGCGTAAGCTATTCTTTTTCTTTTCTATTCGTGTGGATCAGTTTCCCTAGAATTGACTGTTCACTGACCTCCTTCTAGAGCACATCTTCGTCTTTGCTCTCCGTGCCTACGACCGAATCAACAAGACTCCGGCACTTCTAGAGCTCGAGAAAGAGGCAGATGTGAAATATCAGGATCTCCAGCGGGGTATCGCCGAGTCGATCATGGGTGAGAGTGTGCATCCTTCCGTCGGGAAAGAAGGTGACCAGAACGAGAAGAGCTATGATATCGATGACTCGCAAAAGCAGCAGAATTTGAAGAAGCTAGCGAAGTTTGAGGAGCAAGTGGAGAAGCGTAAGGCGCAACAGGGTGATGCCAGCAGGGACTCGGTGGCTCACACCACCATGCTGAATGGTGGGAACATGTCGGATGAGATCTGGGAAGGCGACCCCGAAGCGGAGAAGGCCAATTTTGTCCAGGAAGAGCTGTACGTGCATGGCAAGGTGTGCATTGTCGACGACCGCGTTGCCATTTGCGGAAGTGCCAACATCAACGACCGGGTAAGTCAATTGTCGGATTGCGTGGTGGTTTTTTGTCCCCCCTCTTCCTTTGCGCGGCTCGCATACTCATACTCTGTTTCTTGTCCGCAGTCTCAGCTCGGTTCGCATGACAGTGAACTCGCTATTGTCCTGGAGGACCAAGACTTCATGGAGAGTCAGATGGATGGCAAACCATACCGTGCAGCTCGGCTAGCGGCGACTCTACGCCGCCAGCTCTGGCGCGAACACCTGGGCCTCTTGCCCGCGCAGGATTACGACGCCACGGGCCACCCGAACGCTCGATCGCCCGCTGACTGTCTCAACCAGATCTTAGAGGACGATCATAACGAGTTCGTGACCGATCCGCTTAGCGACGCGGTCTGGAACACCTGGACTGAGCAGGCCAGCGTCAACACGGAGACGTATCGGATGCTGTTCCGCGCAGATCCAGATGACCATATCAAGACCTTTGATGATTATGACAATTTCCGGCCGCGTGGGTCACACAAGGAGGGCCATCTATTCGATCCGTATCTGCCGGTTCAGGAAGTGCGCCAGAAGCTCGATCGCATCAAGGGCCATTTGGTGTGGTTACCGCTAGATTTCCTTAGCGACGCGGAGATGGCCGAGCCTGGACTGGCAGTGAACCAAATCACCGAGGTGAGTTGTTGATATAGTGGGCCCGTACAGCACGGGTGTCGGGCGCCGTGCTAATTCTTCACTAGAGCATCTACACGTAGGCATGGCCCATTTCCGTCCTAGTTCGCCGAGCACTCGCTGGTGCCCATTCGAGGACCCCCGCCGTCTGAGGGATTATTCTTGGAACCCATTTTGTTTTGATTTATGATTTTGTTACTGCATACAATGATATTCCTGCCACCATCGTTATTCTTGCGATGGGGTCCTGGTATACAATGCATCGTACATCGGCTTCTTTTTCTGTCCGCACCGTCGCGCGATCGTCCCCTCGGCTTCTCTCCGCGGAGACGGAGAAATACGTAGTTCCCACCGCCTCTGATGGATGCCGGAGATCGAGAGCCGCTGTGCCGGAAAAGGATGCTAGCCATTGTTGGCCATTTCCCACACGCTACCGACATAGCCTAAACCTACTTGTCCCGCTTGGCGTACTTTTGGGCTGCCCCACTGAGCCTCCATTTTGCCGCATGTCCCGTACCACCAACTGGTCCTTGCGTGCCTTTTGTCTTTTTTCCCTTTCTTTTTTCTTTTCTTTTTTTTGGGGCTCACACGAGTGGAGACGCGCAATAGAGTTGGTGGGCCCAAATACCTGGATTTTCCTTGCGGCGATTTGTTCACTACTGTCCATTAATTTCGGCGCCAATTCCCTAGCACCAAAAGTAGCGCGTCGGGTACGGGGTAATTCGGTAATTGCCTTCACCACATGCGGCACCCGATGCGATGTATCACTTTTGGCTAAGTGAGAGCCGGCCACTCCGCTGTGTGGGAAGGTCTGCTTGGTGGGCCCCGCATGGGCCGGCCTCTTAAGCTTCGTCCTGGGTGAGGTGATCCCTCGACTCCGGCTGCCAATGAAAAAGGGTGGAGCGGGTGGAAATTGCTGGCAAGCTGAACCTAGTGGCTCTCTTGTGTCCGTGAGGCATGTGCGAATAGAATTCCAGGATTGTCATTCCGGGAAGGTGACGATGTATTCCGTCGTATAAGGGCGAATGGGAACAAGGGGAGACCCTGCTTCCCACTGTTATCAAGGTAAGGACACGATCCCACTAATCATAATTTGGTAAGAGACGATTTCGTGGACGGATTTCACCTCGATCTCTGTTCCTTTCCACCCATCAGCCTTATCGTGGGGCTTTCAAATGGCGCGTTCTTTCTACGTGTCCTGTACATGGAGACTGCTCTGGTTGGATCTTCTAATCTTGCGTGTTACGCCTCTCGGCCCCGATTCAATAGATAGGTTGTGCCATAGTTCTAGATTTGGAAAAAGCAAAAAGCAAAAGTAGAGAGTAAAAACATATGTTCAAGTTCAGATCTGCCAAATATTGACCGGCAATTGCTTGCAAGCAGATGGGAGGTGCGCTGTGACTGTCTTGACGTCGATGATGATTTGACGATGCAAAATTTCTCCATGTAAAATGCACGACCGCAAGAAGGAGGGGAACAGTTCAAGTAACGGGAACATAACCACATCTAAAGCTGGTGAAGACGAAACAAGGAAAACTCCGTCCGGATGCAAGAATCCCATCGAAACTTTTAGAGAGGAATTTTTAAGGGGAGGAAACCGAACAAATGCAAAATACGCAATGTCGCCGAAAGTAGCCATGGGGGAAAAGTCAAACCAGCCAGGACATCAAAATGGAATGCAAGCGGAACTTGCACCCATGAAGCATGCTGGAGAATGATTGCATAGCGAGGATAGGATAGCCTTGCTCGGGTTCATGTGAGCGGCTGTGGCCAGTGCAAATGGTCTGCGGTGGAGGGAGTCAGCGAAAGGAATTCTCCCCATAGACACCATCGAGATGCGAACCACGTACACACTAAGCCTTGGCATTGTGGCAGCTATTGCACCGACAATGGCCACAGATCTTGCAACGCCAGATCGCCACGAAGGGGCCCGAGTTACAGTCAGAGCACCGCCATGTCAGAATGTTGCCGTTGGTGGCCTGAACAATGGCAAAGACATGACCGGAACACTGGTTGGCCATGTTTGATGTTCTTTCGTGATGGCGATGAGCAATGGGATTGTTGGAGTGCTGGAGGCAATTAGCTCCGCGTATACTTGGAGTTGGGCCCCGGGCGTTTTTCACCTACCAGACTAGGAGAATGATCAAGTCCCGACGGAATGGAGGCTGATGTCGATCACCGGATAAGGATTCCAAGCGCCGAAATTCAGGGTATCAGGGGAGCAAAGGTCAAGTTGGAAATGCGGAAATGTCAAGGCTTCGAGGGACAAATGTGTAACGTGAATTCAATGATCCGAGGGCTCGGCCGAAGGAAACGATGAGCAAACGAGGTGTTGATGATGATGGAAAAGATGAATAGCTTCCAAACTGCTGGTCCCAGGGCCATTATATACCTCGGAGAACGAGGTGCTCTGTATCAACTCGCTCAGAGGGGGTGGGCCAGAGGTCCAGATCCTCGATCAAGCCAGTCCTAGTCTCAAGACGTGAATGGCTCTGCACAATGCCGTCGATGACGCACGTACCCGATGGTTGACAATCGCCAGGGTCGATCAAGCAGGTCTCAACCAGGGTGATGGGATTACGATTGTTGCCGGGGGGTGGGTTGAGGAAGAGGATAGGATTCTACTTCGGGGGAAGGAGAAGAAATGGGGTGGGGGGAAAAGAGTGAGCTGAATGGAGCTATGGCTTGATCTACCGCGAACCTCATCTTGCATAGCGCATGGAAAATTGGGCGAAGACGCCGCCGAAGCCCAGCAGATCCCAGCTGGCTTTCCGGCAGGATTCAGATCGCGATCGCAGGAGATCGGAGGATGACAACTGGCCTCGTTCGATCTCGCAATGCGAGGGCAGGGGTTGGACTGGGGGGCCGATTGGATTCAATTGGAGTACTGGAGTATTGGAGAAGACTGGAGGGGGAGGGACTAGCCGACTAGACAGCTTCGAGACAAGACCAGACAGCTAGGGACCGGCTACAGGAGGGTGAGGGGGGGGGAAAGGGAACTAGGGGACCAAAAATCAAAAAGGGAGAAATTGAATTTTGGCATGCAGATAGACTCGTGTTGTCCAAAGGGCCCCAAGTGGATCAGAGGGACAAGCTGGGTTCGCCAATTGCCCGCGAGAGACCGGCCGAGTCAAATCGTAGACGCGTTGGACCCGACCAATTGGGCTTGGAACAAGTCAAGGATCGCCGGAGCGCCAGGCCTGCCTAGCGCGAGTAGTTGCTGCTCCACTGGCTCTTCCGCCAGTCTGGATCGAGCTGCGCGAGCGTCTGTTGTAGGCCCTCGCCTTGCCGATCTTGGCCGATCGCGGCCTTGTGCATCCCAGCAATTCGGGTGGGCTCCGATCATCTCTGGAGGCCCGGAGTACTTGGCCCGAGAATTTGATTTTTGACTTCGGGGACTTTTGCCTCAGCTAGTGGAGAGGGGGACGCGCTGAAGAAAGTTCTGGGACGCCTTTCCCCCTGTCGCGCCGGTTTGATACATCACGCATCCACGGCTTTGGGGCTGGGGGCCCTGCGCCAAAATGGAGGGCTCAAAACGCTAGGACCAGGGCCTTTTGCGTCCCCACATGGCTTTGTTTTAGGGACTTTTGTTTGGCGTCCGGATTTTCCTGGTGCTTCTGGTTTGATGTTGCGATTGATCGTGCGTGAGGTCGCTTGGTGCGACGGGATATTATGCTCAGCTCCACCACACACGGATCATCAGTGGCGTAACCCCAATCATCATGATCATGATTATGATCATGTTCAGTCTGGAATCATCCGCCAGGCCCTGTCGACGAGTTGACGAGTCCCTCACGCCCTGTCCAGATGCCGATCGCCCGGAAGCACGCCCCCGGCATTCGGTGGGTTCTGGCCATCTCGTGCATTGCCCAATGATCGTGTGACGAAACTGCCCTCTCCAATCACCGATAACTGGAATTGTGCTTGGCGGGAGATTCTGCTTGGGCATAGAGTGGATCTGTACCTTCGCCCCCCCCCGGGGAGGGTTCCACCGTGAGGCGGGACGTGTACTTTGCCCCAGTCGGTACGGGACTTAATTAGGTGATTCGGTGCTCGAGGTGCATTTCTTGGTGCTACCGTAGCTCTGGAACCTCACCGGATGTACCTATGCATCCATGCATCGGTCCAGGCTCCCGATAGTTGAGAAGTACGAGAGCAAACCGACCTCGCCCAACACAGATACTGGTCATTCATCCGACCGTCTGGCCAACGCTGCAGAGGAGGCAGTCGCAGTGGAACCCGCCGCGTCACACAAAGTGCAACCAGGATCGGGAGTTCCGTCCCGGCATCGGTTGGTCTCCGAGACTCTCTGGAGCGCGCGCCGTCCCGGCTGGGCGCGGGAGCGGGACGGGGTCGGACACAGCGGCCATATCATTCGAAATCTGGCCAGCCATCGGACGAACCAGGGAGCTTGCCGATTTCCAGATCACCGTGAAAATCACAGAGTGGACATCACGGGCGGCTCCAAACCGGGAAAGACTGCTCATGACCTGGACACGTCAATCTCAATGCCCCCCGGGCGAGGGATGAAAGATTGACGACTGGCTCGAGGCCATCGGGGGGCCACCATTGGCCGCAGACGCCTGCTTGATTTTTTGCGGCAGACACTCGAGTCGTCAGGAATCCAGCGTCGGATTCTGTCTTCGCGTACATTGGACTGGTGGGCAGGAAGATACGGGGAGCCGCAGCCGATGCTGACGAGCTGACGAGTGGACGCGATGGACAGATCGAGATGTGGATAATGAGGAATGAGATCAGGGGAGACGCGAGACGGGAAAAAGATCCACGACGCGGAAGAAAGGATGTGCCACTAGGAAGAGAGAAGACGGAAGAGAAGTGATAGATTGAGGGTCCATATTGCTTGTCTACAATTACGAGAATATCCGAGGGGTTCTCGTGCCCCGGTTTCACCGCCAGAAGGCATCGAGGGCCTCCGAATGGAGAACCCCCAAAGAAACCGGTGCCGTCGATCCTCGTGAGGCCTGGCCTTTTTGCTTTGGATCTTGCGCCCCACGCCGAGGACCTGGAGAGATCACGGGGCATGAAGACAAGAAAGAAAACAACAGGGTCCAGACCCGAGAATTGCTCTGCCAACGCTCCGTTAAGAACACCTCGTGGATCACGAGATACTCCTGCAGTACCCAGAGTGGACTGCATCGCTGGGTGAAACGAGAAAAGAGATAAGAAAACCTGAGAAAGGAAAACAAAAACAAAAACAAAAACAAAAGAAATCCGATGAGACCAACAGGCAAGGTCCCATGGGATGCTACAGATCAGCCTGGGTCAGGCGGACTTTTTCAAATGGTTCATTATCATTTGGTAGAGAAATAGGTATCATGCCATGGAATCGCAGGAATGCAGAGATCGCGGAGTCTGCAAATCAGTAATCAACGCCGCCCTAGAAAGATGTCAAGTCAACTTCGTCACCGCCATCCGCCCACAGGCCCATCATTCAGTCATTAAGGTGGAAAAGGGCCGAGACGCTGTGCACGTTAGTGATACAAGGTCCTCTCGTCCACAGGGAAGATGGCAAGGGAGAGACTAACCTTTCGCCGTAGTGATGCCGCCGAATACTCTCCGCTAGAAGAGTCGACACGTCAATGACGATCAGCTTCTTGGACCGCTTCAGCATCGAGGAGTCAATCGGGAATGTGTTCGTCACAACAATATGGTCAATGGAAGGGCAGGCCTCCATCTGATCGAGCGAATCGGCTCCAAACAGACCGTGGGTGGCAATGCAATAGACTTTGCGTGCACCACCCCGCTTGACGACGGTCTCTGCGGCGACGATCCACGATCCACTCTTGTCAATCATGTCGTCGACAATGAACACGGGTCGATCACGGACTTCGCCGACCAGCGTGATGGTCCGCTCGTGGTAGTGACCAGCATCACTGGCCTCGTCATCGGATTCGACAGCATCAAAGGAGCCACCCAAAGCATGGTCCGGGGGCAGGGAGGACGCATTGGAGATCATGGAGTTAAACATGGTCTCCGGGACGACCTCGGTATTCTCGGCGTGGCCGCTGGTGCTGCCGCTAGCCCCCGGAGTGGTTCCGCCGGACTGGGAGTCAGATTCGGCGTGATAATCATCGTCCACAAGCTGACCTTGCACCAGACGGCCCGTGATCACATCTTGAATCCGCACATCGGTGTATTCGTGCGCAGCCTCCAGCTCGGAAAGGCGACGGGCTGCCGGGGAGTCTCGGGACGGAGCAGGCCGTGAGGGGTCCCAGATGTTTCCGTTTCCTCCGGGATAGGAGCGGGTGCTTGGGAACTGTGTAGGTGAAGCCCAAAGGGCTGCTGCTCCTTGGGCACTGGCACATCGTCATCGACGGCATCGAAGAAAACCGTGCTGTCGGACATAGTGTTGACCGGAACCTTGGGCCGCCGCCGATCGGTGGTCACAATACCAAAATTCAGTTTGAGGGTATCGGCCAGCGAGGTGACTCGCTTGGTACCGCCGGCATTTTTGCTCACCACCACCGCGTCCTTCCAGCCCGCCACATTCATCCGGATCCAGCGAGCAATGAACGGTTCGGCGAAGAGGTTATCGACGGGTTTGCCAAAGAAGCCTTGCATCTGGGATGCCTATCATTGAAACCCAATCAATATCGAAATCGAGCGAGAGACCAGATCAAGGGCAGCAACGTACGTGCAAGTCCATGGTTATCACATGGTCCACACCAGCGATGGAGAGCAGGTTGGCGAGCATGCGGGCCGTGATGGCACCGCGATGGCTCTTCTTCTTGGATTGACGCGAATAGGGGAAGTATCTCGTCAGGGGTCAGCATCCACGGTCATTCACTCAGTCAGACAAAACGGGCAGCATACGGCATGACCGCTGGGAGAATTCGTCAGTGAGTCTAGATTTCGCTTTCTGCCTGACGAGGGACGACATACCAGTAATCGACTTGGCGGAGCCACCCTTGCACGCGGAGATCATGATGAGAAGCTCCATGACACTATCATTGATCTTGCTGCTACCACTCTGAACAATGTAGACATCCTGGTTGCGGATCGAGACGCCGATGTTGACGCTGGTCTCGCCATTGGCGAATTTCCCAAGGTCGGCCTGAGCTGGCGAGGTGCCCAGCCGTTCGCAGATGGTCTCTGTAAGGGCGGGATGGGAATTCCCCGAGAAGATCTGCACGCCCCGCATGGCTGATCTTTTGTCTGGGATTGATGAGAAGTGCAGGAGAAGACGAAGAAAAGAAGAGGGAAAAAAAAAGCAAAGCTAAAAAAGTTTGCGGGAACGACCTGCGGCTGTGGGCGGTGTAGCCCGCCGTATGCCCCACGCTTTCTTATCCGGCTGCCGAGCAAGTTGCCAACTGGGACATACGCCTCGCTCAAATAGCTGGCAGATATCAAGATGGCGAAATTCCCCGAGATTCAAGGGGGAGGCTCGCTGATTGTAGCCTGGCAGGTCAAGAACAAGCGTGTACTGGTGGTAGGAGGTGGAGAGGTGAGTCCACGGAGAGTTTGGCGGCATCGGCTATCCATCTTAGTCCCGCTGGAGATATACAGTAGTTATGTTGGTCATGCAGACATCGCTAACGCCTCGTTCCCTGCAGGTCGCCGCAGGGCGAATTGTTCACGTACTCAATGCGGATGCCCAAGTGACTGTCGTCTGTCCCACCACCGGCCTCAACGAGGAAGTCGCGTATCGCGTCGCCGAAAAGCAAGTCGCCCATATCGATCGCAACTTCGAGCCATGCGACCTTGACTCGGCAGATATGGTACTGTGCGCCATTGACGACCCAGAGGCCTCAACTCAGGTCTGGAAGCTTTGCAAAGAGCGACGGATCCCGGCAAATATTGCAGATGTACCGCCCGAGTGCGATTTCTACTTCGGCAGCATACACCGCGATGGGCCGCTACAGGTGATGGTTAGTACCAATGGCAATGGCCCGAAGCTGGCCAGTCTGGTGCGGAAGAAGATCGCCGAGACCCTCCCGAGTAACATGGGGGCAGCAATCGAGAATGTGGGCAAGTTACGAAAGAAATTGCGCGAGGTTGCGCCGAATGCAGATGAAGGTCCGAAGCGCATGAAATGGTGAGCATCGGGAAAGGCCATTTGACAGCAACACATGTCTGAGAACCAATCGCTAACTGATCATGACTAGGATGTCTGGAGTTTGTGAATCGTGGAGCTTGGACGACCTTGTACAAATGACCGGGCATGATATGGACGGGCTACTCACCCACTACCAATCGGGCAACATCCCTTCCCTTCAGCAAGTACGGCATTGAATCACCATAAAAGGAGTTTGAAACGAATAAAATTTTGGTCTTATCAGTACACAGCTATGCATCTCTAGAAATTTGGTAACAAGGATGCTTCACAGAACAGGAGAAGAGGGGGGGGGGGAAAACGAGAGGAGGAAGAAAGGAACGCCAAAATCACCTGTAAATCACAAAGCCGGTCGAGCATACCCCAAAATGAAGACAATACAAAGATCACCCATCAGTGGGTCGCCTGGCTATCTCGACGCGAACCCTTCTGGGAGACGGAGCTTCGCGGGCTGATCGGAGCGTCCAGCCGGTTGGGCGGAGCCACACCCAGGCGGACTTCGCCAATCCGGCGGAGAAGGGACTGCAATGCGATGCGAATCTCCGGGTTGAGATCGCGGCTAAGAAGCTCTACTCCCAAGGGATAGAAGGTCTCGATATGCTTGTCAAAGTCATCCTGGGGGAAATTGCTGTACCCGTCGATAACATCCACCACGACCGGCCGCCAGGCCACAATGTTGCGCTGCTGGCTCTCCTCGTCGAGGCGGACGAAGCTGCGGATGATATCGGCACAGAGTCTAGGGGGAAAAAGCATCAGCAAAAAGGAATCTTCCAACAATATGAGAGCAAAGGTGTAAAGAGAGGGGGGAAATCGTACGGGATGAGAGCCGCCTCAGTCTCCGGGCGACTGCTCTGTCTCTCCTCTCGCTCGTCATGATACATGCGGAAGAGTATATGTACGTAGGTGGCAGCACTACCACTCTCCTGCTTCAGCAGATTCGGAGGCTGCTTCATGAATCCTTGGCGCCAGAGCTGCATGCGCAGATCCTTGTCCTCATTAAACTTCTTGGCAAATTGATAACTCTTCTTCAGTAATCCCATTAGCCGCAAGAGCTCGTGGCTGGGGATTTGGGCGTAGACATTATCGTTGGAGAAGAGCTCATGCACCGTTTCGATCATGAGCAGCTGCAGAATGCAACTGGTGATGATCCGGTTGAAGAAGCGACGACGAGCCGCTGTGATGGCAGCAGGCTGCTGTTGCGGGTCTCCTTGGGGCCGGTAGTCCTCAAGCTCTGCACGAGCCTCGCTCTGAGCCGGGGGAACTCCTTCATCCTGGAGCGAAGTGGTGGTCTGAGATCCATTGACCTGCAGCGAGTCGGGAAGATCAGCCGATGCAGTGGTTGCAGCATCCGGAGATTGGGCGACATCGCCGTTGGTGGTGACCGGGGCGTCGGTCAGTTTAGACATGGACGCCGCCGCGGTAAAGAGCTCATAGGCGGTCGTCTTGCTAAAGAGCTCGACGAAAGCTCCCACAATTTGGGTCCAGTGCTCTTCTCGGAACTTGGAAACATTTTGCAGGATCAGCTGCTGCAAGCAGTTGCTGCCAATTCGAGCAATGGTATCATTCTCTTGGCAAATACATAAGGTCAGCAGTTCCAGGAACCGACTGAGCATATACTCCAACAAATCGAAATAATGGGTGAAAAGGGTGATCATGTTCCGCAAAGCTTGAATCATGGTGGTCGACAGCCAGACAGAAAGGTCCTCGTGGTTAGGAACCTTGGACATTTCCGACTTGGACTGTAGGACAACGAAGATGGGGCAAAGCAGTTGTCGCCAAAGGACATCCCAAAAGTCCCTGGGGAAATCGCCTCCGTGCCGAATCAGGGTGTCGAAGAGGTAGGCAAGTGCACGGGATCGAACCTCAAGATCATCACCGGTCATCAGCACGTCCTGGAACGCAATGAGAATGGGGTACCAGAACTGCTCTTCTTGCGACTGGCGAGTGAGCTGCTTGGCAAGGTTGGTTCCCTCCTCCTGGAAATGATGGGCAGGAGTACCCCCACGGTGGGAGAGCGGGCACTCTGGAGTACGCAGCATCTTGGTGACCGTGGACTTCAACGTCTCGATCGCCTGCAGCGACTTCTTCTGGAACTTGGAATTCTTGGAAAATTCGGTCAGACAAACGATCAGGTCAGCAAAAGCGCCCTGGGTGATCACAACGCCAAAGCGGGTATTATAGATTTGGGTAACATGATCAAAGGCCATATTTACAATGCCCTCTGTGAAAAGCAACTGTTAGCTGGTGCCGTCAAGAAACGAGAAAACCCCTTTTTTTTTGACAGAAGAAATCTTACCATAAGGCTCACGAGCTGCGACGGTGAAAACACCAAACATGGTCTTCCATCCGGACCGGATATTGTCCCCACGCGCCTGAATCATCTGGATCAGGCAGCGAAGTATCATATCCTTGACAGCAGCTGTAGTGCTGTTTGCCATGACATGCTCAAAGGGCTTGAGGAAATCCTTTTGAAACTTGAAGCCAGGCAACTCGCCAATCTCCATAAAGCGCATTGACAGCTGTCGCAGGGAGTCCAGCGCAAAGAACACAACGGTAGTATTGGAATGACAGCCAACCTGGTTGAAGTGTTGACCCAGAACCTCCCAGATTTTCGACCACTCAATTCTCACACGAGTCATGTTGTAGTAACTGATCTCGACTAGCTTTTGCAAACTGTACGTGCGAGGAGAGTCGCTATGCCCAGACGACTGGATTTCTTGCCAGCTGACCTCGCTAAGTGCCCGCACAAAGTCAATAATAGCTTCGTGCGACAGATTGGCTGTGTTCGTAAAGATGCGATCAACGCCGCGGACCATATCGGCGGATCGGCTTTCCATGGCGATCTCCATGCGGAAAGCCGTGGGTCCGCCGGCTGAGCGTGGACGGGGTCGCCGCGAGCCCTGCACAGACTTGCGAGAGGCGGAGTCGGATGATATCGTGGGTGCGCGTGAGACATCGGGTAGTGACCCCTCATCTACACCATCACTCAACAATTGCAACCGGTCAAGCTGACTGACACAGGTCAAAATCTCTCGCCATGAACCCCGAAGATGGTTGCCTTCGGTGAAAGCGACGTCAAGCAATACTTTCAAGGCCTCGACGTTCTTCGCCATCATCTCCCGGACATTTCCGAGGTTGGTAAATTTTGCCAAAGCAGTGACAAATGCGACCCGAGGGGTTTCCAAATCAAAGGCGCAACTGATCCGGATTGCCAACTTGAAACCCTCCATGCAAAGTCGGATCATCTCAAGGTTCTGGGTGTCTTGCATCGGGGCTGACAATCCTGACAAAAAGGACATCCAAGTGACATTGAACATCGACCCGACATGCCGAACCGAGGTGGCAGGGATGAAACGCGATAGCGCATCTCGGACGGCCGTCTTGCGCTGGGCTCGGATGAGGGAGCGATATAACTGCTCCGTCTTGTTGGCCATTTCCTCAGATGCCTGAGCGTATTTCTCTCCTTGGATATCTCTACCCACGGTTGCAAAGACTTGTCCAGCTCGAGTCGCCAATCTAGTGGGGGCTGAAGTTGGGATACCCAAGTTCGCGGCATGTTCTCGCTCGGTGTCAAGGACAATCTCATTGTTGGCAATCTCGTCGTAGATCGAAACAAGATACTCGGACGGTAAGTCCTGGTTGTCGTTGATACCCCGATTGTTCTTGATGAAGTCCTCCTTGGTCATTCGGGGCCCCTTCATCTTGGAGCTATGCTGGTCGGTGTTGAGCATGATAACCGAGTATGAAAGGACATACGCGGTGTCCGCGTTGGCGAAAGCATTGGGGTTCTGAGTTGTATACCGTTCCGCAAACTTGAGCATGAAACGATCGATCTTTTGGGCCTCGCCGGGCAAACGGAAGTGCTGCAGAAAAGATCGAAGAGCATCAACGAAACGTCGTTTGGTGAAATCCATCTGATCAACAAACTGATGCATGATGGCAATATTCTCCGCATCGCCCTCGCCCAGGTATTCACCAAGCATAGCCTTGTCAAGGCGCTCATTGCGCAGCAGAAAGCTGGCAATGTCTTCTGGTGAATCAGAACGAATGAAGCCCTCGGAGAGCAGAAGTTTGATGCCACGCTTTGGCTTGAAATTGAACTGTTGAATGGCGTTCATCATGGCGATCTTTCGTTGTTTGACCTTCTCAATCTGACTCGGGTCGTCATCAGGCACTGGTGTGGATCGGCCCGTACCAGACTCGCTAACCTCTGGTCGTGGTGACATGAGGACGCTGGTATCCAGGGACTCGCGGGAATTGTCCATGGACTTAGATGGAGCCAGTGAGTGAGCAGCAGCGGCAGCAGCCTGATCATCTAGACGCTGGGAGCCCCAATTGTCCAGAGACCGAAGCATCTCCACGAGACACTCCACAGCCTGATGCTTCAAAATGTAGTCCGATGGTATGTTTGGCACGGCCGGTTGTGGCGGTGGTGTGATGTTGGCGGTCGTCAGCGATGGAGGTAGTGTTCCACGCTGGTGCCAATCGGCCCCGACGCTGGACATCTTGGTATGATGTTCCTGGAATTGCTGCTGCTGTGCAACTGTGGTGGTGACAGGCACGCTCGAGTACCGCGAGAGTTGCTCTATGACATTTTGGAAAATGTTCTCCAATGCAGTCCGGTCACAGTCGTAGTTGAGATAGATCTCGACCAATGCACGGGGATCGCCGCCTAATCGCTCCAACACTTCCATAAAGTACTGCTTTTGGAAAGACGGAGCGGCTCGCTTCTCGAGAATAGCCAGATAGATCTCCTTGAGGAACACCTCCAACTCTTTCTTCATCATAACCCTCATGTCCTTAAGCATCAGCCAGAAAATCTCGCAGCAGACTTTGAAAACATGAGGAACCGAGCTGGAGCCATTCCGACTGAGGCTCAAGCAAAGATGGGGTCGCACAGCCTGGAGGAGTGTCATCGCTTCCGTGCTGCTTGAGCTGTTCTTGATGGCAGCAAGCGGTGATGTAAACGCGGTGATGTGGTTGTTGATGAGATAGTGGATAAGGTGTAGCGAGAGCAGCTTCGACCGCATGTTCTGGGACTTGATATCTTGTTGTTGGTCATGGCCGAGAACCTTATGGCTCAGCTTACACAGAGCGCGGAAGACCAAGAAGGAATCCTTAACGTAGGTATCATCCACCTCATCCTCTGCTGCTAAGGCATCATCTTCTCTTTCTTCAGGGATGCCCGAAATCGACCGGGTCGTTGATCGGGTAAGTTTAGCACGAGTGACTGTGGTCGGCGCATTGTCATTTACATTGGTCACCTCCTTGGGTGACTCAAAGCTTTGTAGAGTGAGCTTCTCCGCGTTGGGTTCTTTGGTCACGGGTTGATCTGCTTGGTCCGCTTGATCCACCACGGACACGGAAGCGACTTCAGAAATTTGTCCTTGGTCGCTAGCTGACGCATCAAGGCCGGCGCCGGTAACTTTGTCGACCTCACGGGTCCGGAGCTCTTTCAGATCCAACCGAACCTGAACTCTGTCGAACACCGTGCTCACCATCTGAGTAAGCGAGCCTTGGGCAATCTGCTGATTCTGACTGGATTTGGAGTATATGAAAATATTATAGATCTGGCGAACCGCTTTCAAGAGACCAGCTCCATGCACCACGATCTTGTCATTCAGCACGGCAGCAAGTAATGACTTGATGATCTGCTGCTGAATCTCGTTCGGAGTCGCCTCATTCTCGAAACAGTCGCAAATCGCATCGATGGCTCGTTCGATCAGGGGGGCTTTTCCGGGGTTGCCTCGAATTCGGATTCGGCGGAGGGGAAAGCAAAGTAGGAGTAGGTAATAAGTTTGCCAATGCAGTCCAGCGCCGTCACCTGGAGTGGAATGCTGAGTGTCTTGCTAGCCAGGTGAAGAGGGCGGAAAATGAGCTCAGGATCGATGGGTTGCCCATCTGACTGTTTAACATTGGCCAAAGCTACCTGGACGGAGGCCTCCAACTCCTTGCTTCGCCGGGCTTCGCGGGAGGTGCCAATGGTGTCGAGAGCAGTCACGATGAAAACTGTAGAGCTGACGGCGGTGGACCGGTGCGTCGCGAAGGTGGCCGTTGTTGACCGTGAGTCGGAACGCATGCGAGCGTCTGGCGGCGCAATGTCCTCGGTTGGCTGCGGTTCGTGTATTTCGGGAGGTGCACCAGCCTGCTGCTGGTCGACTTCGCGACCAGTGGTACTGTCCTCCTCTGTATCCTTAGGTGGAACCTCAGGCTTCTTGTCATCGTCCTCATCTTGCTCGTCTGCTGCCTGCTGCGGCCGTTCCTCGGTTTGTTTATCCTCTTCTTTCTGCTGGGTTTCCTCTTGAGTCTCTTGCTCCTCTTGCGCCTTCACTTCTTGCCATTCTTCTTTCTCCGACAACAAATTCGGCTTATCTGATGCCAACATTGGCGGAGCTTGAGGTGCTTCACTGTTTGCGTCCACGGGGGCCTCAAGTTCGGGGGTGTCGGCCGCGGGGTGGTGATGCGGCTCGGAGCCGGGATCGACGTCCGCCATGGTCAAAGAGACTCCGGGCGGAGCGATCGGATCAGAGCAAAAGCATTCGACTGTATAGCAACGGGGGTAGCGTACGGACCCTGAGAGTTCTCGCCGGTTGATTGTTTCATACGGGGATGCGTGTCTTCTCCGAATCGGGACTGGGCCGGGAGATGGCTGAGTCAGCAAGTGCTGCTCCGGCTCACCCCCGTTGAGTCACGTGACTCTCGGAAAGGCCCGCTCACCGGGACCTTAGAAGCTCAACAGAAAAGTTCCTGACCGTTAGAGGCCATCTTTCTCCCCCAACTCCCTCATCCCCGGCTTCCACCGTCTTCCCCGCGCCGGTATCTCCTTGTTTCTTCATCTCCGTGTCGAGGGAAACTATTCTACTCATACTCTCTGGCAATTTCAGCCCAACATGGTTGCTGCCGCTGTCCGAATGCGCATCCCGAGCGCCATGTTCATGTCTCGAGGCGCCGCCTCCATGCGACGCCCCCAGGTCTCCTACAAGTTCCAGGAGGTGATGCAGTACGCTTACTTTCCAATGTTTATACCACCTGTGAAATGATACTGATGAGCTTCCTAACGCGCAGATCGCAATTGCCCGCCTTGTCTGCTCTTTCCCGCTTCTATGCCTCCAAGTGTATGGCATCCAATTGAACCTCCTAACTCCCCCATTTTCACTTTCTTGTTTCTAACAATCATTGTATCACTACAGCTTTCCCTCCCCACACCATCATCAGCATGCCGGCCTTGTCGCCGACAATGACCGCGGGAAACATCGGCGTATGGCAGAAGAAGGCCGGCGACGCCCTCCAGCCCGGTGATGTGCTCGTGGAAATTGAGACCGATAAGGCACAGATGGACTTTGAGTTCCAGGATGAGGGTGTTCTCGCCAAGGTCCTGAAGGAATCCGGCGAGAAGGATGTCGCTGTTGGCGCGGTAAGAGTTTTCCCGAGATTCCCCGCGGGCAGCCGTTTAGCTCATTCCAAAGAACTTGACCAAAACAATACTAACAAATTTTCCGTCCGAACCCACAGCCCATTGCCGTTCTGGTTGAGGAGGGTACCGATGTCTCTTCCTTTGAGTCGTTCACCCTGGCTGATGCCGGTGGTGACAAGGCCGCCCCGGCCGCTGAAAAGGAGGAGCCCAAGGGCGCAGAGCTGTCAGCCCCGACCCCGGCCCCCGAGCCCGCTGCGCAGGAGCCCGAGACCTCTGGTGACAAGCTCCAGCCCAGTCTGGACCGCGAGCCCTCAATTAGCCCTGCTGCTAAGGCTCTGGCTCTGGAGAAGGGTGTCCCCGTCAAGGCTCTCAAAGGCACTGGCCGGGGTGGCGTGATCACCAAGGAGGATGTCGAGAAGTATCAACCCACCGGCGGTGCCGCCACCGGTCCTACCTTCGAGGACATCCCCATCACCTCGATGCGCAAGACCATCGCCAACCGCCTCAAGCAGTCGATGCACGAGAACCCCCACTACTTCGTGTCCACCACCCTGTCCGTCACCAAGCTCCTCAAGCTGCGCCAGGCCCTGAACGCCTCCGCCGACGGCAAGTACAAGCTCTCGGTCAATGACTTCCTCGTCAAGGCCTGCGCTGTTGCTCTCCTGAAGGTTCCTCAGGTCAACTCCAGCTGGCTCGAGGAGAACGGCCAGGCCGTGATCCGTCAGCACAACACCGCTGATATCAGTGTTGCCGTGGCTACTCCCTCTGGTCTGATCACCCCCGTTGTCAAGAACGTGCAGGGTCTGGGCCTGTCCAGCATCTCCAACCAGATCAAGGACTTGGGCAAGCGCGCTCGCGAGAACAAGCTCAAGCCTGAGGAGTACCAGGGCGGTACCTTCACCATCTCCAACATGGGCATGAACGCTGCTGTTGAGCGCTTCACCGCTGTCATCAACCCCCCTCAGGCCGGTATTCTGGCTGTCGGCACCACCCGCAAGGTCGCCGTCCCCGTTGAGACCGAGGAGGGCACCGTCACCGAGTGGGATGACCAGATCGTCGTGACCGGTAGCTTCGACCACAAGGTGGTCGACGGTGCGGTCGGTGGCGAGTGGATCAAGGAGCTGAAGAAGGTGGTTGAGAACCCGCTCGAGCTTCTGCTGTAAAGCAGAACCCGCCAGCAATCTTCTCTCGTGCCGACTTTCCAGACAATGTAATCTGTATTAAAACGGTTTCCCTTTAGACCACCATAGGTCCCTTGTTTGTGTTTTGTTTTAGCAACTTCAATACATTTCATATGTCCGCTTCCTTTCGCGATCAGCTCGTTGTAGCGATCCGCTTCCGCCTTTTCGAAAGCGTCTGCGTGTTTTAATCATAGAATGCTATTCAATTCAGTTGCTTGACATTTCCACCCAGCAATAGGTTCAAGGTAGAAGGGAAGGCCTTGCCACCACACTCTCCATTCAGGTTGGCGTTCCATTTTTGGTATGCTACCACGAGGCGGGTACCTGATTTGCTTTGTCTCCGGACTCAAATCCCTGGATGTCGGGGTAGTAGGTTTGCAGATGCTCCAGTGGGGTTTGCCTTGGCGCCTAGCCCATGGACGCTCTCGCCAGTAGGACGATCTATCTCTATTGTTCGGATTGGTTGCTGTCGGTAAACTAGGTAAGCACTGGGTTTTCTAGCACTGAAGAACCTCGACAACTACGACCGATGTACATGATAGCCGCCTGCCTGGCTGCATCAGGTGGTGGTTGTAGGTATTGCATGGTATATATTTACCTACCCCACCCTCCCAACGTCTGGATCCAACGAACAGGTCCTCCCTAGCCGAACACGATCCGGGCCTGAGCAATACCTCTACGCACCTGCATCAGGCCAACTTGTCCCCATGCAAACTGTATATTTTGAAGCGGTTTGATAACCCGGAGAGGGAACCTGAATTCGGAGGCGTCTATATGTAGCCGTCCGGCATAGCGCGAACATAGTATGCGTAGGGATAGTTCACCGTTTATCCAATGCCAGTTGATAGAAGGCTACCTGAACCCTAACTTTGTACCCCTAATTTGTATCTATCACAACTATCATGTTGTTTGTGAGTTGCTTGTTGATCTACTGCGACGGCCTCGAGACTGTTGAGTCGGAGCGTGGCAGGAAGAAGCAACGTCAGTGGCTGATCATAACAGGTGACGGTTGGAATCACTTGCCCAGCTCACACCGCGCAGAAGAACAATAGTTCTGGAGAGCTGATCATCAGAGATAGCTCTATTGATATCCTTCCAAAATATGGCCCCGCCTAGATGTGGTCTGAGGGAGAAAGGGATGGGCCACTGGGCGCGTGGCTCCACCCAAAACAGATCAATGACGTGATGTCACCCCGGAAGCTTCAAGGTTGAGCGCAGGCTTCCCTGCCGCTATAAAACCTCACCCCCCGCCGACTTCCCCCCTGACATCGCACGGTGCTCCTTTTTGGTAGGTGATCCTTTGCAAACTTTTCTGTCCCGGCTACTTCCCACAGCTGACGGACCGGCCACCTGCAGAACTAGCATCTCACTCTTCTATCTTCTCCCACCACCATACCACATTCCACACCATGTCTTACGCCGACGCTGCTGCCAAAGGCCCCAAGCAGTCGCCTGAGGAAGTAAGTACACTGTTCATGGCACTCTGCAGGCAAGGAAGTTAACCAGATCCGACAGGCGTAAGTCGTCAAGTCTCATACAAGCTCATCATGTCTCCGTATACTAACTCCACCCGGGGTCCACCCGGGGATCAGCCGCGCTCCCACTGTCGGCGGCGTTTACAAGGATGAGTCCGAGAGCACGGCCTCCCTGATCGATGTAGACTCGCCTCACGTCACTGCGGTCGACCCGAACTTCCTCGACCAGGAGGTCAAGACCACCACCCAGGCGGAACGGTTAGAGCGCGAGGCCGAGGAAGAGGAGGAGGAAAAGAAGAAGAAGCACGCGCGCGAGGAGGCTGAGAAGAACGCCAAGGCCCGCAAGGCGAAGAGCTGCGACCTGAGTGCCAACTCGGACAACCCCGTCTTCATCGCCAATGCTGTGGTGGCCGCTTTGGTTGGTGCCGGCTTGGGCTTGGGCGCCTACCGCAAGCATATGCAGGGCAAGCTGTCGTGGGAGTTGGTTGGTGTGTGGTCTGGGGCAGTGGGGGCCTTTGGCGTAGCGGACTACTTTGTGAGCAAGTAAGTGCAATCCCTAGGACCAGTCGAGGCTGGAGATCAGATGAATAAGGGGCGTGTGTGCAAGGCCTATCGTGCTAATTCGGATCTACAGGTGGTTCCTCCAGAACAAGTACCCTCCCAAATAAGCAGACCGGCGAACTGCGACGAGAGATGTTGACCCTTGCTTAAGTTTTTTTGATTTTCATATACCATCCCAGCTCTTCTGAGATTCGAGATTCTGCATCCCTAGTTGTCTCTTTGGCGAGAACGGAGTCCAGGCCGGATGACCAGGCTGTATCAGTAGCCTCAATGATACCATTCCCAAATCAAAATGTGCCTCCTTGTAGAGTCAAAATATAGAGAGCGTATGATATGGAGTAATCCTAATTTGAGTTGGAGACCGTGAACCTCAAAAGCTCTTGCCCGTCGGGCTGCCTGCCACATCGTGCGATGACGCACTCCGGCAGCGCACCGAAGCTGTGCCTGAAGGCGGTGAGCGATCTAAACAACAAGCTGGCCTTCGCGCGAGGCATGAGTCTCCCCGAGCAGCCCACACTGGACGTCTCTTGCCGGTGCCGATCTGTCTTAGGAATTTGGTGTTCGATGTCAAGCATCCTATAACTGGATTGCCTGTCTCAGAGTTCGCCCTCGTGCGCTGTGAAATCCCCCCCGGGCCTTGACGTGGCACCCGCCACCCCATCGACATGGTATGTACCAGCCGTCCGATGCGCCAGCCCACAGGATGTTTGCTCACCAGGATAGAATTCCCTCTTCAATTCAGCACTCAAGCAGTCATCTGCTGTCCGTCGGGATCTGGACCAGTTGGCACAGTCACCCACAACCTCCTCGCCTGCTCTAAATGGTATGCTGGCGCTCTGTTGCCCTTTCGATGCGCAGCTCACTCCTAACCTGCGATCATTCTCTTTACGTATAGGCCAGATCGCCGCCTCCTTATCCTCATTATCTCGGACCATCGATGACTACTCGGCCCTTTCCAAGAAGGAGTTGATCCCGGAGAAGCAGGCAAAGGCATTTGAGCGGGTGAAGAACTTCCGCACCGAACTGACCGACTACCGGGCGCAGTTCGACCGGCTGCGCAAAGAGCGAGAGGATGCAGTATGTGCATGTTGCACATTAATCCCATCCTTTCTGGAATCCACTGACTCTCCACTTAGCAATCGGTCACCAACCGCAATGAACTGCTGGGCCGCCGCCCCCACCACGCCGCTACGCCCGAGAACCCCTACGCCCAGTCTTCGCTCCCGCCAACCTCCTCGGCGTTTGCGCCCTCCTCTGGCCTGAGCTTTGGGGCTGGTCCAAGCGATCATAACCGCGAAACACACGCCCTGCGCGAACAATCATTCTTTGCGAACACGCACAACCAGCTCGATGACTTTCTCGATCGCGGGCGGGCGGTCCTTGCGGACCTTGGTCAACAGCGGGAGGTGCTGAAGGGCACCCAACGCCGACTCTATAGTGTCGCCAACACCCTGGGTGTCAGTGGGGATACTATCCGGATGGTCGAACGGCGGGCTCGCCAGGACAAGTGGATTTTCTGGGGCGGCGTGGTGATTTTCTTCCTGTTCTGCTGGGCGGTGCTGCACTTTTTGCGATGAGCAGCCGAGTCCATTACTTTTGACTGTAATTTTTTTTGGGGGGCTGGGGTTGATTTTGTATTTCCATCAGCGACGGCGTTCTGTTCATTGTGTTATAACTAGTTGCACTGTCGTTTGGGACTTGTTGGGGCAATCCCATGCGACTCGACTCGGCCAATGCCTGCTATTTTTGTAGCCCGCAGAAAGGTGAAGGGGCAACCACAGCGAAGTTAGCTAGGTCGATGGCCGACGAAAATCACACCTACCATTCTAGGTCGCACCTGGCACGATCATCAATCGGCAAAACGAGCGGCTACCAGCGCCCTGCGCGTGGTGCGTAGTCCCCGCCGGCGCTGATGGGCCGAGCATCGGCCGGGCGGCAGCGCTGTGGAGACGCCCTGATTCTTCCGCTTTTCCTCCCCTTCCTCTTCCTCTTCTCTTCTTCCTTCTCCATCCACAGCATCTCATTTCTGTAGACACCATGTTTGCCGCTCGCCAGTCCTTCAACATCTTCCAGAAGCGCGCCTTCTCGGCCTCCGCTAGCCAGGTATGTCGTTATGCCATTGTGCCATTTCCCTCCCCGTCCCATTTCCTATCCTCGTCTCTCTTTCCTGATTCTTCCGACCACATGGTGTGCTAGCTGCTAACGGTCTCTCCCCCGATCACAGGCCTCTAAGGTCGCCGTCCTCGGCGCTGCCGGCGGCATTGGCCAGCCTCTGTCCCTGCTGCTGAAGCTCAACCCCCGTGTTACTGAGCTCGCCCTCTACGATATCCGTGGTGGACCTGGTATGTGTGATGAAAGCAAACCCCCCATCACAATCCTCCCATCACAATCAATGCCGATCCAGCGCGATACAGCCTACTTCCGAACCGGATTGCTGACCCGGCGCTCGAATTGATTCGCAGGTGTCGCGGCTGATCTGAGCCACATCAACACCAACAGCACCGTCACCGGCTACAACCCCGATGCCACTGGTCTGCGTGACTGCCTCAAGGGCTCTGAGATCATTCTCATCCCCGCCGGTGTTCCCCGCAAGCCCGGCATGACTCGTGATGACCTGTTCAACACCAACGCCTCCATCGTCCGCGACCTTGCCAAGGCTGCCGCTGAGGCCGCCCCCGACGCCAACATCCTGGTCATCTCCAACCCGGTGCGTTGATCCATAGTGGTCCTTCTGGGGTCTTCTGCGGGAACTCGTCCTTGCTGACAATCTTGCTTTTCTTCTTGAACCAGGTTAACTCCACCGTCCCCATCGTCGCCGAGATCTTCAAGTCCAAGGGTGTCTACAACCCCAAGCGTCTGTTCGGTGTCACCACCCTTGACGTCGTCCGTGCCTCGCGCTTCATCTCGCAGGTCCAGAAGACCGACCCCGCCGGCGAGAAGGTCCCCGTCGTCGGTGGCCACTCCGGTGTGACCATCGTCCCCCTGCTGTCGCAGTCCAACCACGCCTCCATCGCCGGTGAGACCCGCGACGCCCTGGTCAACCGCATCCAGTTCGGTGGTGATGAAGTCGTTAAGGCCAAGGACGGCGCTGGCTCCGCCACCCTCTCCATGGCCATGGCCGGTGCCCGCTTCGCCGAGTCCCTCCTCCGCGCCGCCCAGGGTGAGAAGGGTGTCATTGAGCCCACCTTCGTCGACTCTCCTCTGTACAAGGACCAGGGCATCGATTTCTTCGCTTCCCGCGTCGAGCTCGGCCCCAGCGGTGTCGAGAAGATCCACGAGGTCGGCCAGGTGAACGAGTACGAGCAGAAGCTCCTCGACGCCTGCCTCGTTGACCTGAAGAAGAACATCCAGAAGGGTGTTGACTTCGTCAAGGCCAACCCTTAAAAAACCCACTCTTGTATAACAATACCTGTGGCCCGGTTCTTCCCGGCTGGATCGCAGAACCATGGAATATGTACTTTTAGATCGATATGCATGCCATAATCAATATCGGTCTAATCCGCCGTGCACATCCCCGTTGCCCTTGCCTGTAGAGAATACGTTTCCTATTTGATACGCTGGTAGAATTGAATTGGTTCATAATGCACATCGTCAGGTTAGATCAGAGTACGGTTTGATGGGAGATAATTCCGCACAGGCCTACCGCCTCGCGTAGACTCTCGAAACAAAGACCGAAAGCATAAGCAATGATGAAATCTCAATCTCCATGGATGCATCGCGTTGCCGCGGACCTTTGTGTTCTCCATTCTCGCGTTGTTCCCCGTCTCCCCGCGCTGTACCGGACACCAAATTGAAAAATCAGAAAAATCAAGAGAGAGAGAGAGAGAGAGAGAGAAGGGGGAAGGGGGGTGGAGAGAAGAGGGCAAAAAGAAAAGGAAAAGGGTCCCCCGATTAGGTGTAACTGCGCATGGCGTCTAGATAGCCCGTTCCTCCACGCAGATCCTGGTCAAAGGTCTCGGCCACCTCCAAGACTCGCTTGATGTGTTCCATGGAGAGGGGCGAGTTCTCATTGACAGCCAATGCTTGGGCGGTACGAACGGAGTTTTTGATCTACCATCCTTAGTTAGCATCATGTTAAGAATGTTGGCAAGTCACCGCTCTTACCTGGCGACCGTTCAATGTATGCCGTGAAAGCAAATCGTAGTCGCTCTCCGAGAACGACGCCGTCTTAACCCCTTCAATAGCGCGCACCCGCCCCAGGAACATCTTCCAGATGCTGCGCTTGGCTTTTGCGTTCAGATCACCATAGCGCAATGCCACGTGGATGCGGGACTGAAAGGCATCGTCAAAGGTCTCCACCCGATTCGTGGTCAGGAACAAGATGCCCTGGAAATACTCCAGCAGGCGCAGGAAGATGCTGACCAGAGCGTTGCGGTGAATGTCGTGGATCGTGCGCTTCTCGAGGAAGATGTCTGCTTCGTCTAGAAGGAGGACGGCACCCCAGGAATGCGCAATGTCGAGAATCTTGTTGAGCTCAGCTTCGAGCGTGCGAGAGTCCGTTCCCAGCTCGCCGGCGCTGACCATATACAGGGGTCGCCGGAGTAGTTCTGCAATGCCCTCGGCCGTGAGCGTCTTGCCGGTCCCTGGCGGCCCATGCAGGACGGCGACCAGGCCTTTGCCCTTGCCCTGTATCACATCATCGATATTCTTCGCGGCATGGAAGGTGTGGGACTCCACCAGGGCCTTGACAATGGACTTCTGATTGCTGGGCAGCACCAGCGAGTCAAAGGCATCTACATCCCACTCGATCTCGCTGATGCCCGAGATGGTAAACTCGAGCCACAGCTTCTCACTGAAGGCAAAGCCCAGCACGACGGGGCTGGCGATCAGCAGCTCCTCTTCCGTAAACTCACGCTCCTTGTTGTCGGTGGCGTCGCCTTCGATCCGGTCCATCTTCTCCTTGTGGATCTCGTTGCCACTCTCGTCTACTTCCACCTCGACGACTCGCGGGATCCCATCCTCGCCCTCGATGACTTTGTAGACCGTTCGGGGGGTATCGGAGGAGCACCCACCCTCGGAGTCGGATTCGGATCCGCCCCCGCAGCAGCACGCATCGCTGTCGTCATCTTCGAGATCGCTTAAGTCCGCCTCCGATGCATCTAGGAGGTCTGGATCTTTGGGACGGACTGTGCTGATGGGGTAGTTGGGATTGATGCGCCGGTGGATTGCTGGATCGATCATGACGCGGCCGTTGATGTTGACTTTGATGACGAACGAGCGCTTCTTCTTATAAAAGGCCATGCCCTTGTGGAAGCGGTAGTTCATGCCGCGCAGGGACACGAAGCGCTTGCCCCGTTCGATCAGACGCGATCGCAGCGCGTCGGGATCACGGTGGTATTGCAATGGGTAGCAGGCCAAACTGGTGATCTTGCGGGCTCCTTTGAACGATTCCACCTCGGCGGACATGTTACCAAATCCAAAGTCCTTGCCATCGTACTCCAGGTATCGGCCTTCCACGCTATACCATTGGCCCTTCATGAACGAAGATTCTTTGATCGCATACTCGATCTTGAAGGCGCGCGGCTCGTCCGAGTTTCCATACGTCGGAGTGTATGCAATGGTATTCGGTTTGAAAAGGGCCCACAGCAGGTCGAAGGTGATGGTGTTAGCCTCCAGCAGTGGGTAGAGCGTTTTCTTGATGTCGGCGTAGTCGATGTCTAGGTACTTCACAAGCACCTTCAGATGAGCCGCTTTGGCCGCTGCCATCTTTCGTGCCTTCCTTTTCTTCTCGCTGCGCGACTGCTTTTTGAGCTCCTTCAGGTACTGCCGGGTTTCTTCCAAGTACAGAAACAGCATGTTGGGGTCGACGATGGCAGGCTCCTGCACCAGACTAACGCCCTTGACGCCATCCATGACCTTGGCGAGGGCATCGCGGAGATACTTGCTCTTGATATCGACCACTGTTTCCAGGTACTTGTTTTCCCAGTTGAATTTGCGCCGCACGGTGAAGATGTACTGGTCCCACTCGTCGGCATCGGGGTCATCAACCGTTTCGGTGAGCTTGTACTTGTGGATGGTGCTATCCCAGACTAGAGATGATTCCCACCGCGGTCAGTATCCAATGGGGAAGAGCTGCACTGGGAGAAAGGGAGGGGGAAAGGGAAATGAAATGAGGAAAACGCACGCTGATCGACTCGCTTGAAGGCCACCTTGGATGCCGGCTTCTTTTTTCGCGATCGTTTGTCCCGCCGACTGTCGCCGAGTGAATCGAGCCCTCCCAGCTCGTCATGGGCCGGGCCGCGCAGGCGCTTGGCCCGCTTCTGCAGCCTCAGACGAGCGACCAGCTTGCGCAGGGCCTTCTCATCCACGGCTGTGTCCACCTCGGCGGAGTCATCGGATTCGGAGTCGGAGTCACTGCTTGACTCGGTCCCGGAGTCGGACGGGGGCAGCTTACGCGAGCGCAGCTTTCTCTTCTTCTTCTGCTTCTTCTTGTCTCGCAGGGCTCGCTTTGCCCGTGCCTTGGCTCGGAGTCGGTGGCGCTTCCGGTGGTCTGTCTCTGATTCGCTCGCGATGGAGTCGGAGTCGGAATCGGCATCATCGGAGTCGGAGGACGTGCTGGTTCCCGAGGAGGAGGAACCGGACTCGGAGGAGGAGCTCTCAGTGGTGACATGCTTCTGCCTGCTCCGCCGTTTCTTTTTCTTTGGCTTTTGAGTTTCTTTTTTGGCGTCGTGTTTCTTGCACCCGGCGGCTCCTTTGGGGGCCTTCTCCGCAGGGACGGTTGGGGCCGCGTCTTTCGTGACTTCCGGAGCGGGTGGCTGGGCAGAGCCGTTAATGTTGTCGGTGCAGGGTTCGGCCTCATCCTTGGTCTCCCCCGAGTCGATCGGCGGTTCAGCCATGGCGGGGAAGCTTGGGGAAGCTCGAGTGGGGAACCGGCGGGTGGAACGAGTGGAACCGCTTGGGAATGGAGGAGCTCGGGGCACGAACCAGCAGGTCACAGAGAACGGGTATGACTCTGTCGAGCATCCGGTACTGAGGCGAGAGAACGGAGGGGCGCTCCCATGCAAAGCAGCGAGGAAGAGGAAGAGGAAGAGGAAGAGGAAGAGGTGGAGGTGGAGGAGGTGGCGGTGGAGGTGCCGAGTTGGACAGAACGGTGCAGTGGGTGAGACTGAGGGGATCTGGGGATATTTAAGATATTTAACAGCGTGGTGTCGCAGTCTGGAGTCAGTCCGCAGGCATCACCAGAGCTGCAGCCTGCAGACAGCTGCAGAGCAGGCCGTCGCCAGTCGGCCAGAGGCCAATCAGCCGGCCCCACGCGGTGCGCGATGCGCTGGCCCTCTCAGCAGTGCCCGGAGAGCTGCGAGGGCTGCGACAGCCCGGCAGAGACACTGGTGAGGCCCGATCTTCAACAGACGCCTCGCTTTCACCGCGGCTTGTCATTTGTGGAGCAAAGCGCTGCGGCTCCGCCTTGTTTGCTGGCGCCGAGCTCGTTACACCGACTCAGATGGTTTGCCTCGACTCTTCTGCCGTGGGGGGCCTTCTCTAGAGTCAACGGCGAGGGGCTCGCCGGGATGGGATGCTGATGGTGGTCGAGCAAACGGTGCTGGTCGCATTGTCGCATTGGCGATGCGTCTATCGAACCGTCATCTTTGCTTTGCAACTCACCTCCTATGGTCTATAATGGTCTATACGCCCTCATGACCAGGAGAGCACCGGAACGAGCCCCGATCGAGGCGCCAAGTCCGTGGTCAGCTGGCCGTGGACAGCTGGCCGTGGACATCACAGACGCTCCTCGAAGTATACCACATAGACGAATCCCACACTCCTCTACGGAGGACCTTGAGTCATCGCGAGGAGAACTCTGTTCTTCCCTGCACCGCGTGCAACGATGAGAAGCATCTCCATGCTCCATTCTAACTGACTCGATGGCCTGGTTGCGGGATTCTCATTTGGCAGCAACGCCATATATGCCCTACGCTGGCTGCAGCGACGGCCATCCAGGCAGAAATACCGGCAAGATCTACTGGCCTGCCTTCTTCAGCTTTCAACGCCCCCCGGAGAGCCTACGGGCAGCCCCATCCCCCAGCGGGTGGCGGAGTCCCCTCGTCGAAACTAGGGTCCCCCGTGTTCTTGCTGGACCCCGTGAGTTGAATGCCCATCGGGTCGCCAGGTGATGTGGTCTGTCGAAACGAAGCTGTCCAGATGGTACCAGTGCATTGCCATGGGCCGGATTGACCGTACAGAGCTGATGAGTGTACCAGATCTGGTCGATGAGTTCGCCATCCAAATGGACCCGCCCGTGTAGCCTCGGAGATCCTACGCCGGGGCTACTGTAAACTCGATCTGAAGGAAAATCAGGGCGGGCTACGTTCTTACCAAAGTCCTCAGGGACTGATGAAGCTCCATAAAAAGTGGCCCCTTCACCCGAGAACTGTGTCAGAGCCCGTGCATTGGAGGCCGAGCCCGTGACCGGATGAACAAGGGCGGGAATCTCGGTCGCGCGAGGCTGGGGCCAGGAGATGCTGCTCATGAAGACAACACGACGTGCGTACGCCAGCGGTGCTAGCAGCAGAGAGGGAGTCAATACATTGAAGTATGCACGGCACGGCCTTGGAAGTGTCCCGCAAGATTGTCTGCAGGAATATCACCGCGATTTGGTTCCGACAAACAGATTGCCATATTGCTCAAACCGCATGCCGCGCAGTATTAAAGACATGGGGAGGGGAACTTGGGACCGTCTCCCTATGGTCTTCTCCACAAGAGCAATACTGTCATCTAGGAAATCCAATGTGGACCTCGCATATCCATCTTCTCGGGCCACACCAAGCAGATAGGAAGGCAGTGATGGAACACCCTGGCTGATCGACGGAACTACGCATTGGCCGACGGGGAATTTGGATGATCAACACTCCAGCACCCTTTGTCGGAACAGAATGTGGGCTGCGTTCTGCGGCAGACTCTATGCGTCGACACCTGTTGCTACCCCCAATGCCTGACGGGGAATTCCTTGCGTGGTAGCCCCGCTGAAGCAGCCTTGTTTTTGCCGCTTGGACGCAGTCCCTAGACCCAAGACATACGATATCTGGTCACCGATCTATGGACTCGCGGACGTACCGACATGGAGTGTGGTAAGAACACCTGCACTTGTCGTCGAAAGGCAGATTCGGATAATCAAGCAAGGTATGTAGTACCCAATTTTAGTTGTAAGAACGCCGGCAAGATTGGACGCCAATGTAAGGGAAAAGACCATAGATGGCGGATGACTGCCCCTTTTGACCGCCGAGTTAGCTTGAATGGCGTGAAACCAGCTGGGAAGAATCTCAACTGGTGTATATCTCTCATCAGTTCTCCCTGTAAACTGTATCGTAGAGTGGACAAACTGCCTGATGAGCGCTTGGTGGACGCCGACGAAGCAGCATACCAGACGCCAGCGACAATCTGTGGAAGATCGGCTGTTCTGTGGCTTGGCCCTACGACCACTTCAGGCTGAAAATAAAAATAACCAACAGCCAAAGGAAACTACGGGTAACGCGATAATGTGCCTTTCAATCCACAAATGCGGTCAGCTCAGCTTGTCGAAGTTATGGAAACGACCGCTGCAGGAATAATATCGGCCCTCAACTTACTCTATATGTGAAACTACCCTATTGTAGTGCCTGACATCTACGTATCACCCCAGGAATGAGAGCAGTTAGACCTTCCATAGCACCTCAAATTGGAACCTCCCAGTTTTCAGACTAGCAATAACCTTGCCGGGGATGAAAGCAAGCGAGTTTGGTGTTGCGCTGCAGATGAAGGAGCCCATATTGAACTACACCACGGCGGACAAGGTGGAATTTGCATTGAGCAGGGTGTAAAATTTCCCAAATCCCAACAAGAATGCATGATTAGTAAATATGCCGTAACATAACGGCCGATATCGTTCGCCGCCTGAAAACTGCGGATATGGCGGTCGATCGGATAAATATATTCTTCAATAAGGATTGTCAGCTCCGGGAACCGACCACAAGTGTTACCTTTAATTATGATGTCGCAACAAACATGCTAATGAAGATGGAAGTCATCAACAGCGAGCTTGAACCCTGAGGGTGCTGAAGAATAGCTTGGCAAACCCAAGCACATTGGCAGAATACCGGGCTCGTCGCCCCAATATCTTTCAGCAAGTTCGACTTTGGGCATTTGATGGCCGAAGACAGGTTTTGCCAGAGTTGATGATGACACCGAAAAGTTTGGATGAAGCTTGAGCGGCACAATGTATAGAGGACGATGCAGGGCAGGGGGGTAAGAGCTTCCAGTCAACCAACATTAATTCGGGATGACCGAGGTAACCTTCAACTGCTAGGCATTGAGAAAGTAACTACGCTTTGAGCACAAGACCACTTGTCTCAGTTAGTTACCTTCGGATTTTGGGTTGAACAGGATTCACCTGTAATCAAACCCTTGTATGGTAATGTGAGAAATCAATATTTCGTCTATGAATCAAACAAGCCTGGCTAAGCTTTCTGCCCCGCTCTTCTACGTCATGATACACTCAGCCCTCTTAGGTTTGAAGATCCCAAAGGCCAATGACATGATTGCAGCATAGGCCAGAATCTCCTGGTGGGGATTGATGGCGGGCTGGGCTACTGTTTATGTATGTCTTCTCAAATTTCGGATTCAGCAAACCTATGTGATGAATTGAGGTCATTTTGTTTCTTGTCCGCCCCATCTTTTGATAATTAAAAACAGCGAAAGCCAGAGTAACCGTGAATAGAGAAGAGAGGATATCAGGGGAACACATCTCAACAAGAGTAATAGTCAATATTAACATCAAATGTATGAGCTGTCCTCTCTTACGGCTGCTACTTTTCCGTTGTAGGGATTATGTGTCGATGACGACAAACGGGGCTGGAAATATTAGTGATGCATTTCCTCGACCACACACATACTTGTTCGAACATAGATAGTAATGTAATTAGTTTACTGTAGTCCGAGCTGAACATGTTCTATGTATTTCAGTGAATACTATGATGGTCTTTTTTTAGTAATGCCGAGCTTAGTTTAGTAGTTCGCCCGGGTAATTAAACGATGACGTCGTTACCAAGCCACAGTGGTCATCTAGGCATCCACATTTACGCATAATACACCAATCAATAATTCGCGAGTCGATTTATCAAGTTTATTTGCATGAGAAAATACCATTAGTTTGGCATTGATAACCCTTTGCGTCACCGTAATCCTCATCCATGGCGCCGGCAATATGTTACCTAACCTACGGGGACCCGATGGCACCAATTTTCTCAACCATATTGATTACTCTGACCTGCTTATTGTGGGCTACTCGTTGATTCTAGCTACCGGGATCACATTGATTCATCGACAGCACCAGGGTCCGAATCACGATCCTCACACTATGATCACCGACAAGGTCTATAAGTGGTGCAAACAGTCAGCAACGGTAACCTCAGAGTTAGGAGAAGATCCGTCTCAATGCCCAACAAAGGTTTTCAAGAAGCTGTATGAGAGCCATGATCACGATTTGCACTCAAACGAATCTGGCGACTCGCTAGGGATCTCAGCGGATGGGACTTCTTCCTTCGAGCAAATTGACCACCTACAGAGAGCCCTTGCTTGCGGAAACTGGGGACCATCAGAGCCAAGTGAATTATTCCTGACGGTGAGGCTCGGTCTCTGATTATCTATATCAAATCATTCAAACCAAAGCTGATCAGAATTGGAATCAGATTTACGGCGACGCAATCAGCTCCTTGGAGAAAAGCCCAACGTCAGGTGTAGTTTCACCTCCCCTGATGGGAAGTACAGGGGTGGTTCCTTTGACTATTGTGGCGCCTTTGCCGGACCTCTGTCGGCATCTAGCCAACTGCATAGCTCGAGCCAAATACGAGGTTTTTCTAGCGACAAACTTTTGGATTCACTCGGACGCTTCGACGCTGGTGACTAATGCCATCAAGGAATTGTCAAAGAGAGCTGGGCAACGTGGGGAAAGAATTGTCATGAAGATGGTGTATGATCGGGGGGACCCGCGCCAGGTTCGTTGCCCTTATATTATCTTCACGAATACATCCTGATTCTGAGAACTAGGCATGGGAAAATCGATTGAGTGTCCCCGAAGATCAGTATTCTGGGGGGAAAGTCAGATTACCTTCAGCTGAAGATATTCCAAACGTCGATCTTCAAGTCATCAATTTCCACCGACCGGTCTTTGGTACATTCCATTCAAAGTTTACTGTTATTGACCGACGCATCGCTCTTTTACAAAGTAGCAACATTCAAGATAATGACAATCTTGAGATGCTTACTCATATCGAAGGACCCATAGTGGATTCATTCTATGACGCGGCGCTGCTGTCGTGGGGAAACCCCCTTGACCCCCCATTCCCCCTTTTGAAATCCGCTGCTAGAAATGCGCCGATCCCTTGTCAGGAACCTGAGGGTGCCGGACTATCCTTGAACAAAGAGACCGATATCCTTGCAGAGCATACAACGACCTCTCCATGCTATGACATCAACCTCGAGCAAGAAGCTCAAAGAATTAACGGCAGGATCTATTCCTCGGGAGAGGGATCACGGACAGGAGGTGTTACTCGTCATCTGAGTATGCATCATTAGCTCTTTCTGAAGAACGCGAAACATAATTCAGGGTTGACGTGTACATAGACACCACAATACAGCCTGATACAATTGGTGATTCACCAGAAATTGACCAAGACATCGAAATGACCCCATACATGACGCTGCCTGAGCATGAGCCGGTAGCTATGGCTTTAGTCAACAGAGAGCCTTACGGAGGTAAGCTAAAAGATTTGATTTACCTTGAAAAAATGGGCATGCCAGTGGCAGTTTACCAAGCCATCTTTAGCTCCCAATCATAATAGCATTCATACACCTCAAAATGCGGCATGGCTATCAGCAATCAATAGCGCGCGGCGCTCAATATTCATACAGACTCCCAATATGAATGCAGAGCCGCTTCTCCAGCCCCTTCTAAATGCTATTCGTCGCGGTGTTGTTGTCTCCTGCTATTTGTGTTTGGGCTACAACGATGCAGGAGAATTATTACCTTTTCAGAATGGGACGAACGAAATGTTCGCAAACAGGTTATACAATTCTCTCAATTCTGATGAGGAGAAAATGCGTCTTCGGGTGTTCTATTACGTTGGCAAAGATCAAACAAAGCCAATCCACAATCAGTTTAAAAAGCGAAGCTGTCATATCAAATTGATGATTGTTGATGAGCAGATTGCGATCCAAGGTCTGTCAGAAGCATAAGACTCATCGGCTAGCCTCAATTAACCAAAGGCGTTCACAGGCAACGGGAATCTCGACACCCAGTCTTTCTTCCACAGCCAAGAGATCAATATCTTGATTGACTCGGCAATGATTTGCAAGAAGTGGCTTGACATAATAGATCGCAACCAAAATACAGCTAAATACGGTGCTGCTAGCATTGCGGATGGTTGTTGGCACGATCCTACTACTGGTCAAATTCCACCAGGTTCTATCGGTATTAACCCGGGAAGATTTAGCTGGGCACGTGGAATTGTTGGTGTTGTGAAGCGAGTGAGAGGGGTCGGTGGATTCTAGCACCGAGCTTAGTCTTTTTGTCGGGTGCCCTTTTGAGAGGAGTGAATGCAGTAATTAAACATTGATTGATATGCCGATAGTCCTAATGTGTCAAGGTTGCTCTCTTGATCTAGTTCCTGGAATGTGCGCTTCCGGGGAGCAGTACTTTACGCGCAGATCTATAGATGACGTGGTCCAAGCTTGGTAACTTTCTGTCCATAATCGTGCAAAGCATAGTATTGGCTCTAATGAACCTTGTTGCATTCCAACCTAACATTTTGTAGATAGCCAAAATTGCCTAGCTGTCTTTTAATAGTGCAAGCGTAAGGTTTCGGTTTTTTATCATCAGATTTCCCCCACGGGGTGCTTTATCAAAAAGGAAGGATCGTCATGACTGCCTTGGCCTGGCTGCCTGGGTGGCATAGAGCTAATCTATATTCTGGTACCTTCTGAGCCGCGGACGTTTGTGGTCCATTATTGCTACCCACGGAGAAAAACCCAACGATTGAAAACGCGCGCTTTGTATACCAAGCGCATTTAGTCGGCCCTCAATAGTAATTGACTGGCGGGGCAGCCACGATTGGATTCATCAGATAAATACCAATTACGACACCTGCTCAATTCCCCTTCGGAAGAAAGGATGTAAGTCCGGCACTGATAAATTCGGGAATACCACAAATAAAGCCCCAGGCTGTCATTTTGACGCTTTATGGATGCTAGCACCTAAAGGCGGGCAAAATGATTCTGAGAGTCCCGAAAGGAATGCGCAGAAGTACTGACATCGGCTGCCCAAACTCAAGCGATGAAAGTCGGTAAATATGCAGTTACAACTCCGTTGGAGACCGCTTGCTGGAACGAGGAGGGTTGATCTCAACTTTTAACACTGACCCGTGTGTGTTTGAATGATTCTGTCACGAATATGTTTTGAATAGGATTAGTATCAATAATTATCTAAAGTACGCAGCGCTAGCTTGATATACCCTTAAGCCTTATAGTGACTGACATGCTTCAAATCCCGAACACATTTTTAGGCGATGCACATCTAATCTCTTGGTACTTAATGCAAAGGAAAGATTGAGCAAAGGTATGTACTTTTGACTTGACTCAACTCTTTCATCCTTAATTTCATGGCAACTATAATTATATAGGCAATACTTATCACAATAACTAACTGGAGTCTGGCCCAGCGTCAATGTAAATTTAGTACGGATCGCCCAAGCCTCAACTGGGGCTGAGTCTGGCAAGACACTCTAGTGAACCAACACTCCATCACCCCTGGCTTTCATCAAGATACCAAGAATGAGCAAAGATCCATAACTCGTTACATTTCATTCATTTGCACATTTGGAGAGGCGCGTAGGATAAACTGGATGTAATCAATAGCAGAGCGCTAAGGGATTTCGATAGCGCATAGCTTGCTGCGCAAATCACCGCGTGTTACAAGCAAGCAAAATGAAGTTGCTCAACAGGATCATATCGATTTAAAAATGGAATGATTGTCAATGGGTCTCCAAATACACACCGGCATATCGAAACTCCGAAGATTTCTGTCTTCGGCTTAACTTCCATTCTGTAAAGACTGACTCGATTTGATGATCCCTCCTCCCTCATTCCGCAACTAAGCCATTATGACTAGATTCTCTTCCTGCCTTTCTCCCGGGAATGATAAATACTTAGCACTGATTCCGTAACCTGCGATGCTTTACCACCCGCCTCCCCAGCCGCCTCTCCATCCGCCGCCTCCCCAGCCGCCTCCCCATCCAGGGTGTCCCCACCCCCCGTGCCAACCGCCGCCCCACCCAGGGCCCCATTGGTTATTCTGATTGTTGACTTGGGCCTCTTCAGCTCGTTTCATCATTTCTGGACCTAGAAAACCCCATGAGCTACATAAATACTTAAATTTAGATGATGTCACAAACCAGGCTCGGGGCCAGGTGCAGGACTCGCCAGAGCTGTTCCCACAAGACCAACTAGAGCAGTCAAATAGCTGAGATGCATGGTTTCGTTGGAACAATACTTTTATTATCTGCTCACTGTCCCGTTAACACCGGAAAAGTGAAATGGAAAAGGATGTTGGAACTCTGACCACGTTATCTTGAAAGCCAATTGATGAGGTGATTTGGCAGGCTGCTTTCTAGATGAATCTCGGAGGAGACGAGACCATTTTATACCTTTCATGTCAGGCTTGAACATCGATAACCCCAGCCAGGCCTTTATACTCCCATGTTAAGCACGCATAGTAGTCCTGGATATCCTCCGAGTGCTTGGGAAACATAAATAGTTAGGTAGCCAGTCACCGCATGTCCCATCCTCCGACGTTCACATATAGAACGAGCAAGCTAACTGATCGGTCCAACTACACTAACCCTAATCACGGTGATGCAAATAGATCACTGGCGTGTTTGGTATATTTCCCTTCTAATACCTTCTGCCCATTAAGCGTGGAGTATTAGCAACAAATTTCTTCTAAAGGCACCATAAACTCTGCTTTACAACAACTGAGAATAATCAGTGATTGAATGTGGGGGTAAATATACCGGCCATCTGCCCTTTGATGCGTCAACTAACACCTAACATGCAATCTCACTACCATCGATCATGGATATATTTTCTTTGTGTTGATCTATAATTTATCTACGGGGGTAGATACTGAGGGTGTTAAACCAGGCTGTCTAAGTCATTTGCCCTCCAAAGAGAAATAACGAATAAGCACTTAATTGCTTGACCTTGTCTTACATTAGATTATGAATCCCGAAGATACGTGTTTTCATTTGTCCCGTACGACGTGGCTAGGTGATCCTCTTGAACCCATTGCCTACGCACGAGGTCTGGTGAAAGAAATATTCTGACCTATCGTCAGCCATGATGGAAGTCGTGTCAGAGCCATGGAATGTATCCTTGTGTTCTGACTATATCCTTATGTATCCTACGTAGATATGAAGAATGCTCTAATAACACTATATATGAAAAGTTTACACGGTCAAGGATCACTGATCAGCCAACAAAAACCTTGAGGAGAGAAGTAAATGTAGCCTTAACATTGGTAATCAACCAAAATCACGTCAACTAAAACGGCAATCAATCATGCTTGATAACTCTGTGAGTCTGAATGGGAAAGGTAGCTCATGATATCCTGCATGACTTACTAGTCAAAGGCCAAAGCGACATTGTGGCTCTTCATGTATAATCTATCTGTCCGAAGGGAGCATGAAGAAAAATCCCCGACAGTCTCGGAGAGTATATCGAACCAAGCCAATGGCGGCAGATCCTACTATCCGAATTCAAGTTACTCTGATATTGAAGGGATATGGCTGTTGACGAGGGCTGTCAATTCAGCTTCGTGAGACAGCCCGCAAGTGGCTAACTACTCCTTGCTCGAACAAAGTCAGCCGACCAATTGTAGGCATCTCAGGTCAGCTCCGACCTCTCAGCTTCCACGAGCTGAATAGATAAAGCCGGGGATATGCCTCTGCCATGATAGCAAGAATATAAGTCCCGAGCGGACGAATGCGACTGGAAGAAGAATTGTATTATTCACCACTGCCCAGAAGTCGAATGCTGTCCATGCCCCATTTAGTGGTGTTTTTTCTTTGTGAATTCGTGTCCAATGCTATACTAACGAACGGGATCTCTGGTAGAGCCGCCAGCCACTCACAATCCCCATACTTCGGGACAGATGGAAATAATTGATAGGTGACTACAGTGTATGTATCCAACAAATGGACGCGCACCCCTGGATGCTGAAGAAACTGCGAATGTGCTCTTTTCGAGATGCTAGCCATTACAATTGCTGAATATACTGATGAGATTCGTCTGTAACCCGAAGATCCACATTCTTCTAATATCTGTCGATTCGATTGTTGCCATGCCTTAGCAGGCCCGACCGCCCGACCGCCCAGCTGCGGAAGGTGGAAGACACGACATGCTGAAGAACGACTCTTTGCTTCTTCACAGTTTGCGGAAGCCAAGGAGCCGAGGGAACTGAAGATCTCCTGCACGAAGCGTTTAGCGAGATTCTCGGCCGCACCACTTGGGGGCCGAACGGAACACAACCAGTCTACCGAGAGGATGTGGACATTCTGATTTACTCCTGGATAATCGTAACACCCCCTCGCCATGCTTTCCACGGTGCACACAGTGAAGGACATCGGTCCACTTGTTAAGGTGGCCGTTTATCGCTTCATCATGCGGAGGAACTGTTCCAGGATGGATCAGAGAGGTCCAACGCGAAACTTCCTGCCGTTCTTCTCAAATATGGAGTCCGAAAGACCCGTATACAGCATAGGCAAATGAAACACTCCAGATGGATTCGGCTTATATGAGGATTCCCACTTTGTTGACGCTTCACTGCCAGATGGGAAATGATACTGGTCGTCGCACGGCGCAACGCTTGTGGCTGCCGATCTTGAGAATTTGGTTGCGTCTCTGTCGCGCGTCGCACTGACAATTGGACAAGACGATCAAAGCCGCTCTCAATCCAAGCGTCGGGAATTAATAGACCCAGGCATCTGCAGCTGCTCATTTGCAAACCTCCGACGGAGCGAAGTGGAGGGAGGGCGCCCGGAAGCCCACTCTGTATGACTTCCTCCCAGTGACTTCAGTATTTAATATTCTGGGACACCTTGCACCTCAGGTCCGTGGAAATTATTGAGTCCACTTTGCCAACCTGGATCGCCAATCGTCGTCCAACATACCCCTATGTGAGATGACAGCGTCCAGCTGCTTCGCCAATCGACTTACCTCATCCTTTGTCTCAAGCGATCAGCTCGACTGGTACCCGTCAGATTGTCTCGGACTCGGCCAATAAAAAAAGGGGTCCACCGAAATTGCGCAACACAGTGGCACAGCCTTCGCTCAGCGACCGTTCGCACAGTGGGGAGGTGGCCATCATCAGAACCTCATCGGTATCTTCTATTCATCCAGAGCCAGGAGAATGCCGAGCAACTATCACCACACGGGAGTCTTGATTTACACATCGGAGCCGATGGCCTACAGAAATTTGAATTCGCCGACTACTCAGAAATCGCCTAAGAAGCAGCCCTTTGACTGGAATGGCTCTTGGGTATGGGAAATTTGTGGATCCGCTCTGGGGGTAATCTCCCTTGGCCTTCTCGTTGCGTTTTTCGTCGACATTGATGGGACCGATGATCGCTGGCAATACTCCTTCTCTCCTAATATGGTTGTTTCTATCATTACCGCCATTCACAAGGCTGCGCTCTTAGTCACTGTATCTGCGACGATCAACAGAGAACGAAGCAGGAGGATGAGATTGCCGGAATAAGATGCCAGGGGATGGAAATACAGGAGACGCAGGCGGCCGAACTGGGAAGGGCGTGGGAGACACAATAGGCGTTTGGTTACCGTTACTACATGGGTTTGGGGGATTTAATATGGCAAAAATGCTGTTCCTTGTGTATATACTGTTTCATGCACGAGGGCTGGCGTTCGGAATGCTCTTGCTTCCGCCGGAGAAAGCGCCTGCATAGCCATATGACACTAGTTATGCTGTATTAGGTTAATAGAGTATCATCGTCATTATCCCCTGAATCTATGAGTTCACTGCGTGGAGCTTTGGTATGTGATTCTTATGAAGTGCCTTCGTTTAGTATAGTATATCGAAGTGAAAAATGAGCGTACAGACGAAGAGTGTTCCCTATAATGCATTTTGGTCTACCGGTTGTATTGCTATAATTGTGCGACATAAAAGGCTATTCCCACCAAGGGAAGACCACATGACTCAGTATTAGTGCGAAGCTATCATGTTCATGCGTGCGGTGGCGAAGGAGGCAGTCAGGCACAAGAATGTTTCGCACACTCGGCATCTGCAGAATCGCGATATGACATGGATTGTAAGCGCTTGCCAGGATTTGTTATGAAATGTGTATTATAATAATTCTAAACAAAAACTCAACATAATTTCATGCATCGCATGACTATAAGATCATATATAGCATAGAGTAATGGCGGGTTCGAACGCATTCGAGGTTCCGAGATCCACGCTGATTGGGCCGTGCCTTGACACACATCCGTGCACCAAAACCTGCTTTTGAACCAAACCGACCGTCAAAGGACTCGGGTAAAACCGATTCTTTCCGCCTGTCCATAGATGGGCGAAGATCAAATCTTCGGATGCTTCAATATGGCCGCGATTGTAGGTCCTGATTCCCATGCGCGTTACCGCCTGGCGCAAGAACGCGAGTTTCGCAAGTAATGATGAACTACGTCATATGAGAGATTGATAAAGGCTGACCATGAGGCCCTCCCCTCGCCGTTAGGTATATACCGCGCGAATGTTCTGCGTCGCAGTTCGCTCCTTTCGATCATGCTAGTCGCCAGACTTTCACTCCACAGCCGTCGCCAGACCCGGCCTTAACCGTGTTTGCCCAGCTCGGCGCCATCCGCGTCGGAACCCAACGGGCCCTCGTCAGCCTCTTCGATCGCACTGACCAACATATCCTCGCGGAAGGTACGCCCTCAATAAATCTCGTTGGTGGAGGTACCCAGGATGAGCGTGACAAGCTGCTGCTGGGTTGCTGTGTGCTCCCTAAAGAAAGGGGTCTATGTCACCATGTCGAGGGCCAGCCAATCTCGGCGTGCATGCAGAGTGACGAGTCAGTTGACAAAGGCGCCTTGGTCGTTGCGGATGTGACCCAAGATCCACGTATCAAACGGAGCAAGCTGCTGGACACGCTATCGAACGTGCGATTCTTTGCCGCTGTACCTCTCATCAGCCCTCGGGGGCTCACAATTGGTTGTTTCAGTGTAATGGACAACGATGCCAGGCCTTCCGGTCTACCAGAACACTCTCTTCAGTTCATGAAGGATTTAGCGGGTACCATTATGAGGCACCTGGTGATGGGCTATTTTACCCACAAAAGTCGCCAGTCTGAACGGATGCTTGTCGGCCTGGGCAGTTTCAATGAGGGGAAAGCCACGCTTCGCAGTTCCTGGCAAGAGGTCAATGCGGAAAATCTCGGAGAATCGAAAGAAGGGCGGGTCAATCGCCAGCAGCAGCTTGCACAAGACAATGAGGAGGAAAATCCAACCACTCTTGTCTCGCCGGGCCCACAAAAAACAGAGGCCTTCTTGGGACTGCAATTGAACGAGAGCGGACTTGAGATAGACCACAGCCAAAGTTGTGTGGTCGAGCTTGAACCGACGGGTAAATCTATCCGAAGCGTGCTTACTGGTGAAGGTCCTCAAGAAGACTCGCACGAAAACAGTGTTAAAGAAGTTTTCTCACGAGCAGCAAACTTGATCCGGGAGTCCATTGGAACTGAAGGAGTGGTCTTTCACGATGCGCAAAGCGGTCGCTTTACAAAAACGGATGGTCAAATGGGCCACAGGAGATCGGATCCTGGCATTAACAACGATCCTTCAAGTAGTGATGAAAGCACTGATTCCGGCTCACCGATCAAGCGTCAGTCGACGTCTACTGGCCAGGAGACAGAAGAAGATAGTTCGCCCCTGTCCATATGCTTGGGTTTCTCAAGCTCGTCAAAATCCAGCATCAACAATGATACAGAGACTGGCCCGCCCTTTATGGTGCATGAGGCCCTGTTAATCGCACTTCTTCGCCGATACCCACGTGGAAAGATATTTACATATGATGCCAACAAGTGTGTATCTGATGAGAGCGATGGCAGCTCCCGAGAGACTCCTGGAGTCGATCCCCAGATGCGTCCCCATTTGCGACGGTCGTTCAGCAAGAAGAGCAGATCAACTTTCCAGAAAGACGCCCAACACCTGATCAAAATTCTGCCTGCAGCCCGGAGCATTCTACTGTTGCCGATATGGGACTCTGACAAACGAAAGTGTTTCGCTGGAACGCTGGTCTGGACGAATGACCCCGAATTTGTCTTCACGTTCGAGAACGAAATGATGTATCTTTCGGCCTTTGCAAACAGCATCACGGCCGAAATCAATCGTCTGGATGTGGAAATGGCGGACAAGTCCAAGACCAGGCTGCTCAGCAGCATCACTCACGAGCTCCGAACTCCCCTGCACGGGATCTTGGGTACTGCGGAGATTCTCAGCGACACGGCCATGAACGCTTTGCAGCATGGTATGGTTCACACGATTGAGTCTTGTGGCCGTACTCTCCTGGACACCATCAACAATTTGCTGGATCTCGCCTTCCTTGGTGAGAACAAGAATACTGGTGGCAGGGATTCGGGAGAGAAGCAGCGTCACTCACCCGCCAGCTCGGATGGCGGGCATCGCGAGCGAAGTAAAAGTCGCGGCGAAAAAGCTGCATCATCGCAGATCAAGTTGGATGCGGTGCTTGAGGAGGTCACCGAGTCTGTCTTTGCAGGATACAGCTTTTACAACCACCCCAAGATGCCGCCGCCCGCTTTGACTGATTCCTCATCACGCTCAGCCGGTAAAACGAGCACGTCGGATCAGGTTGGCCCGGGAGCCAGCGAGGTCACCATTATTTTTGACATCCAGCCCGAGACGGAGTGGGTATTCAACACCCACGCGGGTGCCTGGCGTCGCATCTTGATGAATGTCTTTGGCAATGCACTGAAGTACACAAAGACGGGCTATATTTACCTGGGACTGAAGGCATCCGAGAAAAGCGTCTCTCAAGACAAGACAAGGCTGAATTCATCATCAGAAGAGCAAGATGTTGAGTTCGAGGTCACGCTTAGTGTTAAAGACACCGGGAAAGGCATTGGGCCCTCGTATCTGCAGAAGGATCTCTTTACCCCTTTTGTACAGGAAGATTCATTGATATCTGGGAGTGGATTGGGACTCAGCATCGTCCATCAAGCTGTTGGATCCCTTGGTGGCTCGATTGAAATCAACTCCACTCAAGGTGTCGGTACTGAAATATCGATTCGGACTCCGCTCATGCGTTCGCTCGATATATCAGACGCTTGTTCGTCGAGTTCCGAATTCCACTCTTTGCAACAACATACCCAAGGGAAGACGATAGGGTTTTTGGGCTTCGGGTCATCACTTAACTCTCCGCGAGATAAGGCCTTGTATGAATCCCTGGAGCGATTATGTCACCACTGGTTTGGTCTTTCCGTGACGAACGTATCCTCCTTTCAGGGCGAACACCTCCACCTGGACTTCTATTTGGCCGTGCAAACTGAGCTGAACTGTGAAGACACAAAGGGAAGAGACCTCTTTGCCCTCGGAAAACAACTTCTTGGCGCAGACGGGAACGGCTCGCCCGTCGTCGTTATCTGCCAGTCTCCCGAGGAAGCGCATCACATGTTTGTAACGACCAAGAACCGCGGCGAGGAGTCTGTTTTCGAGTTCATCAGTCAACCTTGTGGGCCACGCAAACTGGCCCGCGCACTGAATCTGTGTATCAAGCGACAGCGCGATTCTCAGTCCGGTCAGTCTGGCCCTGTCGAACAGACTCGCTGGATAGAACTACCGGAATCCTCTCATCTGCCGGTTGATCTCGAGCCTAGCAACCCGCCTGACGAAAGGATGAAGATCAGCAAGCGACCGACGACTGAGACAATGGGGTCTTATCAAAGTGCGCGTCGTCGACTGCCGGAGGAAAAAATTCAGCAAGATGGGCTACAGAATGGGGCCCGTTCATCCTTGCCTGAGAATGGACTACAGGAAGACCTACATCACTCTAGATCATCTGTTCTCCTGGTGGACGATAATGACTTAAATCTTCAACTACTCTGCGCCTACACGAAAAAGAGCAATTACGAATATATGACCGCTCGCAATGGGGCGGAAGCAGTTGATATCTACAAGGCAAACCCCAGTATTTTTCGAGTTATCATTCTAGGTAGGTATAACGATCTTTCCTCGCTTACCTGTGGTGCAAGTTTTGATCTTACTAGACATATCGATGCCTATCATGGATGGCTTCGAGGCCGTACGCCAAATACGCTCCTTCGAGACAGACTATCGAGTCTCCTTGTCAGGTTCCAACCGAGAGATTCCACCTCCCGTAACCATCGCCGCTTTGACAGGACTTGGTGGGGCTGCTGCCAAGGAAGAGGCAGCTGCTTCTGGTATCGACGAGTTTCTTATCAAGCCGGTGAAGCGAGCAGATGTCCAGGCAATCCTACAAAAAATGGACCCTCGGTGCACTGATTAAACCGAAAATAGATTTCCCCTTTAACGCCCGCGAAGTGTGTCTCGAGGCATATAAAGATTCAGCATAAGAGATATTTGGTTAAGGAATAATGTTTTCCTTTCTAAGCATACTTTAAAGCTCTGTGATCCTGCTATATACTTTGTTCGAGACAGCATAAAGAAATTGGTATAATGAATATCACTTGATGATGCATCAACGCTCATGTGAAATTAGTAGAAGAGGCCTCCAATAAACTACATCTTCTTTAATGGATTTTTATGTGAAGGGCTGTAGCCAATTTGATCCAATCTAAGTAGGCCGCGAACTGTTTACAACTATCTTAGGGAAAAGGAAGTTTCACCATTTGATTTGCCATAAGGCTTTTTTCAAGCGGCCGAGAAGTTTGTTGAAATGGGCAGCTTTTGCCTTCGGCAGCTCTACTATCTCCATCTTCACCGGCCCTTGTGCCCTCTCCCTCGCTACTTTCTACCTCTCCCATCTTCCTCTCTTTTACTGCCAACATAAACCATCCGATGCTTTCATCTATTCTACTCAAGTAATCAGATAGTAGAGTAGCCCAACTGTTATGGGTTGCGGAGTAACTATCCCCCTTTTGCTCTCCATTGTCAAGACATCTGTAGTAGTGTAAAGTCCACTAAGGCTTATCTGAGCTTCTTCAAGTCTTAGAACACGACCGAAGTTACGTACAAAAGAGCAGAACTAGGACTATAGCTTGACTATAGGAAAATGTGGCTCGTCAAGGTTTACTTTGTTTATTTTATTTGGGATTATAGGAGCGAGAAAGAGGTAGTCTTTTGATAAAAAGTATAGCTACGTTTGTAGATCCTCCCTACTTTGCCCAGAATGAATAGTAATTTACAATAAACTGTTGGTAGCTGAAACCGAATACCTTGAACCGAATATAGAGAGAAAGGGATGCTATTTAGTGAACACGGCCGCTTGTTCGTCCACAAAAATCGATGCTTTTCATTATGGGGGATTTTGGCCACATTTTGTTCCATTCGTTGTGTATTATGATATTTTGAAATAGTGTCTCAGTATCTTCTATTGTGTCTTGATTATAAATAAAATTGTCCCTGCTGCGCTCTCATGACCCTTTGCCCCATTTCTCTTACTCATAGGGTCTTGCTCCCTTCGCCTTGTTCGTGCTACTCCTTTTGTCCTTAAAGTGCCCCATTATTCGACCGCATGTAATTTGCGTATAGTTGCTTAACTCTGGCAATTCGTCAATACCATCTTGTGAAAATTCCATCAGGGAATTGCCTACTTGAACAGTCATCCCCATGGAGTTGGCTAAGACGCACAATATCTAATGCCGGACCTTAAACCTTAGAACGCATTGGCGATCACACGCGATAACCTCGAGAGCGACACAAAAAGAGGCGCTTGTATTGGCTCTAGCGACAAGCGCGAAAATAGAGACGCGTTAGTTCTCCTATCCTTGTAGGATTGAGGAAGTTTCGAATGAAATCAGACATATTACCCCTGCAATATACCAGTTCGGAAATTAATGCCAGCATCTACACTGTTCGAATCCTTCTCAGACCCTAATGCAAGCCCACTAGTCCACGAAAGAAATAGTTTCGGCTGGTTGTTAGTCCCTGACATGACCTACATAGCGCTGGAAGACCCACAGGTCGCGCGCGTCGCGCGGCTCGCACGCTGCAGGCCTGTAACGATGAAATGGATAGAAAGCAAAAGAGGAAGAGATAGTTAAGTAGCTTAGGGTAAATAGCACACAACACATCACGGCCACCAATGACTATGAGTGGCAAAGTCATGACTAATACCGATCTAATTTGGAATGGCTTTCAAGTCAGGTGAGACGATTCTTAGTTACGTCATCTGTATATGGACAAGCTTCCGGAGCTCGCATCATGAGGGCCCTTCTGAAGGTTTTGGTTTTTACCAAATTGTTTTATAGGAGGCCACACCGAAATTCCCACAGCATGGAAACAGAAACAACAAGTGTCAACATTCACCAAACACTAGGAGGGAAAATGCAAAAACAGAGTTCTCAAGATTCCCATCCACATTATCCTTTCGAGCATGTCCATGCTCCTGCGCGTCCCCTGCCATCCCATCAGCACCACATGAGAAGGGGTAACGACACAGACACAAGAGATTTCGGGAGCCCCCACATATTCGATAGACTAGGCAGCATCTTACCTGGTTGGGGATTCTTGGCACCTGAATGCGAAGGTCATTCTCCTTCGAGAACGACGCTTTTAGGTCAAGGTTCTGCCGAATTTGCGACCGCTCCTCATTCACAAGAGATGTCTTTGCGTTTCTTTAAGTCGGATCAGGCACAAAAGATTCCTATGACGAACGACAAAGCAGAGGAAATGTTACAGACTTCGTTCGAGGATTATGGGAAATTCAGCAGAATCCTCCATTACGATGACAATAATACCGTTCGATTATACGAAAAGAAAGTACCAGTTTTTCAGCAAACCAAATCGACAGCAAGATCTCCAAAGCGGCACATGCTGACGAGATTGAGGCGGACTTCTATATCAAATCCAATTAGGGAACTCTATGCAATCAAAGTATTTCGTCACGCCCAAACAAAAACATTCTCATTGACAGATCTGCATAAAGGTCAAACTCGAACTATCTCATTATGCCACCCTAATGTTGTCCCAATCGTCGACATTCTATACGATGGACGCACTAGCCTTTGTCTTGTCATGCCCTACTTTGCTGGCGGCACCCTGCACTCTTTTCTTTCACGAAAAGAGAATCGAAGGGATAGTCTGTCTCCTGAACAATTGAACTGTTGGGCTATTCAAATCCTGCGGGCAATAGCCTTTTTACATGGAAATGATATTGCCCATGGTGATGTGAGGCCAGAGCATGTACTCCTCACGGCCCAGGGTGCAGTGAAGCTAGGTGGTTTTGGGGAAGACGAAGATACTGTTCGACAACTGGCACAACTATTACATGGGGGTGCTCACGCTTCATCTTTTCCGGCGACCAGCCCTGATGTTGCTCCAGCTTCTAACTTAAAGCCGAATCTGTGTATTCGGAGAGGGGCCTCAGAATTGAGTCTCCCTTATCTCCCTCCTGAGAGGTTTTTAGGTCGCCGTGGCTCTCGCCGTCAAAGCTGTACACATCGAGACTTCTCTGATATCAGAGCGGGAGATATATGGGCATGCGGCATAATATACATGGTCCTACGGACCGGCCAACTCCCCTGGCACAGTGCCCAGATAGGCAATCGCGACCAATGCTTTGCCGATTACCTCCACAGTCGGATGGAAGAAGATGGCTATAGTCCCATACAGTGTCTTGAAAATGTAAGTAGCATCTATCGCCTTTTTTTGTGCGGCTGAGCATGAGCAAATTACCTAATGTTCCGGTGTTAAAAAGCGTTGCCGAAATGTGGTTTACGCGATGTTACATCCCGATTCGGGGTCAAGAATTACTGCAGCAGAGGTCTTAAGATCTGAGTGGGCCCTTGGAGTTGCAGTTTGTGAGGTTGGGGAGATGGGACAGTGAGACGAGCATAGCATACTTTCTTAAGTAGCCTGAAATATCAGGTAAAAATAACGCCAGGATCACAGATTTATAGCCGGGGTAATTGGATCGTTAACCTAAATCTCGTACGCTAGATATCGACCGAAAAGGCTTCTGAGAAGTACGGTTGTAGTATGCAAGAGCAAAGGTGATACTGGAGACTTTTGACCATTCATGGCCTAGGTACACGAATGGCTAGATAGAAAGCATCGCCAGAAGCACTACAAGCAAAATTTGGGTTAGCGAAAATAACCTGCACCTTTAATTAATAAAAGATTCCTCTCTACAGCGATGCAATGGCTGCATTATTATGGAATGAATAGCTCTTGTAGTCAAAGAAATACGATAACAGGGAACTTATTCTTTCTGCTTTCTTTATCTTGGAGAAAATGGCGCTTTTGGCGATTTGTGCATCAGCGAGATGCCACACTGCTCGCGCGTCGCCGCTCCTTGACTACCAATCATTTTTTAACCCTAAAAACTGTCGGCTGTAATGCCGCATAGAGCACGGGAGAGGATTATGAGCGAAGAGCGGTATACTAAAAACTAGAGATGAATAGAAGACTGGGTTTTGCTGGTTTTTGGATACTTTTGGGCCGCCACTGTGCAAGAACCAAATACCTAACCGTGGCCTACCGACCCACGCGCTCTGCCTTGTAAGCCTCCAGGAATTCGTTATTGTCACCTTGACTCTACCTCCTTACCACAGACATTCTTCCTTACAAAGCATCAATTCAGTTATTTGAAACCATTATAAGTCCACACAAGCACTCCTAATGTCTTATCTACCGCTAGGATGGACCGTAGAGCGACTTCGAACCGCAACAGTGGATGATCTACGCCAAATACCAGAAGAAGTAATGCATATAAATATTCCACAATTCTTTTAGCAAAAGCAAGAAAATTCGCTAGGTACCTGCCAAGGTATCTCTTCAATATAGATTGCTAATAATCTATTGGCTTGTCTAGAGACTCTATAAGATTGACGGAAATCTAATTCCCGTCGAGTACGTTCCGGTCTAGTTAGTTATCGGTAGACCTCGGCAAGGACCGCCTAGGACCGGACCGGGACCGGGACCGGACCGCACCATGCAGGGCTTGGTCCTTACTTTTAGGACCGCACCACTGCGGTCCCGGTCCCCCGTGCGGTCCTGTAAACAAGACAAACATAGGAAACCCCGTAATATACATATTTTATGTAGAATCAGTTAGTATTTTTTAGTATTCTACTTTTATTCTTTATTTGTATAGGCTAATTTTAGCTTAAAAAGGATTTCTGCAGAAAAAACTAATAATAATAATTTCGGCCGAAAAAACCTAATTCTTTATCTCTACTAATTATATATAAAATCTGTATTATATCTTAATCTCTTTAGGATACGCCCTGATGAACGCCTCTAGATATTAAAATTAGGTAGAGGGATCTTATTATCTTCTAGCTTAGTAAGCTAACTATTAATAGCCTTTCTCTTCCCTAGTAC